CCTTGAACGTTCCCTGAACATAAACCCGCTCACTAGGTTTATCAGCCAGGAACCAGCTGTGATCGTCACAATATTTAGGGGTTATAATATATATAATATATACGCAAGTAAAAAAATACACCAAATTTTATATAAGAAGCATTCCTATATAAAATTAACTATTATATATATATAGTGCTTATCTATTACTAATAGTTGCTACTTAATAAAGTTTTTAAGGGTTAAAAGTAAAATAAAAACCTTATATAGCTATTTAAAAGCAATTCTTTTTTCTATCCACCCCTTTTTTATAGCTATAAATTACTATTTATTATAATCCTTAAGGATAATAGAAAACTACTATTATTATATACTTAATCCTTTAAAAATAATAAAAGGAAATAAAAATTTACTTATAATAAAAATATACTTTATAAAAGAGGTCCACACTTTTAAATTATAATTTTTCTAGCTAAAAGGATTATTTTTGAAATAGCTAAAAATAAAAATATTTTAAAAGCAATCTTTTATTAATCCTCCTTTATTAGCATTCTAATAGTTAGCAGGCTTAATTTTTTTTATAATAAAAAGCTTAAAAAAGTTAAATTAAAGCTTAATTATATTTTTTTTAATAGCCTTTAATTTTTTTACTTTTATATATTAATTCTTTTATAATTAAAGTTTAAGGTAATAAAAAATAAAAGTGTTTAGCTATTTTTTACTTAAAAAAGGGTAGTTAATTTAAAGGTAAGCTAAACAAGCTGTAAGAGCCCTTATTTTAAAATAAGTTAATATAAGCCCTAAAGTATTTTAAGTAATTAGAAATAAAATTAATTTAGCTTTCTAATTATTAAAAAAAAGCTTCTAAACGTTAGTAGTAATATAATAACTTTCTACGCCTATAAAGCAGTTTTAAAGGGTAGTATAAAAGATATACTACTTTTTAAAAGCAGCTGTAACTAATATCCTATTTTTAACGGAAGTAATAGCATTAAATATCTTAGCTTTTAAATATAGCTTTATAATAAGTTAATTGATATTTTGATAAAGTTTAGTAATTAGAAAAAATTCTTTTGTAAAGATATTATAGAGTATTTATAGGGTGGGTATAGACGCGTGTATATGCGTACGCGGGTGTGGGTATGGCGGAATCGGAGGGGTGGCGGAATCGGGTGGACCCATGTTAAAGCGACGAGGAACTTGACGCACTCCTCGAACGAGAATGAAAAGAAGAGGTAGATAGTAGAAAGGATTCTATGTCTTGATTCTTTCCCCCACTCTATATATATAAAGATTATAGACTCCGTGATTAGGAACACCAGATCGGTGGAGATTACTTGGGTCCCTTGAATTTCTTCTTTCCTCGAGAACGGACTTCACCTCATGCCTCGTCTGCATTATAGACTTCAGGAACGTGGTATTAAGGGCTGCCTGGTCGATGCATTTTTAGCAGGCTCCAGTAGCACCGTTACGTTCTCTTTTCAGTACCTCGACGTCTTCCCTTAAGGCAAGTTGCTTAGCCTATGCAAGAGAGTTTAGAACTTAATTGAACGATACATGAACTGAGCCCTGGAGTACTCCCGCACAGTATACACTGTGTACCGTTCGCTGTATATTAGTCACTTAGTTTCAATGGGAGGTTCTGTCCTTGATAGTTAGGCCCGGAGATGGTTTTTCTGTGTTGTTGTTAGGGTGCTACAACTTGGGGAAGTGCACATGAAAGAGCGAGACCTGACTAGCACTTATTCCTTTACTGTGGTTTCCCGTTCTTATCATTTTGATGGAATTCTAGGATTGTGCTTCTTTTCCCAGCTGCAGATTTTCTTCCACCAGCTATTCATTTGATTAGCATTTGAAGGACCAACATCCAGCTCTATGGCGCACAGGATATGCACAGGAAATCGCTTTACAATATTGGCCATTAGTCTGTGGAGCACATACTCAGGTTGGAAAAGTTCCACGATGAGAACAAAGTCCACGGCGTCTTGGCGACAATATTGCCGGAGGTGGAAAGATTTTGGAGGTAAATCAGTCAGCTGCTTAGATCCGCTGATCATATTGTTCTCAAACAGGGAGACCACGTTCAGCACTAAATAATTCACAACATTCTATTCTCAGGAGCTCGGTACAGAGGCTCGGGCGATCCCGCCGGCTCAACGATTTGAAGGCCACGCAGATCGTCTGATTTATTCATGCAGTATTCACTTGGCGCGTTGCTTGCTGCCAATGACTTTGTTGAGCTGAACCCAGAATAAGACAGTAAGCTGTAACACAGGATCCTTCTGGCACTGCCATGATTAGTCGTGACAGTACGCCGACATTTCCCTGCTGATTTCCAAGATGACTCCAGTTTACTTCGGTGATCTGGTTTGACATACCAGTATTGGGAGTCCTTCTCCCTGGGAAAGAAGTTCATGTAGTGGAATGTTTCTGAAGGATCCAAATAAACAAGGCGGTCAGTAGCAAGCTGTCAGTAAATTTCATCAATTAGTAACTGAAATCAGGGCCATGGGCTGAACGCTGTGCGACGCGAGATGTGATGACTGGTCGCCGATGTCTTTCCTTTCAGCCACCGTCCCTTCCAGCACCTCCTTCGCGGGAATGCCTCTTTTTGTTTCTCAACTTTCAGGGACTTTTCGCAAGCACACCTCGATATCAAGGCTCCGATCGCGTTCACCAGGTTTTCACGAAGGACATGTCGACAACAACGGCACCGACCCTGGCAGGGGATTGGGTACCCGATAACCAAGCCATCTGCCTCAAGACGGACGACGTATGGCAATGGGACTGGGGTATTGCAGAAGACATGAGGACAGTCGTGGGTGGACCGTCGCAAACAACGCAATGCCTTCCCAGCGGATGGGACAGTGCCATGACCTACGAGGGCACGAAATGCCCTCCCCGTTACACCAAAGCTTGCGCGGCAGATGAAAACCAAGATTGGTCGGCAGTTGTCTGTTGCCCCACGATACACAAGTTCGACTGTCCGGTGGCCTCGAATCTGGCGAGTGTCCCACACGCCTCAATCTTTCGATGTGTATCCCAATACGCCGATACTGGCATATTGACTATGACGCGAACTTTCATGAATACAGCAGAGAGCACGAGCATCGTGGCAGAGAGCACGAGCATCGTGTCCGCGTCATACGGCCCCAGTTATCACCTCTTTGCACTTGGAATCATTTATGCGACGTCAACTTCGGTATGTGTTTGTCATGACCTGCGAGAGATAGAGTCTGTGTTGCACGCGGCGAAGCTGCTGACTTGATTGTGACCAAATCACAGACAACGACCTCATCGTCGACCAGCAACACAATCACACCGACCGACTCCACTTTATCTTCCCCTAGTCCCTCAAATAGCGACGACTCGTCAAGTGAAACTCTCAGTGTTGGAGCGAGTGTTGGTATCGGAGTTGGAGTAGCTGCGGCGGCAGTATTGCTCGCCCTATTCGGGTGGCTGCTGTACAGACGAAAGAGGAAGAATTCCAAGTTGCAGGCGGAAGATACGCATGCAGGTCCAGTAGATCAAGTGGGTGGACTTGGATATTATGAGCATGGGAACGCAGGCGCAGACAAGAGCCACACACAACCGTTGTGCTCAGAGCTGCCTCCGAACGGGCCACAATGTGCGGAGCTGCCTGGAAAACCTCCAGCAGAGCTTGGAACTTGAGGTTTATATGGGGAGAGAAAGCTATAACTAACTCATTTGATTGTGTGATCGGAGAAATCCCGCTTACCCGTTCAAGATGATGTTAACTTTGTTTTGAAGGAGGATGTCGAAGATGGGAGCTCCGAAGTCCAAGAGTCATCATATTATTCAATATCTTCAAATTGTGTTTATTAATCAGATTTTAGTTGGCGTTGATCATTTTGATTTTCTCACACAAACCTTACTACTACCTTGTTCTATTCCTACCTTCGGATTGCGCTGCAAGCCTTCAAGGTTTGCAAGTGCTACGACTACATCTAGGGGAAGCTGATCTCTTATGTGTTCACCTCTGTAAACTTTTCGAAGCCAGCTTGTGGCCAGCACGGATCGGTGTCTGCTTATGTAAGAAACGATATTTCTGACATTAGGGGAGTGGATCTTGTTTGTGAGCCACAGCAGTTCGGTCGTTTAGGCTGTCACCTCCCTTGCTCAATGTCTGGCTCACCCACGGAGGTGCTTTAAGTTGACGGATGCTCCCGCAGGAGTCATTTGAACACCTTACATGTATTTCTCGCACTATCCCTAAAGATGGCAGAGAATTTAGGTACTGTCCACGCCAATCCACTTTCTTTGACGGTGATTCTCCGACCACTGGCTAAGCTGCTCTTCCAGATCCAGATGCGTCGTTCTCTCTCATTATCAGCAACGAATGGGGCCGTAGCAAAATAACACAAATAGACTCCGAAGTCATCATCAAGGAAGGCACATCGGTCTGGCCTAACGAAGAAGCTGCCCTGAACCTCATTCACTCCACCCTGCCGCCGAACACCGTGACCGTGCCCCACGTCTTCCTCGGGACCTACAACCGTGGAAAGGACGGCGTCGTCACAAAGGGCACCATTTGGATGGAACATATGCCTGGGAACACTCTAAGGGAGGCTTGGCCGTCCCTCGACCAAGTAGCTAGGGAGCGAGTCTGTCGGGATACGTGGGCGATTGTCGAGAAGCTCAGAGAGATTCCTCGGCCCGAAACGGATGACGGTGCTTTCTACCTTGCTGCTGATGGGACCTCCAAGATAATTCAGACACTATTGGGCGATGAGCATGACACATATCCCCCGATGAAGAACGACGAGGACCTACGTGCACGCATATGGGAGCGCTATGTGAAGAACAACGGCCTGTCGTATCCTGAAGGAAAGGGGGTCTATGAGATGCTTCCGCGGTCTGGAGTCTCGGTCTTTACGCACGGGGACATCCATCCGCGAAACATTCTAGTGGAGCAGAATGTTGAAGAAGGTTCTGAGGTGCGCATCACGGGCCTAATTGACTTTGAATCTGCAGGGTTCTATCCGGATTACTGGGAGTTCAGTGAGATGATGGCTTGTGGCAGGAAAGACGCAGAGTGGATGGAGATGATGGACCGCACGAAGCCGAGAGAGTGGGATATCTCGGGTGTCAGGAAAGTGAGGCGGGTTCTCTTCTAGAGACCAAATAGACAGAGGATAATTAGGCGACTATCTAAGAAAGGATGGCAATTCAGCAAAACTTCAACGGCACTATAACTCTTTAATTATAACTTGATTATAATTAAAATTAATTTATAGCTTTTAATGTTTTAGGGAAGAGGGAGAGGAGGAGCGCCGAAATGCGATAGAATGTTATAACGTTCTTGTATAAACAATTTTGTCGAATCGTTCAATCCAAAGAATGACGGATGATGCTAACCCAGACCCTTTCCACGTCGTGCTCCCATTCGACCTGACGAAAGCCATCAGGCCAGCCATACGTCTCGATGAGAGTCCGCATAGCAGCATTACGCTGAAGGATAAGGAGAAGTATTAATGAATGTCAAGCTCGCGAAGCCGTGATTGAACATACAATCTGAGGTTGCTCAGGGCCGTAGTACTGTCTCTCAAACTGCTCACAGCCGGACGGGATGACCTCTAACGTCTCAATTTTCTCCAAGAAACGGCGAAAGAATGACGGGGCGTGCTGAGGATAGTAGTTGCGATAGTAACGCAGGTCATCGGGCCGCTCGAGCTTCCAGGAATCCGGATTTCTGTCGTCTGGATCTTCATCCCAAGGAATCTCACGAATCGTATCTGACCATTGTATCAGCTTTCGCTGCCAGTATCTTCAAGCAACATACAGAAAATCGTACTCTCTCTGACGTCCAGCACGAAGTACGGACCCTCATCACCCGGACCCGTTAGGGGTATGTCGTGGGGGAGAATGTAATCACGCCTCGGTCTATGCGGAGACGCGGCCGGATCGCGGCTGCGCTCCAGGTCGCTATCTTGGAGATACGACAACGGCTCCGAGTTTGGGAACAGATGAAGAACATAGCGGCAGTGCTCATTAACGTACGGAAGCCTTTTCAGAAGCGAGATGACTTCGGGGGCAAGTTGAAGCTCGCGACACGAGTCCTCGTTGATGGCATGGCCGCCGGACGGAGGCCACGTGATGTGATCTCGACCTATGTACGCTAGCTTGATGAGTAGCTCGTACAGCTCGGTAACGAGGCTGACGATCTCGTCCTCATTGTAGGGTGTTTGAACATTGTCGATAGTCAGTCGTGGCGTCTCTGGATCGTCTTGGGACTCAGACGTCGTCTCCCTTTGTAGAGGCTGATGCTCTTGTGGAGGCTGAGGAACGCCCAGGAAAACGAGGAAGATGGTGAGTGCGATGCATACGAGAACATCAAGAAGGTCCATTTAGAAGGGAATGTAGGGACCAGAGAGACGAGATTCCTGTGGCCAAGTCGATGCAGACACGGGGGGGGGGGGCTTACTGATATGTCTTATATGTTACCTCCGAGATGCATGACCTTCCGTGTCAGCCACAGCTCCACGTGACTTCCATCTCATCAGTTCCACGTGACTTGAACGTGATTCTTCGTCGACTTTCTCCTGAAAAAGCCCACGTCCGTACTCTGAAAGTTCAATTTCTTCTTCGAATTAGCCGCCTGGACTGGTCCAACATTATGTCTTGTCGGATTCGCCAAGCTGAAGGTTGCGTGCCCTCCTCAACTTGGTGACGTTCCAAACCAGTTTGACACTTTCAAGTCTCACTTTCACGACTTTGAAGTCTTTCTTCCAACACGAGGCCAAGCTTTGTAGTCAATGATGCGCGCTTCGAGTCGTTGCCTTAACATTCTCAGTCCTCTCCCGACCATTGCGTCGCTCTTGCCCAACGCCGCTCTCACGATCAATTCTAGACCAGCGATCGCAAGCTTTGCGAGTGATTCGTGACATGTACATGGAGCCTCCCGAAAGAATGAATAGTTTAAGCCTGAAAGGGCTGCTATTCAACAACTGCATTCTGCTAATCATGGGAGCCATCGACGACGAGAATGACTTGCGGGCAGTGTGTCAACCAATTCAATCAATTATAACGTCCCTGCACCCAATTCCGACCACACCCCTTCTGCTAAGGTACTTCCGGCTCGCTAATGCGGCCAATTCCGGGGGCCTTTTACTTGAGTGGCCAAGCTATAGCAAAATGCAACTCAAACTCTCTCACGACTCTTAGTATTGTAATGTCAAAACCAGAGTGCTGAGGTAGTTTGTGAGTTTATTCACAACGGAGCGGAGCCAGGACCAAAACAAGACATTTCAAAACAGCATCTAATCAATTCGTGTCTATATACAACTCGTGTTCAAGCTAACGCCGTGTAAATGGAGCCCAGAACTCCCGAGGTGCCCCCACACAAGACCAAAAAACCACAAACAAAACCTTCATCGGTCCTGTGCATCCATGAAACTCATGTCTGTACAAAAAGAAAGGGGTGGGGGGGATAGAGCGAGAGACGGATAGATATTCCTCGTTCGTTTGAAAACACCACCATTTAGATACCGGAGTCGTCCTGGACGTAGTTATTGGCTGCGGTCCAGGTGTTCCAGTTGGTGCAGGTGTTGTTGATGTAGGTCATGTCCTGGAGAGCGGCGATCTCGGACTCGCGCTCGACCAGCTGCAGAGCGAAGCCCTCGTCGGCGTGCCATGCGATGTGGCCTATGGTAGAAAAGAGTTGTTAGTGATGTAGTCCCAACAAAGTATGTATGTAGAACAGATATCTCTTACAGTGCATGACCCAGGCACCCGGGTTGTCAGTGATCCAGGCCAGCGCCAGCCACCCGTCCGCGGGGAGCATGGCGGTGTCGCGACGGGGCGCGTTCACGGTAGTGAGGGTGTCGGTGGTGTTGTCGTAGGTGCCGTCGCCGGCGCCGAGGACCCAAAAGTCGTGGCCGTGTAGGTGGATGGGGTGGGCCTGGGCAAACTCGGTCTGGATGATCATGTACACCCACTGGTCGGCGTCGGGCAGGGTCCAGACGTGCTCGGCGGAGGTCCAGCTCGTGTTGCCCTCGCCGATGGCCAGGACGGTCGGGTAGTCCCACTCGGAGACGAACGAGACATCGTTCATGGTCCACTTGATGCTGGTGCTGACGGTCAGGCCGGCCTCCTCGTCGTCCTCGGCGCTCACGGTGCCCACTTCAATGGCGACGTAAGGGACCAGGTTGGCCGAGTCCTCGTCGTCGCACGAGTCGGTGAGGTCGCTGTAGGCCGAGGTGGTCGGGTCGGCGGTGGAGGAGCTGTCGTAGCGGACGATGCCGAGAATGTTGTCAACGTTGTCGTTGTCCGAGCACGACTCCTGGGGGATAGCGCGCATCCAAAAGTCGCCCGTCGTCTCAGTGGCGGTGACGATGATATCATAACGCTGGCCCATACCAATGCTTAGGTTGGTGGTGTTGTAGGGCACGATAGGGACAAAGTCGCTGGCAATCACCTCAAAGGTGTGGTTGTCGATGGTGTAGCGGAAGTGGGTGTCGGCAGCGCCGTTGACGAGGCGGATGCGGTACTTAGTGCCAGCTGCGAAGGTGGTCTCGAATCGAGAGCCGACGACCGTTCCATCGTCCTCGGTCCAGGTATTTGTGCCGTTGATCAAGCAGTTGTCGCTCTATATATAGAACCGGATTAGTCGAAAAAGAAAAAGACAATACATAAATAAGGAGTATCCGGTTTGTTGGAATACACGTACGGTTGGGGGACCAGTTGTGGCAGCTTCTTCGGCGAGGACGTCCGCTGTCTGGTGGCTCCAGTCGTTGAGGAAGATATGACCAAGATCGACGTCGTAGTTGGCAGTGGCAGGCCCGTTGATGAGGATTCCGCCAAAGATGCCATCCCAGGCCTGAACGGCAAAGTGAGCGTGGTACCAGGAAGATCCGTATTGCAGGGCCTTCCAGCGGTATGTCTGAGTGTCACCGGGCGCGATGGGACATTGGGTGACAGAAGGCACACCGTCATATTGCTAAAAGATCGAGTCTTAGTAAATCATACAAGAAAAATGGGGAAAAGAGGGACATACGTTGGTATAGTTCTGGCGGATACCGTGCCAGTGAATAGTTGAGCCGTTGTTTTGCATGGCATTTGTGACATGAATAATGACCTCATCTCCCCAATCTGCAATGATGGTCGGACCGGGGACGGAGCCGTTGATGGCAAGAACAATGCGTTCAATGCCGTCAGGAGCCGCCGTGGTGTTCTCGACGTTGAACCAGTATTCCCTGGTGACCCCAGTGTCGGGGGCGGTGTCATAGTAGTTGGTGGTGATGTCGTAATCCCCCCAGCAAGACCGGTCGGAAGCACTGTTGACGCATCTCTTGGACAAGGAATGGTCAAGCTGGTTGGACAAGGAGTGACTGGGAGCAGCCAAGGCCAGCGGCAAAGCCACAAGAGCCCACAAGGATGAGAACATTGTGTAAAGAGTGCACACAAGGTAGGGAGAAAGAGAGACTCAAGGAGGCAGAAAAGCAGAATGAAAGAACGATGAGGAACTTTGGAAGGTAGAAGACCAATGAAGGAATGGACAGTGATGATGGTGATGATGGAAGGAGTCTCATCGTTGTGATCCTCATAGCGTATATATACACAGGCATCTTAGAGACGACACAGTCGAAGATATTCAGACATAGCAAGCGAGCGAGTCGTCTCGGCCGAGCTGGACCTACGACTCCGACATCGAGCTCCAGCTGATCAAGAACATCACGACTCAGCCCGCCGTCAACACGAATATGCTTCATGCTTAGTACTCACGGACCATCTCGGTCGTTCGATAGAACCGCCCTGACGAAAGAAAACAAGCCAGGAGACGCGCGTCATCTTGTTGGTGTTCCTTTCTACATCTAGTCCATGGATAGGGAGGCATTAGTGATGAATCAATAGAGGGGTAGCCAATGCAGCCGAGGAAATGTGCGAAGTCCATTGGGTGATCTAGGCTCGAGCTCTGTACAGCCACTGGGGCTCTATCCAGTATCCACTGTGTCTGCTATTTTCAGCCTTGGTATTAGGGGGTAGAAAGAGAAAACTGCAATTGGTGCTCAAAGATCGCTGATTGGTTCGGACGGGCGTTCTGTTTCGAGCTGTCAACTATCCAAAAGAGACAAGCCGTCATGCTCAAGGGTCACGTCTGGTTTTAGGCTTATGATTACAATTGTGGGCCCAGGGTGATCATTCCCCTTAGGACGGATCCGAGGAACAGGTCGGTAGCGAGGTTTGATAACCCGGTCCATGACAGGGTCTTGTTGGGATGGAGTTTCCCAATCCGGGTGTCTACCCTGGCAGGTAGTGGGGACGATATGCGGGGCCGCTCACGCGGCTCGCCTACTGTGGTATACTATACACGTACAGCCAGAAATAGATCTTCTCATGGGATAAGGCACTGGGAATTAAGCTTTTCCATAACCAGGCGTGTTGCGCAATGTTTCGTCCGGCCGAAAACGCCGAGCTCAAAATTTACAAATGACTATGCCAAGCTTCGTGGCAGGTGGGTCAAGGCCATACGGCAGTGTAACCTGACAACGGCTTCAAGGTTCAAGGGTAAAGATACCTGGGAAGGCCCAATACGACTCCCCTGGCTGTCCGCGTACGCGTACAGCCACGCTGCCATGCGCCCCGAGGACTGTAACTCCGAGCTGTCGACGACGACACGGCCGAAGATAGCTGACATTATCCTCAATGACAATATAAAGAAGTCGGAAAGGCTCTCTTTCTATCACGTACAGTATACGACGCACGCGGTCAAAGATTTCCACACTCCTTCGTCTTGCCTTCACTCATTCTGAAACAACTTCTCGTACATACAGTACAATCATTCAGATTTTCTTTGATCCTCTCTTCTCCTTGTTCATCATCTTCTTCAAAAATGCACTACACAAGCTTCCTCGCCATTGTTGCCCTTCCTGGCGCGCTGGCATTCCCCTGGGGTCTTGCTCCCCGGAAAAGCAAGGCAAATGCTGCGAGCACAGACGTTACACTCTACGCCTACGGCAGAAATATTTCTGGTTTTCCTGTTCTCTACGGTTCAAGCGATGGTATGTACTCCGCTTTCGATCACACTGTGTCGCCGCCAAGACTCTCCGAGATCTCTCCGAGATGGCTGCAAAAGATTCAGCGTCTTGGTCGCTAAAATATCTGCCCTCTCCTTAAACAGACCTCCTCTACGTCGCCGCAAGCAACACCACTGTCACGGGACTGCAGTCGGTGACCTGGGACATCCCCTCCCTGAGCGATGCCACCTCAACCTCCACCACCGCCACGCTGGCCAACGGAACCTCGCCCGGAGGCATGTACGTCAATGTCACGACTGATGGCACACTTGGCACCGTCAGGGTGTCTTCTACCAACGCCTCGACGGGCGTGACGACCTACGGCCAGCAGCTCGTGTACAACACCGGCTCCTCGCTCGAGGCCAAGTTCTGGGCCAAGGAGGTGACCGTCGGTGGGGTCCAGGTCTGGTCCCTGACCTGGAACGAGGCCAACGAAGACCAGGATGATGCTGTGGTTGTCAATATCAAGACTTCTGCTCCTGCTTCTACTTAGGGCTGGCTTTCGATCGCTTCTGGACCGGATAGGTAGATACATATATAGGGGAGGAAGTTTGGGGGAAGCACTTGGGGGCGACCTCGACAGATGTGAGGTGCAGGTTCTGAGTGACAGTGTGCGAAGTTTGTCCTTTGTGATTGGAGAAGGCCGTCCTCAATTATAGGCCGAAATATGCAAAGTTTACTACTCCGTCCCTCTGTTTTTGGAAAATTAGGGATGACCTCGGCTCGTTTCCACGACGCCTTCATATTCCTTGAAAAATTGGGAAGCCAACACAGTCACTTCCTCTTTCTCCCCAATGCATGTACCGGATTGGGCCGATACGGTAGAGACTGATCCAATGCGTACAAAATACAGAGTATGAATACATTTATCCACGACGCTCGTCGCAATAAATTACTGAGGTATTTAGCGCAGCATTTTGCAGAACAGACATCGAATTAGAGGTTGAAGTCGGTACAAAACAGGGTAACAGGGAGTAAAATAAAAAGAGAAGGTCCACTGGTATCCAAAGCTATCGATAATTATTCCTGAGATAAAACGCTGCTGGTTCCATGATTTACCGCTTCGTTCCCGCGCATTAGATCTAAGCTTCTATTACCCTCAGATGTACTCGGCTCACCGTTTGCTAATATCGATCCCAACAACTTCCAGAATTCCGAACTTTCATCTCTAGTAGCGATTTTATATTCTATTTAACAGCAAAAGTTAGTAACTCCAAGCTTTTTTTTGCAAGTATGATGCTTACCAACTACTGCCTGAATGAAATCTGTTGCGACAGAGATGAAAAGAACCAGCGGCACTATTTGTCCAAATCCCCACTGGTTCTCTGAGTCCCCGGAAAGCTGGGACTCGTTTGACGCCCGAAGCGCAAACAACATATAGCCATGGACGGGACACTGAAGTATGGCCAGCAACAGGATCGTATACGCGTTGTTCTGCGACACTGTTATCAGGACCACCAGCAGTGCCCCGTAGGCTACCACCCACTTCCAAAGGTATGCCAGGAAAAGCTGCCCCCGAGAACTTGCTGAGTCTTCCGAGTGTGTTCTGTTTAGCAGGGGGTCCATGCGGTGCCTAATTAGATCCATGATGTGCCTAGTTTGCTCCGCGAGTAGTTGCCTAGTCCGTTCTATGAGAGGTTTTACTTTCTTCGGCCCATAGCTTTCGACAATCGATACGACTCGAAAGATTCGGGCCCAGTACAATTTGCTAAATGGAGAGGAAGTTCCAGCCACAAATGTTGAGATCAATGTGATCATCATATCCCATGACTTTGATTGTTGCCCCTAAGACTTTCCTCGAAGGGAATCCAGATTCTTCACGACTTGCTGCAACTGAGGTTCGGTGCTTAGTGTTAAAGCAGTGAAGAAGTAGAGGCTCGTAATCGCAAGATAAATCTCGTCTGTCAAAGGATGATTGGAACTTGATGTTGACAACAATCTGGTGTGGTAACAAGCGCCAACAACTTCATCATTCCACGAATGAAGGCGAACTCCAAAGATGGCAATGAAGACGAGGTAAAGCATTCCGAAAATGTTCACAAGCAGCACGCGAAATAGTGATGCGCTTGGGTCTCTGGAGACAACCACCATGGCTGCACAGGCAGAGACGCTGACGGATAGCAATGAGTTAGCTAGACCCCGTAGAAAGATTAGTCACAAGCATAATTGGGAGGTATTCATGCTTGCCCCGTGAAATTCACTGTGTCATAGACAATATGAAAGTGATAAAGTTCCAGTGTATCGTATTGTGCTATTGCGCTGACTAGCAGCGCAATTCCTATGACAGTGGGATAGAGAAAAGTTAGTACTTGCGTAGTTGTAGCTCCAAAACTCAATAATCATCTTCAATAAGATTGAAAACGACTAACCGTTGAGGGTCTGAGCATCACTTATAGTACCGAGGAGACGATTGATGAGATCTCGCATTGATCGCAGGTGATTTCGAGCCTTGTCGCTGAGCGTAATAGAGCGATTAGAGACTTGTTGGGCGATGGCCAGTTGTTGATCATTTCGCCATGGTGAGAAAGTGCTACCAGGGTGCGACCAGTAATCGGCCCACATGCCCTGAAATCCCTCCAGCCTCCAGTCGATAAAAACCGTGCAGAGTGACAGCAGGAACGAAAGACCTCCTTGAATGATGAATGATAGTAAAATCTATGACCGATCAGTTGGTGTCGATAAGCAGGAACATGTTGGTGCGTACCCCTAGTCCTGCTATGTCCGAGTTTGTCGAACCGACATCTTTGCATACCATCTCTAGCAGTGTGAGCAGTGAGCTCAATAAGGAAGACGTGAATCCTTGATGGAGCGCCTCGGGCGTACTGGGTCAACAGCTGTATCTATGGCCAGCTGATCCAGGCCTCTCAAGTCTTTTAGTGCGGAATGTTTTCGCCCCCTCCCTCTCGGACAACAGGTGAGTGTAAGGAATAGGCATGTGGATTAAGTGAAACACGCCCAAGTACGGTCGTGAGATGACGAACGTGTTCCACTTGGAAGGCTGGAGTTCTATAATCCTTGATATCTCAGCTTTGACAGACCTTGTCAACCTTACAAGCACAAGTGTTTCAAGTACCAAGCCACAGTTGTGGAAACCCGGGAAGAAACCAAAAATGGGTGAAGCTTTGAATCAGTTCCGAACGCTGACCTTCTGAACATTAGGGAATGTAAGCGTAGGAGCCTGAAGAAAATTGTTCTCTCCGGGTCTAGTCTTTCCTTGCTTAATCGAAAACTGATTTCAGAGCGGGGTCAAAGTGGATAAGCCATTTGATTCTACTGAAGACCTGAGTTCAGCCTCACCGGCAAGTGACATACATACAGAGATGCCTATATGCACGTGACTGCTTACGGAGCCAGCCTCCAGGCAATAAGTGATGGGCACCCCAGGCTGCTTATTCGTGGACTGGCACTCCAACTATGAACCAACGCTAGACCCATAATGGAACAATAGCGAGTTCACCTTCTTGCATGAGGAGCATGACCTGAGAAACCTCACAAAAGCCGAAATACGCGTCACCGGCCCTCTCTTTTGCTGGGAGGAACGTCATACCTCCTCACTGCGACACATATCTTGGACCTCATTCTTCGCGGGAAGATGTACTCTAGCTAAGCAGTGGATGCATACTTCATCCGCCGGCTCCTCGTGGACCTGGTCCCGTCCGTGCTGCAGTCATCGTCGGCACAGGATGCCTAGCGGAAGTATTACTTGAAGCACGCAGACGACAAATACGACCACATCCTGGTAGACTACGACTTCAACATAACAGGGATCATAGACCGGGAATGGACATACCCTGCGCCGCCAGCACATGCATTCAGATTTCCAGCCGCCTTTTTACCAGGCGCGAAGCTCTACAACGGCGTCTTTGATATTGGAGAGGATGAAATAGCTTTCGCACGAATTCTTGAAGGGAGAGGCCACCATTATCTGGCAGATGGTGTGTGGAACGGTCGGCTGCAGCATAGATTCTCATGTTGTTTCAGCTACGACCTTGCAGACTGCAGCGGCTTGTAGTCGCTGGTGTCCAGAGATGGGGCTGCATTTTCAACAGGATGAAGGGTTATTCGTCAATCGTCCCTATATACCGATGCTGCAATACTTGGGCCAACACCATTTCATAGGTTCTTAGCGCTTAAGCCAGCGCTGAGAGGCTATAAGAATGTCCAAAATACTAAGTAGAGTGGTATACAGGCTGGAGAAGGCGAGACATTTATTATGGCACATGTATCAAGAGCAGAAATATTACAGTCTCGTTTTGGATCCTGACTTGCGAAGCTTTGCCGTGACACTGAGCGCACGCCTAGTCGCCAGATCAAGCATCACCTCCTCGCTGCCTCCAGGCACCGTGATAGCCTTGACATCTCTCCAGATCCGTTCCACGCGCTCCCCTCGGCCTGCTCCTCTGGTCAGGCCGATGCCACCCATAATTTGGATGGCCTCTCGCACTACGTGCTCCAACACGATTCCGCTGTGGGCCTTGATCTGAGCTGTGGTACCGGCCAGGAGGAATTCACCTTCAGCGGTGGAGAGATGGCCGAGTTGGTAGATCAAGCTCTAAAAAAGATCAGCCGAATGTCACTTCCAGCGTGAAGAACTGGGGTGCCGGATTCACGGAGCAGACTGCTAACCTCGAGCCACGACTGCAATGATTCAGTCTCTCTGCTCATGTTGGCAAATTTTAATCGGATGACAGCTGCGATGTAACGCGTTAGCAATTCTAACAGATATAGCTGCGCCAGTGTTGCCTACGATGATCCGTGAGTTTCTTTCCAAATGTTTCCCGGCTCAGTGCGTACTCGATTGAGTCTTCCAAGCATACGCGTGCGCATCGCACCGACTGCATCGCAATAAATAGTCTCTAGTGACACCAAGTCTTATCAGTCCTCTGAGTGAAATCTCTGACAGTTGTCAAAATGATCGCCTCGTCCCACAGAGAGTCTTACCTCATGGTTGAAGTTCGAAACAATGTACTTGAAACCCTTGCCGCGTTCGCCAACTACCATGTCGAGCGGGACCTCGACGTCGTCGAACTCCACAAATGCCGTGCCGGCGGTCGTGGACCCCGACATCTCCATGTGTCTCGTAGACAGGCCTTTTACGCGTGGCACTACTACGAGGGTAAAGTCGCCATTACACTCCTTCACGAGCGTGAGGAAGTACTTCGCGTACATGCCTCCCGTGATCCACTGTTCTTCTGATTCAGTAAGGGTTTCCTAGTACTAATATAGCACTGAAAAGGATAACACTTGTGTAAACACACCTTCTTCTGGCCATTGACGATTAGGCGGGTCCCGTCGTCGGATAGTACCGCTTCTGTCTTCAGGCCGCGGACGTCCGAGCCTGCATCGGGCTCGGTGATGGCCAGTGCTATTCGGGTCTTTCCTGAGATCACGTCTTTCACAACACTGTTCTATGTGAGCACTGTTTGCCCTCACCACGAGGGCGAAGCTATGCTTACGTTTGTTGCAGCTTCGCCGACCCGAATTTGTGAACTGCAGGGATCACAAGTGTCTTCTCTCAGATGCCTCATCAGCGATCGTTCACAATCCATATTCGATTTCGGCCTTCCTTACCGTGCCACCAAATAACCCGTTCTCGAGCCTAGCAACACAGGTCATGTTCAATATGAATTGTTCTGCAGTGTACGTCCAAAAAAATCTTACCCTATACCACCCGTGCGCCCTATCTCATCGTGGACAATCAGATCATGAAAGCCGTCCCATTCTTCTGCCGGAATGTCGCCAATGATGGGATATTTTCCTTTCCAGTCAGTAGGAATGGTCGGCCCTGCAGCGATTGGCATCAAAAGACCATCATCGGCAGCTTTCTTGTAGATCCAGTCCGGGATCGACGCCGTCTTTTCCCAATCCTGAACATGCGGAATCAGGTTCTACAGAAAATGAGTAATTGTTTCAGGCCTTGCTGTTTTCAGTTGGATGATATGTAAATACCTTCTCGACCCAGAATCGCATCGCCTGGCGGAGCCTTCTGTGGCTGTCTCGATAGTACGGGCTCGGGCAGCCGCGCGCCCATGCAGGCTCTGCAAAAGGCAAGTTCGAGCCATATAACCATTTGCTCTTCACAATTTCTGATAGAACTGACATTTTGCTGCTTCCAAGATGAGAGACTAGTCGTGAAGGGTGCCTATGGTGACAGTTCGGCCGACTCAGAGCACTTGAATCTGTTGGTAGCCGCAATCATGGCCTGCACATTCAATATTGCTTTCACGGGGGGTGCGTATTGGAGTTTAGCACACATCATGTGATCAAACTACCTTGGCCTCGCGTCGCGAACCTAGTCCGGTCTTTGAAGGGCGAATTCCGAATGCACCCCCGAAATGCGGCTTCCCGGAATCGTGCGGGCGGAGTCGATCCCGACCAAACCTTACCCCGAATAAGCCTGCCACTTGGTCGGCAAATGTTTCCATACCGGAATCCTTGCTAGAACAGATCTCATTGAGAAGTTGTGCTGGGAACAATCACAAATAATGTTGTCAAATGCGGGCTAACTTCAGTGCCCAGGTACATACTGCGTCACTCACTATCTTAAAAACATTAGGAGCTTACAGTCTTTTCTACAATACATATCGTCATGATTGTTGACCAACTGCTTCCTCGATCGACAGGCGCTTTGGTCCTGTGGCTACTTGTTGGGCTTCTCGTCAAATTCACATTCAACAAGTACGGATATGGACTGAACAAAGTGCCGGGTCCGTGGCTGGCAGGCTTCACCGATTTGTACAGACTGTTTATCGTCTGGGGCCGGCGGCCAGAGCTATGGCACATCAGGCTTCACAAGAAGCACGGAAAAATCGTGAGATTGGGCCCAAACACAGTCTCCATAGCGGACCCAGAAGCCATCAAGATAGTCTATGGCTTGAACTCTGGCTATGTAAAGGTCGGCCACTATCAACAGATCATCCAAGACACCACAAAATTGCTAACATTAAATTGCAGTCGGACTTCTACCCTGTTCAGCAGACATTGGCTGGCGGCCGCCCGCTCCAGTCACTCTTTAACACAACTGACGAGCAATTCCACGCCCGGCTTCGCAGAGCCGTTTCAAATGCCTATGCTATGAGCACTCTGGTGACATTCGAGCCACTGGTTGACACTACCACTGTCGCTTTCCTCGAGCAGCTGAAGAAGCGCTTCTCCGGGCTTTCGAACGGTGAAGGCATATGCGACTTCGGGACATGGCTACAGTACTATGCTTTCGATGTCATCGGAGAGCTGACGTACTCCAAGCGGCTTGGGTTTGTTGACCGCGGGATTGATGTCGATCATATTATTGGGAACCTGGAGAGACTTCTGAATTACGTCTCTGTGGTATGTTCCTTTTGATCCAGCTGGTCCTTCGCGTCAGCTAATGAAAAGATCAGGTCGGTCAGCTGCCATTCCTGGACCGCATCCTCTTCAAAAACCCTATAAGGCTGTGGATGAGCAAGAAGAAACTCCTCAACTCCAACACTCCTGTGGTTCAATTCGCACGCGAACGCATGGCAGACCGCAAAGACCAGATCGAGAAAGGAATATCCGCCAGACCATCAGGCCCTGGCCCAGAGAGGCGGGACTTTCTCTCACGCTTCATTGATGCAAGAGGAAAAGATCCCGAGTTTATCAGTGAACAGCGCGTATTGGCCCTCACCGTCGCGAACATGTTCGCAGGCTCGGATACGACAGCCATCAGTCTGCGGGCCATTTTCTATAATCTGCTCAGGAGTCCGTCGGCAATGCAGAAGCTTTTGGCCGAGCTGGCCAACGAGAGCGCGTCCGAGAGATTCACTAAGAATGAAGAAGCCAGAGAGGCTGGTCTTGTGAAGTGGAATGAGGTTCGAGAACTGCCGTATCTCAGCGCCGTGATCAACGAAGCACTTCGGTGTCATCCGGCGGCCGGTCTCCCTCTCGAACGCGTTGTGCCTGCCCAAGGTCTTCGCATCGACGGTCACTACATTCCTGGAGGTAGCATTGTCGGCTGCTCGGCATGGGTCGTGCACCGTGACAAGGGCGTCTTTGGATCCAGACCAGACGAGTTCCGACCTGAACGGTGGATTGATTCCAGCCTGGAGCAGCAAGCGAAGATGAAAAATGCTCTGCTTTCGTTCGGGGCTGGTGCTAGAACATGCGCAGGGAAGAACGTTTCTTTGCTGGAGATGTATAAGCTGGTACCCGCGGTTCTCAGGACCTTTGAAGTGAGTTTCAATCATACAGTCTACCCATTCATCCTTTTTTGGATAGCGTTCGCTGACATGAAATCTTTTATAAGATTGAACTGGTCGATCCAGAAACGCCGTTGCATCTGAATAATGCATGGTTCGTCAAGCAAAGTGGCTTTCGCGTGCGTCTCCGAGAGCGAGAGAAAGTACTCTGATCTTCAATATTTGTACTCGAGATGACTCGTAAGAAAGACGTCAGAACACGAGAGATGTCTCAGGTATCATATAGACAATTTAATGGGTCTGCACAAGCACAACTCTTGATTGAATAAAGTTAATGCAGCCGCTTCAACATAAAATTATGAGCGTCTAATTCAGCAGTACCGTTGGAAGACATTCGATTTGTGCGAAGATATGAAGATCTTGAAGCACCGCTTATACGAGGCTCACATGATGGAATGTGTGTTTCACCACGCCCATGAATCATGCGTATAGACTTGTCAAAGACGTGGGTGCAACTTAGGCATCTCAGCCAAGGACTCGTGGTTGATAAGGCAAGTCGGTACAAATTTGTCAAGACATCGATTGTATTACTCTACAACCGTGAAGATGAGCCCGCCATCTCTTGCTCCCATTTCTTGGCCGCATCTGCCGCAGCATCATAGCCATACAGCCAATCCTGGAATATAGTGTTGCCCATCAGGTTCGGACTGCTGGGATAATCCCCATACTCGAATACGCCACGTCTCATCTCCAGCGGCTCCTCGTCTTTCATATGGATGAAGAACCTGTTTGTGAAGCTACCTCGCTGGATGGCATGGGCACGACCGACCCTCACCCTGTAAAAGAACTCCAGTAGTCGGGGCAGCTCGTCCTTTGACTTGATGTGGGACAGCACCGATCCCAGGACAACGGCATCTTCGATGGCCATCGCTGCTCCTTGAGCCAGATACGGCAGTGTTGCGTGTGCCGCATCGCCAATGACGACCATTTTACCACTCGGGTGTACCCAGTTCGTGATGGTTGGGAGGTCTATCAGCCGCCATTTTTCTACATCCTCGGGTAGAAAAGAGAGAAGTTTCTGAGTCCTGCAAATACATGAGTTATCCGTTCAGAAGGCCTTGAATCCAATTGATTCCACTTACATAGAAGACCAGCCTTTATAAGCAGTTCTGACTTCAGACCCCTTCGCCGGCGCTTTATATCCCTTCATCTGGCGGTCGTCTGGAATGACCATGAGCAGATTGAAGGTCTTCTCCTTTTGCATGTTGTATCCAATGATGTGGTGGTCCGGGCCCAAGAATTGCTCAAAGTTGGGGTCCTGACTTAGCGGCGCCAACTCAGGATCTTTCCGCAACAATTCACCTGGTATCACAACCCGGAAGCATGTGTCGCCCGTCTCATGCGGCTCCACGTTGAGCCCCATAGCCTGTCTAGCGATGCTCTTCACGCCGTCGGCAGCGATGACGAGATCCCCGCGAACCACTTCACCAGAGTCCAGCACGACTGCACCCTCATCCACCTTATACTCCACCACCGTCGCTCCTTTACGGAGATTGGCACCAGATCTGTCTGCTGCCCTTAGGAGGACGGAATGATAGTCTGGGCGGTATACCTGCCAGTAAGGCGCACCATACCGCTCCTTATGAGTCGACATGTCCGTGAAACCTTCAGGCTTCCCAGTGCGCCAGTTGCGATAGTTGATGCGTGAGGGCTTGGAACAGACTGCTTCCATCTGGTCGCCGAGCCCCCATCGAATCAACTCTCTGGACGCGTTTGGTGGGACTTGGACTCCGGCTCCGACCTGCACGAAATCAGTCAACTCCAGAACATGCTCTCGAAAATAGTGTTCACTCACCTCTACAAACTCAGGTGCCTGTTCCAAAACTGTGACTTGATGTCCCGCCTGCCTTAGAGCCAGTGCCGTCCCTAAGCCTCCCATCCCGGCCCCCACGATTATCACATCTAGCCGACACTTTGCAGTCATGTTGGACAGTTATTGTTCTGGGGCAGAAATTGACTTAGTGAGAATTAATCATACCACCGTTAATCACATCACTGAAAGCAATCCACGATGCACCCATGATCCAGCCCAGCTTCATGAGATGTATTTGATCCGCTACGGCCGGCGCAGTGCCAAGCCGTGTGGGTGGCACTGCAAGGCATTGCCGTTTTTTGCGGAACGGAATGCTGTCCCGCCTGGATTCCGAACAGACTCAGGTGTTTCCGACAGAAAAGGGGTTAGGGTTAGCACCCCGGGGCATTGGGGGAGGTCTCAGGAGGATGATATTAGAGTTTGTCTATAGGGACTGCGGGGGATGACTTCGACGAAGGGGGACGACGGCATATACAAAATTCCTACATTCTGTAAGGAATCACCTACATTTTGATCCATAGCAGTAAGGGTCTTCGATTTCCCGCATAGCCAAGTACTGTTTTTGTCTAGTATCACTTAGATACGAAGAACAGCGAAATGTCAGCCAATTCAAATCACAAAGCTACACCTCCTTTCGAAAATCTGCCGCTAAGGAAAGGAGATCCCCCATACTCGGCCTGGGGACTGTGGGGCGAGGATGATAACATCGGAGCATTGGTGAATATCTGGTGCACTGAGCAATTAGAAGATATCTGCTGATCATCGCTGATAGAACTGGCTGTCACGGGAGGTGGTGAAGGATGCGGCTACTGAGATCCGTGAAGGGTTGCGCTTTAGTTTGAAGTGAAATCACCTAGCAATTCCACCCTGACAGTCCCTCAGCGATGTTCACCTGTTCTGACATTCTCCACGCAAGCTGGGAGCTCGAAAAGCCCGTGACACCCGCGTTCTTGAGGTACAAGGACGCCTTTGAGCATTCTATCAAACTTAATGGAAGCGTGGCGGATGATTTGGTAGGAATCAACTTTCTATCTATACAATCGAGACGATTCAGTTTCTGACCGCTTCTCAGATCACTTTCAACACACAAAGGAGCACCCAGTGGGATGGACTGCGCCACTTTGCGTACCAGAAAGAGCAACTTTGGTACAATGGCGCCACCCAAGACGACATCATTGATATCAAGATCGGGAAATCGCGCCTAGGCATCAACTGGTGGCACAAAGCGGGAGGCGTCGCAGGTCGAGGAGTCCTGGTCGACTACTGGTCATATGCAGTGGCCAACGGCAAGCAGTACGACGCTGTGAGGCCTCACGGAATCAAATATGACGACCTCATGGCTTGCTTTCAGTGGCAGCAGCAGCAGCAGTCCCCAGAGCCATTGGAGCTGAAAACTGGTGACATCCTCCTAATACGCTCGGGTTTCCATGCACAATATGCAGAGCTAGGCACCAAAGATGAGCGGGAGGTGGGCGAGGCGTGGCCACCTGCGTCGTGTGGTGTTGATCAAGATTTGAGGCTACTGAAGTGGCTCTGGGATAGCCATGTTGCCGCCGTAGGTGGAGATTCGCCGGCCTGGGAGGGCTTTCCATCGGACGGCGAGGCTGGCTTCACCTTTCATGAGGTATTGTTAGCCGGTTGGGGCTGCCCAATCGCGGAAATGCTCTGGCTTGAGGATCTTGCTGCGTCGTGCCGCGAACGCAAACGCTGGACATTCTTCCTGACTTCGGCTCCACTCAACGTTCACGGCGGCGTGGCTAGTCCTGCTAACATGTTGGCGCTTGCGTGAAGTCTGGCTTTTAATGTTTCGGGCCTTTTTGATGAGTGCTCTGAGAAATTGCATGCCTTTAATTATTGTCTACAAATTTGCGGAAGTGCCTTTCGGGTTCATGGCTTTCTGCTGCGCCCGTTCCAAACGCACCACGAATGAGACCACCACGCCATCGACAAGCTCGGCTGTCTCGAAATCATTTCCTTCACTGAACAGAACCAATGCACTCTGCTCTTTCACCTCTATGCAGCTACCTGACACCCCAGTCCGCTTCAAGCCATCTTGTGATTGAATATGTCGCTCAAGCGCCTTACGCTGAGATGATAGGCGGGCGCGCGAGTCGAATAGAGATACATGCGCAAAACGGGACTGAAGCGCTGCACTAGTCAGACGTCCCAAGTGGTAGTGTTCAATTGCCGGCGGTCCTTCGGCCAGCGGCTCCAACGTCTCGAAAAAGGGCTTGGCTGCTGCACTGTCGAGAAAAGCGGCGTGTGCCTCCATGCTCTCCCATTGCGTTATGGACACTGCGTATGCCCCCCTCAGCTCATCTGTGGAAACCATCATGCCGGTCAAAATTGAGAGAATGCCATCTTGTTCGAGGAGCACTGGCTCAAGTTGTGAGGTGAAGGTGGTGAGGAATGACTCGAAGGAGACCGCCAGGGGAATCCGCACAAGCTCTGTGACGGGTCCAATGTTTGTTGTCATATTTTCGTAATTGAATTGATGGGTCTTCGACCCAACTCCGACTACTAGCGACCTATCGTTGTGTTTATGCGTTGTCCTTTTTGATCTTGACGAACCGAATTTGAGCTGAAGCATGTCTTGAACAGGCGAGCGATACTCCAGCGGAAATTCCGACTTCGTTCCGCGTCTACATTCAAGTTCATTCATCATACTACTATGACTCTACCTGACACTGCCATCTCACAACCGGCGGAAACGTCCCAGGCCTACAGAAGCTGCCTACTCTCCACTTATGTCTCACTGCAATAGATCGAATGCCAAGGTGAGGATCAAGCTCAGGGTGTAAATCATATATCCGCCCAGGAGCCTATCTTGGGACCGCCAGGCCCTGTTCGGTATACTTGCTCATCCCAGTATCAGTTCGACGCTGTCGTAGTTCCTCTCCCATACCTCAGCGTAGACTCTCCCAGAGGCTTGCCTTTTTGCGACGCCATTCTCCCATTGAACACAGAGCACGAAATAGCAATCGTCCTTCGTCTTATACCAGGGCAAGGGCCAGTTATACAATGGCGGAGGCTCAGTACTGAGGTTCTCCTGTTCCTCAAATGCCCGCCGGAAGTCAGACATGTATGAAGTCCATCCTTTTGCCACAGCCACAAGCTCAACTGTCTCAGAAGCAAGCAAACAATCCACATCCGACTTCTCAGGAACCTCTAGAAACCCGACAAATTTTCCGCTGGTAGAACAAAGCTCAACGCAAGACTCTTTGCGAAAGTATTGGTGAAACGCTGGCATAACGACTTGCCTCGTGGCGAAATGACAACGAGTTGTCTCTGCGAAGAGAAAATGCAGCTGTTCAATGGGATTCGCTTCCGTCAGTTCTGGAATAGGGACCGGGAAGTGGGAACACGGGGCCAGAAATCCTTTCTCCTTCGTGCCTGATACTTCGTACACAGTCGACCCTGATCCTTTATTGATTGTGTCCCATCCATCAAGACGTTGGTCTTCATCACTTCCACCAAGGCTTTGGTCATCATCACTTCCATCGAGGCTTTGGTCATCATCACTTCCATCGAGGCTTTGATCATCATCACTGCCAAAAAGGGATTTGTAGTGATGCCATTTGCAGCTGACAAGCCGCCTATTTGATGGTAATGTTAATGGAGACTCCATCGCAAACCATTCGGCAACAGACTCTGTAAATCCATCCTGTGCATCAGAATGCCATTCATATTCAGCGTTGAATGGAAAAGAAATTGGGCCCCTCCAACCCATCCATGACCAACTTGGCAGGTCGTTTTTATCAGTCGAAGCGTCTGTTGATGGGATCCGTCTTGTCGCTCCGCGAGGAGTTGCCCAAAGCAAGGAGATATCGAAGAATATCTCAGGATGCCCGTGGTTCAGACCTCCATGAAACACCCTATCCAGGAGAGTTTGTATGCTCAGAAAGGCTCTCAGGGCATCTTTCTGATACGTGAAGTGACGGATGCTGTAGTCTAAGATGATTGATCCTAAATTGGTGAGGGATGGAAGTCGCTGATCCATCGAGTAGAATGCAAGGGACATCCCAGGTGTGAAATTGTCGCGATCCAAGTCACCCAACAACTCTTCACCCCATCGCTCCTTTGAACAGACCCAACGAAGGGGCCCATCAGTGAAAAGCAGACGCCGTTTTGCGAACATGAACTCCTGATATGTCCATCCACGTTCCTCATATGTCGATCCTTCAGCAGCGGGCTCCTTGCCAATCCCTTCATTTGCGAGGGAGCCTCTAGGGATGCAGGGCACGTTAAAGCAAGACAGCCTTTCCCCACCAGCTATCTCCAAAGTGGCGTATTCAACACATCTTGGTGCCGATGTCTCCTTAATGCCTCGAAGGCCATGGTTGGCATCCGTCCCGGCGTATGCCACAAGGCAAAGAGCTGAGTTGGCAAAAATTTGGTGCATAGCGTTCACGTTTCTGTTCAAAGCAACACTATCGTCCTGGATGATGCAAAGACTGTCGACCCAGAGATACCTTTCACCGAGGCAATGAGTAACACCCATGGCATCTCGAACAGTCTGGGGCATGTTTGGTGCTTGGTGTGTTTGGAGTGAACCACCTTTCCTGAATCGCTTGAGAGTTTTCGTAGTGTTCTTAAGACCATTCACGCCGCCCCAAGTGTAAGAAAGCGTGACATATTTGGCCGTCTCGGAACTAAACGGCACGAGACACTTGTCCACGACATCTATCAGCCAGTCCGGGCACTCGGTCGTTCTAGGCTCTGATTTCATCCAAGTAGGTTCTTGGCATGTTGGCCCGTGTTGATCGAGGCAGGCAGAGTACCATGATTTCGGAACTGCGGGATCAATCCATTGGGAGTTGAGAAACCTTGATGTCCCCGGGTGGTTTAGCTCATCATTAACGACCAGATCTATGTCTTGCTCGCATGTCCATTCACCATCTGTGTTGAAGAGAAGTTGAACAGGTTCAAAAAGGCAACATACTCTGACGGACCAAAGTTCTGGTGAGGAGGTCATTCCGTCTGCAAGCTGGCTTTCCCAAATTTTGCGAATCGAGTCGGAATGAGGGCACGGCATGTCAATAATGTCGGAAAGTCTTCCCAGCTCCTTGATGTCATATGGCCGTCTAATCTTCGCTTCATCGAAGATACTCATAATCTTTGAGCATACTTGACAATTTGACACATCGGACATATCCCTGGAAGATATGCCACTGTGGTGCAGACGGACGTAGTTGTGTGAAGGGCTGTGATAGTTTCCGTTAAACGGTCGCGCGTTGAGGTGAATAGAAAGACAAGGTGAAAGTGACGATTGCCCCTCAAAATTTCATAGTCTAACAAAGACACGTAGCCTTATCTACCTGTCTACTTCGACCCTGGGTGAACGCTCATCTCATGCCAAGCTCTACGCGAACTACGACAGAGCTGGCAAGATGACTCCACTGCATTCACCAAATCCCACATACCCACTTTCATCATCCCCAGATCGCCCAGTTATCGTAACAGCATCTCCATCCTCTAAGAAAGTTCTCGTTTCGGAGGAGTCAGGCAGCTGCAAGGGCTTCTTCCCGCCCTCTGTGGCCTCTAGGAGAGAACCCTGTGTGCCCTTCTCAGCTCCACTGATGGTTCCGGAGCCGAGCAGGTCACCGACACTGAGGTTACACCCCGTGATTGTGTGGTGGGCAATCATCTGCGGGAACGACCAGAGGAGGTTAGACGAACTTGTCTGTGTCAGGGTTGTTTTGCTTCCAGAAGCAGCTATGATTTTTTTGTCTTCTATCAGTGCATGTTCTGAAAAGTTGTAATTGTACGACAGACTCACTTTTTAATTCGACCTCGAGATGAATGTCCAGTACGTTGTCTTTTCTCTCCTCCACAAGGTACGGTAGTGAAGTATTCTCATTCGGCAGAGCAGGCGTCTGGTGAGGCTCCAACGCATCTGCCAGCACCACCCAGGGGCTGATGGTCGTACCAAAGTTCTTGGCTGTGAAGGGTCCGAGTGGAACGTACTCCCAGGCTTGAATGTCCCTAGCCGACCAGTCGTTCATCAACACGTAGCCGAAAACGTACTCAGAGGCATCGGCCACAGAGATAGGTGTGCCCATCTCGCTCGGCTTGCCCAGCAACGCAGCGATTTCCAGCTCGATATCTAGTCGCTTACATGGCGAGAAGTTGGGAGTGGTAGACCCAGGCGGCGGAATCTGCCCCCTGGGCCGGCGGATGGGCGTCCCTGAAACGACGATGGAGGAGGCCCGCCCGTGGTAGGCGACGGGCATGTGCTTGTAGTTTGGCTGCAGCGCCTTGTCCGGGCCGCGCAGGATCGTACCGACAGTGAAGGCATGCCTGAGCCCGGCATAGAAGTCGGTGTAGTCCCCGATGCGCATGGGCAGGTGCAGTGTGACGGCTGACTGCGGCAACACGGCCTTTTTGCGGAGGGCTGCATTGTCTTTGAGGAGACCTGCTCGTTTTGTATCCGCTGTCAGGATGTCGCTTAGATATAGTCTGACTGCGTTGGTCACGCGTCGGCCGAGTGCGGCGAAGCCGTTCAGTGTTTCCTCGCCAAAGACGTGCAGGTGGCCTTGGATCTCTGGGAGCTCCGCGAAGCCGCCTCCTATTGAGAACTCTTTGAGATCCACCACTGAGGACCCAATGGCAACAGCCGGTCGGCGGTAATGGTTTGAGGGTGAGGTAATGATGCCAAAGGGGATATTTCTCAGTGAGAAATCTGACCCTTTGGGCACATCGATCCATGACTTCAGGGCTGACATTATGGAGTATGTTGTTCGCATTCGAGCTTTTCTTTTTTGGCTTCCAATTCACGCCTTTTTTCTCGTTAATTCTCACATTATTCTGTGTTATATGGTCAACTTACACGATGCATGTACACATGTCTGGCGGAACAGTGAGTCCCGTTCCGAAATCCCGGCCTGGTGGCTGGTCCGAACCGATAGTTTGCGGCACTAGAGACCGCGGACGCGACGGCCTCGGCTGCCAGTATCATCGAACATGGATCGCCAGTTTGAGGAAGAGTCAAAGAACACTAGATCCTAGAATCAAGGCGGATACTTCGGGAGAGAGTTGAGAACCCGGATGCCGCGGTAGACAGAAGACTTCAGGACACCCGTTCATAAGTACATCCCTGCCAGTATCATTTGAGGTCTTGAACTACGCATTCACGTTCGATTTTACGTAGGGCTAATAACACTTTATTTGACCGGAAATGATCACTCAAATTACGGTCTTCCACAGATGCTTGACAGCAAACATGAAAATCAACTCAAAAACTGACCGTCACCGAACACAGTGCACCAGATGCTTTATATCCCACAGTTGAGGGCGATTCTAACCGGGGGAGATTCATTCCAATTGAAATGTCAAACTATTGATTCACAAAGATCTACTTTCCATTCTCCTTTGGCGGCACGAAGTGCGGCTTTAGAGGCACCCAACTGTGCGCATTGTAGTCCGCCTGCAATTTCTTGCAGTGCTCCAGGCCCCAATCAGTCACACCCACCATCAACGAGCTCTCAAACATGAACGCCATGCTTCCCTCTCCCACTTTCGTAGGCTTCAACTCGGCTTCGCTCGCCCTCTGGTGAGTGTCTGCGTCTGGTCCATGGGAGGCCATGACATTGTGCAGGCTCGCGCCCGCCGGTTTGAACCCACCACCAGTCTTTGCGTCGTAGTCTCCTGAGATGAGACCCATGAACTCAGACATGGTGTTGCGGTGATACCAGGGCGGACGGAATGTGTCCTCGGCAACAAGCCACCTGGGAGGGAAGATAACAAAATCTGCTATGGCTGTGCCGGCAAAAGCAGACTGCGCTGTGAGTACGGTATAGATACTGGGGTCCGGATGGTCGAAGCTGGTGCTTCCGATGACGTTGAATCGGCCCAGATCATATTTGTACGGATAATATAGTCCATGCCACGCCACGACGTCAAAGGGAGTGTTGCGTTGGCTGGCCTGGTAAGTCTGATTCGCGTACTTGATCAAGATCTCCCACTCGCTATCCGTGTCCATATCATAAGAGGCGACAGGGGCTTGAAAGTCCCTGGCGTTGGCCAGGCCATTGGATCCGATCGGCCCAAGCTCTGGGAGAGTGAAGTGATGCTGCTCATACGTCTCCAGGATATAGCCCCTGGCGGGACCATCGGGCAGTGTGACCCGATAGCGAATGCCTCTGGGGATGACGGCAATTTCATTTGGGCGAACCAGCAATTTCCCGAGCTCGGTTTGGATATCGAGAACCCCGTGTTGAGGCACGATCAGAAAGTCGCCATCGCCAGAGCTGAACGCGCTGTGCTGGGCCATGTCTTTCCCTGCTGCGAAAATTATGATGCCGATGCCGCTCTTCACCGTTGGGTCACCTACGCCAGCGACGTGCCGTAGGCCGGAAACCCAGTCACACGAGTCATCAAGATCGAACGGGTTCCAGCGCATCTGGTTTGGGATATAGTGCAGATTCTGAGGTTTCGCAGATGCCACCCGACCGTCTCCGGGTATTGGCTGGAACGCCGAATGAGCAGCCGACGGGAGAACTCTGTAGAGCCATGTCTGTTGGTTCTGCTGCCGAGGTGCTGTAAATGCTGTGCCTGACAGTTTCTCTGCATATAGACCTAGTGGTGGCTTCTGCGGAGAGTTTTGCCCAATTGGTAGTGCTCCTTGCACGGCTTCGGTTCTATGAAAAGTTGATCTCAGCAACCTATTTTCTTACTCTGCAGACCGTGTGGTCAAACGTACTCATGGTATGAACCAAATCCATTCTGATGCGTGTACTTCTCAGCGAAGCGAAAAGCTGTAGATGGCATCGTTATTTAGCAGTTTATCTGAGGTAGGCTGATTTCTGAATTGTCTCTTTCTGTATTGAGTTACTGCAAATTAATGCTAGAACAGCGCGGACCATCCACATAAGGGCCTTGAGACTCGAATATTTACTCTGTTTCTGTCCTCCTTTACTCTAACAGTTATTTCTTTATCGGGTGTCCGAAATCCGCCTATTGTATGAAAGCTTTGGAGAAGCCGGAGCGGTGTTCCGGAAATGCGGAATTCTGATGGTAGGTCATCGCCGCTTATGTTTGCCGAGGATGGGGTAGGAGTGGGTTAAGGCATATCAAGCTAAGTTCTTCATGCTTGAGATGCTTCACTGCAACGTCTTGAGTGTTAAGATTGGAAAGTCTGAAAGAAGGCGAAACGAGATCCAAGCTAGAATTTGATATCAGAAGCCCTGAATTGTAGCAATGGCTTTGTCAGGGATTGAACTACCTCCTCGAAGATTCTACCTGGGGAACGAGGTAAGCGATTCCGCTGCTACCGGACAAGCAAAGAGAGCTGACCAATTTATCTCGAATAGTTTGTGGACAGAGTGAAATCTGGAGGAGAAAAATTGACGCTCCGCAATCCAGTAGACGACTCTGTCATTGCTGATGATGTCCCAGTTGCTGGCACAGAAGATGTGGACCGCGCAGTGGCTCTTGGAAGGGAAGCCTTTCGGAGGGGCCCATGGGCAAAATTCACCGGAATTCAGCGGTCAGCATGCCTGAACAAATTCGCAGATCTCGTCGAAAAGAATGTGGAGCGACTGGCATACGCAGAGTCCCTCCCCACAGGTCGTCCTGTCGCAGGCATCATTCATTTTGACTTAGCACATATGGTGCAAGTTTACAGATGTAAGCATTCACTCATGTCTGTGGTCAAATGATACTGACTGACGAATGATTGTCATGTCCAAAGACTATGCAGGCTGGGCAGACAAGATCGGCGGCGAGTCCTTTGGAGAAGACAACGGATTCGCCAAGATCGTGAGATACAAGCCACTCGGAGTGTGCGCTGGCATTGCGTCCTGGAATTCCACATTTATGTACATCGGGTGGAAGTTGGCACCAGCCCTTGCAGCAGGCAATACGGTCATTTTCAAGCCGTCCGAGAAGTCGCCCCTTGGTGTACTGGCCCTGGCACCTTTGTTCGCTGAAGCTGGCTTTCCCCCAGGCGTGGTGCAATTCGTGACCGGGGGGCGGGAGACCGGATCTCTGCTGGCGTCGCATATGGAAATCGCCAAAATCAGCTTCACCGGCTCGATCGCCGCTGGAAAGGCTGTCCAAGAGGCTGCAACAAGGAGCAATTTGAAGAAGACCACGCTTGAGCTCGGCGGGAAGTCTCCAGCTCTGGTGTTCGAAGACGCCGACTTCGAAACTGCTGTTGGGAGGTTTGTTTATCCGCTCCAATTTCAAGGTGGACTTGGCTAAACTTTGAGTTAGTGTTGCCGGGGGATTCCTTGCGAATTCCGGCCAAATCTGTGTCGGTAAGCCAGGCATACACACCCCATTTTACCATGTGAACATTGTCCTAATCAATGGGACAGCTGCTTCCAGAGTATTGGTACAGGAATCAATAGCAGACAAATTCCTCGCTGCGGCCAAAGCCGTTTTCGAAGGCATTGGAGCACAAATGGGCGGCAGCCCACTAGAGCTGTCCACTAGTCATGGCCCAGTGGTGGACAAACTGCAGTTTGACCGAATCATGTCATACATTGACAAGGGCAAGGCCTCGGCCCAATTGCTCACAGGAGGCAAAAGGCTCGGCTCGAAGGGCTGCTTCGTCGAGCCCACGCTCTTCGTCAACCCTGATCCACAGAGTCCGATCTGGAGAGAAGAGATATTTGGACCCGTCTTGACTGTGAGGACTTTCAAAACGGAGGAAGAGGCTATATACATGGCCAATGACAGCATCTATGGTCTGGCTGGTAAGGCCCTCAGGCTCTTGCATTACTGACGATCAGCTAACATTGTCTCCCAGCATGTGTCTACACATCCGATGTCAGCCGTGCCCTACGCGTTTCCGCTGCCCTTGATTCAGGGGGTGTGTCTATAAACTCTCCCTATCTCCCAGAGCTTAACACACCTTTCGGGGGCATCAAGCAGAGCGGCCAGGGCAGGGAGCTGGGCGCACATGGTCTTTACAGCTATCTGGAACCCCAATCTGTGCATATCAGGTACTCATCGCTTTTCCCCAAGTGCCTAGCACATATGTGACTGACAGTTATACAGAGTCCCAGAGGCATCGAAATTGTAAAAGACGTGACTTGCTGTTGAAGTACTTGTGCTCCAGCCAGATACCGAGGTAGTCAGACACGATAATGAAGGAGCACAAATCAAAAGAATGGAGCATGCCGTGGCCATGTCTTGTAGAATATCACGCTGGGAAACATATTTAAAAAGTGACGAAGTGTAGTATTTGCCCCTGTTGAATTGAGTAGCTCATTGCGTGATGAAGAAAAAAAAATCAAATCCTGTAGAAGGCCGGAATGCTTGCCGAGGCCCGAAGTCCGGCAGGAGGGCCACCGATGTTTTCTAGGTTCCGGCTCACGTTGCCAAGCCGTCCAGGATCTTTTATATCTAGCCCGGCAAATCCACAACCAAACATGTAACACCTCAATTGCAGTACCCTGATGATGGACCCAACAGAATACTTCAGCATCTTTCCACCCGCGGAAATGGATCCCAAGGTAACCAAGAGAAACCTTTACACACGACGGACGCATATTCTCCATGCCAGTGTGCCAAAGTCAGGGGATGTGTCGATCCGGAGAGACCTTTCCTCTCGCCTCAGGCTTGCAGTCCACGAGTACAACGTCACTGGAGCGAAGGAATCCGGCTACACTATCATACTCACACATGGAACGTCTTTCAATAAATTCTTTTGGGAGCTGGTGATTGATTATCTATTGTTGACACCAGGGGTCAAACCTACAGTCAAGCGCCTCATAGCCATTGATGCTGCGAATCACGGCGACAGCGCCGTCTTGAATCGCGAGGTTTTACCGACTAAGGGTGAGAAAACAGTTCCAAGTAACGCTGTCTTCTTTTTGAGAATTGATGATACTGATCCGGTTTATTGAAAGCTTGCTGGCCGGACGACTCCAGAGATATTCTCCACACTCTGGAGCATTTCAATGTTCAGCAGCCCGTCATAGGCATCGGTCATTCCTTTGGAGGTGGCTCCATGTAAGTCGTTCACAGAGACTCCGTTATGAACTATCTTGTTTAATCACACTTCAGGTGTCATGCGGCCATGATGCAGCCGGATGCCTTTGTGGCGACTATTTTCATTGAGCCGATACTGTTCCAGATGAAAGAGCAGACCGAAGCACTTGCAAAAAAGACCCTCAAAAGACGTGATCGATGGGAGTCAAAGTAAGTCTACGCCTCGCAGCCAATATTCTCAGTGTAGCTGACATTCAGACCAGGGCAGCAATTAAATCCGCATTTGAAAGAAGCTTTGAAGATTGGGACAAACGACAGCTGGGCGTCTTTCTGGTTCGCAACTCACGCGTTACGCTATAGCGACATGGCGACTAACTCCAATTTCATAGGAGCAAGGGGTGATTCCGTTGGATGAACATAACATGTACTCTGGATGGACCTTAAAGACGCCGAAGGAACAAGAGGCGGTATGCCTAACAGTTTTGACTCTAGGGTCCCCGGTCTCCACAGCCGTCGCTGATCAACATATTCTTCTAGGCTACGTATCTTGCGGCGCCGCATCCACAAATCTTGCATCTATTGCAAGAGTCCAAGCGAAGGCACTATTTCATTTGGGGCTCGGACAGCTTTGCAATGTAAGTCGCCAATCCTTGAAGTCCGGTCAGGGTGGTGGCTTGCAGACCCCAGCCTATGCTAAGTAAACCCGCCATAGCTCCGCTGAGAACAGACAATTGGTTGAGCGCATGGTGCGTCACCCTTCTACGACTCGAGTAGTCGCAGGAGCAGGTCACTTGGTGCGTTTTCCCTGGGCAATCCGCCGGCGCTCATTGCTAGTCCTGGTTCTAACTGCTTGAGATGCTAGATCCCCATGACACACCCTGAGAGCTTGAGCTCCATCATTGCTAGCATTCTCCAACAGACGGCCACGGGGTTTCAGACGGAAATTCCGCAACGATTCCGGCTTTAGCTACAGCCCCTTTTGCTTTCCAAGCAGCCCCTAGGGACCTGCATGGTCCACGTTTGGGGGTGGGCCCACTTTGCGTCCGTAGGCTGCATCAGCGGCAGATCCACATGCACTATTACCCCAGATTCTGTTGTGAACCTTAATAGTTGGCGGCATGCGGGGAAAGGATGAGTGGATGAGTACGTGGATACGCTGGCACAGGGAGCTCTCCGTTGGGTCCGTGCATGAAACTATGTTAGAATCTTCTTCCAAAGTCGTCAGCAAAGGTTCAGCGATACAATCTACAACGCATTGTGTGTGAAAAACTTGAGAAAGATCCAACTACAATCAAGCGTAAGCTGTTTAATACGGCCCGCTCCTGGACCCACCACATCCAACCCAGTTCTTTCGTCTGGCCTCGTCCGGTAGCTCGGATCCGAGGAAGGCGGAGATGTCTGAAGTCAACATGTCCCCCGAGTCTGTACAGAGCGAAGACGTCAGAGGCAGTGTGGTTGTCGCAGCTGCGAACCTTGATGGAACCTCACCAAGTGGACAGATGGACAACAGCAGGACCTTGACCGGTGGATCCCAAGACACGATGGCTGGCAGAGACCAGTCGAACCCGCCTGCGAAGAGAATGAAACGAGGCAAATACATTTCGAGAGCCTGGTATGTCCAAAGCCGTGGGAGCAACAGGAAGCAATATCATGCTGATACGTCTTCCATACGCTCAGCACCGCATGTCAACAACGCAAGATCAAGGTCAGCAAGTGCTCCACAGTGGCAGTCACTGTCGCAGGTAGCTGACCAAATCTAAGTGCGAGGGTGGAGACCCTTGTGCTCACTGCAAAGCTAGGGGTCGAGTCTGCGTATCTGCTGCCAGAGGGCAGACTAGGCAGGGCCCGAAGGCCGCGGCATCTAGTTCAATCGATGTGACAAGCAGTGCCGAGAGCTCTACTGCTGGGTGAGTGGTTCCATCACCAGTCACGGATGAGACGTTACTTGCTGACCCTTACATTGGTGCAGCATGAGTAACCAAGAGCTCGCCGCTCGTGTAGCCCAGCTTGAACGCCGATTCAATTTAATGCAACAATCAGCCGGGAGCCCCAGCGAGCTCACAGCAGATCGACCAAGACGTGAATCTAGGCCCCTTGGACCTGTACATGAAAACGAATCTCAGTCACCAGCTTCCACGCAACTCCAAAGGGTTCTAGAGCCAGACGGACAGTCATTCATGGGGGAGCTCTCTATGACATCGGCCTTGGTAGAAGTCGATGGGAGCCTGAGCGAAGAATCGACAGAAAACATCATAAAGCTTGCGGTCGACCTCCCGCGAGACAGACCTCCCGGAAACAACAAGTCCGGCCGCAAAGTGAGAGGATGGCTGGAGAGCATCCTAGAGCGCTACGGCATAGTCGCAGACGAGGATGAGTGGAGGCGGTACATGGAATTATTCTTCGAAGAAATCCATGTTCTATATCCTGTCCTCCATCCACCATCTGTCTGGGAAACTTTCAATGGGCTTTGGGAGTATGGTGCTCTCTGGCCCATGGCAGACTCCACAGAAAGGGAGGAGAAACGCCTGTCTGTAGCCCTGGTATGCTTTTGCCTGGCCTTGGGTCGTTGTTGTGTCTCAACCAGGATGACAGACGCAACTGGCGTACACTCTTCCGGGTGGAGTTTATGCAGTGTTGGCATGAGTCTCATGCAGGATTCAGAACGAATAAGTAAGACGAGCGCCACCTCCTTGGTGGAGTTACAAATTCTCGTACTAAGGGTAAGCAAATAGTCATGGCTGTTCCCTTAGCAACATAAGGCTAATATCCTTCATCTGTACCAGATCTGTTTCTGGTTTCGTCTGGACGCAACTCAAGAATCGGCCCGTCTTGTCGCCCTTGCCGTCTCGAATGCACACATCATGGGCATCCACCGGCAAAGCAGGCTGGACACTGTGCCCTGCTTTCGCAGCCAGCTTCTCAGTCGAGTGTGGTGGTCTATCTTCATTCTGGATCGCCGAATGGCTATTGAATCCGGGCGCCCCTTCCTGATACAAGAAAATAACACCGATACCCTTCTGCCGCTGGAACTAAGCGACGAGTGGCTTGGCCGGTTCGCCGGTCGATCCGATACAACCAAGGCGTTGGAGCGCGAGGTCGAAAAAGAGCTGTCGGAAAAGCACACCACAACAATACCGTACCTCATCGCCATGGTCCGATATTCTCGTGTGGTTGGTAAGGCTTGGGAGCTCGTCTACGGTGTGAAAGCTTCCTCGAATCAACCTATTTCCCACATGATCGACTACGCAGACACGGTTCTGTCCAATTTGCTGGAGACCCTGCCTGAAGAACTTACATATAATCCCGATTTGCCCACAAAGACTCAATTTGCCACCAGAAAGAGGTGGCAGATCAAACAAACCATGTTGCTTTCAACTGTAAGATGTACCTCGTGATCAACCATTCAAAGAACCAGGGGCAAGTGATGTTTGCTAACTCAAGTCATTTTTCGTAGTGTGTTACCTTCCTACGTATCCTCATCCGCAGGCCCTTCACACACAAGGGATCCACGGATCAAACAAGCGACAACCAACTCGAATCACTGTCGATTTGCGCAAGTTTAGCATCGAACATCCTCAACGCTCACAGAAACCTGAGTGATAGCACCATGAAGTACTGCTTCCCGTACTGTCACTACCTGACAAGCTGTACCATGGTCATGACTAGTCTGGTGGCAAACGAGCCAGCACTCAAGAAGAGACACAGGGAAGCTATTCTGGCGGCCACGCGTTCTCTGAGACTTTACTGCCATACGATATGGGTGTCAGGCAAAATGATGAGATGGGTCTCCAAGCTCACACTTATAGCTCGTCGCGTGTTGCAGGCAGAGCCAAGTCAAAGGCTCGATCGCTCGCGACGAATGTCAGACGCGCTACATGACCGTGACGAGGTTGTGGAGGAGACCCAACCGCAACAACTGACGCCTCAGTCGGGAATACATGAATTCTCACAGGACGGTATCCCTAGATCAGGACCGATCAACAATACCGAGTCTTCCTACTTTGTAAACGCTCACGGCGCTATGACAGCGAAACCTCAAGACGGCAAAGTCAACCAGGAGCAGCCTAACATGTGGCTTATGGATGGAACAGGCGCCGAGGGCGGAATACCAGAACTACCTGAATGGGTCATGACGGATTTCAATTTTGAAACAATCAGCAGAGACGTCTTTGGCCCAGGAGATACCAACTACAAGAATGCGGCTGGGCACTCAGATGAAATACAAGATGATGGTATGGGCCTGGAGATGAGTATGGGCGAGACGATGCTGGACGCGATTCCCAATGAGATGTACAGTCTTGATATGAATATGGATTAGGCTATAGGATCCTGGTATAACCCCAAAAGTGTTTATGCCAGCATTCTGCTGGAGGTCTACAATCTCGCTAATGCTTGAGTACTCTGCGGAATGGGGTTGGTATTGGCTGCTGCGGCTGCCACATTGGCTGGAAGAAGCCGACGGAGAATCTTGCCGGATGGGCTGCGAGGAATGTCAGTAAAAAGCTCACTAATTTCCATTGGGATTGTTAATCTGAATCCACATACTTCCTCGGGATGGCTGGCAGGATATGCACTCCACCTGTGATGCGCTTATATCTTGCAACTTGACCGTTTACGAACTCCACAAGACTCTCTTTGAGCGCATCTTGGTCTCGCCAGGCTTGAATGTCTGTGGTGATGTATGCGATGGGAACCTCGGAAGTCCCGTCTTCGTTGTATACTCCGCACACAGCGGCATCCTTCACTTGTGGATGAGTTATGAGTATTGCCTCTAACTCTGCTGGCGCGACTTGTTGCCTGTGAGACGAGCGCATATTAGCCTAATGAGGTGAGGACTGTTGTTGGATCACGAGATGGTTTGCTACCCTTTAACCTTGATCATTTCCTTTGCCCTGTCGACAATGTAAAGGTAGCCCTGGCTGTCAGCATACCCGATATCTCCCGTTCGAAGGAATCCATCCGGCGTCAAAGGATTTCCAGAAAGCTTCGTATCGCCGACATAGCCTTTCATGATATTGGGCCCTCGCAGGATAAACTCGCCTACTTTGGTGTCTACCAAGAATTTCAGGTTAGCGGAAACGCGTTCATCATCGGACAGGACGGCAGGAACCAACCTTTCCCATTTTCATCGACTATCCGCATCTCTATACCTGGCAGAGGCCTCCCTATAGTACCGACTATATGAGTCTCTTCCTCTCTCTGAGACGCCACACTTGGGCTGGCTTCTGTCATCCCATACCACTGGGTCACGACACAATTATAGCGCTTGCAAAGCTCGTCTGCCTGCTTTTCTTTCAACGGTGCAGCGGCATTCATTAGGCACCGCACAGATGACCAGTCACCCTTGGAGGCCTCAGGATTTCGCAAGAACTCCAGGGCGATAGGGGGCACGACGTTGATGTGAGTTACTGCGTGTGACACTGTCAACGTCAATGTAGAATATTTGCAGGCAGGAAATGCTTACTGCGGTGCCTCTTAATAGCCTTGAGGAGTGGCGCCATTTCAAACTTCTTGAACACAACGATCGGCACGCCCTGAACCAAAAGTCAGCCCAATTTCAGCCTGTGAGATAAGGAGGAGTTTGACTCACTTGGCTGACAAACTGACAGCAGAATCCGGCAAGCCCAAGTATATGAAAGAACGGCACGATGAGAGTGACAACAGTCTTGGGATTGAACATGCTGCGAAGGCCTTGCGACTGCTGGAACAGATTGGCCACGATGTTTTCATGGGTGAGCTGTACACCTTTCACAAGGCCTGAAGTGCCTGAACTGAAACAGATGAACGCCAGCTCTTGCGCGGCAGCTCCTGGGGCTAGCTTAGCGGGGACAAAGTCGGAATTGCCATGCCGTAATATTTGTTGGATATCCAGAATCTCAGCATCTTCATAATCTGTATTTTCACCATCCCAAACATACAGGCTTGGTTTTGGATGAAGGTCTGGGCTCAGGGAGAAGGCTTTTCGAAGGTTCGGAAGCAGTAATTTTTCCACGAGAATGTAGGACGGCTTGCTCAATTTCAGAGCATGAGCCAATTCCTACCGGCGATTTTGATTAGGAATCGGACCTTCTTAGGTATTTTGAGGTAAGACACTTCTTCTGCCATACCTTGGGCTCATATACAGGATTTAATGCAGATACTACGCCACCTGCAGCGAGGACGCCATGCACACACACTGGGAAATAGTTCTGTAAATGTCTCGACGTCAACTTTGGTCCCGCAAAGACAATCAGATGCTAAAGAGACTCAAGTTACATACCTTAGTAGTCGAGAGGATGCCTACTACAGTTCTCTGCTGAATTCCAAGTTTATGATAGAAATGGCGTGCGACATTAAGCACACTAGTTCTGAAGCTGGCATACGTGAAGATAGTCTCCCCTGAATAGCCATCAATAATAGCCGGCTTATTACTTGGGGTATTATTCAGATTTTGGTACAGAAGTATTTCTGTCAAGGTGGTGTCTTTGGGATACTGCAATTGCTCCGGGTTGGCATAAATTTGTGCCATTGTGCTTCTGTTGACAAAGAGGCTCGTCGAGGTGATTTGATGCGAGTCGATACGGGCAAGTCAGCAGTCAGGCGAATGATGGCATTCGGCTTGCATCAGAGTCATAACTCCTAGAAATTGCTGACATTACTATGAAAAACACACGCCTTCACGTAAGAGAGGCTTGCTTGCACACCAGAATGTCGTGTGCTGAGGTACAGGGCCGGGTCCCGACGGGAGCAAAACAGTTCCGAACTTGAATTCCGCGCCCGGACTGTGGCGACCTAACGGATCGGCACACATGTGGGCGAACATGCAGGACGGGAAATGCACTCCTACCAAACTCCAGATGGCGATTGCCGATACCATTCCAGAACTGATTCTTATCTCGTGAGAGTGCTTAGGATTGGTAACGCGCGCCATCTGTCCGTCCCAATATCTTGTATAATATTATTCCCCTTGGACTTCCGCGAAAAGCATTTTTGAAGCCCATTTTTCATCGCCTAGATATAATGCGATTTACCAAATAAACAACTCAAGTCTTGCAAAACCTCCAGTCTCTGATCAATATCCCCATTGCATTCAACCATGACTCCTCTTCGCGGAAAAGTCGCCTTCGTCACAGGGGCTAACGGCATTACTGGAAATGCTCTCGTTGAACATTTGATCCGCCAGCCTGAATCAGAATGGTCAGTCGGATCTAATGTTCTAAGCACCCCACTGCCAACAAGTGAAATCTAACGTATACCAACGATAGGTCAGAGATCATAATCACCTCGAGGCGGCGTCCAACTCAAGTCTTCTGGCAAGATCACCGAATCCGATTCATTGCCTTGGATTTCCTGAGACCACTTGAGGAGTTGATCGAGGCTATGAGGCCATTGTGCCATCACGTCACACATGCCTTTTTTGCGTCATATGTTCATTGTGCGGACTTTTCCAAGCTACGCGAATCTAATGTCCCATTGTTCGAGAATTTCCTCAAGTCTATCGACTACGTTGCCGGTACATCGCTCGAAAGAGTCGTTCTCCATACCGGGGGCAAGGTGCGAGCTGTCTTCATTTTGCTTTGTTCCACCTTCAACTACGAAGAGTACGTATTGCAGTGCGATCGTGCTAATATTTGGGATTACTTTAGCACAATGGCGTTCACCTTGGTCCTGTTGAGGCTCCCATTCACGAGGGCATGCAGCGATATCAAGACCACGGAGAGAACTTTTACTACCCTCAGGAAGATTTTATGTTCGAGCTGGCCTCAAAGCGCAACTGGGACTGGAACATCATTCGGCCCAACGCCATCATCGGCTTCACCCCAGCTGGGAATGGCATGTCAGCCGCACTGACACTGGCCATCTACATACTCTGCTGCCGTGAGGCTGGCGAAGTACCCGCTTTCCCTGGCAACAAGTTCTTCTGGAACTCAGTAGACGACAGTTCCTATGCCCCGAGTATCGCAGATATGAGTCTCTGGGCAGCAACAGGTGAACAGACAAAAAATGAGTCTTTCGTCCATACCAGCGGTGACGTAATCGTCTGGAAACACTTTTGGCCAAAGTTGACCAGATACTATGGTGTTGAGGTAAGTCCACGATACTCTTCTGCAAAAAAGTGCGGTGGTTTTCCGCCAGGACATCCATCGCACTTTTTTCCTTGAATCAGTCATGTCCGACCAAGAGCTTTTGCTGACCATTGCTACACTCTATAGCTTCCCGAGGAAGCATACGCATGCAAAGCAGAAGGCGATGATCAGCGCATGACACACAGCTTCCGCATGGCCGATTGGGCCACAGGCAAGAAGGATGTCTGGCAACGAATAGTGACGAAATACGGCGGAAACCCCGATGCTTTCGACTGGGGTACTTGGGACTTCTTTGACTGGGCTTTGGGGAAGGCATGGTACACGATAGGCAGTGTTTCCAAGGCTCGCAAGTTTGGTTGGAAGCGGTACGATGACAGCCTGGATGCCTGGACACAGACGTTCCGCTCCTTTGAGAACGCCGGTATTCTGCCAGCCACAATACCTCTGCTACCTGTCGATGTGCACTCGCTGCCCCTTCTCCCCAACCCAGCTGATGTTGTCAATGCGAGGTTGGCAAGAAAGACTGAGTCGGTGAAAGCCGCTGCGAATATTGAGGGAAAGCCGGAAGCTATCCATGTCGAAACAGTCAACGGGCATCTTTCTATGAGCAATGTTACAGCAGCATAGAAGCTGCTGGATTCTGAGCCAATTTACTACATGCGCTGAGTGGTGTTGTCGAGGGTCATTCATTTTAAATACACGGGTCACAGAGGCAAAGAATTCTTTATATCTCACAATTGGAATATCATCAATTCATCCTGTAACCCTCATATGCTTTCTTTCATCGAAGGAAGCTATACTCTTGATCAAGTTGAATACTGCAACGCAAAACTACTGACTTCCTCTAAGCGCCAGCGGTGGTGCGGTATCCGAAGTCACATCCGGCTGCATTGATGGTCTTCACCCAAGATCACACTTTAGACAGCTCTTCGCATGTGCTTTGATTTCGGCAAATTCCAGCGGAAAGAAATCTCTCGAAGCTGGTCATGATCCGGTCTGCGATCCGAACGGGGAGCTCAATCTTGCTTGTACCCGCTCCCGCCGTGCCTGCGGAATTAATCGGAATTTCCAGATTTACTGCCGCGGCACCGTGTACCTGATGACTTGCAGTGCTTTTCCGCTGAATTTGATACGCCAAAACGATGCGATGTTCGCGGTGTTTGCGGTCAATTTCAATATTATTACGGAGTAAAATAAGTTGATCGTTCCCAGCCAAAATGATAGTTCGAGTACTTGGAGGGTTGGTCTAATGGTGCCAGCACTACAAATATGGCTACTTCTACACCATGATGTTTTGACTTTGCTGAATTCTCAAAGCTGTTTCAGTGGGTTACGGTTTACATAGCCATCGATCGACTTGGTTGTGTGGAAATTGATATTCCGAAATGCCGTGCAAAAGAAGACGGCGTGATGTCTTGGTAAACTCTTGTCCCCTTTTCGCGGGAAACGTGGCTTGGTACCATCGAGTCTAGATGTAGCCAACACCCGTCTAGACATAGCCTAGTACTTATGGAGTACTTTTGTTTCAGTCATTCGACTGCCTCCGGAATCTGATATAGATCCCATGCGGCTTAATCTTGCTTTGGCCATTGGGCTTCCCCATGGGGACTCCCGTGGGGTAGCTAGCCTCGCAATTTCGGGTCTGTCCTGGGTGTTCTGAGCCAAATGCTATTGGCGCATGGCACTCGTATCACATCTAAATAGACAGGTGTTGTCACTGTTTGAATGGAACGCACGCAGATATGCTCTACGTTGAGGCAGACAACCTTTGATTTCCCAATATTTGAACTCAAATTTGTAGTCATGGAGAAGCCAGGAGTCCAACATGCTGAGCATTTGGAAAACCAGACATATTCAAGACCTGAGAGCAAAGAAGCTGGAGGGATCGTCTCGGAAGTGCCCACTGCGTCAGGGCTCCGAATTAGGGAAGATGGGCATGTAAGTGACCGGACCTGCGCTCGGTTCTGGTCATCAACAATATGGCTCAAATCCAAATTTGCTGACATGTGTGGGTACATTTCAGATAATTCTTGTGCCTCAGCCAAGTGAGGATGAAATGGGCCCTCTCAATTGGTCATGGTCCAAGAAACACCTCATCCTGCTCACTGTGGCCTGGAGTGCGTTCTGCGCGGACTTCACGTCTGCTGCTGGCAGTGCCCCAATCATCTTACAGTCCATCGAATTTAATGAAAGTGTTTCGACGGTGAACGAGACTAACAGCATCAATGTGCTGATGATGTGAGTTCAGCTTTCTAACAAGTATTACCATGCTTTTCTAAGCTAATTCCATTCTCAGGGCTTTGGGCGGCCTGTTTTGGGTGCCCATGACAAACATCATCGGACGAGCGCCGACCTTGTTCTGGACCAATCTGCTGGGTTTTCTCTTCTGCATCGGTACAGCTGCGTCACCGAACTTCAAAACCTTTTACACAATGAGAGCCTTGACTGGATTCTTCATAACGTCAGGCCAGACGATATCGATCGCCTTCATCAGGGACATATTCTTCTTCCACGAGCGAGCGCGCAAGATTGGCCTCTGGGCCCTGCTCTACATCGCCTCCCCTTTCTGGGGCCCGATGATAGGAAATTTTGTCGTTGGTGGCACACACAGCTGGCAGAATGTGTTTTGGGTCGCTTCCGGTGTATGTGCCCTCCAGATGGTCTTCATGATCTCCTTCTTGGACGAGACCTGGTACAACAGAGACATTCCCATGGACCAGCAACCGGTCCGAGGAAAAGATTTTGTGTCTAGGCTATCCAGAATTATCGGCGCCTGGGAATTTCGCTATCGCAGCTCCTACTACCAGACCGTCTGGCATTCGTTCAAGAGATATATTCAGACACTTGTCAAGCCGGAGCTCTTGATCATCTGGACTGCATAGTCGGTCACCCACTAGACTCTCATGTTACATTGCAGTCATGCTAACGATAATTCTCTAGCCTTCTTTACTTCATGTGGTCGATTGGTATTAACATTACAACGGGAATCCTGTTTGGGACGCCGCGCGTGGCTGGTGGTTATGGCTATTCTCCAACAAGTGTCGGCTACCTATACTTCGCGCCCGTGGTTGGTGTCTTCTTCGGGGAAGTTTTTGGCCACTACTTCAACGACTGGCTGGCCCGCCGTTACGTCAGGAAACATAATGGCGTCTATCAGCCCGAGGTCAGGCTTTATATGATCTACATCGCGGCGGTGTGTATGGCCGTCGGCCTGATAGTATTGGGTCAGGCCCTACATCGGGGCCTGTCTCCTGCCGCTGTTGTCATGGGCTGGGGCTTGCACACTTTTGGGACCATGACCACCTCCGTCGCTGTCTCGGCCTACGCTCTGGACTCACACCCCGAAGCCCCCGCTGAAGTTTCTGGCTGGTCGAATTTCGCCCGCGCTATTGGGGGCTTCGGCGTTGGCTACTTCCAGCAGCCATGGGGAGCCAAAGTTGGCTTTGACGTTAGCTTTGGTACACAAGCCGCTGTCGTGGGTTTCGGAACGGTCCTTGTTGCTCTTGTGCATCGTTTTGGCCCTTGGCTTCGACTTAAGTCTGGGCCTGTAGATTAAGCGATGTGTCTGTTCATTCGTGTTCACACTGACAATCGAATTGAGCAATTTGAATTTTTCTGCTCCAAAGCTTTTCGGTATCAAATCAGGATGGGTCAGGTCACTCTTCGCGCTCTACAATGTCGCAAAAGCTAGTCAGAGAAGAAATGAAAGGATTTGTAAAACAAAGAGGAAATATTCTTAGTATATCATACTTGAATAATAAATGGGTTTGAAAATTTCATAATAGTATATGTTATGTTCACAAGTCAAAGTATGGCTTTTTGAGATTTGAGTAAGAGTGAGCATCCTGTTAAAAATTGTGATATGAACGGTCGATTTTTTTGATATGAGGGCTTTGTCGAAAACTAATGCGTCATTCTGTGACTTTGTCTGAACGGAAGAGGACCAAAGCACTCGAGGTTGCTCGACTACCCGTTGATTTATGAGCGTGTTCACACTCAATGGGCACATACTTTTTATCACATGGATGCGGCGGAATGCTTTACTAAGTGCTAACCAAGCGCACAAAGCCGGATCAATTTCAGACTTGATGTTGATCATGGCTATGTCGAGTTGTCAATCAGGATAAGCCACTGCTGTATACATCATCGGCATTCCTACTCAGCCCGCGGACAGCAGGTTCGGGGGCCGTGTGTTTCTTATCGTCGGATCTGGAGCGAACACGCGAGCGAGCCCATGTCAACGGTTGCGCCATAGCTTACGCCCAGACACGGGGAGGCCAGGAGGTTGCATTCGCCAGGTTTTGCTCCAGTTTTTCCATGACGAACGAGACATCGCGAGGGGCGAAGGAGGTACCGGCGACATTGAACCCCTGGAATCGGTCAGGCTCGGCCGCATCGGGCTCGGCCGTCTTGTTTGCATTTCCAATCCCAATCTGGCCGATCAGCCACCGATTGAGTCTGAAATGGTGGTCGGTTAATCAACTCGAGAATCGGACCCCCACTGTTGTTTACGTAGTAATTATCAGGCCGAATCATCTCAACCGTGCGCGACATAGTACATTGGAAGGCCCCTACTGCCGCATCGACGTGGTTTACCTCAACACGGAAGCCCAGGCGCTACAGATGAACGCAACAAAATTCTGCAGTCTCTGGACAGCGTTCAAATCGACGTCGGGTACCAGAATGCCAAGAACGTTCCTCCTATGCAGCCTTTGCTCAGGTGCCACATGTACCGTAAGCACCTCCCGTTTTGAAAGCATCACCCAAGCCTTGGTTCTGTGGATCGATCGAAATTTTCTTGGACCCCACGAGGTCTCGTATCATTACTACTCGACAAGAAAACCCTCTGAAACCGCTAAATGACAACTATCGGTCCTTGTTGTTCAAGGTTCGTGCGAGTCGCCCTCATGTTCACCGCTGTCAACAGTCTCAGTCCTATCACACCGTCTTGGCAATGTGCGCACAAGGCTCGAATCTGACATGCATACTATCATTGGACGCTTTGAGACATGCTCGTGGGACATTTTTCCAATATTGCCGACAAATGTCTTGTGGGACCGTAAGCATGATTTGAAGCCCCCAAGATAGCTGAGGTCAGCGCTGAGGCACGAGCCGAGCCTGAGCCCGCATCCTCTTAAGAGCCGCAAGCTGGAGAGCTTCTACACTGGATTGCTATTGGTCTGCCAGATGATTGTCATAGACTGGCCAAGAATCTCAATCCATTGCGAGATAATATGAGGTCTTTGCTAATAGGCATTTTTGGACATATATGAATGCCCTGGACCGGTGTGCAAGACACTGTGGAAGGTGGTCGTACACGCAATCCGTCGTCGGAATCCTTTGGGTTTGGGGGCCATGTAACGTCTGCCAACTCCCGACGTCTGAATTCATAGAAAGCTTCTGTCTGCTGAATAAGAGCAGCTCGTTCTGCTCCACTGGTAAATAGCCGATCAATTCACGTTTTTCTTCCTGACTTCAATCAGGCATATCTGTTGGGCTGCCAAGATTGCTTAGGCACACAATGTCGACCTCCAACGTCTTGGACATGCCGGCCATGGAGCCGCCGCCTGGTGTTGTCCCGAATTTCGATAACCCATCCAACCAAAATACCATGGCGCTGGCCATCATGTCCTTGTGTCTTACCGTCACAACTGTTACTGTTTCGCTCCGTTTCTACTCGAGATGGGCCGTGTTGGGCATGCTTCAATTGCAGGATTATCTGCTGCTGGTAACGTTCGGGATCTATGTCGCTATCCTGGGCATCTATTACGGCCTCACGCACAGTCCTGGGTGGTTCGTCCACATGTGGGACCTGAGGGCCCGGGACTTCGTAGAGTTCATGCGTGTAAGTCAATCTTGCCCCTGTGACTCAATAATAGCAAGTTTCGATATCTCAGTCTGATACGTGGTGACTTTTTCAGATTATTGTTATCACGACATATATGTTGTTATTCGCGTTGATGCCTATAAAGACGGCCATTTTGGTCGAATGGATATCCATCTTCCTTCCCGATACCGGCAACCGGCGGCGGAACGCCTTCTTCTGGATATGCCACTTTATCATTTGGGCCAACATCATCTACTGCGTTGTCACAATCATAGTATACAGTCTTTCGTGCGTGCCCTTCGAATACCTATGGAACCGTACTATCGAAAATGGCTATTGTCGCATGAACACCGCCTACACCAGTTTATGGTCCGCATGTTTCCTGTTCTTGACCGATATAATCATCCTGATCATCCCACAACGCGTCATCTGGAAGCTCAATATGTCCCGGAGCCGCAAACTTGGTGTCTCGGTTGTGTTTACTTTTGGCATGGCCGCTTGTGCTGCCTCTGTCGTGCGCCTCTACTATGGAATCACGCGCATCGTAAACGCCGACGCTACCTACCACCTCTCATCTCTGCTCCTGACGGGCGTCTGCGAGTCCACCTGTACCATACTGGTCTTATGTATACCTGCCGTGCCCAAGGCCCTCCACGGGCTCAAATCTTCTGCCATCCTATCGTCAATCCCCTCGTGGTGCAGTCTGGTTTCGTTCATTCATCGTGGCCCCTCGCACAAATCTGTTAAGAAGGCTCATGTCGGTACCGCTACTACCAACTGGCCCCACGAGGTCAGGGGAGGAAATCACAAGCACTGGCAAATTGGTTCCAGCTCAGAGCGCCACCTCGTACCTCTAGGGCAACTGCCTGGGAACAAGCGATTTGATCCAGAGCTTGGAATTACAATACTTCGCAGAACAGAGTTCGAAGCCAATGCCTCCTATGAGCATGAACAACCTGGATTCGCGGAGCAGCATAGTCGCCAGCACCCATGGATATGAGGTTAGGTGTCATTTTTCTGTTGATGGACATGATTCATAGTTTAGGTCAGGCTTATAGGATGAGAGAGCTCGTCTCGATCAATCCTTTGCAATGTTTGGCTTGCGTGCCCTATCTATGCACTCTTTTCAGTCCCGGGGAGCGAAATAGCAAGATGAAAAGTTCCATGCCATAGCTTTCGGTTTGCTCCCCATGTGCCCTTCATTTGCTTCATGTCATCACTCAACCTGCCTTTGTATAGCCATCCCAGGGACTCATACAATTTCACAAACCAAACACAGCCTGCTGGATCAACGAAGCCATGGAGTGCGAAATCGCCCGGTATATCGGCTCCAGAGCTTGAAAATGCCAGATATTCCTCACTCGAGCCCTTTGATATCGTATCATCTTTGGTCTCGGCCGTGCCCGCAATTTCGGGAAAGTCTATCGTCCAAGGATCCTTTCGTGACACATCCCAGTGCAGATATTCATATTCTCCATCCCAATGGCCAGAAAGTGCTCTGCGAACCGACAAAGGAGATGCGATTTTGCCTACAGGGTCATTTACTATTGAATTTGTCAACAGTGATGGCCGCCTCCGTATTTGTTTCACGAGCTCAGCCATGTGACACTGAATGAACGCAGCCGATTGACGACCGCGGTGCACAGCAAGGTCTATTGGGGTGGATCCGTTGCCGTCCTCAATGCCTATAGAAGCCCCATATCTGAGCAGGATATTGCAAATTTCCTCGTGCCCTTGATGCGCGGCATAGTGAAGAGCAGTGCGCCCGTTCATGTCTCTAGCATCAGGCTGGGCGCCTTTGCCCAGGAGGGGTTCCACAATGCTTGTGTGCCCTGCAAACGCTGCAATGCGCAATGTTTCGCCGAGGACCTCCTTGGAATACTCTGAGTGCTGGCACAGTGCCACCTGTAGGTCTTCCACTTCTTGGTTCTGTCTGGAAGCGAGAACAGGCAGATGTCTGTCAATGCTATGATCAACGCCATCTGACTTCGTATATTCCCCCGCAGACATGAAACATCCTTGGCGCAGAAGCAGATCTGCGATCTCATACTTGCCACGAGAAAATGCCTTCTCGTACAAGGTGTACTGCGAGGAGGAGTTCTCATTAATTCCGCGCATGTTGGCGCCCAGGCATATCAACTTCTTCACAGCTTCTATTGACCCTGCTTCAACGGCGATGCCCAAAGCAGTAACAGTCCCACGTGTCTTCTGGTCAAGCTCGGCTCCGTGGTCGATGAGGACTTGAATGATATCGCAATTGCCTCTATACGCCGCTACTTGCAAGACAGTTGTCCTGAAGTCCCCTTGTGAGATATTCGCACCAACATCCAAGAGAGCGAGAACGACTTGAAGATCGCCTGAAGCACAAGCTTCGTGCAACGCGCTCCAACCCTCCGAATCGGTTCGATTCACCGTGACACGTCGTGCCGGATTTGGGTGATGAAGGAGTCTTCGCACAACTGGAAGAGCACTATATCCGGCGGCATGTACCAACAGCGTGCTTCCATCGCCGAGCTCGGCTGAGAGTGTGGCTGCTGGAAGGGTTTCTATTATATCGATGACCACGTCGAAATGCGCATACCTCATTGCATTGTCTAAAGCGTTAATGTCCTCCACCGCCTGATCAGGACAAAAAGAATCTTCGCCGATCATGAGTAGTTTAAGGACGTTTCGGTGGCCAAAATGGCAAGCCCATCGCCTGGCGGCTGAGGTGGGTTTTGCGCCGTGTGCCAAAAGCTCTTCAACAATGTCTATAGCGCCCTTCATGGCGGCATAGTCCATGGCAGTGAGTCCCTCCTTGTCAACCAGGGTGAGGTCTGCTTTGGCATCGAGAAGGCGTCTCACGGTTTCCAGAGTAGCGCAGGCAGCGGCTGCTATGAGAGCCGTATGGAACTCACCGCCGCTCTGGTTGACTGGTGCGCCACGATGAAGGAGCTGAGAGACAGCTTCAGCATGGTCTCTCGCGGACGCAGCTTGGAGGGGGAATCCAAATCGCCCTCCAACGCAGTCAACGGCCAAGCCTTGGTCAGCCAGCCATTCCACGACGTCTGTCAATCCCAGTAGAGATGCGTAGTATATGGGATTTTCCAAGTGGATATTCTTAGCTTCCTCGTCCACCTCTGTTGGTAAATCCTCCAAGGAAGCCGAAGTTTCGTCCTCGGTCAAGTCTGAACTAGACTCGGATCGGCTTGTGGACACCTCGGACACCTCGGAGACACCATCCCTTTCCCACAGTGATTCTAACCCGGTTCGTCCAGCCTCGATGATTCTTTGCTCCAAAACGGGCGTCCAGACTCTCCAACTCTGGCTACCAGGGTCGAACGCTCGTTTAGTACTGTCTATAATGTCTTCGCACGGTCGTGGTTTCTGGTGGAAACTGTGAAAATACCAGGCCCACGCAGCATATGACAGGAACGGGTAGAGTTTCCTGTCGCTCGGGATGTCGTTGAAGACGTCAAGCGTCAGATAGCGCAGACAAACTCGGGACAACGCATCCATCTCGGCTGATGCATCGGCAAAACACATTTTGGCCGCCAAAGGATTCTCGGTCCCATGACTGGTAAGATACTCCTTGACAGAGAAGTGGACAAAGTGAACGGTATTATTGGCGATGGACGTATCCCGCGAGTCCAAACGCAGGCGCAGGAGAGAACCACAGAAGCCTAAGACCGTTGTCTTAACGTAATCTTCGTTGACAAAACACTCTTCCCATTCGTCTGGTAGATCATCCTCTGGGTATTCTTCGATCTCATCATCAGACACAATGAGGGCTTCAGCAAGCTCTTTGACCTGGAGTGGACGAACCGCGAACAGAACCCATCGCAAGATCATGCACGCTTGCTTGCGGTCTCTGCTCTGGAGACGATCAATCTTCTCAAGCTCGCGCGCATAAGCTTCACTGATCCCTGATGGCATTCCGCGGATAGTCTCCTTGAGTTGTTTGGCATTCTGGCCGGGTGAGATCTCCTTCTCTAGCAACTGAATCCAGAGAAACATTCCCTCGCTCCGCTCTGCCGCCTCGGTCGCGATCTCCCGGCGCAGTTCCTCTTTTTTTCGGGAAAGTTTCCGATCGATCACGCAATCAGAAAAGGATCGCACATCGGAAGCTGTGTCTTTCGACGTGATTTGGTACTCCAGCCTGCTGAACCCAGCGTCGTGCATACTATCCTCGCCCAGGTATTCGCGGATGTCTGCGACGTCTCGACTTACCACCAATACTCGAGCTTGCGCTGCAGGTAGGTGACGTATGAGATCGCGCAGAAAGATGTTGCGAGAATCGTCTTTGTGATACCCTGCAGCTGGTGAAATGTTGCTGCATTCGTCAAATCCGTCCAGGATAAAAAAGCATCCTGGGCAACTCTGGCCCACCACAGCAAACAGCTCCCACAGCTCGGAACGCGTGAGGGGTCCATCCCCCTTTCTCCCGTTGAAGGCTTCCTCCACAACATCGAGGGTCGCGTCATTGTCGAGAACTTGTGAAAGCCAAGATCGAAGAACAGCATACGGATCACGAGTACGCTCGCTGTCAGCGACGCAGAAGAAGTACGACACTTGGTTGTGACATGTGGCTTTAAGGTGTTGAATGATCCAAGCCGACATGATGGTCTTCCCGAAGCCTGCGGGGCCGTGTATCCATAAGAGCTTTGGTAATGTCGCACCGTCTGCTTTCCACTGTCCAAAGACATCTAATTCAAGAGCCCAGTTGCAGGTTCCGGAATGATGGTAACCCAAGGCCGCTTCCAACGTGTCCTGAGTATAGATCGGGTTGATCTGTGCTGAAAGCCGCGCTCGTCGTTCCGCCGTTGAGGCCTTTGAGCTCATGATGTTCTCTTTCATGATATTGAGCAGTTTAGCCACCATCGAATTGCCGCACTCCTGGGAGACCATAGTGGCCCTCTTATAGACTTCATCTTCAAGGCTTCCAATCTGCAGCATTGGCTCCTCCACAACGTCCTTTGCAGTCAGGACTACACTCTTCAGTATCCTTTCTAAAGTAGGCAACCCGACGTCAGCATGCATTTCAGAGACGCTTCTCGCATGAAAGCTCTCTGCATTTGAGGGTCCGATATACTTACTTGCGGTCTTTTGTGCATAATAGCTATGCGTTCTCGCAAGGAATTGCAAGACTGCCGTGTAAAGCTTCACCAGAGACGAGGCGAGCTGCGCACTGAGAGCTGAAACGCGGATGAGCATTCGTGTCTCAAGTTCTGTATAAAGAGCGATAATGCTGGATATCTTCTCAACGGCCTCAAACAGCTTTCCGAATGTTTGGCAATCGTTGATAGTCATCTGAGAGTGTCAGTGCAACACTGGACATACTGTAATGATTGCAAAATTTTATCTACCGAGGCTAAGAGAACGAGGAAGCATACCTGAGTGAGCGCTTTTATAATTGCCCAAGGAATCGCAGCATGTGGTACGTATTCCACTGCAGCATCGCCAATCTTTTGGAATCTGACAGCCCAGTCGCAAACTTTCACCAGAACGTCTCTGAGCAGGACGTTTTCGCCCTTTTTATTGGTGAATAGCACCCACTGCTTCTTCTCGCAATCTTCCTTCTTCGTGTTGACGATGTCGATGAGTTTTTCGGGACTGGTCGCCACCAAACTGCTGTCTTTGGTGAAAGACTTGAGGCGTTCTTTGTGTTCGGGACCGAGCGCTACAAATGCCTGCTGCCAAAGGTTGTTCATCTGCGAGGTAGAGATCAGTTCCAACGTTGTTCACCTTCGTGCTGTTACCCCCTAAATTTGGGATTTGGTGCTTGCCTCGCATGGTAGTGCCTCAAAGTCACTACCATCACTATCCTCATCCAATGCAATAGTCGCATCGACACCTTTGAGTGGTGTATGCATCTTGGCACCACGTTGATAGACTGCTCAACTGGTCCAGCCGTAAGCCACTGGAGGCTGTGGCGGCGTAGGGGGCGGTAAGGATAGAGTAAGTAGGGAGACAGACCCAGCAGTATTGAATCTCTAGAGGTTGGCTAAAGATACGCGCAATGCAAGTGCGCATCTACATCAGAATTCTAGATTTCTCGTAGTTGACGTCTTAGCAATACATAGACTCGGGAACGCGGTGGTGCAGGTGATCAGCTTGCTCTCACATAACCCCTCAATTGCCTGCCAGCCTGATGATGTCCGTACCAGGTGTGAAAAGGTGAGAGCCAGAACTGCTCGTATTGCCGTATTAGGATTAGCCTACTCAGGTTTACACGCAGATGAGTGGATGGTAGGCGCATATGCATACAGCACTGGCCACACCCAGGTGTCTGGTCAGCACCAGGGCCCGCAAGACGCTTGACCAGTTCGGCAACGAAAAGCTGACCGTAAGCTTGCTGGTTCAGTCACGACTGAACTTGTCATGGTGAACGTGTGCATCAAAGGCCGGCAAAAGTGGCTCTTTGAACCTCAAACCAGACTTGGCCAACACGGCCTTCTCGGAGCACACAGTGGCAATTGACTCCTCCGATGGGCGCAAAGAAAATCCTTGAACAATTTGTAAATGTCGAGCAGCTGTGGTAATGTCGAGCCAATCGATCCAAAGTTCCCGTCCTTTGGGAAAAGTCGGTCAGGGTTCGTAGAAAGCGTGGTTCAGCTTCTAGGTTGCTATGTTCTGATAGGCTGGAGAGCTTTCGCGGTCCTCAGAACATCACGGCCACGTCGACTTCAGCTTCGCTGGGAACAGCGGGAACAAGCCTTTCAGACTAAGGCCAAGTTCAGATATTCGGAGATGCCCCAATGTTGGGAGCCGTCACGGGAATTCGTACGAGTCTAGCCAGACGTCCAGATCTGAGAGACAGTGGGATCGAGGCGAACACTTGCGCTCTGCATGCCCAGAACGAGTATTCAGTCACAAAATGACCCAGTTGGCAGCAATCATATCCGCAGCGGCGAATAAATCCTTTACCACTATTTTCAACCGGACGATAGAAGAGTTCAGACGAGACTGGGAGCTGGGTGGTGGGGGAGACTTTTTTTCCCGGGTGGGGGGGGGGGGTGAGGGGGTGGGTTTTGCTGCCACCACGAATTGGATGTCATCCATCTGAAATATACTTCGAGAATCGCGGTATTAGACGGTATAGCCGTCAGCGTCCACATCAGCTACCAGCACTACGACCGCCGCTCAGTCTCGCATCCTCGTCGCGGGCGCATGAGCTTGCTCCGAGAAGGGACCTGTCATGGTCACATTCTTTACTGCAATTTTATTGTCTGGCAGGTTATGACTCTGCTACCAAAAGCGTTCAACAAAAAGGTTACGGGCATGAAGCTTTCAAATCAACTGTGACTATCGATGCAAGAGGTAGTCTCGACATCCCAACGTCATTCTTCGTTTCGGCAACCTCAATCTTTAATACTTGGGTGTCGCCAGGAGGGTGGGTTGTTCATCTGATTTCACTCTCAAATTGCCCCGTCTTCACCGGTATCGAGTTCCTCAAACGCATTCCAGGTGCCATTGCCAATGGAGTTCACGGCACCAAATGAATTTCATCGATGTCCAGCGGTCCATTGAGCAACGAAAGATTCACGTCTATCTTGCATTGAACCCCGTCAAGAACATGAGCCCAGTGTTCGACAAACCAAGTAGATCGAATCATCATCTACTCTCATGAGGCGGCGGGGAGTGTTCAAGGGGCCCATGGGTCGCTTTGTGCTGTCACACTACATAATTACTACCGGATGTCGCACAACGCAACGAAGCAGCCGCGACGTTTCTAGGTTCGATAAGACGGTATTGTCATCCTACATAGCTTCTTTTCCTGTTTCCTTCTTAAAAAGCATCTCGGATCTTCGAAGACACAAATCTTTTCCAGATGTATCCACATCAACATCTAAGCCTAACCGGCCAGATATAAGATCGAAGATGTCAGGAAAATGGCCCACACCCTCCGGCCAACGGAAGGGGGTGCGAGACTGGTGTCCAGCAGGAAGGGAGGTCTCGCGTGGCAAGCGGCGGGTACCGTGTTATCAAGGGGGGCTATTTTAGACGAGAAAGAAAGCGCTGACTTAGATGTGGCGGTTCCAGATTGTGCCATTTGACCACCATTTGTCCAAAATGCGCTGATCCTTACCATAATGCCAGCGCGGGGAAAAAAAGAAGCAAAGCTTGCAGGTGGCCGCAAGCTGAAACCTATGCAAGTATGTTGCCTGGTTTGGGCATCGGTATAAGCTTTAAACGGCGACCTGACTCTCAGCCCCAGACATTCTAGACGGAGGTGATCTTTCGGTGCAGTCTTAGCGTCACATTCAAGTGACTCGACTGGCTAATGTAGCTACACACACAACATCCCGTATGGAATTTGATACCAGAGAGATCCGGAGTTGTGATAAGGGAGGCCAAGAACCTCGAAATTTTGGGGTCACAGCTTGCTTGCATTTGAGCCACAAGCTTGAATTTCTATCATGAATCTGTAGAACCTCAGCACGGCACGCCGCGTGGGGGTGGTGTTGTACTTGAAAGTGTACGCCGAAACAGCCTCACTCGACGTGATCTTCAATATGCGCAGCTTGGCGCACAAGCTCGGGATTTGAAAGGTTCCTAGCCTCCAAAAGTCGATCATCCGTGGAGAGTCGACGATCTTTCCCTCAGGATCGTGATCACAGGCCGGCCTGAGATGAATTCATTGGCGGGGAACAATAACATGGTTGACAAATTGAGCGCCACGAATCAGATGCATGGGCAAACAACCCTGACGGCGCAGTAGATTACCAAGATGGCGAGATGCATCTGGGCTACACACGGCCTGATGTAGATCACCGACTAGGTAGACCCGAGTTCCAGGTCGGGTTCTGCCGAGCATGAATGATGATTTAGATGGAGGTTACACAGCATCTTGCTAATCAGCGAGTTCAAGTTGCTTCAGCTCATGCACCTTGCGGACATATCCATGAGCTCGTGAGGCTAGATCATCGTCGTCGTTGACGCCTTGCGGTGGTGTTTTGGTATTTTGGCCGAACTTTCCTTCGTGGACGGGTCAAGGATTCTGGCACCTAGAATGTCGATGACTGCTATAAATTTCCATATGTTCAAGACCTTGAGGAATTGAATATCCTGTAGGTGTGAATATTTGTGTCCGCATAATCTACCGGGAATAAGAGGTGAGCATGGTTTGTTTGCCCGTCTCAAGGATGTCCCCGGGCATTTTTGGGCACACTGCGTCAAGCCTTCCTGCAGGATGGAGCCGAGCCCTTCATATACATACTGAATTTATCTTGACCGACGTGGAGCACACAGCGCCAGAAACGTCACATGGCAGATTGTGCTTCCCACCCGCTCGACGCAATTCCGCGCTCATATATCTCGCACACATAAGACACACACAAGCAGAGACAGACAGCAGAGCCTAACATCAACCACCAAATGCGTCTTCTGCATGTCCACGGCTGACATGGGACGATAATGACGTGCGTGTGAAGTCCAACATGTCGCTTGATCGCTTCAGGAATGATACACTCTAGGGCAAAGGTGTTGTGGCTATGTCATACAGCGTTTCTCTAGCCACATTCCATCATTGGCGCCCGTTGTGCCCTCGTGGACCTCGGCATGCTACATCGCTGTGATCTACTATTGTTGAATGCTGTCGGAGCATTATTGCCGGACCTCTCACCAAGGTATATGTGGCAATGTGGTCAAAGGGCTACTTCAAAATATTTTAGATCTGCCGTACTACTCGAGGGATACACAATCCTCCGCCCATCAACGACCTATGACAAGCTCGCGCTTCAAGAAGTCCGGCTGAGTCTGATGCCCCACTGGCCACTCGGTTGGCCAACTTGAGACTCTTTGCTAGGACAGATAACCCCGCGAAGGAGGCAAGGGCTCTTTACTGATAGATCTTCAATCGGGCAGAAGTGCAGAATGCCATGTCCATGGTCGAGATCGTCACTCGACAACGTTGTTGCCTACACCTGAGCCTAGAAGCATCCAGACATCTGCGACGGCGACGTAATAGGTTACACATGTTCATGGACTCAGTGAATTAGTATCTCAAGATGTAAAGGCTTTGTTGCCATCCTCGGTATATAAACCTGGCCTTTCTGTCTTCAGATAGTTGTTGGTCCTCCCTGGATCCTGTCTTGAAAGGACAGTCAAGCCTGCGATAATTCACTGAATAATCTTTTCACAAACCAGTACCACCGCTATGGCATCCCAAGAAAACCACCTGCGGCCCACTGCTCCTAAGAAGCAGGTATCTTACACCGTTCCGGACTCTGGTCCGAGCGCTCACCATGACTACGAGGCCGAACATCAGCCTTCGACACTTAATCGGGAATCGGACGAGCCGCCAGCTTCTGGAGCATCCGAGAAGCCTTTCAAAGATGACTTAGAAGCCGGGAGCCCTACAACGATCCCGCGTCGTCCCACCATCTTCAACCGTACCTTCACTCAGCAATTCCGAGCTGGGGTAACTGGCGAGGCCGAGAGCGAGGTGGATTTTTCTGGTCTCTCTCAGAAAGAGAAGCGGAAAGTCGTCAAGACCGGGATGAAGTCGTACTTTCTGGACACGAACTTCAAGAACCGTGAGCATCATCTTCAACCGACTCTGGAGCTAGACTAAGGTACCATCTTATCACAGACATTATTGCCGCCCTGGGAGAATTTGTCGGCACGACCATGTTCCTCTTCTTTGCTTTCACTGGAACTGCTGTTGCAACTGTCGCCCCTGCCAACCCTGGCTTCGATATCTCAGTTCAAACATATATTGCACTGTGCTTCGGCTTCTCCCTCATGGTCAACGTGTGGGTCTTCTACAGAATCTCTGGTGGTCTCTTCAATCCAGCTGTAAGTACTTAAGCAATTGCTTTATCGCCAATTCCCGGTTTTATTGTACCTTAAGCTAAGAAGGCGCCTCATCTTGGGGCATAACAGGTGACGTTGGCTCTTGTTCTGATCCGTGCCATCACCCCTATCCGTGGTGTCTTCGTTTTCGTCGCTCAGCTCCTCGGCGGCATTGCAGCAGCAGGCCTTGCATCGTGTATGTTCCCGACCGACCTCAGCGTCAGCACTACACTCAGCGATGGCGTATCCCTTGCCCAGGGTGTGTTCATTGAGGCCATCTTGACGTTCGAGCTGGTCTTTACTATATTCATGCTTGCTGCTGAGAAGCACCGTGCAACCTTTATCGCTCCCGTCGGCATCGGTCTCGCCCTCTTTATCGCCGAGATGAGCGGCGTCTATTATACTGGTGGAAGTCTGAATCCAGCTCGGAGTCTGGGTCCGTGTGTCATCGCTGCCAGTTTCCCCAGCGAACACTGGATCTACTGGGTCGGCCCATTCCTCGGCTCTTTGGTCGCCTTTGGGTTGTACAAGGCAATCAAATTGCTGCGCTATGAGATGGCGAACCCGGGGCAGGACTCCCATGAGTGAATAGACGCTGGAGTCTACATCGATAGGCTCTTGCATGCAGTCGGGATCGGGTGGAAAGTGGGATCTGGAGATGATCGGGATGGTGTATTGAAGCTGATTTTGGGAATGAGGTCACCCATGAATATTTTTGTTTATATACCTTTGGTTTTCTGTGGCATTAGGGCAAGTGAGGAGAGAAGTCAGCTGAGGGTACTTCCTGTTTTGAATCATTACATTCGTTGTATTCAGTCATTGTACGCTGAATAAAGTCTTTCAGGATGTTCTGGCCCATTGAAGTGCGCCCTTCAGATTTTTCGCAAGCTTGTTCTTGGTGTCAGCAGGTCACCAAGGATAAGGTTCTCTTGGCCATAGATAATTATTCCATTCCTGTTGATTATAATTGGGCGTGGAAGTTTTGCTTTCACGGACAATAACTCCATTTGCCCCGAAGCTTCTGCATCCGAACTCGAGCGCTTGCTCCCTGCTACCATCAGCGGACCGGGCACAGCTGAGAGCAACAAGGCGGTAAGGAAGATCATGTCCAATGAGACTGCAAGCTCTTTCATCGGGCAGCCGGCGATTACACTTTTGAAGGCATCCATAGCCCTTGCCAAGTGAAAGGTTGCCACACTGTCACCAATGTTCAAGCGTAGGGATAGGCATCATGCAGGTGCATCCAAAATTAATATGCTTAGAAGACTTTATCATTTAGGTGCATATGTAGCTACATGCATGATTCTGCCTAATGATTGTCACACAACACACATGAAAGGCTTTTCCTCTCTTGGCAAGGCAGGCAGCAGCGACTCTGTCTTACGCACATTTTCAAGATTATCCCCTCTCTTGAATCTCCTTCCGTGGGGAGAGTTCAATCAGCCCTGGCTCCAGATCAATCTTCGTACCGCAATGAGGAAGGCTAGCAGACTCTGGCGACGTCTACGGGGCGGCCGTAGTGACAAAACTCAAGTTGCTGATGATGCTACTGGCGACTCGAGTAACCTGAATAGCGACTCACAGGAGTCAGCATTGCCGGTTGCCGTGCATAGTGATGCATTGGACCCACTTCTGGCTCCGGAGCGAGATGACAGAGATACCGCCGAGACAATGTGGCTCGATGCTTACAAGAAACTGGAGGAAGGACAAGAAACGAGGGAGATGGTTATAGCCTATGAAGAACTCCTCGGCCAGCAGCTTAATGGTGAGTGAACCGCAACTGGTCCATTCGTCGTGGCAAAGAGCCAACCTCACACAAAGTACTGAGGACATGCCTTAGGATTAGGCAAAATGGTTGAGATTGACGTGGATGCTCCGAACGCCTTTTCTGGCTGCCCCAATCCTGAAGAAAAGATCTCTACTATGAGGAGAGTGACAGAAGCAACACTGGAGAAAGCCTCCCGTCACAGCGAAAGCAAGCAGAAGTTTGTCAAAGCAGCCAAGGTTATTAGCACAATCAGTTCATCCATCATCAAGCCGATGCTCCAGACTGAGGCCGTAGCCTCATTGGCAGTAAGTAAGCCTACAAGCTTTCGTCGCCAAGGCATTGGCTAATACTTCAACTGCAGTGGGCCGGTGTTTGTGTTGCTCTAGAGGTTTGTCTAAACTTTTTGTCCAAGCGTTGCAACAGATCCTCACACTCCTCTCAAGTTCTCGATTCGAGCAACTACTGCCAGCCTTGACATGGTTGAAGGTCTTAGCCATGTAGCAAAACGCATGGAGTGGTACATGCTATTGCACACTCTACTCCTTGAGAAGACACAATCAAGAACGTGTAAACAAGACAGTCAACACACTGCACTTCGCGACTGTCTCAGAGATAACATCCAGGAGCTCTACTACAACCTGCTCATCTATGAGATGCAGTGTGTCTGCTATTGCTACCGAGATAGCCATGTTAAGAAGACGTTGCAGGCTTTAGTAACATTGGATGATTGGAAGGGTCAGTCAAGCTGTCAGCGCAACCAACCTGGAGCTACACTTTTTCTGACAATGTTCTCAAAATTAGGAAGACTGACTAGCATTAAAGAGCTGGAATCCCGCATTCAACTGGACGTGTCTCAATTTGGACATGTCCAAATACAAGACGACCTCGACAACATTGCTCAGAATGCCGAGAGAATGTTTACCGGCATTGATCACTACCTTCAACGGCTCCTCGAAAATCAGGAACAAACTTTCAGTGTCCAAGAGACTATACGACTTCAAGAACTTGTCGGGCAATTCTCCACTTCGGACTACAACAAGCAGATGAGACTCAATCCCACTCGCATACCAGGGACTTGTGAGTGGTTCTGTAATCATGATACTTTCAAGGAGTGGCTTGGAACAGATCATGGACTTCTGCTAGTATCTGCAGACCCTGGGTGTGGCAAGTCGACTCTAGCTCGTTGCTTGATTGAGGAGGTACTGCCACAGCAGAAATCTACAGGCAAGGTCAGTCTTAAAACTCTCCGAATGGCTCAACCGACCTCTGTACTGAAAGTCTCGCACAAGCTGCTGTATTTCTTCTTCAAGGATACCAATGAGCAGAAGCGGCTCAGCACAGCCATATGCGCTGTTCTGCATCAAATGCTGCTGGATGATCATACTCTCGTCAGCAAGGTGGAAGATCGTATAAAACAAGCGGGGGAGAAAGTCACCGAGCACACTTCGATTCTCTGGAAACTTTTCTCCCAAGCTTGCGAACGCTGTTCGGAGAGTATCATTTGTGTATTGGACGCCATTGACGAATGCGACCCTGGAGACAGTCCTGAGCTTATTCGAAATATCCAAGACTTGGTTAAGAGTGAGCTGCGAATCAGGTTTCTTATTACCACCCGTGGATATCCCCGACTGTTAAATCAATTCAATGCATACGAGTCTGGCTTGATCTATCTCGACGGCGACGGAAAGAATGAGAAAGATGCGATACAAGAGGAAATTAGCCTTGTTCTTGACTATAGATTGGAAGAGCTGTCCAAAATCAAGAAACTCGATCAGCAGCCCGAGAGGAAGACTGCCATCGAGGAAGCTCTTCGGTCGAAGGGGTCCAAGCAAAGGACTTACTTGTGGCTAAAACTCGTTTTTGATATTTTGGGACGAATACCCTGGAAGTCAGACAGTGACTGGAAGAAAGTGATCAACTCACCTCCACAGGATGTGAACGACGCATACGCAACGCTACTACAAAAGGTTCCCGAGGAAGAGAAATCTTACGTCAAAATTCTGCTGCATCTCGTGGTCGCTGCGCGCAGACCACTGACCCTACGAGAGATGGCAATCGCGATAGTCGTCCGTGACAATCCTGGCGCCATTGACGAGAAAAGCTTGGGATTGCAATCAGACACCGAATTCAAGAATTGGATTCTTCACACATGCGGCTTCTTCGTCACCATCTACAACAACGAGTTGTATTTCATACACCAGACCGCAAAGGAATTTCTAGTGAATTACGGACGAGACGCATCATGGCCGCAGGTGCTTGATTGGTTTTCCCCGGTAACTGACCAGATCGCTCACAAGAGCATGGCAGAGAGCTGCATATCTTATATCTCTTTGAAAAAGTTTCGCTATCGACGATTTCAGGAACGAGCCAGGGCATTTGAATATCCGGAGCTTCGCAAAGCAGACTGGAACAGGGCCGAAGAGAGAAACTGTCTCTTCAGAGACCATGGATTCCTTGAATACACTGTCAACTTTTGGACGGATCATTTCGAACTCTGCCAAAATTTCAAAGGTTTTGATTGTGAAGACGTGGAAGAAGCATTCACATCGCATTACATCGCCTTGTTCGTTCCAGATGGCACCAATGCTCCTGGCTGGATGTGTTTGCACCCATGGAGCTTTCAGAATGATTCGCACCATGTTTTAGAAGAAGTCCAGAGCTTGTTCGGCAACTACAATCTGAGCTATACGGCTTTACATTCTGATCATTGTCGCCTCCTCAAGTATAGCCAGTGTCAGAACGCACAGGCTAGCAACACTTTGCTACACACCGCTGCGAAGCTGAATGCTTCCAACTGTGTTCGATATCTCATTCTTAATGGTGCTGAAATCGACGCTCAGGATGATTCGGGCAACACTGCTCTGTGTCTGGCCACGCGTGGTAGCGCAATGACATCGGCGACCACCCTTCTCGACTACAACGCGGATGTTAACCTCGGCAAGACAACTGATCAGTTGCCTTTAAGTCATGTGTTGAAGCAATTGCAAACTTTGAGACATGAGCCTTTCGAGCTGCTACGCAAGATTGTTGACCACGGAGCGGACCTGAATAATACTTTCATGAAAGGAACGAGGCTATGGAGACCTTTGGCATGGATCTCCTGCATCGTGTGGGACAGTATGGTGCCATACAACTTGGATTCGAGCAGTACACTGTCGTTGGACGAGTGGGTAATTGGGAAATCTTCCGCATCCGAAATCAACTCTGTACCTGATCTCTTCCTGAACCTGGATCTTTCCTCAGAAGAACACTTTGTGGCCGCGTACAACAATAGCCTCACAAAATTCTTTCTTGATCATGGAGGAAACATTGACGACACTTTTCCATATGCATCCGAGAACAATGATCACGCAGTTCCCATGACTGCGCTTGAACATGCCTGTGTTTTTGCAACGATAGAGGAGCCCACTCACACATTTTGGAACGCCTTGTCCCTCTTGTACAGCGGTGCAGATGGCAGTATCAATACCGAGACCACACACTCTGCTCTCGACAGGCTTCTTTTCCCGGAACCATATGAAGCAGAACATTATTTCGACCTCACCTCTACACTGCGAGGCAAGGATCGCTGTCAGATCCTGGCCACGCTGCTGCTTGAGCAAGGTCCAACATCGGGATATATCAACAGGAGATTCGCAAGCAAAGCCATGCAAACCCGCCTCCACATGGTCGCCAACGGAGTGAAGTTTTTACAGATGAAAATGGAGCTATTGTTGAGCCACGGGGCATATGTCGACTGCCGGGACGACAACGAGAAGACACCGATGCACTATTTGGTTTCACGGGGGTGGTGGGGATCGGAAGAGTGTGCAGCTTTGAAACTGCTCATAGATAAAGACGCAGATCTCGAAGCGCGGGACTCGCTCGGACGAACACCAATGCATTACGTCGAAGATTCAACTGCGCTTGACATACTCGTCGAAAACGGCGCTGATATTGAGGCACGAGACTATCAAGGAAACACGCCGTTGCTAGCTATCTTGGCACGTGGTGAAGATTACAATGGATCAAAACTCATACAATCTCTGCTTACAATCAGTTCGGACCCGACAGTTAGCAATTGTGCGGGGGAGACACCAATGCATATTGCGGCGACACTTGGCTTGATCGCGAGCCTTGCACATCTGCTCGATGACGGGGGAGATCTGGAAGTTACAGACAAGGCCGGTGACACGCCTCTACAGGCTGCTTTGAATCATCAATCACTCGAAACAGCCGTCTGTCTGCTTGAAAGAGGTGCCATTGCCAAGCCTCTGATGGAACGCGGATTCGACATAGAACAACGCGATGGACATACTGGCGCAACTCTGCTGGCCTTTGCATCAGGCTACCATGCTCATGATATTGTGAGAACGCTGCTGCGGCGAGGTGCGAACCCCAATGCACTCCCCAAAGTCGGGTTAGCCGACGTAGAGAGGTATCTGGACCGGGCAGATTGCATGGGCATTGAGTATAAGTGGTCATTCAAAGCTAGGAGATTGTACAGCCAAGCTTCGCAAATTGAAAATCCGGAATTCTTATTCTCTCGTCGGCATGAAACTTTTCTTGAAGAACGACCTTTACACCTTGCATTGCGCAGCCGATGGACACACGATGCCGCGATCACAATCGATTTACTGCTGAAGCACGGGGCTGATATCAATGCAAAATCGAGCGTGGGGATGACACCGCTACACGTTGCGTGCGAAAGAGGCAATGAAGAAGGAGTGCATTTCTTGCTGCAAAGGGGCGCGCGTGTTAATCTCACGAATTGGGACGATGAGTCGGCTCTCTATTTTGCATGTACAGATTGGCAACCAAGCCCAACGCTTCTTCAAACCCTCCTATTGCATGGGGAAACTTTGGGCTCGGGTTGTTATGATGAGCCTGAGCTGTACAGCATGGCTGAGGCCTGGGAATATGCTGCAGATGACCCGAATGGCAACGAGTACGAAGATTCTGATTATTCCAGCCATAGCTCTTGCCAGAAAACTGACTCCGACACGATCAACGATTACACGACTGGTCTGAATCACATTTCGTGCTGCCCATGTCGACAGTGTTGTCATGAGAGGCAGGCTTGTGCCACGGCACAGATCTTGATGGATGCAGGTGCTTGGACACAGCTTCGAGATTATAAGCAGAAGGTCGATTCACCTGTTGAGAAGGCCAGGGAGAATGGGTGGGCGGATCTGGCCATGCTCCTGAAGGAAGCAGCTGTGCCAAATTGGCGACGTGCTTGGTTGCCCCCGAATACGAGGAGGTGGTCTTTACCTGCTGAAAAGTCAGCGAGACTTGACCTTGATCATTCAGATGACGATTCAAGCAACGGAATGGCAGGACTGTGAGGGTGGTCATTTTGCTTGCAAGGGACAGCGCCCCACCCAAGCTCGCGTGGGACCGATAGTAGTATCAAACTGAGGATAGCTGCAGCTCAAGGGGCCACATTCTTGTACGAAGATTGATTCTATTCGAACGTCTAATGTTCTCTAAGTTCAGATCGTCTGAATATGCATGGAAATCCCTCAATTTCGTCCGAACGACTCTCTGGTGTTGACTCTGTCAATGTCGTACGGGTTACCATCGTAAGACTTGCGGTGTGTAGAAACCGCTGTACCACCACTCAAAGATCGACGTCGCTGTGCGTTCCGGCTGGCATACGCCGGTTCATCCGCTGTCTTTTCGGTGTCGTCCACAGCTTCCGAAGATCCTGTGTGCCCAGGTTCCTCTCCCTCCGAGCTTGAGTCTTCTTGGCGCAGCCGAGCCATGAAAGCTTCGGACTCTGCAGCGAACTTGCAACGAGACCGGATTGCGGCTCCATACTTGTAGAACAGGAATGGAAACGGCACACATGCAAGGGCCAGGAACGCCGGGATCGAGGACGCCCAGTTGGTACCAAGGTCCGCGTACATGTACGACGTGAAGAGAGGAAATGCGGCGCCAAAACAGCTGCGGATGACTGAGTTGGCGGCAAGGACAGACGCCGCAAAGATTGTGTAAGCGTCAATAAGATAGTTCATGATGCTCAAGAAGAGCAACACCATTCCGAACCCAAAAGGAATTCCGGCAGCGATACTGACAGCCCAATGGATCGATGTCTGGTTTGTCCAAGCAAACCAGAACAGGCCAATAGGAACAGCGATGCAACCGGTCATTGCTGGGGGAAGTCGGGTTTCTGGTGGCGCAAAGCCGTTGTTTTTTGCTTGCACACGTTGATACCGCCCATTTTCCGGGATTGTGTAGATAATGGCAAAGATCATACCTACCATCACGCCCAGAAACGCTAAGCCGCCGATGCCTTGAGACCACCCTCGTTCTTGTTGATACACAATGGGGAAGGCTGCGAAAAGCATGTAGAGCGTTCCGTAGATGATGGCCATATAGAGCGATAGAAGCAGGACAATCGGCTCCCGGAATAACAATATCCAAGGACGCAGCAGCGCGTTTCTGAAAGACTCTCCGAGATTGACTTTGCCCTGATCATGCTCCATCTTGCTCACGTAGCATTTTCCCGTCATCTTTGATAGTTTCGCCGCCCGCTGTCGAAGCAAGTATGGAGCATAGGTCTCGGGAACAAGAGCGGTCCCCAGAAGCCAAAGAGTCCCAGAGAAGGCCGCCAAGAATCCCATGACCCAGCGCCAGCCTGCTGCCTGGCCCAGAAATCCACCGATGATGGGACCGAGTACAGGGCCGAGGAAGGGCGCGGCTGCGAATAGTGCCATTGCCAAACCCCTCTCAGCTGCCGGGAACATATCTGCGATGACGCCGCCCGAGTTCGCGAGAGGGGATGATCCGAAGGCACCCGCGAAGAAGCGCAGGACGATCAAAGTCGCAGCACTATTCGCCCCGGCGCAGCCAGCGTTGAATGCCGTCAGCACTGCATACGTGCCAAAGAAGAGGTACTGCCGCCCAAACAACTCGCTTAGAGGAGCCCACATGAGTGGTCCGATAGCAAAGCCGAGCACGAAGAGTGAGACGCCAAGAGTAGCAACTATCTGGGAGATTCCAAACTCTTGAATTATTTCTCGGATACCTCCGGTGTAGGCGGACGAGAGAAGAGCCACCGCCAGTGTCGTGAGGGACACCATCATTGTGATGAACCACTTTTTTGGTCTGCTCCATCCCATTGGATTTCGAGGATCGTTGGGAATCCATTGGACTAGAAACGGATCTTCTTCGGTACCCGAGCCAGCATATTGGTAGTTGAGTACTTCTGATGTGACTCCAGCTTGGTCAGCAACCAGGCGCCAGTAGGGAAGTTTCGTCGGGGCAACGACTTCGTCGCCATCGTTGGCTTTCATACTAGGGTATGCTCGAGTTATTGGTAAAATTAGGTATAATGGGCGAGACAAATAACCGCCAGCGCGTATTGTGACGTTGCCAAAGGAGTGCGAGAACAGACGAGGGTGGTCGGAAACAGTTGCTCATTTCTACAGTAATGGGAAGAAGATCCTACTTGAAGGGTCTCACAACATGATAGCTGGGCAGAACACAAACGGCGAATGCGAACAACGCGGCATACGGGTGGAAAATGGCGCCGGAATTCCGAATGACGTACGAAGGAAGACATCACATACCATGGGACCGTCGTTCTTAAGTCCGAGCTCGAGCGCTATACTAGGTGGGTCGGAAGGACACTACCAGATTCCCGTGCATAACCTGGTGATCCGGCGCACTATTTAGTACATTGCTTAGGATTTCAAGTAGTGTCAGCAGTGGAACTTGGCTCTTCCGTTGCATAAGCCATTCATAAAACTCCACCGGGCTTTTCACCAGCTCCCACGCTTGCTGTTATTTTTGGCACTCTACACCCTTTCGATGCTCTGATCCGGAGGGGATCTCAGATCTGACAGGGATAGTCTTGCCTGTCCTGGCGAGCTTGGCTTGTTCCCAAGGATCGGTCGCACGCGTCGACTTCTTGAAGGCCCTATGAATCGTGCTGGTTTGGGACGAATATGTGATGTTGGTTTGAATTGAGGAATAGAAGTGGGCTCGAAGCCCAGCGCTCAGCAGCCTGGCTTTTGTGTGCGCGTCGCCGCGACAGCTCTTCACGTTGAGATTATGAGGATCTTGGGTAGCACCCTCTTAAGCCATCGTTGACCATGACTGAGAATCTCGCTGGCCACGGTTCAAGGTCAGCTCCAGCAGCTATTCAGATTGTTGGGCCCTCATATTGCAGCCCCCTATAAGAATAAGTACTGACCAAATTACTATTATCGAATTCATGCACCGATGTTCTTTCAGCGGCCAAATTTCTTAAATCCCTTTGCATATTTTCTTGCTGTGGATGTAAAGTGGCTTTTTCTTAAAGGTCGTTTGAGATTCCAAGGCCCGTCGACTCCGTGCATCAATGTGACCTTGAGCTGCAAGAAGACAGTTAATTCCCTTCACTCAAGTTGATTTTGCTGTTCAGACATGTCCGCACCACCAGCCGGGGCTGAAGTACGTAGCTATTCATCCCGTAGACCTTCCCACCCCGTCCTTCTTAAAACTCCTTCTTTGTGGGTCACAGTGCTACATGGTTCGCCGTGCCGATTCCGACTGCCAGTAATACATATGGTGCATATTTCAAAAGCATGTTCAGACAGTGGCGACATCGTCCCTACTGCCCCTGAATCGAGTCAGTTGCTGAGTTGTAACGAGATTGATTGGCAGCGCAGCAAGCATCCGGGATCATTGGAAGATAGATCCCTTGTTTGCCTTGTCTCAGCTGGTGATCGAGTTTATCAAGAAGACTGTAACTTCTTCATTCTTGAGTAGGAGTAAAATCAACATTTATTAGATACAGGAACAAATACGAGTTCACAATATTTATAAGATCAAAAGTAATTTTCCAGGAAGGTGAGCTTGACGGCCGTGAACCTCATGCTCTTATGCTTGATCTATTCATGGCATGAGCTGGCCACAGAGCGCACCACAAACACCCGGCCGCCACAAAAATATGACTTGACGTGACTTAGCTTGATCCCCTGCTTGCTTCTTGCCGCTTTAGGTAGTACCGCGCCCGGATCGCGGCGTTTGGCCAACCGCCGAAGCGCCGGCCGCCGGCCGGTCCGTCGTCGAGCTCAAGTTCAAACGGATTTGGCGGTGCCAGGGCTTCTCCCGCTCCGACGGAAATCAGGTCAGTTCTCGAGTTGTGCATTGCACAAGTATGCACAAGTTGACACCAGTCTATTGGTAGGCCGGGCTAAGAGTGCTAGCTACAGCAGCTGCGGGCAATACTCGAGACATATCGAACAGGCTAGGAATGACACCAGGGTTGAAAGAACAGCCTTGGCGAAGACACATGTTGAATTGAACACTGGTCCAGATCTACATAAATATGAAAGTGTTGGAAATTGTGCATTCATCTAGTCAAGCGACTGAGGATCTGTACATCTATATACGACAGAAACGCTTATATCCAACCATCTAGCCGGTACCAAGTACCTCAAGATTCATAATTACAACCCATCTGCGGAGAAACAAGAATAGCCCCCTTCAACGCCATACAAAAATCTGTCTACACACATGCAACGCAAGATTTACAGAGCAAGAGCGGGCGGACATCTATGACGCAGTCTGCCTGTCTTTCTCCCCCTCCTCGGCGCTCTCGTGGTTGATGAACAGGAACGAGACCAGCACTATGCCTGCGCCGACCCAGTAGATCCAGCTCGAGTACTGGGCGTACTGGATCATCTCGCCGATGAGCGAGAGCGGGATGGTCAGCGACAGGCCGACAGTGACGACCAGCGGGGAGGTGAGCAGCATGGCGAAGGCCCAGGACATGTCGCTGACGAAGGAGGAGAGGGAGTTGAGCTGTAATAAGAGTTAGCATTTTCTTGCATATTTTCAATCAGAGCCGTCACGAAAAACACTCACAATAATAATGGCCCACACCTTCCCCGTAGGCGGCCACCCGAACGGCTCGATGCCGGTCCAGTGCAGGAGGAAGAACCCCGGCCACAGGAAGATCAGGTTGAGCAGGCCGACGAGGCCAAAGAAAAGCGGCATGTTGACGCGGTCCTCGTCGCCGACGCGCCTCTTCATGACGGTGACGTACAGGCCGTACACAATAGCACTAAAGAAAGCCATGCCGTCCCCGACGGCGATGCTGGCCTGGCTCTTGTGCGGGAAGCTGCCGCGGTCCTCGTCGCTCTTGCCCGACAGGTCGACGCTGGAGATGAGCACCACGCCGGCCAGCGACGCCAGCACCCCCGCCAGCTTGCGCGCGCTGAAGGACTCGACGCGCATGGCGGCGCAGAAGATCAGCGTCCACACCGACGACGTCGACGTCAGGATCGTCACCGACCCGACCGAGGTGTACTCGAGACACGCCGACGCGAAGTAGTTGGCGCAGAACCAGAGCATGCAGAACTCGAGGCTCAGGATGCCTGTCTCGCGGAGGGAGAGCTTGTCGGCCGGGGGCTTCTCGAGACCCGGCGCGTCCTGGATCTGCATCGCGCTCGTGGTGCTGTCGCCTGAGCTGCTGCCCGCTTCTGCGTCTCGGTCGTCGTCTTCATCGTCGTCTGCTTGCCCGCTGAGTAGACCATGTTCCTCGTCATCGGATGTCTTGAATACTGTGGGCTGCCCGAGCAACGAGTTCCCTCTCGCCCTCTTATTCCCACCCCCTTGTTTATACTCCCTGCCCTTCTCATTAACCCACAGCTCTACCAGCTCCGCCCTAACTCCCTGCATGCCATGGCGCATATAGTACCTCACAAATAGCGGTATCAGACTGATCGCGAAGACGGACGTGTTTATGTATACCACGAAAAACGGTTTATCGTAGGTGTGGTCGGAGAAGATGTAGCTCGCCAGGAAGTTGGACGCCGTCCACAGGAAGACGGTGAGGAGGAGCAGAGCTATGCCAAGGGTGCGGCGCGCAACGCCTCCCAGGCCTAGACTCGCCAGGAGCCCTCCTGCTCCTCCTTTCCTTGCTGTGCCGAGTGTGCCTGATGCCCGTAGTGATGCGATGGAAGCGCTGAGCGGGCCTGAGGAGAGGGATCGGCGGCGCATTTCTTCTGGCTCGGGGCCCAGCTCGGCTGTTGCAGCCAGGGGCTCGAGGGGCGCCATGGTCGTCTATTTCCTCGACGGGAGCGAGGTCCGGAGGGAGGATGCTCACTTCCAAAATATGGCTTCGAGCTCGGGTGTTCGGCCGGTGTAGAGAGGTGCTCATCCCATTGTCTGCTCGAATTATTCAGGGTAGAGCCGCGGTGGAGGATGGACGTCGGGCAACGCTGGACTAGCACAGCACTGTCTCTATATCTCGCTGAAGAGTGAATAAATACGTCAGACAAAAGCTATTAGGCGCAGGTAAAAGAATGTGCAGCTGAAGATGGCAAGCAGATAGGGAACCAGCCAAAAGAGAGAGCGTTTGGTTTGGCGAGACAGTCAGTCAGTCAGTGACGGCACACGACGGACAAAGTAGCTACCGGGGGAAACCATGTGTCCGTCTGACCAGAAACGGCGGCCGCCGGTCGTGCCTTATCGATTAACCTACAGGTGGGGGGTCCCCTGTCTCAGCCCCTGGGCCTCTGCAGGTCTGCTGGACCTCTGGCAGAAGAAGGTGAGACTGTTTTTGGGAGCACCTGCATGTGCTGGGACCGTCTGCACTAGACGCTCTATCATACCCAAGTGTCGCACCAACAAGTCGACCGTTGAAGAGGTCATGCCACCAAAATAAATAGACTACTCGTTCTGCGCAATAGAATAGCGAGCCAGTTGCATCACGTACTGGCTGGTTAAGGGATATGTAGATATATTTCGCCGGCAAAACTCCCCAATGAACTGACACACATATGCTCCCGTTTCTCCTATAGATAAATATTCAATACTGGCCCAACTCATTCATCATTCCGTCAGTCCAACAGTCCGTGTTGTCTCGTCCCATCCAGTCGGGCCAGAACATCCAGCACCTCCTGTTTCGTGTCTCATCTAGTGATGCGTGATGTGTGCAAGTCCCCGCGACCTCTCTTACTCAATGCCTTCTCCACGCCAGTCACACGAGATTCGACGATGAATGCAAGCTTGGGTAGAATGCCCAGGGTTCTACAACAGGCGACACAATGCGGTTCCGTATTCCCCACCACGGCCCTCTCCGTCTGGTATTGCACGTTAAGCCGTCTCCCTCTTGTTCCACCAGCCCCGCGACCCATCAGCCAACCAATCAATAAACCATTAGACCGTGAAATCAACACGAACAGCCGTCCCTGTCGTTCTCGAGGTGGATGTTGATGGGGTCCTGGCTAAAGTCCCCGCTGAACTCCTCGCTCTCCTCCTGCTGCAGAGCGTTGCGGGCAATGACCTCGAAAGCCTGCTCGACATTGATGGCCTCCTTGGCGGAGGTCTCGAAGTAGGGAATGCCACCCTTGGACTGGCAGAAGGTCATGGCGCGCTTGGTGGAGATGACGCGCTTGCTCTCCTCGACGTCGATCTTATTGCCCAGCACGACAAAGGGGAACGAGTCTGGGTCGCGCGGTGAGGCTTGAATCAGGAACTCATCGCGCCACGAGTCGAGAGCGTCGAAGGATTTGGAGTTGTTGACGTCGAAGACGAGCACGCAGCAGTCGGCGCCACGATAGAAGGCCACGCCCAGCGACTGGAAGCGCTCCTGGCCGGCCGTATCCCAGAGCTGTGTAACAATAATCAGAACCTATCGAGCTGTAGATACGCAAAGAAAGGGCTTCGCACCTGCATAGTCACTTGTCGGTCATCGACGAGCACCTCCCGCGTAAGGAAATCAGCACCGATCGTGGCCTTGTAGCTTGCGCTGAACTTCTTGTTGACCTAGAGGGGACGGTCTCGTCAGCATCACTGGTGCACCGGGCATATTGGCCAGCATCGTGAAGATCGTCGAGCTGCAGCGCGGGTATGCACATGTAAGAGGTCGTACATATTGGTTCATCAAACTTGTCTTGCCGACACCGCTATCACCGAGGATGATGACCTAGACAGAAGAAGGACGTTAGAAGTGACGAGACTGGAGGTTGGAACTCCGTTGATTGCGACTGTACCTTCAAGAGGACCTTCTTTCTGGAGCTCATGGTGGGCGGCTGAACTCTGTTGTTGGGGAGGAAGAGTAGGAGGATGGGAAATGGATGACGCTTGACACGCAGTTAAGCGCGCACTGACTGCAGCAGCTGCGCCGTGGGATTTCGACTCGGAGTCAGAGAGACCAACGAGATGGATGGGAAGTCAAAAGGCCAACAAGCAGACCACGTGTTGGGGGTGTTGTGGGTTCGGTTGAGTAGACGATAGAGTAGAAAAGAAAAGCGCCGTGTAGAAGTGGAGGATGGGTATTCGGTGAGGTAGTCAGTCTAATGCAGGCAGAGCAAGCGAGCAAGCGGCGGATGGCGACAGAGTGACAGAGTGACAGACAAGGCCAACGTACTGCGGTCCACTATGGTAGGTACTGTGGTACTGTGGTACTGTAGATAGGCGATAAACGACATGCGACAGACAAGTGGAGGCGCATGATAGCGGAACAGGAGCGGCAAGAGCAGGGGAGCAGGGGCAGGAGCAGCGCCTACTGCACTGTGAGATGAGCACGTGCCTGCCTGCCGTGTCTTTGTTTAGGCCTGGCAGGAAGGCAGGAAGGCATGAGGCAGGCCAGTGGCAGGCCTAACTTCCTTCCTCCTGACCGCTGCTGCAGCAACTAGACGTATCTGTGTCTACCGTAACAGTAACTGTTAACTAAACTGCCTACGGCAGACTAAGCACAGTGACGGTGACGGTGACGGCAACAGTGACACCCGATCGTCATTGCTGCAGGGGCCAGGGCTGATCTCGTCCGATCCCATCCCATCTCTCTCAACTCCAACGACGACCTCGGGAGGTAGGATAGAGTTCTCGATCCATACATCACCATCAAGCCATCGACATCACCAACACCACCTCCACCTCCGTAACCTGACAACCAATGCGTCCACCACGCAGCTAGCAGGCAGGGTAGGCAAATGGCCGACGACCATGTCCTCGAAAAGGTGCACGCCCTGAGCGACGTCGAGCTGGCCTGCCTACTGTCGCTCATCAGCAACGAGCACTGCATCGTCAGCACCCCCGCCGACTGCCTCCACGACCTCGTCACAGAGCTGCAGCTCATCACCGACCGCACCTTCGGGCTCAAGTCTGCCGTCGTCGAGTGCACCCCAAATACCACCCTCGACGACTTTGCCAGCTCCCTGCTGCTCCAACCACACGCCTCCAGTCCCACCACCATCCGCTCGCACTCGCCCTACCTTTCACGAAGCGCCCACGACAGCTACTTTCCCGCCGGCCATGTCTCCTTCACCCATGCTCCTGGCCGGCTTGGCCAACCAGCCATTGCGCCCCTGACGCCCCAGACCCCAGGGCCCTCGCACAGCCAGATAGCCAACATCATCCTGGCCAAGAACCTCGACAAGGCCCCCAAGGCAGTGCAGATACAGGCCCTCGAGCTTCTACGGACGAAGCGCATCTTTACGAGAACGTCCGTTCAGACAGCGCCCAAGACATTTATGCTGGTGGCAGTCCTAGGCGCAGACAGCGGCGGCGAGGCGAGGGTGACGCAGCACCTGAACGACTTCTTCTACGTCGCGCACTGGGTAGATCCGGACGAGGAAGGGTTCGCCCACCTAGACGGGGACGACGCATCCTCCATCTCATATACCGACGACGGCGGGGGCGACGACCAGGCCAGCATCGCCAGCACGGCCAGTGTTGTCAAGCGACGCAGCCGCGGCAGCACCAACGACCTCCTGTACCGCAGCAGCCCGAAGCCCCTCGCCATACCATCCAACACCAACACTGCTACTGACAACAAGCCACCCGCATTCCCCGCCGCCGACATTTCCCACCTCCGCCAGCTATCCCTCCGCACCGCCATCGACATCGACGTGCTACGCTACCAGATGAATATCATCTCCTTCCTACGCATGCATCGCGCCGTCGCAGGCGGAATCACCCCGCAGGCAACGCGGCATCTCGAGCAGCTGGTCAAGACCCTTGCACCCCTACATGGGCTCGAGTACGTCACCCCAGCCCTGGTGGGCGTCGCCGCTCGCAAGGTGTACCTGCACCGCATCAAGATGGTCGAGCCCGCCAAGGAGAGGAGCATGCAGTGGGGTAGCGAGCTCGGCGCCATCGAACGGCTGCTCAAGGACTGGGGGCCTGAGGACGTTGTTGAGGAGGTTCTTGCGGTTGTCTCTGCGCCTGTATAAAGATAAAGGCGGCTGCGGGAAGACATTGTATATAAAGTGTTTGGTTTGTTGCCTTGCTTGGCTGACTTGCGGACTCACTCGTGGTTGGCTGTTTGCTTTGTGCGAGCGTGCGTTGTGTGTTTACGAGATACCCATATATCCTGCTGCTTACTCGACAGGGACACTAGGAATAATCAGATCTAGTTCTGGCGCTGTCTGCTTGCGCGTGCTTCGACATGGGAACATCATCATATTTCGCTTTGCTTCTCCAAGAAAAATTGAGTCGTTCGATTCCATTCACATTCGCGTCTCATTGACGCATCAATATTTGAGCCTCGTTCATGCGTACGGTCCATGAATCCGTAGATACCTAGGTACACCAAGTCCTTCTCCCCGTCCACCAAACACGCCGATGGGTCCCGCGAAGCCGGCTCTGTTTTGTGTTCCGGCCTCATTAGAGACAAGTAGGCTCATACGTAAAGAATAGCCGATGGTGTGCCCATATTCTCGCGCCTTTTTTTGATATGATCATGTCGTAGAAATTTGGTATGTGGCGGTCTAATAGCAAACAACAACGGATCACGCCGCTGATGATAGAGCATACATTGCCTATTTCTATAATTCCGATTTCCCTTCCTAGTGGATTTCAGTGACTCTGCACTGCCAGCCCGAGTTCTGGGACAGGAGCGGGAGACTAGATAGCGACGTTAGCATGAATTAATTCTGTTGGTCAGGGGGGGGGGGGTAGGAATGTCGGGTAGGACAAGGGGAGAGAGGACTCACCTAGCGCCCAGACACCAACCCAGCTCATTATCATTAATCTTCTTCGCGATCCGCACCTCGCGGTCAATAGGCATCTCGTAGCCGGCGTGCGCAAGCGCGACCATGAAGCTCAGGTCGAGGCAGTGCTCCGGCCGGTCGGCAAGCTCCTCGAGCGCGCCGCCCACGCTGGCAAAGACGTCCCAGCCGCCGTCCCGTGCGCCACCGCACACCCGCGTTGCGAGGTCCTGCATCTCGCGCAGCGTGAAGCTGTCGGGCATGCCGAGCGGCTGGGTGCGGTCGTAGAAGTACGACAGGAAGAAGACATCCTGAGTCGTGAACGTCTTGGCCAGGGCGGGCTGGTGCACGCCGTTGAAGGAGCAGGGGGCCAGCTTGCACTCGGCCTCCTTCTTGAGGATCTTCTCGGCCAGGCTGCGGCACTGCGCAGGCGCGCCGCCGGACGAGGGGCCGGTGAAGTTGAACTCGCGCGTTGCGCCGAGCGGGTGCGAGTCGCCAAGCTTCACGGTGACCACCTTGGACGTGCCCGATGCGAGACACGGGTTCACGACGGGCTTTGCCGTCCAGGAATTGTCTGGGGAGCTGCTGTGCGCCGCGTGAACCTGGTTGATGAGCTCGGCGTAGATGGCCTCGCGCGCGCTCATCAGGCCATAGCCCAGGTGCGAGTGCTGGTACAAGGTGAAGTGGCGCCCGCCAAAGTCCAGATCGTACTTGTGGTCGCCCTCGGCCATCTTGCTAGGCATTCCACCGTCCGTCACACCCTTGAAGTTGGGCTCAAAGACGATCTGCGTGGAGCCACCACCCAAGTCGAACACGGCGGCGGTAGAGCTCTCATCCGGCCCACCGATGTTGCCCAGCAGGTAGTTAGTCGTGATCCACGCGTAGACACCTTCGTCCTTTCCTTCCATGATGGCAACACCTTCGTTTTCGGCTGTCACGACTGGGAAGGGGTACTTGGTCTCGAGATGAGTGCGCACGGCGTCTAGGATCTTCTGCGACTTCTCCGGCCCAAGGAGACGCAGACCCGCGGTGGCCTTGACAGCAACTGGGGAACACCCCTTGAGCTTGTCCGGCACGGTTGCCATGGCCTCGTCCATGAGGATGTTCAGACTTTCAGCAGCGGCCTGTGGGTCGTCGGGATATGCGCTGAGGCCGCTGCTCTTGCCGTCCACCTTCTTGGTCATCTTGAAGACCTCGTTCTCGAGGAAGGGGGTGGGACCGCAGTTGTTGAACTTGTAGACGTGGATGCGCGAGCCAGTGCTGCCGGCGTCGATCATGTTGACATATTGCACGATTGGCTTATCCTTGGAGAAGGACTTTGTGCAGTAGGTGGTGCCATAGCTCGAATCGGAGGGAACCTGGCCACCGCCGGCTGACGGCGATGAACCCGAGGAGCCACGGTAGACATCAACGCCTGAGGGAGCGAGGTAGTAGAGGCCGACCAGGACGAAGAAGACTAGTGCGCCGGTCTTGAGCCAGCGCGTCTTCTGCGCCTGGGACATCATATCGTTCTTGAGTTTCTCCAGGGTGCCGACTTGTCGCGGTTGGTAGCGAGCCGGCTTCTCGTGAGGGTCGTGGGCGAGGCCTTGTTTGTGTTTGGGCAGAGAGACGGAGGTACGCCGCATGTGGGCGTTGGTCCTCTGTGTCGCTGAGGTTCGACTGCCGGAGGGTCAGCGAGTCGAGTGGAGACGGGTGGGATCGAGGTGATGTCGAGGATTGGCTATCGACGACAATTATCGACGAGGTGAATGAGTGACTGGGACAGTTCCGTCTTAGACCAGGTGGTAGCTAGCTCAGGGCAATTCGTGAATGCAAGCACAAGCCACGGCCTCCATTAAACGCGATAAGCCCTAGGCGAATAGATAGGGGAAGCGAGAGACAAGAAGGGATCACCGCGTGGCGTAGCGTAGCGTAGCGAGGACAAAAAAGGAGGACAAATGTCTGTTCCCGGTAGAATTGGCTGGCGCGAGACAAGACAGGCTATTTCCACAAGCAACAATCAACGATCAACAACCAGAGTGGAGGGATAGAAGAGAACAGTCGACACGAGACGGCCAGGACGTCGTCGAGGATTGGGATGGTCGTGTCTGTCGTGGTAGTCGTGTCGTGTCGTGTTGAGTGGACAGAAAAGGGGGCAGGGCAGGGAGAAGGGGAACAATGATGGCCGATGGATGGGTGTTGAATTGCTGATGCAGAATTTCGTTGTCAATTTCCATGTGCCAGGTACAGTATAGTTTAGTCTAGCCTACGTACTGCTTTGCAGTCTGCAGTACAGTAGACTACCAGCACAGCACGGTAGTCTCCCTGCCTCTCTGGCTAGGTATGCTCTGTATTGTGGCAGTCGTCACTGGTTGGTCCCTGATTTCTTGTCCCTTGCCCCTGCCGTTGGGTGGAGACGGCGCCCCCAACTTCTAGCCTGGGCAGGCCTGGCTCGCCTGGCTCTAATCTTGGACCCCCTGTCAAGATCGAAGGAGGCAGCTGCAAGGAGGAATAGGAGGAGTGTGGCGTTTTGGCGTTTACTGTACAGAATACGGAACGGAGAGTTCAGCCACACTTTTCGACCGTCCCGTTCCGTCCGTCTGCCTGTGTCCGTCTGTCGACTTCGCCGAGGTTCGATGATTGGTGATGCCCATCCATCCCATGATGGATGATGGCCTCCTTTGACGGCCTGAACGCCGCCGCGTCTTGTTGTTGCCTCAACCTCCTAAGCCACATCACACGCCCATCTCGACCTCGCATTACATTTCATCTCACTATACCCTAGGTGAAGAGGCAAGTATTCTTCTTCCTCGTCCAGTCTTCTTTTTAGTATTTTCTTATCCGCCGCTCTCTATCCTCTGTCCCCAATCCTCCGTCATCTGTCCTGTCGCCTGTGGCATTTGCGCCTGTGGATTTTCCTCACGATTCTCTCATCTCTCGCTCACAACCATGGACGTGCATCTGCTCGTGTATGACCTCTCCCAAGGTCTTGCACGACAGATGTCCATGGGTCTTCTTGGCTTCCAGCTCGATGCAATCTACCACACCTCCATCGAGCTTGATGGTCTCGAGTACGTCTACGACGGCAACGTCGTAGCCATCACCCCTGGCTCCTCTCATCTTGGTCGACCACTGCAGCGTCTACATTTGGGAAAGACCGAACTACCCATGGAAGTCATCCATCCGTATCTGGACTCATTAAGAGAGATTTATACCGTCCAAGTGAGTACCGTGATGTGATGTTCTGGCTCAAACCTGGCGACGGCTGACTGACACCTCTTAAGGCGTACGACTTGTGGAAACATAACTGCAACAATTTCTCAAATGATTTCGCAACTTTTCTGCTGGGCAAGGGGATACCAGACCACATTCTCCACATGCCCGATGCTGTGCTGCAATCGCCCATGGGGAGAATGCTCATGCCCGCTCTGAACCAGCAGGTCGAGGCGGGCAGGCAAAGTAGAGAAGGCATCTGGGGCATCCAGAACGGCCAAGCAACCTCAGGCCCTGCTCAGCCCAAGATTCAGCATCAGCAAGCCACGGTACGGACAGCCGCCAGCTCCCAGGAGTTCGATTCTCTTCTCGCGAGTGCGCAAAAGTCCTGCGCTGTTGTTTTTTTCACGTCTGCGACCTGTGCCCCTTGCAAGATGCTATACCCTTTGTATGACGAGCTCGCAGCCGAAGTTGGAGATAAGGCAGTACTGGTCAAGGTGGATATCTCACAGGCCTTTGACGTTGGCAGTCGGTACTCGGTCCGAGCCACTCCCACCTTCATCACTTTTCTCCATGGCAAGGAAGAGAACAGGTGGTCCGGAGCTGACCAGTCAGCCTTGCGAGGGAACGTTCAGCTGCTTGTCCAGATGGCACACCCGGTCCACCCCCATGCATCACTGAGGCTGCCGAGCTTGCAGAACCCGGAAGCGAAGCCCGTGCTCTTCACTAAGATCCCGCCATTGCAGAAGCTACTCGCAAAGATGGGAACCGCGGCAGATCACGAGGCCGTCAAGGCCATTTCGCACTTCATAGAAGCTCGCAGCAAAGAAGGCCCCGCAAATGACCCGCTCCCCGATATGCCATCTCTCACAGCCTTCCTCCAGGCCTCAACAAGTACGCTGCCTCCCGAGCTCATGTTCACAGTCACCGACCTCCTCCGCTGCGGACTCGTTGATCCTCGCCTTAGTGGCGTCTTCGCCGAAGAAAAAGACCACGCCACGGTCCTATCCCTCCTTTCCTATGTCAACGGCCTGAAAGACTGCCCGTACGCGCTTAGACTCGTCACGCTGCAGATGGCCTGCAACCTCTTCACCACTCCTCTCTACCCAGACCAGATTCTCACGCACGAGAGCCTGCGCACTGCGATCACGGGCCTGATATCAGCCAGCTTCCTGGACGATAACCACAGCAACGTTCGCGTCGCCGCCGCATCGCTGCTGTTCAATGTCGCGCTGGCAAACAACCGCAAGCGGCGCACGAGCCAGGACGACGCCCTCCCCGAGGCCGACCAGATCGAGCTGGCCGCCTCGCTGCTCGAGGCTATCGCGCAAGAGGGCGAGTCTACCGAGGCGCTGCAGGGCATGCTGCTCGCTCTTGGATACCTGGCTTACCTGGCGCCGCTGGATGGGGAGCTGGTGGACTTGCTGAGGGTCATGGCTGCGGATGATACTGTGAAAGGCAAGAAAGGCGCATTCAAGGATGTGAAGCTGGTTGAGGAGGTTGGTGGGGAGCTTCTCGGCAAGGGGCTGAGGAGGCCGTAGATGGAGGGATGGTCCTGCTCAAGACATGTTTGATGTCCTTCTCTGGCTTCAATACACGGCCCTTATAGCGTTTACGTGTGCAGTGTGGTTTTTTCAGCTAGATGGGTGTTTTACAATGGCATGGCTTAGACGACTAGGGGAGATTTAGATTTAGACGACGAATCCCGATCGACTGCGAAGAAGCTTAAACAAATTTTCGTTGTTGTCGACGTTACCACTTCATCATTTTGGCAAACCGGGCAGAAACGAAAGGCGTTCAGCCCCCTCGTCTACTGCAAGATCAGTCTCGTGGCTGCCTGCACTGTCACTGTGCCGTGCCCGCGTCCAGCATCTCAGGACGCGTCTACGCCAAGACGCAGCAGATGAAAATGCATCGTATCGTGGCATCGGCCCACTGGGTCACGACCCTCAAGGGACAGCTATAAAGAATGACATGAGCAGGCAGCCAAGATAATCAACCCCTGCTTCTACCCGTACTTTCTTTGAACAGCGGGAGACGAGCGCCAAGTCAGTCAGCATTTCGGCATTAGCTCCTCCGTGGTGAAATATGCACGAGCTGCATGCGGTGGTGCTCTAGCGGGGGGGTTAGTTGAAGCGTAGCTGATCGTCACGTGTGTAAGATAATATCTGGGTTGGATATAACTTCATTCTCACCACACCCCGCCTTCGTCATGAGGCCTATCTTACAGGCATCCTCAAGATGTCTTTCCCCAATCTAAACTGGATCATGTCAGAGCTTTCCCCCAAGTCAATTTGTCCCCAGGCGGATCGCCTCGCCGAGGCAGGGCTTGCCCATCGCGTCTTGCTGCCGACTGACACTGACTATGTGTCGCGGAACGAATCGTACTGGAGCAAGGACGCAAGGTTGCGGCCGGCTTGCATCGTCACGCCTCGATCGGCCGATGAAGTTTCAAAAGCGGTTGTGGCTCTCGTAGCTGGGGGACATACCTTTGCCAGTAAGATAGAAACTCCGGACAGTTGTAACTCCCTTCTTCACGTGAAAGCTATCCACGAAACTTTGAGACGCCTCACTTTTGTTGTAATTATCACGTCCAGAACGAAAATCCTCGCCGATGACCACATCTCAGGACTTGACAGGGCACTTACAAATGCGCTCAATCATCGAACCTCAAAGCATAGCTGACTGTTCTAGTCCGGAGTGGTGGGCACGCCAGTTGGGCCAACAATATTGACCGGGGCGTGACAGTGAGCGATTCCCGATCATTTGTGTAACCGACCTAGGCGTCTGAGAGTTACAGCTCGTGAGCTTACCTACTCTCAAAACCAGATAGACTTGGGCTTAATGACAGATCTCACTGTCGACACCGTCTCCGAGACAGTCCGCTTCGGCCCCGGCGGCCGCTGGCGCGACATTTATGCAGTCCTCGCCCCATATGACCGGATCGTCCCCGGCGGCCGTGAGGGCCAGGTCGGCGTGGCCGGCCTGCTCCTTGGGGGCGGCAAGACCTTCCTCACAGCTCGGAGAGGCTTCGCCTGCGACAATGTGCTGGAGTATGAGGTTGTGCTGGCAGACGGCCGCATTGTGAAAGCCAACAAAGACGAGCACCCGGATCTTTTCCGCGCGCTGAAGGGCGGCTCCAGCAATTTTGGCATCGTGACGAGCTTTAAGATGGCCATGGTCGAGAACAAAGGAATCTGGGGCGGGATAACCGTCTTCTCCAAGGAGCATATCCCGGCAGCGATCGAAGCAACGCGTGATTTCGCGGCGAATGTCGCTGCACACCCTGACGAGAACTTGATCGTGCTCTTCACAAAGTTACCGAGCTTCAAGGAGACGGTCATCTGCACACTCTGTTAGTAACAATTCTGCGATGTGAGCACGGGGCCCACCTGCGGCCTGTGTCTGCATTGAGTTCATGAAGGGGCCCTGATGCTAATTGACCGCCACTATAGATGTGAGCATGACAGGCACTGAGAGAGCGCCAGCATATAGCAAATGGCTAGCTTTACCTGAAATTACCACCAACACCAAAATGACAACAGTAGCGGAGCTGATAGCAGAGAACAATACACCCGGAAACTACCAGTAAAGACCTTGTGCCACCGGCCTCCGAGTCAGCTTCAATGTTCCAAATCTAACCTTTCAATAGCGTCATCTGGTTCACCCTGACCTTCAAGAACAACACCCGCATTATGGCCAAAGCCTCCGAGCTTCACGATACTCTTGTAGAAGAACTGGAATCCATCGTCCCAGATGGCAACATGGTCTCCCAATGTATCTTCCAGCCCCTCCCCAAGCTCTACGGAGAAAAGTCTGCCGAGGCGGGCGGCAACATGTTGGGGCTGGAGAAACAGAAAGACGACGCCGTCCTGCTGCTGGCTTTGGTCTCGGTCCCCACGGCGGAACAGCGGGCGATTGCGTACCCCAAGGTCAAGGCTTGGGTCGACGAAGTGCAGAAATTCGCAACCTCTATCGATGGTGCCGAGGACTGGCTATATCTGAATTATGCAAATTCCAGCCAGGATGTTCTGGCGAGCTACGGGGCTGAGAACGTCGAATTTATGAAGAAGGTGGCGGCCAAGTATGACCCTGAGCAAGTGTTCCAGAAGTTGTGCCCTGGAGGCTTCAAAGTTTCGGAGCTTTGAATAGAAGCCCAATGTTCATCCACGAGAAATGGATAAGTCTGGGATACATCAAAGTGTGATGAAAACGAAAGCTGGTTACAACCTGGCCATCATGAAACATATGATTGCTGATCTATTACATTATCATGAACATTTAGCCATGCATCTTGCGCTCTATACATTCCATTGCTGCAAAATAACTGGAACTGCCCTATCCTGCTGTCATAACATTCTTGGCAGGGGTGTCTCTCATCTGGCCTAATTTTGTTAGTGCTTCGCCAAGCAGTGGTGAGTTGATACCCTTGTCAGGTACAGTGTCCCATCCTGGTACTTGGTGTTTTCGAAAACACAAACAATGGGGACTGTTAACTGGCATTGGTGCGTTTCTTATATCGCCATAATTCAACGGGAGAAGCTTAAGCCTACAAGCTCCTACATCTAGTCCTCTTCGGGTCCTGACTGTGCCCCGGCTGAGGTGCAACCGGGGGCCCATACAACAGCTGGAAGAGACTGACGGGCTGTTCCTCTGATTGAAACGAGCCGTCGAGATGGGGATTTGATAATTCAGAAACACCGCCTGGAAGCTGCATCCATATAGTTGGTCAAGAATGACTCCGTCAGATCAGACCAATTCGTCGCTAGTCGATGAGGTTGAACCCTACCGAAAACCAAGAGCTTTATATATTACCGACAAAGCTTTAATTTCCGCAGCCAATCTACTTGACGCGAATTAGCACCCAGCTGCAGACCCTCTTCGCCTGGCCCACACCCCCTAGGGTGTTCATCATGACTGTTATAAAACACATCTGCAGTTGTGATTTGGAGCTTAATAGCCCGGCAGCTTCTGCAAGACTCTGACTGTCATTCGTTCTTTTCGGCATATTTTGGACTTCATTTGGGGTCGATACCGCTTGCAGGATGAAATTCGTATACAGTCTCGCAGCGCTGGCTCCACTGCTAGACTTCACAAGCGCTGGTAAAATTCGCTTTGGATGTTCTCAGCTCGCCTACGGCGTGTTTGATCCGTGAGTTCTTAGCGAGATACTGAAATTGAGAAAGTTATAAACGCATCGCTGACATGTGGCTACCAGTCTGGTCTTCCCCGGGCAAACCACGGCTGGTCACCTGCATCAGTTCAACGGAGGGAATGGCTTGAATTACACCCTTGATCTGGCAGATGTCTCCCCCGAATCTTCCTGCACAACATGTACATTTGCCGAGAATTTCTCTAACTACTGGACCGCGACGCTCTTCTTCAAGGCCCGCAATGGAACATACCACCGGGTCCAGCAGATTCCCAACAGCGGATTCGAACAAGGCACTGGTGGTGTGACAGTTTACTATGCCTACCCAGATGATGGGCGGAAGGTCACTTCGTTCCCGGCTGGTTTCCGCATGCTTGTCGGCAACCCCAGTGCCCGCTCGTCCAAGGAGAGGGCAAAGTCTGGCACATTAACCTACTCCTGCTTGACATCGCTTACAAGCAGGCCAACGGGCACAAGCTCGATGCCAACTGAACCATGCGCAGCCGGGATCATGGCGAACATACGGTTCCCGCAGTGCTGGAATGGTAAAGACCTCGACTCTGAGGATCACAGGAGTCACGTGGCATCTGCCGACGCCAAGGTCGAGAGTGGCGGCGTGTGCCCTTCAGACTTCCCGGTGCTGCTTCCGGAGATCTACATGGAAGTCGTCTGGGATACTACGCCATTCAATGACCCGTCTATCTGGCCGACCGATGGATCTCAGCCATTCGTCTGGAGCCAAGGCGACCTTACCGGGTTCGGGGCTCATGCAGATTACATTTTCGGCTGGGAAGGGGACAAATTGCAGCAGGCCATGGACGACAAGTGTAAAAATATGAATTGTGCCGCACTGAAGACCCAGAGCATCGCCGATGGCAAAAGCTGTGCCAACACACTTTCCCCTGCGCCGGCGGCGCAGCTCGATGAGTGGCTGGACACCCTGCCGAACAACATCGTGGTCAATTAGAACTCAGAGAATAGGATATTCATGTAAAAAGTTTGCTTGTAGCCAGAGCATGCCACGTCTCAAAGTCACGTTCTTTGCACAGCCAATAATATCTCGTCTTATACGATCGTGTCCGCCTGCATGCTGTTGGTTACCTCCCCGATGTTTCCCGTCTCTGCGATCTCCTCCGTGGACAGCTTTGGCTATATTCGCCCAAGCGCCCAATCAATGTGAAACTGGATCACTCAACCATATTTCCAATTAATATTGACCAACTTGTTGCCATGCTGAGTCGAAAAGTAGAGGTAGAAAGATTCAAAATCCATGTCGCGCGTAGCCGTGCTGGCGCCACAGTGTACCCAGGCCACAGTCTAGAACCGTGACATGCAACGAGTGCGACAGTACATTGTGAAATGATAAAAATGGGTCACGGTGTCGGTCATTAATTTAAAGGTTGCATTACAGAGCCTCTGATGTCAAATAAATGTCCTAAGTCATTGAATCTTACAACCTGGCCAGCCCATCTACACTCCAGCGCAAAGACCACACTTTGATAGAAATCATAGTGAATCAAATGGCTCATGCCACAGGCATACCACCTGGAAGTTGTGATATCCAGCCATCGATGTTCTCATTGACAGACCTCTTGACGGTGCACTGATTGCCCTGCTGAATAGACTGGCTCTTGAGCGGGGAACAATTCAGGCTATTGCCGAGAAGATCACTGTTGCAGTTGCTCGAGTCTAGGGCACTCTGCAATGCATTCCCCTCCCAGCCAAAGACATAATCGCCATGGCTTCCATAGCCGGTCTTGTCGCCGAATGACCAGACGAATGGCTGGGATCCATCTGTCGGCCACAGCGACTTGTCATTGAACTTGGTCGTGTCCCAGATGGCCTCGTAGAACACCTGTGGGATGACGACCGGGTGTGTCGAAGGGCACGCGTTATTCACCGGATAGGCAGTGTGGCTCTGGTGGTCCGCCGAGTCGAGGTTCTTGCCGTCCCAGCAGGTCGGGAACCGCAAGCTGACCATGATCCCAGCCGCGCAGGTACCGGTGGGAAAGCCGGTTGTGTCGGCGCCACGCGTGTATGCTGTCTGCAGGCATGTGTAGATCAAGCTTGGGTACTTCTTAATCTGATCGGCGGTGCGGAAGCTCGGGTCGCCGACCGTCATGCGGAAGCCCGGCTTGAAGGAAGTTGCTTTTCCGTTCGTCAGGTAATAAATCGTCATGCCTCCGTTGGCAGAGCCGAAGCCGAGCGGGTTGCCCATCGTGGGGAGACGATAGAAGGTCCCATTTCGTGCCCGGAAGAACATGACAGCTGTCCAGTAGTTGGATTTGTCCTGGGGCACGGTGCAGGAGGTGCAGGTTGCGGTTGTTGCCACGTCGTGCTGGGCTGGGTTCATGGAGGCATTGAAAGCGTTACCCCCGACAATCTGGTGGAGATGGGGGGAAGGAAGAGCTCCCGGGTTGACGAGACTTCGTAACGAAACAAAATAGGTCAGACCGTTGTGCAGTATTCATTTCTTTCGTGTTTAACAGCGGACTCACGGGTCAAGGCGGTCGACGACAAGCTGCGAGCAAAAGAATCGAAGCATGATGGCATAGGCGGACGGTGCAACGGCCACACCGGCCGCAAGAAATGAACTCAAACGCATCTTGAATCCTTCCCTCTACTATTCTTTTCTTGTTGGATTTCAGTGACACAGTAAGAAGAATGATTGCTTCTGTTACTATAGGTTGCAAAATGATATTTGCAGTTTCACGTCGAGGACTGGGTGAAGACAGCACTCTACACTTTATGAGACATGATTTCAAGACCAGACACATAATCCAACTTCGGTGGCCTCAAGTAAATCCTCCTACAATAGTAATCGTTGACCCGATCTATCACGAGGCGGCGTTGCTGGTTGGAGCAACTGCCGGAATTAATGCAGCCCTCTCAATTCATCCAAATTTGCCGGTCCACTTACTTTGCGGCCGACATACATGACAATATAGCGTGTGTAACACGACCAATATACGGGACTCTACAAATAGTGCCGATCGCGAGGGATCCCAACGCTGCTTCTGTCTATCTCCAGTTGATTAAGGAAACAAGTCAAGCTTTCAAGTCCTATGACATTTTATCTCACTGATGTACTCTACTGCTTCAATAAAATTTGTTAAGTGCAAGGGGTAAAAAAAACCTCACGAGTCCACCAGGGATGCTGTTATTGGAGGCTTCGATGGTATGTCATGTTTGAAGCTCCTCTGTAAGGCTGGCCATCGTAGGCAATCAAGAGCGCCGATGCAATTCTGAGAGGCGTGTGTGAAACCAATCATTCCGGTAGAGTAGGAATTGATCACATGGCGCTATCATGCTTCTCAAGCATAAATCTGACCAAGAGAGTCAGTTGATTGAACTTGTTGTCGTTGCGTATTAAGATCACAAGGCAAGGTTCAAAATACTTTCCAAAGTGCGAAAGCAATGTTCTGAACGGAAGAGCAGGGGGGAAATATTGGTTCACATGAGGTGGCTCGACACCGCTAGCCAGGCGATCTTGTCTAGTATATGTTGAGGATGGATCTTGCAGTTTGGCACAGTTTCAGTAGAATTCGAGGTGCCTAGACTTCCTCAAAAATGTCTCGGGGCCCCTCGCCACTGCGATCCACACCGGTGGAACAGGACTTCGTGACCAAGCTGTCCAACGACATGCTGCATTGTGCAGGTCTCCTGTCTTGGCAATTGCCAAGTAAATACTGAGAGCCGATCATAATGCGACCCAAATTCTGCTGACAGGCTTTCTCTGATATTGGAGCGGTGGTGCTCGCTCCGGTTATGTAAAATAATATACGAACAATGTCTTGGCTACTCTCCAAATTCATCAAAGGGCTTCCACTCCCACCACCATTCGTCATGTCGGTAGATGTTATTTTCTGTCTCACATACTTTCTTCTTAATCTTGATATCCTCCCTTTTGTTGGAAATTTTCTCCCTTCACTTTGTTGTAGCCCTCGCAACGGCTGGGCGTCCTCGATTGATGTTGACATTTCTTGCCTCGCATAAGCATACACTTTACTCAAGATCAACGTTCTCATCTACTATCATGTTGCTACGTTTCCCAGAAAAAGAACAACTATGCAGATTCATAAGGCAATCAGTTCCCTTAAAGGCCCCATCATGACCACTGAGCCTCACGTGCCAGTGACCCGGACGAGCGGCAAAAAGGCTCGATCAACACTGAGTCTGTATTGTCTCCTAGCCCGCGATCTTTGGACACATGTCAGACAAGCTCAAAAATTTGTTGATGACGGGTCAAGTCATGCCGGCTAGTCTCTGGCTTAATATCTCAGACATGCTGGTGAAAATTGTGGGGGCGCCTCTTTTTGACAGTAGGGCGTCGCCAGGGTTAGGACAAGGCCACAGCACTCGTATGCGCCACCATGAACACGACAGCACAATCACATACACTACTGTGATTAGAACAACACCGCACACACTCTCGAAACTCGCAACACGTCACTGCGAAGCCCCCTGTGGTTTAATTCTACGTATATAAGGTTATTTCAACTGAGACTTAACCCACGTCTCTCAAAAGAATTCTCCCACTGGAGGTCATCCAACAGGTGGTCATCCCATAAGCCATCGTCCCATAGGCGGTTATCCCATGGAGGCCTTCACTCTTGGCACTGGAGCCTCCATCTACACGCAGAGGCTGCTACCGGCAATCTCGTCAGCTCAGCATGAGATCATCTTGGTAACATGCTTCTGGGCTCCCTCAAAGACGTTGACGGCGCTCTCCAATACACTCGAGCAACTTGCCCGCCAGCGTGAGATTCGGCAGCCTGCTCGACCGCTGCGCGTGCGCATCTGCTTCTCCTCGCGTTCAATCCTCCAGAAGCTTTCCCACACATCTTCGGCAGACGGGTATGTATATCCCAGGTCAGCCTGGGATACCAAGCTCGGCCTGCCGGCCCCAGAGGTCCTGGCTGCAGGTAACATCGAGCTGGAGGTGAAGAGCCTATTCTTCCTTCCCTTCAGCGTCATGCACCCCAAATTCCTCATTGTTGATCGTCAACGCGCTTTCGTGCCAAGTTGCAACATCAGCTGGGAGGCTTGGTTCGAGGGCTGTCTGGAGCTATCGAGAAGAACACCTCGCGATGATCCGCTCGATGGCCTACTAGAGTTCTATCGTACAGTGTGGGATAGAGATCTGGACCTAGGCGCATCTCTGCCACCAGCACCCGAGCAAGGGAACGAGATAACCAGTGGTGGCCACGTGGAAGAAATCATCAAGTCTCCGGCGGATGTCATGGCCAGACTCGTGGACGTCGAAGTGCCAACTGCTTCCATCGAATGGCTACCCAGTTGGCACCACCGCAACCCTTCCTTCTGCTTCTTGCCCTGGAAGGCCCCGTCTGTACCGGGCACTCCTCTCAATACTACGATTTTGACGTTGTTTGACGAAGCGAGCCGCGGAATTTACATCCAGACTCCGAATCTGACGTCTCCGCCAGTGCTTTCAGCTATTCACGCAGCTCTCTCTCGTGGGGTAGATGTCACGATTGTGACGAGTCGGCGCATGATGTTGCTGGAACAAATCGTAACAGCGGGCACAACGACAGGATGGTGTATCAGAGGCCTGATCAAACGGTATCGACGGATGTGTGATTCTGCCCGAAATCAAGGACAGGCACAAGCAGGAGGAAGCGAGAATGTTGATCTTGAAGCTCAGGCCATCACACCAGGGGCTCTGAAGATTTCCTACTTCTGCTCAAGAACGGGCTCGACCTCGGAAGAAGAGCCTGTACACTCACACTTGAAGCTCAGTATCTTCGATGGACAATATACGGTGCTGGGTTCGGGCAACATGGACCGAGCGAGTTGGTTCACAAGCCAGGAGCTCGGTGTGCTGATCCGAAGTACCGGGTTTGCAGCGACAATTAAGAAGACCGTGGATGAAGTCCTCGATGGCAGGTTGGATTCCGTCTTTACGACTTCTTGAAATATGAGATGACACGGAACAATCAGCCAAGGGGCAATCTCGATGCGCGGGAAGAACAGGTCACCGAGTATACAACAAGTATTGAGAGAATGTGCTCTATTCGTATTGACAGCGATGGTGTTCGCAAGAACTATATACATCGAAGGAGAAGACCTTTGGGAATGAGAAAAACGTCCGGGTATGCTCTATGTACAATTTCCGGGCATCTCAACATCATCATCGCCACCGCCGCCGGACTGACTCTGCGCCGGCCGAAAAGCTTAAAAAGCCGGGTTGGCGTTGGTCAGGAGCTGCTCGAAGTACGCCTCGAACCAGGTACCGGCCTCGGGAGCAGGCTTGAGGGAATCCGACTGCCCACAGTGGAAGTCATACCGGGTGGCGCTGGTGTCGCTGGTGCCGTCAGATTCGCCGCCGGGCTTGACCCAGACGAAGGCATCCTCGATGTCGAGGCCGGTGTTGGAGCTGGGGCGAAGACCGAACCCAGTGCCCCTGGCGATTTTGTCAGCCAACCATTTCCAACTTTGCCTTGGGAAAAATACAAAACAAACGAAGCAAAAGAAAAACTTACAGGGCGTTGCACCAGTCTCCCCACGCAGTCTGGCCCGTTGGCTGCTTGCCGGAACGGCCCTGGTCGGTGATAAAGTGCGCGTCGAACCCTTCAGCCTTGAGGAGAGGCTGGATGGCTTGGACGTAGTGGGACTCGTCGTAGTTGGAGTTGCCTGAGGGAGATGTCAGCATTCCTAATCTCAGCTTTCCGATCGTCTGTTCAACAACGACTCACCTTGGGTGTAAGACGGTGCAGTGGCGACGGACCAGGCGTTGTAGTTAGCAACGTTTGTCGCCAACCCACGCACGGCAGCAGGGGAGCTGGCGTTCTTGTACACCGAGGCGAACAGGTCTGCGGCGGGCTGCAAGTTGGCCGACCATCCCAGCCAGCCGGCGTGGCCAGCGTCGATGTAGGCACCGACGTTGGGCAGGTTGAGCTGCTTCAGGGCATAGTTCACCGACGCCAGGTAGTTGTCCTTGGCGTTGGCGCACTTGGCGACGTTGAGGTTCGTCACCAGGTTGGCAAGCGAGTCGGGCTCAATGACCAGCAGGATCCGGATGTCCGAGTAGGCGATGATCTGCTTGCGGATCGAGTCGATATAGGCCTGGTACTTGGCCGCGCCGCCGTTGGCGTAACTCAGCTCGCCGTTGGAGGCGGCCGCCGCGCAGTCACGGTCGGGGAGATCATAGACTACGAACAAGCCGGCGTACGGGGTGCTGGCGGCCTTGTTGGCGGTGCGGATGTCCGCAAGGGTGTCTGCCATCAAAGTGTCGACCTTGTCGGCAGTGTCACTTTACAGAAGGTCAGTCAATGATACATGAGTGCGATATCAGGAACATGGAAAGACTCACAGCCACTGAAAGCTGGGCACCTTGGCGGCTGCGGCGGCCTTTGTGGCCATGGCCGCCGACAGCGTGGGGATGGCATAGGCCGAGACCTCAGAAGCATAGTACGAGTTGGCCCACTGGTTCACGCCCGCGAAGGGGTTGCCGCTGTACGAGGCGGTGGTGCCGGCACCTCCAGAGATCGTGGTCGACGGCTTGCTTGAGGTAGTCGCCGAGCTTGCACTGGTGGTGCTCGCCTTGGAGGTTGATGCCGAGCTGGTGCTGACCTTGCTTGTCGACGAGGTGGCTGCGGAGGTGGTCTTGGATGTTGTGGCGCTGGAGCTCGCAGCAGAGCCGGGCAGGCACTGTGAGTAATACTGGTTGACGAGGTTGCAAGTCGACCCAGACGCACAGCAGGTCGATCCGGTCCAGCCTGTACCGCCACACTGGGAGCTGAAAACTACTGTCAGTATATCCAATATGAGCCTTGGAGGTGGGATGCGAGGGCTTACTATACGGCACCGCAGTTTTGTCGCTCCTCGACGGGCGCAGCCAGAGCCACGCTGGCCAAGGCAGCGGCGAGAAGAACGTGTTTGACGGCCATGTTTCCTTGAGGTGATGCCGGTCGAGTTTGCAGTATTGAGCGAACTGAGAGGTGTGGCTAGAGACGAGGCTTCTATTGACAAACTGGGTCACGATGGTCCTCCTTTTATGAAGGAGAATGTCTCATCCGTCGATGGAAGCGCGCCCCGCCATGTGTCGGATAGGCGGGAAGGCGGCCTTCGGTGGGTAATATCGAGGTCTTCACGTCTGGACCACCGCCCCTTGGGCACGGACAACGACCCCATGTGCTCCGGTATGTCGTACCCTGCTTCGAGAGAGGCATGCTGGCAAGGCACGGCGGAGGGAAGATGCTGTCTCATCCGGACTAGGCATTTAGGCAGGGCGTGCCGAGTGGGACCGAGGATCAAGGAAACGAAGCCAGGGCACGACAGGGACGGGGAATCTCGTGGCCTCCGTGTGATCACATCACACAATTGTCCAGTGTAGCAGCAGCTGACCCAGCGGGATCCCTAGCAAGTCGTCGACTCACGCATCGTCGAGACAGGACGAAGTCGAACCTAGACATATTGGTCGCCCCCAAGGGTACCCCAGTCCCGGGAAACAGACTGCAAACAAACGGCCCAAGAAGGCAAGGATCGATGTTTCCGCCAACCAAAGAGCATCCAGACCAACCTTGGCATCTCGCACCATCGGGTTGACAGCCCTTGCGCGTGAGCTTAATCTCGGAGCCCCACGTTCCTGAGTGTCCCTGAAGGGAAAGCGTCAGATCATTGCCAGCAGTGTGGGGTGTGCGCGTGGAGCTGCCCGCAGCTGCATTGTGCTTTTTGGGGAGCAGGGGTGTCAATCGGATCTCGTCGACTGTGTTCCGGACCGTCCTGCGATGTGCAATTTGGATTCCCTGTGCCACGAGATGGCAGAAAGACTCCGATCTTGTTTATCATCTGTCTTGGAGTTGGCAAGTGGCTGGTCGAGGTGGTTGCTGTTTCTCAGCCGCTTCATCAAACATAAAAAGGTTTCACTCCCAGCAAGGCAGGGTAACCGCGCCATCAGCTGGGGAACATGTGCTTCCCGTCTGCTAGCGGGAGCACGTTTAATATCTGGATAAATTGCCCGCTTCCCGTTCCCCTGAACCAGCACCTTGCAATTGTCACGTCCTTCTATGTCTTTTCTTTTGCCTGCGCCTTTCTTGCCACTCCTATCCGCGAGCCGCTGCGCTGACGACTCTCGGGTTGCTGCATTCGGATATTGGGACCTTCTGCCCGGGATGCGCATGCGCATGTGTCTTGGCCCCAACCCTGCCTTACTACACAAGCAATGCGTTAAGCCTTTTTAATCTGGAGTCTGTCATAAATCTGAAGATCAGCGGAAAGCTTGGTTGCTGGACCGAGAACTTGACTTTATTACCATGCTTCTGGGCCTGCCCAGCACCGGGGCCGTCGGTCGAGACCCGACCATTACTCTTGGGCCCTGCTGTGGATTTTTGTCCCGGGAATATACCGAGAAATGTGACCTCAAGACTGGAACTTGACATGACTCTGTTCCGAGCTTAGTTGTATTCTCCAGAATTACACTTCTTCAGGTGGATCAGCTCTGAGCAAGCCGATGTGGCACTACATTTTACCGTTCACCGGCTCTAACCGAAAGGCACTTAGGGTGCATCTGTGGGTATTTGCGGACCAAATAACGCCTTCAAATCGACTGATTGCTGTCAATGTGGACCTTACCTCATGAGATCTTCGCATGAAGATCCTGCTTCTCTTTCCGCTTCAACCTCGGAAAGTAAAAGACCTTTAGCAATGGGAGCGGTGCCGACTGTCTACCTTGAGCTCAGTGGGTCCAGTTGTACCCGCAAAGGAAAGCGCAGCGCCACTATCTGTTGACTTGGCCCATCATCGTGCCTCGACGATGGGTGTGCACGAGGCAATGGAAACCAAGAAACAAATATTTGCTTCGCCGCGCACACTTCCAAGGCCGGAACAACGAGTTGTGTAGTTGATGATGGCACCGCCTGAGGACGTAGACAGCTCTAGAGGAAGATGACCTGTAGCGTGGCAGGTTGTATGTCCATGTTGCGGAAGGAATTGGCTATTGCCAAGATTCGAAAATCAAACGGAAGTCTCAACGCAGAAGCTGCTGAAAGATACTGGCTAGATTGCTGCACTCTGTTTGTTTGGATTTCCCATAATCGCCACCGACTCCCCGACCCGTGCGTGCTTCAGCAGCTTGTAGCACGTATACGGTACTCCACATAGAACATCTTGCCAGGAACAAATATCGATGATGCTAACAGGAGTCCGACGCACTCAAAAAGGGTTCTATAGTGGGATGGGTTTGAACACTGTAAAAGGAGCATCTGATTGGGAACCGTTGCGCAGTACCTCTCAAGGAACTCCGTCTCAAGTCACTAGCCCATTTTCTGTGACAAGTAGCGTGTGATTAAAACTAGGTAGATACCTGATCTCGTCAATGATATTGCTTGTCCCGCACAGACACCAACTGATGAAGTGAAAGAAGCCTGAGTGTCTTGTATGTTGGTGTGAGATTAAAATCGAATAGAAGGTAGTAGAGAGCTTGCATTATTCTATCTTTGATTTGCGGGTATGCACTAGACCAGAGTGCTTCTAAAAGTTCATCGCGTCCCATGGGATGAACATCGCTGACAACCATGGATCGTCTCCAAAGTTGTGCACATATTCCCCCGTCAGGGCATCCTGATTAAGCTGCAGGTTCGCTCCCAATACCCCGTCATTGCCCGTGGTCATCGCCAGCCGGTTGTCAAGAGGTTGTGTACCAGCGACTGGGTCAGTGTCTTTGGCGGCACTTGTGATGCCGGCACTGGCAAAGTCCGCCTGCACACCCGTCTTCATCATCAGCATGACCTTGGCCGACTTGGACCAGATGCTCTCCTCGCGCTCGTCGTCCTCCCGGATCCCCACCGCGGTCCTGATCGACTCCATCCGCGCCGAGAGGCGGTCAAACAGGTCGAATATGTCGAGGCGCCGCCGCACCTCGGCCGGGTCCCACGGCGGGAAGTCGTCGAGCTTGCTGAGCTTGATCAGCGTGACGAGGCAGTGTACCAGCTGCACGAAGAGGTGGAACGTCCCGCCCAGGGCCATGGACGGCGGCGTGCGCATGTAGGTGTCGAACCAGTCCTCGACGGCCTTCAGGCACTTCTGCAGTCGTTCTAGGCGGTTTATGACGTCGGTGTGGGTTGTGGAAGGCGGGAGATTTATGGCGAGTTCGTTAATGATGACCTCTGTGGCATACATGTGGAGGTGTATCGTGTCTGCGAGAAAGCATGTTCAGATTCTGATTGGGTAAAAGTAAGGGTAGAAGACAAGAGAGGCAAGAGACTCTATTGTTCTCATTTCGCTCTGGAAATCACTCACCGTAGCGAGGAGTTGCCGTCGTTTCTGGCAATGTCCTCCAAATTTCTTGCAATTGCGCATCAAGAGATTTGATGAAGTACATCGGTGTCTGATTGTCTCCCTTTAGAGCCTGTTGTATCAAGAGTTCATTCAATTGTTCCGAGATAAGAGCACATCGCACTTGTACGGCGAGGGTCTTGTCTCCTTCCCACTCCGGCTGGTCTATTAGAAGACGGAGACTTTCCTCCATGTGTGGTGTCCAACGAAGATAGTTGTCCCTCCGCAGCATCTGGGATGCCCTGTACTTTATGTTAACAAGATCCATTCTTTACGCCTCTGGAATCTTCATCCTCCAAGCTCAAGATTAGGGAGGAAGAGGTGTAGAAGAAGAGGAGGAGGCTCACGTATTACACCAGACAAATAAAGCCAGTAATGTCCTTCTCGCCTCCATCGTGCCTTCTTTGGTTTGTGGTTGTTTCATTCCGGCGAATGCGAGCTTTTTCATAAAAGTGAAAGCCGTCTCGGCCTTGAAAGCTGTGAGACCGAGATCATGAGCCAAGCTAACACCGATACCAGTCCAGATCGATATAAAGGGGTTTTCCTTTTTGTGTGAGTGTGGCCTATATGTGCGAATTGTCAGCGTCCGCCGCAAGAAAGTGACTGTGCTGATGCCAAGTCTGACTGAAAAGAATTTTGAAGTTCATCGGCCCAACGTGCACATGTAATGATTATCTGAAGCGGCAGACAGTACAAAATCACACCCAGAAATTTTAAAGGCTGCTATGCAGGGGTCTCCTAATGCATAATCAATGGCAGAAATGAATGCACTCACCAGCATAGAAAGACCAACAAGCCTTGCAACAAGTCCAGGCTCCTGTCATACTGTCGCACCACCCTTTCCGAGACAATGTGCCGGACTTTGTCCCCAATCAGATGTGATTCTTTCGTGGAGCGGCTCGTACAAGACATGACGGCGATCCAAAGCAGCGGTCGAGTCTGGCGAAGCTCTTTTGCGGTCAGGGTCTCTGGGATGTAGACGACCGGGCCAAACCGTGGGAATTCTCGCCGAAAGAGGTCGAGGCGATCTTCGGCCTCATTCTCCGGGACGTAGTGTTCGAATTCCGGGCCTACAGCGCTGTTGGGTGGTTCTATCTTGCCGCCGTTATACCACACGCGGCAGCTTGGGGCCGTGTTGCTCACGGTATTGGGACTTGAATCTGATGAGAGGGAGGGAATGGCCGTGACATCGGATCCGCCTGGCCCCAGCGACCCAGGGGTTGGGACTGGAGGCGAATCATTGGGTCCTTTGACAGCAGTTTGGGATCGTATGAGAGACACTAGATCGTCCAGTTTCTCCTCCAGATGAGCTGTCCTCGAACCCGGGACCTTCTTCTGGGCCCGCTTGCGATTCGGTATTGACGGCTGGCAATCCTTTTGCAACCGAAAACACCTGAAGTGAGGTGAGTAATTGGACAGGTGGGCTTGGTGTGGAATGCAATGTCAAGGTTAAGCGGACGTGAAATGGAAGACTCGGGTTTGGGTGACCGGATGGTCTGGGTTCTACAATTTGGCGTGAAAACAAGGGTAAACTCGATCAGTGACATACCTCTCGCATGCCCCAGCATGATCGCCGTACATGCATTTACACTTGGCCCTGACACAATTCGTACAGGCATGGCCATATGGCGCCGGTGTGCCGCCACCGGCTTTTGCCACTCGGGCCGGCGTCTGTTGCATTTGTCGGTGGCAGCAGGGGATTCAGAAACTGAGTTGCACGCGGGTGGGTTCACCGGAGGATGCTCAGTCGGGATTGGGATTGTGCTGTGATAGGAAGCACGAGTAAGTTTCGCGAAATCCACTTGAAGGCGTAGCGGCAGTGGACTCGGATGAGAAAGTTTGGGGATGGTCGTCAGGGAGGAATGCGGATTTGGCCAGAAATATAGTATCCGAAGGCCGCCGGAGTTAGCGGCTGTGCTGCCTGTGTGTGATGTAATCCGATCCGCTGGGATCCTCTGGGAGTGCTCGTTTGTTTGTCTCAGGCATCCGAGCGTAAGCTGACACAACACAACGGCATGCTATCCTCCCGAGTACGAGACAGACAACATCTGAGGGCACAACAAAGGAGCCAGCGCAAGGACACAAATTTAGCGCAGGACATATGAGATTGAAAGTCTTGATGTGGAGAAAGACTGGCCACCAGAGAGACAAGACAGCTTGCCTCGACTCGGGCTTTGCCCCCAGAGCACAGCCATGCATGTTGTCGCCTCGGTACCAAAGACGCTGCGATAAATTCGCCTCGTACTGATCAGAACAGTTTCTCTGTTTCATAGGAAATTTCATCCAATTTTCTCGGGCGAATTTTGTAATTAAGACCAGGTTCCGTGTTAGCATGCACTTGACCTCAGTCTCGTTTCCTTGGCTCTTACAAGTGCCGGTCTGCCCCAATATACAGCTTGTGAAGTTAGAGTTGAAAGCCAGATGTTTATACCATATATCATAAACCATGATTCATTTTCAGATCTTCATAATAGACCAAATCTACCAAGTATGATGAAATTTAGGGACCAGGACATCATCTCACGTTCATGTATCGATTACGCCCAGCTGAGACTTCGCATCTATTCATCTAGGTGCAAGGACAGCTCGCAATCGATCGCAACCGCAGCCAGCCTCTGAGCCAAGCATGTGGCCAGTCTTGGTAGGCTCTGACCTGTCAGGTTTGCTGCCGGCAGGCAAGTTCCTCGAAGACTGCAGACCTTCCCGTCCCAACCATTCCGTCTTGAAAACAGCGGACCATCTCCAACACTGAGTCTCCGATAGGATTCTTACCCACATGCGTGTCTATGAACTTCTGAAGCCCCCAGTGGGACTGTGAAGGACTAGTACTCTTCTGGTGATGGTGGGCTGACAGACACAGCAACTTTCTGAGATCCTTGATGCAGTCCTCCGCGCTGTCCTGTTGCCACATGCTGTCCAGAAGACAGACCGCCCGGTCTGGGTGGCGGTTCATTTGCTCAGAATCACCAAGGAATGCCAAATGACGGAGCTCACATTTCGTGCTGCATCGCCGATCGTCCGTCAGAGCCTGTCCTGACGCTTCTGGCTTCTCATTGTGTACGATTGCAACTCGAGCGGTGATTTTGGAGCGAAAGACGCGAGCAGCTTCCCGGTATACTTCGTTGATATCTGTGTCAATCCTAAGGAGGAACCTGGTGGTTGCGGGATCTTTACTTCCACACTGGACGTCACCGCCAGACCACAATTTCTGGGCCTTTAACTCGATGAGATCCAAGCTATTGATGCCAGTGGTACGCTTGGTTGAGTTCAACACAGTGGAGGTCATGATTCAATCACAAAAGTTTGGTGTAGCGCGTTGGAGCATCTTCCGTGGGTGTTGACGTAGGCGGCGCTGCTAAAATTATATGACTTCTCAGTCATTCGGAAGCAGTTGTCATGCAGAGATACAATTCCATGAGTTTTGCTGTTGGATGGTGAAGACTGTGCTGTACACAACAGAGTGACCCACGCAGCCCATTTAGGAACACTGCAGTGCGGTTGGGAAACACCATTCCTGACAACATTGATATGCGCTTTGTTTTGAAGCTCACTCAGGTCTTTGTCATGACCACAGATATTAAGCGAGCCTGGCCCCATCGAATGGTATAAGATTGGGGTCCGGTCTTTGCTGACCATCCTCGGGCTAATACACCGGACTTTAAGACCCTAACGCAGAACCGGTCGGGACAATCGCAAAGTCCTGCCGTCTGCCATTTCAGCAGTTGATTGATAAGGGAAAAGAAAGAACAAGTCCAACAAGACCATTTTTCGACCGTGTAATCCAGATGTCTGCCATCAGCTGTAAGCACCGCAACTGCAAGGCGTCGGTGTGACAGATGGAGGATTCGGAAATGCGGGATTCGATTTTGCAGACCCGTAATCCGGCATGTTGACATGCAGCCTAAGGCGTAAACATTTCACTTCTTTGGATTTCAGGTAGATCGGTGTAAACTTGGCATTATTTATATAGTCTATGAAATGTCTTGAATTTTGTGGCGATGTTTAGATGGGTGGCTCAAGTTGCGCCTGTCTATCACCAGAACGACTCCTAGGTATTGACTTCGACAACTGCAACGCATGACCTAGGCGATCTGAGAATGGCTGAACTGGACGAAAAGAGGCCCCAGTCCTCGCAAGACGGCGAGTCTTCGACAGATGAGAAGGTCGAGAAACAGCCCAGCAAAACAAGTTCCCGCAGACCGAGCCTTTCACACCCACACGAACCAGTTTTGCTCGCGCTCGTGCCCTCCATCGCAGCATCCATACCCCCAATTAATACCAGCGGTGCCGAGGAAACCACCCAAGAAGATGGCAAAGACGGCACAGGATACCTCACCGGAGCTCCCCTGGTGCTCGCCCTGGTAGCCCTCAACCTGGCCACCGTCCTCATCTTCCTAGACAACAGCATCCTCAGCACCGCCACGCCGACTATTACAAACGCGTTCCACTCGGTCCAGGACATCGGGTGGTACGTCTCGTCATACCAGCTCGCCCTGTCCGCCCTCCAGCCCATGACGGGCAAGCTCTTCACCTACTTGCCCAACAAGCCGACCTTCATCGCCTCGGTGCTCATCTTCGAGCTGGGCTCCCTCATCTGCGCCCTCTCCACCAGCTCGCGCATGCTCATCGGCGGGCGCACGGTCGCGGGCCTCGGCGCGTCGGGGCTCTTCAACGGCGCGCTGACCATCATCGCGGCGCTGGTCCCGCTGCGCAGGCGGCCCGCCATCACGGGCCTCCTGATGGGCATCGGGCAGCTGGGGCTGATCGGCGGGCCGCTCATCGGCGGCGCCCTGACGCAGTACTCGACGTGGCGCTGGTGCTTCTACATCAACCTGCCGATCGGCGGCCTCGCGGTGGCGGCGCTCGCGGCCGTCCGCATCCCCGAGCAGACGCCCAAGCCGGCCTTCCGGGCCTTCATCGCCAGCCCGGGGCTGTGGAAGAAGTTCGACCTCGCCGGCGCCGCGCTGCTGGTCCCCGCCGTGGTCATGCTGCTGCTGGCGCTGCACTTTGGCGGCGGCGCCCAGTACGGCTGGGACTCGGCGACGGTCATCGGGCTGTTCTGCGGGGCGGGCGTCGTGGGCGCGCTGTTCGTCGCGTGGGAGTGGCGCGTCGGCGGCGAGGACGCCATGGTGCCGCTCGGCATGTTCCGCCAGCGGGTCGTGACCGCTGCCTGCCTGACCAACTTGTGCCTGTTCAGCGTCACGTTTGTCACGTCCTACTTCCTGCCCATCTACTTCCAGTCCGTGCAGGGGTCGTCGCCCTTCACCGCCGGCGTGCACATGCTGCCGAGCATTATCTCGCAGCTCATCACGGCCGTGATTTCCGGGTTTCTGGTCACCAAGTTGGGGTACTACCTGCCGTGGGCCATCTTTTCGGCCGTGTTGTCCAGCATCGGGGCGGGACTTATCACGACCTGGACGGTCGGCACCGGCACTGGAACGTGGATCGGGTACCAGATCATACTGGGAGTTGGCCGTGGCGCTGGCATGCAGATGGTACGTCTTGCCGTTTTGTCTCCCTCATTATACGAATGCTCAACGATCGCGGTGCTGTCTCTAACTTCTCACCCAGGCCCTCATCGCCGTGCAAACCGTGCTCCAGCCATCCCAGATCGCCGTCGCCATGGCGATGCTGACCTTTGTCCAAGGCCTAGGCAGCGCCATCATAATCTCCGTGGCGAACACCATCTTCGACGACAGGCTCGTGACCGAGATCAGCTCCAGGGCCCCGCAGGTCAACCCGGAGGCGGTCATCGCCGCGGGAGCCACGGCGTTCCGCAAGATCGTCTCTGCCGACGATCTACCGGGCGTGGTCAAGGCGTACGCGGTCTCGTTCGACAAGACATTCTACCTTGCGGTTGCGATGTCAGCCCTGTGCTTTTTCACTTCCTGCGGGCTGGGGAATAACGATGTCAGGGTTAAGCAAAAGGTCGATGGTGGGGACAGAGCTGCGGTGGAGGGCGGTCAGGAAAAGAAAGATGACACCAATGTCTGATGAATAGATGATACCCAAGTCGAGCCATTGTGATGGCTTCATGAAATAGCATGCAAACTCATCTCTTTCGCGTTCTACATCCCGCTCAACCTACTACAGATAGGCGCTTTCCAAGATTTCATGTTGGCAGGTTTAAGACGAAGCCAAGAGCCCTCACGAATGGGCTGTGAGCAATGATGCCGCTTGAAGTTTTCTTGAATTAGATCATATGTACAAATCGACGACCCGTACCGTCAAGGAAGCCACTTGTCGGGTTCGGTCAATAGGCAGACACCGTGTCCAGCCGTCCGGCCTTGGCCCCGGCACTGGTCCCGGGCGGCTCGGATGAGCGTCATGCGAGTCAATTGCACCATCTGACTTGCCTGAGCAGCTTGGCATGTCCAGTCAGCTTGGCACTTGCATGCAAATTGAACACGACTCTGGCTTGATCCTCGCACCGTGCTCCACGCGCCAGCCTACGGTCGAGCGAACAAGGCCAGACGTCGAGCGAGCGTAGGTGGCAGTGCCACGCAGAGGGCAGTGAATACGCGCTCGACGACCCGCTGTTTAAATTGGGAGCGCACCTGTTTTGCATACCCAACCCATGTCCCTGGGTTGCTTTCAGGGGTATGATCCTGATTCCATAGGCAACGTTGGCGGTAATTATAGTATGCATTTGAAAGCGTGAGCGCAACCCTGTGTCCCCCGAACGCCTTGCCATGCTGTAGAACAACGAGTATTACAACAGTCTACGTATTACTCAAAATCTGGAGCATTTGTGTTAGCGACTGTCTGGACCACGTACGGTTCGAAGTGACTCACCTGATCTCGTAGCTCCCTGCCCTGGTCATGTACCTGACCCACTTCACACTGCTGTAGTTGCTCTTCTCAAACACCTTGAGATACCTGACTAACAGGCCGCTGCTGGTGAACATCAGGAGGCTGAAGCTCATGCTCAGGGGCGGTCTGCTCCATGTTTTTTGGTTGGTCATGGAGGTGAGCTCGGCCTCGGCGCTCAGCACGAACTCGCTCTGGCCCGTGAACCTTCCAATCTTCCACACGATATGGTTTTCTGAGGGCTCGTACTTGGCCTTTCCCTGTGTACACCTCTCGGTGATCCTGGCCGTGTTCAGGGGTGTGGGGATGCGGACGACGACGTTGGTGGCGAACAGCTTGGTGCCAAAGTTGGCCTTGACGCCGATGCTGTACTCGACCTTGGTCTTGCCGACCTCGTTGACGATGGCGTGGACCTTGAAGGGCAGGTTGATGTTCTCGGTGGCGCGGTAGCGCATGAGCTCGAACTCGCCGTCGGGAGGGACGAAGGAGATGATGCGGTCCGAGTCGAACTTGCCCAGCTTGACGCACTGGTGGAACTGGCAATCCTCGAGGGTGACACTACCAGCCGCTGCCTTGGTTGCCTTTGTGCCCATCCTGTTGCCGCTGGGGAGGCTGAGCAGGCCGTCGTTGTCGAGGAGCAGCCTGTCGTTGAGGCCGAACTTGCACTCGGGTGTGCCGGACAGGTAGGCGCGCATGATGATCTGGCCGGTGACGTCGGCGCGCAGGACGGCGCCGGTGGCGGACATGAGCAGGTTGACGTCCTCGATGACATCGACAAAGGCCTCGTTCTTGCGGTACTTGACGTCGGCCTTGCGCCAGGAGAGGGCGCCGGTGGCCTGCATTGTGATCTTTGCCGAGTCCTCGAACTTGTTCTCGGACTTGACGCCCTCGGTGGTGATGTACATCTTGAGGGTGTCGGTCTCAGTGTTCTGGGGGTAGCCAAAGTCGATGATCTCGTCGAGCAGCTCGTAGACGAGGACAAAGTTGTTCTTGACGGCCTCCTCGTCGAACTTGCCGAAGTAGCCGCGGCCGAGCTGGATCAGGCGGTAGAGGAACTCGAAGACGAGGGCGGCATTGGCGTTGCTCTTTGTGATGGCGACCAGGTAGATGTTCTCGTGCTTGACATGGCTGAAGGTGGTGCTGCCCAGGGTCAGGATGGGCGAGCGCACCTGCGAGTTGCTGATGACCTGGATGCGGAAGACATCGGCGAGGCGGGGGCGGCAGTCGTTGCGAAAGGCGCGGAAGATGAGGTTCTCGCCCTTTTGGTTGAAGATGAGGATGCCGGAGAGCATGGTGGGAGGAGGGGGGTGGTTGTTGTTGTCCTGGAGGGGCAGGGCATCGACTGGGGGGGGGATTGAAGCTGTCTCGACTCGACTCGGCTCGGCTCGATTCAGGGCGGTTACGTTACGTTAGTTAGGACAATGCCAAATTGAGTAGGAGCTGTCTCTTGCTTGCTGTTGCTGTTGCTTTTCGCTGGGTAGCGATGACATAAGCAAATTCAGGGGTAGGGGGTAGGGAATGGAGTGCAGGTGCAGGTGCAAGTGCAGGTGCAGGTGCAGTTGACAATGTACATCTGCTTTGTACCTGCCCCCTGCCTACTGCCTTCTGCCATCTTTCCTCCTGTCCTCCTCGACTGATTACTCAGCATTTCCCTGCTCCCAATCTTTGCTTTGCCTTGCCTTGCCTTGCCTTGCCTTGCCTTGCCTTGCCCATGCCTTGCCCTGCTCCTCCACCCTTCTCTCGCCAGTTTCACCAGAATGGCAGAATGGTCAACCCAATTGCTCCTGCTCGTGCAACACTGCAATATTTGAGACATCCATACCCATGATCGTCATCGACTAAGCTCACCTCAACTCAATTCAACTAAATTGAGTTCAACTTAGATTCTACAGCATTGCCTCCACTAGACGGCTCATGCAACAGTCAATACATCTGTATCCGTCTCTTCTGTTCACACTGTCTCGAAATGTATTCGCGAGTCAAGGCCGTCGACATACACATTCAGCTGCACCTCAGCTGCACCTCGCCTGCACCTCGCCTGCACCTCGACCGAAAGGCATGATCGCTCTCCCGCAACCCGACCCTGAAGGCGAGCGTGGTGTTTCAAGTCCTACATACCCAAGGTCTAGACGCCCTGACGCCCTCCCCCTCCCCAGACAGCGATCCTGTCAAAACAAGGGGTGCGTCTCTGTCTGCGCGACAAGCATATCCCGTACCGTTCCATCTCAAAACCGAGGACGCGTCTACCTACGCCCAGTAGATGATACCTGAGTGTCTGTGTGTTTGGGCTCCCTCTCGCTCTATGCAACGCAATTTAATTATGGCTTTGTTTGGCTCCACTTCTCACCCACAGCAGCCCAGCAGGGCCCAGTTCACAACAATGTCTGTGCCTTGCTGGAGATTCTGGAGAACAAAGCTTTGCAGAGACGATCGCGCTCGTTGCATCAAAAACTTTCCGAAATGCACCGCCATCTGCTCATTGTATGGAGCATAAGAGGTCGACTAAGATAGATAAGCTTCGCTCAGTCAGCACGTCCACTGGTCCTTGACGGCCTCAACATGGCCTTAACCTTGACCATGACCACACCTCGAATTCGACCAACGGCCCACGATCTGGCCTCACCCTACAGAGCATGTTCTTCTTTGGGCCCTCTGAAACATTCCATGCGCACCTCGGCCTGGCCTAGGCGGAATCTTACCACCCTGCAACGCTGCCAAACTCAACCTTCGGCTGCACGTCCTCGCCTCTGCCGGCTTCCGACCGAAGCAGCAACATCATGCCGGGCAACCATCGCATACTTGACGGCTAACAGATATCAGCAGAGTTCCACGCTGCCCGCAATTGACGCCAGATATCCCAACGGTACAGCTGGAAGTCCCCACCGGTTGGTGTTGAGGATGACTGCCTGCGCGTACTTTTCGCGTCGGGCCCGCAGGCTGTGCCGCAGCTGAGCATTCCTTCAAGGCCATCCTTGGAACCTTCACACCGCCCATACCACTGAAGTTCTTGATCCATAGCTTCGTCAGAGATGGGCCGAGTTGACGTGAAAATTGACAGAGAACAGTAGGGCACGGCACATTCGGCCTGACAGCTGCCACTGTAGACCTCCCGTCGAGTCTAGCTTCCGGCTCTGACATTCTAGAACCCAAAATACCAAACACACGGGACGATCTTGAATCCCGCCCACATTGTGGGCGGGCCCACCGGCATTGATGAGATCCACCTCCGCCATGGCCAGAGGCTAGAGCCCACTGGGGCCGATTCCCCGTTGTCCCAAGGAGCTCCACTAATGTAGGTCCCGCTCCCTGCAGCCGTTGGCACCCGCATCAGTGGGCAGAATCTGGTGGCCCCCCATGTGGTGTGGCTTGCAGACGGCCAACCGCCCCAACCCACGCGTACGAGCAGTCTTCTTTCGCCGCCAATCTCGACTACCTCCAGTGCCCTTGGATCCAGCGAGGCAGGCTAGGCCCGCCTGGTGCTTCAGCTGGACCCCTGAGCCGTGCTGACAGTCCACTTGGTCAAATCCTTCTGGCTTTACTTAACTTTTTTTTTTCAACCTTGATGCTACTCGCTCCCTACACGTGTATGGGGCCATTCTTGACAGGCCATTGGCACAAAAGTACATGCAACATAATGCCACCAACTAAGGAGCCAGCGAACCCACCAGCCAACCGTTCACTCGCTGGAAATTCGCTTCCAATATTTGTTTGCCTGGCTGGCTTGCCGCCCTGGGCGAATTTCTCGTTCTGGTATCTGAGTTGTCGATCCTCCTGAGCCACGCAGGCAGTAGGCGGAATGTAGCGGACAAAGCAACCTGCCAGTTGCAACTTGCAAGCAAACCCCGGGGGCGGCCCCCTATTCCTGGCCAAGCCAGCCGAATTGAACTGCTGTTTCAAATGCTTCCACCACTGTCACCTACTGCCGGTTACGAAGTGGACCCTTACTTACACTCCAATCTGACTGGTCAAACTGGGTCTCCCGATCTGCCCAGTCTCGCCAGTGTCCCTAGCACGGCCTTCCCTGGTCCTTGACACGGCCCTGTGCTTCCATTTCTGGCAGCCTTGATCATGATTCAATGGCTGAGCTGCGTCTGTGTGGGGACAGCTCAAGGACCAGCCAAGCTCTCTGGGCTGGCATTACACGAACGGCAGCCCGTCCCAAATTATTATTTTGTCTCCATCCGAAGCTCACGCTGGCTTTCCATCTCCATCTTTCTGCATGACATCGTTCGCGACGGCTGTACTTCAAGCCCTAGGCATCTCTATTTCCTTTAACTGTGGAACTGTTACTCCCTTCGCTCCTTTCCTTTCCTCTCCTTCTGCTACTTAAGCCCTAGTCTATTCCCATCTCTCAGTGTTTCGATTCACCTCTGGCAGTGCTGGTTCCACTTCATTCCTTGCTGTCCCGGTACTCCTGACCTTTCACGCGGCCCGGTCTTCTCGAGCTTGAAAGGTTCACAGCACGCTGCTACCCCGGTCCCTCACCGAAGTCGTCCTCAATTGACTTTGTCCAACATGGCGGAAGGCGGGGAATACCATGCTCCGAACACCACGGCCAACGGAAATGGCAATGGCGACGGCTTCGCACAGCAGAAATCTGAGCGATCATCCAATGAACAACCTCCTCTGGAGCAGGTTGAGTCGATACTGCGGTCAAGAGCGAACACACCGAACCCTTTCAGCCGACAGCACACAAGTCTAGACCTCGACGATTATTTTGTGAGCTTCGCCAGACCACCTGCTCCTACTGTCGCGGCAGTAGCTGCACCTCCTGGCGGCGCAGCTTCTTGATGCGCGCCCCAGGATCCAATGTCCCATTGCTGACTGTGCAATCTTTAGACTGGTCCTCGAGATATTCTGAAGCATTCGAAATGGCCCATGTTCATGCAGATGCATGGCAGTATTTTGCCCAAGATGATCATACCGCTGTTCATCCTGGGTGGTTGGGCGTCGTGTATAACATTGGTCACGAAACTAACTGATGTCAACCGTACGTTCACACTTGCGACCCCAGCAGGACCATCTTAGAATGCTAACATAATTGCTGCTACAAAGTCAGCGTGCAGTCGGTTCTTCTCACTGTCACCGGTTTCGTCGTCAGTCTCGGTCTGAGCTTCCGGAATTCAAGTGCCTACGAACGATACATGGAAGGTCGAAAGTATTGGACTCAGCTCATCTTGACATCGCAAAATCTCGGACGCGTTTTCTGGATTCACACCAAAGAACGCCCCGACAGCAAGGCAAAGGACGTCCTGGCTAAGCTGTGAGTACTCATCTGTCTGCTCGTCCCGGCTGACAGTCGCTAACATTCCCCGTCAACCAGGACAGCAATGAATCTGCTCGTCGCATTCGCTGTCTCTCTTAAGCATAAGCTGCGATTTGAGCCCTACACCGACCATGAAGACCTCAAGAACCTCGTCAGTCATCTGGACACTTTTGCATACCAGGCTACCTTGGAGACACCTGAAACGGCCTTGCCTCGGAAGCACAACAAGTTGAGGGCCACTGGCGAGTACCTCGGAGTGTCTTTTGCTGCCAGCAACCCTCGAAAGGCCATCAAGAAAGCTGTCCGGCCCCTGGGAAACCTTCCTCTCGAGATTCTGAGTTATCTGGCCGCCTACATTGATGAGATCATCGAGGGTGGGCAACTCACAGTTCCCATGCAACAGACTCTGGCCTGTAAGCTTAAATCTTCGTCTCATCACGACACAGTCGTGCTTGTCACTTTCATGTTGCTAACTGCCTTCCTAGTCAACAATCTCGCTGCCCTCAACGACGTCCTCACGGGTACTGAGCGTGTCCTCACCACTCCTTTGCCTATCGCTTACGCCATTGCTATTTCGCAAATCACATGGGTCTACGTGTTCCTCCTCCCTTTTCAGCTTGTCGGCGTTCTCGGCTGGGTGACGATCCCCGCAACCGTCGCGGCCGGCTACATCATCCTTGGCCTGCTGTTCATCGGGCGCGAGATCGAGAACCCTTTCGGGCAGGACGTCAACGACTTGCCAATGGAGCTGTACTGCGCACAGATTGCCTCGGAACTCGACATCATCGCCTCGAAGCCCAAGCCTGCCGCCCGCCAATGGATCGAGAGCCTCGACAACAAGGTGCTGTGGCCGCTGAGCCAGAGCGGCTGGAACGTGTGGATGCACCGGGGCGAGAGCAAGCTGCGCGAGGCCCTCGTGGCCAAGACGGAGCTAGGCTACGAGGACCGCCAGCCCGCAAGCAAGGCTGGCACTGTGGCCAAGAGCGACGCGACGACTGCTGTGAACAGTGTCTGAGAAGAATGACTGACGCAAGAACAGCCCTTGTTTCTCCCATTCGGCATTCGGAGGAAATAGAGTGGTACACGCGATCTGGGCTGGGGGCAAGTTTCAGGTCAGATCGATGTTGCGAGTCTCGGAGGAACAACGCCTGTTCCACATATCTGAGTCGTTCTCGGCAAAGACGACCGGCCTGCGCCGCTGCCGCCGCCCTGTGCTCGCCGAATACCCGTCTTTGAAAATCATTACAGGAAATTGATATGGCATCGTCCTACGGGACAGGAGCGTTCTAAAATGGAAAATGGATTTGTTTGTTTTTATTTCGTCAAAATAATCGGCATTATTGGTCCTCATGGCTCGGCAACATGCGCAGCAACAAAACAGGCTGTGGCCAGCCAGCAAAACGCATCAGGAAGGGAGCACAAAAAATCATCATTATTGGTCATTACGCCATGACACATGGGAATCGGCGTTTGCCAACTTCTTTTTTACACATTACGGATACACCAGAGGCCACGCGGGCCATCCGGTTATGGAGCCGAGGCTGCACGGTACAGGCTGCTGGCCGGGTTTCGCACTACTTTTGAGACATGAGGGTTTTGGAGGGCGAGACGGGAGAGACATGTATCTTGACGTGTCTTGCGTGTCTCGCGACGGTGCGACGCAGGAGATATTGCCTGCCGGAGGAGGGCTACATTTTCTTTCTCTTCTTGTTATATTCAAGCCAAGCGAAAAGGGGGGAAGGAGCCAAGTCACTTGACCTCCCCCATACGAATTAGAAACTCCGAGTAATTGTCTGACGAAATTGTTCCATGCCACATTTGTCAATGTACAAACACTGCTCGACGTCAAGCACCATCTCGATCTGTCCTTGTTCGTCTTCATGGCATCCCTCGCGCCGCCTGACTTGGTCAAAGCCCCATTCCCCATCAGCCATCCCATCGACTAATCACGCTGGAAGCGTCCAGGTAATTGAAGCGTACAGCACTTGAGGTAGAGCCAGCGCCCCATGCCAGATCAGGTCCCTCGCCCCGTTGAGAATTTATACTTCCGACCAGCCTGTCGGCGAGCACCTCGAACCTTCATAGCCTTGTCTCAGTAATTGCAACCGCTCCCTGAGCGCGGCGTCTCGCACATCCGTAGTACGACGGCGAGGTCTCGGGCAGCTCCATTCGGCCGCCGCCGGGCCTGTCGAACATGGTCATGTCCGCGGACTGGACCGGACCTCCACATGGCCGTGACGACGCGCGAGATCTCCGACGTGTGTGCCAAAGCCGCCTTGGAACTGGCGTAGACACCTGGCCCTGCCATGTCAGCCTTTCTGACCGACCGCCCCGGTTCCGGATAGGGAGGGCGGAGGGGGTCGTGGTTCTGAAAGCCGTGGCCGGCTCACTTGACCACGGCGGCCTTGGCCTCGACGAGCATGGGCGGCAGACGCCTGGACCACCGCTGAAGGGCCCTAGACGTTGATATCCATCCCTGAACTTTGTCAGTCCGTAAATGGCTGCATTTGGCAAAAGAGACGGCGCCTCAACCGTGTTCACGGAGTCAGAAAGATATGTGTTTATGAGATGTATTCTCAGGGTGTTAGGCAGACAGACCCCCTCTAGGTCCCATCATATTACATTACGCCAGACCAACACATGATACAGAAGCAGAGGGCCCATTGACATTACGCAAGTTTTGTTTGATTCAATACCGCGTCTCCTTGACCAGATCTATCTCTCGCACACGCGCTCCGGCGATCATTGTTTCCTGAATGCTTGAGAACCTCCACTCTTAACCAAAGCCAGATCCGACATCCTTGTCCATTATGTTTTTCCCTGAGCCCCCGCCCAGTACAATAGAATGCAAAGTCGAACTAGACTTTTGACTCCGACACTGAGATTGAAATCTTTGCCTTGTCAAGCATGCTGTGCTGGACAGACAAGATGGTGTTGTTGGGATAGAACCACCAGGTTCTGCACCGAGGCGATCATTGGGTAGTTGACACTGCGGAAAATGCATCTGCAAGAGAATATGTCAGCGCTAGCCCGTCTTCGCCCTCAAATCCCTCAGTCTTACCATCTTTAGCTTGCTCGGCAGTTGCGAGAAACTTCGACTCGGGGTGTGCTGTTCTTTTGGTGTTCACATGTTGGTCCAACGCCTCGCCATCCGCGGGGAGAGGGTTTCCAAGGCCGTCTGTGGGACGGATCTGATTGCGGAATCGACTATTAGAACTCGATTGATTATATAGAGGTGAGTTATACAACTTGGTCAAGGGATGAACTAACATTGATGAAAATTTCAGCACCATCATGGATGGCACCATAGGCAGTCGGGTCCACCTGGGCCCATTGGTTATGTAAGTTACCGTTGGCAAGCAACGGCTGGGACAGAAATACTAGGTTCTGCACCGAGGCGATCATCGGGTAGTGGGATCTGGTGTCTCGAAGGAGGTCCTGGTACGTTTGGGGGCGTGCGACCATGACCGTGCGATCGCCAAAAGCGAGTTGCGCTGTCGACTTGACGCCACATTGAATAGTGGCTAGAGGTCGGCTAAGGCCGCCCCGATGTCTCCTTCGCCATGTAATGTACCATTGGCGAGCAGAGGCCGGAAGCGAATTACCAGGTTCTCGAAGAAGGTGCTGGTACGTCGCGGGGCGTGCGACAATGACTGTGCGATCGCCAAAAGTAATGAAAATAGTTGAAGCCATGTTGCTTGGTGTTTAGCGACCGGCTCAGAAGGGCCCAGCCTCTCCTGCATTGGGCACGATGCTTCGCCAGTCGTCTTTGGTTTTCCTGTATTGCTCAAGGTCAATAAAAGGTCTACGTATGGATGAGCGAGAAGTGAGAAATTATATGAGTTGAACAGGCCTCATTCGTCTGTTGTTTCTTCATCACAGCTGATCGTAGCGAAACCCGCTCTTCTCTAATCATGCGATGGAGAGGATAACGAGTGTGTAGTGTTTTCTGAGAAGGTTTTGCGTGTACTCACATTGCTCCAAAAGACTCGCATGCAATGGTGACTCTTCTTAGTCCTGATGTCTGCCGTCTCTTCGATTAGCTGACTTCGCTTCCGTGGGGACGGATAGATGAAGAATGTATATGAGTATCATTCGAATTGCTTGTTGGTGATTCATTACCAGAGTGTGGCTCAGACACACCGTCGTGTTTTCTATTCTTCGGCCACGGGAAGGGAGTGGTTGGATGGAGTTTTGCTGTAGAGACTTGAACGCACTTACCATGGTTCCACCAGGGAACTTGATGGGATCTCTTCCCTCGTTGATTCGATGCTCAACTACTGTGCCTCTGGCGAATCGGCTTCATTCCAAAAAAAAAAAAAAAAAAAAAAAAAAAAAAAAGGTTGAGACTTGGAATGAAGAGTGAGTGTGGCAAAAGCAATTGCGGTCGGCCTCAGAGCGTGCGAAAAGGTGCTCCGTAGCTAGCGAAGCCAGCCCAGAGCAACCACTTTCTGATTGTATCATCATTGGCCGTGTAAGGAAAGGATATTCGCGCCGTTTGGCCAGATGGGCAGGAGTGTACCCATGGCGATGCCAAATAGGACAGGACTAGTTGTTTCGTATCGGCCTACCTTCGGTCAGTGATACTGTTCCAGGGGCGAAAAACGATCATGTGAATGTGGAAATGAGAAGTGACCTCAGATCAAGAACGCTTATCGACATAGAGCGTGCAAGCACTGCTCTCTCCGATCGAGAACTTTGTCATCATTGCTAGAGGAAGTGGGAGTACGTTTGGTATGTCGTCAGTGAGGTGCGGAGCGTACTCACCATATTCTCAAGCACGTATGTGCGATAACTGAGGCTCTGAGCCTTTACTTTTTGTCAGTCTCTGTCTTCGGGTTTAAAAGATCTTCGCGGGCAGAGGGAAATGGAAAATGGCTTCAGAATGCCCAATTCGTCAACACTGGAGCTTGGAAGCCCCTTCAGCGCATGATTGAAATCATCACTGGCCAGTTCAGGAGGATGGTGACGGGAAAATTTGCTAGTAAAGCAGTAGAAAGTACTCACCAGTGATCCCCGGAGTGACCGAGACAAACTTCGCGTCTTGGTAACCTTGGCTAGTGGAAAACTGGTAAGGGAAGTAGAATGTTCCGGATCAGGGGACGACTGAAATGGCCTCAGAACGAACAAAATTTGTCAACATGAAGCACAAGTGCTGGTTCAAAAGAAGGGCGTTGTCATCGTCGACCAGAAGATCAGGAGTGGCAATGAATGTGCAGGCAGATGGGTGGGAGACATACCTGGTCGTCATGAACCGAGCAAGGCCACAATGTGGGCGGATTGTAATGTGATTCGTTTTCTTCGATCCCAAGCTGCTTTTGTCAGTACCATGGTCAAGGAGACGAAGATGGATGCCGAGATTGTAGAGAACAATGCCTCAGATCAACCACAGGGATTGATTGTCAACACGAAGCATGACTCTACTCGGACATTCAGGTTTTCTGCAATCAAGGGCAGGAAGGGAGAGTGAAGGGGGTGCGGTTGAAGATCGAAAGAATTGGTACCTACTTTGCTAAGTTGAGCAATGGAAAAGCTGTTTGGCTACCGCGGCAACCATTGGGTCACGCTTCTTGAGGCTGTGCTTCATCTCTCTCTTTCGGTCATCTGTGATCTTTTGTGTGTTCTCTGGGCCGTTGATACTTGTAATTATCACCTCGGAATCAAGGTAATGTCTGATGGAGCTCGCATATGGTGTTGTGTTGGTGCCACATAGAGGGTGGGTGAGCGTGTTGGAGCCAACACGGGTGAGGAAAGTGTTGGAAATCAGCTGTGGGTGTCTGGAAGAGTAGAGTTCGTCAGCCAGGGGAGCTCCTCGGATCAAAATCAGACCATCGGATGTACCTGAAGGACCCATGTGAGGATGACGATGCTTACTTAGATAATCCATCAGTCTTTGAGCAGTGTTTGTGATGATGTTTAGGCAGCGGTATGCCACGTGAAGAAGCAAAGAAAGGGTGATAATAGGTAGGAGATAGGTGACCGCAGAAGACAGAAAACACTGATGGGGTTGTCACCAAGCCTTTGATGCCCGCGAGCAAGGGAACTTTGATCCGATCCTCCCTCTGGAGGATAATAGGTAAGACAGCATCCAAGTAAATTTGACAGTGATTTGACTGGATGAGGGAACTAGGTCAAGAAGAATGTATTGATGTTGGACAGAATATGCTTTGTTGATCTGATAAAAGGGGATATCAAGCAACGAAACGGTTGGGGGTCTACCCGGTAGCGATGGAGGCGGCCACGTGATTGGGAAATGCCAAAGGAAACGAATCCCCTGACTTTCTGGGTGACTTGAGATCGAAGAGGCCTCTGCTGACAGAAAGAGAAAAGACCGCGGTTAGAAAGAGTGCGAGCCAGATGGAGTCCATCTACATGGGTGGTGCGGTTGTCAGGGGCAAAGTACATGTGCGTGGCCAGGGCTGCCAAAGAAAATCGAAGATTGTCCCACACTGGAGCTGTATTTCAATAAGATCTTGTATTCTGCATAAATAAAGGCTTCATCTAATCTCTATGGTCTATTTAAATAATTACGCAGTCAGGATGTGGGAGAAACCGGGCTGAGTGAACATCTTGATATCCGTACTGGAAGGAGGCTGGCCTTGGCCACACAGGCACGCCCTTAGCCTGGGGGCTTGGTTCCAACCGCTGTAGTGACCCTGAACCATCTTTAGGATCTTAATGATCCCATTGTTTTCAAGCTACAGGGAAAGCTCGCCCCTGAAAGCTCGCCCCTGAAAGCTCCTGAGGCCCATTGTCACTTGACCTTCAACACATCTCCGAACCTGCGGTCGATCGTCCATCACTGCACCAACCTTCACATCCATACCAACATCGTTCCCGACAGCATAAGTCCTGGACTTCCACAAGAACCTATCAAAAGATCCCTGACACAGCAAATCAGCAACTATGAACGTCCTGATCACTTTCTTCATGGGCCTTGCCGCCCTCATCTGTGGTGCTCTTGCCGGTCTGCCCCTAGCCGGTGAGATTCAGATTCACTGGACAAACATCACTGCCACCACTTCTGCCGCCTTTGTTGGCTCAGCCAGCCATGTCCTCTCTGGAGGTATGACCGCTGTGACCAAGACCACTTCCACTGTGTCCGGCACCTACACCCATCCGGCCAACGTGTCAGCCGACCCAATCCACTGGTTCTTGTACAGCTTCCAGGCGTTTGCCGACAAGCACACCCGAACCGCCCAGTAAGTGCTCCATCAATGCTAAATGGCATTTCACTGACGAAAAGAAGCTATGCGTTCGAGGCCGTCATCAAGCCTAACACCAATACGGTGCTGTGCGATGAGACTGTGGACTCCGATGGCACGCTCGACGGAGTTGACAACGCCAAGTGCAAGGCGCCAGTTGGATTGTGAGCAGCCCGCGACTGCGATTGTTCGATTGAATTACAAGACAATCATCTTGTCAAACGCTTGCTTCATCCGATCTAGAGTGACTAACTCGTGGCAACGGCAGGCCGGCCAAGAACGAATCCATCCCTGCCACGTTCCACTTCGCCTGGAGATCTGTGCTGAACACCCTTGGCGAGAGGACTTACGCCCTGATCCTGAGATCCAATGCCCCCGGCAGCGCTCACGCCTGTCCTCACTTCCCCTATGATGCCTGTTGGGCTCAGGGAGTGTACTGGGTCCCGGAGGACTACATCAAGCCGGCGGGCCGTGGAGACAGATATGTCGGTCCGGAGTTGATCCATCTTAATGGCACCTACTGCAAGACCGGCATGATGGAGTGTGTCTGGTCTGAGTACCTGTATTGACCGAAGACTGACTGAAGGCGGACATGGCACGAGTATATTGGTCCGTCTTGCTGGAAACAGCTTGGGGGTGACGAAACCTTAATGCAGAAGGCTCGAGGCTGGTCGTGATGCGGCTGCTTGTGCCCGTACTCGGAGACAATAGAAAGTAACTCTGGCAAGGATCGTGCACAGAATGGGCTTGTATGTCACGGATACCAAGCACTGAATAGCAGCCTCAAGCTTTACAAGTCACTCTACTGAAAATGACTCATTTCAGATCAAGCACGTTGTTTTCGTCTCGCTTCTCTGGAGTCTGTTGCAACTCCCACCGAAGTGCTGCAGCGCAGCTTCTTTCCAGAACTAACGTGATAAAAGTACTCACGACCTCTTTCATATATGGTAACATACTCAGCTCTGCTGATACAAGGCAGATATTTATGGGCTCTATTCATTTCTGACACTCCCCATTCTCTGCCCTTCGGTATGCGACGGCATGCCCGTGTTGAGTAGGAGCTCTAATATAGTGTAGACTAAACAGGTCAAAGAGAGTAGAAGGAACCAAATAGAGGCTGTGAGTAGAGTCTATGTACATGTTTTGAGGGTCATGATACTGTGCACCCGTCAAAGTATTAGGCAATGTATGTGATGCTCAAATTAGCATACTTTTTCGCGCTTCCACTGGCTTTACGCGGACCTTCAGCGGCTCCTTAATCCACAATGCATAAGACTTCTGAGTGGCCCAATTCTCACATCCTTCGCAGAGCTCCAGATCGAATTTGAAGAGCAGTGTGGCCAGCAACAGTCTCATCTCGTGCATGGCCATGTTTTGCCCAATGCAGTTTCGAGGACCAAATCCAAAAGGCTGATGAGAGTTAAAAGAATCGTTAGCGTACTTGGGGTCTGTCCCTAGCCATCGCTCAGGGATGAAGCTGTCGGCGTCTGTAAAGTTGGCCTCGGAGTGATATGTCGACCAGTGGTGAACTGATACTCGCGTCTCTGCGGGAATCCATTCGCCAAGAATCATCTGCCCACCCTCAAGTACGACACGCGGACTACCTATCGGCACTGGGGGGTAGACACGAAGTCCCTCTTTGAGACCTGAAATAGGTACGCTGTCAGTATTCATTATCCGCCGCAAATGTCGCTCCTGTTCACATACATGCGTTGAGGTATTTGAGGCTCCCGAGGCTCTCAAAATTAATGTCGTCCTGGCTACGGAACGAGCTTCTGACCTCCTCGAGCAAAGTTTCGAACCTATGAGGATCTTTGAAAAGATAGAATATTGTACCGCTCAGAAGAGTAGCTTCGGGAAAACGTTCGAAATTAGTCACTTGCTTGTTCCTCTACGCACTCTTCTTTCGGTTGCGGAAAACTTACCGGTCGTCTCCGAACCAGCTAACATAAAATTCTCAGAGTTGGAATGCATCTCCCCCAGAGTAAGGCCCTTTTCTTGCTCCTGTATCACGAGGTTCCAAACATCAGGTTGATTTGACCCATCTTCCAGACGCTTGTTGACGAGGTCTTGGGACATCATGCAGTGATTCCTCCTCTGCTCGCGAATGAACTTGGGTTCGAAGCGTGCAAATAGAGCAGTCAGGATTGGGTAGTAGTTGATCATTGCCATAACGGGCAGAAGCTTGAGGCTTTCAACAATCGCTGTCACCCACGGGCTATATTCGTTTTTCGCGAGCATCCCAAGATTTTGGCCGAAGGTGAGCTCAGCCATAACGTCAAATGTAGCGAAGTTCAACAATTGTGCCAAGTCAAGAGGCTTTTTGCCGTCTTCACCTACTTCCGATAGTTTATACATCAGAAGATCTGTAAATTTCCTGAAAAGAGGCTCTTGCTGCTTCAGTGATCGTGCTGAGAATGCCGGAGAGAATAAACGACGCATCCGAACATGATTTTCGTAAGTAGTCGTGAGCATAGGCGCCACTCCTATGGTGCATCAGGGTACATCAGTACTGTCAGATTGAACAAGAGAATGGTCAGGTGGAACTCACCATTGATAGGAGGAGGAAAAAACTCGAGCGCCTTCTCTTGTGGCTTCTGGCCATGAATATCCTGCCATGCCTGGGCCGAAGCATAGCTAAGGTCTGTTGGGCCGAACCTCACCGCAGGACCGTACTGATCATGCAGCCGCTTCATCCATGCAACGTCGTCGCCATTGATGGAGACATACCAGTAAGGAATGCGACTGAAGGCACATAGTCTCGGGCCCGGCAAGGATGCAAGAGGATGTAGAGTCACGCAGTAGATCGCAGTGGCGATGTAATACAAGACCACAGAGGCAACCAAGAGTAGGAGAAGTGAACCAAACATGTTGGAAAGAGTTGAGAAAAGACGGAAGAACAGTCCAGACTTGATGTCAGGATGCTGCAAAAGAGCTGGAGAAAGGTCTGATCAAGTATAGAACTGGCAAGGGGAACCATTGAACGACACAGAGTTGATAGTGAAAGATGAAAGAAAAAAGGTCCGAGACCAAATAGGACGATCCAGTGCTAGGTATATATAGACAATATGAGAACCTGACCAGTAGGATCAGGGCTAGAAGCTTACCGGTGCAAAACTACCCCCTGCCTATCAGTCCACCCTTGGACTGTTCGAATTTTCGACTTCAAGGCTTGAGCTCCGCAAAAGAAAGAAGAAGTATTTTGCGTATTATTGGCTGGCTTTCTATGGAATGAACATCGCTGAAAGTAATGGAAGAGTGTGCGTGCTATTTGCGCAACATTTACCGGAAATATACGTTTCCGGTGGAATCCGAGAGATATTCTACATATGGGTCGACTTCTGTGTAGGGTTGAATTTGCACTGGGGTAGCCTCCCCGGGCTCAATCGTGGGGGCAGATACGATATCAGGGGGAAGCTGCATGAGACCTGTCTCGTGAACATCATGACCCTCAGTTCCCAGGAAGCGACCCGTTTGGAAACTGTGTAGTAATTCCGTTAGCTTGACTCGCTTTCGAATTCATTTCCACGTGAAGATTGCTCTGGGAATGATTAGCTTACCTCCAATACAGATTACCGTGTGCCATTGCTCTGCAAACTTCTACAAATTTCGTGACCTCGCGATCAATTCTCTCGCCATAGGAAGGGAGCCCTGCCAGAGCAAGATACCACTGGCGATAGCAGTCGTTGGTCATCTCACCAATCTTATCGATGGCCTGCTGGGCACTGAATTGATCTCTTTTCATAAGGAGTGAGATCAGGTTGTTTTCTACACCCAGTTCCAGGTCCTTGCGGTAAGATAGGACGTCGTTGACCCTAAATGCATTGGGATATTAGTACACACTCTCTACCTGGGCAGCAATCGAAATTTTCGGCAGTATCCTTACAATATGACTAGGTCGGCCGAAATTTGCATTATTTTCTGCAAGCTTGGGTGGTCGTAGACTTGCTGTGGTACCCTGATGTCTCCGCCGTACTCGGCCAGGGCAATGGCCGGATACACACCGATCGTGCCTCTCCGCAGGTTCATGTACGCATCAACATCGCGTGTGAAGTTCTCACCTCTGACCTCCTGGTCGACTTGTACCAGAAGCTGCTCAAAGTAGCGTTTGTGCTGATCTATCCACCGCTGTTGCATTTCTAGAGTCCCAAGAATTAGCATTGTGTCATATCTAGTCCCCAAGCTGCAGCTGTTAAGCTGCAATGAACGGGCGGCTTTATGTTTCTGAATAAAACAAATTCTGAGTTTGACGCACCTGGACTGGACCCAGCCCTCAGCCTGTCCCAGCACGTCTGGAAGATGTAACGAATGGGATTCGAATCTGGTGTGTACCGGGGTGACGGCCCTTCCATGATGGCCAAGGTCTGCTTCACTTCCTCTGCTGCTGCGACTGGATCATCCTTCAGGCGTCCTTCGTCAAACTCTGCGAAACATCAGCATATTTACGCCACTCAAAGCAATAAGATCCGGGGTAGAGCTTTATACCATCGTCGAATAAAAACACCTGTAGACCAAGGTCACGATTCAGTCTTTGCCCCATACGTAATGTTGAACAAGAGAACTTACCCAATGGTTCCAGTCCAGCATCATGAGTAAACGATCCTCAGATGCAGTTGCCGACCAGATGGAGGCGAGGAAACACAGATCAGCCTGTGCATTTTTTGCTGCTGTCGCTTTGTCGAAACCCATATGTCTGCGTAAAATGACACAATTCAGCTCGAATTCCATTGAAGGTCTCAAGCCTGGAGGCTTCTTTCAAACAATCAATCACCGGCCATTGTCACCTACCTTGCAATCCATCGATCCCCCTTAGCCTTGGCTGCAAAGTAGTTGGGGTTCACAATCGGATCCATGGCCATGATAGACGTGAAAAAGTCCGGAACGCGAACGAACGAGGAGGGCATTGCAATATGCAGCTTGTCTAATTCCAGAACGCTCCCTAGCTCCGAATCTGGAGTCGGGCAGCTGGAGACATGGCTGGAATCAGAGGACAACAAGTCACCCTCGCCAAAACTGGACGTATCGTACATATCGAATACTGACATGGCTGCTTACAATTTGTGTGGTGTTCACAACGCCACACATGGGAGCAAAAGGTAGTACAACTTATATAAACCACGACAAAACAAAGCTTGTCCCATTGCCAGGTGGGGGCTGAATCCAAGCCGAGACTTAAAAGTCCTGGTCATCTGAGCACTGCCTACATGACTTCAAGTTTGTGAGATGCAGAGAGAACGTAAGCTCTGATTGGCATCATGTGGCCGCAACAAGATAACAGTGTCAGAAGTGCATTGGCGCATTAGGCGAAATCCAAAATAGGGGACATCATGGATGCTGACGATAGATGTCTTCCTTGAAGTTGGAATTGCAGCACCATTCCCTTTCGAACCTTTGTCCTGGTAATGTTACATAGTTGGATCAAGACGAAGGAATTAGCCACGTATGCGTGGTGTGATGAGGCAGAGATCTGAAAGTCATCATATTGTGGACCAGTGCCGAAATACCTCGGACCTCAGAGTTCGTCACAAGTTAGTCAAATCCTTCAGGGCACCAGAAGGGGAGAAAGGTTGTGCCTCAGCCTCGCACCCTGATCCATACCCGCATCGCACGATCGAGCAACTCCCGAGTTTCTCAAATGCTTTCCTATTTCTGCATAGCAACTATACCTTTCCAGGCAAAAATTAACTGCCCCATAGTAACTGCCTGGGAATTCCACAGATCTGCAAGACTTCTGGAGGAACGTTGCAGCTCACTACATTTTTTTTCTGTAATCTTCCTCCGCAAGCTAGCCAATCACATGTTCTGAGATGGGGAAAAGGTTGATGATGTTGTGAGTTGTCAGTAATTTTGCCGCCTGGCTGACGGGTTCAATGAGGTGAATCGACAAATATGGCGGTCTGGGCCGATGTCGATTTCTGCCGCCTATTAGATTTCGGGCCGCGATGCGCGAAGGATCAAACGAACCGACGATCTTGGTGGTCTCAGCCACCCAACACTGCGAACGCGTAGCATTAGGATTCGTAAACGGGTAGGATTGGGATTCACGAAGGAGCCGTCATATGTACCGGGGCCCGCCTAAAGGCATGCATGCATAAGCAGAAGGGACTGTTGGGCTGACGCGTGGGGGTGAGAAGGCCTTCACGATAGGATCTCGAAGATGTTAGGGTAATTGACCGGCCGACACTAGTGGTGGTAGACGAGCCGTAAATCCGCTCTGTCGATTCACTAGCATTTCGAGCGCACTTTTAGTGATGAAACCTTATCGGCACTATCCAGGCTCCCGTCCAGGCAACGGGCAACGGCGCTGTGGATACCCCCGTTGCAAATTTGTGGGCCTGGCCACTCCGTCCGACACGTCTCCCGCATACGACAGGAAATGCAATTCAATGCGAGGTCAGTCCATTCTGCTACGATCTCACCTCTCGCAGACCCTGGCCTTGCTGGTGGCCTTGGCTGCGCCAATACCCTGGCACCCTGGCACCCTGGCTGATGTGAAAAGGAAGGGAGGGGCGGAGGACAATATATATTGGGTAGTTGTGTGTGATGATCAGTTCTAGCCCTGGTAGCTGGCAGGGAATCCAGCGAATGACAAACAATAGAACGCCATCTAAATAATTTTCAAAAGCTGAAGGTGTACAGGTAAACTTAAACGTGAACGACGCCGAGGCTTCCCAGGCCAAACCCCTTATTTCGCGTACCTGCATCCCTCCCATGATCCTTCTTGTCCCTGCATATTCCCAACTGCCGTGTCCCAGTGAGGTTGAGGCCGCGGAAAAAGAGGTAATGGGGGGGGGGGGGAGCCTGCGAGTAGAGACTAAGTTGTGCGAAATCAGATATCCGCCTCCTTTATCATTCCTTCTATATGCGTCCACAGTCCAGCAGGCCGGTACCCCTCGAGCCAATAATTGCCATGAGAGTCTTGCCCAGTAATGAGGAACCCATCAGGGTAAGGAATACCCGTTTGGATCTGCGAGACAAAACATGGGTAGAGAGGCGTGTCTCGCTTTGTTACAGATGCCGCCGAGAAATCCGTGAGGTAAGTCTTGACCTTGGTCCAGTTTGAGAAACCTATGTGGTGCATGTTGGGCTTTCCAAAGAATATTGGCATCGGGCCCAGTGGCCATGCATTGGCCCTGACCATACTCTGGAATGCCTCGATCTGCTCGCGCGTGCCGTGCTTATTGATGCCGCGCCGGATGTCCCCTGCCAAAAGACCCAGAGACTGGTCAACTTCCTTTTTAGTCTTGAGCACGCTCGTGAAGCTTAGGCAGTTGGAGACATAAAGCCTGTCCGGGGGCAGAAGATCTTTTTCGAGCGCGCGCCGAGCAGACATGGCTTGCATGATAGTTACGGGCTTATCAGGGGGCAAATGGGAGAAGGCGAGACGAGACCACCACGATGTGATGAGATCGTTGTCAGTCAGGAATGGGTCCTTGTGACCCGCCTCCCTCAGCTCTCGTATTGCGTTTTGCCGAAGCTTGTTCATGAAACTGGCCGGAATGCATACTGTCCGGTTTTGTTTCTGGCTCATGAGGATATTGTAGCCATTCCTCAACACATACGATGCAGTACCCAAGGTTGACAACTCAGAGCCTGCAAGCTCGTAAGGTTCTGTCGGGTGACACCCCAGCTCGCGCAGAGGATCCTCATCGAAACCATGGAGAAGGGGGACCTCGGCTTCTCGACCTTGAAGGATCAAAACCCAGTTGTCCAAAATAGCCTTCAGTGCCATAGCATCGGCTGCAGCATGAAGCCAGTGCAGAGTGACAATCGTGGCGTCCTTGAGCGAGATGATGTGGAGGCCAGTGACGGGTCGGTCTGAGCCGACATAGTCTTGGAGTGATTTTGGCCCATCAGCTCCACAACACAATTCAGCCCAGTCCTCGGGATTGCCCACAATAGCGGGACGGTCCATGGTGGCCGACTCCGAACTAGGCATGCGAGATGTCACAGGGTGGTCTGCCTTGGCCACGTCGTGAAAGGCGTGTGTATAGGCAATAGCCGGGCGAGTGGTGGAGAACTTCCGCGGGACATGTAGATCAGGCCCATTTTTCTGTCAACTGTCAGGATTCGCTCGTCAAAATTCCGAACAAAAATGGCATGGTTGGTAGACATACTCCCTTCCTCACCCTTGCGCCCAGCTTCCGCCAGGTGTCGCGTTGAACAAGTCCGTCGAGACTCGCGCGAAGCTTTTCAGGGTCTAAAACCTCATCGAAGACCATTATTGCGTACATGGTAATATTCGTGAACATAGCACTATTGTCGAAGTAGTGCAGTGGAAACACCAAGTCAGGTTCAGCCAGCGGGGCTGCATCTTGCTGGGGGGGAGTCATGCTGGTGCCTGAAGAGGGCACCTGAGGTGCTGAAACAACAACGCACAAATCAACGAACTGGTGCGGTGCAGATTTCCTTCCTCACACTTGAAAAGAGTGATTCAAGTAGAGCACTGAGTATTCGAGTATTAGATAGAGGAGAATTAATAGCGGATGTCCAGAGAATGCGGAGACAAGATCTGCGAATCTCGGCCTTCCAGATATAGATAGAGTTCGCCGAACTAAAACGCGGCGCGATCATGGCTGCGCGGATATATCCTCGCGCCGCAGTACGCACTAAAAACCCGCTAAGATGCTCTCGCCTCTGTTGGGCTGGATGCCTCATCTGGAAGAGTGACCACGCCTTACACCCGCAGGATCCTGCAATGCGACTCTGCGTTCCCCCTTGCTAACATATCATTTCCTTATTTTCTATCGTCTCCCTGCAGTCATGCTTCCTCTAGCTTACCGGTCCCCACTATAAATCAACTGGACTACCAATTGACCCGTGCACTAATCCCTGCGGATGACGGATCCACTATCGCTAAGAAATCAGCTGGACTACCAAACGAAGACTTCGCCCGAATCCTGCGTATCTGGAACTCTTTTGTCCAGACATGGGGGCGGCAAAGGAACGGATCTGCCTGCGAGTCACCCAAGAAATAGGATCCGGGCTAGCAAGGGATTGAAAAAGGGGCCTGGCCTAGCAGAATGGGGTGATGATGGGACGAGGGGAGAACAAAATGTCCGCCCGAATTCTTGCTGCTAGGAAAAGAAAACCATCGACTCAGCCCCGCCCTCTTCTGAATCTTTGTAATCTCAACGCATTCGCTGTATCAATCAGAATCAAAAAGTCTACCGTGTGCTTGGTGAACTTTGATAATGGCAGACTCACAGCAAGTGGGCGTGATTCCAGCGCCGGCCGGGGAGACCGCGCACTTCGGTGACGGTCACACTTCTTTACAGACCACGCTCATCGTTGTTAATCTCGTGACGTTTGCATTCGCAACGGTATTTCTGTGTCTTCGACTCTACACCTCCGCCTTCATCATCAAAAGACCTGATCTCGGTGATTGTAGGTACTGTTTTTAATATTCTCTTGTCCGCCGCTAACGTTGTTCACTCCTAGTCTTCATCGTCGCATCTTGGGGCGTAGGTGCTGGCTCGATCGCTTGCACCATAATAGGTAAGCTCGCCCCAGATCTGTCGCACAGACGAAATCATCGAAATCCATGAACCCTACCCTGACTTGAACCAGCTATTCAGTATGGCTTCGGAAAGCACGCATGGAACGTCAAGCCGACAGAGATCCTGGGTTATTATCACGTACGTGTTTGTCTACAATGAAAACTCTGTGCGCATGTGGCTGACAAGAATGGCACGGACAGAAACTCGTCGCCATGGCCGTTACATACTTCTGGACACCCAGCCTCACGAAACTGTCGGTTTTAACGCTCATCCACCACGTTTATCGGGCCAAATGGGGACGAATGTGCACCTGGGTTATCGCAGCAGCCATTCTCATATATACGATCGTCTTCACGGTCCTTGTTACTGGTCCTTGCAATCCAATGGGTGGCAGTGTGAAGTGCCTCAACAACGTGGGCGGAGCCCATGCGGCATTGAACATCTTGTCTGACGTGCTCGTCATTGTCTTGCCAATCCCCTTGGTCCACGAACTACAAATGCCAATGAGACAAAAGATATCAGTGGGGATACTGATGACGTTGGGCTCATTTTGTCTCATCGCCTCCATCGGCCGGATTGCTTTCGTGGTCGACATCCATGACAATCCGGACATCACATTCTGCGAAGCCAAAGTCGGGGTCTGGTCGGCTCTCGAGTTGAATATTGGCATCATGGGCGCCAGCTGTAAGTTCTCCACACCACTGCGATACTTCTGGGATCAAGCATGAGCTCCACGGCATAGTATTTTGCCGTGGTCAGTTAATGGTCATCACGTGATGATCACACTTGGTGTAACGTTCTAACAAAAGATAGTGGCTCGTTTAAAACCGTTTGTGCAACGCTACTTTCCAAAGCTATCAACCTCTGGTGCTGGGTCATATGGCCCCAAGATCAAAGGACCGAGTGGGTATGGAAACAGCGAGCGCAGCGACCGCCCGACCCGCGACGAATACCTACTACACAGTGTTCAAAAGAGCAGTATGGTTCCTCCCGAGGGCTACATACAGGGAAAGCATAATGGAATTAGCGTCCAGTCTGACGTTTATGTGTCGCGGTCCAATATGGGCCCGCACGGCACTGGTGCGGAGAATGTGTGGACATATACCCCTCAGGTGCAATCCGTTGGAAACGAATACCGCTCCTAAAGTTGAGTGAAGAGCTACGTTCGTGTCTGGGAGGAGTATAAGCCCCTCCAGTAATGGCTTGCTAGCAATTATTCATGCGAGAAGAATATGGGAATTCGTCGGAGGGATGTTTATAAGAAATTCGGTCATGAAGACCAAGTGTACGTATGGATCTGCTATTTGATCTCGTCGATTACTATCATCATATGTGCCGTCGGCTGTAATTTTGTCACTGGATCGACGGACGTACGTGTTCTTTCCCGTGTGCGTTAACAAGTTATTGTCTTCATCAGCTACTTAGCTGTCCTTTTCGTGTTCCTGAACCGTCATCTCTTCGCTGTGACGTGATCTCCCTGCCTCAGAACATGTCAGACGGTCATCGCCTTGGCTGCAGCGAGCTCTGTTCTATTAACCGTGCGAATGACCGACTGGACGTGTACAATTATACCGTTCTTCATTGTTTCCGGACTGAAATGTCTTTTGGCAAGGAAGTATCATTCATGATGGTTCTGGGACTGCGGTTTCTCGACTCCATCCGGACCTTTCTCGCCTCTTTATTTAATGGTATTGCCAGCATGACATACAGAGCATGTGTTTTTGTTCCACTACCATAGTTCTTGTAATGACTCCTGATTTTGTCTTTAGTGAAACTCGTCTGCAGACACTTTTGTGATCATCGATATCCTCTCGACGGGGCGCCCAACCAGCTTCGTCAGCCCCTAGTTGGCCACTTTGCAGAAATGTTTCCCACTCAACCAGCTATGCCGTCTGCAAACCCCTTGAAGTCGGCCTGGTCATAAATTGGCAAGCAGATAATTCTTAGGCTGTTATATGTTTCCATAAAAGTTGTGACCAGCCGGAGCAAAGCACCTCCAGGTCGGAGACGCACGTCTGTTTTCTTCTCGGAACAGGTCATGAAGCTATTATGTTCTATTCAAAGGATCGGTCACCCTGTAGTCTCCGCAAAAATACATCAGGAAGACATGACTCATCTTGTCTCGAATGCCACATAGTGGTACTAGCTGCTGATTTGGTGAATCTAGAATCCTAATTTGACGAATTATTGATAGAACCGCACAGCGCAAGCGTGCCCAAGGACTGCGGGATATGGTAGAATAGGGACTTGAGAATGCAATAGACTCAGCTCTTAGTGGATGAGAAACCACTGAAGATTCCAGAGCTGCCACCACCAAGGTTCTTGAGTCAATCTACCGAGGGAGTCCTAGAACTTATCGTATCATCAATCTTTTGGAAGTCTCGCGTGCGTTGGCAGAGGGTGATGAGGAAATACATGACCTGGTCTATGTCGTCGCACTGTTCACCAAACCGTACAACGGGTTGACTGGTCTGGTCATATGTTCTCTCCACAAACTTGATATGGGATGCCAGTTCAGCAATTTTCTTTTGATAAAAAATCACCGGGTCAAGCCACAACTACTTACGTTGGCTGTCAACATCTGGATTGGAGAATGTTCAGCATCAACGCAAGGCTTCATATGATATGGACTTATAGTTGTTGAGGATGCGACGCTCGGCACTGCAGGCGTTGACCCAGACATAGACACCGTCGTGAACGGAACCGATTTAGGATCGTTGAGGGAAAGTCCCACGAGTTCTGTGGGTAGAACAAAGGCGCCCACATCGCTCCAGAATGTTCGCATTAGTCCGCTAATGACGGAGTGCCTGTTTAATGTACAGCTTTAACAGAGTGAAACTTTTCCATTAATAAAGCCACAGTCTTGAGGGCGTAAATCCGAGCGGAAACCCCTATTTATGTACGAAGTGTAGAATTTGTGCGAGTGTGAGTTAAACCCTCGACGTTCAACAACACTCTCTTAGAGGGGAAAGACGTACGAAATGTCCTTGACTAGGTACTTGGTATTGCTAGTCTTTGGTGGTACTGTCCCGTGGGTGATTCGATAGTCGCATACTGCAGCCCGTGAGCTGCAGCCGAGCCCAACTTCTCAGCACAAAGCACCAATTATAGTTACTATAACTATCATCCGGCCTGCTGCAGCCCATCCTTACTCTACCCCGCAATATACGGAATTAATAGGCTCTGGAAAGCGCAATGTACGATCTCGAACTGTTGGCCATTATCCTAGAAGGATCTCGGAGCGGGCTCTCTGCTCCATTCAGCAAATCTCAATATGACTCGATTGTGGACTCCGCAACTCAGACGAGAATTCCACAAAGCAGTGGAAACACTTTATGAAACCTCGAACAACCCATCAGAAGAGATAAATTACCGGAATTCGCTGCGAGATGCCCCTCCCTCGCGCCATACCCTTCAATTGCGGGATGAACTTCAGCTCGCCGATCATGTCGCATATCTGGCTCACACACAAGAGGGAGCATACACGATCTCTGCTGCATGTGTGGAGGAAAATGAAAATGGGCTAATTATCCGTCTCGCAAGCAATAGTACGCCATCTGACCTGACTATCTCAGGATTGATGAAGATCTTAGACACCTTCACCGAAGGTGCCCGCCGTGGTAGACTATTTTCCTGTCAATTTCGGAGACTTGAAAAATTCTAACTTCTACTCCTTTGTTTGTAGGAACCCAAGGTGATGAGCTGCAGGATCTGCTGTTTGAAGACGTTGTGGGCCTGAGCAAAGAACGCATTCTGCAGCGAGTTCGACCTCCCTGGATGCCGACTCCTCCATACTTCCGTGGTGCCGAGAAGCCTCTGTGGGAACGCATAGATCAGATTCTGAAGTCTTTTGGGTACTCTACGACTTATGGCGACGTAATCTCACGTCTCGAAGCCTTTGTTTCAAAAGCGCGTGCTTTGAAGAACAAACCAGATGAGGCTCAGCTTCGTGTTGCGATCAGCAGCATTGTACGGAGCTGTGCTGAGGTATCCTACAGCGGGGACTACAAGTCTTTAGAGGAACAGCTAAAGACTATACCGCACAATCTCGTGACGAAGGACTACATGCAAATTGATAAGCTGGCTCGGTATTTTGGTCTCTGCAGGGACCTTGGAAAGCTCGCGCAAAGACTAAGTTTTCGTGGCACCACCAAGGCTATTACGCTGGAGCGTCTGATAGCCTTCGAGGCAGAGAAACCTGCGGGCGCCTTGAAACCCTGCTATGTCCACGCCGAGGTACAGCTACTCCTGTATTACGAACAGTACCCGTCAAACAAGCTACCTCGAGTCATAGGTTGCAGCAAGTCAGCATGTTTCCTATGCGATATGTTAATTAAACGACTGGGAAATTATCAGATCTCTTGCTCACACGGACGGCTCTACAACCGATGGACTATCAAGGACGTGTCATGGATGTCTGTGGAAAGGACACTCTATTTCCGAGACTTACTTCAAACAATGACTACCGAAATATCCTTCTTAGCAAGGAAATCAGCAGTTACAGATCCAGGACTGCTGAGAATTAGAAGATTTGGCCTAGAGAGCAGAGCGGTCCTTCCGCTGTCGAGCAACTCGAGTCTAGAATTTCCAAGAAAGTCAGCAGAACCACGCACAGACAACTTCACTCCCCAAATTTCAATTTCAACAACCACTGAGCCGAAGCCAACCCCTAATCAATTGAAGACTGCTCTTGACTCACAAACAGAGGAAGTGGCCGCTACGGGATTCGCTACAATGCACCCTGCTGCCACCGTATCGTGCTTGAATCTGCCAGCGGCGCTGGATCTGCAGAAAAGGGATCTGCCACACCACCAGAAGCTCGACTCAAAAGCGGAAACATGTTTAGATCTTGATCGGCTGATCGTGATGTTCGACTGCTCTTCCATCTCGACTGGATCCCTTTCAATTCAACAAATTGAAACTAATAAACCGAGCAATAACGAGAATGGAGTCAAAAACATTCGAGTCAATGAGATCCCTGATACTGAAATGTGCATTGGATCAGTGAGGTCGTCAAAGCTGAAGTTCCGATTGCAAACTCAAGGCAATGAGGCTCTGGAGATCGAGATAGTCTCGAATTAGCCGCATGTGGTGCCTGGCCAAGAACACTGAGAAGAGGATTGTGGCCACAGGTTTGAGAGCATAACTGCCTACATAGTTACTCCTCCTGTCGAGCTGCCCCTGGATCTGGAATGAAAACTAGTTCCGAGTTTCATTGTACTAAAGTGAGGAGGTGAACCTAAAGTTAGTATTACTGATTTGCTGGTCTCGGTTAAACTTGTCCCAAATGTGAATTTAATGAAGATAGTCCAGGTATCGGGTCCAGTGATGCTGCCAATCATCTGGGGCCTGGATCAGGTCATATACCAGATTTAATTCATAAACGGAGTTAAAATTCCCATCCAGTTCATCACGGGCCTGGCCACTGGCGGACTGCTAAAGCAGAACGGTCACAAGGAGCCCTACTGGTTCGAAGATGGGCGCTTTTCCCACCTACGTATCTTCGAAACCCAGTCGCTCTCCAACGCCAGCGGAGATACAACGGGCAGATTTGCAAACGGCCTTGACGGCGGCGCCGCCCATGGGCGAGGCCTTGCGGCTCGTGTGTGAGGCCCTGATGCGCAAGCTCGCTAAGGCTATGATGATAGAGCTGGAAGATTTGGACTCGAGCAGGCCCGCAAGTTCTTACGGTGTCGACAGCGTCGTCGCAGTCGAGGTGCGGCGGGGGGTGTTCAAGGCCGTGAAGAGCGACATCAGCGAATTTGACATTTCGAGCAACACGCCCCTTACACAACTGGCTTCTTCCCTCGGCTAAGAGCCACCTGGTGAGCGCTAGCGTCGCTAACAGGGAAGAGGACTAGCGAAGCTACCGAGATAACGTCTGATTGACATTTTCACAAGTAATGTAAGCTGGGACATATCGACTTCGGCATGTCAAATCCTTTTGGCAAATATTTGCGTATTTGGAATGTCGTTTGCACTTCCGGTACCATATGTATGCGAGACAAGCGATCATTCTTGTTTCCTGAAAGCCTGGCTATTCCCTGGCCTTACTTATTTCAGTGTCGACGTGCATACACAGAACGCCCCTACAGCATGACTCTACGCTGAGTAGACTTCTAGTTAGACATGAGTGTCACGTGGGCTGACGAGCACCATTCGCTTGGAGGTCAGTGGGGACAGTGTCGACGCTGACTGCATCAAGCGGTCCAGACCCCCTCTACATCCTCCATAGAGACGAGCTAGATCGGCATACCGTCCACACCGGATATCGTGCAGAGCGCCAAATTGTTCGTGTTTGGTACCTTCGGTTATATACCGAGAGGAGACTATCTGAGCGCTGGTTCAGATAAACGGATGGCACAGTTGCTGCTTGACTAGGGTTCGCTCGCAAAAATCATGCGGCTCCTGAACGCCAAGACGCACAGACTCGAGAGCTACGATGATGAGCAGTCTGTCCCCGGCGGCTATGCCATCTTGTCTCACACCTGGGGGAATGAAGACCAGGAAATATCGTTCGAAGACTTCAAAGAATTCCGGCTCCATCTAGGACCATCTTCGGCATCCGCGTTGCCCTCACCTGAAGATATTCAGACCGCGAGGCAGGCACTTCCCGAGTCCAAAGCTCCCGGCTGGGCCAAGATAGATGGCACCTGCGACCTGGCTCTCGAGTATGGGTACTCATACGTGTGGATTGACACGTTCTGTATCGACAAGTCCAGCAGCGCTGAGCTACAGGAGTCGATCAACTCCATGTTCCGGTGGTACGAAAAGGCCAGCATCTGCTTTGCCTACCTTTCTGATGTCGCGTCGCTGGATGGTGCTCAGGATGCAGGATCGGAGTTCCGAAGGTCAAAGTGGTTTACACGGGGCTGGACGTTGCAAGAGCTTCTCGCGCCGTCAAGCCTAGACTTTTTCGACCGGTCATGGCGGAAAATTGGCGACAAGTCAGGTCTTTCGGGGATCATTCAGGAGGTTACCGGTATCAATTCCCAGTACATCATCGGAGTGCCTATGTCAAATGGCGCCTCTGTCTATCAGTATATTTCGCGGGCGAGCGTAGCGGAGAGGATGTCGTGGGCTTCTCGCAGGCGCACCACGAGACCAGAAGACCTGGCATACTGCCTGCTGGGTATCTTTGATATTCATATCCCGATGCTGTACGGAGAGGGTCTGCATGCATTTCAGAGATTGCAAGAGGAGATAATGAAAGTTACAGATGATACTTCTTTGTTCGCCTGGGGATTAGGAAGGGTGTGGAACTCGTCAGAACATTCTAGTATTTTGGCCCCGGCTCCAGAGTATTTTGAGCACTGCTCAGACATCGAGATCATGGACCTTGTCGACTTCAAGCGTCCCTCGTTCCATCTATCACAGCAGGGCTTGGTTGTTGACCTGCCGATAGTGCAGGATCGCAAGTTTGACAACATCTCATATCTCATCCTGCACTGCGGCATCGCATCTGACTCTGATCAGAAGGTCAGTCTCGTCGCCGTGCCCATCGTGTCCACCCGTGCGGCAGAATCTCATCGCGAATGGGATGCGGATGGAAATTTTATTCGGCCCATATGGTGCACGCCCTTGCTCGTGTCAACCACATTCCTCGACTCGGCAACAACTGCAAGGGCACTTATAGTCAGGTCATCCCCGGCAAATGACCATTTGTGGACTGTTCCAATCTCTCTGAAAGCCCCAAGGGAGAACACAGAGAACCCTCATTGGAGTCTCCTTGGTGTCTACCCCCCGCAACCAACTAGGCAGGGCGGCTGCTTCGTGTCACTATACGAATTCCCATATGTCGCTCGCGCAAGCAGTCGGCAAGTCCACCTTGTCCAGCTATCGACCCCCACGCCCGAGACTCCTACACAGCCTTCCAGGGATCTGAAGTTCACCACACCGCCAAAGGACGGAATGGTTTCTCTCCACATTGACACTGAACTAGGGGCGTTTATCTTGCTCCTGAACTACCAGATCGGAGGCCCACGTCAGATGAAGTCTGGTGGGGCTGTGCTTTCTTTTGGGTACTGGTCGTCGCTCAAGTCGATGAGTTGTCGCCTATTTCCTTGTCCGAGAGACAAGGACGCCGAGACTGTCCAGAGAACCGTGGCAAGATTGTCTCTGACGTCCAAGGGACCAGGAGAGATCCCGTGTTCAGATGTGGACGGCGATGAGTGCAGAGTGCGTTTTGCACCTGCCGGTTGCGATGGGTTCTTAGACGTGTTCTGGGAGACGACGCCAGTCCGCCAGGAGGCGAGGCGCCAGGGAAGGACTGGGGATCAGATCCATCGCATTAGTGTTGTTGAGATATTTGTCACAAAGGGACAAATCAAAACTTTACCATTAGTATAGTGTTCTGAACCGCCAAATCTTTGTCAACGACGTCTGGAAGCGCCAGCCAGACAGTCTCAAGTGCTTTACTGATTGTTGATATGCTAATATCATTACGATGGAGTTTTCAAGTAAAATGTTGGCCAGATGAGCCCAGGGAAAGTCGAACAATCCGTGTCTACTCATGTTCACATGCACGCTCGTGACCAATTCCCGCTCGCTATAATGTAGAATCTTGAAGCCAAGCGTCGGAGTTTCTAGTCCAACAGGGGATACTCGAGGCTCAAAGCCGAGATTCACACCAGCCCAGGTCTCTTGATTCTCGGCTGATCTATTGGGTCGCTAACACCTACTATGTATTTGGTGTAAACATGCTATGGTAGCCCAGACCCTGTTTCTAGACCCCTGAACACACATTCCGTGCCAGTTGTGCATGTGACCGAGGCATGGGGTCGCTTTCTTTAGTCAGGTCCGCCCGCACGAACTACCGCGATCTCACCCCACAATCGTCTCCGACTTCACTTGTCCGCTTTGGGGTCTGAATCGGCCCCAACCCCCTGTCTCTCGGGACCGTTTGTTCCCATGCTTCAGTTTTCGATTAACACTAACCCGAGCCACCGGGTTAAGATCGTCATCGGCATATCGTAATGATGCGAAGATAAACAGAGATCTCGACGCGCTGTTTATAGTACGTTGATACCCTCCTGGATTGGGTGTAACATTGACCCAGATACTTACCGAAATCCTCATGTTGTAATTACCACCATGAACCCACAAGATTCATTTGTTTGGACAACGTTCCAGCCCAAATCTTTCTGGGCCCGGAAACGGAATGTCGTTCTTAAGAATACGGTACCTTTCCAGTTGGAAATGCTGAAAACGACGGGGAGGTACGAAGCATTTGATCTGAAATGGCATCCTATCTACGACGATGAGCCCGCCACGTGGCCTGTACCGAAACATCTTTTCTGGGACTCGGATGTTGGGAAATGGATCGAGGGTCTGGCTTATTTTGGAGATCTCGAGGAAGGGAATGAAAGTCAACTCGATCAAGCTGCTGCGGATCTTGTTCAGAAGATCAACAGGGCCCAGCAAGAGGACGGCTATCTGAACATTCATTTCACCGTGGTGGCTCCTAAGGAGCGCTTCTCTAACCTGCGGGATCTCCACGAGCTATACAATGCCGGCCATCTCATCGAGGGGGCTTTGGCTCACCAGCTACGCTTCAAGTCGGACGAGCTCATGAAGCCGATGAAGAAATACATCGATCTGCTGCACAAGACCTTTGGACCTGGTGAGGGCCAGAGACATGGGTATCCGGGACACCCCGAGATCGAGCTGGCTCTAATCCGATTTTACAAAAGAACCGGTGACACGAAGGCTTTAGAGCTTGCAAAGTATTTCGTAGAGGAGCGAGGAAATTCGACGGGGGCGAGTGGCAAGCATTACTATGATGCTGAAGCTGAAGCGCGTGGCGAGAGCAAATACACTGCACCCTCGTACTATCCCGCGGCGCGAAGTTACTGGTATGTCCTGTCTCACGATCGATTTTGAAGACAGGATCATTAACGATCGCATGACAGGTATAACCAGGCACATAAGCCAATCGTCGAACAAGAGACCATCGAGGGCCACTCGGTAAGAGCGATGTATCTTTTAACGGCCGTCGCCGACTTGGCCGTCCTCGACCCCAAGACCTACGGCCCCAAGTATCTGCCCGCACTCAACCGACTATGGAACAACATGGTGGACAAAAGGATGTACCTCACAGGCGGAATTGGGGCTATCAGCAAGTGGGAAGGTTTCGGAATCGACTACTTCCTGCCTCAATCCACAGACGAGGGCGGTTGTTACGCCGAGACATGCGCGGCGATCGGCGTTATGATGCTGGCGGAGCGGCTCCTCCAGGTCAGTACCCAAATATCATCTCTAAGTGCGTGACAAAAGCTAACCATGCCCAGATCGAACTCGACGGCCACTACACTGACGTTCTAGAGCGCGCCCTGTACAACGCCATGCTCACTGGCATGTCTGTCGACGGCAAGGCTTTTACCTACGTCAACCAGATGGCTACATCGGAAGCGGATGCGTCCAACAAGCGCGAGGAGTGGTTCGAATGCGCTTGTTGTCCTCCCAACGTCGCAAGAGTCCTTGGGCACATCGGAGGTTACTTATGGACTCCCAAAACTGATTCCGAGACCTCGACCACAATCAATATCCACTTGTACGCTTCTGCATCACTCGACTATACATTGGAAGGCACCCAGAAAAAAGTCAAACTGAGCCAGACGACCAACTACCCGTGGGAGGGCAGCGTCGATTTCGCACTCGGCAATGTTTCCGGTGTTGATGTAGACATCAACCTCAGGATACCGGCATGGGCAGGCGATTCCTGGGAGGTACGTAGCACAAGCTTCATCCGCTGCACAATCACTGTCCGCTAATAGAGTCCACCACAGATAACTCCCAAGCCCCCTTCCACGTCCCTAAGCAAGGGATATCTGCACCTCGACGCTGCATACCTGAAGAGCAACCCCAACTTCAGGCTCACTGTGCCACTCGCACACCGCCTCCTCCGCCCGCACCCCTTCACACTCCAGCGCATCGCGGTTCTCGCCCGCGGGCCTTTGATCTATTGCGTCGAAGACGTTGACAACCCTTGGGTCACGGATCACTTCAAGTCGCTTGTGCTGGCACCGGGCATCACAAAGGCGGGGGAGCAGCTGAGCGGGCACGTTGTCGAGGAGGAGAAGACGGACCTGCCCCTCGGCGAGCCCTATGTCGGGTTGACGCTCAAGAAGGGCGGGCTCGTCATCCCGCAGGATGAAATGCTGCCTGCCTTGGAATCGAAGGGTCTCGAGGCGCTCATCGAGGGCAAAGAGGGTGTTGACCTACTATTTGTTCCGTATTGGGCGAGGGCAAACAGAGGTGGGAAGCACCAGATGCGTGTCGGTATTAGGACTTTGGATTGATTGATGGACGCATTGTATATGACGAGGTCTTCCAGGACACCTTCTAGTAGTGAGAAGACATTTGATGATTGCTATTCAGATACATTGTATACTTTATGAACCGTGGTAAATTAGAACGGAAGCCAATCGGAATGGATTCTCAAAGCTCCGTCTGGAATAAAGGATGAACGATATTGGATGATATGCCGTGACACACAATGACATAATTAGATGAATAAATGCGACGGTATGGATGCACACCTGCCGGTCATAGATGCAGGACGACATGTTGCCGACATTGTAGGTCACATTTTCTGATAGACATACCGACAGTTATTCGGTGTATTGTCAAAAGTCTTCCGACAGCATCACAATCTTTTGCATTCAGAGGGAAGCTTATATCCTATCTAGTAGGCCCTAAATACAGTTCAAAACAAAGCCGCCGACAAGAAGATATCACCACATCTATCGCATGAGAGCGATACTTCTGAGGGAACTGGATTCAAAATATAAAACAATCATCTACCAAGGGAGACCACATTGTCTGCAGCGTTTAGGCTTTCCTTAGTGGGCCTGCTCGACGTGGGTACCTGTATGATCATGTTTCTCAGAAACAGAGCCCGCGATTGACTTTCCAGACGTACCAACTGCGAACTGATCCACGGTGGTATACTTGAACTTGCGGGCTGGGACGCGGTTGTCGAACATGAGATCAATCTCTCCAAAAGTGCGATCCTTGGTCTCTGGTAAGCGACACCAACACCAGATATTACACAGGAGGTTGGTGCCAGCATAAAAAAGACCGGCTTTGGCGCCCCAGTTCCAGGCTGTAGACTATGTGTCAGTGCAATGCTCGTTCTAGCTCATATAAACGCGTAAGAGGACCTACCGGTGGCCGAGATCATTCGGGGGGTGACAGAGTTGCTGAAAATACCGGTCACATTATACACAAAACGGCCGATAGTGACGGTCTTGTACCTGAGTCTACCGGACGGCGTCTCAGCGACGATGGGGTAGCAGACAGGGCCGATGGTGGTCATGTTTGCCAAGGTGGAAATCACAAGCAGCACACCAATAGCTAGCTGGGACTTTTTGCTCCCGTCGAAGCCAAGACCGCCTATAGCGACAAGACAGAAGAACATGAAAGTCATTCCGCCCATGTATAAAGTAGCCCTGCCCAGACGAGGCATAAGCAGCCAGCAGATCATGCCTCCGATGATATAGCACGCCGAAAGGGAGATGTTGAGGTCAAAAGCCTGGACCTCGTTGAATCCTGCGGCCTCGAGAAAAACGACAGAGTAACCGAGAATCGCATTGCCGCAGAGAATTTGGGCAGCCCAGACAACGCAGTTGATCTCGGTGCGGCGAAGGTTGGTCCCCTTAAAGCAGTCGGCGAAGCTGGCGTTCTCGGTCTCAGCCTTCTCCAACTCGGTCGTGTAGACGATGTACGCCAACGTAGACTCGACCTGCTGCTGGCGCTCGGGGCTGTCCTGCCGCAGCTTGATAAGTGCCTCGCGGGCCTCGTCGGTCTTGCTGCGACGGATGCAGTTCCAGGGCGACTCTGGTGCGAAGTACGCGGCAAGGAATAGGGGGATTGGCCAGACCCACTGGATGGCGAAGGGGAGCTTCCATCCTAGGTCGCCTGACACATTGACGACGGCGCGAACGACGCCTGACGAGAGCAGGATGCCACCACCCCAACACATGCAGACGTAGGCAGTAACGTATGGGCGGAGGACAGTGGGAACGACTTCAGACGCGTATGAGGTCGAGAGAGTCTGGAAGACACCCCAAGGAATGCCGCATATGAATTCTCCGAACGCGAGGACGGATAGCGATGGCGCGAAGAAGGGAATGAAGATAGCGGCCAGCATCCACACCATGAAAGTCATCATTGTGTGACGGCATCCAAACTTGTCCTGGGCGTAAGTGTTGATTGCCAGACCGCACAATTGTCCAATTAGGGCCGAATTGGAGAGGACTGATTGCCATTGTGCCGAGATGACATGCGAGTCGCTCGCTGCGTCGTAGGTACCGAAGCGATTTTGGAATTGGGTTTGTCCGTAGAAGGAGGTGATCTAAGAGAGACAGAAGACAACAATTTAGCTACCACACCGTACTTGGCTGCCCTCTCTCGTGAGGAATCAACTTACAATGACCAAATCATATCCTTCCATGACCAGACTGGTCGACAAGATCATAGCCCAGAAACAAGCCTTCTTGTACTTCTTAATAGCTTCCTTGATAGTGAGCTGCCTGTCGGCGGCATCGGCCTCCTGGGCCTGACGGATCAGGTCATGAGTACGCTCCGAGTCGAAGTCCAGGACTCTGATCTCGTCCCGAGTTGGGACAATGACTTTTTCTTCCGCCATGAAGAGAAGAATTCGCGGTTGGGCGTTGCACGGTATGTGGAGTGTAGGACCAAAAGTCCAGCGAATTAATGTAATCAAGTAGGGTTACTTTCGAAGCTACAGGTAGCCCGGAGGAAGCCTGCCGTCGACCAGGGACCGAGAGGACATAGTGCATGTGATATACGGAAGTCGTCGCGTGCGCATGAGAATATGTCGTCGCATAAGCAGTGGACGAAGTCACCCCACAAACGTCTCCGAGGCTGTCACGCCTGAGTCTAGCTGTGGACAGACCATCTAAAATCGTGGATATGGTCTAATGGCCTCACATGACAGCTATAGTTGTCGGGCTCGGGTGTGGGGGTGGGTGAAAGTCGGCGGCGGAGGTGGTGCGAGCTTGAAGCGGGCCAACCAGCGCCGGCATTGAACCTTGTATGGGCTGTTTCGAGGCCAGCACTAGAAGTAAACCGTAGGAAGCGGAGGTGGCGGGGTGGTAGTGTCGGAGATGGGGGTGCATTTCCTAGCCGGAAAGGGGGGAGGGAGTAACATTTCAAAGTCAAGACGCGATGAACACTGTAGCCCTGTGAGTACAGATGACATCAGACTCACTCTACTGATGGACTGTGGACTGCAAACTGGTCCCTGCTTCGTGGAATATTTTGACGCAGGTACCTTGGAACTTTATTTGACATGTGCAGCCCAAGAATCGCGAGCGACACCCTCTTTTATGTGACTTGTAAGGCGACATATCTATTGGTGGGGGACGTTGTATTTACCATCTCAAAGCGGTCGCTGCCCCGGGACCACCAAAAATATATAAATTGACCGTCTCTCCTGGCTTGTGATGGCTTCGTAAATTAAGTTAATTACTCTGTGTTACTTTGTCTGACAAGAAATACTCGTCGTCGACCATGCGTGCTGCCGCTCGTGAATGCCTAGGCCTAATATTGGCCGCCACGGCCGTGGCTAACCCACTCGACCGCCGTCAATCAACAACGGCCATCGTGAACTTCGGCAACAACACCGGAACTCCACAGCACCTCGCCTCCGGTACCCTGTATGGCTTGCCTGATGTCGTGTCGCAGATTCCTGACCACTTTTTCACCGACATTGGCTGGAATTATGAGCGAGCCGGAGGTGCTCAGACGTCTGGAAAGGGTTGGATCGCCGGACTGACTGCGTACAAGTGAGTATTCTACGGCTGTCACTCATCTGTCTGAGACAATCTCCCTGCTGACATCCTTAAGGCAACGATTCGCCACCGTGGTCGCCAACTACAAGACCACCATAGCCCACGGCGGCACCTTCATCCTGCTGATCCATGATCTGTGGGGCGCGGATGGTACCCAGAGCTCGTCTGCAGCATACCCTGGTGACAATGGCGACTGGAGCAGCTGGGATAATTACCTTACTCAGCTCTTCTCGGATCTGGCCGCCAATAGTATGACCACAAAACTGGTGGTCGATATCTGGAATGAGCCCGACCTCTCTGCTTTCTGGGGTCGAACCCAGGATCAGTATTTGCAGATGTGGGGACGCACATACTACAAATTCCGGTAAGCAAATTCCGAGCAGAAAAAGTATTTTCCCTGATGACTTGGTTGGTGTGTATAATTGCTGTACTGACGACCTGGTTGGCGTTTGTCAGTGCCCAATATGGAACTAATGTCCTCCTGTCCGGCCCTGCCTCGGCCGGTGAGCCCCTGACTTCGAATTCCTGGTGGCAAGCCTGGGCCTCTTTCGCAGCTAGCAACAAAAGTGTCCCCGATCAGTATGCATGGCACATGGAGGGCGGTGGCGGAGATCTGATCTCTGCCTATGGCGGCCTCGTTGCTACTCAGAAGAAGTACGGCCTCGCCTCCAAGCCCGTGAACATAAACGAGTACGCCACCTTCAACGAGCAAGTCCCCTCCGGGTCCGCGTGGTGGATCTCTCAACTTGAGCGCATCAACGCTCACGGCCTGCGCGGCAACTGGCTCAGCGGCAGCAACCTGCATGACTACCTGGCCTCGCTCTTGGGCAGGACCGGAACTACCACCGGATACTACCCCAACGGCGACTACCAGGTCTACAAGTACTACTACCAGAACATGACCGGCCACCGCGTCGGCACTACTCCTTCAACCGACCTGAAGCTCGACGCCTACGCGACCGTCGGATCGAGCTCGGCCATCGTCCTGGTCGGAGTGCGCATCTCCACCGGCACCTGGACTTTGCAGCTTAACGACCTGTCCGCCCTCGGCCTTCCCACTTCGGGGACCCTCAATGTCCAGACTTGGGGCTTCCCAGTCGCCTCTGACGTCCACTACGGCGAGGTCGATGGCCCGACGAACCTCGGCGTCTACGGCCATGCATACAGCGGTAACACTGTTAGTTTCCCCGTATATCAAACCGATGCTACAACTGCGTATGCCTTCCAGTTCTCCATCTAAGAGGATGAGTGTTGGGCCATGAGATTGTCAAGGGAACTTTCGAGAGGCTTTGTTGTCGAACAAGTGTAAATATCATGCTTTTACCTTTCTTTGTAAATATAACAGGGAATATATGAACAACTTTTCACAGTCTCCTCCACTGGATGTTGATGGCGGGATCAGTCCATGTGTGGCGAAGCAAGCACTCGTTGCCCATCACCACAGTGGGCTACTAGCACAGTGAAGTATATGATATGTAGCTCTTACATTCATTCCAGGACAATTCGTTCCCACATATAACAATCAGGGCTCTGTGTCGTAGCTCGATGTAAAAGAATTGGGGATGGTTGCAAGTAAATGTATATATCATGTCTGCCTCAGACTCGATCCCGTCTGCACCCACTGTCTGTCCTGTCTGCAGACATCTATAAGACGCGTGAGAGTCTGCATGTACCGATTTCGAATAGGCCACCTGTCCAACGTGGTGAGAAGCTTGCGTCCCTCGCGCAGCATCCGAAGCGGACCATCGGCTGCAGTGATACTGCCAACACCCATGATAGTGGCGCGCATCGACCTCCCCCGCTTTATAAAGAGCTGCACCAGCTCATCGTCGCAGGGACGATCGAGGCGGATTGATGATATGTCGTCGAGATCGCTCGTCCAGTCATCGTCTTCGCGCGCGCGGTTATTGATGGATCCCCGCGATGAAGTGCCCGGCTGCTGTGGCGGACAAAGGCTGCCGTATGCCCAAACTACCAGCGTAACCAGAAAGACCTTGGTAGGCTCATAGAAGGCGTCTGTCGAGTATCGCCTGACGTGCCAGAAGAAAATGCCGCAGTGCACGAGCGCGAGGCGCGCTTTGAACTGGTCGTCCGTGATCCATCTTTGTACCTGCTGGCAGAGTCCCTGGAACCTCGCCGCAGCGTCGCTGCCGTCCCTGACGTCCTCCGACGTCAGAAGCTCCGCCATCTCGCGTATTGGCTCGTACGGTGCGAGCAAAACTATCCGGGCAAAGTGTAGGTGTAGGACGGTCGAGTTTTCGGTTCCGGCCTTGGCGATATCACTGTTTGCAATCCAGTGGAGTACATCCAAGCAGTCGCACGCCGCATTTCTCCAATGGTTGTAGAGAGGTATTTGTGGCAACCAGACTGGGCCAGTGAGATCGCACGATTCAGCATTGCCTTTCTGTGAAGAGGGCGTCCAGCGGAGTAAAGGTCTGTTGAGTGAAGCCCCAACGTCCCATGTTTGACAGTACAAGCCGTGTACAAGTAGAACTCGTGCGAAGTCGCCTGTGTTCTTGAGGAGTCGCTTCTCCACGTACAATACCCTTAACGCTTTCTCCAGAGTGGGTTGTTTGATGTAAGGCTCCATATGATCGGTTCCGGCCTGCCATATATCCTCTTTACATGGCAATGTAATGTTGGCAACGCCAAGCAACAAATTCGTCTCTGTGTCAAAGTGGTATCGAGACATGTTCTCAATGAACCAGATTGAGTGACAAAGGCGTCGCGCACTTTCTGATATGATCCAAGCTCGTCGACCTTGAAAGGGGACGTCGTCCCGGAGGACCGTGGGTTGGCTTTTGTACAATGATTTATACTCGTGTACAAGATCTTCGAGTGCCGACAACTTGTATCTCTCCAGGCGTACCGAGCCACAATACGCCAATCCGATATAGTTGAGAAGCTTCGACTGAACCAAGCTGAGTGACTCTATAGTCAAAACCTCGGTCGAGAAAATAGCTCCTCGTTGTCGCAAAACCCGCCGAAGAAATTCATGGAGGGCGACTGCTAATTCCGTGTCTCCCGTTTCGAGATATTGACTCCCGATGGCCGACATCGCCAACTTGACAATCCAGGAGGAAGTGCTCTCGCTTTCTAGGTCAGGATGGACTATTGGTAGTACCTTGGGGTCAAATCGCCGTCTGTAAAATGTGAGTAGCGTAGTGAAGGCTGACATAGGCGGAAGCTCAGTGGAGAAGAAGGGTCCGCCCTGCACGGCGCCGCTGGACGTTAAGCAACAATCTTGAAATGCTTGACACATTATACAATATTGTTCAAGGTTGAAGGGTCTGACCTGAACATCTGAATAATCCCGTCCAGGAGGATTTGGTAAAGGAAAAAGCACAAGCCTGAAGCCGTCCGGTTCCGGTGCCGTCGCCGACAATTCTGTGCAAGTACGGGAGGATTCCCTGGATACCCCCTCTCCAAATATCCGGTTGGCATACCGCCCATTCCGAGGCTGCCTGGCTCCTTTATTATCCACATAAGATGTACCAGGTGTTTCTGCATCGTTTGAGTCAGGAAGAGTCCCAGGGGTCGAAAGCGTTTGTCCGTCAACCGGGCTCATCATTTGTGTTGTCGATAGAGTCTGATTAGGGAGGCCATTGACGTCAGTGAGTGAGCCCCAATACTGCTCGCTGGAAGCCATCGGGTTGTAGTCGAACTCTGTCAGGTTGAAGTCCATAGACGGCGAGATCCAATTCAGTGTGGAAATCATATAGGTGTCCGCTTCCTGTGGTCCCAGATCAACCGGCTGAACAGGCTGTTGCATAAAGTTTTGCGCTTGTGTCCGATGCTGATGTGAAGTGGGCATTACTGATGTAGACATCACAGCCGGCTGTATCTCATCGTCCCTCGGATCCTCATACTGCACATTTTCACAATTTGCGTCCGCCACCGCCGAGGCGTCATCACGCGTCTCGCTGCCCTCAGGGAATGTGCAATCCAGCGACTTCTGTCGGCATCGTGTGCATGGTGGCACCCCACTGCATTTGACCCTAGATGCGGCGCACTTGGTGCAGGCGCGGAACCTTCGTAAAGGCACGTGGTGGCGATGGACGTTTTGGTGACGGTCTAGGGCGTCCCTGTAATCTCATGCCATCAGTGGACCTCTTCCTCATGAGTTAAGCAGATCAAGATGATGAGAGAGTGCCCGACTTTCGACTGAATCTTCTGCCGCAGACATCGCAAGCACGATTCCTCTCCTTGGTATGCGTCGCGACGTGTCGCTTTAGATGTTCGGCACGGTCAAATTGTCTCGCGCATATCGGGCAGGCTTGTCGAAAGGTTGACTGCTTTTGAGGATGGCCTTCCATCTGGGTCTGGACATCGTAAGCCTAGGGATTTTGTCCCAGAGGAAGATTGTTAAGGCTGATGAGTTGAAGGTTTGTGTCAGGTTGCAGTTCAAGCACGGGTTAGAGCAGAGCCTTGGACAGTTTGGCGTTGAGGGGTCCGGGCTAAACTTCTCCGCTTCCCATCATTCCCTTTCCGGGCCGCCACCGAACCTGCGGCAGGGTTCCCTTTGGGGTAACTTTTCTCATAAGCGCAAGCAGTTCATTGGACTGGTAGTTTTCAGGGCGTGTACCATGTGATCACTCGTTATAGCGTACAGATCAAATCGCTAGGGAGAAAAGCGCGTGGAGTGGATATTTGCAAGACGTTCACCTGGCTCTAAGCTGCGTAGCATGCACGGAGTCACAAGACTACGTGATTGCAAGGTGGCACAAGACTACGTGATTGCAAGGTGGCACCGAACCCAACTTAATACTACTAATTTAAGCTGTATTCGAGCTGCATTTGACGTCGGTGAGCCTGGCGTTGAAACAAGTCCCTGAACTGCATTCAATGCAGCCTAATAGCACGCTACCCAATCTTATAGTTCGCAGATACCTGTCGAGAACGAAAGTAGCATCTCAGGATACATTTCTCTTTTCTCAGAATGAGAATGAAGATTACGGATTCCAGGCGGCAAAGCAGGAAGCGTTGGGACACATAATCTCTATCAATCAAATCAACTGTACTGTACAGGATTTCAGGAGTTAATAGCACTCGGTGACAGTGTTGGTTTGTGGCAGGTCTCTGTTCAGCAAAGACTTTTCTTGACATTGAGCGAACTCTTCCTAGTATCGGATCCCAAATCATGCTTCTTTAGCCATGATCAATGCTATAGATACAGATGAGCTTCTGCTGGATTCTGACACAGTCATTGGATGAGCAATCACAGCGAATTATGGGGACCGCTGACATCGTCAGGTCACTGCTTTAGAGATTTTCAAAAATGCGATGTTGTGACAGAGTTCGATGTGTGACAAAACCTAGAGAAGTCGGAAGAAATTATCTCCTCCCAACATCAGCAATCCGAATCTAAGGACTCTTTGGCTTCTGACTGACTGCCGGGCAGAAGCATTAATACTTGCTGCCACAATCGCAAGTCTGTTACCATGTAGCCAACTCATATGACATGAAATGAACAATAAATGCGTTGGGGCCTACTTCAAGTCACTGTGATAGAAGACACGTTCTATTCACCCCGGACTCTATAAATACCGCGAACGTCAAATCCTGTTCCTAGCTCTACCGCTCTGCCAAATCAAACCTTCTCGCAAGACACAAACCTTTGAGGCAATACCACAACATAACACGCAACAAGAACCCACTTGGCACATTGAGGCATCGACCATCAGACTCGGACATCAGCCTTCCCTTGCCTCACACAAAAAGAAATAAAATGTCGAATTACGGCATTTCTAGCAGCAGCGGGACGGTGAAGGGTCTCGAGCCTATGAACTCGGACACAGCCAAAGAGCTTTCTAAGAGCTCTTCTTGCCCCTGCAAGGATCCAAATTGCACCCAGGGTCACGGCAGCTCCATGTGTCCGGTTCGCATGGGTGGCGGCAATAAGTGCCGGGAATGTAAGGACTACGAGAGTAAGAAAAAGGTTTAGGTTGTTTTATTGGGAGCCGGAAACAAGGGGTACCTCAAGAATCAAGCATTTTGGACCGCAGGATCTGGGGCTAGAAGTAAAAGGCTGGGCGGCTGCGAAACACCTGGATCACACAATGCTCACCTCATTGCGTCAATTCTAATCACTACTGCTCGTTCATTCCTAGCAACCAGTCCTTCACAATAAACTACAGTAACGCACCTGGAGACCTTCATGGCGTCTCATTGATCATGTGAATTCTGCATCTGTTTTCGACGATATTTAATCCAAGTTCTTTCATTATTGTTGAGTGGTCATGCTTACAACTACTTTGAAAGCGCAGCTGTTGTCTGAATGCTGGCTGGCTGAGGCCTGTGTGATGCTCCAGATCTAAGAGCGACGGCTAGCCAGAAGAGTACTATGTAGCCGCCGAGGAAATTATGTTGAGCAGCCGCCTTAAAATGCGTTAGAGAGTCGTGCTCAAAACCGTCCTAAGCTTAGTCTGAGGTTGCAAACTTTTAGGCAGAGACACTACCTACACTGTAAATGTGTAAATATGTGTGTTGCCCGTCTCAGGGCTTGTTCAGGATGCGTGGGAGTAGGCTGAATTGGTTGTGTCTGGTGTTTCTCGTGCGAGTGGCATTCGATGTTTCAACTGTATCATGAGGGAGATAATATTGAAAGCTTTGATGAAGGCTGCTCAGAGTGCCATTATGTGGTACGCGAGATAGAATCACCTTTAGAGTGATGTGAGACAGTTCCTACATCGTCACGGGATAGACACCCGGCTTTGCTGTAGAAAACTGGGAATCTCTCGGCAGGCTGAGATAGAATTGATAGTGAAAAGCGCTATAATCACCTGATATTGAGCCACGCAAAATATGAAGCCCCTGTGCTACCTTCGCACTTCCGCGGATATCGTGCCTTTCGAATTATCCCATGCTAACAATCAGTGTGACCAGACTTCATTCGCATATAAGAATCCACCGTGTGTTCTATTTGTCCGTGCCGTTAATCCATCGGCTAATGAAGACTGGAGCTTATTGCTATCCAAGTAAAGAGCCTTCCCACCTCAACTCTGCACAAATTGCGCACTCGGCCTTAAATCGCATACTATCACTGTGTGGGTATTTTCCAGTCACAATGACCAGTGGTTTGATTCTCGTTGTCGCTGGATCGTGTGACGTTGTCTATATCGCATCTCTCTTTCTCCAGTGTATTAGATAAGTATTCCAGATGGAATTGATTTGATACGATAATTGTCGACGTAAGGTTCACCAGATATGTATGACAATCTATTAATTCCCCCCCCCCCCCTCAACGACGTAATATACATTATTGGGGCTGATAAGGGGGACTGAGAGACCGACAAAATCATAACGAGCGAAGAAAAAAGCCGTGCGACTGTTCTGTCCCTCATCGACAGTAGTCATCGGGGTATTGAGCTTGCGGGCTCAAACTCTTCATATGCATGCAACTTTGACATTTTACGCTAGAATCATACAATATCGCCTCGCCATCTCAACTACCCGTGTCGCTTGGCAGTTTTTGGAATTTGCATTAGGATCATTAGGATGATTGGCTCTACCTTGCCATAGACTTAAGCTGAGGCGCGATTCTCAATTGTCTCAAGGGAATGTATCAGATGAATCCAGTGCGTCTTTTAAACAAAGAACGGTAATATCCAGACCTAGTGTATGCATAACCAGCCTCCGCTCTATCGGCAAAAGTTGTCCCTACCAATCCCCAGCCAACAGAGGTTGCACTGAAATAGTGCGCACCCTCCATATAGAACTTTGTTCATGAACGAGATTATTTACGTCTTCTATGCCTTCCTCGAGCCAGTATCCCATTCCGCTGTTCGACCTGAGTTGGCCAACCATCTCTGACTCTAGCGAACGCCACACTAGCCTGCGCTCACGCAGCGGCTCTATGATATCTTCTTGTCCATCTTCCAGTGTGGAATCATCAACTGACATCCGTGCTCGGAACACACTCGCTGGTATGGCCACGATATACCGCGGAGTACTCCATTCTGACTTCCGGTAGAGATCCCGCATCATCTCATCCATGGGCTGCAGCATGGCCGGCTCAGAAAGCCTGATGCGATCGTTGGGCGCCATCTGTGGCGGGAACCAGGTGCCACGCAGCGTTATGTGAAGATACCTGAGTCGCGGCAGAGATTTAGGCAATTGATTCAACAATGACAAGAACATGCGCCAGCCGTGAAAGCGTTCGTCGGCTGAAATATCCTGGTCCGTAAGCGGGGGCCGGGCCACCATGCCCAGATTCCACTCCATCTCGACTGATTCGATATCTGATAGGGCCTTTGTAGGTAAGAGCCGTGGGAGGTGCTGGATTAGAGGCATTCCAGAGATGTGGAACCGGTTAGTGGAGTAGAGAATGTCGAATCCTTCAATATACCTGTATGGATAGTCAGCAAATCAGTCAGCTCGAGCGCTTCAGGCAACATAGAAGCGAGACACCGAAAAGTACTGGGAAGAGAAGGGCTCACGCCTGTCGACATGTCATGAGCCAGCCCATGACCCCCAAAAAGCACATCGACATGTCGCCACTGTCGCCGAGCAGGCCATGACACGACTGAAACCGTCCTCGAAGACAGGAATCCTTCACCGGGGTAGACGTCAGATCCTCCGCCCTGGCACTGAGATGACCCCTCACACACCACTCTGGGTCTCGATGGCAGATGCAGCTATACCACTGCCAGGCAAGAGGCTTCTCAGTCTGGCGATTGTATGGATTAGAGATATTGATGCCGCCCGCGTGCAGGGTGCTTCGCGGATTCCCGGCCAGCAGGGGCCGGTCGTACCGAAGGTCCATGTGGACGACGCGGTCGCCAAAGGCCTCGATCAGGATTATGCGGCGCAGGTCCGGGGGGAGGCGTTCAAAGAAGATGCCATTGTTTGGGGTTGGGACTATCGTGGCCACATCTTTTGTGGTAGCATTCTCGCTGGATGAAAGCGGTGTCGGCAAGAATGGTAAGGGAGGTATTGCGGGGGGGTCAGGATCAGGATTCTCGCGCCAAACCTGGCGCTGAATCCAGTTGATGAGAGAGCTGTACATCTTATGATGGTCCACAAGATCTGAACCGGTATTGCGTACAGTGTCACGGGAATATTGATTCTCCTCGACCCTTATATCGTGTCGAACCCGGGAGTCGGAAAGCTGATGCCTGCCAGGCGCCCGTTTGGTGTTTCAGCTGCGTGCGTAACCCAATCATCAAAGATTACGTGAACAGATTTATTAGTGGGGTCCATATCACCTAGTGCTTCAACGTTGGATGACAACGACGTTGTCAAAACACGCAGATTCGTCTTGATCATGCACATTCCCGGCAATGTCGTTATTGCAGCGTCTGGAGATACATGTGACGGCCCGATGATCTTACTTACAGAATCGGCATCGAAGGTCTGAAGGATATTGAGAGACCTCACAATTAGTGCTGTTCCAACACTATCCCACTCGTGTCATCATCAGCCGACGGCAGTAGATGTGTTGATGCTTGAAACCTTCTGGGATAGACGAAGAACCTCGACATAGGGAATTGTTCTTGGGTGATCATAAAAGTCGCCAAACATGTGCCACTGTTACTCTCTCCATGCATATCTTGACCGTGACCGTGACGGTGACGCCTTATGCCTTATGAGAATGGCAGTTTGGCCGCCTGCAACAGGAGGGGATCGATTTTGATGACGAATCTCATAGTGAGCAGAATCTGGGAACAATATTATGAACGCCTCTTTTGGGTTAACCCTTGTAACTGTTTGGCTGACATATCTTGTTAGGGGGCAAGCGCTCAGTCTTTACCTAGGCAGAACCTTTCAGATGATCTGGGTAGTATTTACGCTGACTTAATTAGAGCAGGATGGGCTCATCACCTGTGACCTTCGTTGCCTTCGCACTGACGTGGGTGCTCCTTCATTTCAGACCATCGGCGAGAGGCGAGATTATCCGGTTCAGTATATCAACTTCAACTTATCATTGCATGCTTCAATAATTTATGGCAGGGCTTGTCGATAGATGTCGTAGTTCCAACCATCTCCCCTGCTCAGCGTCTCGTAAAATGACACGACATTATTGGCAGCCACAAAGATGCAATGGCCGTCCCCAGCCGGGCGATTCTCATGAGCATGTCCGAGATGAGCTTGTGCATTCCTCGGGTCCAGCAACCCCTCTTCCTCCGACTCCTCCCGGTCCTCATCGGTCATGCCGCTATCATCACCACCGCCACCACCGTCAGCATCTGAAAGCGGTGCACGGACAGCTATCTGTCGCTGCTCCCCAGGGACTCCCGTCCTGCCCAGAGATTTAAGGCACTCGGCGTCCACAACAAGGCAAAATCGGTGCCGCGCTATCAGCCTGGACGCCTGGTCATGATCCACGCCCGGCCCGTCCCCTCGTCGTGGGCTTTCCATGTTTCGAGGGAATGATCGTCAGTAGAAGGATTCTAAATCATTGCAATTGAAATAAATAACACAAACTGCGGATTGGTGAAGCCGAGAACCCAGGTCTGCACCTTGAGGGCATCGACCAACGCCATGGGCATCTGTTGGTTGCCACGACACGGAATGTGCGATACATATCGCCATATCGCCAGCTGAAACAATTCAGAACCAATTTTTCATTAGAAAAATGAAGAAACTTCGAGCTAGGCACAGTCAGACAAGAGGAGTTGCATCAACAAGGGAAGTCTCTGGCCTATCCAGTCTTAAACTCGCTGAGCTGTGCCGCACATACATGCGCAATGCATTCGAATAGCCTTGGGCCTAATGCAAGACTCCAGAGGATCGGCAGAAATATTGAATACGCTACTTGTACTCAGTTGCATGATGTACTGTACTTTCTTGTGTAACTTTGATCGCCACTGAGCTCCAAGCGAGCGGTGAGCACAACCTCCCCGTGGTCAAAGTCAGCTATGAGACATGAGGCTTCAGCAGGCCCGAAGTAAGATCTCTGCGGGTAATTCCGAGCTAGTATTGAGACATGGAGGTGTCTCATCTCTTCAAAATCCGGTAATTTGACGTGGAAAACACACTGTCGCGTAATGCGTTCATGCTGCGCTAAATCAGCAACCGAGCACTATGCAAGTTCTCGGCTATCAGAAGTTGCTCATTCGTTGCGAAGGTTTAGTATCCAACGATAAGCCGTGCCGTGTATGTAAGTGTATTAACAACGCTCCCGACTGGCCGTAGCTGACCCGCACGAGATTGTCCGGGTTTACATCAATACTGCAGTGGAACTCGCCGGGCCAACTTGTCTAGCCATCTTGAATTGCTCTCGGAGATCCGTGAGAATCCTGGCTGACAAATATTGAAGAAGACTAGACTCGTGTTTGTTGGAGTTAGGAATGGGCTCTGCTTTCAAAAAATATCCCTTCTGATATTATGAATGGCAGCATCCATTGTTTACGCTTCTTCATCCCCTGAAAGCCAAATTTCGTGCCCATTACCCTCTTTACAAAACAAGCTTAGCAAACATGTGCCGGCTGAAACTACTGCCGTAAGCCACCAGGCCAGTCCTGTGAGTGCGTGTGACGTGCCGTAACTATAGACAAGACCCGAAAGAGCAGATGAAAGAGCACGAGCCGTGCCACCGGTCAGATAGGCAATGCTATGTGTCCGTGCCAGGGCCGATGGGTGAGGCGAGGCACTACAAATGATTATATCTGGTAAGCAAGTGGCGACAATTGAGAAATAAGAATAGAGTCAATGGTGGTCTTACTATCGGATCAGAATGAGCTGCGACGGCGTCAGGAAAGACGCGCATACCATCAAGAGGACCTGCACCAAGATGATGAACGTCCAGGTGGCAGGGCTGTGATTGCCAAGAGCGCGGGCCATGACGGCAACATATGGGACAAGAATGTAGACCAGCGGAAAGCCCCGCATGAACAAACGCCAGGTCCGCATTGTGCCTAACCGCTGACTGATCCGAGGGTATATCAGGAATTGCACTGGCAGAGCCATCGCACCAACCACTGAGAGTGTGATGGCAATGTCGGAAGGGGCCAGTCCGGCACCGCCAGAGAAGCGGAAGGGCAAAGCATCAGTGTACGGATTCGCAACCACAGGGTCGCTGAGGAAGCTTGGCCAGAGAGATGTGTATGCTGCTGTATGGCCTTCTTGAATAGCGGCGGTCAGGAGCATGAGGCAGAGGTTTTTCGTCATGATCCGCCGAAGGGGAAGCACTGCGGGGGTTTTCGTCTTTTGCTGCGCAATTGCTACATTCTTCTCTTCTTGCTCAGCTCCGTCTCGCTCCTCATCGTATTCGCTCTCTGACCTCCGTGCAAGGTCTGATTCTGGTGTTCCTGGTGCCATAAGGCCCACGGCCTCCATCTCCGTGGAAGTATGCGAGCCCTCGTCTTGAAGACGAGAATACGAAGGACCATGACGGAGACGACTAATCCAGGTTTTTAACTTTCTCGAGATCCCCAATCCGAAATCATTACGATCTTTCAGCTGCGGGGATGTCTGAAGTATCCATACATGCTTAGCCCAGTAATCAAACTATGCCAGGAGACGAGGGTCCAAGAGGAACTCACCTCCTCGAGGAAGAAGAAAACTGCCAGGAATGCGAATAATAGAATGGCCCCGTTCGCCAAAGCAGGCGGTGCGTATGGGTAATTCTTCAGGAGCCAGACGTTCCCAAATCTTCCAGGAAACCTACTTGGTAGGTCGGCTAATTGGCCTGCTGTTAAAGGGGTCAAGAGTATAGCCAAGTTGAAAGCCATCGGGAACAAGACAAATGCTCGGGTCTGGTATCTATATTATTCATGGCTCAGTAAACCTTCTTTGAAAACTTTCAATAGGGATTTGTGCTTAAACCCAACGTTGGGACCTACTTTTTATCACGCACCACCTCGGTGACAATAGTCCTGGCCGTCGCCACATTCCCATTGCAAGCACCCTCGAGGCAGAACAGAATTACACCTTGATAGAAATGGCCTATGAACCCAAGCGCTACTGCGCTAACAACTGCAATAATTATTAGTTTCAATCTCGCGACATCCGTACATAATTGACCTGGTTCTCTGATGGACACCTACATGAAGCGGCTGTGCCGAGCAGAAGTACGAATTTGCGGCCTCCCCTAGGAGAGTCGGCAATCTTTCCAAGTACCAGAGATGACAAACACTGGCCGATGATGTACGCCGTTTGCATTGTGGCTGACTGCCGGATGACTTCTCCTGATGACAGCGAGGGGTCGAGTGACTTCAACTGGTAGTACAGATATGTCTGTCCTTGACTATTAGCCGTTGTCCAAGATTCCTTGATGGCTAGAAATAGTGCATTTTGCGGGTTTATGATCTTACTTACCGTGACGGAGTACTTCACGGAAGGCTCGACGAAGCGTAGCAGGAACAGAATCGCAAGCTGGTCTTTTCTGGGCATAGTACGCCAGCTTGCCTTCTCTTCGTGCGCAGCCATGATTAGCTGTTCCGAGTTGTCTATACCTGAACTTTGTCACAGGCACTTGGAATAGTATCGAAAGTATTGCGTGGGCTACTATATCGTATGATACAGAGGCTTAGTTGCCATTCATCAATTTTCTGTATCTTTTATTTGAATCAATCGAAGAATGCCAGAGGCTGCCTGCGGTTGAAGCTGGGTACTGTAGGGGAAACCAAGGCCCCGCACTTTTGGTGCTGTTAAGCTCAACAAGATGCCAAAAGGATCCAATTTACTGCAGCTGAATCCTCTTTTTCTTTGGACACCAGTAGGCCTTTCACATGAATGTAGATATCAGTTATCGTTGCTTATTCAGGCAGTGGAAGAAACGCCTCCCACAGTGGCACCGAGTAAAATGGTCACCCAGGGCATATCTATATGATGACACATGCCAAAGTTTTTGGCACTATTAAAACGACAAAAAGGATCAAACTAAAGAAGAAGAATAACAGGAGATATTTCTTCTGCGCGTGTTTCGGCTGCGCCGGCAGGAGGCAGGGCTCTGCTACATGTACATGATGAAGGCGAGGGACCGGGTAGAGGAGGAAGCACCGGGTAGATTTGCAAATTTCATTACATTACCGACGCACACCTGTGAGGTTACCTCATCAATCAATGCCACTAGATCGCTCGAGTTGATCAATCCCATCGCCTTCGGCAAGCTCTTGATCATATGCATCTCAGATCGTGGCCGTGACATGCATCATGTCTCCATTCAGCAAGATTACTCCAACCTGGCTTCAAAATGAAAGTGACCGATACGACGCTGTTGAAAGCCAATCTGATGACGACGGAAAGACGATAGATGAGGTGTCGACACTGAGAGAAAATGCCTTGAGGAAAGATCTCCAATTCTACCGCAGAAGTTTCTATGCAACATTGGTGTCAGTGGCACTGCTCTTGTTGTTTCTCTTGTTTCGCCTACAGAGCTTCCCACAACCGTTTGTCCGCTATCAGAGTTTGGAATGGAGCGGATTGCTGGGCGAGGACTTCAATGGTTTCGTGCCCAATGGTGAGTGAACAAGCCAGTCCATGAATATTATCACCAGCAACCCGGCCAGCAAACGAAGACCCGGTGCTTGAGCTATTCGGAATAGGATGTTCTAACACTTGTTGCATCCGCAGGGATTGGGCAGCCATTGAAGCCCACGTATTTTGGTCCTGATCACCCCTATTATATGCCCGAGGATCTTTTCGGGGACTTCAACAAGACAATCGCCTTTATCGACAATTTGAAAGCCATGCATAATGGTGAGTTCAAATACAGTACTGTGGAATGCCCGAAGTTCTTGAACTCACACGTTCGTCTGTATGATAGGATCCAGCGTGCTGGCCGACAAAGACCACCCCAACATTAAGCGGATAAAGCCTGACGGCAACGTCACCGAGCTCGAACCATTTTGGCCTTGGGAAGACCGCGGGGATGGCCGGAAGATCTATGCCCTTCGTGGGTTCCACCAAATGCACTGCATAGTATGAGCCACCCCATTATACCCATCTCGACTGACTGATTATCATATACGAACACTCACTCACACTTCTTTCTTTCTTGCTTCTAGTTCGTCATCTCTGAGGAATTCGCCTACCAGTACAACAACGACTCAAAGTGGACCAGCGCCCACGTGGCACACTGCATCAACACGCTACGTGACAACGTCATGTGTACAGCCGACGCCCAGCCTCTGGGTTTCGCCAACGGTTATAAGAATGGCCATGCGACCGATGACCAAGCCATGATGTGTAGGGACTGGACTGCACTACGGGTATGGGCCAACGATCCGGTCCGGGGAATTCGCGTCAAGGATGCAAGCCCTCCCGGGAGCAAGAACGATTTAATTGTTGATATTCAACCGTTTCCCGAATTGAACGAATTGGAGTTGAAGGGGCTGGCTTGAGGGGTGTGGGCTATTTTCAACATGCAGTAATTGTACGTAGGAATCCACATCTTCTGTTTGATATCTTTTCATTATAAAAACACTAAAATATACAAGAGATCATGAACATTAACATCATCCAGAGAACGACATTCTGAAGCAGTATATTGTCTTGTTCAATGTATCTGTTCGGAGTCTCAGTTTGTTGATTTGTATGGAGTCTTGTGCACAACAAATTTTTCACTGATTGAATCAAACTGGTGCTTGCTATCAAAACTTGCTTTGGAACACATCATCATTCCATTTTCATCTGCTCCGTCATTGATTGTAGTATCTGAGTTCTTTGATGATCATTCATTCCTGTCAGTCAGCCACGAGCTCGGATATGCTTCACATTGGTCAGCTCGCAAGATCTGCTGCAAGTGAGCTGACCGCCCCTCTTCTCTAAGAGCACGCTACTCATGCAAAAGAAAGACCCACAAGTACGGAAGTCAACGAGCTTTCGAAGACAAGTTCAACTCTCGACACTGTTCTCCTGCGCGCACTTATTGGAAAGGGGCTCAAGGATGGCAACACATTGTAGTTGGCCACTAGGCCAGCATCGTCAGATTGTCTCTCGGCTATAAGCTCAGCTAATAATTACAAGGGCCGGTGCACAGCATGAGTTGGAGCCAGCGAGCCCTTACATAGGCAGAGGCTCTGAGAAAGCACACTTCCACGTGCACATGCTGCAAGGTACTTTCATGCTGCACAACCTCCGGGTGTCACCCAGCCACATGGCTGGTAGGCGCCCGCTCCCTGGACGGCCCCCAGTTTCACGCTGGCTGACTGGTCGATGGTACCCCTCGACTCAACACCCTCCAGGCCGAAAGGATCTGGCCGCAAAATGAGCGTGGCTTTTAGCCAGGGGCAAAGCTGAAACTAGGAGACCAGTAAGACAGCGGCTGAAATACAGAAATGAGGCTGTTTTGTGCAGCCACAGTCAACGATCTGGAGGTAGATCCTTTGCGTCAGATTCTGCTTTCTACCAGCGCAAGTGTCTCCTTTTCGTTCCCTTTTTTTTTGGTGTACGTTCTTGTCCAACACCTCCGAAATCCAGCCTTTTTCAACATCCCCAGAACGGCCAGACCGCCGCAATGGCAGCCTCGACAGCGACAGCGACACAGGACATTACCACTGTATACAGAGCGCGAAACATTCTAGGCCCTCTCACGACAGCGTTCACCGCGCCACAAGACTGCAACTTTGCCGCTATACTCGGCGACTCTCTAACCTTGGCTTACAGAGCACAGACCTGCGTCGGTGAGCGTCTAGAAGATGTTTCAACTTGTTGGCCGCAGGTGACTGCTGCGGCGCCACTCAATAGTCCGCCGTTCAATGGGTGGGGATTCTACTCGCCCGGGATTTCATGTCCTGCTGGACATACTAGCGCTTGTTTTGCTACTCAAGGGTCTCGTACGGGGTGGGATATGCAGTTCCCGATGGACGTGGGAGAAACGGCCGTTGGTTGTTGTCCGACGTACGTGCTAGTGTTGAGCTTTTCTGTGTGTGGCGTTGCGTATTGAACCTTATTGACGTCGGTATTTACCTACCTAGGAACTTTGCTTGTACAACATTCGGAAATGGCCAGACCTGTGTTCAAACCGCCTCGGACAGTCTTCTAACGGCGCACTGCAGCGGAGGCAGCTTCGTCTCTACTGGGGATGCGACATTTCCGATCGAATCTACGAGCACAGATGTGGATACTTCGTTGATTACCTCCGTTATGAGCCTCGCCGTTGCGGCACCAATGATTCAGATTAACTGGAGGAGTGAGGATTTGGCCGCTGCTACCTCCTCTCTATCACCTTCTAGCACAGCCTCGGGCTCAACTTCAGGCGATTCTATCCCAGCGAACACTCAACCTGTCTCCTCTTCAAATACAACCAGTTCCATCTCACCCGGAGCACTAGCTGGTGCCGTCATAGGCGGGGTGGTCGGCCTCTTTTCTATTGCAGCAGCAATTTTCTTCTTTCTACGACAGCGGAAGACACGTGCCAACATTAACGAGGAGGCGTTGAAACAGCCACGAAGTGACAAAATGAAAGGTGCCCGCGAGGGTGTTACTGAGCTGCCACTGTATCAACGCCCTGTTGAGCTCCAAGGCTCTCGAGATCCCAGTGAGCTATCCGGATATCAGAGGCCTGTCGAGTTGCCAGTGTCATGAACCGAGGCTCATGCGGTCCAAAGCGGGTCCTATTGAGTGTTTGACTGTCACACCCGGTGACAAGAACGGATTTGCACGATGCCAAGCTCTACGGTCTTGTTAATGGCGCGGAATGTTGAGGGGATCTTGGCCCAGTAAGGCCAGTGAGACCATCAGATTCGCAAGCAGATCGAGACAAGCTTTCGCATATGATCCAGCACCCTTTTAAGCATCCATATAAAGGATTGGTAAATTTGGCCCATCTAGGCTTCCCTGGGACTCTATTTCCTGACCTTCTATGAACTGTTCGTCTATCACAGCTTCAATATTACCATTTTACCCTGTCTAGTTGAAGACCACCGTTTTCGTCACGTTAAGGAACACCCTCCTCTCAGCCACCCATTTCACAGCAGCAGCCAGCACCTGGCTCTCGACATTAGAGCCCTCCTCGACGAGATCCTTGGGGCTCATGCTGTGGTCGACCCGAGCGACACGCTGCTCAATGATAGGGCCCTCATCCAAATCAGCAGTGACGAAATGCGCCGTCGCACCGATGATCTTGACGCCACGTTCGTATGCCTGGTGGTAGGGCTTGGCGCCCTTGAAGGACGGCAAGAAGCTGTGGTGGATGTTGATGATCTTGCCGCTCATGGCCTCGCACAGCATGGGCGACAGGACCTGCATGTAGCGGGCCAGGACGACCAGCTCGATGTTGTGCTTCTTGACCAGCTCGAGGATCTGGCCCTCCTGCTGGGCCTTGGTGTCCTTGGTGACGGGCAGATGGTGGAACTCGATGCCGTAGCTCTTGGCGAGGTCCTGGTACTCCGGGTGGTTCGACACGATGACGGGGACCTCGATGCGCAGCTGGCCCGTCTTTGCGCGGAATAGCAGGTCGTTCAGGCAGTGGCCGATCTTGGACACCATGATGAGCACGCGCGTCTTCTGCGTGACGGGCCGGATCTCGTAGTCCATCTTGATTTCGGCTGCCAGGGCCTCGAAGGGGGCGCTGAGGGCCTCTACTGACGCTGTGGGCCCGAAGTGGACGCGCATGAAGAACTTGTTGGAGACGGGGTCCGAGAACTGCTGCAGGTCGATGATGTTGACGCTGTTGGAGGCGAAGACGCCGGTGACCGAGTGGACAATGCCCGGCTTGTCCGGACAGGACAGCGTGAGGATGTAGTCATGGCCCTGAGAGGTTGCCATGTTGAGTGGTGCCCACTTGGTGGTGGTTATGTCTCTAGGGAGCGAGGAGGGATGACTGAGTCGTGGCAGCAGTCCCGTGTGATGTTGAATCCGGATCGAGATGTGGCCTGCCTTGCTACAATCAGACTATCTGCACCAGCTAGATAGAATGTTGTATTGTGATGTGTATATATATATCTGTTCCCTGACAAATGCATGCGGCTCTTCAGTCCCTGTCAGCGTTGCGATCGAAAATGGCACGGCACGGCACGGCGTGGTCTGAGTCGCTCGCAGAATTTGAATAGCCGCGATGACTGGTGGGGTCTTCCCTGTCCGTGGAAAAGGTCCGCTCTCGCCTCGTCATATGCGGAGCAGACTCTTCCGCTAGAAGATTTTTTGTCGGTCCGTCATCGGCACCAAGAATTAGGCCCGGGCTTCAATTGTTTGATGTCAAGAATCCTCCATGGACTTCTATTTCTGGGCTTCCCCATGGGACGGTCAGAAGCATCCACACTATTCTTGGCCATCCGATGTGTCGCCGATGCGTCTATTACCGCCGAATCCGTGACCCATTTGACAGCTGCAGGTGATCAGGGGCCAGCCTACAACACGTGCGACTTCGTGAAACCATCAATACCTAAAGCCCAGCCTTTTAGCCCTTCCGCATTCGCAGTACCCAAAAAATGAATATTCAAGATGATTGGGTTCACTGGATGTCGCTCAGAACTAACATTCTCGATCCAGAGGTGGCAGCTTTCTTCACACTCGCATACAATGGCTCAGTCCAGCTGCTCAGCTCCTCCATTGCAGGAGGGTCGTAGGCATTTTTCGGCCTCTCGTTGGCGCCCTTATAGACGGATATTTTGATCACCAGATTTTCCAACCCATGCAGTTGGCCGAAGACCTCGTCCCTGAGCCAAGGCGCAATGAGCTGGGCCTCTGCAGGCTGAGACCACAGTATGGCGACCTCGACATCCAACTGCTCTAGGCTCTTGAACTGTTCCTGGAGGACTCTGAAAGCCTTTTCCACCAGGGCTTTGCTGTGTCTGGACTGCCACCCCTCGCTCTCAAGTGGTATGGCCAGGTGCACGTAACGTATTAGCCGTAAACCTTCTGGGCTGACATTTCGGACGAAATACAGGAGCGATTCCGGCCCAAAGAACGAGAACAAATTCCTCGCGTAAAAGTGATGCAACAGATCCCGATACAATGTCCGGCTCGATCTCATCAGGTCCGTGATGAAGCAGGTCTCCGCGGCTTTTGCAGGTGCAAGCTCCATCCACATATCCCCGCAGATCAGCTGTGAAGCACAGTGAAATATGACACAGCCTTGCCGCTTCGGCGCGGGAATGGGATGAAGATAAGATCCTCCGAGACGCAGAATCGTGCCGAGAGCCTGACTCGGAGGGTCCTCGTCGCTACGTATATGCTGATGAGGTGGCCAGTGAGGCGGCTGGGGCCCGTGATACTCGAATAGAGGATACTTCGGGCGACCTGGCGTTGGCTGGTAAACCTTCTTGGTGGGTATTGCTAGGTCGTAGATGTGTCGTCGAATCTCGATGGGCAGGCTGAGGATGCTTTTTTGGGAAACATTGCTGCGGTGACGTCCAACTTCAACCAAGCCTTCGCTGATGGGCTGGGACTTTGGCAAGTGGCCATACCGGAATTGATGAATCCTTCTCTTCTCTCTGAACAAGCGCCGTATTTTATTCAACTTCTTGTACGCAATGTAGGGTCCAGTAACGAAGACAACCATGGCGGAGACGAGAACGACTGCGACGGCGAGCTGAGAACTCTCCTTCGCCCATTTCTTCGATTTTTTCGTGAACGTGGAGCTGGTCGATGAAGGATTCATCATTAGGTTGTACAAAATTCTGCCAATATTCCAGAATTTCCAAATCCTTAATCCAAGGTTGGGATCCGGAAGTCCTTTAATGGCTTGAGATCAGACGGAGTTGACGTCCTACCAATGCCCCGCCCGGAAGGATCAAATGCAGGGACCACCCCTGGATTGCTGCCTGGACATGTCAATCACGAAGTCCTACGAACGCGTGTGTTTAGGACGTCCAGCCGTATTGATCTTATGATTCTACATTCAATGCACCGTACTTGCTGGATCAATTTATAACAAATTTAAAGGGTTTTAAGTAACATTGTACATTCTAGTTGTGGTAATACTTACCGTCAAGGTCCTCCACTATAGGCTGCCTGAATCGAGATGACTTACTCATTGTGCTGCTCCTTCGTACCGCAACGCTCAGTACGCCTCGCAAAGATCTTGTATGCCTCCACGAGAAGTGCAAGGTCGCCCTCGCATATGAGTGGGTCGTTCTTGAGAGAATGGATCCAAGTACCTACAGCCTTAGGCGACTTAATGTCCCGCGCTGTCTGCTTCAAGAAGTAGACAATCACACCATTCTTTGGATCGACAAGGTCTTGAGCAAATCGAGGCAGGTCGAATGCACGAAAGACAGCGGCCGCGTGGAATAGCTGCTTCGGAGCCGAATGCGAGGGGATATAGGACTTGAAAAAGGACCCAGTGCCTTTGCTTACCTCGTGAATAAAGCTGCCGACCACCCAGGCGACACCACTGGCGCCAACCAGGCAAAACTCCTCCGTATTGGGGAGAACGATGGTTGGACCACTGTCCTTGCAGCAGCTATAGAAGTTGCGAAGCTGAGGGCAGTAGTGATACAATACATCAGCATTGACTTTCTCCATGAGAATAATCAGCTCTTTGCCGTCGCGGTAGGCAATGCAAACCCGGCTCTCACTTGAGATGAGCTTGGCCCGCTGATAAGGTGACAGTCCTCGCATCTCTCCGCGGATGACGACCTTTCTCACGCCTTTGAATTCCGTACTGTCACAGAATTTGAACACATGAGTGGAATGAGGAGCAAGAATATGAGCCTCAGAGCTGGATGAAGAGGTGTTAGACATGTTTGCTCTTGCTTTTTAGCGAAAACCTTTCAGTAGCAGTTTATCTTCTTTAGTGATTGTGTTGGATGTAGAGGTGGTTCCTGAGGATGGTTATGACGGAACATTAGTCCATGGATGAGACAAGAGAACATGGAGATTAAATAGAAATTATATGCCGCTGGAGAAATATACTTTTAACAATGGGAAGACCAAATACCTCGCAACAGACAATGGTACCGTGCATGGAAGCAAAGGAGGTCATAGACAAAAGCTTTCCAACCTTGTGCTAGACAAGGGCTTTACCGGTCTCGAGGTCCCTTTGTCGTGCCTTTCTTGAATAAATCCCCATTGTCAGAAGTTACGAACAGTCCATATGCTGAGTAAAGTGCCATCACGATTGTTTTTTATGACGAATGCATGTTTTCGGCAATTTTGACAGCCTCATTTTTGTCATCTTTACGCATCCAGCAGCGTTGACCAAAATAACCGCCATCATCCACGCCATCTCCTCTACCTTTTGACTCCATGGACAAGACGATGTATCGCATACGTTAGTTTGCTTTTGTTACCAGGCCATATCACATCTAAGTGGTCGGGAAAGGTCTTTGGCTTAGGAAAGATGGCCTGGCAATGACAACACCTCACTCGTAAAGGGAAATTATTTGCGGGCTCAAGTCAAATCAATCGATAGATTCATCAGGCCAAGCAAACTATCAAAAGGGAACCGCGCAAATCTTGCATGAACGAGCCACCGCACATTCCATTGCCATTCCCAGCTCTGACACCTGATCACTGGAGGCTACCTTACCACATCATGCTCTCTGTTCCTTGCCAACTTTAAGTGCACGAAAACCAGACCCTCAGCAATACAACGGTGCCTCCACTCACTTTCTTACTATCTCAATGACGAAAGGATGGTTACTTTGCAGACTGTCCCTTGCCGCCGGTGCCCGAGGATCCGCCGTGCGTACTCGACGCCCTTGAGGAGCCCTTAATCGCGGTCGTGCTGGCGTCGGCGTCGGCTTTTAAAATTGTTAGAGAGATTGCGCTACCCTTTCCTTGTCCCTGTCCCTGACCCTTCCCCTGCTTGCTTTCGGGGTTCCCCTGGTTGCTTGATGGTTGACTAGACATGGTGGGGAGCTGTTTTGTGTGAGTTTGAAAAGAGCTGTGTTTGTATTTGGAACAAGGGATGTTTTCTTTTTGGACTGGTTTGGTGGTGGATTTGCAGTTGTAAGAGTCGAGGCAAACAGATTCCGGGACTGGTAAAGTCTACCAATATTTATATCCATTGATTTGGCGTCAGTCAGGTTCAGAGATTGCCGCTCATCACAGTCCCATTCAAATCATTTTTGGCTTTCGATCAGCTATTGAAGACGAATTGGTCGACGAGGCCTGTGACTGGGCCCACGTTCTCTATAAATGCCCAGTTTTGTGGCCGACATTCAAGGCAGCTTACGAGTCGCTGCTTCTTCATACTCAATGAGTCCTGGGCAGAAGTAATACAGTGATGTGTGGACAAATTCTTTTTCAGCACTGAGAATGCAACTTTCTTTCAGCGCTACCTTTTATTCTTCTTTTCTTACATTCATCAAGACGGAGACTTCCTCAGCCTACATTTGTCATTTCCTCCTCATGATGAAACCGAAACCAAGGGTGCGCAGCAATTTCTTCCAGACTGGGCCGACTGGCTGCATCATACACAAATATGCGAGAGAGAAGATCCAGCAATAGCGAAGCCTCCTCATCGCGGATCCGAGGAAAGGCGCCTCGGAAGGCGTCTTCCATCTCGTCGCTGTAGGAAGTATGATAGTCCCCGTCTATGCACACAGCTGTAGGCTTCCATATCATCGATCTGTAGGCCGCGGCGTACGGAACGCGCATGGGCCCATGATCAGGCACGTGCAGCGGTGCAGCGTCCTCGGTTGGAATCTTCGGTTCACCGGGGCGGCTCATGTATAGTGATGGTGGCTCATCCAATAGGGAAAATATCCTTTCCTTCAATGGCAGTCTTGAGAAACCGTAGTAATTCACTTCTCCAGATGTTGAATTTGCCGTTGTTGGCCATCCATCTTCGTCGAAGAGCACATCCGCCCAGCCGTCCGGTAAATCGCCGATAGTCCTTTCGATCTGTTGGAGCACTTGGGAAGGGCAGCAAGTGTCGTAGTCGAGGAAGATGTCGTCGGCGGAACGCATGCGGAATATCACACAGCCTAGTGCCCAGATGTCAGACGCCTCGCTAGGTAGCTGCCCGATCGCAACCTCAGGCGCCATATAGATGGCAGGCGTGCCTATTCTTGCCGGCGGCTGGTCTTTTTGAAAGCACTGATCGAAGTCTATGACGCATAAGCGGCTGGTCAAGAGGTTCGTGGAAGTGACGCAGAAGTCCAAAGGTTTGACAATGTATGCTGGGGCGCTAAGGCCGGCAGGCATCCCGGAGCAGGTTTCAATAGGATGGGTCAACGGCCGACCGAAAGCTCGGTGAATGTCGTCTTCCTTGTAGTCTTGAAATTGTTCGGAAAGCTGAAGAGTTAAATTGCCGGCAGTCAAGTCTAGTGTCTGTGTCAGTCAATATTCTAGAAAGGCAGTTCTGGAAGAAGATACAGGCTTACCACCATGACAGAATCCCTTTGAATGGAGCAAAGCTGTAGCTTTGACAGCCTGTCTACCAATGTCGGCCGCCAGAGCTGGCTTCATTGTTGAGTAGATCCCTTTGGACAACGATGAGCAACTGGGGCCGACAACGGGCAGAACAAGACACAGGTGACGCCCATTTGGGCCGTCAATCCAGAATTCTCGTTTAGGTATGGAAAAAAGAGCCGATGACTTAATATCGTCGTCCTCTAAGATGCTTGGTCGCGCGGTGCTTTCTATTGAGATTTCAGAAGCCAGAATCTTGAGCGCAACCCGTTCATCCTGAACAGAGTCGCGAGCGAGCCACACCGTCGAGAAGCCACCGAATCCAAGTTTGTGGACAACTGAATATCTCAGATCATACACGTCGTGAAGATGGACCGGGTGGAACCCTCCAGGCTCATACCATTCTAGATCCTCGCTTGGGCCTAGCGGGAACGGGTGGTATTTCTGTCGGGGTTCGGAGCTGGTCCCTGAACCTGTATCCGACATGACTGCTCCACCACGGACGAGAGCTGGATGCCTTGGCCTGACGACCGGTCTGCGTTTGCTCCTGAGCCCGGGGGGGGGGGGGGAAGCCGGTTCGAATGAAGAAAGTGGTATGTAAGATCGTTATGTGGTTGGTGATAGAGCATAAAGGACTTCGGTTGATATTGATACGAGGTCAAAGTTGATCGTTCGAGTGAGGCTGTGTTGGTGTTATTTGGAAAATCCCGAACGGCTGCTGGAGCCTGCCTGGCCCTACTTATGGTGGTACTACCCCAGTCATTTTGTACCTTGAGTACCCAGGCACCAGGCACCTACTTGCGTACCGTGGAGTAACCAACCGGGTTTGGGGTAGACAAATGACCGAACCTGGCGTAAAAGCATCAATTTGATGAGACCCCTTTGAGATGGCATTTAATTATGCTCTCAGAAATGGTATGAAGTTTAGGCGTGTGACTGGTTTCGCGGTGTTTGGTAGCAGGATGCAGTTAGACGGTGAAGACTGAGCGCATCTAGATTATCGAGAAACATTGCCGCCCGGTTTGGCTCTGAGTATAAGCACGATCTCAACTCTATCATATGCAGGAGATCCCTATATGTCTCGAGTTGCGAATACGGCTCATATAATGATCAAAAACATGGCATCAATCCTGAGAATTCACTATTCCCGATTTTCTACGCCGAAATTGCACCTTCATCATCATCCCATCCACCGGTTTTGGTGTCACCTGCCGGGTCTGCCGTACGCCGTGTTAGTGAGAAAGGCCAACAGATACATGCGGCGGTTCTCAGGGGAAACCAACATACCGGGTACATCTCCTCGGTCACCTTGTAATGTCCTTTCTCATCGAGGATTGGCTTGCCGTTTTCATCGACACTCAGCTCACCGATGCCGACCTGCAAAGAGGAACGGATTAAATATCTCCACAGTTCAAGTGTAAGAAAGACATGGCTCCCTACCTTCACAAAATCCAAATATCTCGCAACAAGCGCAATCACTACTCTTGCTTCCAGCATTGCCAATTCTTGGCCTATGCAGTTTCTTGGGCCGCGTTCGAATGCTACTAATATGAGCCTCGGGACACAATAGTGTTGAGGTCGGGTTACTATTGTCTACTCACCACGCCACGCTCCGGGAGGGATCCGATCCCCGTGACCGTCCAGCCAGCGCTCAGGCACGAACTCGTCGGCCGAATCTCCGTACACCGCTGGATCACGTTGAATCATGATGGCGCAGTTGTAGACATGTACGCCCTCTAGAGGATACTTCTCGCCCGTTGCCGTCTTTACTGTAAGTCCTGTCCCAGGCGTCGTGAGGCGTGCGGTACCAGCAGGTGGCCAGAGACGCAGGGTCTCTTTGATCACGGCGGAGGTGTAGGTCATGCGGTGGAGAAGTTCTTGGCCGCCGGGTGAGAGAAGTTTGTCCTCTACAGCAGAGGGACGGGGATCTGTAGCCAGTTAATAGGCTATATTGCGCTGCGGTGCTGCGGTCTGTTTTGCAGAAGTAGGTCTAAATCTCTTACCTGAACCGAACAAGCCGTCCAATTCGTGTCGCACAGCCCGCAGCGCGTGTGGTGTCCGCGAAAGCTCGTAAAACATCCAAGAAAGCAAGATACTAGTCGTGTCATGGCCTGCGAACAAAAAAGTGCTCAGCTGATCACATGCCTCGTCGACGGCCTGTTGGGTCAGTGTGTCGGCATCTCGAAGACTCAATGACAGGATGCTGCGCGATTTTGTGTTTGTGATCCGTCGGTTGGCAAAGGCTTCGTATACCACAGTACTGAGTGTCGTCCTCACCCGCCTGGCAAGACACCGGCGTTTCCATTCTGTACGTGGTGTGAAGAACCATGGGAGATCCATCTGTTCGCTTGTGTAAGTCTTGAATAGCTCATTGTATGTTCTCATGAATTCTCTCAGCTGGCCTGTTTTCTGCGCTCCGAAATCTTTGTTCATGACGACGCTAGAGATGATGTCAAATGTCAGGTTTCCGGTGAGATGGATGAGGGAAAATGGTTGGTCCGAGGATGCGTAATCTTCCAAACGCTCAATAAAGGTGGAGGACTTTTCCAGGATGAGAGGTAACATAGTCATTAGGTGCTGCGGAGCGAAGCCTGGGTTGAATTGTTTGCGGAGCTGCTTCCAGTGCTCACCCTGTGACATGATCAGCCAGAGCGTAGGGGATTTTCCATTTACAATTATCTATCACTCACCTGAGAAGGCAGTATCGAGGTCGGGCCAGTCACATGCATCATATGACCATAGACCGAAGGCATCTTTGGGAGACTATAAGGGTATGACTTGAGTGGCTTCACGATCTGCTCCGCGACTTCATGATTTCTGACAACAACCATCGGAGGGCCAAACGGCCGAAGGTCAAGAAACATGAGGGGTGGTCGGCCAAGTGCCTCGTTTATGGCAGCAAATGCAAGGTCTATTGGATGATTTATCAGGCTTCATGTACGTTTTCATGATCAATGTGATCTCTCGACGCTGGGCGAAAAGTGGCCGTCGTTCAAGCATTAGGAGGTGGAGCCCTACCAGGATGGCCGTTTGGCTTGCCCGATTTAATGAAGTCATCGACATGTTTAAGGTGTCCCAAGAGAAGGGAGGTCGGCATCTGGGGAAAGCTGGCATATTGCTTGAACCTCTTCCGGTGGAGTTCGCGGTAGAGGCATGTGAAGAGCAGGATGGCTGTCGCAGTGACCAGCGGCAGCAGCATATTTTCTGAGCGCAATTTCGGCTTGAGATCGAGTTCGCACGAGTCGCACCACCAGCGAAAATGCTAATGGGTGCTTTTTATATCGAGATGATAATAGTATAAGAAACATTGTAGTGAGGACAGCGATGAGGGGGAGGAATTCTATCAATCCAAGCGTGGGGTTGCATCGTGCAATCTTCAACCGGATGTTGGCTATCAATTGATGGCGGCCTGTTGGTCGCGAAGGCTTGCAACGCTACATCGTACCCACCGCGTTGTGGATGAGAGGACTGCGCCGCAGCAATTTTGCAGCATAGAAATCCGGAGAAAATCAGAAAGCCTAGTCCAGACTTATCTACAATAGGGTCTCATTTGAGGTCGCCCTAGCCCAAGCATCCCGCCGATGATGAACATTGCTCGTATTGCCTCCCATAGTGTGTGAGTTCGGAAACCAATTGAGCAACTGGGTATACGCAACGGCTGAGCGTCATGTTCATCGCGTAGAAGCAGTATATAGGGAATCAAACAGGCCCTTCTTTCTTTGTCTGTACCTGCGTACCAGTCTGCCCTATTACAATTAACCATGTGCTCCATGCGAAAGCCGCGCTAGTAAAGAATGCATTCCAATCGCGCTACTTGCATTCCACTACTGCGTTCCAACTGCGTGATACCCGCGTCCTTATTATTTACGCGATGAAGATCCTTGACGCATTGTAATTTTGGTCGACGGCATGCAACTCTCACCATTCAGAGTTATGATATATATAAAAGGTCAAAAAAAGAAATATGAAAAGCCTCTGGCACTTGGCACCCCTCCGCCGAATCTGTCGACCCATCTTTCATACGACACACCAATTTCCTTCTTCGTCCTCAGTCTCACTCCGGCAGTCGTGACTCTTTCTCCCCACCACTCCTTCATTACAGATCAATCTTCCCTCTGAATCATCTGGTCCTATACCAGTAATATCTCACGGCCAAAATGCATTACTTTATCGTGATCACAGCCTTCCTGGCTAGCATGGCTGCGGCAGCTGACGACGGTCTCGCAGACCAGAATGTCGCAGACCTCACACAAACAGACTGTACCGGTATCGACGATGCCACCATTGCTGCCTACGACATCAGCTGTCAGGAAGGCACGAGAGGAGTAGAGGCAGCACCTGTCAATGATGCCCAGAACAACGCAGGCGATGTGGCTGATGCCGAGCCAGCTAGCAATGATAATGAGGTGCAGGGCGGAGCAGAAAACATGGAAGCTCCAGTGGCCAGCAATGATATCAACAGTGATGGCAGCAACGCGCAAGATGCAGAAGGCGTTGCGGATCCTCAGGCTGGCGATGACAACAGCAACAATGCACAGGAGGATACAGGTGATGCTGCTCAGCAGGATACACAGAACGTTGTGGATGCTGAGCCTGACAACAACAATGCCCAGCAGGACGAAGTAAATGACCAGGAAAATGCGGGCGGTGTTCAAGATACAGGTGACGCTCAGCAAGACGAGACAAGCGGGACTCCCGGCGCGGCGGACCAGGAATCGACAGACGGCACGGGCTTCGATGGTACGGGTTCTGATGACACGGGTTTCGACAATACAGGCTTCGATAACACGGGTTCCGATGACACTGGCTTCGATGGTTCGGATTTTGACAACGCAAGCCTCGACAACACAGACTCCGACAACACAGGCTCCGACAACACAGGCTTCGAGAACACGGGCTCTGATGATACTAACTTCGATGGCACGGGCTTTGACAACACAGGTTTCGATAATTCGGATTTAGATAATACGGGCTTCGATGGCACTGGTGATGATGGAGCTGGAAACAATCTCTTGGACTCGGCTCCAGAGGGCTTCCAGCCCACTGAGTGAATGTACCGGTATTGACCAGGCCATCATTGCTGAGACTCACTTCAACTGCACTGATTGGTTCTACGTGGTTTAGGTTCAAGTTTCAAAGGGATTAATACAAACCCGCTGGTGGTTTACACCTATTCATGCTCGTGTCATCATCTCCTATTTTCAGGCATGTTGTGCCTTCTTAAGGCATCGAGTGACACTTTCTTAGAATTGGCTGAATGATTTGGAGGATAATCACATACCAAGGCGATGGAGTCTTTATCCTCGCGCGATTTGGTTATAGCACTTCACTATGTACCTATGTGCCCAAATGACGATTGGTATTGCCTTTGCTTTTCAAGACTGTCCCTTGTGACAACCATAGCTGATTGTATCACTCTGATTCAGGCTTGAGCTTCCCGAAATGCTTTTGAGGTCATTTAGCGCGCTTGGTAATTGTGAGTACCCGGTGCTAGAGCTGGAGCGATATCAAAAGGAACACCGTTGGACATGAAACGTGAAGAGGGCTATGAAGCCTATGGCGTTCCTGTAGAGTGCCTATGCACATACTGGTGGTGTCTTCTCTTCCCTCGCGACCTTGAACGAGTCGGCTCACTGAGCGTGTCGAATCCTTGAATTCAACACGGGAGACCACTAAAAATCTATGGTTCCATGGAACGGGTGAGCGCTCTGAATTGACCCGGCGGGCCCATGGTCTCGTGGGGGCATGACGATTTGACGGTTCTGATAGCCTTAGAGACTGAACGGGGCAAATGAGTGGAATCCATCTGCGTTCATTACATGGAGTGGGCCCATGCCGACTTGTAGCTCTGGCGATGCAGGTGAGGCAACCATATCAAGCACGTCCCCTGGGTCACCGAGATCGTGTGGTGAAGTAACCGTCTGAGCCGCTCTCATTCCTTTTGCCAGACATGATGGTGTTATCTGCATTGCGCGGTCTCAGGGTCCTCAAGCTCGGCCCCAAGCTTGTAGAGTTGATGTGTTTTTTTCTTCCTCTCTCCCTCCTAGGTTCGTTTCTTTTTCTTGGTTTCACTCTTATTATGTGTGTTGAATCGGGTGGTCCAAGTCAGTGTTCTATCGATCGCCGTCCGATGAAGAGGGCTATCACCGAATATCGGGTTTGAGCCAAGTAGCCTCTTTGCAAGAACTGGTCTTGTCCGGGTCTTCCTGATACCCCAAGCTAAGTATCTTGTCCATATCCCAACCAGAGGTATAATCGGAACCCGGCACAGGTCTCCCCATCTGGAAGAAACCTCCAAATCTGCACTGTCCTGCAGAATACGAATATTCCAAACAACTAGGCTCAGATGCGCAAGCCGAACTGCATGCGGACACGGACGAGTGCGCGGGTGAGTCTTCTGGCTGGAGACGATCAGCATAGTTGTCCCATTCGCCTCTTGTAGTTGATGCGTCCAGTCTAGACAAGAGGTAGTCTGACAGCGTGGAATGGGTGAAGGCATTCTGTAATTGGTTGTCAGCCGTCGAAATGCAAAGGAGAGAACATAGCACCACGAACCTCGTCATAAGGCCTTGTCCGCTCCCACCCCCACAGTGACTTCATTTGCCCCGGTGTCACCCTGTGAAGTGCAAGCAAAGGAATGCACCACCTTTCCTGGTTCACTTTCAATCCATTGAGCTCATCACCGGCAAATGTAGGGTACAGCGCCTGCAGCGGTTCGCCTGTCTTGTTCATGATGGCGTAACCAAGGGCGGCGTCACCACAGCAGTCGTTGACGGCATAATCCTCGTAACGAGCGCTGAGTTGAGTCGAATCTCCCACCAAGCGCTTCATTAGCCCGCGTGACAGCACGAAACCGGCACCACCGTATGCGAAGAAAGTCCCGTCCCGGCCAGCCGCGGATGATCCCATGTAGTGCATCTTGGACGGGTCCAGCTGATCGAGGAGGCGGAACAAAGTATCTGCTCACTTCTGTTTAGCAAAGAAACTGATGAATAGCTTCAAAATAGGATCAAAGGTCAAGAGAGGAGTCTGTGGCAGCATGCTTCCACAAGAAATTTAGACAAAAGGGAAAGTATTAGACATACCCCAGAAATAGTACACATCAGCCTCGATGAAGGCGTACCAATCCGCGCGCGGGCGCATCTGGTACATCTTATCGACCATAGGGAGAAATTTAAATCGGTCGAGTTTCCAGCCCTCAGAGGAGTATCCGACTGGTCTTCCTTCTGAATGCGCCTGCTTCTGTGCCGAGTAGGCTGCGAAATCGGGTTGGGACTGGTAGGACGGAGGAAGGTCCGCAAGGATGTCGATGAAGTGATGGCCTGCGACCGTCTCTTCAAGATCAGAGAATACTAGAAGATTTGTGATGCAGGAGCTGACGGTTTCGAGGTGTGCTTTGGTCTTTTCTGTTTCACCAGTGCCGGTCTTCAGAACGACCTGGATGCGATTCAGGAGGTGTTGTGGGAATCCATCACACAGGTCCACAGATTTCTCGTCATAAGGCTTTTTAATCGAAGGGAAAAAGGATGGTGTTCTCCATGAGTAGACATGCGATTCATCTTGGGTGTAGTAAAGCGACTTTTCGTATGTTGGGAGCAAATTTAGTGAAATTGTGCCGTTGAAGTTGGCAAGGGCCATAAAGAACAATAGAACACATAAGCCGGCAACAAATATTTGGGACCGTCGAAGCAGCCGTATTGATGAATTGAAAGTCATATTAAAATTAGAGTACGCGGAAAAGCAAGGAAGGCAGTACGATGAAAGGTTGGAGATGCTCTTGTGCGTAACGGCATAAATTTGAGAGGATTGGACCGGCAGGTGAAAGTCGAGGAATACGACGATACTTGTGCCATAGAAGGTAAAATTCTGGACGAGTCATTCACGACCTGTTGGTCCCATTGGCGCAGTGTTGGTGAAGAAAAATGCTTCCATTGAGCGGCTCCGTCTGCAAAAAGTGGATATGAGAGCGGAATTTCACATGAGGTTATCCACTCCTGAGGAAAAAAAGCGGTCATCTCTCTCTCTTTTGGGTCGTCAAGAGCTTCGGATGGTGGAGATGAAGCGGATCTACAAAGAGATGCTTCCCCTGCTGTGCCGCAATGGAAATGAGAAGCATTGAAAGATACCCTGCAGATATAAGGAATTCCATTCTCCCTTGGTCTTTGAGGCTGTTTCTCTTTTAGCATTACATGTTTTCTTTCTTTCTCTTGTGTGCGTATGTTGACAGCCATTCATCATGTCCGCCAGTTGTTATTTTGCGAGTGGTAAAAACACCGACTCGTCGGGCTCGACATATATCCCGTGTAATACAACCGCGGTAGAGCTTGGCCAGCATAGTGCTTGTTGTGCCCCCAACGATATGTGCTTCACGAACGGCCTATGTAAAGCCAACACTGTCGATCAATACAATTGGAATTGGCGCGTTGGCTGTACCGACTCAACTTTCAGTGATCCTGCTTGTCCAAACTATTGCAAAGGAATTGGTGAGTTCACCTCCAAAGGAAGGGCCCGAATGACGACTGTTGCTGAACTCATCATGTACATGTAGGATCTGATGATGGCGCCCACTTGATATTTCAATGTTCCGATGACGAGACCTGGTGCTGTGCCACTGGAAATGTGGACAACTTCGTGCGGAACTATAACTTCACCTGCTGCAGTAAAGCCGACCTGACGTTAGGTCTCGGACCGGCAGTCTATTACGGCAGAGCAACAATCGACATTCCTATCAGCACTCTGGAGATATCTTCTACAGCTTCTACAACAACTCATATATCGTCATCGGCTCTGACAACTTCCACCGCGCAACAAGCTTTCTCTTCGACAATCGATATCGCCAGCTTCACAGCCCAGTCTACCGTGGCCTCGCCAAGTTCTACAGATACACAACAAGACTCATCCTCTTCATCAAAGACCCTGGCTATCGGGATGGGTGTAGGAATACCATTGGGACTTATCCTCATGGCTCTTATTGGATTTTTGTGTTTCCGCCTGGGTCGAAGGCAGAATCGCCAACCTATGGTGGAGCAGAAGCCAGAGTACTCGGATCAAACATCGAGTCTGCCAGCTGCTGCTGACACGGATGATTCAGTTGGCACGCGGCACAATGAGGGGCTTCTAAATGTATTGGATGCGGATGATCGAGGTCATGAGGTAGAGATGGCACACCAGCGATCTCCAGTTGAGCTGGAAGGCAAGCGTATGAGCCGGCTATACGAGTAGCCTCGCTGGTGCCATGCCCACGTTTCGCTTCTGTGTCCATTGATTTCTAGAACACAAATGTATATACTTATCAGCGGGAACCTTTATAGTAATAATCAACTGCGTTCACGGTTTGAATGATCCTGGCTGGGCCTTTCATATACCGGTTTGATTCAACAAGTGGAGTCCTGGCCCTCTTCGTTAGGGTGAAGGTCTCTAGCCACTCCTGGTCAGCGTGCAGCTAGTGACAATTCTGGGGGTGGGCCCTGCTCTTAGCGGGTGGACGGACGAACCAACACATCCAGCTTCTACCCCTAACCCGGAATATAAAGATCAGGTAGGTGCAGGGGCACTACTTCGTGAAGAAGAGGCGAGGCTTAAGATGCTATCTGGCGACGGCGAGCATCCGGAAGGCTGATATTAATTAAAGATAGTGTCGAGTCGTGCTCGCACCAGTCTTTGCGGAGTTACCAATGCAACCTGCATGCAGTAAGCATTACTGTACACAACTAACCTTCTGACAATCGTCTGACGTAAGTAACGAGCCCCCCGCATCTTGACGATGCATATCCGTCTGGCTTGTAACCCCATCAGCACCACGTCCTCAGCGCTGCTTCTCACAAGGCCAGCTCAAGTCACATCTCTGCTACATTTCCAAGCCCGAACAAAACAGTCCCTACCTCTCACAAGGTCCATCATGTCCACTCCCGCCGCCAAGCGCCAAAAGTCCTCCAAGGACGTCCCCTACCACCTTATCTACTGGGCCGGCCTCCCCGGCCGGGGAGAGCACGTCCGCCTCGCCCTCGAGGAAGGCGGTGCCTCGTACACAGACACCGCGCACATCGAGGATGGCACCAATCAGGTTCTGGCGCTAATCGATGACAAGTACACCGGCGACGACACCAACCCTCCCCCCTTGGCCCCCCCTATCCTCAAGCACGGTGATCTCGTCATCAACCAGACGCCCAACATCCTGCTGTACCTTGGACCAAAGCTAGGTCTGGCGCCGAAGCCAGGTGATGATGACGAAGATGGTTTGTACCACGTCAATGAGCTGGCTCTCACCGCATTGGATGGGCTGAGCAACGAGCCGCACGACTGCCACCATCCCATCGCGAGCGGGCTCTACTACGAGGACCAGAAGGAGGAGTCCCTGAGAAAGAGCAAGGACTATGTTGCCAACCGCCTTCCAAAGTTCGTTGGCTACTTTGAGCGGGTCTTGAAGAGCAAGACCAGCGGTGATGGGCCATGGCTGTACGGCGGAAAGTTGACCTACGCGGATCTGGTACTGTACCAGGTAAGTCCGGCTTATACTTATACTGAAGTCTCATTTAGGAGTATGTCATATCTGACCGAAACTCAGTGCTTTGATGGTCTCAAGTTCATGTTCCCCAAGGCCGTCAAGAAGCTGGAGGACTCGGGTGACTACAAAGGTGTCTTTGCTCTGCACGAAGCTGTCAAGGAGAGGCCCAACATCAAGGCGTATCTAGCCAGTGACAGGCGACAAAAGTATGGCATGGGTATCTACAGAAACTACGAGGAGCTGAATGTCACTGAGTGAGCTTGGATGCCGGTCAGCGGGGCGGACTCGGAGCCTCAAATTGCTGATGGCTCTGGATCACATTCCAAAGCGAACTTTATGAGAACACAAAATAAATGAAAAGAAAAGTTTTGATTAAGACGTCATGGAATATTCATCTGGTGCTGACCCTCGGACGTGAAGTATGCCTTGAGATACAACATGACTCTGCTGAGGCTGCGTATTGCTCTTAGGGCGACCGCCGGATTGTTTCATGCCTATCAGAAACGTCATACTACGTTTATTTCTTGGTCCCTCTTGTTATGTTTTCATTGGTTGCCCATTTATGGTAATATGGCTTTGGCCAACAAGAACGGAAGATCTGCATAACCCGCTGGAGACCGGAAGCTCACATGAAAATAGTCACAAGCAAGCATTAAACTTGGTCTGCAGTTCATCAAATTCTGTATTCGAAAACAACTCGAAAGAGTATGTTTCACTCATGTACATGACAGCATAATATATGATAGGTACAACCCTTCATGGATCTCATCGTGTGGTCATTGCAAGAATCCCATCCTGATCCTATAATCCTCCAGAAACAGTCGGGGGGGTATTTAGGCGATGGTGACGGTGTTGTCAGGGCACTTCTCGTTCCACAGGTCGCCAATCAGCTTCCTGTCATCGGCGCTGGTGCACACGGTGGTGCCGCCGACGACGTTCTGGACCGAGGACTTCAGGTCGGCGTTGGGGCACCAGCAGGCGGTGTCTGGTTTTTTGAGTTGCAAATGTTAGCCAGCTATTCAGTTCAATTTCCCAGGACCCCGTTGGGTGGCACCGATGAATGTGCTTGGTGTTTGTGCGCACGCGTGGGCTTGTGATTGGAAACAACTAACCTGTCTGGGAGGTGCAGCCAGTGGCCTGGAAGGCGGCAGTGAGCTTGCTCTTGGCGCACTCAGGGAGCTGGGAGAGGGGGTCCTCATCGGCGGCGATGGCTCCGACGATGGCAACGGAGAGGGAGAAGAGGGTCTTGAACTGCATTTTGGCGGTTGGAATGGTTGGTGTCTGGCTGGACAGGTGGTGTTGTTGTTGTTTGGTAGATTGTTTGAGTAGATGGGTGAGTGTGCGGGTGAAAGAATCAGATATATGATGAAAGTCGACGAGAGTAAAGGCTCATTATATACAATTTTCATGTTCACCTTCTTGCCAATTCCTGTCACACCAGGATATCAGTATACTCGCCTTTGGATGACTAACTTGGCCCCCATTCCCACCAGGAGAGGGATGTCTTCGGGATCTAGACCAGGGAGCCCCATGTGGTGGTGCTTGATCGACGCGAAAGTGCGTAAACCCTACCCACGTCCCGCCTGGGTATACTGATGGGTCCCGGTGCCAGCGGCCCCATATAACGAGGCCGCGAGATGAACCGCCCCCCTAGGGACCTTTAGGGACCACCGACTTCCGAGGCAGACCCCAGACACCTCTCTACACCATAGGAAACTGACAAGCTAACAAGCGAATCTAGATTGATTGATTAAATGACATCTGTCGGTAGCCTTATCGTGTAATTAATCAAAAGTCTATTTCGACAGGCTTATAGGTGCCGTCTACAACATGAATTTACTAGTACAACCCACACGCTCGCACATACACACATTGACACTCTTTCCCAAGTACACATTCTTCTCACATAGCTACTTCGACTTGCCTCGGGGTGCAATAAGTGTGATGTGAGGATAGCACTCACTATTACGGAACCCTAACCTCGCCTGACTCTGTCTGCCAGCCTTTCCCCACTCAATGCGTCGCAATCTTAGGGTCCAGATTTACGTGGGAGCCACCTCCTGAGGGAGCCCATCGAAAGTCAGGGGCAGAACTCAGAAAATGCCCGCGAGATCCAGGGCGTACCCTCTGACGATCCCGCTTGTGCCCCATGCCATGATCAACTTATCCTACCCGTTGATGTTCTCGGAAGCCTGCATGTGCGGGTTCTAGAGCCCATCTGCGGGCCGCGGGCGGTGTAGAGCGGCGCCCCTCATAAATTGAAATGTTTCGTTTAGCCGTGCGATTCCCACTTGACTTGGATATCGATTGCGTAATCGCCTTGGGCTCAAATTTGCTGGGGATGAGTGAAGTTTGAACTTGAACTCTGGCATGCTGTACAGCGCGTGCACCAAGCATAGCCTATGAGTGGGTCGCGGGTACGGGGAGTCTCTAGGAGTGGCTCTAGGGGACTTCGCCGACGTCGATCAAAGACTCCGTCCAACCTAAGCAACGTGCTCGACGACACCGTCGTCCTGTATTACGTTTGAACTCGTCACCATCAGCCCATTGATCCAGGAATGCCAGTACTCACCGTAGATCTTGACCAGCTGAGCCGCGCCAGGGATGCGCATGAGTCTCCTTGTCGAGCACAAGCGGTTCGTAAGAGCTGAAATAATTACGATCTGCTTCTTGCTTGGCGGGACTCAAATGGAGTGCGTAACTCATATACATATTCCAGGAAGTCTGATATCTCACCGACATATACAATGCTCGGAGCAAGTGATGGCTCTAGTAGGGAGACCAAGTGCTGTGGCATGTGGTGGGAGCAAGAGCTTTGCGAGAAATATGACAACGATAAATGATTAAATGATCCAGTCACCTCGCAACGATCTTGTGCGGGATCCTGGTTGCGGGGCTGGTAATGAGCGATTGAAGAGCCGAGGATGGAAAACTAGATCTGGAATCCTCCTCGACCGGCAATTTGCTACGTCTTGCTCGGTATTGCAAAGACCCGTCCTCAACGCCATCAAAACTGAGACGCCTGGACCTTGCAAGCCACCTGTACCGCTGAAGTCCATAGCTACACCATAGCCTGCATCGCTATCATCAACAGCAGAAGGCGGGTTTTTGATTGGCCGGTAACTGCGACAGCGGTTGCTCTCGGTATTGACGCGACACCGTCCTCAGCAAAGTGCCAGCCACTTCGTTGCCATAAGACAAGTTGCCTATATACCTGCCATTCATGAGACTGATGCCCATTCCGGCAGCAAGGCCACTACTTCACCGGTCATGGGAGCACCGAAATGGATGAGGACATGTCAGTCGTCGTGCGGACTTCAGCCATGTTAGCTGAAATCTAGCTTTGCGCAAGTGAACTCCCAGCTTTACTCAATAGGGCCGTTCGATTACTTGTATATAGCATATCCTCACTGATTATCAAACGAAGTGCTGTTTCTGGCCCCTTCCTCGCTGGGTTTCTGGCTAGAAAGCTTGTCAAAGCAGTTAGCACAATGAAGAGCTTGTGAGTAGAGATTTCCTGTCTATTGGGTATTGAAAAATTCGGCCGTAGAACCTTATTGACGCATATCATCTACCCCTGTTGGCTAAACTGAAGAAAAGCACTTGAGAGCTGGGTTGGCCGATGTTAGCTATGTTTGGGAGCTTGACTCCCCCGTTTTATCCACTTTAAGCATATATTGTCCGACTGATCCTTCACTTCATTGTTTTCTCAGCTAAATAGTCTTGGTTTTCAACACCTTTGGTAATATCACAGTCCCATCGACTCCTCTCTTATTCCTACGAAAGTTCCTCTTCAATACGGCAACAATCAATCGACATCTTTTTTTCTCTAGTACATGCAGAACTTCTCTGACGCATTTCTTCCGCTCATACTTACCAATTCTTTTGCACTACATCTTTTGAGTCGAGCTGTATTGACACATAACCAATAGGAGGCAGTAGTGACGGTCGTCCTTTGCAGCTGACGACGTTATTGTGACGGCGACGCCGCTTGAAGTACCCAGGTACCTCCTGTCCGCCAGGTGAGCAGGCAGGCACAGGCAGGCACAGGCAGGGTGGGCAGGGAGGGCAGGTGGGGTTGCCAGTGCTTGGGAGGGGTGGCCCGTGCTTGGCGGGGGCGGGGGCTGATAAGATCCGGTGACGTGAGCAGGGGTCTTGGCGCTAGCAGCTGCAAGGCACTAGAGATGACGGCAGACGCTTGACGGTGCCTGTCAGCCGCCGCCCGTTTCTTCCTTCCGTTACCCAAACCTCGACCTCAGCTGCACGACGAGTCCTCGAGCAGCTCTTACGCGCTACCCGTTAGCCGTTGACTCCAGCTCACATCATGTTCATATTGTACATTGCCATGTCGAGTCGCACACAGACACACTTGTTGGTGATCTGCGTCGCCTCAGCTTGAAGGCCAGGCCAGCCAAGCATGTGGAGCCTGGCTAGACGAGAGCGAGGTAGCCCAAGCTGTGTGACACACCTTGAAACCAAAACGGCATAGGCAGAGGCACACCTGACGCAGTGCCAATCCTCGACCATTCATCCGTCCATCCACCCATAGAGACCGAGTCGGGCAAGTCGATGGTTGCTACGGCTGATCTCGCATCCTCCGACGAGCTTATGCTCGGATATCTGTTCGTCATAGCTGGAGGCCAACGTCCGCTAGAGCCCGCTCTGGTTTGGCCTTGGCCTCTCGGCGCGATGGGCTAGACAACATGGCTCAATATTGGCTCATGGCTGGTTCATGGCTGGTTCATGGCTCTTCCCATCAAAGTCACAAGGCTGGAAGGCAGACTCCAGATATCGGTGTCAGGTTCGCTCCTCCTCCACACCAGCGTGACTGCGCCTGTTCCACTGCCCGCTCGCTCCTCCATACTTGAGCAAATGACACCCTCCCACCTGCAACAACCTTCTCTCTGGTCTTTTCCTCTTTGCCCCAGCCATTGCACCTGACTTGACAGCCACGTTCCACTCTCTGCTATACACTGCTCTACTGCTCTGCTTCTCTACTGATCTACTATCCGCACGTGAACAAGGTCAGCCTCAGCCTTCCGACACGGTGAACCCCTCGTACAAACTTGCCACCTGCCTCGACCTTCATATATCAGTAGACTGCCCTCGTGGGCCCCCTTGTGCCCATCATGGAGACCCTGCGATATTCCATCTCGACTTGCAACGCCGACGAAATGCAGCAAAAGACACGTCGCCAGAGCAAATTCCCAGACGTCGAGGCGAGCCTCCAGAGGTCGACCCCTTCCAACTACAAGACATATCGCCCCTTCCAACCAAAGAGGCTCGTCTCCGACCCCGTCGCAAATATCCTGTCGTATCTGGGCTCACGCAACCCGTGGCCCCAGCCTGTCTCCAAGGACGACGAGCTATGGTTATTTGACAACACCGCCTTTGTCGCAACAAGCAAAGGGAAGGACGGTAAAGAGACGCAAACATGGAACGCTGAGTTTGTCGCTGCGGTCTTCTCTCAGCATCCTTCATGCACCGTCAGCGACGTCGTTGTCCAGATCGCGGATAAGATTGGCTTGGCGGACGACGATGAAGCCAAGAGGACCATCGAGGAGAGGCTGCGTCCATTCTTGATGGATATCCAGCCCGGGAAACAAGTGCTAGCTCTGCACGGGGGCGAAACCCACCTCAAATTCAGCTCTGGGAGCAGGAATGGGATAAGCGCCGACATCAAGACCATCCCGGCTGCCCCTGCCGGAATGATCGTTCCAACGACAGCACAGGTGCCGCAAGGGACGACAGGACTCTTGCAAAGCAAGACGTTCTTTGCAGACCCTGAGGGCTGGGCTGTGATTTCAGGTGTGTATCTTCGGACTGCTCCCTTTCCTGTGGTCAGCTACTAATTTTGTGCGTAGACGTCGATGACACCATCAAGATCACACAGACGAGTGACCCAATCGGCATCCTCCGAAGCACGTTTGTCAACAAACCCGAGCCTGTCGCCGGCATGCCCGAGCTATACAAATTTATTCAATCCGAGATCACCTCCGCCTCGCCATGGTTCTACCTGTCTGCCTCCCCCTACAACCTCTACCCCTTCTTGCGCGGCTTCCGTGATGCCTACTATCCTCACGGCCAACTACTTCTCCGAGATGCTTCCTGGATGAGCATACCTGGCTTGCTTTCGAACCTGACGCTCGGCACAGAGGGCTACAAGGTGGATCGCATGAAGAAGATACACAGCTGGTTGCCCAACAAGAAGGTGATCTGCATCGGTGACAGCACACAGAGCGATCCCGAGTCCTATGGAGAGATTTACCGCACACACCCTGAATGGGTCAAGGCTATTTATATCAGAAAGGTGACGGATATTGCTGCCGTCGGGATCGAAGAGAAGAATATGGATGAGAGGTTCCAGGCTGCTTTCAAGGATGTTCCAACGACAGTCTGGCGTGTGTTCTCGGAACCCGACGAGTTGTATGATGTTTTCAGGGAGCTCGTTGCTTCCAAGACTGCATAGGAAGCCGTCACTGCTGGTAAAGAAACGAAGGACCGCAGGAGAAGCACGCTGCGTCGTCTTCGGAGGAGCACCTTCACTTGGTGTCGGTGATAGCTTGCTCCGTCATCCGCCCCTTGCCTCTCTATTCTCGCCTACTCTAGTAGGTCCCATTGTACCTAGCCTGCTTACCTGTTAATACCCCATCGAGTTCTGTCAACGGAGAACAATATAGTAATTAGTGTGGCCTTGTCTCTTGCGCAAGACATCTTTCTGTTAATTTGAGAGTAGAATGTCCAGACTGTTTTCTTCTCCCTGAAAAACAAGATTATCTGAGTGAACATGGCTCACACAACGAGGCGACGCGCACCATCTACTGATCGCCCTTCAGCCAATCACACAGTGTGATCCTCGGGATCCCATGAATCCTAGAGGGCTGTTACGTAGATAAACTCGCTATTTCTAATAACTGTAACAGTCTTGTACACTTGTGGCTCTGTGTATATCTTTACAATGAACAACAAAAAATGTATAAATTTTGAGAAGAAGGGAGAAAAAAGTTGAGCTGTGGAAAATGCTAGTGGATATAACCATTTAACTGAATACATTAAACTGCACCACTTGCTGCTTAGCCTCAGTTTTCATCTGATCCAGATCCATAAGCGCCTCCTTGGTCGCATCTCTTCGTGGTGATTCAATCGATTCAGCCGACATATCCTCGCCATTCTGAACAACGAAACGCTCGCTGTAAAACAGGAATGGTAAGATTGAGGTCTTTCAAACAGTCACATAACCCCGGTTCCGGAAAATAGTCCATACAAGCAAACCACAAGTAATACATACAAGCACCGTTGAAAAAGCCAACCACCCATAATCAATATCCACACAAACAGTTATCTGGAGCGTTTGGCCAAATATAGGTTCGATATTGCCAAGAAGACCCATTCGTATTATGTTCGATAATTCATCTGCAAAGGCTTTGAATCGTTTGAAAATATCGGAGGTTGTTATGCTGTTATTATTGTAAAACCTTGAAAGCCAATATGAATTGTCGTAATCGATTTCTCCATCAGCCGCAATGTCAGGAAACGACCAGGCAAAGCAGCTTCCATTGAATGTATTTATCATCATAGAGCGCGAGAGGTCCCCCCATGTCGTCAGATCTATACTATATATGCATTCTGTTGGAGCTGTGATGTTTTCGATTTTGATATGGCGGGTTTTGTTAGTACCAGGATCAGCTTGAAGAAGGAGGAGATGTTGTTTGCCGACAGTGGAGGATACGTTGTTCTCGGTCCAAACCGTGTTATTCACAAGGCAGGGAGATTGAACAGCTTGAAGTGAGGTACCAATGTCTAGGTCCCCGTCTTCGCCCCAGCCAAACCAAGATGGTGCTTGCATAATAGTTTCGAGTGTGTGGTTCCCATCGGTGCTGTCGGCTATGTTCGGTGCCACAGGAATCGTGTTGATAAGAAATTCGTCCAGTTCCCCCATCATTACCGAGGCGTTATGTGCACGAAGACAAGGGTACAGCGTACACGTGACCGCAAGGTAATCGGTATATCCGAATCTTGTCGGAAGCCAGTTCGACGTGAAAACGATGACATTGGCGAGGGCCCATTGAGATAGAGCTCTCATTTCTGGGCTCACGAGATCACCAGCCCAGTCCAGATCACCACTCCAGTTGGAAAAATTAGTCCTTGGATTCCCGGGGTTCGGCGGCCTAAGAGATGATACCAACAAATATGTGCTTTGCCATCCTCCTGAAGTTTCGTTTTCAAACATGGCTCCAATGGAGAGTCCATTTGGTAGGGTGTAATTTGCCATGAAATCCGTTACGTTAAGGTCAAAGTCGGTCTTGGTCCACTTAGTCGATGTAATCAGTGACGAAGTATCGGTACACAAGCTGCACACCCCCAGCGTACTGTATAATCCACCAATTGAATTCTGGAAAGTACAATTTCCAGTAGAACATCCCACCGATATGGGCGAACCTATTTCCTCGTTCTCGGGGGCGAGGGCACACGATATAGCGGCGGCCATGTTAGATATACTCCTCTTTCCACCACCTACTTTATAAGTGATGTTTCGAGAGATTGGGAGAGACGCATTAACGTTATCCGTTGAAAATTGGCAAGGCTGCGTCTGGATAGCTTGTTGCACAAATGAACCAGTGCCCAACGAAACAATCATGACCATAACAGCCACTAAAGTATCAGGGTGCCCAATGATTGTTGGAATAAGCTTTAAACCACCTAGTAAACCTTGGCTTGCAATACTAAGAGTCGTGAGCTAGTCCTAGGTGCGTTATCCGATAGGTGGGCACCTTAAGAAAATGCACCCAGAACCGGCCTCATCAACGGGCCTGAAGTTACATGTCATCATACAAGGTGCGCGTTGGAATGAGTGTCTAGCTCTTTGGTCTACATCGGGATTTCCAGACCCTAACCCTCTCTCCGTTGAGTGCCTCCACGGCCTGGTGCCTGCTGTGCCGCACCCATCGACTAACGTAAGTTGAGGAGTACTTCAAAACTGTGGCTACCGTTGCTCCTCTTGCAGGGCTTCTTCTACAAACCCACTCCGCCACTCACAGCGCTTCTACACGCCACCCACAACAACACGCTACACTCTTTCTCACCTAAGTAATCTTCATTAACCTCCTTGCAGCCAACATCCGATTTGTCGCCATGACATCAAAGGACCCCACAAAAAATAAACGGGTCACTTTTGCGGGAATGGTCCAAGACACCGTGGCGTCCGAGGATGAGGAGGAGGCAGAGACAAAAGCCGCAGAGGGCCCTGAGGCCACAACCAAAGACTTGCAGACGACGGCAGAGCCTGCGAGCCCGTCGTCCGCTCCCAGTCGGCCTGCCATATCAAAACTCGCATCGAGAAAGGCCCAGCTCACAGGGCTCATGACTGCCGGGGGGAAAGCTAGACAGATGAAAAAGTGGGAGAAGGAGTATAAGGCTGTGGAGAAGGAGCTAGATGAGGCCAGGGGTCATGTGACTCCAATATTTACAGCTAGCGATTTGCGGAAAGCAGACTCACGGGCTACCTGATGTAATACCTAATGATGCGATCCGTGCCGCGGCTTTCGTGAGTTATCATGTCTGCCGCAGCACGCTTCCAGCCTCTTAGGCCCAGAGCGGTGGGGCTTGCAGGACCTGCCCAGACTTCCGGACCATGATCAGGCCATGTGCGTGCTGCATCTCGTGAATAAGGGGGCAACGCCTCAATAGCGAGTTGGGGCCTACTATGCGTGCGGGCTAGCTTTGCCTGAACCTCTCTTCCAGCTTGAGAGCCGCTCGAAGCGGCTGGCGCCTTTCTGATCGTACCAGGAAAGTAAATGACTTCTACATCCTTTGTTAGAGATACAGACGTCACCTCGCTTGCGAGCAATACACAGAAAGACTATACTTACAGTACTCCCAAATAGAGCTCTGCGGAAGGATTTCCGTTTGCAAGGCCGCGTAAGCCACTAGCACATCACTTGTGTACATCTCCTCGGGCGGAACTGTCCTCTCATACGTCGTCATGGGGGCTACTATGTAAGCAAGGCTCTTGAGGACAAAGAGAGACTAGAATTTAGAATTGGAAGTCTCTATCAGACTAGTCAGTTCGTCCCGGATACTAACACTAGGGACCGCACAATCGGGACCGCTAGATCCAACGTTGAAGGCTTGCTAAGATCTACGTATGTCTTCTTGTCCGGACTTTTATTTTTGAGGCTCAAATATCTAAACAATCATAGTGATCTCATAGAATAGTGCTCTTAGTCTACCTAATAGTATTCGAGGCATACTCTACGACACAATCGATGACTCAGATATCATTCATTGCGCCTGCTAGTGCAATGTCTGGCATGCTTTTATGCTTTCATGGCATGTACTGAGCCTCTCAAGTGAACGTTCGTAGGTGCGGGAACGTAAGTCTCTGTATGTGGTGCATCTCTCTGTTATCCAGTAGTGAATGGCCCACGCCAAACTAACAACCGAGCTCGTGTCTGCATATTACCATGCTTATACACCGGATGACAAACCCTCAGTCTCTGGTTGTGACTATTCGGCTAAAATGGCGCGCAGAGTCATTGGTCGAATTTCACTTACTCACCTAAAAGCTGATGAGTTGAGAACAAGTGCTTTAGATACAACATTTCACGCTCTCGAATCAGAAGGGTATGCTCATATGACCCAAAGAAATATTTATTGGGAGTATCTACATGAATATTACTCTTGGCTTTCATTCGTCATATCCATAAACCACCATCGTGATCCGTCATCGCTGTATTTTCCCAGATTCTCCACCCTCTAAGCGAGGCGTTCACTGCAGGAACAGACCCGCGGGTTTATTTAGACGGTCTTGGGGGCCCATCCCAGACGGGGGGTGGAGGAGCCATCGAAGACAACGAAGGCAGCCTTGAGGGCGACGTCGCCGAAGATGTTGATGCCGATGCCGGAGGAGCTCTGGATGCCGCCGAAGCAGGTGGAGCTGCCGGTGGTGACGGCGCCGTAGTTGATGACCTTGCCGGGGATGGTGATGCGGGCGGAGCCGACGCCGAAGGTGAAGCTGGGAGGGGTGGCGCTGCAGGGGAAGACGTAGCCGCCGTACGTGTTGCTGTTGGACGAGCCGCTGATCTGCTTGTAGTACGCGCTGACGATCGAGGTCGGCAGGTACAGCAGGGTCGTGCCGGTGTCGGCGATGCCGTCGATGGTGGTCGACACGAACGAGCCGGACCCGACCGAGTAGCCGGTCGACTTCCACTCCCAGAAGCCCTGGGAGGTTGACACCGAGGTGTAGGTGATGGACCCGGTGTGGGCGGTGTCATCAATGAAACCGAAGTTGTAAGTACCGGCTGTGAGTGAGAGTTAGCCGGTGTGTTCTCATGTGATGCTCATATTTTGAGCTGATATCAAATTTTAGTTCACTTACCAGTGTGGTACTTAAGATCAGCCGTGAAGACTGGGGAGTCCAGGCTCGCCTTGGCGTTGTCGAAGAAGGTCTTCTGCTGGGTGGGCGAGACGGTGTTCAGGCTGCTGAACGCCAGGCCGAGCAGGCCATCGGTCTCAGACTCCGAGGAGAAGGAGCTGGAGACGGTGGTGGCGATCTCGACGGCCTGGCTGGCCACGGACAGACCACCAACGGTGACCTTGTCGGTGTAGACCTTTCCGCTGGAGGAGGAACCGTCACCGTAGGTGATGCTCCACGTGGCACCGCTCAGGAGCTTGGCGGTGCTGCTCTTGGAGGGGTTGTAGACGGTCTGGCCGTTGACCTCGCTGGAGGGCGTAGAGCTGGAGAAGACCCACAGGTCGGAGGAACCAGTGTCAAAGTCCAAGTTCAGGGTCTGGGCCGGGGTGCCGATCTGGACGGGGGTGATGTAGGCATCGTCGAAGGAGTCGATGGGGGTGGCGCTGGCAGAGCCAGTGGAGCGACCCTCGAGACCAAGCTCAGCCGTGATGTTGGCAACGGCAGCCTCGAGCCAGTCCGGCACGGGCTTGCCATACTTGAGGTAGGTCTTCTTGACGGACAGAGCACCGTTGAACTTGTAGTTGGGGTTGCGGACCTGCTTGAAGGAGGCCTTGCCCGGGCCCAGGTTGTCGGGGGTGTTGGCAGGGGTTCCAATGTGGAGGCTCGAAGGAGCGCTCACGGCGGAGCTGGCGAGAGCTGCTGCCACAAGGGCGGTCTTCACGAGAGGTGCCATTGTGATATTTGGAAAGATGGGGGTGGTGGGCAGGAAGGGTCACAACCAAGACGGGACAAGACAGACAAGCACTGAGGCCAAGAGACTAGGACCAACGATGGTGAGGGCCAAGGAGCAGATGCAGAGGGCTGGGGACGAAAGTAGTCATACCAAGAGATCAACCGGCTTGGCCTGCATCTTTATATCTTTCGGTGTGGGTGTCTGTGTGGGCGTTGAGGGCGGTCTTTCCCCTCCCTCGATGGCACTCAACACCACTCAACACCACCGCACATCACAAGCGCCGGTTGCCAGGTCGGACTGGGCCAGGGTACCTGCTATGCCAAGTCGGGAATCCCCATAGCTGCAGGCTCTCATCTCATCTCATGAGCCAGGGACGATAAGGGAGGGTAGGTTGTCAACGATGCTGCCATATCTCGTAATTCGCCTAGTCCCCGGCAGTGCGACCACGCACAAGGGCAAGGGCAGGAGTACCTGACAGCCAGACACAGGTTACCTGCCGTGATAGGGTCTCTCCCGTCCAACATCCTGCATCCCAGGCCCCCAGCAACCAGGCGAAGCAGGCAGAGGCTGGCCCACCCGGTCGGGCGGCCGAGGTCGACCGAGTAATGAACCCCACCAACGATGGACAGATCCGCGGTTGACGATCCTCGACGGAGATGCAAACTTAAGCCATCAGGTTCGATATGATCACATGAGTACATGTCGAGGATGCATGTCTCTGCACGAACGAAGACATCGAAGAGGATGCAGGCATCATCATCACCAAATCTCATCGTCAAATGACAGGCGGGATTGGGGGGGCATCCGACCCGGGGGAGCTTCCTGTCCGGTAGTTGGGTCGGAATCGAAATAGATGAACATCAGTCCGCCAAGCCTGCCGGTATGTGGCGGTATGGCCGTGTGCAATAGACGCCGACCAAGCAGAGCTCAGGCCGGCGGTTGCAGATCTGGGATCGACGTTGTCGCGTGCATGAGGGTGGCTCGCTCGAGTGGAAGCGCGGTTGAGGGTGGCTGGCCCCTCAGACCTTCTGGATAAAGTCTAGCTGCTGTTTCGTTCCTTGTTGGCCTCGCGGGCCTCTCATTGGGTCCCCGCCGTGCCATCACGGCATCTCGTCGAGTCCGCTCATTTCCAGAGGCTGGCCAGTCGCCACATGTAGCTGGCCTGACGAACAAGCAGGACAGGTAAGACAACCAGAAAGGGGACCCCGACTAGAGGTCACCTTCCAGAAGAGGCATTTGGGGCGTCTGGGCGTGTGATAGCTTGTCCACGGGTGGGGGCTTTAGATTATTTGGTGTATGCATCTGGTGACGGCAAGTTCCTGGGTGGAAGGGGAATAGAATGTGGTAGTGGAGATGGATCATGCAGGCCAGTTGTTACACAATTCCACAGTAACAATCGATGGCAGTGTGTCAATGTGTGAAGAGTGAGGAGCAGAGCTTACCAAGTTCGCCCCCAGATAAGCATAAAAACTTAATTTAACCTCCCGGCCAATTGCGGGAACTTTTCCGCTGCTGACCTGCCTGTTTATGCTTTAGCACCCGCAGGAAAGACGGTTCACCCGATCATGTTTGGACGAGACTGGTTAGGATAGGGGGAGATTATCCGATTGTGTCAACTGTCACTGGCCCCCTCTTCTGTTTTTCCAGATGTCCCATTTCTCCATCTGCTCGGGTGCTGGTCCTTGCCTCCCTCACTTCACCAATCAAGACTTCTAGGTACACAGTAGCACCGGCAATTTTGATTATGCCTGTCTGTTCATCAATCCGATGCACTCCAATAGGAACCGGTGCTTCATCTGAGAAATCACGTTCATCCCAAGGGCACATCGTCTGAAGCAAAGAAAGTCAACCAGAACGAGCCAAAGCAAAGCATCTAACCCAAGCTCGCCCAAGGTCTGTGGTTCGACCGAACGCTAGAAGTAGAAATGCAGCTCCGATATTGTTCGGCGCCTATTCTTGCACCATCAGCCACTGAGTGACTCGTGCGAGAGCTGCCTATTCTGGCAGGCGACCGCCGGGGCCGTCGATGATCGGCGGTTCGTCCGATCTAATGTTTATTTACTTTCCTTTCCTGTCCAGGCTCAGCTGGCCGTCATTCTCCGTGGGGCTTTCGCTACGGCTTCATCTGGACTGGCTCCGCGAAATGTCACCTGCCGCGGCCCAGGCGGCCCACTTGCTAGTGGTGGGGACGACGATACGGGTCTAAGATACCATTACTCTCCAGTATGACAACAGTCTGTGGCGCATCACGACAGATGCAACCAGAATGACCAAAAAGTCCGCATTCGTGATGTTGATTCCCAGCTGCCAGATCCGTGGTGTGCCCTGACGAGTAGTCCCATAAGCCATTGACCGACCATTGCCATTTTCTATTGTCCCAAGGTTGTCTAAGTGAATTTCTCAACTCTGGACTTCTCAGCCTTGTTCTTTTAGCTGCTCGAGCTGTCGTGGAATAATCCTCAGCATGTTAGGGAGATATGCTGACTACACGACGACTTTTCGTCTGATACTCAACTATCCATGATGTCTCGCCCGCGGATGAGGCTCTGCCCCTTGCCACCCATCACCTGCACGCCCAGAATCGCCAAGAGCAAACAAGCACCACAAGGCCCAGGAACGATGCACGTCAGCGAGATCATTCTGTTCCATTCGGACGTCAAACGATCTGGCTTGGCCCTGCACTAGATCTGCCAAGTCTGTGACATGATAACGGGCGGCAGCTGTCAATGATAGTGAGGTGTGAGTGGAGGTTCGTCACATGGTGTGTGTCAATGAGGTGCGGATTGTCTCGTTTGCCTATCTGTGAGGGAGCGGCACATTGATAAGGGGTATAACACAGAAATCGTTGATTCTTTACTGATACATAAAAGGGCGCCATGGCGAAAATTACTATTGAGTCTGTCTCAGCTCACTCACTTCTCGACATGTCCTATGCGGTGAGTTGGAACTCAGACTGGACGCCACTTATGTCGAGCTGCAAAGCACACATGAGCGACTCAGGAAGAATACCGATAACCGGAAGAATACGATTCACACTATAAATATATACAGCATCGAAGAACCACCACCTCATAGTCATACTACACATTAATCATTACGCAAGCGTGTCGCTCAGGGGGAGATCCCTCGACGACCGGCCGACCCAGACCTTCTTGGCGGTGTCGCGCACGACCCAGTCCTGCTCCTCGGTGCTCCACGAGCTGACGTCCCTGCGGGTGACGCCCACGCTGAAGGTGCGCGTCTCGCCGGGCTGGATGGCGGTCAGCCTCTCGAAGCCGCGCAGCTCGCGCACCGGCTCGTACTCGCCGCCGCGCGACACGTACAGCTGCGCCACCTCGTCGCCCGCCACGGAGCCCGTGTTGGTCACCGACGCCGTCACGGTGTATAGCACGTCGTACAGCCGCGGGTTGCCGCCTGGTGCGCCGCCCGCCCTCGGGATGGGCTGCGCCGAGCCGTTCTGCGAGTTCGCGGGGAAGTCGTACGCCACGCCGTAGGATGGGTCCGCCGACGCGGTGCTCAGGTCCGTGCTGTTCAGCCACGGGTAGCAGTACAGGCTGACGCGCGTGCTGTTGATGGCCTCGGGGAACTGGTGGTCGGCTGGGTCTGTGCTGTAGTTTCCGTAGGTCTTGGCCGCGGTGGTGTATGCCGTCGACGGGGTGTACGCGGACACGTTCGTGTTGGCCGTGACCTTGAGGTCACTGTACTCGAACGTCGTGTAGCTCAGACCGAAGCCGAACTCGTACGTTGGTGTCACGTTGTACTTGTCAAAGGCGCGGTAGTCAATGAAGCTGCCCTCCTTGTAGTTGATCTGCGGCACGTCATAGTTGGGCGTATAGAGGATGTCCGTGCCATAGTCGGTGCGGTTGGCACCGATGGTAAATGGCAGCTTGGCGCTGGGGTTGACCTTTCCGTACAGGATATCAACGATCGAGTTGCCGCTCTCTTGTCCGGGGACACCGGCCCAGAGAATGGCAGTAACATTGGGGTTGTTGGCGTAGTCATCAAAGATGACGGGGCCAACCGAGTGGACCACCACGATCGTGTTGTTGCTCTCGGCAGCCACAGCAGAGATGACAGCGTCACCGTTCTGCCACAGGGTTAGGTTGTTCCTGTCACCAACGTTGCTGTCGACTGCGATGTAGCCCTCGCCAGAATCAGAGTTGACAAAGACAATGGCTGGTGAGTTAACCTCATTGGCACGACGAGCCAGGGCTGAGATAGTGTCGAGGTCCCAGTTGCTGAGGATGGACTCATAGTTGCCACCGTTGGCGAGAACATAGTTCTGGATGGCGGTATCAGGCGTTACCAGGTAGGGGAAGTTCGTGCTGCCCGAACCCCAAGCCATACCAAGGGTACCATTATCACATCCGCGATCTGAGCAGCCGTTCGGCCCCTCTAGGTTGGGACCGGCATCCTCGCCGAAGACAGCCGTCAGTTGCTCGGTACCCTTCAGGGGCAGCGCGCCGGTGTTCTTGAGTAGGACTGTGCTGGCAGCACCGATCTCGCGGATGATGGCAGAGTGGTTCGCGGTAACATCAACGTGCTCGTTGACCTGAACAATGGGGCCTTGGCCACCATAGTAGTTTTGGTGGCCGTACGTGTCCTGAGTCCACGAGGAGAAGTTGATGGGGTCACGCTCAACAGGCCGGTCGACAAAGAAGAAACCGGCCATGATACGGACAGCCATGTCGTCGAGACGCCACTGCGGGACGGTACCGTTGAGCACAGCGATGGTCAAGTTCGAGCCGAAGTAGCTGGTCCCAGAGGAGAACAATACGTCTCCAGGCATGGTCATATCAAGACCGGCGAGAATGGAGGACACGCCAGAGTGGGTGCCTTGCCAGTCGGAGACGACGAAGCCCTGGAAGCCGAGTTCGCCCTTGAGCAGGTAGTTGAGAGTGTACGAGTTCTGGCATGACTGGCTGTTGTTGACCTGGTTGTAGGAGCACATGATCGAGGTTGCACCGGCCTTCACGCCATCTGTCGATTCAAGTCAGCTTCTAAGTCCCACTGATGAAACTATTCAGGGATTGAATTTCCCAAAGGAATTCAACACAGGCGAGTAATGCTTACCAGCAAACGGCCACAAGTACAGCTCGTGCATCGTCACATCATCCAAGTTTGCCGAGTTGGGCTCAGTGATGTTCCAACCAAAGTCCTGGGACTCAGGCTGCTGTCGGAAATGCTCCTGCTCGTTGGCGATGTAATGCTTAGCACTTGTCATGACACCAGCAGACTGGATGCCCTTGATGCTCTCAGCAAACATTTGACCAGTCAAGACAGGGTCAGGTGAGAATCCCTCCCAGTTACGACCGCCCTCAGGTTCTCGGCCAAGAGGGCCAGCGACGGGACCAAGCTGCATATCGACGCCCTTTCCGGCGTGCTCCTCGCCCATGCCCTGGCCGCGGAGATATGCGAGGTTGCGATCCCAGGTGGCGGCGACGTTGACGCCGGCGGGGAACACGCTGACGAAGTCCGTGTCACGGACGCCAGTCGGGCTGTCCTGGAGGCACATGGCGCGGAAGCCGAGACGGGGGATGGCACCGGTCTCGCCAACGCACTTCTCGAGTTCCCAACCCGTGCCGGTCGTCAGGTTCACCTTTTCCTCCAGCGTGAGCTGACTGACGAAGGCGCGCGCCTTGGTGTAGGCGTCAGCCCAGTCGCCGAGTCCTTCGCCCCCTGTGAAGCAGGTGTCAGCCAATTGGTCCGCGTCCGGGACTCACGAGGAACTATCATCACTTACATGGCGAGGGATACTTGGGAGGCGAGGCCTGGAAGTCCTGAGATCCCTTGATCGTCACAGGGTTCTCCGACTCGAAGCCAGGGTGCACCGTCTCAGGGAACGGCGCGCCGTAGTTGCCATCCTGCGAGTAGTCGTACGCGGAAGCCACGCCCGCTGCTGCGAGCAGCAAGGTTGAGATAGTCTGCATGATGCTGGATGGTTGTCGGCAAGGCAGCAATGCGTGGAGAGCAAAGACTCATTGGGCCTGGTCGGCGAGAGGGACGACTGCCGTCTTATATGTCCCGGCTCGGACAGTCCGGGTCCTTGCAGGCAGGCTCTCTAGCATCATTATTGGGGCGGCCCTTTCCTTTGCGATGGGTATTCTACGGAACAACATGTGCTATGACGGAACCATGTCAGCTACTGTACAACGGTAAGCCCTCAAGTTCCTCAGCCGTTCATCGGAACATCGGCCTTTGTTTGCAGCATTTCATTAGTGACGATCCCTGATCCCTTGCCGATTTCGCGCTGGGACGCATGTCATTGGTCGTCTTAGTGGCTTGATTCGGTCTTCGCTCGTGAACGACTCGGACGTCCCCTGTTTTCGCGGGGTGCATTTCGGCCATTCTGCAATGCTCTTCCGAGTGGAATACTAGCTTTGCTATAGTATGGAGAATCTGGAGACTCGTGGGGAACGGACGACTGTCGACTGGGTCTGATCCACTTCAATGTTCACCTTGTGGTCAGGCGGACATGACAACCGTTCTCAATGTCTTTGTGCCCGATTTGGTCGTCTCTTCCTTCGCTAAGTCAATGTTTTCGCAGCTGCCGAAGCGAGGATATCCATGGAAATTGCCAGGGACCGGGGGACATTTGAGCCTCATCCAGACACATGCTTCTCTTGTTTCTTGCCATGAGATCCAACCGCTTCCCGCAGCTTGGCATCTCTGGGCCATGAGATTGTCGTCCGCAAAACGCTGTTCCTGACGATCACAAAGTGCAAGACGTCATACCACTCGTTCACAAGTGAGGCCCACCCCCATCTCTCGTGGAGAGAGGATCCATTGCAAAAGTGCAAGCATTCGGCCCGACCATCGAACTTGGTCTGTTCTGGGGATAGACGCTCCACTTTACTCCCCACATCCCCGGTCTTGTCGGCTGTTTGTTGGGGTCTGTACAGCGGGGGAGCGGCAGAACATCGGGTTCATCTGCGTACTATCACGCTTTCTGCACGTAGTAATCACATAAACCTGCTCTGCTTTGCAGTCTGCTATACACATCCACAGCGCGATAGTTCGAGATTCCAGGAGAGTATGAGGGAAATATCTCAACGTGGATCGAAGTAACATGAGATAATCAAGGAATGATGACCTTACATTTCGGTGAGACGCCGCTTCTGGCGCGAGTTCGCGATGGACCAAGACAGTCGTTCATCCCAGTCTCGATGAATTTTTTGATTCCAGCTTTCGTCCGATATTACCTGTTCAGGGCCTATCCCAACCATGTTCACTTAGCATGCTGCCGGCCGGCTCCCTTCATCAACCGACGTGATAGATCGATTTCTCTAGCTGGGTTCTACTTATTGTAACATGTGGACCCGGTGCTGACGACTCGTTCAGGCGGTCTAGATCGATAGACAGAGACCTCCTTTGAACAGGGGCCTGGATGGAGCGCGCATCCCGATTCGTTTCGCTCGCGTGTTGGCTGCGAAGACTGGCTCAGCATCCTGATTCTCACTTTGACTTCCCAAAACCACACATCAGGTGGTTTGTTGTCTTACGCAATGCGAGGAGCTCCTCCAATATATCAATACATAATAATATGAGACCCGGCTTTTGATTCTTAGACATTAGGCAAGCTGATATAATTCTTGACTGCCAAAGACTCGACAGCAAAGATCTGTGTTGGCCAGCCTTGCAGGGAAGCAAGAAGCAAACAGACCTTGATTAGATTATAGGAAACTTCTCGCTGAATAAGTACTTTCTAGGTTTCTTTCCTCATCTCTTCCATGGGTCTTGTTTGCGAGGTTTCCCCCCTTTTCTAGTACCCAAATCTTAATTGTGCTGTCAACTTTGATTTATTCAAGCGTATTTGGTACAGTGAACAAAGGATCGGAATCCATACTCACCGCCCATGTCTGCCTCGCCTCAAAGTTCGACTCGCTTATATTGAGGTGATTGGAGGAGTCTATACATACATCGGGCCAATGAATGAGCATTTCTTCCTGTGACCAGCTCTATCTGACCCATTATCTTCTGTTCTGAGACCACATTTTTGCCCGTATTTCCCATATTCTAAATATTCTTCTCTAAAATCCCTTCACGCATAATTATTCAAGATATCCATGAGATACCATCATGAGCCTTCATCTGTCTATCTGGCCTTTCCCGTCTTTAGTCTTCAATAATGCCCGATTCTGAGAAACATCATCTGCTGCCTGGCCAGACAACAGCTATCACACGGGTAGGTGGACCCACTGGGCCAAGACTTTCAATGTACGAGTCGCCTTCCAAACCTTCGTGCCGTTCGTTATACTTCGACGCAGCCATATGCATGTCGAGGACAAAATAGGATTCAACTACCACTGCACGAAACGTTGTTCTACCGTCTAATCATGATGTCAAGAAATTCCTTTGTTTGCTTCGTTGATTAGCATGCACAGCCGGTTCCACGATCAGCCTGTCAGTTCACACACCGTACATGGACGAGCGAATATGAGAGGCTGGTTGTTGAAATTCACAGCTAAATGCTCCTAGCTCTACTAGCATTCAGGACCTGGTCGGTAGGTAGGAAGCAATAACTCTTGTATGTGGCCCCATTACATTTAAGTTGCCGGCGCTTACGAGCGCTGGCAGCCCATGAGTGGCCTGCAGAGGTCCCTGTGCCCACTTTTGAAAAGGGCCTGGGGCAGCTTTTTGTACATATGTAGCGCATGTGTGGTATCTAGTGGATCTTACTATTCAGGGCGCGAAATTCCGGAAGAAAGCTCTTCCAGTTTGATTTTCAGTGGCTCTGGAGGTCCCTCGTGGGAGATGTGAGAATGACATAACACCCCCCGCTAAGCCCAAGAAAATAAGCACATGGAATGCATTTCGACTCTCATGAGAATAGAAAGCTATAGGGGGTCGTCGGGGATGACACGAGAGGTCCGTGATAACATAGTCGTCTTGTAATATAGCGAAACGGACCAGTGTCGTCGGTTCTTGAAGCTTCACGCGAAGCCGCCTCAAAACCTAGATTTACCGAGCGAGTCAAGTAAACATTTATATGAGATCTCTCAAAGACTCTCCAGCCAATGCCATATGTCTTGTCACCCGAGAATTTAACACCCGTTTTTGTGGTATTCTTTTCCTCCATCACTGTAGAGCCGGGGCTATAACAACCAGCTGAGGACAGGAGATGCATCGGAACTGGCTATTGAGCTGGACGCCCTTCAGAAATTTGAGGGAATAGCTATATATTCATTCTCCCCTCCGTGGATGTATAGTCGGCTGACGTCCTCACATAACTTGTATTTCCGCACCTTAAAAGAACTGAATGACTATTACAAATGGCAAAGTATCGCTTTGCGTCTATGTGACCTCTGAAAACCTTACAATTATACAACATGTCTTATTTATGGGGGCGAAGAGTAATTTGCTCATTCCTACAGTTGATGGTAAATCGACGCTGAGAAATTTTCGAAGATCTCCCTCTGCCAACGACCGTGGAACCGAAGATTTACACAGCAGTACAAGGGCGCTACAGCCGAGGCATCAATTATTATTCAGATCTTTTGCGACTGATAAATCGGAGCCAAAACCATCACGACCTATGCAGCTCGACAGCTATTTGAACAAAAGAACGGTGATATTGTTCTCAGGCTCGGAGCGTTTTCGAAGATCTAATCCTGGAGACATGCCTTTATACCTCAAAATGACAGCAAGAAGAACAAATGTAGTGTTCTCTAATTGTGATTAGGAAAGACCGCCATTTTCGACAAGTATAACGCACTGTCGTAGATGGACAGGACTCTTCGAAGACATCGCACAGAATCATTGGATCAGAGCAGAACTGATTATTCAATTCGAATTACGCGGTCGCTGTTGAAGCAACCATGCTAAAAGCCCAAATTAATCGCTCGTACAGACACTATCCGATCTATTTGGACAGGTCATCGCCCCAGACCTCCTTGGCGATCTCAGCCTCCAGCCTGATCTTCGCCCACTGCTCCTCCTGGGTCAAGTCATTGCCCTCCATGGTGGAGCTGAAGCCACACTGATGCGAAAGACACAGCTGGTCCAGACCCTTGGGGCAGTACTTGGCTGCCTCGTTCAGCCTGTTGATGATGGCCTTCTTGTCGTCCAGCTCGGGCTTCTTGCTGCTCAATACGCCGAGGACAACGACCTTGTGCTCGGGCAGGTGCCTCAGCGGGGAGAAATCGCCGGACCGCGCATCGTCGTACTCGAGGAAGTAGACATCGACATCCAGCTTCTTGAACAGCGTCTCGGCGACTGGCTCGTAGCCACCCTGTGCGAACCACTGAGAGCGGTAGTTTCCACGGCACAGGTGGATGCCAATGGTCATGTCCTTGGGCCGCTTCGAAATCGCAGCGTTGATCAGCTTGGCGTAGTTGTCGGCGAGCTCCTCGGGCTCGACCCCGTGGCGCGCGGCGGCCTCCTTGCGCATGCCCTCGTCGCAGAGGTAGGCGAGGTTGGTGTCGTCGAGCTGGACGAAGCGGCACCCTGCGGCGTAGAGGTCGGCGATCTCCTCCTGGTACACCCTGACGAGATCGTCGAAGAACGGCTCCAGGGTGGGGTATGCGTCCTTGTCGATGGCCTCCCTTCCGGCGCGGAAGTGCACCATGGTGGGGGAAGGAATGCAGACCTTGGCGGAGACGGAATCCTTGACGCCCAGCTTCTGCAGTTGCGAGTCCAGGAACTTGAAGTCGTCGACTTGGATCGGCTTGGGGTGTCCCAGCTTTCCGGTGACAATCAGCCGGGGAGGAGTGGGCAGGCCGTGAGGTGTGACGTTGGTAGACGAGATGTAACCCTGCGCCTCGACGCCGTCGAGATGGACGCAGAAGTCGATGTGGAAGTAGGCGCGGCGGAACTCGCCATCCGTCACGGCGCGGAGGCCATTTTCAACCTGGCTCTTTACGACAGTCGCAACGTGCTCGTCCTCAATCTTGCGGAGCTCTTCCGTGGTGATCTTGCCAGCGGAAGCTTCGTTGCGCGCGGTCAGAACAACCTTAGGACGCAGAAAGGACCCGACCTGGTCTGCCCGGTAGACACCTTGAGGAAGAGGCATGGTATATAGTTGGCGTGAGGATAAGGGCTCGGCCGAAGGTATTGGCACCGCAGTCTAATCCCGTAAGGGGGTCCCGAGCTTACGAGTTCGCCGTCGAGTTAGTTGGAGGGGGACGAGAAGGAGACTGAGAGGTTGTAGCTTTACAAACTCAGAGTCTAACTAGAGGAGAGAAATGACAACATCTAGGGAATGCAAAATCGCCTCGGAAGTTCCGTGACTTAAGACCAGGAGATATATTTATTGCCGATGCCGCGAGCAGGGACTTGCTAGACTTTTTTTTTCTAACGTGGGGATCGGAAAGGCGCCAACGCCCGCTCTCAGCGAACCAGCGGAACACATCATGTCCGAGACTGCTGAGATGTGGCCCTGGAGCGGCAGTTCGCGGCCGCCAGAGGCTGCGCCGTTCGCGCGACAGTAAGGCTATGACGATTCACGAGGGGCAGCGGCGGGCGAGGAGATCCATGAAGGTGAGGGGGCGGGGCATATCGAGCTCAGGGTCCTCATAATCGGAATATAGTCGAGCCGCGAGGACCCTGAGTCAAAGCCCGAGGATAGCTCATATTAAAGGAGAGGCGAACCCGAGTAAGTTGAGCCGTGTCGGGCACGATGGGAGATACCGAAGCGATGTCAACGAGGCCAAATATCGACAAATGAATCGTCTATATTGCTTTACGCCATCTTGACGCTGCGGACCACGAGTATTCTCACACCCTTGACCCAAACGGCTTTCTGCAGCAAGGCGTAAAATAGGGTTGCCGGTCTCCGGAAAGACCGAGCGGCGGCAGCCGAGGCCGTAGCTGAAGTGCTGCGCCTGTCTGCCGTTCATGCGTCGCTGGCAAGAGGCGGCCGAAAAGAATTCACTGTGCTGCGTCTACTGCGATGCCCGATTGCCCAAGTCAATACGATACGATGGCCCTTGGAATTGTGGCGAAAGGTCGTGGAACAAGAGTAATTGAAGACATCCATTTCAGGGGCCAAGGGGATACGACACCAGCGCGTAAAGGCGGAGACGAAGCACTGACGTTGGCCCATTGATGGACCGTATTTGGAGATGACGATACGCAGGCAGAGTTAGCCGACCACGGCACCGGCTCACGATGGTTCGAACACGGGTTGCGTTCGATGTTGGGGCTGTGCTGTAGTCTGATTCGGGGTCTGTCGCGTAACTCCCCTGGCCACGCTGGTCCACGGCGCTGGAATGCATCTGGGCCAGATGGAATTAATTGGCTGCCAGAATGTCTCTGTTTGAGAAGTCAGATTCTTAGACTGCCTCGAGACTGCAAAACGGCCGCTCGTTGGCCAAGACCTTGGCCCAAACCGGACAGAAACATCTCACATCTTCAGCGCGCCGTTTCTTTTTGTGCACATAATCACTTGTTCGTCGCAAAAAACAACAGTGTGACATACGAGACCAAATTCTTTGAGCAAGATACTTAAATTCTCTGAGCAGATCTGCCACAAAGAGCCCCTAATTGACAGCTCACATGTCCACACTGTTTGAGTTGAGACGAGTGGCTCAGCCATGTCGTGATGACGATTTGCATATCAAAGACACGATCATGGTGGCAACTAACGGGTGGACGGGGGGTCACGAATTGACTGGGAACTGCTATTTTGGGGCTGAAACGTGGATCTTCGTGTGGGCGCTTCGCGGGTCTGCTTTCCGGGTCGGTTGTTTCGTCCCAGGTGAGACGGGCTCCACGAGGTTGCTGTTGCTCCCGCCTGTGCAAGTCTGGGCCGTGAGCTTTTGTGATGCAGTGCATGTGCCACAGATGGGTTACATAGGCAGATGTCGGACACACTTGGGGAGACTGAGTCGACGTGAAGATCTCCCGGGAGGGTGAGATAGCGGCACTATGCAGTGAACAGGTGTGAAGAAGGGTGACGTGATGACGCAGCACCAATAGCCAGGCCTACCCCTGAGACGAACACCAGAGAAGAGGAAGCTTTTTGCGTAGTGGTACTGCAAAGTCATGTCATCTGGTCTCAGTCCGCGTCTATCTGTGCGCGCTACGAGCCATGCCCGTCTGATATTCCTGAACGGATCATCAGGGCGGTGATGATCAGAATTCCGGCGGCAAGTCTCGCAGTCCTGCACTGCAGCCCTGCAGCCTGCAACGTTGACGTATTTTTTTCTTCTTTTCTTATCTTCCCTTGCCATGGGCGGCAATCAGGGTTACGCGGAAAATGCACAGACAAGCCGATCAGCAGCGCGACTAATTGAAGATGCTGCCAATGCCACCAGTTCTTGAGACATTTCGGTTAGGTAATAGGTATCGTCTGGCAGCTTGTGGCTTGGAGTCTAGAACTCAGCGGCAAAGATGGACTAACAGTCCAGACGGCGGGAGAAGAAGGTCCTCTAGCTGCCCGTAGCCCCGGTGCCAGGCCCCAGATTCAGAAGAACTGACATGCGCCTGCGTCCGCATCTGCACTACTACGTATGCATGATAAGTGTGCAGGTACGCCGGGTACGTACACCATCGATCCATACGTGCCCAAATACGTAGAGGCTGCGAACAGTGGCACAAAAGGGGGTCAACCAGCCCGCATGAGTAGCTGCAGCTAGACGTGTCTGGGCTGTTCAGTGGCCACTCTTTCCCCTCGACCTGGGGAAAGAGAGTCCAGAAATCAGGGGATCGAGTAGAAGAGATTGGACCCAGGGGCAGGGGACCACCCTCCATCATCATCAAGCTGCAGCACCACCGCAAACGCTAATCATCCCAGGACAAGCACGGCCAATTCAACCGTTTTGGCGAGGCAGGCCCGAGACGAGACTTGACTTGAGTGCGTTGTCTTGTACTCCCGTACCCTCCACTCCCTGAAGAAAACATCCTTGCCTCTGAACATCCCGGCCACATTATAACCTTCCACCAGATCAAGGTTGCTGCCGGACTGCAACACCTCCCTCACTCGTTTGTTGTTCTCTCAGGCATTGAATGCGCTTGTTTTATTGCCACTTGTCCCTCTATATTCTCTCTCTTGTCCTCTGGGATCTCCCAACCACGTCTATTCCGCTCTTCACGGTTCTGTCTCGACACAAAACCAACCGCTCGTTGTCCACTTCCACGTGCTCTCGATATAACCGCCCACCACAAAGCTCCCAATACATACCGCAGAAGCCCAACTCCTTGCTCCTGCGATACCGGAACTATTTACTTGGCATTGCAGCCGGAACAACAGGTCCGACTTCTGCACCTGCTTCGGAACGACGACCTTGAATCCGCACAACGTCCCTCGACGAAGCTCTCCCGAGTTCCTGAAATAACCAGACCAGACCTCAGGAGCAACAAGACCATATATTCAAGATGAATTTCACAAAAAAGTTCGACCGCGCCTTTCAGTGGGCCGGCGAGAAGATGGGTTCAGAGGCTAGAACAAACATGTCGGATGACTTCAAGACCCTGGAGACCGAGATGGCTCTCCGGTTCGACGGTACGGATACCTGCAGCGGCTCGCGTGACCAGTTACCAGTCGCCGTGTTACGGACTTGAACAGCGTGCTGATAATCAATGTCGTTTTCCAGGCATGGTGAAACTCCAATCCTCTATGAACGAATATGTTAAGTGGCTCGCCCGCCGTACTGAGGGCATGGATCGCGAGAAGGGTGTGCCCGCAGCCATTCTAGGACGGACGATGATTGCACATGGCGAGGACTTTGACAACGATTCCGAGTTTGGAAACTGCCTGATCGGTATGCCGAATACGAGTATCCAAGCAGCATGAGACCATAGCTGACAACCAGAGTAGCCATGGGTCGAGGCAACGAGCGTGTGGCCAACATTCAGGAGCAGTTTGCCGCCGACGCCAGCACTTACTGGCTTGAGTCACTCGAGAGGTCCCTGGCAATGATGAAGGAGTACCAGGTACGCTTCCTAATGAGCCCTGGGGTATAGGTGGAGTCGCTGATTGTTTCGTTCCGCAGGCTGCTCGCAAGAAGCTCGAATCCCGACGACTGGCCCTCGATGCCTCTACAACTAAGATGCAAAAGGCGAAGCGCGATGATTTCCGCATTGAGGATGAGCTTCGTAGTGCCAAAGCCAAGTACGAGGAGTCCTCCGAGGACGTATACCGGCGAATGCAAGATATCAAGGACGCCGAGGCTGACAGCATCCGAGACCTTACACGGTTCCTTGATGCTGAGCTGGACTACCACGACCGATGCGCCGAGGAACTCCGTCGTGTGCGACAATCCTGGGCAGCTGGAGCAGCGGGCGGCGGTTCACCCAAGGATTACTCACGCCGTCCGTCAGGTCGCAGCAGGTCAAACACCGCGGAGCAGTCATCTTACGGCGGCTCACGGCTGGCACTCAGCAGGACCAACAGCAATGTCTACGAGGACGAAGAGGCGGACGACTTCCCCACCCACAGCGCGCGTGCGCCCATTCGCTCGCAGTCGCGCATCAGCGTCAACAGCCAAGCATCTGACCGGCCGGACCTACCCGGACGGCCTGGTATTTCTAGGAGTAATACATACCAGAACGAACGCAATCTCGGCGCCAGTCTGTCTCGCACAACTTCCGGAACCTCAACACCACTCAGAGAAGCCCCTCCACAGCTCAACGTCGGCTCCCTGCGCGGCCAGCTGCGTCCCACCGGGAGCAGCAGGGCCTCCGCGATGGACGTCTTTGCTGACAATGACGGTGACGACACTGGCAGCAGTGACACAGCAGACAGAAGCACTAGCCCCGCCACAAGTTACGGAAGTCTGAGCAGAACCAACACCGCCCCCAATGGTGCCATTGGAAAGAAGGGACCTCCACCGCCGCCACCCAGCAGGGCCAAGAAGCCCGCGCCGCCTGTGCCTGTGCGCCGGGAGGTTGGATATTAGGATGACTCCTGGAAAGATCCGGGACGATGATTACCTTTGGAGGATAGAGGCAATTTTCGGATTGCCGAGTTTAGCATTGCGTGGGGTCCAAATTGGTTGTGCAGGCAGTGGGATGGATATTCGAGGTATCATAGAGGCTCGGAGGCGTTGGCTGGATGATCACGTCCTCCTAGTGTAGGACAAAGGGATGCGAGTCATCTCTAGAGAAATTCTACTTTATCATGTTCAACACTACTTCCTCCAGGCGGGGCTGATTCTAGCTAAGGCGACGCACGTGGACCGTCTTGCGCCTGGGACGTTCTTGCAGCTCTCCAATATGTGTTTTCCAAAATGTCTAGATCGTTGAATTCAAGAGTGTACAAACGCATGTCGGCATTTCGAACGCTTTTCAAATCCGCTGCAGCATCACCAGTGGACCTCTGCGCACTCGTCCCTGCCCGCCAACACCATGGTTGGCCTGACGAGGCCCCATACACAAAACAGTACTTCTCATGTACAGTGAACAGTGGCAGCACAGCAGGACACAAGCATGGAGTGCAGCAGATTGTGCAAGAGTCAAGTAGTCAGTAAATCCGCAGCTCTTACATATCGGAGCAATTGATGCCCACAAGTGGAATGCCCGCCCGTGTCAAGAACCCTCAAAGACGCAGTTGATAAAGGCCAGAACAATCAGACTCGAGGGTTTACAATGAATGCGGCAGAGATCTGGTTAACATGCTTTGTCAGTGTGTGTCTTTCGCCTTTACGTTGTATTCTTGACGATGCTATAACAAATAAGGAATTGTCCGATACAATAGCTTTGTAGTACCATCAATTGGTAAGAGGCGGGCTATAGCTCAGCGTGCCTAATATATAAATATGATCGGAGACGCCCTTCTCAGTTTTAGAGTTTTGCTACATTTGCACAGAGAAATCTGCATTTACACGACCCAATCTACACCTACCTACATACGAGAAACTCCAACATGAGCGATTCAGCTCCCACTGAAGGCTGTCTGAGGAGAACCATATTTGCGATCTTTTCTCAAGAGAGAGCTCTGGGTTTGAGTCTCGAAAATGATCTGCACCCGTTGTATCAGCTGTTCAACTTCAGAGCAAGTGCTCTGACACACGATACGACCGGAGAGGATGATAATGAGCCATTCCTCGACATGCGAGTGCATGAAAGGATGCTTCCTGCGTTTCGTCTTGCAACACACCTGATCGACTTCAGCCTCCCGTTCTACGCCAAGGTCTTCTGTGCGGACCTCGTCTTTAATGGCGACCGTTACGCCTTCGACCTCGCTTACAACAGTACGGACGAGGATATTCGACGCGTCAGGGCTCTTCTCGTGGAGTGGGCAGGCAGAACGCGTTTCTACTGCCGAACTCCGTTCAACCCATCTTCGACAGATGAGGCGACAACAGAGGTGAGGACTGCAGGAGGTCAATTTCCGACTCCGGCACGCACACTCACCAATATCAACGTAAACACCATCGAGTTCTTCAGCCAGGAGAACTACGACGCGATCGATGCCGAAACCAAGACGGCTCGGCTGGTACAGTTGGCCTTTGTTCTAGTTCACGAGCAGGCGCACGCGGTTTTCCACCATAGGTGGGCCGAGGACGCGTCGATGAGTGAAAGCAGCCGAGCTTTCATATCCCGTGTCAGTCCGATAGAGCCTTTGTACCATGTACACATCGACCCTCGCTATCATGAGTTTGGTTTCGCCCTGCAGGCATGGATACACGGTGGTAGTGTTCTCAACAGAGGCAAAGACCTGGTATTTGTTCGCTATCCCGGTGACGTGTTGGGTGAGAGCACTGTTGCGCAGCGGTACACCTTCCGTAGTATCTTATTCAATCCCGCGTTCTGGCGGGTTGTGCAAAATGCTCCGAGGCCATCGACGTGGTGGGACGGCGATGATCTTCCTCTGGGATGGCTCGGTCAGGCTATGGGGGAATTTGCGTCTTAACTGATTTCAACTGAGCCCCAATTTTTCCACAATGTCATTCGGGTAAGAATTTTGTTGTCCTGGCATCCAAGATCTGGCTGCCAGTCTCTTTGCAATGTTATTCATTTTCTTAGTCTATTCTCCCTCCTTCCACCAGTTCTGTACTTCAATATGATACGTTTAGTCAATTTGAAACATATAGCGATTGTCGAGGCGGTGAAACTCGTATCATCAGAGGCCCAAGTTGCTACGCTCGTTGTAAAGCTTTACGAAGAGGCATGCAGATGTAGGCTTTGTTCCATTGCTATAAGCTTATCAATATGTGTGGATGAATCTCATATGAATACTTTTACTTACAATACCCCAAAGACAATGGGGCAGAGCAAAAATGAGACACATCACTCTCCATTTCTTACGCGGTGATCTTCTCACTCGTCTCAACGATGCTTTCTCTCTTGCTCTCTGCTCGTGGTCCATTCTCAGGCTTCTGTCCATTTTCGGGGGATTTTCGCTTCCGTGCTATTGTCTCCTGTAGCAATTTCAAGGGCCTCGACGTCCTCGGCTCGTCCGTAATTCTCTTAAAATGCCGAAACAACACGGCAGCGTCATCTTCCTTGTTCCCTGGCTTCGACTTGGTAGGGCTGTGTGGGAAGAGGTTCCCGACATCCCCTGTGTCTCCACATGTCAGCAAACTAAGAAGCAAGAAATAACTCGAACAGATATGCTCGGTCACTCACTGATAAGCCTCGCCAGATCCTGGATGTTGAGACAAAATATGTTTGTCAGCCAAGCTAATGCAAAATGGGCATGAAAACGAAGCCAAGCAGCACGTTTCCAACCACTTGCGGTGAAAAGCCTCCACTCCTCAGCTCGGATATTGCAAGCAATACTCTACGGGCTGGAATTTCATAAAAGATGTATGCAACCCAAAACATGAAAGGGGACCAAAATTCGAGCTCCACGTCATTCCAGTCAGCATGCTCTGATGCCTTGGCCTGGCCATCTGAGGGCTGTCTCTCTTCTTCCTCGTCAGATTCTCCCAAATTCTTCATCCACTTCATAAGCAAACTCTTTTCCACAGTTGAACGTGAATATTTTTCCATCGCCAGACCTGCCTGGGCTCTTAAGCGGCGTAGTGGAACAACGACAACATCAACTGCCAGGAAGAGCGTCTTGGCACTTGCCAGCAGACCAACAGTCACAGCGAAGGCAGCCGCCGCAAACTTAACGAGGGAAATCATCAGAGCATCCGGCGGCGCACCGTTCATGCTGTAGAAGCTCGCGGCGAACCCGAGAGGCAGGAAGATCACCGTCACATACGTGAAGTATCTGATATTCTCGTTTCGGTGGAGCTCACGGTCGTCGCGGATCTTCTGCATACTCGTCGCAAGTGTGTCCTTGAGCTTGCGGATCTTGTCACGGTAGATTCCCAGATCTCTGATCTGCCGTTCTGTCGAGCCTCGGTACTTGTTGATCGCACCGCGGTATTTTCTTTCGTCGCTGCGCGTCCACCGAGGCTTTTCTTGGCCGCGATCTTTCTCTCTGGAGGTCCACTTCTGAAGAGTGTCTAGGTTGGATGTGAGGTCTTCTTCCACAGCGTGCAGAATTTGTTCGAACCTATGCCAGTTGTCTTTTGATGAAGAATACGCTTCGCTGTTGAGGATAGGCAACGAGAGTGTGCTCTCCCCAACTCCAAGCTCTTGCCTCACCTCAGAGAGGATATCCTCGGCACCACGGGAAATCTCGCGCAAGATACCACCCAAAAAATAAAGCTCGAGAACTTTTAGTTGCCACCACTGCTTGTGTTCGTGCTTGCCAGAAGAATCAAAAGGGAAAGGCCATATGACCTCGAAGGACCTGCAAGGAATATGTTCGATGAAGTGACATGTCCAGTAGCGATCGAAAAAGTCACCATCAAAGCGAAAGCCCATAGAAGCACGATGTATTTTCCATGTTGGACGTCCTGGGAATGGATCCGCGGTCAAAGGAGGCAAGCTTTCGTAGCGAGGCGTCGTGGGATCAACCAGTACGTAGAAGCTGAGGTGAAGCTCGGTCTGCCAAGTGTTGAGCACCATTGTCGTATCGTCCCAGAAATGCTTCTCATATTTCGAATGGCGGTCAAAGAAGAGAGAGATCTCAGCCTTCTCTTGCTCAGGACTTGCCGCCCAGCAAAGGAGCGCCGTTTCCGCATTGGCCTTGGGAAGCCATATAAAGCGTTTTTTTGCCTTCTCAGCTGTCCGTGGAGCACTAAGTCTCGCGTGAAGGCCTTGATTGTTGTACATTTGAACCCATTTCATATCCTCAAAACTTTTCTTTTCTCTCTTTCCAAGGTGCTTCTGTTTCGGTGTGTCAACAACGAATATCATTGTGTCAGAAGATTTTGGACCGCTCGGCGTGGAAAATTTTCGCTTCAATTTGCGGTACCCATCAATTTCCTGTCCAATGACACCTCCTACAGCGTCACGACTAGGCTGGCTGGTGGCCGAGATTGAGTTATCATGTTCGTCATTTCCGCTGGATTGTGACGCATCAATACGCCGCATAATCTGCTCAGTAATGTCGATTCCGGATCCCGAGAGAAAGTGCGGGTAATGATAGAGCCACTCCTCCTCAATGGAAATGATGCTGGTTGCATCAATCAGGGTGTTGAACGGGATGGCCTTTTTCATAGTCAAATTGTGTTGGCTATCAACATTGAGATGAGGTTCAAGCTGTCTTGCCATAGGACTGGACCGGTAACGTGAGTACTCGTTTACCTGATTCTGGATTTTTGGTTGTGCAGTGGTCTCCTTCGGGACATCAAGACCCTGGGGCTGTAAGTGGCGGGCAGGCTGGTTTTCTCTATCCCCGGCAGACTTTATTGAAGCAGATTTGAATCGCTGTGAAGGCGTCGTGCCGGTCGCTTCGAAAGTTTGATTGATGTCTCTTGCGTGGGTGAGGAGGATATAGTTGATTTCAAAATCTGCATGGTAGTAGAAGTCTCTCTCTTCCCCAGAATAAAAGAGATTCGGCTCTTTGGTCGCCTCGTCCAGCTGTCCCGGGAAAAACCCATTGTGACCGCTGATGTTGATCAAGACTCCGACGCATTTCATCACCAAATCTCTGGCACTCCTCTCGTTCAGCGTCGAGCCACGACATCCTGCCACGATTCCCAATGCATATCGTATCGCATTGTCCCACCCGGCGTCTTGATTCTCGTTGTGGTGAATCTGAGCCTCAATGGTGTTGGCCCATAATTCCTCAAAGGAGCTCCCTGGCAAGAAGAAGTTGCAGTCTTGGCCGTAGAAAAGTGCGGTATCGCGAGCGTGGAACAAGAAGCGTGTTTCTCTTGGCGAGCGAGTCATGGCAAGCATTCTCTTGCGTGAGATTTCATTTTCCGTCGTGAATCGCTGTAGTATCCCACGCTGTGCATCGCTTGGGGAGAGCCGTTTGGCAATTTTACCGAATCTCTCGTGGAGCTGATTAGGATCGATCTCCAGTGCATCGGAGTTATTGAGATAAGTCATCCACTGAATCTCTTCATCTTTCCAGGCGAGTCGTTCGTTTTCTCTAGATTTTGTAGAGGGCTGATGGTTCGACACCCCCAAATCGTCCAGCGTTTTCAGTGTTTTCCAAATCCAAAAATGATCTGCGAGCCTATACGTGTTAACGTCTTCATCAACGGCGTGTGGCCACGCGAAACTCCCCCGCTTGTCCAGTTTGTCTAGTTCGTGAAACCAAGGGACCCAGACATCCCTCAAGATGCGGTGAACTAGCTCCTCGGCTTCTTTTGCGTCGGTGTCACATCCTTTGGTGAAATTCATGTACTCGACTAGCTTGAGTACATGAAATGGAGTGTCTGTGACAGAATCGTTCGGTTGCCAAGAGTTGTTATTCTCAGAGCGCTCTATTTCGCCTGTCACCCAGTAATTGGCTGCAAAGCAACCTGATTTTAGAAGCCTTTTCCTCGACCCTACCCCTATTGACTGGTCTGTTGTTCGTAACGACTCAAGCCATTTAACATGGCCCCGTAAGACCTGTTTGATTCGCTTTTGAAGCGTTTTTATGTATGGAATCGTGACAGGAAGGTGGGCGAGTTTCTTCGCGACTTCGATCAGATATTGAAATGCAAAACTATCAGGACTTCATTAGCTGTGGATGTTCAGAAGTAAGGGTTTCTGAGTACTTACAAGCTTGCTGACGTGCATATACGATGACCTGACATATTACCACATGTCAACGCTATGAGCGTGTCGTCTTTGTTCAGTTCTTCTTCCCCTGACGCAGGTGGCGAGCCGCGAGAATCGCCTGGCTCCTGTGCTGAGCGATCTTCGAATAGTGTAGGGGCCAGCACCGGAACCGCACAAACTGAAAGAATGTGCTCCAAGTGCCGCCATGCTACATATTCAATATGCGACTTTGGCGAAGTCCCTTGTTTTAATGCTCCTAACGGCAAGGACAGACCTGCAGGCTTAGAATCTGATCTCCCGCTTTCGATTTGGGCGCATTTGCAGGCTCGTCGGACCGTTTCAGCGACTGCCCATCTCTGTTTGCTTGATCGACCCCTGCGTTGGCTTCCTGATGATCAATTTCTGCATCGGTGTGGTCACCTGAAGTTTCCGTCGTATCAGCTTTGACATTTCCCATGCCTTCGTCTTTTACAGCTACCTGATCTGGATTTCGGCTCGCAGTCTCGTTCGATTCCGTGGAAGATAGACCCAGCGAGCATAAAGACGAGATACTCGCGTTCTCCCAGAGCCGATTCGTTTCTTCGCGTAGAATGTTACTGACATTAGCCTCTCGTTCGGACACCAGGAAATTCCTCCAGTCAACTTCGCCATCTGGAAGAAGTATTAATTTGTAGGCCACGACGATCTCTAAAGTCCGATTGGCCGTCCCATCTGAGCCGCTTTCGCTACCTCCAAGAGTGTGCTTGTGCCATATATCTCCAATATCTTGGCTCTTGACAGCATTGCCGTTGACAAAGGGATTCATTATAGCTGCAACAGCACTCCGCCCTCCGCTCGACTTACGAGCCTTCTCAGACAGTTTGCGACCCCCTACGGCCGGTGCAACTGCCTCTTGTGCCTCTGAAACCTCTTTGGACACCGGGTCTGCCATTTTTGCGTCCGTTGTAAAAGCTTGAGCAAGCCCAGGCTCCGATAGTTGAGTCTCGGCAGTGGAATTCGGGCTCTCATCCGTACCGTCCGGACCAAAATTATTCTCAGCGCTGTCATTGCCCGCGTCGACGCTTTCTCTTCGACCTCGCCGGTCAAGAGTGTTGATGCATACGTGTCCGTACCCGTTCGGCCCATCCATGCGCGAGTATCCCTCCTCAACGTAATTGAAGGGATAATCGGCGTTCAAATAGTCGAGATCGCGGATCAACATTTCTTTGGGAAATTGATACTCAAAATGGATCGGCTGTTCACCCGAGATTTCAAGAATGAACTGCTGCAAAACAGTTCCCTTGTGGACTACCCATTGGGAAGAAGCCCTCACCTTCAGTGCCTCTATTTCATACTCATATCGTGGCCACCTCCAATTGACCCATTTGACCTGTGGAGGATTTTCCGGACGGAACTCGCGAGTGAGACATAGCATATAGGAAAGTGAGCCGCCCCAAGACAGCTCATCGAGGTTGCGTGCCCTCGCGTGGACCATAAATGGCTCCTCCGTGTGCAGGTGATCTAGAGAAAACAGGCCAGAATTGCCTGCACCGAGAAATTGACTCATTTGTATGAGATGGCCGTAGCAAGACACACTAGCCGTCGTTCCTTGGTCACCAAATGAAGCGTGGCATTCCGGATTGGGGGATGAGTTCTATATTTCGTAGTGCTCATCTTTGGGGGCGAAGATATCACCCAATCGGCCCTCTTCATTCTGCGTCGCAGATTCTGGATGTCCTTTCTTGAAGACTAGACCACGAATAGTCGAGCCAGCAGTACTAATTGGTGGTAGCCTTACGAAAAATTAACCGCTTGAAGTCATCGCTCTTTTCATCCGGAACCTTGTCATAGCTCCAAGGCTGACACGACGTGGTCCGTTTCGCAGTCTTGCCTGTTTCGCCATCGCTGGCCATCTTCAAACGTGCCCTGCCTTGAAGAGGAATGGAATTATTCAAAAAAAAATTAAAAATTGGACAGGTTGGACTCGGGTGCAGAGGAAAGCTTCCCAATGATCAGAGCCTGATGGACGCGCAGCTGAAAGATGTGGCGAGGGTAACATTGCTGACCGCATGATGCTAAGCCCAACGTGGTCGTACATGTGCAAGGAGCAGGCAATACATTATGCAAATCTGCCGAACTGTCCATTTATTGCGGATGTTTCGCAGCACAGTAGGAACCATCGCATCTGCATTTTTTCACAGAACTCAAACGCAGTGCTCTGATATCCCACGGGGCAAGTCCTTAAGAAACCAATCGATTGGTCCACGATTTTGGGTAACGGTTCACACAGGACTTAATAGTGACCACTGATGTTACTTAGCTGGCTCCTGCAACCAAGACACAAGCAAGTAGTGACATTCGCAAGTTGTCCAAAATGTTAGGATTGGCTGACAGCTCTCATTTTTGGGTGTGAACTCAATGAAATACCATCAAGCTGTGATAAAGACGTCTCGACAGCATACATTCCACTATCATTAGACTGAATGATGAATTCGACGTGCATCATGCTGCCTGCACGTCCATGGGCGCATTCATGTCGACACAATTTGATCGAGACATACGCAAATCTGTACCAGTTATGTGAACTTCGCAGATCCAAGTGTCAAGATTCTGTACTCTTCTGCAAAAGCTCCTCGTAAGCTAGATGGTTCTGTCAGCCTTCCAATGCGCCACAAATGGCCACGCTGGTATAACACAAACACCCTTGTCCGTGATTTGTACATATTTCGAATGTTGCAGCGAGCTTTCCAGCATAAAAGTAATTCTGCTGGTCTACAGCCCGGTTTACTTAATCGACGGGCTCTTGCGCCTGAAAAGCTCTCAGCCTGATAACACAACAAAGAGAGGGCTGCTTGCTGTGAGCGCATTCATGTAAGCATGCTGGTAGGAATGAGGGGCTTGCGTGATACATGTGGATTGGGCACATGCATATATTCGTGTCTAGTAGCATCATATTAATCAGATGGGAAAAGCGCACAATAGGATGCAGGCTGCCTGAAGGATCTGTGAGGGGTATGGAATCCATTATTAAGAATTTGTAACGGCCGGGATCCCGATAGACCCGTCGCTTACATGCATGTGGCTCAGTTGATGCCTGAATATCTGCGGGCTATAAATCGCGAAGTGTGGATAGTCACTGTAACTCTACATAGGTGTTTTTCTCTTGATCACTCTCGCCGCGCGAATCTAGAGCAGCTTCAGCAACATAGTTAACGATCGCCATGGCGTCAAACCAGTCAAGCGTCAATTTATTAGACTCTCTTTCCGGAGAATCGACGGCCCCCGGTAAACGTCAGGGAAGCTACCTAGAAGCCTCGGACAGGGAGTCCATCTTCAAGAAACATGCCTTTCCCGAGCACATAGTCGACCTCGGCGAGGTGCGCATGAATTACGCCGTGGTGGGTTTGGACTCCAATCCGGCTATCCTGCTCATTCCGGCCCAGGCTGAATCATGGTGGGGATACGAGGAAGTCATGCGCCTGCTGTCAGAGTCGTACCAGGTCTACGCGGTTGACCTCCGCGGCCAGGGCAGATCGACATGGACGCCCGGCCGGTACAGCCTGGACAACTTTGGCAACGACCTGGTCAGATTCATCGACCTCGTCATCAAGCGCCCCGTCATCGTCAGCGGCCTATCGTCAGGTGGCGTATTGTCCGCGTGGATGTCGGCGTTCGCAAAGCCCGGACAGGTGCTTGGCTGCGTGTATGAAGACCCACCGCTCTTCGCGTCCGAACTCACCCCTGCCGTCGGACACAGCATCCGGCAGAGTTTTGCTGGTCCGATATTCAGGATCTGGCACAAGTGGCTGGGCTCGCAGTGGTCCGTGGGGGACACGGACAGGATGCATCGCGCCATGGCCCAGGAGCTGCCGGGCTGGATCCCCAAGGCCATGGCGACCATGATGGAGGAGACCAAGGTCGGGCCGGTGCCACCTGACTTAAAGGAGTACGACCCGGAGTGGGCGGAGGCGTTCTGGAGTGGAAGTGTGGCGGTTGGGTGCGAACACGAGAATATGCTGAAGCATGTCAAAGTCCCCGTGCTTCTGACGCATCACTACCGGAGGATCGATCCGCACTCAGGAGGTCTGGCGGGCGCGATCAGCGACGCGCAGGTCGAGCACGTCAAGAATCTTGTCGAGGGTGGTGGGAACTCATTAACGTATAGAAGTTTTCCCCAGATGCCGCACTCGATGCATGGCCACGACCCGGCGTGCTATGTCGCCACCGTCACCGCGTGGATAGAGCAGAAGGGGCTTGGGAAAGCTTCGAAGCCATCAAGTGATCTTCCATCGAGGGATAAAGATGGAAGATAGGAGCTGGACAGTTGAGTGAGTTGGCTATTGGAAACTGGATGTGTGTTAGGGACCCATCGCCTCAATGGTCAGGTGCTTCAGAGATCGGTTAGTCTCATGGCCCAAAGAATACTCCTTTAGAGGTCAGACCCAGGAGCAGAATGAATGAAATACAGATATATAACCGAGTGCTCGGGCTCAGGAAGGGCTGGTCTGCTTCTAGACGGTAAGTTTGGAAGGACACCAGCAGCCATTCCCAGTATCATCGCCAGCTTCGTCCGTTCTATCTGCAGCATTCAATCGTGAGGAGATTTGTGATGCAGGAAGACATTGAAAATCAATCGATGGATTTCCAAACCGCTCATGTACTTATCCTGTTGTCTGTTGCAAGCGACATGTGATGGATGTGCTCAGTCACCCGTTCGATCATTGCGCTTGAACTATCCGAATTACAGTGGCAAGGCTGTCTTTGACAGTGGCAAGGCTGTCTTTGAACCCTATTGTCAGAGCATCTACTGAAGTGAAGTTGAGCAGCTTGCCATCCTCAAACTTGAACGTCACCCTGCCTCTTCAACTCAAAATAGCTGTGCTTGTAAAAGGACTAAAACGTCCAAAATTTCACTCAGTGAGACTGCGTAGCTAGAATTTTACGAGTTACCAGCCTCATAAATGTACAAAGGAAATCTCATCCTTTGTAAGGGGCACGGGCTACACCCTCGAGGAGCGCCTTGAGTCGCTGTGCGACTCTCTTTGAGTGGAATCTCGAGAACGGCAGATATCCTACCATGACCCACAGATTCGGCACACCGGACTCCTTGTATGCCGACTTCAGCTCGCCTTCCTCATCGATGCCCCAGATAGGGCCACATTGGTCCGCAATAGCGTCACTCAGGGTGTTCCGCACAGAATCGATAGTGTTGGAGAAGCCGGTGGCGAACACGATAAGGTCGTAGTGTTCCTCGCGGCCACCAGAAAGAATAACCTTGTCCTCCGTAAACCTCTCGATATAGCCTTGCGCCATCTTGATCTTGCCGTTGATAATCTGCTCGCATGCTCCGGCCTCAAAATAGAAGCCACCGTTTCGGGTGGAGCCAAGAGTGGTGTTACCAGTACCCCGTTGGCCCCGGTAGGTCTGGAAACCTTTGGCGTGGAGGCCGTCAAGAAGGTCCTTGTCAAGCTTCTCCAAGACCTCAGCGTTCCGCCTGCCGAGCTCTTCGCCTGGGCCAGTGGGTGTAGCGAAGGCCACACGGTCAGCCTCCTCGATATCTGGCCGAATTCCGTTCTTGGGGGTGTAGCCGCCGATAGCCCGAGGTACGGAGTGGGTCAGGGACATGACATAAGTAGGGGACCGCTGTAGGAGGGTAACGTCGATATCCCGTCGGGCACAGTCGTAGGCAGTATCCATACCAGAAGACGAGGTTCCGACAACGAGGACTCGCTTACCGACCCATTCACGAGATGAATCGTGGGTGGTGGAGTGACGGTAGACACCACCCTTCCATTCAGTCATGCCGGGGATGACGGGGGTGGTTGGGACTCCACAGAGGGACGTGGCCATAACGAGGTGCTTGGGCTTGAGGGTCCGAGTCTCTTTGCCACCCTTGTTAACTTGCACTGTCCATTTACCAGACGCATCCTGGTCGGCCTTCACAACTGTAGAGCTGGTCCAGACGTGGAGTTCCAGGGCGGACGCGTACCATTCCATGAAGAGACCCATCTTTTGGGCAGGAGTATAGGTGGGCCACTGTTCGGGATAAGGGAAATATGGGAAATGGTCGGCCCAGTGAGGGAAGTGAAGAGAGAGGTATTCATAGCGCTTCCTCCAGATTTCGCCAATAATGTCGGATTTCTCGATGATCAGAGCGGGGACACCCAGTGCTTTGAGGTGGGCGGCGAGCATCAAACCGCTGTAGTGACATTGTCAGCGTGAGAGGTTCTTCGTCGACCCAGGGAAAAAAGTAAGCAACTTACTTCTGACCACCACCGACAATTACAACGTCTGGTACGACTTCTTCATCGTCCTTCTCACGTTGCTTCTCCCAGCTGATGGGACCGGTCTGGTGACCATCTCTAGGCCCGACTGGTGGGAACTGGAGGAGACTCTCTATGACCGTGTGTACAGTCCACAGGCGCCAGCCCTCGGTGGTCTGAACGGCGTGGATCACTGCATGGGAGTTGGCCACCTCAGTGTCGAAAGACACCGCAAATTGTAAATATGAAAGGTCGGGGTACGGCCTCTGAATGTTGGGAAGGGGGGTTATGAATTGGAAGTCTCTGCAGTGGGTGATGGGGAGCAGATCCCTAGCGGCTTTGGCGATGTTCTCGCGGAAGTTAAAGGTTCGGTAGTCCCATGTGAAGGTGAGCTTGTCACGCCAGACACCTGGTTATAAATTAGCAACGGTCGCCATAGACCTGCCTTGGGGGAAAACACTGACCGTATTCGATGAAGAGATCTGCGAACTCCTGGGCTCTGCCGTTGCCCAGGAAATTTGAAAGCTGAGCTACAAGGTCATTGGCGACCTTGGTGGCATCGACATCCTCCGCAATGGCAACACCGAGGGCGTCGTGTGTGGGAAGACTGTGGTTGTACTGGAAGTCATACATGTAATCATCGGCAAGTGGCGACGGGGAGTGCTGAACTTCGACCTTGCCGTCAACAACCTTTGCTTCAACACCGTTCAGACTCTTGCTGGCGGCTCGAGCCTTGAGGTCAGCGATTTGGGCGCTGACGGTGTGGCTAGGAGAATCGAAGACTGCTGTGGGAGCCATGATGTACATATAAATGCCCTGGAGGCTTGTGAGGGGAAGGTTGTTTGTTGTTGAAGATGTGAGGATGGTGCAAGCTTTAGCTTGGGACAGGCGCTTTATATCGATTAGTCGTCGAAGAGCTCGTAGGCAGACAACAACCCCTCCATATGTTTTCACTTCGCGAAAATAGGACGAATTTAGAAGTCTTCGGAAAGCTGCGACGCTTGATCAGGCGAGTCTGGCTCGACTTTTATCTATGGTATTGCGGCAAAGGGGCCGGGACGTGGATATTCAATCAGGAGGGCGGGATTCTGTCAACCCGATTTGAGAGCATGGAGGAGGACTCAACACTAGTCCAGCCATAACTCGACAGCTTGTAGCTTGAGTTGTGCCTGGGTACGTATCGGGTGATGTAACTCGCGATGTACCCCAGTGGGTGTCTGCGTCAATCTTTCTCGAGACAAGGACCTTGGCACATGGATTCCTCTACGTCAGCCGCACTGCAATATTTGCAAGACCTGCACACGACACAACTTCCCCGTATTCCACACAGACGCTTCTCGATGCCGCTAATTACCAAGATTGAACGGACGCGACTTGGTCTTGCCAGCACTGGACATGAGTCGAGGCTGGAACCAGGGCAAGCACCATGATCGGGTATGATACGGGTGCTTCCCCCTGGAGTTCTGTATGGTCTCCTAAGTGTGGGTGTACTTCGTGATGCTATAAACTGTTGCTATAGCGGTAGAGGGAATGTTCCTCATAGCAGGTCTCCATCCCATCGGCGAAAACCTTCTCAACAGAGAAGTACGAGTAAAGAAATCCCGGGATAAGACAGACCCTTTCCCTGGTCCCCAGAAACAGTAAGTTTTTCCGGCCCGACTGGGTGTTGCCAGTCAGGGTGGGTCGGCACTACGTCGGTCGAGTTTGGAAAATATGAATCTATCGGGTCTTTGAGGTAATAAGAATGGCCCCGCTCAAAATCTGGGGTCTGGGGCATCCGGGGCCCCAGGGCGCTGTGGCCAGTCTGGGCGAATGAGGCATGGGAGAGCCGGTATTGCTTTATGCCCAGAGGACAGCCTAGTCCAACCCCGTCTAAGCCCCCAGGCTGGAAGCCCAGCCACGGCTGCCCACGGCTACTCAGAGAGTCATTTAATTTATATACTGAGTAAGATCAATCTCGTCTGCCAGCTTCTCTCAAGGAATGAAACTCAGACTCAACGACTCACCTTCCTGGAGTCCTCCCACACTTGTGTTCCGCAAAACGAGCCTGCAGTGTCCTTTCAGAGTATCATCAATCCAACATGGACCAAAAAGAATCGAAGGACGTTGACGTCTCTTCCCACATCGAGAACGCTGAGACAGTCCCAGCCCAATCCGGCACGCTTATTGTGAGTCCAATACCACCACACCTCTGCAACCCACTCTGACTCGTTCGTGTCGAGCCTTGACTGATAATCGTACGTCTACCGATAGGACGAGAATCTGGTACGAGCCGAGAATGAAGACAAGATCACTCCATACTTTATATTCCTCATCTCCGTCGCTGCCATTGCCGGCTTCCTCTTTGGTTATGATACTGCCATCGTCGGTTCGGCCCTGCCAATGGTAGGGTCGGACCTCGGGCATGTGCTGGACGCCCAGGAGCAAGAAATCATCACCGCCGGTACCACCATCGGTGCCATCTTCGGCGCCCTGATCCTGGGAGGGCTTGCCGACAAGCTCGGCAGGAAATGGTCGATGGCTATCTCAGACATTGCGTGAGTCTTGCTATTATATGTTGTTCCGTGCCGATCGAGGCTGCAAGCGAGGCTGACCAGTCGTTATAAGCTTCACCATTGGAGCCGTCATCATCGCAGCCTCGTACTCGGTCGCCCAGATGGTTGTTGGCCGTATCATCCTCGGTGTCGGTGTCGGTGGAGCTGCCGTCATTGGGCCGCTTTACATCGCGGAGCTGGCTCCAACCGCCGTGCGAGGTCGATGCATTGGGACCAATGCCTTCTTCATCCCCTTTGGCCAGGTTGTCGCCAGTGCCCTCGGAGCAGCCTTTCAGGCCAAGGTTCCTTACCACATTGGATGGAGATTGCTCTGTAAGTTTGCTTCTACCTAGCATTTTGGGCCCGCAGTCGTACTCGTACTAATAATATCTGGCCCAGTCGCGCTCGGTGTCGTTCCGTCCATGGTTCAGCTTTGCCTCATGCACTTCCTTCCCGAATCCCCTCGAGTCCTCATTCTCCGTGATCAAGAAGACAAGGCTCGGGCGGCCCTGCGGATCATCTACAGAGGAGCCACGGATGAGGTTATTGAGTTCAAGCTCAGGGTTGTGACCCATTATGTCGAGGCTACCACCGCTCTGCAACGCCAATATACCATCCGCGAACGAGCCATGATCTATTGGACCAACAAGCCCTACCGTCGAGCCATTATTGCTGTTTCTGCTGTCCAAGCCTTCGGTCAACTTACTGGTTTCAACACCCTTCTCTATTATTCATCCAACATCTTCGGTCTCCTCGGCCTCAAGAACTCTGCCGCCGCCGGTCTCATCCCAGCATCGGGTAATGCCATCTTCGTTTTCATCGGTATGACTGTTGTAGACCGATTCGGAAGACGAAGGCTGCTAGTCACCGTCATCCCAGGCATGATTATCGGTCTGTTCTGGGCCATGATTTCGTTTTACTTTCTCACCAAGGAAACCGGCGGGCAGCTCGACTCAAACTATCAATACAGCTCGGCCCTCGTCGGTTCAGTGCTCGGTGCTATCGTCCTATTCACCTGCTCCTTCGGTCTCACCTACTCGCACATCGTCTGGTATCAATCCGAGTTCCTTGCCCTTGAAATCCGAGCCGCTGGTTCCGCCATCGCCACCACCTCGTGTTGGATCGCCAACCTGGTCGTGTCTGTTGCCTACCTCTCCCAGCTGAACTCGCTCACTGCTGCGGGAACCTATGGCTTCTACCTGGCCCTCATCATAATCGGCTACGTTTTTGTCTTCTTCTGCTACCCCGAGACCAAGGGATTATCCATCGACGAGACATCATCCATCTTCCAACACGGTTTCGGCGTCAAGAAGGCCGATGCCATGTTGCGCGAGAAGATCGCATTTCAGAAGCGCCTCAACGCCGCGAATGTTTCAGCACCCGACGGCGGTGCTTCTGCTTAAGGAGATGGCTTCAGTGATGTGTGTGCAATCACATCGTGGGAAAACGTGGAGAGAGCCGCAGCCCGGGATGATGATCATTTGAATGTTGATTTAACTTAAACGAATGGCCCGCACACATGCCTGCCTTGGTCGGCGTTTTTCTCGCCACGATGCATCACGTTTGTACAAGAAGCTATGCAAGACTATACTCCTTGAATTTCAATAATTTTAAAAATTTGAAACTTGCCATGTTCTGGATAAATCATTAGACATATGATCCAAGACAAGCCTTGCTTTGGTTGATTTCTCAAGGATCTGTCGTGTCTGCCCCATCTGCGTCGCGTTGCCTCAATGACACAACTTTGAACGATGAATCTTTGATTTTTCGACGCCGTCTTCTCTTGAAATTAATGGTCGCTCTGCGTGCACAGGTCCGGCGTGACAGAATTGAGATTCAAAAGCGGTTACAGTAGGCCGGCTGAGATTCTTTAGATAGAATTGTATGAATGAAAGAAACAGTACTCCAATACATTTAAGTCGCTAAATGCCTATGGAAGGGTTTCCACCGACCCGCTAAATCGTCCCCTTTCAACACCAGTGAACACCAGACCTTTGACCACAAAGAGGCTGCCGCCGTCAAAACGGTCAGGCAGGATCTCACCATTATAGTCTGATGCAGCGGTAGTGACATAGAGCTCGTCATTGTTCTCACCTACACACAGATTCAGTCAGATACCTATCTTGGCGCGAGTTGATTAGATCAGGATTCATCTCACCGCCAAAAATGCAACAGGTCATGTGCCAGGCAGTCGGGAAGTCGATGATAACATCAACCTCGCCGCTTTCTGTCAGACGGATAACCTTTCCTGCCTGCCAGCGGCACGTCCAGATACCACCGTCAGTATCCTGGCACATGCCATCTGGCTCTCCGTAGTCCTGCAGGTTAGACAGGACCCGGCGGTTCTCCATCTTGCCTGATGACTTTTGTCGCCATTCTCAAGTCAGCTGTCTATATATGAGACTGAAGATGATTGGCCAACCTACCAAGTCGTAGTCAAAAGTGACAATCTCCTTGACCCAGCTGTCGGTGAAATACCTAGAAAAACATATATGAGCTTGAGAATGAAATCGAATGGACAGCCCCAACGAAGGGAAGATTCGTCACTGACATTGTTTTACCATCTTTGCTCCACCCCATCCCATTCGTGCAAGTAACTCCCTCCTGCACCAGCGGTGCCTCCCAGCAGTCCCCGGAGCCTTTCGAAAGTGCGTACATCTTCCCAAACTTCGATCCATGTTCAAAACCCATGGTGCCAGTTATGAAGCGGCCCTTGGGATCCACTGCTCCATCGTTGAATCGCTTCTCATTCGAGGCGAGGGTGACCGAGGTGGGAATCCGTTTGAGGGATTGCTTGGAGCCGGTGGGTGGGAACGGGATGCTAGATGGAGGGATGAATGCGAAAAACCCATCGGCTGTGGCTATGAGCTAAGGCGACGGCCGGCTAGAGTCAGAAGCTGTGCGCGCTGTCTCGGCGGGTGGAATGGGTGGGGCCAGGTTTGACAGGCGTTGCATAGGTAGTACTCACCCCTCCGCCCTTCTCAAGCAATGCTATCGCCGTGATCTTATGGTCGAATACCTCGTACCCAATCGTCCCAGAAGAGGGCTCGTATGTGTAAAGCTTCTTCTGGTCGATGTCGACGAAGTAGAGTCGTTTCGAGCGTGAGTCCTGTCGAATGTAAGAGAATGTACGAATGGCTTTCTTGCCTGTCGAGTATACAAACCCAGACACACCCTGAGCACGTTGTTGTTAGTTATCATGGGCTTCTGTGACAGGTCATGGGGGCATGTTAGCGTCATACCTTCGCCGAGGGTGTTGCCCAGCTTGAATAGGGACTTGTCGACTGTATAGGTCTTGGCCATGGCCACGACTCAACTCGCTTTGAGGCAGTTCAGGGTAGCTCAAGATCAATTGAAACCTCCGTTTGGATACCTGTGCTTACAATATGTGTGGATGGACTTTTAGATTGTCTGTGGGGACACAGATTGCAATGGAAGCTGGCAGAAAGTATGATGTTGTACGTGCTGCACGGATAGATACCTGACCCGTGTACCCCAGCTAGCAAGTGATTCATTCAAGTTCTACAGATCCTCGTTCCGAGAGCGGCACAGGTCATCCCATGATTTGTTTGACACGAGCAGACCCGCACGACGTATGTGTTGGCACGCTATTTATTTATCGCGAGTGGTGCTGGGCCTGTGGGATGTTAGTGAAAGCCGCTGCCTTGGCCGTGGTAAAGCTTGCTAAGGATGCATCCAGGTAGGTCAACGCGTTCAGCGGGTAAGGCCATAACTAGGTAGTCTAAAGGGGGTTTGAATGCAGCTATTCGAATTCTCCACGTGGCGGAGTCGTAGACTGGACGACTTGCCAGAGCTACAAGATGAAGTACCAAATAATAACGTGAAAAGTGAAAAGTATTGGAGATCATAAAAAGGCGCAACCGCTTGGCACTTCACGCGTTCCTTGATGCAAGCTCTGGCGCGGCAAACGTGCTTCTGCCCCTGCTTAGCGACGTTCCGGTAGAACCTGCTGATGATATACTGACGCAGGAGTATCCGGCGAGAGGCAAGAGAACCCGGTGAGAGTTGCGAGCACCCGAGAGTTGCGAGTACCCGGCAAGAGTTGCAAATTTGGTAGAAAAGGAGACATGGTGTCCGGCCACACGGCGACAATTACCCAAAGTGCTGTCTGAAGCAGGCTTCCGGATAAGCAAAAACGCGGGTCTGCATGGGACTCTCTCGCTATCGTAGCGGGCTATGTCAGAGCGGGACAGCCCGCCAACTCTCCTCTCGCAGGTGCGGGAATATTGGAACCAAAAAAAGAAATATGGCTCCAAAACACCGGGACTGTGGGGCACGCGGGGTATTCAGGTTTTGCGGGGTAGATACTGCTCATGGTGTATCTCTCGATAACAGCATACTATGCATATGCGCAAACGTACGTTCTGCTGTAAGCTTCCTTTTCTCGTCAGATCCATATAGCTTCATTAGACTGTCTTCATGGCTGTTCTTTTGGCCTTTCTTTGACGTATATAATTTCCGCTCTCCTTCATCCAACTGCTTTTCTTCCAATAAAATTATCCAGAGGAAGGAAAGAAGAAAACACTATTGTTCATATCATCAAAATGAAGCTCGAGGGGAAGGGTAAGTTCTTACGTCCGCTCCCATGTTAGCTGTATGCTCACTCCAAACAGCTTTCATCATAACCGGCGGCTGTGGTTCAATCGGCGGCACCACTGCCAGATCCATCATTGCCAAGGGCGGCATCGCTGTGGTGAGTTCTGATAGAATAAAGATAGGAGAGAGGAGATGTGCAGTATGTACTGATGAGGAAGCCGTGACAGATCTTCGACATTCTTCCTCAAGAGGCCGGTGAGGCCAAAGTGAAGGAGTACCACCCTACCAACGCACACTACTTCAAGACCGACATCTCCGATATCGATGCCCTTAGCGCCTCGGCCAACGCGGCCCTCCAGGTCATCCCCAAGGGCAGCCTGGCCGGTGGTGTTCACTGCGCCGCCATTGCCCCTTCCCGAACGTGGTCCAATAAGTTGGTTGACTCTGCAAAGGTAAGAAATTCCAACCTTTCGTTCTGTATCTGTCGTGGAGCAGTTCCATTTAACAACAAGTTAGGACTTTGCCAAGGTGCTTAATATGAATGCGTACGGTACCTTCGCCGTCGACTCTGTCATCGCGGATGCCATTAATAGCCAGTACCCCGACGAGGGACCTTTTGGCCCCCGTACCACCGAGGAGAGGGGTTGCATCATCAACATTGCCTCTGCCGTCGCTCACCCAGTTCCCGCTCGGTGCCTTACGTACGGTCCTACCAAGAGTAAGATCTGTCCCGTCAGTCGAAATTGTTTCGACTCGAGGCTGACCATTTATACATAGCCTGTGTGCTCGGTATCACCGGAGGCATGGCCGACTTCCTCGGCCCTTACGGCATCCGCGTCAACTCTGTTTCCCCCGCCGTTGTCGCTTCTGCGCTGATGGGCGACCGCCTCGTAAGTACTGCTACTACTATTCGCAATTACGTGCCAATGTACATGTACCTCGCTGACCCAGCACAGCCATACTTCAACGCTGAGCTCGACGCTGCGGCTGTGTTCCCTCGACGGACCTCAGAAGCTACCGAGGTCGCATCGGGCATCGTCTTCCTCCTTGAGAATTCCATGATGAACGACTTCGAGCTCAGGATCGATGGTGGCTGGAGGGGTTGCTCCAACTGGGCCGGTCCCAAGGATCCCCGGGCCAATGCGCCTGCCCTCGAATAAAGGAGTGTATGAAGATCAAACTAGGCATTTAGAGTCAATGATGTAGCTACTCGACAAGAGAGAATTGATGAACGTTACAACAAAATACTATCCGCTTCACTAGTACTGCCGCCGGGTTCTGTTCTACGTGAGGTGCGGGCTTGACCGCGAAATCTGATTGGTCTATGATGATCGTCGTACTTCCAACCTCGTGCGTCGCTCTCGTGCAACTATTTTTCTCATTTTTGGTGGGCAGGAGAAAATGGAATGAATTATCATCACGGTTGTCGTTGTTTTGGCCTCGTGAAGCAGCTATGAACACGCAATTGCGTGGAGTGATGGCAGGACCCAGAAAAATAAAACATTCTTCGAATTCAGCAGATTTTGGTCTAGTTTTTGGATCCTTGCTTTTATTCCTAGTGCTGCTCGACCTTGTAAGCCAAAGTCTCTCATGCGATGTTGCCATACCTGATAACGAGGTTTCGAAGGCAAAAGGACGACACCGTGCCATGGGCGAGCGTCACCGCGGGAAACAGAGCACTTTTGTAGCAGACAGTGAGGAAATTGAGTGCGGGAAGGGACTAGGAGAGGTGGACTTATAAAATCCACCGTCTACATGTGGAAGAAAGGTTTGGATGTCGCTATTGAACCTCCATTCTCAGGTTAGGTTGGACTGTGAGATCCATGAACGTGTTTGGGCCCGACGAAGCAGATATTAAGCCCAGAAACAGAACCACAGAGCGGATATCACCATCACAACAGCAAAGATGTCAATTGGGAGAAGGTATTCTTCTTTGGTCGTTTGACGCTGTTGACTTTATTTTAAACCTCGCTACAAGTTTTGACTGGACCAATTGCCAATTCATAGTCTACGGCATAAGCGCAACTGCTTTAACCTTCTCACTTCTGGCCTCTTAGAGCTTCTTGACGGCCTCAATCAGAAGCTGTCGCGATTTCGCGCCGGCGTTGGCATACGCCGTGGGGACATCATCTCCGCTCTCCATGGACAGCGACTCGAAGGGCTCAAACATCAACGGTCCTACACAAATGACCAGTCAGCACCCAAACTATTCAAGCGGCGTTGATGAGTAGATATATACCGTCGAAACCAGTATCAAGGATCGCCTTAAGCGCCTCGGCAACCCTGGCAGCGCCCTTCTCGCCGCCCCTCCCGGCATCGCTGCCAACCTCGGGCAGACACCGACCGCAGGTGGCCCACACGAAGGTGTCGCCGCGCGGCGAGTTGGCCTTGGCCCGCCACTCGTCGAACCGCGACCCCTTGCCGAGCGCCTTGGTGACCGGCACGACGTCGGAGAGCTCGACGTAGAAGATCTTGTCGGCGGGGACGGCCCGCAGGCGGCCCAGCATGGCCTGGAAGTCCTCCTCGCTCCACATCTTGGGCGCGAGGACATCCCACCCGTAGCCGACGCCGAACGGGAAATGGGCCGTGTCTAGGCACAGACCGAGATTAGGGTGGTTCTGTGCGTGGTGAAGGTGATGGTCAGTCAAAATCGGGTACTGGAGGGAGAAGTGCGAAGAAAGACGTACACCTTCTTGGACTAGCTTCCAGGTGTGCTCCCAAGACTTGATTCTGTTTCCGAAAGACCACGACTCGTAGGCGATCTTGACTGGTGGTCTTTGAGCGGCTCCTAACTCGGCAAGCCATCGCAAGTCCTCGGCGACCTTGGAATCCTCAAAGTCGGCGGGAAGGTGGTCATTGGATCCAACCTAACACATTTTAGCTGAGATACAGAGAACAAAAGCCCAGGGGTCGTCAGCGCCGCTCACTTGAATTTGCTCAACCCCGAGCTTGGCACAGAGAGGCAACCACTTCTCGGCCTTTGCTCGAGACCACTCGGCACGCTTTGTACCCTTTACCCAACCCTCGAACTGGTTGAGTGGCTGGAGCATCAGGATGGAGATGTCGTAAGACCTGGCCAGCTCGATGACTTTGGGGGCGTACGAATAGAGAGCCTCCCAGAGCTCAGCATCAGATGGATCGGGCTCACCAGCGTCTGCCCATTCTACTGGTGCTGTCGAGGGGGAACTGCCATCAATGTCAGCCACAAAGTCAATTTTTTGCCGGTCTTTTTCCTTTTCTCCATTTTTTGAAAAGGGGGGGGGGAGGGCAAGGTGTTGGTGCTTTCCTTTTCATACTCACAGGTCAGGATTTTGTTGTCGTACCCATTCAATAAAACCGCCCATGCCCAGCTCTGTGTTCTTGAAGCCAGCATCCTTCAGCGCCTGGAATTTGACTTCGAGGGTGTGCTGCCCCTGCATGCTTAGGGAAGCGGTCGCGAAGCCCCATCGGAAAGAAGAGATGTCCACCATGTTGACAGAGATTGGATTGCGACTGATGATGTGTTAGGAAGTAAGCTTGCTGGATATGAGGAGTAAATTGAGGGCTTCTAAACATTGCTCGTCGAGTCGAGTGAGTTCGTTGAACATCTATAAGTAAGGGTTATACTGGTCGAGGCCCTGAACATGCTCTTTTTGAGCACTCGAGCGAGCCTGGTGATGATTGATATAAGTGCTACATGCAAGTAACCGATAAAATACGTATGCTAGAACCGAGGCCGGCCGGAGTTACCTCACTCGAAGGATCAGGATCTCGGTCGCCTTCCCCCTTTCCTCGACGGCTCTCTATGGTAGGTCTCTCCGTGCCCACGGTAGGTCTCTCCGAGTCGCCCCCCCCCCCCCCACACAACTAGAGTCCACGCATTTACAAGTGAGACACTGCTCGCACGTATAAGTGGGGCATTGCCATTGAGGCTTCGGATGCGGGATGTCAGTCGGAGTTCCTGGCTGAAGCTCGCTGTCAGCGGCACGCGACCAGGGTCCTCTGCGGGGCATTGCTTCCCCACCTGGGAAGCACGGAGTATACATACAGAGCATGTGGGGTAGACCATTGATGCAGATGAAGCGTGGGGGACCGGGATGTGGGCCCAAGACAGGATTGGCCGCCACGAGCCCCAAGATGACTGAGTCGTAACTTCAATCACCCACGCCTGTAGGCTAGCAAATAATCAAATAATCAAATCATCTAAGCTGCTGAGATTGTTGCAGCCCTTTTGGTCTGGTGGCCAGGATCGTCACGGCAGCAGGATGGTGGACGCTGAGCAGATGGGTTCGATATGAGCTGCATGTAATTCGCAGCCTGTGTATCTTCGGGTACCTGACGTCGAAGAGTTTTCTCCGAGAGTGTTCAGCGGTAACAAAAAGGATGAAGGGGCGACTTTGAAGACCAGTTTCTTCAAGGACACCATAGCACCCTGGTCTCCCTCGAAGACCTTGTTACAGGTTTTCTTGAGCGATTCACTCTGAATCACGGGAGAAGCAACCTCCAACCACTTACCCTCGTCATAATTCTTGCGCATGCCAACGACAAAGTTTCCTGCTTTGTCTGTTCTTGCTCCTCAATTGCTATATACAGGTTGGCAGGCTACTCTTCAACCCAATTTTTGCAGCAATAATATGTGGGCGGATCCCCATGCCGTATTTGTATTCTGCACTCGGAGCCCATTCGCACTTCCTGCTTGTTGGATGCGTGTGTACACTCTGGGGCCTTTTGCGAGTCTGCTGCTGCGTCCGCATCGGCCCGGGTTTTCAATACTGATCAACGCTGGAGAGTGACAGTGCTCTGGCCGTGTGCATTCGCGATGAAGCCCCTCTGTCCTCGTCTCTGTCGATTCCAAAAGGATAATTTTTGCGATGTTTGTTGATTCATGAAGTATAGGATCTGTCCGGAAGTAATTGGTAGCCCGAGAAAGTGATAGGTTAGCAGTTGATATGCGAAACTCGTACTCTACAGCTACATCCATGAAATCGTGGACGGAGAGGTTGTTCAAGCAGAGATTAAACAAGGACCAGGAGGCAGAAAGGAACAGTTTGTTACTTTCAAGATGATCACCAAAGAAACCTGACAGATCTCAATGCAGCAATAGTTGAGCTCAAAAGAAAGTTTCGAGACTTATTCGTGTACGGAATGCTTGGGGGAGTTTTCATGAGCTAGCATGTATAACAGTGTGTGGTCCTTCTTTGCAGGCCCGTATCAAAGAAATGAAGATACAGATGATCGGAGTCTGCCAGATATTCTTTGAAAATACCATTTGGTTTTTGATCATTAAGATGATTGTTCTTGAAAATGTTGATATGATAATGTGGCATATTAGATTTTGATGTATTGAAGTACCTAGGTAGAGTTATGAGAGCACGGACCCCTGCCAGCTCCACCGTGGCAGGCAGTGGAGCTCCATCCTTGCTGCTGCAGCAACAGCTCTCAATAAATCATCACCAGGGCCAGCCTCGACGACGTCAACAACATAATCTTCCCTCGACCTGACATTGCCGTGTGTTCAATCTTGCATCAGCGGTCTCCCACCAGAGCTCCGTCTGCCTGCCACCATTTCGTCCCGATTGCTCACTTGAAGAGTGCACCTCGAGTGATTGCTCGAGCTCCCTCGACCGAGACAAGCAGCCTCGAGCTCCGACCGCATTACTATTCGACGACTCCTCGGCACCACCCCCTCGAAGGGAAACCCTCCAGACCTGCTATCATGGCGACCGAGGACGAACGTTACCGGTCGTCGACTCAGTTCCGGCTCTGGTCCTTCTCGCCAGGCCAGCTCGCCGAGCTGCGCGCCAAAACCAACGGCCTCGCCAGGCAGAATATCTCAGACCGACTCGCCTCCTCGACAGCATCCTCCTCGACCGTCGCCTCGGCGAACCCGTCCGGTTCCAACACTCCGATACCCACCGCGCACACCTCGACACCCGCTACTGACCCAACACAAGTCAGCGCAGCAGCCGCGCCCGCCGATGTGCCGACCGAGTCTACATCGTCCATGAACAGGGCCCCTCTGCCCGAGTTCCTCACGCCCGCCGAGGAGGAACAACTCCTGCGCTTCTACACCGTCGAGTGCCTACGCGCCGCTGAGTTCTGCCAGCTGCCAACCGAGATCCGCGCGACCTCGGCAATCTTCCTGCGCCGCTTCTTTGTCACGCACAGCATCATGACGTACCCGCCGACCAAGATGCTCAAGACGTGCCTCTTCTATGGCTCAAAGGCCGAGAACTCATATCCCCGCGTCAACAGCTTCGCCGAGAAGTTTCCGAACACCACGGGCGAGGAGATACTGGCCGGGGAGTTCCTGCTATGCCAGGGACTCAGATTTGCCTTTGACGTGAGGCATCCGTACCGAGCACTGGAGGGTGCCATTATGCAGTTACGGACGTTTGGGGACACAGATGTGGGTTAACTTTGCTCTATGCGGGCTCTGTATGTTTCATATAGGGCAACACTGACACCGGCACAGGATGCAAAGATCTCCAGAGCGCAAAGCCGCGGTCGCGACATTCTCAAGTTCAGCCCTCTGGTCACAGACGCCTACTTCCACTACACCCCCAGCCAAATTATGCTCGCCGCATTATCCATGGCAGATCATGACTTGTTCGAGCGCTTGATAGAGGCCATGTTCCCCCACCAACCAAACGGGGCCTCAAATGCGTACAAAGTCGAGGCTCTGAGCCAGGCAATCAAGGAGAAGACGGTGTCTACAGTGATGGCGTGCAAGGACATGCTCAACCAGGAGCCACCAGAGCGGATGACCAACTTCTGGGGGACAGTAAGCTTATATCTTGATCAATCCCTCGTAAGAATTTGGATATTGACACGTACCTCTAGCCCGAAGCCAATTCCTTGGTCAAGCCACTCGTCCGGAAGCTCAAGAAATGTCGGGACCCAGACCGATTCGACCTGATCGGGCTGCATAAAAAGAGGCTGGAATTCAAGGAGAACGAAAAGAAGCCATCTAAAGGCGCAGTAGAGGACGACGGGGCCGTCTTCGGTGGCAGTAATGGTACAGGCAAGGGTGACGCAGACCGCGACGCTAAGAGGCGAAAGGTTGCCGAGGACCCTTTCGGACCACCGTTGTAGTCAGGAAAGATGGCAGGCAAACTCAACGACCCAGAAGCAGGCCTAAATGGACTAAATTCTGGGTGTTGTTGTTGCCTGTCAGGTCACTTTGCCATGTTCATATGAAGTCTAGCTGGGGCATTGCAACTACAGCAACTTTGAAATAGATACCCAAACGACTACGCTCGTCACTTTGCTCTCTCTGGGCATATAGACGCGGCTAGCCCGCAGTTGCTCGGCTCCAGTGCCTCGACATCACTGAGTCGAACATGCCAACAAGTTCACGTCTGATTGAATCAATGCTTAACTGGGAGTCACAACATAGGTTGCACCAGGCGTTGTCGATATCGGTCCAGCATACGCCTCGCCATCCACAGCAATTCTGGAGCCATTCATGTTCCGGAGAGCAAGCTCAGCACCAGCTCTGGAAGTGATGTTGGCGCTTGTCATGGCCCCTCCGTCCCACGCAATATCAACGACAAAGTTCCCACGAGCAACAAGTCCTCTCACCGAGCCAGTGGGCACCGCCGATGGCAGCGCAGGCAGAAGATGTACAACATCAGCATGGCTCTGCAGCAGCATCTCCGTGACGCCGCTGACGAAACCGAAGTTCCCATCGATCTGGAAGACATATTCTGGCGATCCACTGTCCGTGTTATACAGATTGTACGGCGTGGGAAACTTCTCAAACCACTGCGTCAGCTGACCCCAGGCGCTGTCACCATCGAAGACCCGAGCGAACTGGTTGATCAGCCACGTCCGCGACCAGCCAGTGGTCCCCGAGCCGTTCGACACGCGCCTGTCGAGGAGGACCCGGGCCGCAGCCCCCAGCGTCGCGTTGCGCAGCGGGCTGAACTGCCGCCCCGGCATGAGGCCCACCAGCGGCGAGAGGTGCTTCTGCCCGACGGCCGCCTCCTTGTACTCCCGCCGCCACTCGAGAATCTGCCCGAGCGAGCCGACCTGCTGCGGCAGGATGGTCGGCAGGAACTGCCTGGCCGCCGCGACGTCGGCGTCGTCGATGCCGAGGACCCCCGCCGCCTCGATGAGGCTCTCCACCGCCTCGCTGATGAGCTGGCCGTCCATCGCGGGCCCGATGTCGATCGCCTCCTTGGCCCCCGCGACGCTCCAGTTGCCCGGCACGTAGAAGGAGTTCTCGGGCGAGAGGGAGGGGCCCGTGGCGTTGTGCCCGTCGTACTCCATGCAGTAGCACTCGAAGAAGGTGGCCACGTCCACGAGGAACGGGTACGCCACGTCCCGGAGGAAGGCCTCGTCCCTGGTGAAGCGGTAGTGGTCCATCATGTGCCAGCTCAGCCACGCCGCGCCCATCGGCCACAGAGTCGCCTGCGTGTAGTTGTCCGTCGTCGCCGGGTCGCCCCAGAGGTCGAGGTTGTGGTGGAATACGGTCCCTGGGCAGCCGTACATTCGTTCCGCGTAGGACTTGCCTCAGGTGTTTGCGATGCTCATGAGGTCGAATAGGGGCTCTTGCGTCTCGATCAGGTTGCTAGGTCCTGCGGGCCAGTAGTTCATCTGGATGTTGATGTTGATTGTGTATTTGCCGCCCCAGGGTGCCGAGGTTGAGTTGTTCCATATTCCTTGGAGGTTAGCTGGGAGGGAGGTCCCGTTGTTGCTGGTTCGAGAGGACGATGCAAGGAGGTGTCGGCCGTAGTTGAAGACCAGTGTGGTTAGTTGAATGTCTTGTGACGAAGTCCTGGCGTTGGCGATACGCTGGTCGGTGGGTAGGTCGGCTAGGCCATCTGGTGAAGTCCCTAGATCTAGTGTCACGCGGTCGAGGAGACTCGAGCTGTCCAGGATTGCTTGAGTCTTGACCTGCTCATAGCCCTTGGTGTAGGCCTGGTCGACCTTGCGCGTCATCTCGGCTTCCCATTCAGTCTGTTCTGCGAATCTGTAACTTGTCTCTGCGTCAAAGTACATCTGCACAATTGTTGAGTCGCTAATAACCAGCGTTGAATTTGTGACAGTCGCAGTGCCTTGATGCTATTTCAGCGCAGAGTTTCTGCCCTTGGTATGGGAATGAATGTTGTGAAGAACGCACCATCGACGAGAGCGAAGCGCGCCTGGCCGGTCCAGCGGATTGGGTCATCTTCAGCAGACTGGCCACTGGAACCAACTAGGCTGACTGTGTACACATCGTCTTTGGCAGCTGCCGTTGTCGTGATGTCTCCCTCTCGGCTCATGGAGACTTTCGAATTCAGCGCACCGGCAGTGCTGGCGTTAAAACGGGCGATCAGCACTCCATCGGGATGACTGGCTACGTATTCACGACTGGATCATAAGATTCAGCTAAGTCCTGGCTTTGAGAGTGATGCCGACTGACGAGTATGCCACGCCTCCGTGTGTGTATGATACACCAGTCGTGCCCTCTTTCGTGTCGAGCCAACGAACATAATCCGTCATCCCCGAGTCGTCGTGTCCAAAGTCGATGTTGATGTTGCCAAAGTAGCTGAAGTCTCTCGGGCTGAGGGTTTTCGGAATCAGCTTCGCCATGCTATACTGTCTTGCTTCAGACAGATTACCCGCGAGAAGCAACCCTCGGGTCACAGCCAATGCTGTCTGAGGGTCTTCGGCAATACGATCCTGGAAGGGCCCAGTCCAGATTGAGTTCTCATTGATGCCAACCACCTCAGAGCCACCTCCATACACAGTGGCACCGATTCGGCCGTTGCCGATGGGCATTGCATCTTCGAAGAAATGCGGTCGTGCCGGCTGCTCGAACCATAAGAAGCGACTGCCGTCAAACCCAGATGCGGCTCTGGCCCCGCCAAATGTGACCAGTGAAGTGAGAATGAATCCGGACAGCATCTTGCAAGCACTGAGACCACAATTTCAGAATGTTGCAAATCAATTAATGGAAAGCGAATTTATGATTTTTATAGTGTCAACGAATCATACTATTTGTAAAGTGAAAGGCAACACAAAAGCATACACCCGTCGGGTAAATCCAAGCTGGGTATCATCGAGAAGATCGCTGCATGCTAGAGACAAGTTGTGTAAGGCGTAGACCCCACTAGGACTGTTGTTGTTCATCGAAATCTTTCATTGATGGAAATTGGAGAAACATGTATGCAGCTCGATTTGGCCAGTTGTATTTGTGTATGGGTTTCTCCGCAACATTACATTGACCAATTTGTGGGCAAAAGTGTGTAACCCTCCACGTTAGGATCTACTTGACTTATGGATGCAAGTATCTAGAAGTAGTCCACCTACATGCATAGATCGTGTGCAAAGAATGAGAACGAGTCCTTTTATGTGAAATGCATCACAACCTTTTCTACAGACATGAGTTACCTTGTGGCAGAAAGGTGGTCTCACTCAAATCAGGGATCAGTGACATCCGTTCATTGTCACTCCGCTACGAGCCCTTGCATATTCCCGGCTAGCCTCCTCCAAATACTCCTTCGTGAGAAGTCGCCCAAGTTTCCTAGCGCTCCATGCCCCTCTGCCAGTATTTTCCTCTACATCGTCAATCGTCCTTACTACCTGGGTAGAGGACGAGAGCTCTCGCGGCAGTTCTTCCCTCTCTGCCATTCCCACTAGATCTTTGATCCTCTGCAACCTCTCTAGCCAAATCTGTGCGCTGAAATCATGGTCTTCGAGTTCGGGATCTTCGACCCGTCGGCAGGTACTTTCGAATGGGTTGCCCTCAGTCAGGTTTTCCAAATCAATAATAGTAGGAAATCCTGTGTAAAAGTCTTCCGGTAGGAGAGAGTACATTTGACCGTTGTTGTGGGGCTCGGTGCGCAGAATGAAGCGGCGTCTGTGTTCACCTGGAGGCGGGAAAGGGATCGGAAATCTTGGAAGCACACATTAGGAGAGAGGTACCTACCAATGGGTTGGTGGCCGATAAAGTGACTTACATTATGACGTCCCCAAAGTACGGGTAGTAGTGTGTCATCCCTGCGTCCAAGCAAGTTTTGATTGCGCGGGTCAAGGCTTGTTTGAACGTGTTGACATTTTCCAAGTCTGCTCTCGTCATTCTGACCCAATTATCATACTGGCCTGGGGGTTTCTGCCCTAGGAAGATGTAGACAACGTAAGACGAGCTGTAGTTCATGTCCATTGGGGAGTTTTGGTCGCTGCTAGGATCCGTGAGAGTTTGTGTTTGGCTCGACATTTTCCGATTTTCTGAAGTGGAACTTCCAGTTGCGTTAAGATTATCTTTGGTATTATCACAGGGAATGTATTGCACTCCTCCGGGCCCTGCTCTCTGCTGCCTCTAATCAGAAGGGGCAAGAAGGGAAATCTTCCCTACTTAAATAGAGCAGAGTATACAAAGGCCTAGATTACCCAATGAAGAATCAGGCAGCCTTAGAAACCATTATGAGAGCTTGTCAGAGAATGTTTGATGGGAGTTCCAATAACGATTCTCCCCCTTGTCCCATTCAGTCATTCGCGTGTCAAGACTGTCCGTCCCTCTTTTCGTGCAGTTTCCTGAACCTCACAGGTGCCCATGATTTAAACCTTTCTCATCCTTACAAGTCACTCCTCTCCGTGACCAGATGTGTCTGTGAATAATTGCTGCGGAAAAAAGAATACCTTGACTGGTCACTAGTAATTAAAATAAATTCTTCCGCATATGAATTGCTAGTTGCCGTGGGCCATCTTCTGTGATTCGCCGCGATATCTGTTACCAACCTCTAAACAACAATCGGCAAGCTGTTCAAGTCAATCGCCCTAAAACCCGCGCTGCATCTCCTGCCTCTGGATCTCGGCCCTAAACACGTTCGTGCCCGTAGTAGGACTCCAACTCTCGCGGTCCGTTAACTCCACTTCGCGGTTTTTATCCTCAGGCCAACCATAGGATGAATGCGAACTTCTCATTTGCTGGTTTCTCCTGTTTTTTCCAGCTCCACAGCCAATGCCACATACGTGTCCATGTCGTCTCCAGCTCCAAATCACAAAGATTGCTAGGACGAGTAGCACGGCTGAGATTGTGACTGAAACTGCAATGGCCACGGTTCTGCCATGGTTCTCAAAGCTGTTCTCGGGCGAAGCGTAATATGATGGTGCCGACTTGCTAATAATGACACTCGGCCCATCAGAATATTGCAGTGAGCTGTTTGAGCCGTTGTCCGAGGTCTCTACCTCAACGAGGGACAAAGTCGCAGTCAGATCACTTCCGTCACGGCCGTTTTGTGACAGAATATCCTCGTCTACGTGCCAAATGTAGTAGCCCGTACTAGCCGAGACGTTTCTGTCTTCCGTGAATCCGGTATTGTCGGAGTATCGAACTTGGACAGCGACCAGAGAGTCCTCGCTTGCAAAATGTGTTGGATCCCATGTAACTGATGATAGTCAGCCGACGAAGCTCGCTGATCACATATTTGAGGCTCTCTGTCGACATGGACATCCTGGACTTACCGTAGTATGTGATCCCTGGTTTCAGCACACTTCCTCGACGAGGCTGGCAAAACGGGGCATCCCAACTCAGGTAGTTGCCGCACTGGTAGAAAGCACCAGCTCCAGAACTTGCGGTCGCGGTCGCAACAGGTGCTATGCCTGTGGATGTCCGGACCACTCCACTCGCGGTCGTCAAGGTATAGACTGAAGTCTGAGTAACATACGCGGGAGCTTCGGACACGGTGGTGCTGCCCGACACTGACGGTGTGATTGTCTGTGCATCACCGCTGGCGTCGACGGTCACCCAGACCTTGTGAGGGTTGTGACGAGGATGAATGACAGGCTCAGACGAGACGCAAGTGTAAAGGCATGCTGCCAGAGCGAAAGGCTCAGACCGGAAGAAAATCATCGTGGCAGCTTGATTACCGGTGAAAGTTCAGAGGGCGTCACCTTGCTCGCGGATTTCACCGATCTTAAAGGGAGGAGTGTGTTCAATCCCTTGGAATGTCAGAGTCGGCATACCTTGCGGGATCTGCGAGACATGTTCTGGTCAGGCTCCCGAGCGACGCCTTCTTATCGAGCACATCATATCATCCAGGCCATGTCGATACCACCAGGCCAAGGATAGAAGTGCTTCCACTCGCTCCCAATAGTCTACTTTCTAGCGAATCGCGATTCGATCACAGTCTGACTGCAGATTCATGTCAGCTGGCCGCTGACATACGCGGGGCACCCATAATACCATGGCTGGGCAGCACCTAGGCACCACCCCTCCCTTTCTTGGTGATGGTGTCATGCAAGGACTGTGACACGTGCCGGCTAGCTCGCGGCTCGAACCAGACAGAATGCAGCGTTTGGGCACTACCTAGGCACGACATCCACGGGTTGTGAAGAATTTATATGTAGGGTACCGGCCAAAAGCTTTCTTGTGCATGGCTGTGAGCTTATCAGTGACCATGCCAAGGGTGCTGTTCATCCACAACATAGATGAATGTAAGCATTCCGTCTCCCACGACAATAAATCATAATCTTTCACTCCTGGTTGAAAGTTGAATGGTGCTTATGAGCTTATGAGGGAGGGGCTAGAGCTCCAGGATGCCCTCCCATGTGCTCGGAACGACCCCGCGTTGGTCTTGGTGCTGATCGGATGCCCAGGCCGCACTACAGGAACCTAGTCTACCTGGGTACAACACAAGCCAGCTGTGGGTACCCTTGGGATCGGAACAGCATCGGCCGACCCCTCCAGTTCTCTGAGAAGAGGTAGGCACCTGTGGTTATGGCATCGACTGCCTTGTTGCTGAGTTCGGACTACGAGTCTGCAAGTTGTAATCGAGCATCCGCCCATTGAGAGCAACTTCGGTCTCATCTGAGTCCCACACTACCTATCAGGGTAATGTCCTGGGCATCGGCACAAACGCCTTGATCATACGGAACCTCGTCCCCAACTTCTTCGTTACCTCTCGGCAACCGCCCTGCCGTCAGAATGCGCAAGAGAACTCCACTCAGCCAGGGCTGGCAGTACAAGGAGAAAGGAAAGGACACATGGCAGCCTGCGTCCGAGGTGCCCGGCTCGATACATACCGATCTCCTCCACAATGGCCAGATCCCGGACCCATTTGTCGACCTGAACGAGCTCGCGGTCCGCTGGGTCGCCGAGCGAGACTGGCTCTACCGACGAGCTATCTCGGCAGACGAGCTTCTGCCCAGGGACGGCCAGCCCGGGGACCAAGAGCGAATCGACTTAGTCTTCGAAGGCCTCGATACTTTTGCGACGGTCTATCTCAACGGTTCCCAGGTCCTCGTTTCTGATAACATGTTCCTGAGCCACCGTGTTGATGTCACGGACCTGCTACGACGTACAGACAAAAATTTGGGTGACGTTGAGCTGGAAATAGTGTTTGAATCAGCCTCAGTTCGTGGCCGAAAGCTTGTCAAGGAGCATCCGGAGCACAATTTCCTTGTCCGTCAGACAGAGGCAGGCCGTCTCCCGGTACGGAAGGCACAGTACCACTGGGGCTGGGACTGGGGCCCAATACTGACAACAGCCGGCATCTGGCGCCCGGTGTACCTGGACCGCTACGTCGTGAGATTAGGCGATATCTCCGTCCCATACAAGCTCACCCAGGATCTGAGCAAGGTATCTGGAGAGATCCGGTTCAAGATCGTGCCAGCATCTCAGGAGGGCTCCAGAAACCTGGAAGTTCGGACCACGCTGCACAGGCCAAATGATGAGAATTCGGTGTTCCAAACTGTTGGGCAGGTCCTTCCCGAGGAGTGGAATGAGGCAGAAAATACTTTCAAATGTCATCCGTTCGAATTGGATAACCCACAACTGTGGTATCCTCATATGTATGGGAAACCGGAGCAATACACGCTCAAGGTGGAATTACTCCTGGCTGGGAAAGTGGTGGATTCACAGACAAAGTGAGTACCCAGTGATCCTCGAGATTTAACTGAGGGAGGAAGTACTCAGGACTTCTGCACTGGGGTATGCGGCCTTGGAGAAGGATTACAGCTGATACATGGAAATCCAGGCGTATTGGATTCCGCCATTGTGAGCTTATACAAGAGCCCAGCGGAACGGGCGTGGGCACTTCATTCTACTTCCGAGTGAACAATGTCAACGTCTTCGCAGGCGGCTCCTGTTGGATTCCAGCGGACAGCTTTCTATCGCGAATATCATCACAACGATACCGGGACTGGGTCCAACTCATGGTGGAAGGCAACCAGACAATGGTCAGGGTCTGGGGCGGAGGGATTTATGAAGACGATTCATTCTTCGATGCTTGTGACGAACTGGGCCTATTGATCTGGCACGACTTCCAATTCGCTTGCGGCAACTATCCCACTTTCAGCTCGTATCTCGACAGTGTGGATGCGGAGGCAAGGCAGAACATACGTCGATTGAGAGATCATCCGTCGTTCATCATATGGGCTGGAAATAATGAGGACTACGAGACGGTGCAGGAACGCTACAAACTGGACTATAAACCGGATGATAAAGACCCGCAGTCCTGGCTGAAATCTACATTTCCAGCTCGATACATCTACGAGAGTCTGCTTCCAAAGGCTCTCGAAGAGGAGCATCCGGGCGCGATCTACTTACCGAGCAGTCCCTGGAGTGGGAACGGTGAGTCTGTCAAGGACAGGACAGTCGGCGATGCTCATGAGTGGAACCTCTGGCACGGGACTATGGTGAAGATCCAAGATATTGATAAAATCGGTGGTATATTTGTCTCGGAATTCGGCATGCAAGGCTACCCGCACCTGGAAACGCTGAAGCGTGCGATTACACGACCAGAGGAGCTTGCACCGGGTTCTATGACCATGGAATTCCACAACAAAGCCATCGGACATTCTTGGCGGATGGCGCAATACCTGCATGAAAACTTCAGGCTCGCCATTAATAATGACTTGGCGTCATTTGTGCACCTCACCCAAGTCATGCAGGCTGAGGCAATGCGCTCGGCATACAAGTCGTGGCGTCGGAAGTGGAATGATGCGAAGGAGTGCGGCGGCATCCTTGTGTGGCAACTGAACGACTGCTGGCCTGGTATTTCCTGGGCAGTTGTCGACTACTATCTGGTCAAGAAGCCGGCCTACTATGCAATCTCGCGCGCATTGCGGCCCTTGGACATTTCTATTTCCAGATCCTACCACGACTGGACACATAGCACCATCAACCCAACACTAGACGTGGGGCACATTGATCCCACGGTTGACGCACGCGATGGTGGGGAGATCACCGTCTGGGTTTCCAGCTTCAAGACCGAAGAAACAGCTGTAGAAGTCGAGATCCGCTTCGTTTCCATTCGCACAGGCAAAGACCTAGGTGGGAGCCCAACGGAAAATTCGACCTGGAGTCGTCTGATCCAGAGCAACAATACCACTGACTGTGGTACTCACAAGCTTCCTCCAGCAAAAGCCCCATCAGAAATCAACGAATGCGACCCGTATGTGGTTCTCGTAATACTCCGACTAGAAGGCGAGATTATTGCAGACGACGTGGCCTGGCCGCAGCCGATAAAATACCTTGACCTGTCCGATCGTCAGGTATCAGTGTCCTACGACGGTGAAAAGGCGACAGTGGCTGCGAAAAGTCCAGTCAAGGGATTTGTCTTCGACGAAGTGGAGGGCTTGAAGCTGAGCGACAATGGCTTCGATGTCGTCCCCGGACTGGACAGAGTCGTCATTGTCAAGGCTCCAGAATCCGTCTCGCAGCTGGGATACAGATACGTCGGCGGGCATGGCTCAGTGACCTTGAAGTCGTGAGGATGAATATCAAACAATTTACATTTAAATTGAGTTCCTTTTGATTAAGTACACCATTTGCAGCCTTGTCTCATAGTGAATCACACTGTGGCAACAGTAAGCCTGGCGGTGCCTGTGGGGATCTAGCAATTCCAACACAATACCTGTCAAGAAACGTTGTACAGCACTTACTCCTCCACCTCGACTCGTCAACTTGAACATAGGCTTTTGCTAATTCCAAACGGAAGGCGGTAGTTTCACGGCAATGCAAAGTTCAGGGACGGGTTGGACAAGGGAAACAATTTGCTCCAGGGGAGAGGGACCGCTCCTGAAAGCCCCTTCTGTTCATAGCTCCTTATTATCACTTCGACTCATTCAGAATCAATGTCTCTACCTAGATATTCGCACAGATTAAGTGCAGTGAGAATAATGAAATATATATAGCATAACCTATGTAACACCAGTCCGAGACTTTGCAAGAGCATTGCATAGTCATAGGCGACATTGCGTACGAGTGAGCCAGGCATCGTTGTCAATCTGGCGGAAGAGTGAGTCAGGTGTTGCGAAGCAAACACTGTTCACTTGAGAGAGGTTTAGCAGGCTCCGTATAGTACGAATATAACCGCGGCACGGTGAGCGCGGGTGAAACTCGTGATGACAAAGGCTCACCAATCAGGCGTTTGACGGCGCTCCGATTTCAAAGCCCGCGCTCATTCGTCGCCCGTCTCAAGAAGGATCGCGAGCAGGTACTAAAGCACAGCAGCTGCATAACACTGGATGGACCTCAGGCCTGGTTACTAGATTAACTTGAAGCGGCCAATGTCCATCTCAACCTTTGCAAAAACAGTCTTCAGATCGTCAAAGCCACGGAAAATGACGCGCGGAGCTGTAGTCAGTTTGTCGCACGGCGGAGGTACGTTGCGCAACGATCATTTCGGAAAGCCTACAAACAGCGAGGACTAATCTGTTCAATAGGCCCAATGCCGGTCCTGGGTGACCCAATGCATGCCAGCATCGTCAAGTCGCTCAAGAAACGGGTGCCCGAGATACTCAAGCTGGGAACACCAGAGGCGCCGAGGGCCATTGTCGTTGTCACAGCTCACTGGTCCGAGGCTCAACCAACGATCTCATCCGGCGGCGCACACTCTCTTTACTACGATTACGGCGGATTCCCAAAGGAGACTTACCAACTCAAATATCCCGCACCAGGGTCGCCAGAGGTTGCAGGCGCGGTCAAGAAGGCACTCGAGGATGTCGGCTTGAAGCCCGTCCTGAACGAGAAGCGAGGCTGGGATCACGGGGTCTTTATCCCGTTCATGCTCATCAACCCGGCTGCAGATGTCCCCATCGTGCAGCTGTCGGTACTGCGGAGTGAGGACCCGGAGGAGCATATTCGTATGGGCCGGGCGCTGTCCACCCTGCGCGACTCCAACGTGGCCATCGTTGGCTCCGGGTTTGCATCATTGCACAACTTTGCGTTGATGAGGCCGCTGATGATGGGGGACTCGTCAGCCATCAAAGAGGTCAAAGCCGTGACGAGCGCGTTCAACAAGGTATTGACGGATGCTGTGTTGGAACAGGACTCGCAGGAGAGGGAGAAGAGGTTGGTGGAATGGAGGCAATTTCCGAAAGCGTACGATATTCATCCAAGGTACGGGGCCGAGCACTTCATGCCGCTGCTTGTATGTGCTGGTGCAGGAGGGGACGAGAAGGGCGGAGCGTATAAGGATGATTTTGGAGGGGCAGATATCTGGTCGTACTACTGGTCATGATAATATAAAGTCGATTTCCAGATGAAGCACATTCTTAAGATATAAGAAACATGAGATGATTATTGGAAAGGCTTCACGTGGTATTGCATGAAACGAGCGGTGGTCGACATGTAGCCGCCAGATTCACCGTTGTGATCCGTAACTTTGCATCCCGTTTAAGTGCCGAGCCTAGAACCGGGCACGAGGCGAAGACAAATTCTCAGATGGTTGAGCTCCGAGACATGGCCCGGCACATTGGGTGCAGACTAACTATCTCCGATAGGCCGGCTAGTGGTTGCTCCTGAACGCGACTTAAGCGCGAAAACATCAGTAGTGGATATTCTAGTGATGACGAACACTGCAGCGAGCCCAATCAGTTGGTATTCATCCACGTTTTAGCTCAATGACGTCGTGAAGCACTTGCAGACGAGCTAATTGCAACGTTGAAGTCAAGATACTGGGAATGCTTGCGGCCAACCTGTATATACCCAACAGCTGCCGAAGTCTTTGACATTTGGACGCTTGCTTTAGAAGTAGTCACCGACCGTCGAAAAATAAGCACAACACGATTTGGAAGCTAGCCATGGCTGATCCAGACCTCCCGATACTGTCTCGTACTGAGACGTCAAGATTCTCAGTCCTCGTCTACAGCCGCACAAACGGCTATCGTCACGACTCTATTCCAGCCGGCATCAGCGCTTTAAAGGACCTAGCCACGGCGTCCCATGATTCGCCTGTGCCGTTCAACGTGGACGCAACCGAGGATGCCATCGTATTCAATCCTGCTACGCTGGCTCAATACCATGTCATTGTTTTCCTGCAGGCTTCCGGGGAGTTCTTCGACAATGAGCTGCAGTTAGATGCATTAAAGCAATTTGTGCGGAACGGGGGCGGAATCGTGGGGGTGCATTGTGCGTCAACTGGACTTCCGTCAAGTGAGTGGTACGGACGTCTCATTGGGGGTGTTTTCACAGATCATCCTGAGCCGCAGAATGGAAAAGTTGTTGTGGAAGACCCAGGGCATCCTATCCTATTGCGTGGTGCGGATTCTCGGGAGAAGGCCACAGGACAGCCACCTCGTGGGCCTTCGCTGGAATTTGACTGGCACGACGAATGGTACAACTTCGCGACAAATCCGAGGTCGCAAGACGGGGTACATGTGCTCTTGACGCTAAAAGAAAAGAGCTACACGGGTGGTGCTATGGGAGCGGACCATCCCATCGCCTGGTGTCATGAATTTGAAGGTGGAAGGGTATTCTACACTGCATTGGGCCACTTTGATGAAGCATACGAAGACATCTCATTCATTGGCCAACTACACAGTGGGATCATCTGGGCAGCCGGGTTGTAAATGCAATATCGGAGGTTGTATCATCTGCAAATATGACAAGACCACATTGAGTGTGAGAATCTCTCCTGTCGACTCGCACGTTGTGCTTACACAATATTTTGAAATGAGAACACAGCAACGCCCGGGTCAAGCATTCTCCACCCGAGAATTGCATACCTCTCAATTCAATTTGTCCGGCTCCATGTACACATCTTGTCGGTATATGAACACAAGTACTACTTTTCTCGGCCTGATAGTCCTGAATCTTGACCCAGATCCTTCGGTCCCCATTTTCGCGAGAATATTTCTTTCCGATACTAGGATGCCTTCCTCCCACTTTATAATAGCCATCATGAAAATTTCGGCAGAAAACGGGTCCACGCTGTGTCCTGATAGACACCTGCTGGAGCAGCCCGTAGAGAAGTGAAGATGAGAACGAGGATAGTGAGGCGGGCGGCTGTGTAAAGAATGAGACTATTGATGAAAACTAGGTTTGATGCTCGCTCGGCTCGCTTCTTGAACATGATTGCTGGGGTCGAGACTTTCTCAGCCACCTCCAGTATTTGTTGGAGGTATAGTGTGACAGGGCCGCCGGCAACAAGACGTCTCAAATGGGGATGCTTGCTCCCCAGAAAGTCTTCGTAGTCTTGCCAGAATTCGAGCAACTCCGGGTTCTTTAGTATCTCCTTGACATATCTAGCCCTTCGGGCTATCATCTCCAATGAAGGCATGCTTGTTCGTTTGTTGCTGCCCGCCAACGCTATAAGTAGTAAATGATCAAGGTACGCTAGGCTTTCAGTAAATCGAACCATTAGATAAACAGTTCCGTAATTCCCTCTAGAGCGCCAATGCCGAATGGCACTTCCTGTAGGTTCCACTTCCCAGTCCCTCAAGTCTTTTGGCGTCTTCCATAAAGCATATTGTGCGCCCTTATCCCAAAATAGGAAAGAAGGTTTTGTTAACAGTTGCCTTGATTCGACCGGACAAATTAGTTTCAGTTCAGCCGATAATTTGGATGCGAAATGGTGGTCTAAGACATGAACCGCGAGATGGCCTAGGATGGCGCTGATGGCCAAGACCACTGCGGGCAGAATAGCCGACGTCAGGCTCGCGACTCGCCAGGAGAGAAGCTCAACTCGCGTGGGGAACTCAAAGTTCCAAGCAAGGCAGTGCAAGCCGCCAAAGATAAGCGACGATCCGGCCATCAGGTAGAATAGCAGGGGTCTATTGCCTTCCAACCAGACGACATCATTAGCCACCCGTTCGACGATGGATGGTACACCCAAGGCCGCCTTGTCAATGGCAGACATTGGTGACAAGATTCGCTGCGTGAAAGATTGCTTTCTGTCCCGAAAGTTGAGGACTGGACCACCATAGCCATGGAACTGCAGCGTGGTCGGTTGAGAGATGTCTTTAGGTTTCCACCAGTTTGCTAGATATATCAATACCGCCATGATGGCAAAGGCAATGGTGGCGATCTCGATCTGGGAAATAGGCAACCCTGTGATATGGCGGACGATGACATTCATGATAATCCATGTGATCTGTAATACAGCAAGGCTTTTCAGGAGCCAGTCGGCCTTGCTCCTGTCTTCAATGTCGTCTTTTCCAAGAACAAGGTGCATTAATGGATGTTCCGCATCTTCAAAACGCCACCTAAATCGCCGAGTTAGATGGGACGCTGTGACAGTATGTGGCCCTTGAGGAAATACGAGGCCGCCCATCTGAGCATAGTAGGAATGCACAACCGTCCAATTTTGTATAATAGTTCGTGTAACTCCCAAACTGTTCCGTGTAGTTTTTAACATGTTATCTTGCTCCTGTGACGGCGTATTTCGTGAATACGTATTATGGCCGTCATCTGGACTGCCAGCCGGTTCCAAATTCGCTCCATCGACTCGAGCCTGATCCTTTCCCTCTGGATCGCCAACTGACTCTTGAGCATAATTGTTCAATGACTTTTGTTGCAATACTTCCAAAGACGGCGTTTTATGAATGGAACCTGGCTGGCTCTGTCCCTCACGCGTCTGCCGATGGTCCTCAGTTGCTAGGACATGGATCGTTTGCCTGTCTTCATGACTTTTTCCCCCGTTCTGAAGATCTGGCTGAACGAAAGAGGACTGCCTAGCTTCCAGTTCAACAGTTGTGTTGTCGGGGTGTGTTGAAGCTGAGGGGGGCCCAACAATGAACTTTGCCAGGAAGCGCTTGAAGGGGAAACAGCCTCTGACCACATTTTTGGCCGGTAGGTTCAGCAGATGTGGTGGTCGGTCCAGTCTCAGCAGATCATAAAGGAAACCAGACCATCCGTCTGGATAATCAATCTCCCAGGTCCACCTTATGACGTACCAACTGTCGTGAGAAAGCTGGTGACGGGTGGTCCATTCGATGGTCTTGTCAATTTCCCGTAGATAGTCGTCGAACTCGCGCAGCTCTTGAAGAGCCAGGCGGAGATCGCAGACGGCTTTAGAGAATACAAACTCTGGGAAGAGGATATTGATGGCCATCCACTTGAGTTTCCGCAACGCAACAGTCAAAGACGTGTCAAGACGACCAGGCACATTGAGGTGCAGCACTGTCCAGGTGCAGGCAAAGATCGTGATCACGCAGCTCCAGAGGAGCGTCAGCGTGCCCCGCTCTGTGGGACCTGGTACCCAACCTACCACGATATCGGCCATGTTGTCGTCGACAAGATTCCTGGACTTCGGTAGGTCTCATTTGCCACGAAAGGGCTAGAGAAAATAAGAGAAAGGAGCAGACCAAATGCTAGTTAGCAGGTGAATTTTAGAGGTGGATTTGACATTCAAAAATTTTCGACATTATGCTCTTACGAAGACCACTTACGACAATTACCATTGACTCGTCCTTCTGAATCAGTCGAGCCACAGATACAGGCATGCCGCCAAGGCTACTTTCTTCCAATTATGAAGCGCCACAGGGAGGCACAGAGCAGCTGAGCGGCTGCGGATGGCTAATCTCTAGTCAGATTCAAAGGCGTAAACGTGCCGATCAATACGTCCAAGGCTCCACGTTTCTCATTCCTTGCTGTCCTTCTTGCTGCTCGACAGGCTGCACCTCCCACACCACAGTACTCAGGGACATAGGTATCGAAACTACCTTTTTTCCTTCAATCCTACTTTTCAATTACATTATAGGTTATCTACCCCGATGTCCTGAGTACTAAATACACCTCCGCAAGCACCATGTAAATTGAGGCGAGATTTCTCATTTGTCGATTACCCCAAAGGACTTTCAGCGCTTCACGTCAAACTACCTAGGTACAAAGGCAATCTGTAGCTGTGCTGTGCGAACCATAAGCAATTACTTGCTGCCAAGGCTCGGCCGATCCACTCACGCCTGACTTCAGGAGAGCATCTGCACGTCTAAATGCATCAGTCACAGGTTTGCGCATGCCTAGGGACCAACCAAACGTACCAAGGGACATCGTCAGGGTTGTGCGACACGCTCTGTGCCCAGGACCACGGGGAGAGCGGCCCGCGACTCATCAGAATGTACCGCACCTCCTTGCTTCTACTTTGATGAGTAAGTATGACCACAGTTTGGTATATCTCTTACGCCTTGGAAATGATAAACACCTCCGAGTTTGATTCCATGGCATTAGCCATCGTCTTTGATTTGAGAAACGCTACGTGTGATTCTTTCAAAAAACGGTAGGTGAATTCCGAGTTTGCAGGTGACTTAGACTGATACCCAGGTACTGCAAGCTAACTCTTTCATCGATGGAGAAGGCAGTTCAACCAAGTACGCCGATGACTTTGAGGTGAGCTAAAATATCACAACAAGCGCCAAAGTTGTCTGAATCTTGATTTTACAATAATAAGTCAAGATGCATTAGGGTAAAAAACCATCAATCAATTATAATTTGCAAGCCAGGTCTTATTAGAACGTACATTATAGAACAAACAGCGTTAAATGACTCTTGAGGAGGCGTGAGGGTGTAATTCCGTTCCTGGCATCATGGCAACACAATTTATCCCTTTCCCGAGATCCTGTATTTATATCGACCTTCCAGTACTGCAGAGGGAAAGACAAAATATTACTCCAGGAAACAAAGAGAACTCAGTCGCAGCTATGAAGGAATTGAAGTAGTGCCCTGGCAATTGGCTTCAACGACGAGACTCCCCCGCCTGTACCTCGCTATCTAGCTTTCAGATTGGTAACACATGATTTAATGGAGCGGAAATGCTGCTGAGAATGGAAACCTGTAACATACCTACTATTTCATAGTTGGACAGGGGCTCTACACTGTCAGTAGATGGAAACACATACATAGCCATCCATCCTTCTATTCATCACAAGATATTAGATATGAGTCCATATCCCTTGTCTTAGCTGCGCTTGCTAGTAGTTGTAGCGATAGTTTCATTATAAATTATATCACCCTTATGCGGCCTGTCCCCAGTACGAAGTAAATGGATATGGGCAGTGAAAATGTGCTCCGGCCACAACAACACAATCTCGTTGGATGTCCAGCCATTTAGACTTGTCATGATGTTGCACGGGGGCAATTCTGTCACACTCTTTTCGAAACCATTGTCCCGCTGTCTATAGCTTCATCAGCTTGGTGACGTACAATCATGGAAAATATTTAAACCAGCCTGCCTCGTCATTGCGGCTCCTGAAACACGCCACAAAGTATCCTTCCCCCAAGGCCACCGCTATTTCATCTCAACCTCATATTCACGACTTCATCTTTCATCCGACTTCAAATGCATCCAAGCAACTCTCATAATATGCCGCGTTTCTAATGGTAGCAGTCCTGAATGCGACTTCACCGCATGACACCCTTGACACGGCAGTGGAGCTCCTGTGGCGAGCACTGACCACCCGGTGTGGGATGGGAACGACTATTGAATATCGTGAAGACCCTGATGCATCGCGAAGTTACGTTGCGATGCATGTAATATGATCAGATTGCGAGCCTTAGCGAGAAACGGCCAGGCTTACTGTAGCCCATTGCCATTCCATTGAATGCCATATTTGCCATCGCAGGTGGACTGTGCGAACGGCGGCAACATTGAACAGACTTCGAATCTGGCCGTAGAGTAACACTCTTATAAGGCTAACCACCATTCTCAAGCTTTCAGTGTGAATGGAGGGATGCTCTCAACGGTCGTGTGTGCGCCCGACAATCCGGGAGACTTCTTGATTGAATGCGATGGTATCATACTCCTGGAGTCTGAGCGGCAGCTTGAGCTTGAGGTTCGCACCGGTGCTACGTGGGCAAGGCAGTTCCTCAGACGTCCCGCCCGTACGCCCCCATCCACACCAACCCCAACAATTGGTGTGCCATCTGGAAACCGACTACGGTAGTTTTAGTTCGGACATGCACGTGTCCATGCAGTTCTTTAGACGCTAGCTCGAAGCTTCTTTTCTACACTCAAGAACTGACCGTACTACGTAAGGCGATTGTATTGATATGCACGCCCTGACCATATCTTCCTATCTAGGCTGCTTTTTGACTTTGGTCGACTTCTCTTACAATCACACAGACAAACTTACGCCTCCTTTTTGAATGGGTTGTGGGGCGTTATGGACTTTGCTGATGATTTGGGTCAAGCGATATCCTCACCCTCATGCAGGTTTGGTATATTGGCATTCGCCGGGTCGAAGCTAAAAGTACGTCGTATCGAGGAGTTTCCAACATTCCAAGAAGAGGGTGTACAGTCGCATTTGGAGAACGACTAGAGATGTATGATGCCCGTCAATAGTTGCAACAGAACGTGGCCTAGTCGTTCAACCTGGTAAACAAGAGACTTGTTCGCTCCTTCGCGTTTCATCGGCCTCCAGTTCTAGTCCGCCGGTCTGTTGTAGCATCAATAGTGGCTACCATTGCCTGTCAATAGAGCCGAATTTCGGTATCAGCCACGGAAAATTGATGGGAGGAACGATAATAAGGTTTCGCGTGGATTCAACACATTTCAATGCCTGTAACATCCCTCATTTCGCCACCTTCATCAGACGGCAGCCGGTGTGCTCCGGGTATTAGGGACGGGGATTTCTGGGATGGACCCCTGGCTGCACGGAGAGTTTCGATCGGGGTCAGGCAGATTCCGCAGATTCCGCAGCGGAATTCAAGCTCGCCGGCGGCTGTATCAGGTTTTCACGTGGTTTTCGCCTTGAATCTTGTTCATGTGGTACAACGTGGCGTGCCCAGTACCGTGTACACCGCAAAGCTTGAGAAGATTACAACAGGACTTTCACCCCATCTGGTGGAAGCCCAATGTCAAGCCGTGATGTGCAGCTCGGACCTAGGGTCATGCTCTCGGCGCATTTCACATTTACAGCATTTCACAGAGAGACAGACGGCCGACTCAGGCTGAAGCTGTCAGGGCTAGACAGGTCTTACTATGGAACGTGGGCCATACCGTGGCGCTGGGCCGGAGAGGTGGCCTCCACCAATTAGTAACATCCCGCGCTGCCAGGCTACGCCAGCCAAGGTAAAAAGCAGCAAAGCTACTCAAGCTCAATCACATTGCATTCAATTTCCCCTTTAACCTGCAGATTGGTCAGTCTGGTTATGTCCAATTCACCTTTCGGGAAAAGGTCCCATCATTGTAGTTTTAGTGGTAGACTTCAGCGAAATCTGAACAATGTTCATTGAGCGCAAGCAGAGTTGTCAAATGAAAACATGGAATTGCAGTGGTATCTCGTAAGACATAAAAAACAATAAACTAGAGAGAATCAACTCTCTGTGTGACAACAGTAGTCGTTTGAATCCCTGACAAAGAGTCACTCCGTGCGCCAGTTCGCATCTCCGATTGCCGACTTCCTTTTTTGCCTCCAGTCACCGTCACGTTGTACATTATTGGTAGTTCGAGACCGCCGCCAGACCCTCTGCTCCCGTTCCCCCTCAGAGCATCTGTATCGCTTTCAACGTCCGACGGATACAGATAGGTCCCCCCGTTTTTGCTTTTGTTGGTGCCTGTGTGATTACCAGTCCTGGACCGATTGTACATGTTTCCTGTGCTCTTGCCAGAGAGCCCGTTGTACTGTCCTGTCCTCCCTGACATGGTCGACTTGAAGAGGCGGGGCAGGATGAGAGCGAATAGGGGCCGAAGGGTCGGAAGGCAGGCGGCAAGCACTCCGATTGAAAGCTCGATGAATGACCACACGGCGGCATCGGTGTTGTCCCAACTCGGGTCGGTCGATTCTCCAGCAACTCTGAGGGTTTTCATACGGTAGATGGAAATAATACAGGTGCTATAATTAATGTTAGCACTCATTTCAAGTGATTTTGAAGACCCGTGCATCACTTACAGAAAGCCAAGGCAAAACACGCCCATCAACATGATCTTCTGCTTCTTCGGCAGCTGCAGGTTCTTGATGACCGGCAGTGGCATGCTGAAGATGACGAAATCCGAGACCAAGTTGATCGACGCCATGACATACCAGATAGCCAGCTGGTTAAGACAATGACCCGGAACGGCAGGATCCCAGAAGTTTTGGACTGGGCTGCAAACCAGAGGCAGCAGGATCGAGAGACAGAGCGCCCAGCTTCCCTCAAAGATGAGCCCGGCCATGGTCAGCTTCTGCATGACCTGGCCAGTAAAGATGCGGCGGTATTGCAGCAGGATGGAAATCTTGACAACACACGTCGCAACGTTGTACACGACAATGGATGAGTAGAAAGCCTTCATATATGGCGTGTAGTTTTCTGCCTCCATGAGCCAGACGTGGCGTCCCAGTCCCCATTTTGTTTCTAGAAGCGAAAATGGTCAGAGAGGCTTTCCATGACGGTGAAGCGAGCGAGCTGTGGCAGGACAGGTGCATAGAATGCTTGTTCGTCCCAATATACACTGGAGAGGAGACATACCGAGACCAATAGCTACAGCAGCTCCTATCGTGAGTAATTGTGCTATACCCATCACCGCATCGTCGGGACCGAATGTTCGCAGAATTCGCGAACGGGTGAAGATGCGCAGGACGACTACTGCTGTTGAGATCACCGTCGCCAGGCTGAGGATGGAGACGATGAAGGTGACCTGGGACTGCCCATCGAGGGCATGGTTGACGTCTGTGGGTCCTGACCCTCCTATGTTCGACATTATGATTTGCTGTATTGTAATGTAGTTCCGAATATGTTTATGCCCTTGCTCCCGTAGTCGATGTTGTCTGACTCGTACTGCTGTTTATAACGAGTCCGCTTCTTGGCCCAGCGTAGAGATTCCACAGATAGACTATAATAAGTCACATAAAAGTGTGGGTGGTCTGTCTGGCAGAGTCAGACAGCCCTGCGAGGGTTGTTACCGAGTTGATATAAGTCCTTCGGCCGATAGTGATCCGATATTGTTTAAGGGAGAGAGCAGCACCAGCAAAGAAGATTTCCAGATGGGTCCATCGATATATTTCAATCTCATGCAGAACCACTACGTATTCGCTGCTAGTCCACGTCGAGGAACGCACCACCCAAACAAAAAAGCATGGCCTGGATGTCGAGGTACCGAGGTCAGTCAGGGGCAGTCTTCTTCAACCCATCCCTCCTGCCCCTGTCTAGGTATGCATGTCCATCGGCCCCTTGCAAAGTACCTGCAAAGTGCGCTCATCCCAAGTGCCAGATCTGCGAAACAGAGTTGAGACCTGGGGGCTTCCTTTGAACGGGGATTTAGCCCGCAAAGCTATCATGAACATCAACCTAACGGACCGGTGGCCAACAAGCCCTATCCTGGGCGAGACCCTCGACTATGGAAGCTATGGCGATGCACGAACAAAGAGGATCCCCAGAATCCAACGTGAATAAAATGATGCAAATGGCCTAGTCGCGCCATTGGCTTAGGAGAGGGAGCCTCCGGTGCGTACTAGTTGGGGAAGCTAGCAGACCAGGGTAGCATCCGGTACGATGAAGCGTGAATTAGGGGCTTCGCAGTCGCCGCGATGCTGTACCTGAAGAGGTATGGATTTCCCGGCAAAATGCGACCGGAATGCTACGCCACCATACAGCGAACATTCAAACTGTTGGTGATGGAGGTGGTGCGCGCAGATTATGTGGCTTCGCCAGTTGTGAAACTGCAGGGAAGGTCCATGTTTATATTCCCTTGTCCTTAAGTTCAGGTCTTAAGACTTCCTCGAGTCTTGGTGGCTTCGCCTAGCGGGATGCTAACGTGACGCGGATCTTGGCTCGCAGAGCTGTCAAGAGAGGCACAGACGGGAGGGAGCCATAGCATATCCATCCGTGGATGACAATGTTGATCACAAGATGGCAGCCCCTCGGTACCACAGAACCCATCATCCAATGCGGAAAGCATGAAGTCTAACGCCAGCTGTCTCGTGTGTCCAGCCCATTTGACTTTCGTGCTTTTTGGGATGGCCAAAGCTTTACGTAGGCGAAAAGCCATTTTCCTTGGCCTGCGCATCATGGGTCCTCTCGGGGATTTGGAGAGGCGAGCAGCAGCCCCTGGGCAAATCTTTCTACGGTCCGGCACGATGGAACTCCCTTGCAGGAAATGAGACGTGGGCTGCCAGACGATCCGGGGACCTTCGGAACGACCTTCGAGTGCGTATTCCAAGATGTGAGAGAGTGAGTACGTACACAGTACTACGCAAAACTCGCTGCATAGTTCTCCAGGGCGAGTGCTACGCTGCGGTGGACGGCGAATTGGAGTCGCCCATTCATCAAGCAGCATCGGTAGATCCTCGCGTGAAGTCGCAATTCTTTCTTGTTGGGGGCATGTCGCCTGCCCAGGTTGCTCCACCATGCTCGGAAGACATTACAAACCCGCCGAGAAACTCTCCGATGCCCAGTACACTGCCCAGTACACTGTGACCAATGCTCACATTTAATGCGCGAATGAGGTTTCCAGATCATCTCCCACGCGTCCACCACGCAAGCTGGCAAGCAGTTTCTCACATGTGTGCGGCATTTGGAGTACGAGCGTAGAAGATCATAATCTGAGTCTAAATGCACGATCATCTCATAGACGTATGAGAGTCCAGACTCCAGGCTATGAGGACGGTGTTATCCTGCACGGCTCGGGATAGGAGTACCCTGCCATCATTAGGTCGGTGTCATGGTCCCGCCGTCGGCGGAGTCCTCTAGCGGGTACTGTGGCGGTTGACAAGATGATATCGTCAGTGTTCCAATTTGTCGGGACAGGCGGGACGGACCCGGGGCATTTCGACTATATTGAAGAGGATGCCGACCTTCCCAAAACCATCTTGATTGCCCGTGCCTGGGGACGGCCAGGGACGGCCAGGGGCGCAAGGTTAGTCTTGAAAGGGTCATTGAAGGCCGTCCAGACTGCCAGACCACTCTCTCTCCTTCTCTGGCCACCCCTACTAGCGCTCTAGCGCAGCGTTGCAGCCGCACCGCACACGAACGCTTGATCTAAGACAGTCGTGGGAAGGTGAGCGAGACTAGCGCTCAACGAACAGCCACGGAAACTCGACTACCGTCCGAGCGTCATCGAAGTGGTCTAGTCGGATTTCGTGTCTGCTGGTCTTGCTGTGTTGTCGCGGAGCGGAGAGGGACTGTCTAGCCAAGGCCCGTCGGCTCGGACGCAGGCTCGGACAGATGTAGGGCTACAGGGCTATATTTCCAACTATTTATCTCTGATCTTGACGGCCCCGGGTTCGGCTCAACGCCGAAGGGCACAGACGCTGTCGTTGACTTGAGTCTCCATACACTATAGTCTGTGCGCTGAAAGAGGGACGAATACTCGACGACATGCGGCCGACAGCCAGTCGATGTTGGGCCGGTCATGTGTCTTTGAAGATCATATCGGAGCAAAACATCCTCGATGTGCTACTGAACTAAAATCTAGGCAGGCGAATGGTCTTCGATTAGTTTACAGTGGAAGGCGCCAAGGAGAGATTAGGATACTCCTAATGTGGATGTCTAAGCTGCCAGCCCTAAAGAGAAGCCGGCGATAGCCATCGACACGTCAAGATCTGGATCGGAATTCTCAAACCCTTATAATCCAAAATCTCTGTGATAAGATAGCGGAATCAAGGAGCCCGCGTCCGGGAGACAGTAGTCTAAGTGAAAGCGAGTGGGTTATCCCAGTGAGGCCATCGGCTCACGGCAACTTCGAATAGTTAGATTGGCACGTGGATCCCTAGAGTCCAAAGGGAAGGGCTCGACATAATACACTTTACAGCGGGACCCGGGCCATCCGACAGTTTTGCGTGGTGTTGTTGTAGTCTTTCGATCCAGCTTTGACTTCGATGATCGAAATATTGTGAAAAACAGATCGACAACTGCTCCACTTGTCAAAGCCCAACCCCTGACAGATGCTTAAGTCGAAGCTTATACCTGGGTAGAGCCTGTAGTAATGTGTATCGAAATTTGAAAACATGTCCACACACACACACACACACACACACAAGTCTTGATCCCACACAAATACTGTCGAGCTCAATCAAGGTGAATGCTCGCATAACGCTATGTCTAGGCATGCCGAGCAGGGTGGGGTGTCAGCATAGTCCCTGGGTAAAACAACCTTCTCTATCGAGGTAGACCTGCTACTGTACTCTAAAACAAAGCATCACACAGCGGAAAACAACTAAGGCGGCCGCGCATAATTCAGTCATCCCATGCTCGTTCTACGACGCTGCATCGCTTCTTCTCCATCCCAGCACGCACACGCACGCACACCTTGACACCCAACCCACACAACGCGCATCGGTCTGTCAGCCACCCGGAGATCTAGTTTGTTTACACTACTGCTATGGGGCGGAGGAGCCACTGCAACCCAGCAGTCAAAGCGCAGCTCCGAGGGCCTAACGCCGGACCCGGGGAGGAGTCCTCCTGCGTGCTGCTCCTGTATGCTTCCCGTATGCTCCTGTACATGGGGAGGGCATGCTCTCGACTCTTGCCCTGCCTGGGCATGCTCCCCGAAGCCCCGAGACCACATCGAACAAGATCCGTTGGCCAGAAAACTCCCCGAGGATGCATTGTCCCCCCTTTCCACCCTGGCCCAGGAGGGTGACGATTACTGCGCTCAAAACCCGCGATGGCTTCTAGGTCCGAGAGCACCATCTCCTGTAGAGCGATTCGAACTTCCTCCTCTCCCCGCTCGGGGGTCCTCCGGAAGGATGGGATCGGGGATAGTCTCGATCAACTACGAGCGAACGAGACGACAGCGATGCTTTGTCTCCCTCATGCGGATTCTGGACGACCTCGGCTTCACGCTTTGGTGGGCAAAGAAGTGCATGTGGCCATCCCATCTTCCTGCCAAGCCAACGAGCATTAGGACCACGGAGCGGGATCACTGATTGTTGAGAAATCGAGGGCTTTCAGACGAATGCCTGAAGTTCCAGTGTTTTAGGATACATTAGTTGTAGCGTTTGAAGATGCTAATGCGGCTGTATAGCGGTATCGACCGATAGACAGACGAATGGGTTGGGGACCATCTGGACTACAGCGGCCTCAGGGGCAACATTTCGGTACGATGGTGGTCCCGCAACCAAGTAAAAGAGCACATTGACGGTCGCCTTACCGTAACCGCAGTGACTCTGACTAGAAAATCCCCCCAAAAAGAACCGAGTACGCCGACCCTTGCGAACGGCCCACCCTGGGCCACTCTTCCGCCGACCTCTCGGGCCTAGACCGTGCCGCTGATGCTCAACTCCCTGATCTCCTGCAACACCTGCTCCACGCGGGCATCCAGCTGCCCCTGGGCGTACTGATCTCTCGTCTCGGCGTCGAGGTACTGCTGCACCTGAGCCATGCGGCTGTAAGCCTCGGCGCAGAAGCGCAGCTGGATCTTGACGAGGGCTTCGAAGGAGGGGTCAAGGTAGGGGACGCGGAGATCGATGAGCTGGGGCAGCTCGGTGGACAGCTGCTCGTTGAGCTGTTCGTAGGCGGCGCGGGCCATCTCCTGCTCCTTCTCGGCCCGGGGCAGCTTGGTGACATCCTTGTCGGGCTTGTCAACCAGTCGCTTGACCTTGGCGCGGAGTGCGTCATAATCGAGGAGTTTGTGGCTGCGCTTCTTAATGCCTATTGCCAGAGTCAGCGGGTCGTCTGCCAACAGCAAGATCCCCATGTGGTCATACACTCGTTTACGTCCGGGAAGTAGGCGCAGAATCTCGTGATGGGCTCCAACACGGTTGTCCTGCCGCGATCTTGTCAGCCGAGGCCTGTGGCCCACTTTCCACAAGCGCTTGGACGTCATTCAGCCGATCGTACCGGTAAGGGCCATCGAGGGCTTTTATCGTCTCTGCGTCCAGGTCTTCCACGGCCTGTTTGTAGCTTCTGCTGACACCATCCTTGGCACCGGCGTCCCCGTAGAACGCGTCGATGGTCTCGGCGATGCGCATTTGTGATGCTGTCATTGCTGTTCCCAAGTCAGACGGTGGGGATCGATATGTCGGAATTTTCTGGAGCCCGAACCTCGTAGGGAGTCCAAATAACCCTTAGCCTCTTTCTGTAGCCGTAATGATGCTGCCTCCATCGTACGGAACCGGCTGTGTAGATGTCAGACCTATTTCCCATTGCCATCGCTTTTCGCAGGCTACCACAGCAGGAGGACTGTGCAGTCACAGGGGTGGTTCGTACCGTTCCTCAACTTCGTAATCGCGGTCATTGGTTTTCTCGACATGGCCTGTTGTTGTCGTCGTCGATGGTCAGCCCATGTCATGTCATCACCGGCGAAAGTGAGTCGCAGCAGGGGGCGGGTTGAACGGACCAGTCTTCATCATAACCTGCGTCGTCGCGCGGTTGACATTCTTCTTGAAGCCTGTACAGAAATCCCCATCAGTATTGCTTCATGTCCTTGCTTCTGGTGGTCGGAGGGATCGGAGTAGGTTGTGGGAATGACTTCGTACCTGCCCACGACATCTTGGGCGATGGTTCGAGGGGGGGACTTCGATCGAATAGGGGCCGAGCAAGGAGAGCTGTCGGAGGCGACTGAGGGTCGAGTAGAGGAGCACAGGTGTTTTTGCAATGTTTAGAGCCGTCGACAGTGGTGTTGTTGTCGGTGTTTGGGATGGTGATGCCGTCGTCAGCTGAAGTTGAACCGTCACCCGAGTGTTGATCATCCGTCCTGCCGTCAATAGCAGCAGCTGCACGTAGGCAGGCAGTGAGTCCAAGAGCCCAAATTGTGGCTGTGCTTGGCCCAATTGCAGGTGGGGTTGGGGGGAGGGTGCCTACGTCACTCTTCACGGTCCAAATCTCAACTGACAGCCACTGCAGAATTGGGGTCCGCTACTGACTGCTGGTCCTGGGCCTGGCTTGGGCTCGGGTGGCTCAGCCTCACCACTACCTGGGTACTTTCTGCTGCACGCACTCAGACTCGCCGATGACTCGAATATTCGCTCCATTCCGATCTCAAATCACCCGCTTAACAACCTTGCTTATCCAGCTAGCACTCTCAATTTGAGATAGCCTGGACGCACACCCATAATTGAGGCCATTTGACGGCCTGGGATTGCCGATGCAGAGCTGCAGCTCCGTCCAATCCCACCCAGGCCGCCCACTCCTTCAGCCCAGCAAAAAGGCACGGCAAGAGTCATCACCAAAAATAAAGTGCGGCAGACAAATAAGCACAGTCAACCACCGAGCCAGACTCAGAATATGGCTTTGTCACAGTACATAAGGCCAGCCTCGAGCTGCCACGGCTTTGTTCGCCCAATGCTGCTCACGTTGACATCGATATCGCCCTCGACCACGTCAAACTCGGTCGCATCTCAACAGGCATACTCCAAGATGGCGACAGAAGACACACCATCACTATTCAACCCTCGCTTCCTCGTCATCAGCCTGGGAAACCCGGCTCCCCACACCAAGACCCTCCACTCAGCAGGCCACCTCGCCCTGCAGGCGGTGCAGCAGCAACTCCACCGCGAACACGGCCAGCCCTCATTCTCATCCGAGCGGATAGCAAAGACGAAGGCCCAGATATCCGTCGGCGACAAGTACACCCTGCTGCAGTGCCCCACCTTCATGAACGTGTCTGGTCCCTTTGTCGCGAAGGCCTGGAAGGCACTGCTGGCCACCCACCGGGAGCAGGACCCGACGAGGCCGCTGGGGCTGGTCATCGTGAACGATGACCTCGAGGAGGACCTGGGCGCCATCAAGGTGCAGAAGTGGGAGAAGAGCCACCGCGGCCACAACGGTATGAGGAGCATCAAGGCCGTCATGAACAACGGCGACTACCAGGACTCGAAATGGGCCCGGGTCTCGGTCGGCATCGGGCGGCCTGAGGCCAGGGATGCGGCAACCGTCTCGAACTACGTGCTCAAGCCGTGGAGCGAGCACCAGGAGGGTGTCATTTATGGGAACTCGGGGCCTGGGGTCCTAGCTGCCCTCAACGAGATCGAGGAGGCGTGGGGGAGGGAGAGGGAAGGCCTTTCGGGGAAGTCGTCCAAGGTAGACAGCCACAACCAGCCCAAGAAGGCCAAGAAGCAGAGGCCATCCAACAAGGAACCTGCCGACGATGGGATCGTTGGCAAACTGGCGGACGCAGCGACAATAGCTATCATGGACCCATAACGGATTGTATATCAGTCATGGCTGCAAGAGCCGCATTGGAGGCATCTGGGACAGAAGGGCAGGGATATGCATCTGGGTCCATCATTTGATCATTTAGCGGTGGCGTTAGCATCGGTTTGGGCTGCGAGCATGCAGTGATGATGAATCTCAATAGATATGATACCCCACAGCAATTGCTGAAAATTTAAAACATTCTTCCAATTCAATCTCTTCGGTGCTCGCTCATCCGAGCTGACGTGTCCCCTCTCATACTTGCCAATTTACTGCTATCCACTCCCTGTCAGAAGTCCTCCAGCTTGTAGACATGGTAGGATGGCTCCTCGTAAGGATGAGCCCTGTCAAAAACCATCAGCCATCGTCTATCTGATTCTCTAGTCCCACGCCATCAGATTAGAAGGGGCAGCAACACTCACTTCTTCAACGCGTCAACAGCCTCCCGCGTCGTCTCCTCCCCGACGCACAGCGTCTCCACCACCGCCTCCTGCACCTCCTCCAGCGCGCCCGCCTTGCCGATGTGCGGGCTCGCCGCGTCCCCCGGCCGGAACTGGCCCGTCCCCACCACCGTGAAGGCGCACTCGCTGTAGTTGGGGTACCGGCCCGCCCCGGCCGCGAAGATCGCCTGCTTGCACGCCGCCACCGCCGACAGCGGCGCGTGGAAGATGAGCTTGTAGCGTGTCACCGCTGCCGATGTCGCCATTGCTGGGTGTGATGCGGGTGTGTTTGTCTTGGCGATGACTGGGCGTGAGTCTGTGCTAAGTAGGTGGATACGATGTCTGTGGTTTTATGGTGGGTTTGCTTGCGGGCCGGGCCGTGGCGTTTGTTCTGTCGGGATGGGGTCCAGTTTCGAGGCGATCACGACTTCGTGCTGCTTCGCGTGAGTGATGAGTTCAGTCTTGACTGGTGAGTTCCCTAGGATGCAGACAAGAAGGCCGTTGTGTTTATAGCAACAGCCTTGTGAGTTGTCAACGAGCCAGCCCCTCACTGCTCAGGTGATCACTCCCACCTCTGCCCCCCTCCCCCGCCCCCATCACAAGCCGCCATATACAACGTGACCCACAGAGAAGTTTTATACAAGAGGTCATCTCAAGAAAGGTTATCCTAAAAGAGATCATTCTGCAAGAAATTATTCTATAGCTCGATATCCGACAGCTCCCCAATTTTTGGTTCATTCGTCCCAGAGTCACTGTGGCTGCGAAGCGGATACCCGAGCTCAAGCTGGTCATGACATGATGATCAACTCTTTCTTAGGATTCGCGCTCTTCCAGTCGACTTCTTTGACGAGACGTCCTTGTGCTGTGGCGTTCACTCTCTCGGCTATGTTCCCGTCAATGGAGATAAGCATTAATCGGAAAGACCTGTTGTTCGGGTCGTGGTAGACCACAATGAACGGTAGAAAGGTACCCCTTTGAGCCACATAGGCGACGTTGAGGCGTATATTTGTGAGTTGCTGATTGGTCTGGGGGTGGAAGACACGATACTCGCGCGATGAACCCACAAAGTCACCTGGCGGCGTACGGAGTCTGAGATATGCAACGCTAGTATAGAACGCAATCAGACCGGTCGAGCAATCTCCTTGGTGTTCTAGAGACTTATTTTTCGACTTGATGTGCTCTTCATAGGGAATGAAGTGGCTTCGAAGTTCGACATCCATCCGCGGCAGGAAGTCACTGCCCAGAAATCCAGCCGGGCGTGACTGGCCGAGGAGTTCGATGCTGGAGGATGAGACCTTGTAAAATGTCAGGAGCTGGCTCATGTTCCAGCCAGTAATCAACGGTTGGATGCCGACATCAGCTTGCTCATGGCTGTAAATCCAGCCAGTCCAAGACCACGAAGGAAATCCTACCCGGCGTTGAAGGCTGGTGTCCCAGAACCAGCAGCCATGGATCACTTCAACGAACATCCTCTCCGGAATTCCATGGTAAGCTGGCCCGAGCAACGGCTCGAGAATGCCGGCCACACCAGCAAAAGCGTTTTCCATGTCGTCGATTCTGCTGAGCGTGCGCTGCATGTATCGCTTCACAAGGTCCCGGAAGAGCAGAAGCAAATCCTTGCCATCCGCAGCAGTTTTTTGGTCGAGTATGGAAGCCAGCGATACAAGTCCTTCCTCTGATCTGGGAATCGGGTCCCTAGTTTCTAGCCGGAGATCTTCTCTCCATACCACCGAAGCGCAGGAGAAGAACATGACTTCCGGAAGGAGGACTAGTGTCCTTCGTGAGCAGAGCTCCTCCTGGAATGTCCACCCTCGTGCCCTCCACGGGGATGTCTCTATCCCATGCTTGGTGCTGGCCGAAACTTTCATGAGGCACAGCCCAGGCAGTTCATATCGGCGATGTTTGTGCAGCCTTTCTGTTCCAATTGTAACTCCAGGCAACCCATTTGAACAATTGTCTCCGTCAGCGGCTACAATAGTCATGACAGCGTATCGGTAGATTTCGTGCATCTGGGATATCGGTCCGTGGCGAGAGGTCTCATCGTCCTGCACGATGCACAGAGCGTCCACCCAGATCTATCGGTATCCGATCATCTGAACCAGCTGAATTGCGTCGCGGATAGTCTGCGGAATCTGTACATTTCGTAGCTGGCCTTTAAGTGTCCACAGTCCTAGGACCGCCTTCGTCAAAACTGGCTGAGCAACATAGCCCCAGACGTAGCTCAAGGCTATATAGGGGACCGGAGCAGCCGTCGCTACCGTGACGAGGCACATCATCTCAGCATCGATGAGGATCAAGCCGGGATGGCACGAATCTTCATTTTGCCGAGAACAGAGTGTGTGCTCTATGTCACACTGGCTGAGCCAAAGCTTGATCAGTTCGACATCCAGACTCTCTGTTACTTCTCGCGCGAGCCCGCGTTTGCCATCTTGAAATGGGACGAGTACGCAGACATCTTTCGCGTGTTGTCTGTGCTCTGCCATCAGCGCGTCCTCCGGAGCCACTGCGAGGGTCTGGTCAAATTTGATAGGATCTGGAGAATACGAGCGAGACTTGTGGGTAGCAAGTGACTCTGTCGTTATTTTGGACTTTTGGAACACATCTGGAACATCCGGGTACGTGTAAAGGGGAGGCATTCCGTCTCCAACTCGCACAGTCTTCTCCGTTTTTCGAAATTCCTGCAGCCTGATGGCTGACCAACGCTCATGCTTCTCCAGGACGAAGTCAACTTTGTCGATAGACGACCAATCAAATCTGACGCGCAGGCGTGGGTCAGGAGGTGGCACGTGATACTTGAAGACCGCCTCTTTTTCGGACTGTGTTGCGTCTTCTAGTTCGTGCCGGAGTCGAACTAGGTCAACATTATGAATCGCTCCAGCGGGCGAGAAGTCCGCCATCGAGCCGCAGACCAAGCAATCCTGTGAGCCCTCATGTTGCAAGAATGTCTTTCCCATGGAACTCAAAACCCGGTCAAGACTGTCAAGATCAATGGCGGTGTTGGAATCTTCCTCCGAGGGCAGCAAGTATCTGACTTGTGCCCATAAGCTATCGTTCACCGGATCGACCTGTGTACTTTGATTCATATTTGATGCAGTGTGAATGGTTGATGGGCTCTGGTCACCAATTCGTGATGCATTGTCTCTCTCGTCGCTGACTCTCGAGACAGAGATGTTCCCAGCTGCATTCTGAAGTCGATTATACCCATAAGACGCATGTGGTGCGACGACTGGAATGGTCGGGGTTAGAGTCTCAAGCCAGCCAGGCCACATATTCTCCGACTTTGAAATGCTCTGCTCTGACGGCAGGTCCAAGTCCTCCATTATAGTGGCTTGGTCCTTCAGAAGGAGCAGCTGCAGAAATACTTCCATGAATCGCCTGCTTAATTAGTACGAAGTCCAGAAAATCTCCGGGTGGCCGGGCGACAAACATGAGCATAGGAATTTCTCCCTCACATTGCCCCACATCCTGTATTTCACTTTCGACAAGTTGGCACAGAGTGCATCTAAGAGAAGAGTCTGCCTTCATCCATGAGTGAACTACCTTTGACTCCTCGGCGATTAGCTGCAAGTTCTCCCATGGAACCTGTATCAGGATGCTATTTGAACATCTGACGCATAAAAACATATTGAGAGAGCTGAAATCAAATTTGCAAGGTGTTTAGTATTTAGACGGTGACAAAAGTTGAAGGCGGCGAAGAAAGCTTGAATGAGGGGTGGCGCGAGTGGTTGCTTGTAGAGTACGCAATCCAGCCGCATCTGTGCAGTGGATTTCAACAGAGGATTACGCGGCAGCTGATTCTCACCAAGGTCTTCGTGACTCATTGTGTCATCAAATGTTGGCACACCCATATGAAGTGTATTTGGCTGATTTCGAGACAATCCACCAGTAACGAAGGTTTTCAGACCGGGAAGGGTAGTTATCAACACGCTATAACACAAGCCATCACTACAGTTTGTGCCTTATGAATTTACTCTAACCTGTATATGGTCTTGGCTTTATTCTAGATGCTACTGATGGAAATATGACTCTGGGTTCAGATGCTAGGAAGCTTATTTATACAGCTTATCCGAGAGAAATGTCCCATGGAATGATATCCCTCTAGGATTATCCTGGACAAGAATATTCTAGGGACATTGTCTTAGAGATAGATCCTCTGAAAGGGTAATGTTAGTCAAAGACAAACCAAATATAATCCTTCATAGAAACTAAACATCTACAAGAGCTTTTACCAGGTGTATAAAGGAATGGTCATATCGACTGGTAGAACGGGACTCTCCGGTAGGGACTACATATACAGCACACCCGGGAACGTAAATGCTGGCTAGATATCGTCACTTATCATCAGTGACACCTACTGAAGCGCGCTAAATTCAATTTAATGCCATTGACGGCGACGGAAACCCCACTCAATGGCACTACAAACTTCAGTGAGTTGAGTGTAGTGGACGGGCACGCTGCTTCAGCCGCCAGGATATTTACAGACAATGTTGCTATATGGTTTTAGACCCAAACGCATGCACCATCGGCGAGAAAGAGGACGGCAAGGAATAGGATGACGAGGAATAAGACGATGGAGAAGATGACGGCTCATCGGAGTTTGGCCTAACACACATCCTCAAGCATACTTCACGTATGAGAGACTGCCTTCGAGATGTCAACTTTCCCGCGTGGGCGGCGGAAAGCTGTACATCCACGAATCAACAGAGGATCATGGGCATCTGCGATTCATCGGCCTGTTGTTTGACAAGCTGCTGCCTAAGCGGAACTGGAGATCTCCAGTGGTAAAGAGCCGCCTTGGTGACCCGCTGGCTTACAATAGTAAGCCAATCACATAAGCAGTTGTTCAGGCCTTCTTAGGATCCACACAATGACTCACTATATAAAATCCTACTTGAAGCTGTGCTGATGCCGAAAATGAAGTCCCTCACCGACATTCGTGTGTCGATGTTTTGCTCTACCTTGTCCTCGGCGCCTAGCACCCAACATGTCATTCTCAACAGCACCCGATCCATTAGACCCTGAATTCACCAAGGACAAACACGAAAGTCAATTTACTCTGGTGATTCAGGATCTTATCAATGGTTCAATAGATCCTGAATCTGCAGCCCGAACTATCGATAAGATAGTCGTCGACGAATGTCAGGAGGCTTTTGTTTCTTATACCTCAGTACCGAATCCCACCCCGGAGCAACTAGCAGATGGCACGATTTTATCCCCTCAGCCCGCCGGGTGGGAACATTTCTTGTGGAACTGTCTAGGCATAGCAGCTATGAAGCTGCCAGCTGATGATGCGAGCCAGGACCGCCTCGTGAGCTTGGTACAAGAGCTCCAGCGGTTGCCACGCCACACCGTTCCATGGCTTGCTGCTGGATGCCTCAAGGAGAAGGAACTTTGGAATTTATCCCGCGAGAACGGATACGCATACTTCAAACAATGGTTATGGGAGCTGCATGAAGGACATTTCGCCGGTCGCGGTCATATTGAGAAGGACACAGATGCTTCTACGGCGTATCTCAATTTCTCATCCTTCCTTGCCCGACTCCTGGCTTCCTACGTAGTCGACACAACTTCACTTTGTGCGCTAATCCGGCCCTCATCTTTTGCAAAGTCTCCTTTACCCGCGCAATACGAGGCGTACTCGAATGCAGGCACGCAGTGGATTCAATATGCCGGGGAAGCACTGTACGAAATGTGCGCGAAAGGGGCGCTTGAAATTGGCAAAAAGAGGTGGACTCAGGGACTATGGAATAGTTGGAAAGCCAAATTTGCATTCATTAAGGACAATGATGAATTCACCAAGGAAGGCCGTGAACGAGCGACAATAGCACTGGATCGCATGGCTCAGATAGAGACAAAGGGACTTGATGGTATTAGAGGGGGTGTAGTCGAGCATTTTGGTTTCATCATTGCGGAAGAGCAGGCGTAGAGACCCTTAATGGGGAATTCGAGTTTCTAAAGACATAACATCACTGTTTCCAGGGCCCCTGCAGATGTCTGAAAAGACGAATTATTGAACGCAGAGAACCGCCTGAGTGAGTGTATTAGAATCGTTGGTTGAGAAGGAGGGGATAATGGACGGCACCTGTAATTCATAGTCTAGCGGTACTGGAGTCATGGGATTCTGAACCCCCAACAACCCCAACATCGTACGTAATAGATTTCTACGACACCATACCGTGTACAAAAGCCATGCTCTCAACAATGATTCAGGTAGGTATTACTGATCAATGACAACCCTAACATGACCTCCCAAGGAAACCACATCCACATGAATGCCACCGGATATATAAAAGACGGGTTATAGCATATTGGATTGCAATATATTAGATTAGTCATCTGCAGACTTAAATTCAACTCCCTCACTCACACACACTATCGGAACAGCACCGCCACGCCGTGAATAATGACAATACACCATTGCCGATCACCCTATGACTTACATCCCCACATAACTTTATCCCACGGGAAAGCATTCCAGAGCAGGTTATCCCAAAGGATAGCATCCTACAGAGGTTATCTTATGAAAGGTTATCCCACAAGAGGTTATCCCACAAGAGGTTATCCCATGACTGGTTATCCTATACTTCCCCGTTTCCCTTTGAGTTATCCCACAGGTACTGTGGCCACTAAGAGGAAACCCGAGCTTAAGCTCATTCAAGCTTTGCGAGCAAAAACATCATTGGGGCATGGCCGTTTGTGAGGGTGCGGCTCATCTCGATATCGTTGATCAATGGTTGATCTTGAAATCATGTGACAAAAACAAATCGATGACCAAGTCATGCCCGACAATTACTTTAGAGTAGATTCCTAGAAGACTGTTTGTACTTTTTCCAAACCACTACAAGATGCCTGGAAAGAAAACGCCAGAGGGATGAAGTTTTGCAGAGCGTTCTTCCAAGGTTGATGCAGTCGCCAACATTAAACAGCAAGTACGACATCGATCACGGGCTGACCTTCGGACTCCAGCGAGAGTTTGACGAGGGCCTACCCAGTGATCGCCTCTAGTGCCAACTTGAGCATTAGCACAGACAGAAAAGCTTTCGCGACGCTACTCACTCTATCTGCTTTTCTATGACGCACAAAGTGGACCAAATACTCCACGAGGAAGTAATCCCAACAAGTACGCACGATCTCATTTGGAGACTCTCGTTCGGGCAAATTTGGAAGCAATATGCAGTCCACCGCGACAAGCGCTTGGGTTAAACATATTTCTCATTAAGCCTCGCAGCTACGGGAAAGATGGATACACAAATCCTGCCCTACGGAATCGTCTTCAATAATCTAGGTTGCTACACGGACAACCCATATCAACGAACTCTGAAAGGACCAAATTGGAAAGACCAGCGTAATGTGACCCATGAGTGGTGCGCCACGAGCTGCGCACAACTGAATAGGTCCTTTTTTGGCCTAGAATACGGAAGCGCATGTAGGAGCCCACTTTCGCTGAACCTGACATATTGCATAGGGTTTTTAACACATGCTGATATCCAGTTAGGTTTCTGCGGCAACGAGATTGATACCTCAGCTGCTCCTGTGGATTGTACATGTCAGCGATGCCTAGGTGATATGTCGCAATGCTGTGGGGATTGGAATAAAATCTCCGTCTTTTCGTTGACTTCCACTCGAACAACCGCCAGCAGCGATAGCACCACGAACACCGCAAGCACCACAGGCACCACAAGCACCACACCTTCCTCGTCGGCTCAGAGTGCGAGTGAAAGCTCTGCCACAGTATTCTCTGCAGCTTCCACTCCCACGACACAAGCAACAACAACTACAACGCCAAACACATCAAACATATCGTGGTCACAAACGAACTCAACAGTGTCAACAGATGAAACATCTATTTACTCTTCCTCATCGAGTAGCTCAGCATCATCTACGGTAAGCAGTCACTGACCCCTTAACCTAGTGAATCTGCACTTTATCAACTACCCCGAACGCGACCTCCGAACACAGCACACCAGGAGCAAACCTCCACAACATCACCTCCAAGCTTCATATCTTTTAGTAGAAGACTATCCTCATCAGCAATGTCTGGTACTGCAATCTCCCCTCCCTTCTCGACGGCTCGTCCCACGTCGAGCGAAATCTCTACCGAAGAGGACTCGTCCAAACCTACTCAACCTGTTTCACCTCCACCCGGGCTCCCTCCCTTAACTTCTGATTCAATTGACAAATGGACTCTCACTTTCCCACATCAGCCACCCGTAATATCGCACAGCACCACAGAGTCCCACCGGCCCTCTGACGGAAATACCGAGACCAAGCTAACAAGCTCTCATGCCGCGACTCAGACAAGCTCCAGTGTACTTGAAACTTCAATTCTCAGCAGCCTGGGCAGTTCCCACCCTTATTCGTTCCCTACCGTGCCCACCGCGCCTTATCCGTCGAGCAGCACCATCACAGGCCCTCATCCTTCAGATGCTGGGGCCGGCGGTCTCAACAAGGCCATCATTGCTGGCGTAGTAGTCGGGGGCGTCGCATTTGTTGCGGTTGTTGTTTTTGGCATCTGGTTCTGGAGGAAGGTGAAAAAGCAGCAGGACGACGATGATATCTCGATGGTGGGAATGCCCAGGACTGAGGACGTGCCAATGGGGATGCGAAATGGCATAAGACTTGTGAGGGGCAATACGGATCGGATCTGAGAGAGTAGAGGCAAGGCAAGCCAGATGGTACCTGTGGGTACTTGGCTCTGGGATGGGGAAACATAAACGCCTCGCGGCGCCTCGCCTTCACGACACCGTATTCAAGGCAATAATAGACCAAAGCGATTCATTATCCATATTCCAATATTCTTAAAGTCTAGACCGGAAGCATTCAGGACTATCACGGCATGTTGTTACGTGCCAGGGACCTTCTCCGCCTCGACCAGGCCACCCGTTGTCTGAGGGCCTTCATACCCCTTCCTCGCGCCGAGCAACCACCACAGCCCGACGATTATTGTCAGACCACCCCAGATCAGACACGAGTAGTTCATGCTCTGCGCATCCGCCGGCAGGAAGTAAGGGAACGAGTATATCACAAACCAAACCATCAGGTACGCACAAGACAGACCGTTCACCACAAAACCAACCCATCCTCTCATCCTGAACGGCCCATACGTGATTCCCTTCCTGCCATGGAGGAGGTGCGGCAGGATAGAGGCGATGTACGAGCTGCTGAAGAACAGGATCGTGGAGCCGATGAAGGCGTTGAACGCAGTCGTGCTGCCGACGTAGATGCACCCGAGGATCGTCACGAGCACCGCCGTCGCCACCGTTGCGTTCCTGGGCATGTCCAGCCTGTGGTCCACCTTTCCGAGGACACTCGGGAACGGCGCTGCGCCGTCCCGGGCCAGGGTCCAGAGGGTCCGACCCGTCGTGATGAACAGCCCAATCACGCAGAGGCCGATGTTGATCATGATGAGGGCCAGCATGCCGCACGCGCCGGCCGCGCTCCCCGTGGCCTGCTCGTAGATCTTGGCGATGGGGTACGCCGACTCGGAGACCACGCCCAGGTCGTTGATGGCGTACATGATAGCCACCAGGTAGCAAAATCCAGTAACAAAGCCGATTCCCAATTGCAAGGCCATCCCTATGGGGACGTTCCGCTGCGGGTTGGGGATCTCCTCCGCCAGGTGCGTGATGACGTCCACGGCGCCGATGCTGTACGCCCCGTTGAGCATGCCCGCGACGAAGACGAACCCGTCCGAGTACCCCAGGGCCTGCGTCCACTGCTCCCAGACGAAGGCGCCGGTGGCGTGCGGCGGGCGGCCGTCGTGGCCCGGCATGGCCGCCACCACGACGATGGTGATGAAGAAGCCGGCGAGGATGGTGAAGATGCCGATCTTGTTGAGGTGCGGCATCGCCGAGTTGGCGAGGCACACGGCGGCGCACCCGAGCCAGGCCGAGATGACGTAGACGACGAAGACGTGCCACGGCTGCGCCACGAAGGAGGGGTGGTTGAGCGCGTACATCTGCACGATGGTGTTGCCGAAGATGGCGGCCATGCTGGCGCCGCCCATCGTCCAGGCGAGGTAGTTCCACCAGCCGGCGAAGAAGCCGACGACGCGCCCGTGCTTCGGCCCGGGCGTCACGGACGCCCAGTGGTAGACGCCGCTCGAGCTGGGGATCGCGGAGCTCAGCTCTGCCAGGCTGGCCGCGACGAGGAAGTAGAAGAGGGAGACGACGATGAACTCGTACAGCACCCCGGGCGGCCCGCCATTGGATATGGCCACGAGGATGGTGCCGCCGATCGCGGGCCAGGCGTTCCCAACCGTGATCCCGACGCCTGCGAGCGAAATGAGGTTGAAGCGCCGTGAGAGCTCCTGGGCATGGCCGGACGCGTTGACCAGGACACCGGGGTCGTGGGTTGTGGTGGTGCCGGTCTCGGTGTCGACGGAAGCCGGGTCTTTGAAGAGGGCCGCTTCCTTCTTCTCGGGAGACCCCATTTTCAGCTATGAGGAGAGAAACTAGAATGGAGAAGCAGTGGACAAAGGGAACATCTAAGAAATGAATTGCAATTGCTATCTAGGTTGATATTATATCAGTCGCGTATCTATAGTTCAGTGTGCCAGCCCCCGGATAGCTCCCCCGCCTTATATGACACCGACCGGAGTACCATGCATATTTGGAGATATGCCGAGCATCTGGGGCTTACAAGGGGTTCTTCTAGCGGCTTGGTGATCCTTTGGTCTTGACACCGCAGTGACAGCGCCGATGCTCCCCTTTTTTTTGCCTCTTGCGTTTCCATTGGCCCGGGCGGGCGAAACCTGATAAGCATCACAGCAGATATTGTGTAAGTGGCAGATCCCCGTCCACGTTGTAGGCACTATTTCTCCGCCTTGATAATCGTCCTATTATGGTAGGTCCAGGCGAGGATATCCATATCGCAGTCACAAGATGCCTTCTTTGTGGCTCTTGTTTGTCATAGAAGACAAGGCACATCTACTCTTGATTGTCTTGTCTTGCGGTGCAGACACCGGCTCTAATCTTGTGCTGCTCTCTGTCGCAATGTCTATTTTATGCAAGGTCTTATTTCCCAGATGAGAACGAAACCACGGCCCACTTGCCGTTCCATGCCCACTTCCGCGCGCCAGAGTCACCGCCCCCTCCTTCAATCGCACGCAGCTCCTCATCCTTTCCAGGGGGGAGGCCCACGACGACATCCGCCTTGCAAGTCCGCAGAGCCAGAACGTTGAGTCCTGAGCCAGGGCCCAGCGGGCCGATGGCCTCGGTGAATGGCGTTGAAGCATCCCATTGCGCCTGCAGAAAGGGTTAGCAAACATGCTTGATGGACCCGACCTCGGGGCGGCCAGCGTAGACTTACATCGCCAGTGAGCTTTCTGTAGTTCAGATCGCCCTTGAAGATGACCACATCACTTGTCTTGAGGTCCTCGTATAGCTCTTTGGCTACGTTGGGCAGCCTCCAGAAGCTACCCGGGTGTGTCCAGAAGCGATTTGGCCGCAAGATAACCTTTCCTTCTGCATAGAGCTGGCTCCAGTTCTGGAACAGGAAGGACAAATCCTCAGCTTCCTTGTCCGCCAGCGGCTCTGGCGTCTTGTTTTGAAGCTCCTCGTCCTCTGATGGTGTCTCGTAGAACTTCTTGGGGGTCGCCAGGGCGTTGAGTAGCTCGGCAAAGTCACTGGGCAGGACGTCGGAGACAAACCAGGGGATGTCTTTGGGGTGGAGGACGACATGCGTGGCCAGGCCCGAAGAGAGCAGATATCCGGCGAGGATCAGGTCAACAAAGAGCTCGAATCCGGCGTTGTCGAGCACAATGTCTACTCTCCGCTCCGCCTTGCCCTCGGCCTTGGCCTTCCTCAGCAGGTCGTACACAGCGGGCAGATCGTTGACGAGGATATTCTTCTCGGCATTCTTCCTTGCCTCGGATCCCTGCAGCTTCTGGATGTCCTCGTAAGTGAGGTTGGTCAGGAGCGACAGATCCGTGGCATTTCCCCAGAGGCAGATCTCGCACATCTCCATGAACAGGATCTTTTCAGCCTCCTCGTCTGAGGGCTTTCCATGGCCCTCCTCGAGCTGCTTCAGTAGAGTCTTATAGCGGGCGGCAAGTTCGATGACAGCGGGGCGCGAGGAGCGGAAGGTCTTGATCTTTTGGCGGGCAAAGACGTCGTAGTTCTTCCAGTGCTCGGAGAGAGCGAAGGATGTGCTGATGCGCCTGAAGAGGTAGCACTCGCAGTACAGCCAGTTGACGTTCAACCAGCTTGGGTTCCCGAGCTGCTCAAGCTCCTTGTTGTAGATCTCGACGTCCGTGAACCCATCGTCCCGTATGGGGGCCAACTGCCGGTCGTGTTGGACTTCATACTTCAACCGTGCCAGCTCATCAATGATCTTCTTTCCCTCTTCGGTCGTGGCGGGATCTTTGCTGCCCGAGGTGGTTCGGTAGACGTCGTCGATGGCTTGGGTCTAATGCTTCGCAAGAAAGATGTCAGATGATGGCCATAAGTGCCAACTCCAAAGCAGGGAGGCGGGGCGAGGGGAGAGGGGAGAGGAGGAGGAGGGACAGACTATGATAATGGGCCATCTTTCTCTCGCTGTGGTCCATCCAAACGAGGTCTTGTCGGCCGTCGAGTAGCCGGCTGCACGAGTCGGGAGCTGGTCAATCTTGGCATCGGGGGTTTTTGGGTGTAGAGGGAGGCCAGAACGTACGTGTCTTGGTGTCGTACTCCATCCTGGCAGACTAGGAGAGCTCCAGCTAGGTTCCACGAAGTTTGGCTGGGTCCAAGGAGGGAGAGAATTAAAATGTCGCGGGAAGGAGGCTAAGGCAGAAAGTTGGAGGCGATCCAGGGACGAGGGGCATCCAGAATCACCCAGCATAAAATCATGGTGGGGTCATACAGTAGTCCACCAACCGCAGCAGCTTGGCTTGTCAGTCATCAGGGTGCTGCTGTTTATCAGCCCCTGCAGCCCACGATAAGGATTTTACTTGCTCATTCAAACAATTAGACATCAGATACGCGCAGTCAATGTGTACTCCTTCGAATGATCTAGTTATGTACGTAGGTATTAGTATGTAGGATACGGTCGTGTACACAGTAGGGGGTATCATAGTTCTGTCTATTTCTGAAGCACGGAATCCCACGTCCATCATTCGATATCATGCCTCTGGTCCAGTCCAGTTCGGCCCATCCCAGTCTAATCCCAACTCATGTGATCCAATTCAGATCCAAGGCCTTCGTTCTGGTAGCCTGCTTTGGTGGACAGCCTCATCGATTCAGCCACTTCTGCGCCTTGGCTGAGATGCGCTGCAGACGCGACACATGTGCTGGTTGAGGCTGGGATTGGTCCAATGTGGGTGCTTGTGGCGGAACATCGCTAGCACCGTCGTATGAGGCTTGAGCTGAGCCGGCAGCTGGCTTCGTCGCAGTTGGCACAGGAGGGCCAGACGAGTCAGTTGTCTTGGCTGGCGGTGGCATGCGGTCCCCGGTATACGCATTGTTCCCACCAACGGCCACGATGAACGTCGTGGGATCGCCCGCGTTCACCTTCCCCGACTGGTCTGCCCCCCCGTCCGGCTGGACGTCGTCGTATGCAAAGGCATAGCCCTTGCCGTCGAGATTGGCGGCGTGCACGAGCCTGCAGTAGTGGTTGGTCGGGTCGCGCTGGTAGAATGTCGAGGGGTCCGACGGGTGGTCGTCGACGGCCAGGAACGCCGAGCGCTGGAACCCAGCCGCCAGCCGGGGGATGACGCTGTTGCGGTACGGCGACGGGCCCGTCGTGAAGGGCCCGCTGTTGCACCCAAACACGTCCGCGCTGGTGGGCTTGCCGAAGGGCTCGTCGCCGAACACGAGCTCGCCCTTGCCGTTGACCTTGCCCGCCACGACGCCCGCTGCGGCCTGCGTGTTGATGCGCATCGGGCTCTGGCTGTGCCTCTGCCACACCTGCTCAATGTACGGCTCAAAGTAGCCTGCGAAGCTGGCGCCCGCCGCGTCGCCGTGCGTTGGGTTGAGCACCCGCAGCACCGGCTGCCCCTTGGGCTGGACGATCAGCTTGTCCCAGGGCCGGCCGTCCTTCTGGGCCTGTTGGCGCAGGCCGTCGCAGAGCTGGTCGATGCCGTTCGCTGCCATGCCCGACACGTGCTGCATCCCGCCGCCGGCTGTCTGCAGCGTCAGGGCAATAGGCAGACGCGACACAAAGTCGACGTAGCTGATGTTGGCAAACAGCTGGTCGCTGTTGAGGGTGAACTCGGCGAAGCAGAAGTTGACATTGGCATTTGGGTCGCTGGGGTTGAGGACCGAGGGCTCGACCACTGCCGGCCCGGGGTTCAGGAAGAACTGAAGCTTCTTGTCGCAGGCGAACCAGATGCGACCGCCGGCGATCTGGGGGATGTGCACCGAGATGGTGTTGCCAGGCGGGCCCAGCGGGATGGCACAGTCTTCTGCCAGGGGCGACCCGATGGACGAGACCTGCTGCGGATAGTAGACATCTCTGCCGTTGGCCTTGAGGAACATGCGCTTCCAGTCATTCTGGATGGCGATGCCGGTGATGTATGCCCAGACCTGGCCCGAGTTGGTCTGGTTCTGCAGCTGGATGTCCAGCGAGTTGACCATGGTGGTAGAAGGTACGCTGGTTCAATAAGTCTGCAAGTTGGCGATAATTCTTGGTGGTGAGTGACGAGGTGTTTCTAGGCAAGAAGACAGCGTTCTGTAGGAGAGTCCGTGGGCGCGCTGAAAAGATTGTTCAACTGAAATTATTGGCTGTGGCTGTGTTGAGAGGTATATGTTTCCGTCCAGTCAATGTTATGGTCTGTGACACAGAACCTGGGCGGTTCTTGAGGTCCTCACGAAAGAGTCTTGAGCATCGGCAACGACCATCCGGGCATGGTCGTGCCTTCAGTCGGATGTCGTCATAAACATGCCGCCCATCCAGGGTCTTGTCCAGCAAACCAAGCCAGGAAACCTGTTTCTCTCAGTACAGCACTCAGCCAATTCGAGCCTGAGCCGGCAAGAACAGCCCATGATATATGCGCACTCAAAATAGGGGAGCAGGTATAAGGATACCTGGGAATAGAAGCTTGTCCTCATGATGTTCTGGAAGACATCCAGACACAGACCCACCCATTGGCACTTCAAGTTGTCTTGGCCGGGCGGATGTCGGCGCCCCACATAACCACAGCATTATGGAGTACATGGACACTGAATCAGAATTCGTCCCAGGGAATCTGTCAATGATCAAGCTTTCCAATGGACCAGCCTATCGGGACACTCCGAGTCCATCACTTTCTTCTGGTGTTATATCGCCGTCGCCGTTTCCCTCCCGTGATGTGTCCGCGACGAGCCAGGAAGCACTTGATCTATAGGCAGTAATGATGTACTTCGCTGGACGAATGCTTGATTGGTCCCAAGTGCTGTTGTGTCGCTTACGCGCCATCCTGGCAGTGTTACGTCGACACCTGAAGCTTCTCCAAGAAGCTCAATGCTGGTCGGGGCCACACTCAGGGCACCTCCCCTTCTGACTGGACAATATTTCTCTATGCAGCTGTGCTGGTACGTGGCTTGCAGTAGCTTATTTTGTCCACATCGGTTGGACGAACTCGTTCGAGGGGCCCAGATGTCATCCAAAACAGACAGGCGACTTCATGGACTGCGGTCATGGGGCAGCCAGGAACTAATTGATTCCATCTATGCCCAAATTGGTCCTGTCCGTTGCTCACCGTGGCATTTGTTGACTTTCCTCATCCCTTCTCCCATTGAGCCATTGCGGCTAGTTAAAGAACAAAGAACAGCGCTCTATCGGGAGGAGGCGCGCTGATGGAATCCCAGCCCCCAGCCATGTGCCCCCATAGCTCCGTGAATACGATGTGGTGGCACGCCATGTGCATAGTCCCCGCACCCCGAATGTTGCTTTGGGGCAACCCTGGCTCCTCATCTTTGATCAAGACACACACGGCTGTCAGACTGCCTTGAGACTGGCTACGGTTGGTTGATCCTGTTCCGAACTACCGGAGAAGAACCTGGGAGTCTACGTCGTGGAGGGGGGAGGATCGTGCGGAGAAGCTGTCAACGGGTCCCGGTCTGTGGTCGGAATCTGGCGAAGATGCGCGTACAATCGACCAACCCGAGCGTCTATTCCCCAACGAGCATCATGCCCTTCCCACTCTGCCTGTGCGGAAAGCGCCTCGTAATGGCTGCTGCAGTGCGACGAAAATGGGTGGGAGCTTCGCGGAACAATGTAACACAGGTTTCAAGGTTCAGTGCTGAATATTAAAGGGCTCGAGTCACCCAGCTCTACATCTGTGCCCACTTAGTAGATGTTGCTCCTATTTCCAGTCTTACACGATCCATTTCCCATCGACAACATCATCGGACCTCTCTGATCGGCTGCGTTCACAGCACAGTTTCGTCACTTCGTCAACAACGACTACACCGCTGGACTATTAAACAAGGTCAACATGAAGCTCTCAGTATTCGCCCTCGCCGCCTTCACCGGCCTGGCTGCTTGCCAGTGCATTTCAGCGATCCCAGAATGCGCACAGCAATGCCTCCTGATAGGGGCTTCTTCAGTCGGGTGCGGAGAGACGGACTATTCTTGCCAGTGCACGTCGCAACACCAGACCGACATCACAAACAACGCCACCACTTGCGTGCTCGCTGCATGTGGTGAGCAAACCGCGCTGAGTAGGTGCATCCCTTTGGGATCATATAGTCCTCCCATATCACCAAAAGAGTCTTTATCACTGATGCGGCATCCAGACGAGGTCCTCCCAGCCGCCCAAGCGTTCTGCTCCGCCATCAACGCCGGCGAAAGCTGCTCCTCGTCCAGCGGCGGGGGAAGCTCCACCACTGCATCATCCACCGAGTCTACCGGCACGGCGGCACCCAGTACTGGCTCCTCTGGCTCGGCCTCCTCCCCGAGTGCTACTTTGTCAACCACCATCTCCGTGACAAGCTCCGGCACCGAGGCCAGCGGCACGACAGGGGGCTCGTCGACTGCCACTGGGGCCTCGACAACTGCGGCTTCTTCGGGCTCGGGCACTGCGACGGGGGCCAGCGCGAGTGCCTCGAGCACTGCTGGTGCGGCTACCGTGGGCTCGATTGGGTCGCTCGGTATCGCGGTTCTCGGAGCCCTTGTCATGTTGTAAAGCAAATGAGAGTACATTTTATCACGCACGTGCTGTCGTTCCGAGGTAGACATCATTATGCAATAGGTCAATGGTGGCCTCAACTTCGCTTCTCCGAGCCCTACCGTGACTAATGAGGAGTGAGAGAATGCTACTGGGTAGGAGGAGAAGCCAAGTGTTCCAGCAATATACCCTTAGTAATTCACTGCTGTCTCAGATTGGTTAAAAATTCGGTATCCTCAGGGAGCAAAAGAGGCATGTGGAGGCTCAAAATTGTGTCCGGTTGGACAAGTCCCAAGGTTCTTTTCATCAATACCATACATACACAAATACAAATGGGTAATAAGTTCGATCTCTGGATTTAAATCTCATACGACTGTGATTTTACGACACGGGATGACTTAGTGCATATACTCTTTTACATATTTTATACGTTAAAAAGAAAAGCTTTCTTTAAAAAAAACAGTCTAGTTTACTTTTATTCATTTTTTCGTTTTCAATTTATATCAACTTTGAAGCATTTGAACCTCTCTTCCGAAAGCAAGTTGGGATGCTCCCGATGGAAGGGGTGATCCGCGCCTACAAATTATCTCAATAACCTCGATAACTTTTATGTTGTCTTTGCTGACCCAAGCAGCGCCCCAGAGCTGTTTCTCAGCGTAATGACCACATCCAGATGCTTCATCGTCATCGGCCCGCCCTGCTTGGATGCAAAAATGGACGCTGTTTTTACGGCGCTCTTGATCTGGCGTCCGTTCAGCTGCCAGTCGGCTAGCCGGTCCAAGTCCTCATCGCTCAATTGGGTCGGGGTCTTTGACTCCCTTAAGAAGCCGTCCCAGATCTGTCTCCGGGCATCCTTGGTGAGATCCTCAAATACGAGCGTCATGTCAATGCGCGACTCGAACGCAGGGTCCAGCGATGCTGCCCGGTTCGTGGTGAGGATCATGGCGCCTTCGTAGTATTCGAGCGTGCGGAGAAAGACTGCCCCTCGAGGTGAGCTAAACGTCGATAGTAGGAGGGGTTGGTCGCGGGAGACCTGACTTACCTGATACGAGCTCGTTCCTCTGCAGACTGTCAAGAGTCCGCTGTTCGAGGAAGACGTCCGCCTCGTCTAGAAGCAGGACCGCGTTCCAGCGAGAACATCTTTCCAGAGCGGTCTGCAGCCGTCCTTCCACGGTTGATGCCTCACTACCGAGATCCTGCATGTTGACTCGATAGAGGGGACTCTTCAGATGCTCTGAGACTGCTTCTGCTGCGAGTGTCTTCCCAACTCCTGGGGGGGCGCATAGTAGCATCACAATGCCTTTGCCCTTCCCGGGAACAAAGTCATCGAAAATCTCCCTATCATCCGTAGCTTGAGTGGTCTTGTAGTCGAGTAGTGCAAGAATGAGGTCCTTGATATCTTGATCGAGAACCAGTCTCGACATCAGGTCGGGTATCCAGTCGATCTCTAGGATGTGGTCGACGGCCAAATCGTAAAACTTCTTATTTTTGAGCGCGAAACCAGTGATGCACGAGGAAGCCAGAAGAAGCTGGTCATTTGTCAGAGGATTGTGATCAGCGCTTCCGGCCTGTGACGGATAGGTATCCTCGGTATCAGCCGCGATTTCCGTACTGTTTTCGCTACTGGCACGATCGCCCCCGTCCCGAATGACGGCAGCCTCGGTTGACTTGCCAAAGGGCTTGAGGCTGGGCAGGTAATAATTATTGAGGTCCCAGTAACCGTATTCGTCAATTATGACGCGGTCCCTGATCTGAGCAGATATATGTGTAAGTGATATGATCGCCGGAAGAGCGAAGCAAGTCAGCAAGGGAAGGTAATAAGGTTACTCACATATTTCGATCCTGGCTTTCCAGCATAAGCTAAGAAATGCTGATCAAGAAGACTCTCATCCTTCGATCCTGCCTTTCCGGCATAAGCTAAAAAATGTTGACCACGAAGACTCTCGTACTTTTTGCCTCTCTCTATCAGCTCTCTGGAGATCTTCTCGTGATCTGGGTGCATGTGCAATGGGCAAATGTTCAGGCTATGGACTTTCCTGGTCCCGCTGAACTCAACCAGCCGCCACTCTCTTTCGGCCACGCCAAACCGCTCGCCGTTCCAAGCGGTAATGTCAACTTTCACCAAGTAAGACTCAGACTGGTCAAAAGACGGCCCCTCCAGAGTCACATCCCCAACTACGCCCGCACTCAAGATACCGTTGTCATCCCTGTGAATCACAATCTGTCCGGGCTCAAACAAGAGCTCCAAGTCGTGGAAAGTCGCGAATCCCGTGCGAGCGACGAGATCACGCCGCTTAAGACTATCCGCAAGGTCAATCTCCAGAGTGGACCGCAAGAGGGTCAAATGATTCTTGGTCTCGGCCTCAGGCTCGTCCCGCTCCACCTCGAGAAGCTTGTCCCAGCGGTGGCAGAAGGGGATAAATTTGGGAGACAGTTCAAGGTCGTGGTCGTCAGCATAAGTCACGGGGTATCCCTCGAAAACCTTCGCCAAAGACGACTGTATTCTGTGGCTGTTGATGAGTATTGAGTGTGTTTTCCATCCGCCACCGTGGGGTGTCATTCGGCGTATGACGGAGAATTGAGCCCGCCGGTCCTCTGCGGCTTGGTTCTTTTCATTCCGGTCTCGCTCTGGCTTCTCGTCGACCCATTCCGTACAACAGCCGCAGTTGCTAGTCTTGGTGTCAAAGATCTCCTTTACCTCGCAGATGGCGCCTTTTGGAGCGAGTTCATCGGCATCGGCGACAGTCTCGTCGGGCTCCTTCTCAGCGGCGGCTTTCTCAGCCTCATTGAACTCGGCGTCAAGAGCATCCAGATCGGATGCGTCCGAAGACGCGCTTCGCGACCGCTGGTCAAGCTCCGAGGGAGTATTCTCGGATGTTATGGTTTGCGTATTGTCGCTGACATTGTCTTGGCTTCGACTTGAGTCTTCCATGATGATCCTGGTGACAGAAAGATGGTTGCCGACTTCAAATGGGAGTTGACATGAAATGGTACGCTTGCGGTGTGTTGCGTTTCTAGGAACTCAGCATCTGTAGGCTAAGAAATTGATTGTTCTGGGGCCTGATTGTCTAAATCAGAGTTAGCGACCTCGTAAAGTTGGACTTCCAATTGTTCAAACATTGAGTAGGCGGCACGACCTAACAATATGCCTCGTAATAGGTAGTCTAGGCACCCGCTGCGCATCCTTTCCTCATGCAGCTTTGATATACCAACCGTCTTCCTATTTCTCGGAAGTGCATGAAAAGTCTTTGCGATTGCCTGACAGGAAAGTATCAATGTTGGGCCAGTGTGGGTACATATTCAATGGCAGATCGTCGCTGTTCGTTCTCATTCGCCTCGACAAGCCATCCGCCTCCACCGTGTCAGCCCTGCCACGTCTGCCTGCAGGTGAACTAAGCCCCCGATAACCAAATTGCGGAGACTTCAAAATAAAAGAATGAGAAGAAACAATACACGATGGAGGTCGCTGCCGGAGTCTCATCTCAAGACTGAAGCCATGTCCTCGGCAAACTTAGGCACTCGCCTGTCTTGATTTCCTAGACTGCCACGAAGGTTTACGAGGACTAGATGCGCCACATTCGAAGTATAGTGGCTATTCCTCTCGCTAAACCAAGTCCGAGTGGGAGTCTTCAATCGATTCCTTTGTTGTCAGCCGCACAACGCGGCGCACTCTCAATATGTCAGAAACTAAGCACAAGACCAAGTTCAGCCCCTCCCCCGACCTCTGCTTAAGCTGCACCCGTCTTCTCCTCTCCGAACTGAAAGACCCTGTACTCCTACACAACTCAATCTTCTCGATCCACCGCTCGTCTAGCACGTGCTCCTTATGCTGCTTGATATGGCGCGGCCTAACGGGATACTCGACTGTGAAGAATGGTCCGCGATCCACATGCAACCTTTCAAATCTCCTCACTACCGAGCCCGGTCAGTCATTAGAAATATGGGGTCGTCGGAGCATGGTCGACTACACCAGCTTCGCGACGAGCCTGGCGCACATCCACCTGGGCGCCGAGGACTGGCCTATATCCTTTCTCGAGGTGATGATGTTGAAGACCAGCCTGTTCGGGCCTTCGGTGACGGGACTCGCCTTTCCGAGGGCTCCGTCCTCCGGGAAGCTGGAAAATGCAGTGTGGGGACTCAACTGCGATCTTGGTGTTGTTCGTGAAGCAGGAGGTTGCCCTTACATTTGGGAGTATAGACACGAGCTGCGCCGAACCAGCAGGAATGATTACTTCAAACAGTTCGGGGACAAAGAGAACCCTTTCTCGTGGCAAAATACACCAGTAGAGCTGTTCAGCAGCACCAGACCCAGAGATGTGTGGTGGGGAGAAGGTTAGTGAGCTGAGCCCAGGGATGTACCGTGCGTACCTATCTACTTGCCCATCAATTTCCATTCTTCAATGCGTTGCACAACAAGGCTTGGTGTCCCAGGATACTTACTTCGCAAGCAGGTATCGTGGGGCCGTACCATCGTACGGTACTCGAGGTCTCCGCGGTCGACCACCGTCCAGGACAGGATGTATTTTGGATACGATCCAGTACTGGGGACCAACGAGACCTTAGAGATTCTGAAATTCTACAGAAACTTAAACAAGAGGATGCTCCCACTGTGTGTGGCTCTCCTGCCAGGCTTGAGCTCGCCCAACACTGGTTGAAAGAGTGCCTGACATGGCACTGGGAGTGCCTATACTGGCGCGAAAGCTTCTCCATGCCGTCCCGCGTCATCGATGTCGGCCCAAAAGACGGATCGCGGGAACCATTTTTGTACATGCCGCCCCCTTCACACCAAGACTACTACCTCTGCCTCAGCCACCGCTGGGGTGGCGCAAAGGTGCTGCAGACCGTCATGGGCGACCCGCCGGGCACTCCAAACGGCAAGACAGGGACCTTCTCAGAGTTCCAGTCCGCCATTCCCATGGCCTCTATGCCTAAGACGTTCCGAGATGCGGTGCAGGTCACCCGGGCGCTCGGGTTCCGTTACATCTGGATCGACTCGCTTTGCATCGTGCAGGACCGACCGTCAGACTGGGAGGCCGAAGCCAAGAAGATGGGCAGCTATTACCGCAACGCGCACCTGACACTGTTCGCAGGTTCGGCAGTGTCAGCAGATAGCGGGCTGTTCTTCCCCATTGCAAGCCCCGCGAGGCCGTCTCACATTGGCTCCGTGAGTGTGGAGTTGCCAAACTGCCGCCACCACGGCGCTGAGCCACACACGTTTCCGCTATTCGCGCGCGAGCCGCGGATGATGCGCAACCAGTACGGCGATGGGCCAAAACCCAAATGCGCTTTGGACGAGCGCGCCTGGGTGCTGCAGGAGGAGTTGCTGTCGGCGCGTGCACTTATCTTTACTGATGAGGGTTTGTCCTGGGAGTGTACGAGCCTGTCAGCGAGTGAGTGGCACCCTCACGGCTCGCAGTACCTGTACACGAGGGCGCTGTCCGCTATGGATCCTGACTCCTACGGTGGCGAGGTCTTTAGAACTCCGCAGCGGTCATGTGCGCAGCAGTTCAAGGCGGGACTGGTGATGGATCGCGAGTACTTGGACTCAACGCCGGATCCGCTCGTCCGCGCTCTTAGATCGAGGTTGCCTGTCGCACTGGGCGAGTTGGTCAGCGAGCTTGCCGCTCTGAAGCACGCGAGAGTTCGGATGCCGCCTCCCAGTAGCACTTCGAAATCCAAAGAGATGCAAATGGTCAGGCACCATACGACACAGCTAGCGAAACCCGAGCAGGATCTTCAAAGCGACGAAGAGCATCATAAGCACACAGATTCCACATCACGGCCATCGAGCCCGCATCCAGCACAAGCAAGCGCTTTCCGAAAGGACAACATTGTTGCCCTTCCCTTTTTCTGGCACCGGCTCGTCGCGAATTACTCGGCACGCCATCTGACGCGAGAATCCGATCGTCTGATCGCCATCCAGGGTCTTGTGTCTATGCTCAGCGCGGTGCGAAATGACCGGTACTACGCTGGCCTGTGGGGTCGCACGCTGCAGGAGGACATGCTGTGGGTGGCTGCGGATACCAAAATTGACGTCGATCAAATGTGCGACTGCATGCCGCAGAAGATACAGCAGACGCAGGGTCTGAAGCCCCGACGGCGGTCAGGTAACTCGGAGACGAGACAAGTGATTGCGCCGTCATGGTCGTGGATTAGCGCTGACCAGGGCGTCATGTTTTTGATGCTCATGGACCATTTCGAAGTGCATGAGGAATTCTTCCGGCCGCTACGAATAGTCATGGATGACGATACTGCTGTTTTCAATGTCCGGGGGCGGCTGACGCTCGAGGGCGTGCTGAGACCGGTTGGGCTAGCGGTTGCATTCGATGAATTTCACTCTTGGAGAGAGATGTACGTGCCTACTTCGCGCTTCTGAGACGAAGAACAAAACTAACCATTCACTTGATAGCGAGGGATCGATATACGACCCGTCAGACCCGTCCAAGAAAAAAATCGGCTTCTGGCAACCCGACCGCAGGACCAGTATGACCGGCGCCATGGTCTGTGTTCCTCTGGTGTTGATGGGCCGGATGAAGCTGGTCATAAACTGCCTGGTGTTGGAGCCAACGGAGAACTGCCGTCTCCGGAACAAGGCTTCGAAGCTGCTCGAGTTCCGCCGCATAGGCATGGCCACGATTAGGGCCGAGCACCGAGCATTCCTCGGGCTCGGCAAATCCCAGAAGATAGGAGACAGCCGTCCATGGGATGATCGAGTTAAGGAGTGGACTAGAAAGCCTGTGGTTATTGACATTGTCTGAACCTCATTTTGCTTGGGTAAATCTAAATAGGCGGCTTAGGGGCAGAAACAGAGTTGATATATGGGATACTTTTAAAGAAAGAACTCTGTTTCATATTTTTCTTTTCTTTTTCCATACAATATCCAATAATGGTTGTAACGGCGTAGCGGTCGGAGTTGTGTGCATGGTGGTGGCTGCGTGCAGACCACCTGCAGCCCAAAGTCGTCCTAGTATGCTTTCAAGCTCTGGCAATTATCGGAGGCAACCTTCCCTCCAACTATTTTTTCTTAACAAGATGAGTTTTGACTCAGAATTCTATAACAATGAACAAGACTTTGAAGCATCACCTCTTCTATGTCCGCCTCGTGACATTAAGAAATAGTACGTATACGTGTTAAATGGGCAAATCCTTCAATCGTAGACATAAAAATTAGTATAAGGGGGGTTCTTATAATTGGTGGATGGGACTAAAGAACTGGGTGGGTCTATACAAGATGCTGGGTTGGCCGACCTTAGCTGATGCATTAGGTCTCGTTGATTGGACTAAAGCGGGCTGAAAATGATGGCCACTTGATCAAATCCTTCATGTTCAGCTCTTCCTCCCCCCCCCCCCCTCCTCGGCATTGTACCCGTTCAGTGCTTTCAAGCTAAGCATATCCCGACTCGCCTGATCTATATCGACCTCTCCAATGTGGTCACGAAGTGAACGATCTCTAATCACCTGGACGACCACTCACGACCATATGAAGTAAAGTATCCAATTCAAAGTGCTGCAGAGGTCATATCTACCGACGAGATGGAACGCAAAGATCGGGGGCTCAGAACTCGCTTCAGGGACTGGCGTCATCGGAACAGCCAGAGCCTTACACCAGCAGCTTCTCAAGAAAGGGCGCCCAATCCGCCAGTCTCTGGTCAAGCTGTTCCTCAGGCTGTTGGTGTCGACCAGAGCAGCTCGAATGGGTTGGAAACAGGACTTGGCGATATGACCCTGAGCCCCCAGACTGGCGATCCTACGCTTGACATTACGAACGAACACGCCCCTCCTTCATCAGCAAAGCAAGGCGATACGGCAAAGTCTCATGCAGATTCTCCCATTTTCAACGTTTCAAAACCTAAGACTGCCGTTGCGACTGTTGGACCAGGCCACACTGTCGTAACATCCAGCGATGATGCAAGCTCAGCCCTTTGGAAGCAAGCTTATGACGAGCTTCGCAAAGACAACCCGTCCCTCATGGAGGAGTACGAAATGGTTCTCAAAGAACAGGCAGGCGTCCCACAGGATGGCACCATGCAAACCCAGATGCACACAATCTCAAAGGCACAGCAACTCAAGTGCAAGAACAAGCAATGGAGCTTCCAGTGGTTCGGCCAACCACAGTCCGTCAGAGACACGATAGAGCGGATTCTGAATCTGACAAGTCGTTCGGCCAGTCTCATCTCCATCGGGATGACCTACGCGCCGCCATATGTGTCTGTGCCTTGGTCTGCCGTCACGGCACTCATTCCACTGATGATGAACGACTTCAAGGAACACGCGGGCTGTATTGCTGGTCTTGAGGTCGTGGCGAGGCTAACTTTCAGCTATCAAATGGCCGAACAGACATTTCTTGGATCCACTGACACAAGAGACCGTTATCGTTCGTCAGTGATGGCCCTATACAAGAAGATCTTGGAATATGAGGCTCTTGCCATACAGTATTTTGGCCGCTCTACACTGCGTCGTCTGGGCAAGAATGCCGCTGGATCAACGAGATGGGCCGACATGCCGACCGAGCTATCGGACATAGATAAGGAGACTCGTCGGTCTATAATATTTCTTGGGCAGTTGACCCTTACACAGGTGCTAGAACGCCAGGAAAAGGCCATCAGTAGCCTCATCCAAAGTGCCGCGGCCAAGAAAGATGAGGTGACGCAAGTCACCAAATGGGTTTCGGCCATTTCCGTCGAGCTAGACCATCGCGATGTGCGCGGTAAGCTCGGCGCTCAGCATCATTCATCAGGCGGTTGGTTTCTCGATGATCCTCGTGTCCGCGCCTGGAAGGAATGGAACTGGAACGAAAGCAGCCAGTGTCTTTGGCTCAGGGGCGGTGTTGGCACGGGAAAGAGCTCACTGGCCTCAATTCTGATTCAAGACACAATTAATTCAGCGGATAGTATTGTCGCCTTCTTTTACTGCTCGAAAAAGGCAGACAAAATCAGTAGGTGCTTTCTCCTCCTCCCTTTGTTGGGAAAGACTCCCCAAACTGCGTGGAAGCAATGGCAAGATCGCGTCAAATTATGTATGGAGTTCAAGTGAGGTAACATGGCTGACAAGAAAACAATTCTCAGATGAGAATTCCACGGCCAGGAACGACCATGAGAATGCCTTACGGAGTCTTCTATCACAAGCTTCAGTCTCTGTCGATGGCAGTGCTGTGGATAAAGGGGTGCTCAAGCGCTCCGCGCTTGATCCACGCGGCTTTTTGGCAGGTGTGGGGCTGACAGCAGAAGATTGCGTGCAGATGTTGAACGATATTTTCTCAACCGGACAAGATCAAAAGTTCACAGTGGTCATTGATGCCTTAGATGAATGTCTCGATTACGATTCTCTTCTCGACGCCCTCCAAAGTGCTGCGTCCACAAACAAGAATGTTCGAGTATTCTTCTCTAGTCGCCTCCAGGTAAAGGTTCAGGACTACTTCGAAGAGAATGTCTGTGTAGACGTGGGAGATAACAACATCGAAGACATCAAACGATTTTTGAACATCGAGATACCAAGACGGCGACCTGGGTCCGGAATGACCGACAGCCAAGCTCAAAGACTGACCGACACGCTGGTGGCTAAAGCGAGTGGGATGTTCATGTGGGTCAAACTTCAAGTCAACCTGTTCCTGAATGAGATCAAGTCCAAGAGGATCCGTCTTGAGGTAGATATTGAGCCCAAGTTACTCTCTTTGGAGTCGTCAGAGGCAATTGGAGAAGAGCTTCTCTATGCAACGTATATGCAGGTGTACGAAGCTGCTATTGGATGTCAAGAAGATCGCCGGAAAGAAATTGTGACAACAGCATTACGCTGGGTGTTATGCGCGTTTCGGACTCTGAACTTGCGAGAACTTGCGTACGCAACATCTGTCAGGCCGGATGGTACTGTGGCAGATAGTATTCAAGAAGGCTTGGTGATGGACTTTTGCAGCAATTTCCTCATCGAGGACGCTGTTGGTAATGTCCGATTGGCACATTTGTCAGTGAGACATTACCTGGAGCGTAGGACACCACCAGACTTTGATACAGAACTCGCACACCTCCAAGCAGCTCTCACTTGCTTGTATTTCGCCAATTCCCCAAAATATCACGAAGTCGGTGCGAGCCCAGCCGACACTTTCCAGGATGGGAACGTTGTCCTTACGAAGACCTTCCACAATTACGTTCAGACCAACTGGACTCGACACTGCAGGGAGGCAAAAAAGTCCACAGAAATGAGCGCGCTAATGGACAAGTTTGCGCTTAAACTGACTTCGCAAGAGAAGGCCACCTCGCCGAGTGAGCCTGATGGCTCTCCAAATTCCCACACGGACTATACTGCCGGGGATGTTACCGGTGGACCGGCATCGCAAAGTGATGTCTCCCGAAGTTGGATCGATCTTCTTCGGCGAACGGATTCAGGCGCCGTCGACTTCATCGAGCAGTTCATAGCTCGAGGTGGCGACCTAGCAGCCCGCAATGGCTTTGGGAACACTCTGCTACACGAGGCCGTTCGTTTTCGGGTCGCTGAGGTTATGAGCCTCTTGCTAAATGCCGGTGCCCCGGTGAATGCCCGCGATGGCCTGGGCAACACGCCCCTGCATCTGGCGGCGCTCCATCGTTTCGACCAAGGAGCACAACTTCTCCTTCAAGCTCGGGCTGACAAGAACGCTCGCAACTCCAAGGGCGAGACACCTCTGCACGTCGCGATATCGCTCGCGGTTCAGGATGTCATCGACACGCTTCTGGCGGCCAACGCTGACGGCGTTGCTAGGGATCACTTCGGTGACACACCTATTCACCGAGCCGCAGCCGCTGGCAACTCAATAGCCACTGAATCACTTCTCGTCATGGGTTTCAGCCCAAATGGCAAGAATCAAGGCGGCAGCACACCTCTCTCGCTTGCGATCAAGCTACGCCATCATAAAGTGGCAAAGGTGCTCGTGAAACATGGTGCTTTGGTTACAGGTGATGACCTGGCGGCTTTGAGGAGACTGGGCCTGGTTGAAGCAGCGGAATTTCATGTGCAGAAACAGCACGGCGACGGAAATCTTATGAGCCCGGAACAAGGCCTCCAGGAGAACGAGTACACCTATGTCATAACGTTTCCAAATGGCTCTCATGCGTGCGACTGTTGCAACATCTCCAGGTGGCTTACTGGCTCGAGGCGAGGTACCAGCTATCGGCATCATTCGTCACTTCAACAGCTCTTTGCCTCGGCCGAGAATGGTTGTCCGTTGTGTGTGGTCTTTCGCCGTCAACTGCCAGACGCTGAGGATATCCGGAAACCTGGATATGCTAGCGGGCAACTGACAGTCACACTAGAGCCCAGTTATACGCAAGGATCACGGCAGGACCGGAAGGACAAGCTCTTGTTATCAGCCGGGAGCACTCAATTACTGACACTCGAACTAAGTCTGTCTGAAAGCTGTAAGTATCTGAGCTTCCCTAGATACCCATACGGTTCTAATTTGATTTTCCTGCAGGCTATTCCTGCTTACCGTCTGGAGCCGGACCTGACAGCAATGTGATGCCAGAGCTGGACTGGCTCCGCGGTAGATCAGTCGAGGAGCAACCCCTGACTTCTTCATCTCTCAGCACAGTTATGGGCTGGATCAATACATGCCGGGATGAACATCCTGTCTGTTGGCGCGATGGCCTTTGCGATTCGAGCCTACCCACACGTGTATTAGACGTCGAGACCGGAGAAGACAACATTGTGCGCTTGCATACCAGTTCAAGTGACGAACGATGGCAGTTCGTTTATCTCTCGTTCTTCTGGGGAAATGCTAGACCGGCAGTCTGTGCATTCCGTGAAAACATACAATCGCTGATGGCTGGCATCCCCGTCGACTCCATGTCTGAGGTCCACCGAGAAGCTATCAACGCCACTCGTCGGCTTGGCCTTCGGTATCTCTGGATTGACGCACTCTGCATTTTACAAGACAGTCCGCAAGACTGGGCGACTGAGAGTCAGCGCATGAGCGAATACATATCCAACGCAGCTTTCGTCTTACAGGCAGCTGCTAGTCCCAACGCAAATGCCAGACTATACCAGCCGAGGCCACAACCCCTTTTGCACATGGACGTTACCAGAGGCAGGGGAGATGTTGCTTCCGACACTGAGCCCAATATAACGACCGGCGTGGACTTACGTCTTCCGTTACAAACAGCGTCAGAGGCACTGGGAGTGCGAGTATTGAAACGCGGCTGGATGTTTCAGGAGATCATCTTGCCAAGAAGAATGTTGATATTTGGAGCAGATCAGATCTACTGGCATTGTCAAGCTGGTCTGATGTCGGAGGGGGACACCCTCATCCATGAACCGATGTTAAAGCTACTGCCGTTGTCCTCGGCGTCGTCCGACTTTGACAGAAGAGACAGACTTCTTTCATGGTACCAATTGCTCTCTGACTATTCGGCATCCATCCTCACCTTCAAGAGCGACCGCATCATAGCGATGAGGTCTTTAGCAAAATACTTTGATGCAGACGATGCCCTTCTTGCTGGCCTGTGGAAGCGAGACCTTCGCAATGGGCTCTTGTGGCGCGTGGATAACATTCGAACGCCTGGTATCGTTGACAGGCCTGTGGCTCGGACAGACAAGGTTTCGGCTTCCTGGAGCTGGGCGTCGATTGATGGCCGTGTGCAATACGATTTTCTTCGAGGTGCTCGCCAGGACTTTGCTGCACGCCAATTCATTATCACAGACATTTATATTGACTACAAATTCACCGATGGCGACTACAACGATCAACTAGCCGATCGCGTAAGTGATTTGGAGCTCGAGGCCTTAGTTTGTGAAGCACAAATAAGCCGGTTTGGTGAGGGGTGCGTCTGCTTCTTCGACGACATGAAGTGGGATATTGACTGGAGAGATTCAAAGACGTTCTTGTTTGTTTTGGTCTGTCCTTGGACGGCCAATCCAGCCGGCGAGCTGAAGCAGGCTTGTGGCTTGGGCCTCATCGTGCGTCCTTTAGAAGACCATATGGAAAGCCTGTTCGAGCGCTGTGGGTTGTTTCTTGGCACAGCATATGACGAGAAACTGGACGGCTGGACGAGACGGCGTTTAAGGATCATGTAGCACTTTTGTCTATGATGGATTTTTAGTCTAATTAAATTTTGCCTCATCATTGCTAATAGCCCTGGAGAAAGAGTCAGACGGATGGCACTCAGTTCAGCTTGCGAAGTACTGGGTGAGTTAATTCGTGGTAACTTTTCTGAGCGCTCCCTCCTCCTACGCCTAGGCGAATCTAAATAATCACAAATCAAAATGCAGAAGTTGATAGTGTGAGATTGCCGAGAACAATTGCGAAAATTCGCATACAGATGTCTTAAATAATGATATAGACCATTGATATAACGAAAAAGTTATTATATTCGTACACGTTTGGTAGGCAACAGATCAAAGGCCTTCTTCTTCCCTGCTTTGAAAGGCTATCTTGGACTGAATGGCAACATAGGCAAAGCAGGACTCAGACCCATATGCCCTGCTGTGCTTCTTGATGTTTGCAATATCTTCACCTCGCTATCTCATTCTTCAGTTGGCGGCGAGGCTGATTGTGTGCCCTGCGCCCTCGCCGTTGCTAATTCCTGGGCCCGGTCCTCGAGCGATTTGATCTCCCAGATAAGTTCATTCCGAAAGAACCCTCTGCCCTTAGACCTCTCTTCGTCCGTGCGACAGGGGTACTCGACCCTGTCACCACGACAGTGATGCCTGCGCGCGTCGCCATCATCGTCACCCAGGGGTTTCCGTTCCCAAATGTCTCGATAGATGCGCGTCTCGGTGACTGGATCCTCCGGGTCGACTCGAAAAAGGTTCTTCTCGCTCGGGAGTATGGGCAACGAGCTTTTGACCTCTCCTGTTTCCGACAAGAGAAACTCAAATAGGTCCTTTCTCTGCTTTGGAAGCAGCTGCCAGATTCGGTATGTTACATTGCGATTGTTGGAATGAAAATATATGTCGTAGGGATCTTGAAAGTGTTGCTGTAAAGCGCGATACTGAGATAAGAAGAACTCGAAGTCCTCCCACTCTTCTGGATCGAGAAGCTGTAGATTACGATAGACAGTTTCACCTCTATTCCATGGGTGAAAGCAATCGCCCCCCTGCCATTGAACTTCAGTGCGTTGCAAAGGAGAAGGAGGGACAATTATTGTTGAAGTAGAAGTACTAAAACAAACTCACATTTGCCGAGGGTCCGTCTTGCTGTCGCCGGTCGAACAGTATCACGCCACCGAATATCTGAGCTTCAGCCCAGTAACCGACGGCATCGGCCACTCCATCAGGATATTGATCGATGTCTTTATACTGGCTGTGCAAGAAGAATGTCGGGGCGTCGTTGTCTGCCTTGAGTAGTGCTTTGTGGCTGCCAACGTCTAGATCCAGCTTATAGATATACGCAGCGATTCGATGTACAGATACGGCCATTAATTCGATCAATCCAGCCTTGAATACCTTTGACCCGGGCGAGGCGGCCAGATACCGGCGAACGAGCTGCAAGATGTGCGTCAGACCCACGCCCCCGGTTAATTGTGGGGCTTTGGCTTACATCAAAGTCGAACTGCAAGACATGCAAGTTGGACGTGTCCAGAATTTGCCCAACTTTTCCATGAACCCCATCGCACAGCTTCGAGTGTCCGTAAAGAGGATGACTTAGTTCAGGCCTCCCAGGCATCAAAAAAAGAGTCTGGCTGAGAGGTGCACCGTCCACAAGTTGGGCAAATGTTGATTGAGAAACATCTGTTGACATAACTCTTTCCAGTGCGCGTGTATATACTGCAAAATGCTCTCCGCTTCCCAGGTCATTAACCGTGGCTTTGCGGACATGTGACTCTTCATTGACAGGATCCAAAGAAGGAGCATTGCTTGTCAGTTTGTTTGATGCCATCCTGGCTAGTGTCGAAGAACTGAAATGGTGATAGAGACCAAGGATATCAGCACGCTCCAAAATTAAGAGGTGGTGTTATGATGGTGGAGGGCAGAAGGCTAGAGGTGAGGGTGGCCAACAACCCGTTGAAGGCTGAGAAGGTCAGGTATTGCTCAATGGTCCGTCAATCTCCACACGCTGAATCAGCATGTCATTTCACAGTGCCCAGCTGCCCAAGGGGTGAAAAAGTCTGGCCCCTTGACCCTTTGGTTATAGCACCTCTACATGCACTCCAGAGTAGGAACGCTGCTCTTGAGACACCGTTGGGATCAGCGGAGCCATTGCGCTAAAAAGTTAATCTTTTGGACATATATGAGATAATATAAAATAGAACTTTTACCATTTGCTTGTTTGACTTCTTTTCCTTTTTTCTTCCTTCCTATACATCTATTAAGGATTCAGTGATGATTATAACGTGATCAAAATACTTTCACGAGAGGTATACACCATCTGCGAACTTCCTTCATCGCCTCAAGAGTCCCCCGGGCGCCCCGCGAACTGCAGAGACAGATTGTCTGATCTTCAAATCGCACATGAATGCAACAGAGTGAGCGAGTTTCGAAATCTCTAGAAACACCGCATTTCTTGGTAAAATTCGGTATCAAAGCCTGTCCGACGGTTGATAAAAGACAGCACAACGAATTACTACAACCCGGGTTTTCCAAGGGTATGGCCGGCGATAAGGAAAGACTTTAAACTAGGATCGACGATGTGGTGAGAGTCGGTCTGTATTTGGTATGGATTACGTTTATTAAATGGATTATGTCTAATGGAAATAATCAATGTAATGAGTCCGGTATTGTTAGGTAACGAGTATCCAGTATTGTCGCTTGGCTTGCAGATATATTCCTTGGCTCCCTCAGCTTCGTGACAATCACCTCGATCCTAAGGTTGCCCAACCAGTGTGAATTGCCATATAAATGTCCGAAAAAATCATGTTCACCTCTGCTCTTCCAATGCAGTTCGCCACCTTACGGGTTGCAGACCTCCTTCGTTGCCAACCGTTACTAGAGTTGACGCTGCGATCCAAACTGGTGACCAACTCTATGAAACCGAGATCCGCCCATTACATGATTCCTCGACAAGCATCGCTCCCTCCAGAGGAATGGATCGACACGCGTTAGACACAAGCATTTCGAGCACCACGATCAAAGACAAGATGCATGTGTACATCCATCCCGCGGTTCCTTGGCTGGGAGATCACCTCAAGTCATTCATCCGAAAGCTCGTGCCAGATGCCGTCTTCATCAACAACTTTGATGATTTCCCGCCAGATGCATCGAGCGTCTTCCAATACTGTGATGGATGGGCTTTAAATCGAAACTTCGCCATTCTGAACACGGCACAGTCGGCACTCATCAATGCCTACCCCAACAGCGACGCCCTGGCTCGGAAGGATTATCTCTCTAAAGTCATTGAGTTCTGGGCAGCAAAGAGGCCAGACAGTATCCTGAGGACCAATGTCCCACTCACAGTGCGCCTGTCTCTTGACTACGCAGAGTATGTCGATGAAGCTCTGACTGCTGCGGACGATCTCACGCTGCTGTCCTCGCTGGAGGAGAACGAGTTCCGAGCTGCTAAGGAGCGCGAGTGGTGGATATTGAAGCCAGCTCTGGTGGACTGTGGCGCTGGAATTCGCCTCTTCAGCACTATTGATGAGTTGGCAAGCTGTCTCGAGCTTGCCGAGTATGAAGTTGATGAGGATAATGAGAGTGACCTCAGCGAGCGGGCTGTGGAAGGAAATGGCAAATCGGCCGACGATACGGAGAATGACATTTCCAATGATTTCTCACCGACTCTGAAGAGTCCTGGTCTGAACTCACTGGATGTCCTCATCACGGCTGCAGGCGCAATTTCACTTGAGAAATACAAGAGCGGCATCCAAAGAGCCCCCAAGCCGCAGTATGTGTTCAAGGAAGGCGGAAGAATTCCCTCAGCACAGATACGTGAGTTCGTGGCTCAGCGATATGTTATTTCCATCCCGCCGATGGAGAAGAGAAAGTGGCATGTGCGAGCCTACGTTCTCTCCATGGGTCGTCTGAAGGTCTATGTTTTCAAGGAAATGCTCGCTCTGTTAGCAGGGGAGGACTACGAGCCGCCCTGGCTAAATCCCAGCCTCAAGTCTTCCCTGACCAACACGGCACTCCAGGACGAAGATGTTTTCGTGAACAAAGAATCAATGAGAGACTTTTGGGCAGCCCCGGATGACCTGCTCCCGGGAAACTGGAAGCCTAGCATTTTTGATCAGATTTGTAGCATCTCTGCCGAGCTGTTCCGTGCAGCTGCTTATACAATGGCTGACAAGTTCACCACGGTGAACAAATGTTTCGAGCTGTTTGCCGTGGACTTTCTCGTTGACACGAACGGGACCGCATGGCTGCTGGAGGTAAACGAGACGCCCGCGTTTTATGACGTTGGAATCGCTGGCCCGCTGGCCGTGCGCCTCATGGAATCGATAGTTTGTATTTCTATGGAGCACATGGGTCAGATCCCGCTTGATGATGAGCAGAACGCGCCTATTAATAGGCGAATGATTCAGATTCTGGACGAAACAGACAAACTAGCCAAGAGCAACATCACGGAGATCCTCCCAGAGGATTAAGAGTGCGAATAGAGAAAAGGAGGCAGGTTATTACAGATCTTGATAGATAGACATCTTCAGAAAGCCACCGTAGCCACCAACGAGTCTCGTAACCTTTCTGAAGCTTGATCATATATCTGTCGAAACCGACTTCGTACAATTGCAATTGCTTCGCAATTCTTCCAGCACAGCAACCTCTGCTTGGTTGGCTTACGCTGCTGCCACAATTCTGTTAGGTGGATCTTGCGGAAACGACAATCGCCCTGCCGCACGAAACAGGGGAACCCAACAAGTCACTTGAGGGACAGAGTGGCATTGCTTACGCTCGATATGGCCAATTGACAGAGCAATCACGAAGTAATATAATCTCTCAATTAATTCCGGCATGTAAGCTACTGAAGGGGTGACAAGGATGGGCGATGAGTCTTCAGTACGGGCTGGATTTCATAAGCTCTCCTGCACGCCATGCGTCGACCAAATTGCCCGAAGGAGACTAACCTATGGATTATACGACAGCAGGAAAAAGCAAGGACTGGGGTGCGTAGGTTTTCATTGAGAAATAGCTATCCAACCAATAATAGAATGAATAAGTAGGCAACGACGACCGTTACGATATGCTCACTCTCCAAATATAATGTCAAGAACATGGCTAAGCCTTCTTGGAAAGTGGTTGTGTTATGGCCTTGAGCAACGCGTCCAGGAGCATGACAACTCCTTTACCAGCCCTGGAAAGTTTTGCCTGATTAGATTTCTACAGTTATTCCTGAAGCGGTAATTCTGTCGAAATCTAAGCCTCTTGATTGAATACAAAATCAGCTCGCCGGTCTTCCCTCGCCCCCCGTCGTGGTCATTATATATACCGAGGTCTCCTTCAACGAATTGCTACATTGAAATGTCTCAACAGGCAGACACTCTTCCCACCCGAGAACTTAGTTATCATTGCGAGCTCCTACCTTGTGACTTCTCTTATCAACATGATGAGTAAATCTTTGATCCGCGCTCTCGCAGCTGTCATTGTTGTGCAGGCTAGCGAGGCTATCCCGGCGCCATCAGCTACTTCCTCTCCAGAGACTGAGACTACAAATGCAAACTTCGGACCTGTACCAGGCCTATCACAACTGTTTGACGACTATACCGGCCTGGCACCTCCGTTTCCGGAAAATGTGACCAAGCCTATCCCGGCGACTGCGATCGGCAATCCGGCGCCAGATGACACGTTGTGGCAGAACCCCTTCGCTGCCGAGTGGATCATCTACTCGTTCTACCAGCTCGCCGTCACAACCTTCAACGCTTCCAGCTTCACCGCGCTTGGTCTGCCAAACAACACGCTCCAACGCGTAACAGAGATCCGTGACAACGAGGCTGGCCATCTGCGCATCTTCCAGGACAAGATTTCGCCATCCTCGGTCAAACCAGGCGCGTGCGAGTACGACTTCCCACTCGATGGCCAAGCCACCAACTTCCTCGCTCTCTCGACCCTCATCGAGATCGCTAGCATGGTTTTCCTGATAGGTCTCGTGCAGGAAGCCAAGGAAGATGTAGCAAAAGGCGCGCTGACAGCCATCAGCCAAGTTGAGACTCGCCACGAGATTTGGTCGCTGCTGGAGGTCTGGGGTGTTGACCCCTTCGGCGGCCCCAGCGACACCGTCTTCCCCTATCCGAACGAGATCCTTGATATTACCAACCGCTTCGTCGTGCCTGGCAGCTGCCCACACGCAAATCCGCCTTTCCCCAACCCCTCGCAGAACTTGCCGCGGATCGGAGTCGCATCCTGGACTGAGTCTGTGACGGTCAGCTCGACCGTGCAGCTTAATTTCACGGACCCGGTCAATCAGCCTCATTTCGAGAATAATGCAGAGTACTATGCAGTTTTCTTCCACGGAGTCGACGTCATTAGCGCGCCCCTTGTTATGACTCATTGGCCAGAGCAGCCGCCTAATGTCACGATCCCGGCAGAGTTCGAGGCCAAAGGTGTGGTAATCATGGTCATCGCCACCATGAGAGGAGCGCCTACGTTGAGCAGCGTAGTAGCTGGCCCAGCTATCTTTCTGCAGCAGCCGGCAGAGCTGGGGATCAAGGTGATTTGATAGAAATGTCGGATGCAAGAACCCGTTTGGTTGTGCTTAACTAAGGGCCTCTCATCAGTCATTCAAAAGAAAATCAGCTGGTAGAATTTGGGAGAATTTTGCTTATGCACCTTGCGCCTCTTCTCCCGACATGGTTCACACGCTTTTAAAGGTCGATCGTGAGACCTCCCGCGCTGGGACATTGATATCGTAGAGTTGACAACAGAGTGATTGACTGCCTTGAGATACAATAAACAGCTTTAATACCTGCGGCATTGAGTGACCTTTTTGTGAAGGAAAACCGTGGCGGCGGTGTGTGCTTCAGGAATCTGTAATGCAAATTGAAGGGGGATAGCTCGTTTCTTCCATAGGCGCTGCAAAGCTCGAAGCAGTATTAACAGACCCGATATTCTAACACGGCCGTCCATGATGACGCCAGCTTCCGTCGAGCGAATTCCCTCTTTCGGATGGGATAAGCGCTACTGCAAGAGACGCAAGTGCTTATTTTTGCTTAGGGGCTGACTAATTTATACACCTCCTTCCCTAGGCTCAAATACCAAGTGCAAACCTCAAGGCTTTGATGGCTTCCAGCAATGTGCGCTAGCCCTCCACGGAACACTTCAACGGGGAAGATCGTCTTCGCTACCTATACAGATCGCTATTCAGGCACCGGTCGAGACGAGATCGTGTTTGAAGCGAAAACTACACTTTCCATTGCGGCAGACGTCGTTGTATCCTTGATATCGTATATTGAAATAAGCATGTGGCAGGAAATTGCAGGCACCAGGTATTTGTTCAATAACGTAACAGGACCTGTAAGTGTCCGTATGGCTACACCGTATGTAAGTCTTCCTGGATTCAACTCTTCCAGCTTACCCGGCCCGGCGAGGCGAGGCGAAGCTGTGTGGCCTTGTGCTATGAGAAATTGGGATTTATGGCTAGGTCCTCGCAACCTTCGTAGACTTTGTTGGATAGGAATCCGCCGAAGCGCCCTGCTCAAAACGACCCAACCGGCGAAAAGCAATGTAGGCCAACAATGGCTGTGGTACCACTTTGACGACAGCCTTGCCACGAATCTCCACAAGAAGGGTTCCAAGAATGGGGTATGGATGTTTGCGTCCTTCGCCTGTCGAGATATGCCCGCACACTGTTTAGAGCCATGCTCGCCTGAGAGCTGGGGAGTAGACCAGTCCCAGCCAGCCCGTCGATTTCCACGCAAGGGTTGTGTGACTATCTTCTGTCCAGCATAATGTCACGAATATGTCGCCCCAATCGTCCCTAGCCACTTGCTGGACTGCTCTCTTCGGTTCCAGGCTCGCGCTTGACCACATCACGACCATTCTTCTCGTCCTCATCCGCGGCCGACTTCTTATCATTGATCCTTGCCCATTTCTCCTCCATGTTTAACTTGACGACATGGTTCGCATTGGTACTGTTGCCGGCAACGAGACCATAAACGAAGTTAGCGGCCAGGTAGGTGCCGACGAACCACAACCACCCCAAGGCGGCCAGTCCGAAAGTCACGAGGAGGGTAGACCCGAGGATGATGCTGGCCACTCCAATCCAGAAGAGAGAGAATATAACGGCGGTAAACATCGCGAGGGCAACGGTGCCGAGGACGAAGGAGGCGAAGAGGAGGATGGGGACAAGGGAGAGGAGCAGCTGGGCTACGATGAAGGACTGGAGGCACATTGAGCGGTCAGCAGGGTATAGAAAGGTACAACAGAGAGGACGGGGCAGAAACAGCATACAAACAACAGTGGCTGCTCCTGGGCGAAGCTGAGGACGCTGTCATAGGCTCTCTGGCGGTCATGAGGGCTCACGACGCGGTCGGCCTGGCGACGCGCCGAGTCGATCGTGCCGCTGACGTAGTCGTAGACAGCCATGTTTTTGTTGTTGGCCTCGAAATTGGGTCTCGCGAGTCGAGGTCGCAAGAGTTTGGAGTAGAGTGGAATGGCAACTGGCCCATTGGCAAGTTGACGTAGGAGGATGTCAAGCAAAATGGAGGTGGGATGCGCTGAGTGGGTGGGACAGGCCGTGTCAGCTCAGCTCAAGATGCCCGCACACACATGTCATAGCAGCTACAGGCCAAGCAGGGGTAGCTGTCCAGGGGCGCTCCCTTCACCTAGCCGCCCCTACCCCTGCCAATCAACCCTGCGTCATGCAGGAACAACGCATTCCAGCTGCGTCTGCCTTCCCCTTTCCCAGCCAATGATGGGACGAACCATACTTTTGCGATGACTTCAACTCAACCCAAATCCCGTCCTGTCGAGAAACTTGACCTCCTGGGCAGTCACTGGGCGATATTGAGAGACAAGGACGACCATGATATCCACCTTACGGATGGAAACTACTGCACGTGTCAAGATCTCAACTGCTGGAAGCTGTGGATCTGATATCTACTCATGTACCTGGGCACGGTCACGATATCAAACGACATTGGATATTAGGCCAGAAAGTGGTATATTTGAGCTCCTTACGAAAATGCACAATACCCTAACCAGCACCATATCTAGGTATAGCTATCATTACTTGGAATATCAGAGCCTAGACCCTCAACTGTGAGACACACTCTCAAAATGGTCATCCAAAAATGCGCGAGAGCACCTTGAATTTCGATCCGTTGGGTGTGGTTTTCGGTGTCTCTGCAGCAAGCACTTGATCCATACCATTTACAAGGTCCATAAGTTTGGCGTCAATATACCACGGCTCGTTTCGGGCGACAGTGAAGCGATGACCAAAATACAGCCCCAGGAAGATCGGGATACCAATATACGCGGTGAGGAAACTCGAGACATCCCAATTATCGCCGACAAATACCTTGAACCCGTTCAGCAACATGAGAATGAAGAATGTGATTCCGCAAACCCATGCCATGTAGGGCTGGAAGCGGGACCGGTATGGGAGATCAGTGACGCCTTGCACCTCTGTGCCCTTCCGGAACCGCAAGTAGATGATGCAAACTGCGATCCAGCTCTGAAAGGCACCAGCATTGATCAGGTTGATGAGCCAGTTGAAGACGACGGCGCCGGTTGAAGCAACGTTGAGGTAAGCAAGGAGGGACACGGATGCGCTTGCAGCAAGAGCGTAATAGGGGACGCCGCTCTTGGTGCACCTGGCAAATACCCTGGGTGCTGTTCCCACGAGCGCCATGCTGTAGAGGGCGCGACTCGAGAGATACAGGTACGAGTTGCCCGCAGACCAGGCCGATGTCAGGATAATGCCGTTGACGATGTCAGGATACACGCTGATACCCGCCTCGCTAATCGCAATAGCCCAAGGTGATGACCCTGCGCCCTTGCCTCCACCCAGCAAACGATCGTTATCGCTGGAGACGATGAGGCCGATGAAGAAGGACCCCAGGACGTAGAAGAATATGAGTCTGTAGATGTATCGACGGCCGGCCGAGGGCAGATTACGCCTGGGCGATTGCATTTCACCACCGGTGACTACAATCAGCTCTGGGGCAAAGGCAAATGCGAAGACCGAGAAGACCCAAGTCCCGATAAAAGCGCACAGCTTGCCGCTCCCGCCACTGACCAGGTACTCCTTGACTGGTCCAGGGTCATGCCAATATCGGAAACCCAAGGCCTGAGCATTGGGGCCACCACCACAGACGATGACAAGGGCAGTGATGAGAAGCGCAATCAGGCCAAAGACTTTGAGAGAGGCGAACCAGAATTCGGCTTCACCGTATACCTTGACTGGGAAGCAGTTGAGAGCGATAATGACAACCATGGAGATGGTGATCCATACGGCAACGTGGACAGGTGGATTCCAATATTCAATAACGAGGCTGGTTGCTGTAATCTCTGCCGGGACTGTGATGGCGAAGATATACCAATACATCCAGCCGAGTGCGAAACCTAGACTGCTCGAGACATAGCGAGCGGCAAAGTAATTGACGCTGCTGCCGCGGACTGGGAGATAGGAGCTGAATTCGGTGGTGGCTGTGACGATGCCATACACGAGAAGACTCATAATGATGTATGCCACGAGGAGAAAACATGGTCCTCCCATCTGGAGGGCCTGGCCTGAACCGACAAAGAGACCGGTCCCGATCGTACCGCCCAGGGCAATCATTTGTGCGTGTCGAGACTTGAGACCACGTTGTGTTCCATGTCCACCTTCGACGCCCTCGCCAAATCCATTCACTTCCTCGACATCACCGGCTTGCCTGGACTGCATTGGGTGGAGGCCCATGGTGGCCTTGGTGTCTTCCTCCTTCATGGCGGGTATTCGACGTTTTTGGGAGAACGTGGGAATAGGGAGAACAACGAGAGGGGTGGACCTCGTAGCAGCATGCTTAGCCGACGAGGCCGTATCTCGTCTAGTTATATTCCGCCTCATGGCCCTGGCCAGCCTGCCCTAGGCTGTGCCCGCCTTCGACCATGGTCACCGAGATTAAGGTCTGGGCACGACCATATCCGGGGTAAGTTATCATCGGGAAAGATAGCGCCGGCTTATCATCCCCTGAATGCGGAGAAGTGGAGGATCAAGGCGATATACTGTCATCCCGTACTCACCTACGCCCGGTCTTGCTTACCGTTTCCAGCGACGCGGCTTCAGCGCCTGCTCTCCTACCGGAGGGGTAGTGGTTTCAGCTTTCGCACTGCCAAGTTGATTATGGCTGGGACAAGGCAGAAAATGTCCCTTCCTAGACGATGATTGTTGCGGAAGAAAAGGAAAGAAGCGGTGCAAAGGCCAGTTTTACGTTATCAAATCAACCACGTGCCATCTCTACGGTCAAGACAGAACAATTGTTGTGCTCTGCCTCGATTACACAGCCCACAGTGCCTCAGAAAGGTCGCAAGAGCTTGAATTACGACTACACATGGCCAGTCACGGCCAGCTCACTGTATTTGATCTAGCAAAGAAACAGCGTGGTCTTTTCCTCGCGCAGAGCATCGACCCATGTCCATTGTAGCGAGGCACTTCGCAGCTTGGTCGAGCCTCGGGAAAGGGCCCCTGATCTAGGGGTGTTCAAGGCTCCCGGATCGTCCAAGGGCCTATCGCGTCTTTCCCAGACCCTGGACATGATATCAGCGGCAGTCTTGAAACTAGAGATGCCGAATTGCTCCACGCCGCGTTGGGTCAGGTCCTTGAAAAACTCGCGGTCCCTCGGCCTGATAGCCTCGCAACCAGCTATAAAAACGGGCCACACCGGGCAAGGCCCTTCGAGCTTGTGGGACTCCAACGCCATCTCGAAAGTTTTCAGGCTATCTATCACATCACTAACGTATCCCTGCAGTATGCGGGGGTGGAGGTCACGGATTCGGCGGTAGAAGAGTATCTCCAAGGCAGCGTTCAAGGCCCGCAGCATGTGAGGGTTGGGCCCATCTCTGTGCGCAGCCTGGCGCTGGCTCTCCTCATCCGACAGGTGCGCTCCAGAGCACATTGTGGGCCGGGATGCGAAGCCACAGATCATTTCTTCAAGCAACTTTGCCCGCTTCTGGAGAGAGTTTGACAAATCGAAACTTGATGAGCTGGGTCTGGACTTCACCACGTCAAGTAGATTAGCAAGCCTTGTGACCTGAGATACGAGGCTCAGCCACGTCTCGGGTATCCCATAGACCTGGGGGTAGAGGGTGTCTAAAGATTCACGGGAGTCCTCGAGGTGAATGTCCCGGCGCCCGGTCTCGTGCTCTTTGAGCTCTTCGATCTCGAGATCGCTATCGGAAGCGTGTGGTTGCAACCTGAGAAAGTCGTCCAGGCACCCATTCTGAGGGTCTTGCAGTTGCGGAGTTCCCCCGGCCTGTAACGAGTCAAGTTGTGGGTGGGGAGTAGGCCTTTCCATGTTCGACCCATGTATACTGTAATCATGGATGACATACGTGCTCTCGCCTATGATGCGCATCCATGTGTAGACATGATGCAACAGGCGCACCCGCCTGGAGATATGGCGCTTGGCGAGACCTCTTAGGCGAAGCAAACGTTCCGCGTCAAGTATGTAACAACGCGCGTCCTTTTCGTTGCCCGTGATAATCTGAGGACGGCTATCAGTGACTCGGAAAATCAATACAGACCCTCGTTGTAGCGCTTACCGAATGATTTGTTAGCATCAGAATGGCCATGAGTTGATCCTTGTATTTTGCTTTTGACTTCCCCTGCACCTCAGCCCTCAGAGACATCTGCATGTGGTGCTTGGCTTTGTTAAGTGTATTAGAGGCCAAGTCTTCCGTGAGAGGCTGTGGAGAGCAACCTCGGTTTGATGGGGTCGCGCTGGCATGATACGCCGCGCAGCTGAGCACGGCATAATAATTTGCCTGGGCCGCGTGCGTCAGGTTCTTTGCCTCGAAAAAATTCAAGTCGGCAAAGGTCTGGACCGCAAAAGCCAGGTTGAGGATCTCCCACGGCGACTTGAGCCCCGTCGGTAGCGTCCTTGTGATGCTGCTTAGATTGGCTCGGAAGTGACTCAGCAAGAATTGGGCCACCTCTGGCGTCACCGCGTCGTGGTGGCTGGCGACTGGTGACTGGACCAGAGGCACAGTCGGAGGAACTCGATTCAAGCCCGAGTTAGTTGACCCGGATGGCTGGGTGCGTTGATCCATGCCGTCGATCTGCATCGATGCTTCAAGGGGGTCAGGCCAATTCCACGTCGAGTCGGACAAATCCGGAGGGTCAAAACATAGTCTACTCGCATCAGTGGTGAAGATATGACCTGGGTTCACGTCGAAAAGATCTCCCCACTGTAAGGTGTTGTCGAGGCCGAGAAGTGTGTCAAGGGAGAGAGGGCTAGTTGTGTCCGGCTCCGGGAATGTGTTGTCGCTGGCGAGGCCTGGATCAGTCTGCGGTGCTACAGGTTGCAAGTCTACTTCTTGCTCGACCTGGCCAAGGTCAAGCACACCGAACGGACCGACCGTGACCTGACGGTCCTTGGCGCGATCGAGCTCCGCAAGACAGCCATCTATAGAGGTGGTCTCCAAGCTGGCAACAAGGCCGAGGCTCATGCGCTCTCGGGATATTTCTGGCGGAGTCACGGATCAGTCGTAATACAACCTTGTATTGATAAGTAGGCAAGATTAAGAAGCATGAGAAGTAAGAGGCAAGATCATTACCACTATACAAGTGTCGTCTTGATCGCTGAGCAGCCCCTGATGCAGACCCGGCGGTGCTTGTGGTTGGCGTTGCAGCCTGGCCCGAGGACGCGGCCCATCGCACATCAGCTGCGAATCCCTCGCAACTCACGCCAGCTTTTCTGCAAGTATTACAGACTGGCCTTTTCTGGTCACACTTGACATGGCGTCTCCGGCACGTCGCACAGCTACCTCGTGAACGCTTCGGCCGAGTCTGTACTGCACTGTCGACGCGGTCTTTCGGCATGGACGCAGCTTGGGTCTGGCGGGTCCGACGTGCCCGAGATGAAGTGGGGCCGGGGAAGTATCCTGTCAATCTGGACTTTTTGTGGGGAAATCGAAAAACCCAGATTGCAGATACGTTGTCGGGTAAGAGTAACGAAAGGGGAATCCGTGCGATTCTTCGGGCTGGAATTGACGAAACAGGAAGCGAGATATATATGTAGATAGCGAGCCCGGGCAGGACTCGCATAGCCGACCCCCCGCCTTACATCTGGCATATCTTTGCGGGGTAGGCTGCAGAGATACTTAGATAACCACTAGATATTCACGCCAGGCGCGCATGTGAAGTGAAACGCGGGTGGCAGACAATCCGGCAAGACCGGGAGGCTAGGCTGTAGTTCTGGCAACAAAGGCCGACTGCGAGAGCAAATTTAACTTATCTGCATTTCTGAATTTGTGCAACTCCCGTGACTGCTTTCCTGTCTTGATTGCAGTGGGACTGCCTGTCTATCTAGATGCTACGTTGGCAACAGCTAGGTCTCCAGCGCGCCCAAGGCCCTCTGGAACGACTCAGGTATTTCCTCCTCGAGTCCATGCTGCGAAGCGCTGTAGCCGAGCAACTTCTTCGCTCTTTCTGGAACGCACACAGCATTTGTTCCAAAAAGTACGCTCCCGTGGGCAAAGGTCGTGTCTGCCTCCTGGGCACTGATAGACTTTGGCGACGCTTGTATACTCGTCTTCTGGGCAGTTTGAGATACAAGCTCGGCAATACGCTTCCATGACTGAATACACAAGACAAATTTTCAGTAAACGACTCCGAAAGACAGGAGAAAGCGAAGTACATACTATCTCTCCGGTCTGAACAAAGTAGAGACCACGCTCGTTCCAGAGCTCCGGGTCGGACTCCTTGTCCTGCCCCTTGCCCACTATCTTGGTGATGAGATTGCTGAGGTCTTCTACATGCACGTTGCCCCATGTGGCCTCTCCCTGCCCAACATATACGGCAGTCTTTTTCTCAATAGCCACCTTGCAGAGGCCGGGGATTTGTTGGCTGTTTGCATTACCGAGCCCACGGCCCAGGCCGTAAATGATGGGCGGGAAAATGATGGCGGTGCGAACTCGGGATCCCAGCTCGCGGGCAATACTTAGCATGGCTTGATCGACAGCGCGCGTTGAGGCACTTTCAATCAGCGAGATGATCTCTGAGACCTGCTCATAGTCATTATACTTGTGGCTGGAAGCCTCGCCGAAGCGCTTGTGAATAATATCTGGTGTTGAGAGGACGCTTGCACCTGAGATCTGAATCCAGCAGACTGGTTTGCACGTAATTTCAGCGGCTGTTTGGGTGTGACACATGACCGGCGTGCAACTTACCATGGCTTGTTCTCTGGGACTTGCGTATACCATTGGCAATACTGTGGACCACACCGATGTGCTTGCCGTTGGCAGTGTCTGAAACTTCTGTCAGAACTCTTCCGAAATCAGTGGACCAAGTAGACGTGAACGCATACTAATGACCACGTCGGTCTCCTTGACAGTTGCCTCGATGAGATCGGCCGAGTCTAGATCCCCTTGCTGAAGCTGGACATGGGGATACTTGTCGGCGATGGGTTTTGCTCTAGCAGTGTCACGAACGAGAGCTGTGATCGATGCGGTCGGGAACTGTCTTGCAATAGAAGCCAGTACATCGCCTCCGATGTAGCCAGTTGCGCCAGTTCTGATCAAACAGGTAAGTAATCCAGCTCCATCTCCAGGCGTGTTGGTGGGTACCTACAGGAAAACCTTCATTGTGGACTGTTGAGCCTTTTGAGGGGTATGCAAAAGAAATAGCGTATCGTAGTCAATGGTGCAAGTGTCCGTGGTACATGTGACGCCCTCAAGGAGAACTACCCACGCTTAGAAGTCGTGTCTTTTGAACCTCACTGTGAGCTGCTGGCGCTTCCTCAATGGAGCCGACGCTGAAGATGAGGAGTCGAGTGCATGTGGAGTGGGGATATCTTGTACGAAACGAGTAAGCCAGCACGAGTGCCTCTCCAATCCTAGACCCCCCTCCCACCTCCTCCCACTCGCCAACCACGATAAACTGTTGTATCAGTTCCCACGTCTCAGGCGGGGGTGATGATACCTTATCACGAGGCACTTACATGGTAGAAATAAATTAGTAGTCCCCTCATAGACACTGATTTGCAAGGTTCACCACAGCAGGACAGACAATTGATCCGGCCAAGATTGCAAGATGGCAAACCGCAGTGTGAATCTTGATCCTAAGGTCTTCAGCATTAGCGACCTAAAACGTGAGGGCAGTGCAAGACTGCCTCCCATGTATCGAGGTCGGTGCACATTTGCCAGCACTGAAATCCCTGACTGACATGACTAGACTTTTACAATGAAGGAGCCATGGATATGGAGACGTAAGTTGTCCTGCGAAGAAGCCGATCGTTTTCGTTTTCACTCACGACTCGCCAAGACTGCGAGAGAACGAGGAGGCATACCGAAGATACAAGATCCGTCCCCGTATCTTGGTGAACGTGGATCATGTCGATACTTCAGCAGAAATCTTTGGTGTCAAGGTGAGCAACCAGTATTACCGACGCCTTGCTGGATCGGCTGACGCTTCAAAGGTCCCTTTTCCTCTGGGATTTAGCCCCTCTGCGATGCACCAGCTAGCACATCCTGAAGGCGAAGTGGCAACCTCAAAAGCAGCTGCAGCAGAGGGCATCTGTATGGGTTTGTCGTCATACTCTACCGTCTCACTCGAAGAGGTCGCACAACAGGGGCTCGGCAATCCATTATTCATGCAGGTTTGCGTGCTGAAAGACCGCCGTACCACTCTGCAACTGCTGAAGCGAGCAGAAGGTGAGTAAATGACTACCGCCCAATGTGCTACGCGCATACTAATATTGCAAAGCCGCCGGCTACAAAGCCATTTTCGTCTCTGTGGACGTTCCGGTGCTAGGGCGTCGTCTCAACGAGATGCGCAATAGCTTCACCCTCCCGGAGGACATGCAGTTACCAAATCTTTTGTCAGATGGCAGAAAAGAGTTCAGTGGTGGCAATGCGGCGACGGCATTTGGTATGGCCTCAACGATCCGAGTCCTATAGTCTTAGCTGACCGCAGACGAAGACGCGAGTCTTGATTGGGACAGTGCAATTCCATGGCTCAAGGAAAACACAAAGATGCAGATTTGGCTCAAAGGAGGTCAGCTCATTCACCGAGAAATCGCACAGCGTTCTTTCGCTGACGACCGACCAGTAAACACACCCGAGGATGTCCAGATGGCCATTGACCACAACTTGGATGGTGTTGTCATTTCTAATCACGGAGGAAGACAGCTTGACGGCATTGCTGCCACGCTGGACACGCTTCGCGTCTGCGCACCTCTCGCCAAGGGAAAGATCCAGATCGCGGTGGATGGTGGGGTGCGCAAGGGTTCCGACATTTTCAAGGCGATCGCGCTCGGTGCCGATCATGTGTTTGTCGGCAGAATACCTATCTGGGGTCTCGCGGTACGAAATGTTGTATGAAGTCATCCTACCAGTGATTACTGACGTCTGCAGTATAATGGCCAAAAGGGCGTCGAACTCGCCATAAAGATGCTCAAGGAAGAATTTGCCGTAACCATGAGGCTGGCCGGGTTTGTTTATACTTTCACTTCCGTTGGACCACGAATCGAACGCTGACTTGAATGGTAGATGCGCATCAGTCAAGGACATCACACCAGACCGCTTGGCATATTTGAGACAGGATGGAATCCTTGCGAAGTTGTAAGAGAGGAGATTTTGTTGCCTAGACATTAGCATTTGTACCATGTTGTGGCTCTGGGAAACTGCTAGACTGCATAAAGCCGTGATATTTGTTTGAAGCAGGCGTGTTTGAGTATTCAAAGGAATTGACACGTAAATTTCTACATGCATGCAGCGAAACTTCTTTTGTGGACAAGAGGGTCAATGTTGCCGGTCTGAATAGGCAGGACTCGCACGCCTTCAAAATTCAGCGCTTCACGTAGATAGACCTTTTCATGATTGGTCATCACGTTGAAGTCTAGGGTCAAGCCTCAAGCCAGTGTTAACTGGCAACGTTGGTGTAATTTTAGGCTTCATTAGCTCTTCTAGCGGACAATCTACTCAAATCCTTCCCCTGTGATCCTACTGAGAATTAGGTGGACTGCGAGAGATGGAATTTAGGTAATTTTGTACAAAGTAGGTTCCTTGTTACTGGACTGAAATAAGCACATTCTATGAGCAGCACGGAACAGAAGTTTCTGCACAAATCACTTGTGAAATATTGTTGGTAAATTTCGTGACTTTAATCAATTGGTTCAAGTACGTATCGTGACTGTTCATCAGGCTCTTTCAAAGTTGTTTCCAACCCAGGATGTCAATCTCATGCTCAATAATCCATAAGAGCAAATTCCACCAGTAATACATGCAGACAACCAACTGTTCATTATAGACCTATCTTCCTGTCATAATGACCCTTCTCATTTGTGTGGTGGCAGCCATCTTCACTGCCCGACTACCTTCAGGCCAGCGGTTTGTAGCAACAAGGCAAACTCAGCGCGCTCTGCTTGTCCGAGGACAACAAACGGTTTGCGGCATCCTCCTGTTGACGTACCGAGCAATTCCATGCCAGTCTTGATAGCCGCCGAATAATTATAGGACTCGAGAAACTTGCAGACAGGATATATCTTGGACCACAGCTCCCTGGCCTTCTCAAGATCTTTCTTGACGGCTAGGGCTTCCCACAGCTCGACAGACAGCTCTGGGATGATGTTGGTCGCACCCCAGACGGAGCCCTTGGCACCAGCGGCAAGGCCGTAGAAAGTCAACGTGTCCCAGCCGTTGAATGCAGTAATCTTGTCCTGTAATGAGAAAAGGAGCTCTGTAAGGGCCGGTGCGTCTCCCGACGTATCTTTCAAGTATTGGACTCCGACCTTTGACAGATCCGCCAGCTGTGTTGGGCTGAGTTTGAGGCCAGATGCTGAAGGGATATTGTAATACATGATTGGGAGTTTGGACACTGAGTGCAGCTCTGCCAGGAGCCCGTGTAACTCTTCAACGGAAGGCGCGTCGTAGAATGGCGGTACAACCATCAGTGCCGCGGCACCAACCTCAGCAGCGTGCTTTGCGAGTTCAACGCCATCCTTGGTCGAAAGTGTCCCGATACCAGCGATTACTGGGATCTTGCCGGCTGCAGACTTGACGCACACCTCGACGAGCTGCTTCCGCTCCTCAAGGGTCAATGCAGTGAACTCGCCAGTGCTTCCGCCAGGGACCAAGCCGTGAACGCCGGCCTTGATGAGACGCTGGATGTGCTGGTCCAAAGCCGCAATGTCAATTGCGGACTGGTCTGCCGTGAATGGCGTGTAAAGCGCCACCATGATACCTTTGAGAGACATTGTGGTGATTATATGGTCTGATAATTTCAAAAGTGATTTTAGCGATGAGTAGCGCGTAATGCTGTTGTCAAGTTTCGTTGACAGCGTCTTTGAACAATAAGTAACCGACATCTGATCGGCAAACAAATCGTCCAACCTAGTACCTCATATCGAGCAAGGCAAGCTAGTGCGAGTCACAGCAATGCGAGATACGCTGCGCCGCTGCTGCCAATGGCAGCTTGGTCACCACGCACAGGACGATTTTGTCAACTGAGACTGGAAAGTGAAGACGAGGCGAGTCACATCACCTAGAAACGCGGGGGGACTCTTGCAGAATCGCTACCCAACGGAGCGCATTTCAATGTTTCGAAGGCATGTGATATGCAGGTTGTAGATCGATGTCTTGATTGATCTAATAATTAGAAACCTTGTGCCCAATAATATCATTTGAATTTGTGCTGCACTATTCGTTCTACCAGCAAAAGTTGCCCACGTTGTGCTCAGTGGTTTCTTCATACGATATTATAGGGTCTTTGATACGAGAATTGATGGGATACTATCATTGTCTTCAATACGGGCAGCCCCCCTCTCCAGAACGGATATCGTCCAAATGTGGCGAGCTCGGATGACGGATCCCTGCAGTTTGGGTGAAACGGGAAGGCCAACCCGAGCTTGATCCGCAGGGTCGTCCCGCAGCAGCACAACGCTGTGGAGCCGAGAACGAGACCGCCGAGACCGCAGACATACTAGACTAGTAGACTCACTTCGTCGCGAGATATCATTGAGATAAGCCATCGGCCTGTGCACAAAGTCCTCAGCGATTGCACATGTGAGTGCCAGTTTCTGGGTTCCGAGTGTTGTATATTGGCATTTACAATCAGATCACCAAGTCTCCCGATCCAGTCTCCTGACCCAAGTTACAAGCAACATTAATAAATCTTCGATCATGTCGGACTTCCTCGCATCGTTGCAGGCGCCAAACGGGCGCACTTACTCGCAACCCTTGGGCCTCTTTATCAACAATGAATTCGTCAAAGGATCAGCAGAGAAACAGATTACATCCATCGATCCATTGTGAGTGTGTTCTCGTGCAGCACGTCGCAACCACCGCTGATTGCAAGCCTACAGCACAGAGTCTGAGATTGCGACTGTACAAACAGCTTCAGCGGAAGATGTTGATAGAGCAGTCAAGGCAGCTCATGCCGCGCTGAAGAGTGGCCCATGGAAGACACTTCCGGGTACCGAGCGTGGAATTCTCATGAACCGCCTCGCTGACTTGATGGAGAAGAAGAAGGAGCTGCTTGCCACTATTGACACATGGGACAACGGTATGGTTGAGAGGTTGCGTATGCACGTGAGACCGCTTGAGCCTGACATGCCAACTAGGAAAGCCGTACAAGGATGCCCTTGAGGGCGATCTGCCCGAGGCCATTAGCACAATCCGCTACTATGCCGGCTGGGCAGATAAGGTCTTTGGACAGACTATCTCAACCACGTCTGAGAAATTCGCCTACACCATCCGACAACCGATTGGAGTGGTAGGACAGATTATCCCCTGGAACTATCCGCTTTCCATGGCTTGCTGGAAGCTCGGTCCTGCTCTGGCCTGCGGCAATACCGTTGTTCTGAAAGCGGCGGAGCAGACCCCCCTCAGTGTCCTGGTACTGGGACAGTTGGTCAGAGAAGCTGGTTTCCCCCCTGGTGTTGTTAACTTCATCAACGGCTACGGGAGAGAAGCCGGCGTCGCGCTTGTAGAGCACCCGCAAGTCGACAAGATCGCATTCACCGGGTCGACATCTACAGCTCGCCAGATCATGACTTTGGCCGCCAAGACCTTGAAGAACATCACGCTCGAGACCGGGGGAAAGTCGCCATTGCTGGTGTTTGACGATGCGGATCTCGACCAGGCTGTCAAGTGGTCCCACTTTGGTATCATGTCTAATAAGGGTGAAATCTGTACCGCAACCTCCCGCATTCTTGTCCAGAAGTCTGTCTATGCATCATTTGTAGAGGCCTTTCAACAAAGGGTAGCCAGCACCAGCATACTGGGCAACCCTTTTGACGAGACAACATACCAAGGCCCACAAGTCACAAAGCAACAACAAGAAAGGGTCAAATCTTTCATCGACTCCGCTGTCTCTGAGGGCGCAACTGTTATGACCGGCGGGCAGAAAGATCTGCCTGGGGATAAGGGCTATTTTGTGCGGCCTACTGTGCTGACCAATGTCACCGATTCTATGACAGTGTTCAGGGAGGAAATCTTTGGTCCGGTTGTTGTCATCTCAAGCTTTGAAACTGAAGAGGAAGCAGTTGCTCGGGCAAACAACACAACTTACGGACTTGGAGCCGCAGTCTTTACCAGAGACCTAGAAAAGGCCCACAGGGTGGCGGGTGACATTGAAGCAGGTATGGTTTGGGTGAACAGCAGCCAAGATTGCGACCCCAGAATTCCTTTTGGAGGCGTCAAGCAAAGTGGCATTGGCAGGGAGTTGGGGGAGGCTGGCTTGGAGGCTTACACCCAGACGAAGGCCGTCCACATCAACATGGGCAATCGCTTATAACCTCTTCGTTGGTAGCCTAGACATTGTCAGCCTTTCTCAAAGCTAGGGGCTACAATGAAACTTGAATGACCAACTTTCAAATGCCTGACCCCCTCAAGTGGTAAACTCTTGTCACGGCTGAGTCAGTGTCATTACGGTCCCAACTCCCATGGCCAGTTGGCGAGTCCACGGACGAACCTGAAAAACCTGCGGGATATTGATGAGTAAAGATCAGATACATTTGGGTGAAATATGGCTAGTAAAATTGGATCGTTCATTGATAGTGCCTTGTATATAGGGACATCTTAAGCTATCTGTATCTAGCTACTGAGTCTGAGCGCTAGCCCAGGCCGGATACAATAAAACAATAAGGGAGTTGTTCACGATGCCATAGTATTTATCAGGTGTTGACATAGCCCGCACACTATTTAGAATAACTGATAGTATAGCAGAGCTAAAGTCTTAAGCTAGAACCTTGACGGAGGCATTAAGGCTGCTAGTGCCAGATTTAGAGAACTTCGGTCAATGAACAATATTTATTGACCGCAATGACATTTATTGGCCGTAAAGCAAGACCAGTCTATAAAACACAGAGACGTCAACCTTGCTTCCACATTGATTTACTTGTTGTTTCGCACACTGAACTACATTTTACAAATCTCAGACAAACTCACAATCGGAGAACAAAACATCAGCTCGATTCGATTGACATCAAGATGCATTTCCCCTACGCGATCATCACCCTCGCACTGCGCCTCCTCACCGGCAGAGCAGTCCAGGCCCCTTCACACGATGCACAACCACAACAACTCCCGCATTGCCCCGTCACCGCCGCCCCGCAAGGAGACACCTATGAGAGCATCCCTAGCAACGCATACGGGCAGCACATCATCGCCGGATCCGACGAAACTATAGTCATCAACAATAACAACAACAACGAAGATGACTGCTGCTGCTGTGTGGACGACGATCCTTCTCTGCAAGCAACATGCATCACACCACAAGAAGAAAGTGTCACCACCGAACCCAACGCCGCGGGTAGGGGGAGGACAGAGCAGCAAGGGCATCGGCGACCAGCCAACGAGAGGTCCTTCCGAGGTCGCTTGCTGGCTTTTAGCATTGCCTATTATTGGCTCCACCGCAGCCGCCACGGCCGCCGCCAGCACGGCGAGGAGTCGATGGGAGAAAAAGCTCGCCGTCAGTGAAGATGGCCCCGCAAAAGGAATACGCACACTCGTTACAGTTTTTGAACTGGGAATTACCGGCTTGTACAGATAAGGATGGGTTGGCGGCTGATACAGAGATCAAGTGATGCATGAAGAACAGTTTTAAGAACTTTGATAGGAGTTGTCGAAATTGCTAGTGGCAGGCTAGGAAATTCGGTCGAAATTAGGTCACAACATTGAAAGCGGAAATAAAATGTCATTCAATAATTTATTGATCGCAAAGCGAAAACAGTCTATGAAGTAGAAACATCAGCCTTGGTTCCACGGGGGTTTGCTCTGTATTTGCTCATTGAAACTCTTTTAAGCCCCTCAGATCCACTCATAAGATAATATCCATAAGCCTGGTTCAACATTAACATGCATTTCCCCTATAAAATCATCGCCCTCGTCCTGTGCCTCACCGGCACAATCTCGGCTCAATACGATGATGCACAACCACAACACCCGCAATGCCCGGCCAACCAGCGCATCTGTGACGTCCCTGGCAATCCATATGGGCAGGCTGCATGGTCCGAATCAATAGTCGACAAAGATGAGTGCAGCCGCGTCGACCATCCTCCCCAAGCACGCACCACAGAAAGCGCCACCAAAGCCAACGCCGAGGCTGATACAGAGCAACGGCATCGACGCAACACTGGGTCTTCTCGCCGGCAGAGAGGGACTAGACGAGCTACAAGAAGCTCAAAACGCAGGTTACGCAACAAGAAGAGAGTGGTGTTGAGGCACCCCCTGCCGCCGGCCAGCCTTCTCCACTACCGACTCCGCCAGTACTTCGAGGCCTTGTCGGAGGCCATGGAGGACCGGAGGCATGTTTACCGACGGATTTTTCCCTCAAGGAGAGATACACACTCTCATTACAAGTTGAAAGCTGGGAACTATGGGATCGTACTGCCGAGGATGGGTTGGCAATTGATACAAATATAATGTAGTCATCAAATTGAAGAAGAATGTTGAGGTCATTAAAGTTTGGTTAAATCAGACCCTGGTCCCTGTGCAGACTGGCTGGCCCTCAAGAAGCTCAGCCTCAGCCTTATCCGGCATTACCCTGAAGTCGCATACATACATCCGAGACATCCAATAAGTTCGCCGTCTTGAGGAAATAGGAGTCGAAGAACGCCGTACACAGGTAAAATCACGACGAGACATAGTTTATCCAATCCCGGCACCGTGCCCTGGCTTTACTGAATAGCAAGATTGATCAATTCCATACAAGAGACCGAGGTCTATTTCCTACACAAGAAAAATGCATCTAATTTTGACACCGCCACATGCAGAAAATGCTACTGCTCTGGGCGATGTCGGATATCATCGCAACGCCGCCATGCAGAATCATAACACCTCTCCGGGCCTCCTCTGCCGCACATGTCGGCACTCCCCTGCACTGTCTGAGGTTCTGCTTACAGAGCAAAGACGGCAGCACCGGCACCCATGGCCATGACAGCCCACAGACCAACAGCCATGTCACCGATGCTGAAGAAGCTCTTCATGTGCAGAGGGGTGGCCAGGGAGCTGCTGGAGGAGCTGCTGGAGGACTTGGAGGAGCTGGAGGAGCCGGTACCGGCGGTGGCGGTGGCAGCAACGGCGTTGGCGGAGCTGGCGCTGGCGAGCTTGGACTTGCAGTCTCCGGTGGCAGAGGCGCCGGACTGGGTAACAGCCTTACCATCGAAATCGCAGGCGTCAGAAGCAGACTTCTGGGCCTTGTAGTAGGTGTCGAGGACGTATCCGAGCTTCTGGGTGGAGTTGCACATGGAGTAGGCGCCGAAGACACCGGTGGTGGCGTTGCCGTTCACACCAGCGCACGAGTCAGGGTCCGCACCACAAATGTAGCTGAAGACCTCACCGTAGTCGTCCGTGTCCAGGCTGGAGGCAGGGGCGCAGGAGATGGAGTTGAACATGCACTCGCAGAGATCAGAGTCGGGAGTCGGGGGCAGAGCAGAGGCGGCAGCCCAAGAAGCACCGATAGCAGGGCAAGCAGCGGCCGAGTTGGTGGGGCTGTAGGCATCCATGGAGACGGAGCTGGGGGTGGCAGCGGCGATGCGGGAGCTCAGGGAAGAGTAGGCCTTGAATTCCTTGACGCTAGAGCTGTCGACAACGCTGACCAGACCTGTGCGAGAACATCGTTAGCCATCAAGCAATCACCACAATACTTTACACATGGGCAGCAGACTTACCATAGTCATTGGCCTCCTCGAAGTACATGTAGACGATACCGCCGGCAATGACCTCAGTCATGTCATCAGAGTAAAGCTCAGTGGTCTCCTGGAAGGTACGGCCAGCACCGCCATCGACGGTGTTGCAACCGTACTCGGCGAAGAAGACGGGGATGGAGTAGTTGGAGAAGAAGGAGACGACCTCGGAGTAGCCGGACTTCTCAAAGGTGCTGTCACCGCACCACTCGTAGATGTTGTAGCCCCAGAAGTCGATGGACTCGGAGCTCTCACCGCAGTTGAAGTACTCGGCCATGTTGTTGCGGATGGTGGCATCGTCGTTGGCGGCGTAACCAACACCGAGCCAGCGGTCCTGGGTCGAGTTGATGTAGGCCTTGGTGTCACGAACGGCAGCCTTGACGAAAGCCGAGGCATCGGTGTTGCTCTTGTTGTTGGAGACCTCGTTACCGGCGAAGAAGCCGATGGTGTTGTCGTACTTGGCCAGGGCGTCAACGACCGAGGTGTAGCGGCTGTACAGAGCGGTGCTCCACTCGGGGTCGCTACGGATGATGGCCTCGTCGGGCGAGGACAGGTCGGAGATGACGTAGATGCCGGCGTCGGCGAGCAGCGTCATGCAGGCGTCGTGGTCGGCGGTGGGGTCGATGGCGTAGGTGCGGATCACGTTGGTGCCGGCAGCAGCCAAGACGGGGACATCTCGCTTGCAGAGGGTCTCGTCGGACAGGGGGTCGATGTAGTCAGAGCTCGAGGTGGAGCGCTTGGCGGCCTCTGAAGAGCCAGTGTCCTGCTGGTACGCAACACCCTTGATGTAGAACTGGGTGCCGTTCTTGTAGAAGAAGTGCTGGCCCTTTGCGACGATGGGCTCGACGGCGGCCTGGGCACCGGCCACGAGGGCAGCCAGAGCGACTTGCTTGGCTGAGTACATGGTGAATGTGTGTCGTGTTTCCGTGGATCTCGATGTGTAAAGTGTGTGGTGGAGTTGATGGTGTGGCTGTTTTCACAGATTGTCCGTGGTTGGTTTTCAAGAGAGTGTGGTTTGTTAAATTAAAAATAAGACGATCTGGAGGAGGCAGAGCGTGTTAGCAAACATCTGGGTGACCGATTGATATGAGTTGCCTATGCTGTCGTCCCAGTGAAAAAGTGTCAAGTGAAGTGAAGTGGAAGTGAAAAAGCGAAGCGATGATGAGTTGTCCAGGCGGGTCATGAGAGAATTCAAGTCGTCGTTCTTTTTCTCTCGTGACGTTGGCCCATAGTAAACAGCCCAAAAATAGGCGGCTGGGTTGAAGGGAGGAGGCCTGCAAAGGACGTCGTCCGATGTTTTCACCGTTTGTCGCTTTCTGGGATGGGATGACGTTGACCGGACGTCGTTGTTTGGCATTGACGATTTTTGGTTGGTTGCATGAGGTCGGAAGGTGGGATGGGGATGGGATGGAGAAACAAGTGCAGGGAAGGCACGGGAAACGCGCAAGCACACACAGACAGCAGATGGCGGGCAGGCGCACCTCACAGGCAGAGAAAATGAACGTACCTTCAGCGAGAGTCAATGAGCGTGGTGAATGATCAAGTCAAACAAGATGGGCAAAAAAGGCGACAAGAAGTGCCAGAAGGGCAATTGAAGAGGCAAGAGAAGAGGGCCTGGATCAATTGCACACAGGTGGCGGATGAGGAGTGGGAAAAAGGATGAATGAATTGGAGAGAGGGAGGAGGGAGGGAGAAGGAAAGAAGGAGAGAAGAAATCAGGAATCGAGGAATTAAGGATGGAGCACAGCGAATCGTGGATGGACAAAAGTGGGCACAGGTACAAGCACAGGCACAGACACAGGCAAGACCAGTCAAGGTGTACAACGGATGGGAAAGGGGGTTGCTGCTTCCTAGGAGGAGAACAAGGAGAGCAAGGAAGGCAAGTCGCTTGTCACTGGTGATACGAGATGTGCAGGAGGTGTACCAGCCAGTCTCCGTATGGGGACCCGTACCACACAAAATCCACAATCCACAATCGACATCCACACATCCACCACAGTACGAGCCAGCAGAGGGCAGAAGGGAACGAACACAGTGTTGTGCCCAGAAAGAGCAGTGTACGTCAACGCCTGCTCGTGATAATTTCAATTTGGGCGGCCAGGGCTGCTAGGGTGGGAAGGTTCGCCCCAGGATGCAGGGAACAGGGACTGACAGAGGGACAGGAACGGGGACCGGGGGGAGGGGAGGGAAGGGTCGATGGGTCGGGGGACGCGGAGAGGGAGGGAAAGCACGAGGTACGTATCGCCTCGTCCACGCCTACCCGCCCTGACTGACTGGCTGCAGACCGGCTCAATTGGCTGAATGGTTGAATTGGGATGATGATGGGCCACTCTGGTTGGCTGATTGATCTTTCGTTGGCTGGATTGATGCATCGATTGACTGGACTGGGAGACTGGCTGACTGGCCTGACTTGACTAACTGGACTGACTTTGCCTGACTGGGTCTGGATTCTTCTGATTCTCAGGGGGCGTCAACTTTGGTTGATGCTAATTCCAGGTCGACCAGGTTAGTGGGGGGAATCATTCGGGATATTTGCTGGCTGCATCCCTGGAGGGTGCCTCGAGGTTGCCTTCGACTGGCCAAAACCGACCGGAAACACCACCTCAGGAAAATGGGACCATCCCAGCAAGAAGAGATCATAAGTGGGGGCATGGGCTGTGGCGATGCAAAAGGTGCAAGGTTGTAGAAGCCGATGTTGAAGACCAACCGATTGAATGAATGGAACGAGACAATCAACCAAGTCAGTTGGAGGCTGAGCACGGCACGACAGAGAGAGGGACACGAAAAGAGACGGGACAGTCAGAGAGAGACACCAGGTGTTGACCCAGCTCCCCGGTACTAAACAGTAAATTCTGTGTTTATACGGTAGACACAGTGGCTGTACAGCAGATACGGGAGATGCTTAGGTACATGCATGACAGGCAGCGGCTGGGCCAGTAGTCGGGTATCTCGTATCCTCCGAGAGCCTACTGTACTGTAGCAGCGACAATCCATCCATCCGTGCAATCAATCAATCAATCAATCTATTCAATCAACCATCGCTCGCTCCTCCTGGTTCGCCCTCCCGTCCCAATCCCACCCCCCCTATCGGCCCGTCAACAATCGCCCACACAGTGTATCTATGTCTTCATCTTTTGATCTGGGATCTGGCCACCGATCATTCAACTTGCCAGGAGCCCCAGGTGGTCAGTCGAAATGCAAAAAAAGCCGACCGTAGCTCAGTACCGCGAACAGTACATCGTAGTTCTCACAGCTATTTACCCACCACCACATTGGATTCTAACTAGTATTTTGACATAGTCGAAATCAGAAGCTTCTTCTGAACACATCAGTATAATTAAATTCAAGCACACACGGTGTGGTTGATGAAAGACTTGGATTCCAATGTGAAGGGTTTCGTTAGATTGTTAGGGGATTTGGGGTAACGGTCGGTTACTTTTGCATTTCGACTGGTGGTGTGCAAGACCGACTCCCGTCGACAGTGGCCCGTCAGTCTCGTCGCAGCTGGCTAGCTCAACGGATCACCGTCCAACACCGTGTAGATTTCTCACTTTGTGGGTTCGTTCAATCTGCCCTCAGTCACAGGTAGGTTGCAACCTGCATGAGCCATGGTGCACGAGGGGGCCAATCTCAATCTCCGTCCCTCCGTCTGGCCTGGCAGGCCCGGCCTCTCAGCTCAACGCTCGCATCTCTCAGCTCTCAACCTGCACTCCGTCTCGGCCTCGGCGACGTAGTCAGTCGGTCCTCACTGTCTCTCACGAGTCAATTATCGATCAACATCGTGTTCAGTGCCCATCATCATCAATCCAAAATCAAGCAGGCTTTCCAGCAAGCCCACATCCAACCGCGCACGCCATCACGGCTCAATGTTTGTTGCTTACCTTGTCGTCCTCGAGGCATGATGCGGCTCGAGTTCAATCAAGCAATCCCTCCAAGACGGCCAAGACCATTGGCATCTCGTGGCATCTCATGGCATCTGCTGGGCGGTCTTCTGGGCGGTCTTCTGGCCCGCAATCAGGGCTGGCCAAGCTGGCCAAGCTGGACAGGCACCCTCAATTGGCCCCGACTCTCTCTCCAGGCCCTGCAGCCCCTGCTGCTCAAGCGCCTTTGTCCAATTTCGCGGGGCGCTCCTACAGTGTGGTTCTGCCCATTCTTAGCGGCAGCTGCTGGTTAGGGCGCTCGTCTTGGTCCAACGGTTGTCCTGATCCCGCTGCAATCCCCTGCCGATCACCCGCGAATGGACCATTGATGCCAAACTGTTGGAACTCGTCCTGAGCCTTCTCTGTCGCACACTACCACGGCGCTTTGAGAGTTGAGACTGACCCAGGGGCCTAGAGGGGCTGCAAACCTGTCCAAACGGTGCCGAGTCTCAGCCTGACGCCGATTGACTGGGTACAGTATCGAAAGTGCTAATATCTACTGCTTTGATAATCTGCTATGTATACATGTTTACAGACTCCATCGCACCCGGGCCAGCAGCTCGACCTGCCCAAACCTCGATGGCCTCAACCTGTCAGTCGATCTGCAGTCTGCTCTGCCCAGCTTTCCAGGGCTAGTGCACTGGCGCGTCGGCCTGCGTGTGTCGGGGTATCCACCTGCACGGAAGCCCCTCAGCCCCTGTGCGGGTCCGGCTCGGCAGCGTCGTCAACCACCCCCTTTCTAGCCTTTGGCTTTCCCGGTTTGTGGCTGAGGTGGGCTGGCCACGTCACTGTGATGAGGCAGCTCCTCGTCTTCAACAACAAAACCCCCTCGTCGCGTGCCTGGCTTCAGACCATTTCATTTCTTGGCGGCGACGAGCGATATGGTGGTACGTCCACGGCCACGCCATCGTTGCTCTTGGCCTTGCCTGTGAATCGAGCTCTCGTCGCAGAAGCGGTACAAAGGCGTCGCAGGCATCACGGGCTCGCATTTCACAAACGCCACACTCAACAGCTGGTCATTTGTCCGGGTCTCACTCATCCAACGAATACGAGCGATGTCGAACGAGTTGCATGTTGTTGTGAGGCTCGTGTCGGGCTTGCAGCGTGAGTCTTCCGTTGGCCGTCTTGCTCGTGGGCCCCTGCGATCTCGGTAGGGCTGGTCTGGACCCTGTGGTCCTTCGCGACACCTTCTTGGGCGGCCTAGCTTTGTAGTACGCTTTGCCAACCTGGTGGAGTACCTCATCCCATAACTGATATGTTTCCCACCAGACTATCTTGGCTGGGTTCGTCATTTGTTGATTGTTACGGTTGGTTCCCGTTCTTCTTGTTGAGTTTGTTGTTCTTGATAATTGTGTGTATATGCGTGTCGACTTGATTTTCCACGGCTTGATTATGGGATCAATTGAATCCCAGTACAGTCAGCCTGGGATCGGGAGCGCCGACACACTCTCTTATATAACAACCCAGTGTTGCATTTTGGCAGAAAGTTCACAAGGCAGATCAATCAGTCATCAAGTCAGCCGTTCATCAAACGCCACGCTTGGCGACGATGACTCTACTACCGCTCAGTAGACGCTGCTACCCAGGCGCACGCGGGACATAAGACAAAAAAAAATCTTTGCAAGGCTGAATCACACCTGCCCAGGCGACCTCTGCAGGCTCCGCCCAGTCGCGTCAGCTGCCGAGATCCCGGGGCAACCCGTTCCAGCGTGTCCGGCTTGGCATGCTCCCGCAGCGGTTTTGAGACCTGTCCCCGTGATCCCATCTGAGCCACTGCGAACTGGTGACCGTCAAGCTTCGATGGCCTGTCTGTCTGTCTGTCTGTCTGCCTGTACGCAGCAGTCACGTGCCAAAATGCCGACACCGGTTACACGGATCGACTGGAGACTGCGAGATGTTCCTGTGGTACGCCCTTCATACCAACGATCGGTCGACTGGGCTTTAATTGTGCACATGCTGATTGACGCCGAGATCAAACACCCGCGCGAGATATGCGGGCTTTGTGCACGCTCACGTCTCCGCGCCCCCTATTACCAAATCGCACATCCTCATCTGAGCCTATCGCGGGATCGTCAACATTCTCTACTTCCTGACCTCGATCCCGGACTTCCCCAGACTTCACTCGTCTTTTTGGCGACTCAAGCGGTTGTAGCTCGGAGTGGTATCAGACAGCCTGGCTCAAATTGATGGGTCGCTGATGTGACATAGCAGCTCCGGTGCAACAGCTGCTCGAGGTGTCTTTCATATAAAGCCTTATCCTTCGTTTGCACATGCACGTCTCACGCACCGACATGCTTCATGACCGAAAGGGGTAATCAGTGATCGCACCCTTCTCAACACTGGAACCAACGATCGTTGAGTTTACGGCCGCCGTTGTTTGTGCTCAGGTGTCAAGACACCAGGGCAACATGTGATTTGCATGTGCGGAAGCATGCCCCAACTTGATTTGTTTGTTTTGCCACCGATCGTTTTCTTCGTGTCCTGGGTAAAATGCTTTGCGAATTCTCAAAGACCCATCAGTCGTGGGTATCATCACTCGTCCATACGGTCATGCTGAGAACGTCATGGGTGCAATCTTTGTGTTCTTCACCTCTCAAGGAGGCAAAAAGTCAGAATCGCCTAGGTATCAATCAATCCCGCACCATCTAAGCCCGCACCCAACTCCATTCCCCTACTTCTCTCTGTCATAGATTCTTTCATGTATCGCCACCGTTCACGGACACGTGGTGACAGCCAAGTTGCTGCCCCATGGGGTTAAAATTGGACTGTCTCGCCTGCTGCCTTGTCCAGTCACGATTCCTTGTTCACGTGCTCTTCTAAGAATGGGTACATTCCCGATCCCGAAAGTTCATGGGCACTGGTTCGATCATGCTAGGTCGCAAGACGACTCCCTGGCGTCGATACTCACAATTCATCGCAACAAACTCTCAGCCACAGTCACGCACTCAAGAAGTTGTTTTGGGTTCATTGTATCTGCATTGCAATTCCGAGATGCCCCGAGAGGATATTGACAATGGGGCTGGCGCAGCCCGAAGGTGGGCCACACACTAAAGTTTATCAAGAGAATAAAAGTCTATGTACATTTCAACGAAGTAGGTTCTTCCAACCACTCCATATCCTTCAATAAGTCGTATCTTACACATCCAAAAGAAGCCCGAGGTGGTTGCTTAGTTGCGACGCTTGACGTCACGAGCGTGACGGCGGGCCTTCTTGGTGCAAGAGCTCTCATCGTCACCACCGTCGGCGTAGCCTCCGGTGACGGGGGAGCCGGTGGAGGTAGGGAGGGTAGCGCCACCGGTCGCAGAGGCGGAAGAGCCGCTGCCGCTAGCAGTGGGGGTGGCGGGGGTGGTCGAGTTGGAGGAGCCGGAGCTGCCGGTAGAGCCACCGGTGGAGGAGCCGGAGCCGAACAGGGCAGGGCCGGGGATGGTGTACTCGGTCAGGGTGGTGTAGGGGTTGAACAGGATGCCGGGGTCGGTGGAGGTGTACAGCTCAGTACCCAGGGTGCCCTCGGGGCTCTCAGAGCCGCTGCCGGTGATGGCGATGTTGATGCAGAAGGGGTAGTTCTGCGCACCGTTCTCGGAGCCGGCGCCGTGCATGGCGATGATCTCGTGGCGGAAGACGTAAGGGCCCGGTGCCAGGGACGAGGGCACGGTGACGGACCAGGTGTTGTTGTTGGCGATCAGGTCCGTGGCAGCCCAGGTCTGGGTGTCGAGGTCGATGCCAGCCTCGTCAATCTTGACCCACTTGAGGGTGGTCTTGTCGACGGTGGAGCAAGCATCGTCGGCGGTACCGCAGTTGGCGACATAGGTCAGGACAGGGCCGATGTGGGACTCGGGCCAAGCGGTCCAGTCTGTAATGTTCCCGAGATTAGTATTGGGTTTCACGGGGGCAAGTCGAGAGGGGATTTCCATCATGTTTGTTCATGTGGATGTTGGACTTACAGAAGTCGACCTTGCCGCCAGCGGAGACGGTGCCGGTCTTGGCGGCGTTCTCAGCGTTCTTGTGGCAGATGATGTCGGAGGTGGCGTAGGCATCGGGGGAGATGAAGCCGTTGTCAGTGGCCTCCTCGTACCAGCCAGCCTTGGCAGGGGTCTCGCCCGTGTTCTGCTTGGTGTAGTAGTCGTTGAGGATGTAGCCCTCCTGGTATGCGCCGCCATCGGTGGCGAAACCCTGGACGATACCGTGGGCAGCGGCCTTGGAGGCGAGGACAGCGCCGGCAAGGGCGAGCTTGGAGGTGAAGGAAGGCATTTTGATGGAATGGGGTTTGGTGGGAGGGGTTTTGATTGGTTCGTTGAAGTGAAAGTTGACGATGTTAGGCTTTTTCAAGAGAATGGATGTCCCAGCTTCACACAGTGAAGATGACAAAGATAGTCAGATGGGTTGGAAAAGAATGAGGGTGGTACGAAACCAAAGAGTGTGGCCTGCAATGAGATGAATGCTGAAGGGATGAAGATCAGATCATGACGGATGATTAGGCTGGAGCAGCTCTCACATATATATGCGTGTAGTCTATGTGTCGCCCATCTCGGGCCAGACACGCCATCGGCTTCGGCTTGCGTTGGCATTGATGGTGGGATGGGGCATATTGGCCTAGGGGGAGCTCGCTTGGATTCAATATTCTGGAGTCATCGAAGCCCACAACACCACGGGGATGTCTCCTCGACGCGGCATAGCGTCGATAGCCTCCTGAGAGGTCGCAGCGCAGGACGTCAGAGTAGGCGCCCATCCGGAGTCAACCGAGGCGGCTCAACTGGTGGGCCGTCGGCACCCTAGCCACAAACGGCCCAAGAGGCCCCAAAAGGGGGGACCCCAGAGGAGGAAAGTTGCGGGAGATGCACAAGAGCACAAGCGGAAACGAGCTTGTCTGCTCGAAACACCAAGACTTCTGCCGGGCTGACGGCGAGCTGGCAACTGGTGGAAGTTGGGGGCGTAGCTCGCGTGTTCCTCGCAAGTGGGGGTCTTTTTGATGAAGGTCGGTCGCAGGGGGTCTTGGCGGCCAGGGATTGCTGCCGTACCAAGCGCCATCTGGCGTCTGGCTGCGCTGGCGCCCCCTGATGACTGATCCTGCGCTGCTTGGGACAAGTAAACACGGCTGTTTCAGCGTTTCGTATGCGTCACCCCACGTGTTGTGCCTCTAGGCGGCTCTGCTCCGCCAGACTGCATTGCCCTCTCACCATCTAGACTGACCGAGAGGGAATGCGGCTTGCAGAAATGCAGCGATGGCGCCACGCTACGTACATCCAAGGCGCCTGGAGTGCCTGGGCGGCGCCAAAATGCCACCCTTGCTCGGTCTACGGTCTATGTACCTTCATGCAGGAACAGACGCAGGTGTGGATGGGGAACCCCCTTGACATAATCCCAGGCCGCCGGATCTGGAGGGATCTGCAACAACGATTCGGAATCTCGACGAAAATGTTGGAACTTGGGCGGGGTGGAAGCACCAAGAACTGCTTCACAACCGGGTCCAATTCTTCCGTCTAATATTATTCAGGAGACTGACCTGATCCCACGGCGTCGGCGAGATCGTCCATTCTCCATCTTTTTTCCCTATCTCTTGGCGATTCGAAACGTCGATCAAGACTGACTTCGGCCACTCACGAGTAAGTGTTTCTAAAACGACGTTTTTCGTCTGATGCAGTGATCCACGTCCAGGTTCTTTTTGGCCAGTGCCCCCTCCCCTTTGGGTCGGGTCCGACGAGGCTCGAATCCGAAAACGAAGACAGCGGCTCGGCAGGATTTTCATCGACTCGTTTCACCTGTTCGCCGGCTTTGACAATAGCATGACATGCCAACTGAAGCATAATGATTGAACTAGCCTTTCTTGACTAATCTCCTCGGATGAGTCGCCTAGGTTAACCTCGCTCACCTGAAGAGAGAGGCTGATGCGGCTAAAGGTGTGGTTTTACCGCAGTACGAGCGTCAGCGGCAAGGGCGACTCTTTTGGGCACATCTGCTACCTGTGCCACCTGGCAGGGGCAGTCAATCCAATATATTGGCGACAATCCGCGGTGGAGGCTCAACTAGCTAGACTACAACAGTCGTCCCCCTATCGCCGAACTTAGGTATGCCTCCGGTCAACACGAGAGCCGAGGGCTTGGGAGCCCAGGTCTTGACTGCCGAGCGAGCGTGCCCTGGCCTTTTTTTCGGTCTCGTTTAAATTTTTGCGATTATTAACGACTCTGGATACGACTTGAAGATGTTGTTGGGTTCCGCAAAAATTGTTTGCTTGGCTTTGACGGTTCACGCAGTCGCGCAAGTGCCCAATTTAATACTTAATCAGATCAAGCTGCCTCTCATATTTGCAGAATAAGTTTCCACCATGCGTTGAACACTTCTGTTGCTACCTGGGACGAGGTGCTGTCGATCGGACCCCGTGCTCTGTATTCGCTCTCGGCCGCTATCGCGTCTTCTGGCTCTCACGCATATAACTACGAAGGCTCGGGATAGCAAGATCATTACCTCCTAGTCTTGCACATAGCTGTTGTAAGGCATGCTCGCATACTACCAATCTGTGCATGGCGAAGTGGCCATTCGTTCAATTGGGCATCGCGTTGTGTTCTTGTAGTCAACCAACCCAACTTTGTCATCCAGCTGGTGAGCAGGCTCTGTACCACCTGCACCTTGCTCTCGTTGTCCAGTTGCCATCAGCCGATTTTCAAACCTGGACGTGCCGCTCGATGGTCAGAAGAATGGTGCGAGGATGACGCCGCGGATGGATTTAAAACCAGCTGCAGAGGGCACGGTTCCTCTCCTGTATATCTCGACTGATAGAGCCGAGAATTTGACTGGGGCCCAAGGATAGAGACATGGCCCTGTCTCTTTCTCCAGACTCTCAAAATTCACAACAAACCCCTGACGGTGACGAGAGGCGGATCGGTCCCGCGGCGCCCACCAATTCCTCAGCTCTCGATGGCTCGCCCTGCACATGGAGATACTCAGCGTGATGCACTCGAGTCGAGCGCTGCAGGTCTGGCAATTTATAACGGTCTTGCAGCTTTTCCAGCAAGCTCTTGAGGCACTGGAGAGCCGTGTATACTGGCACTCCTTTCTTGGTGGGTGAATGAGACATGGATATTCATTTGTCTCCGGCTGCCCGCGAATGCACTCAAACAATCGTTGTTGGGGCATGCTGTCCCCCCTCTGATTGTAGCCCTGCCTTCGCGGTTCATAGTGATATCCTGATGTGCAAGCAGCACTTTCCTAAAGGGAAATAACTGTCTCTAGTCAGGAATATTTGACCCCCTTATCGCCCCCGCTTCAAGCATCACTATTCAAAATCACTACTAGCAGAACCGCATCTCGCTCAAATCTTGCCCGTCGTGCCTCTCACTACGGGAATAAGCGCCTCCTTCTTTCGGGAGTACCTTTCTCTACTATTCCGTCCCTTAGTAGCGCCCAAGGGCGCTAGTTAAAATTCCGTTTGGGGGGCTCCGGTGGTAAGGTTTGAAAATAAAGTTATCAAAGCCTAAGCGAAGAAGCTCAATAAAGTGGGGGCCTGATTTGCCTAACTAGGGACAGCTTTTTCTCAATAACAGATCAACAAATAAAGGCCTGACTTAGTGCTTGTACTTGCAGACTGATTTCATGATACACTGGCCATGCATAGTGTCAGAAATACTATTACCCGAAAAGACGTTTGCAGACACCAGCGAAAATGGCATCTCTTGCTGATAAAGAGACGGACCAATCTGAATTGGAAAAGAAAGGTGGCTCGATTCAGGATGTCACTGAACATGCACCTCCGCGGAAACGACCGCACGACATATCTGCCTTCTTCGCAGCCATACGAGAGAGACCAAAGGTTTTTGGATGGTGCATATACGCTTGTTACTGTTCGCTGGTGGTAGCGTTCGAGAGCGTAGCCACGGGGTCATCTACAAGTATTCCACAATTTCGAAAGGACTTTGGGTACCCGTTTTCAGACGGCTACGTACTGGATGCCCGTTGGCAGGCTGCCTTCGACGCCGGCCCACGGATTAGTAGCGTCATTGCTACATTGAGCCAAGGCACACTGGCGGATAAATTTGGTCGCAAGATGATGTTTATCGGCTCACTTATTATCTCATTTACAGCCTACTCCTTGGAGGTCGCAGCCGAAACCAACGTTGTTTTCTTTTGTGGCAGGGTCCTGAACGGCATTACACTCGGTGTGTCAACGGCAACGGCAATGACTTATTCTAGTGAAGTAGGTCCAAGTGCTTCCCTGACCTTCCTACTTTTGGTGTTCTCCGAGGCTGTAATGGGGGCCAAAGTTATAGTATTAGGGTGATACTGCCTCGTTATGACCCCGAGCTGACTGTAGACTCCACTAATAAACAGATCATATCTCTACCTCTACGAGGCTTCATTCCTTGTTTCAATGCTCTCATGATTGCTGTGGGACCGTTCACCGCAACAGCCATCATAGACAGAACCCAAGATCTCAACAGTCACTGGGCATACAGAGCAGTTTTCACAGCGCAATTCGGAGTCGCCGGCCTTGCAGCTGTGCTGGTATGGTTCCTCCCGGAGTCACCAGTCTGGTTGATGCGAATCGGGAAGGAATCTGAGGCGCGACGGTCGCTGTGCCGATTGGGATACACGGACACCATGGCAGTTGACACGGAGGTTTCTCGGATTCGAAGCGCCTTGGACAAAGAAATCCAGGACTGCGGAGATCGCACATCATATCGAGAGTGCTTTCGCAAGTCCGACCTCCGCCGCACCATAATCTCTGTCATGCCTCTTGCAATCCAAGCCCTGGGAGGACAGTTTTTCTTCGCCTTTTATTTCGCTTACTACAACCAGCTTGTCGGATACAGCGTCCACGATAGTTTTCATCTCCAATTTATTCAGTACGCCTGCGTGATAGTCGCCAATGTATGTTCGTGGTATCTGGTTGAGAGGCTGGGACGCCGCACGTTGACAATATATGGTACCTTCGCTCTGACGGTAGTTATAATGCTCTGTGGGGGTCTCGGGACGAATGGGAGCCCCATTGCTATCAAGGGCACTGTTTGCACCTTCATTCTCTACGGCTTCTTTTTCAACATCGGTATCGGTGCTACAGGATTCATACTCCTTTGTGAGGTGGCTAGCTACCGTCTCAGGGGCAAAACCATCGCTTTAGGAGTCTCGTTGCAACACTTGGTAAGTGTCTCATACATTAATGAAGAATATTGGATGAGAGATATCCACGTTCCTTAGACGACGCTGAGTCATTGAAGTTACTAACAACGAATGCAGATTAACTTGGTGTGGGCTTTTACTGTGCCCCTCATGATCAACCCGGATCATGGCGATATGGGCGCCAAAGCTGCCTTTATCTTCGGAGGGCTCAACATCTTGTGCTTGATATACCTGTGGCTCTACCAGATCGAGACCAGAGGACGGAGCTTTCGCGAGCTCGATGAGCTGTTCTATAAGGGCATTAGCGTTCGAGACTTTGAAGGTTACGTGACTGAAGCCCAAAGAAGCTGAACGAGGTCCAGTGATGGGCAAGACACCAACCATTGCTACTCTATTTACTACATAAGATTCTTGTGTGACCTTGCTTCCAGTTTGGGGAAGATTTTGATTCTAGAATTTCGCCTTGACTCTTTGCTTGTAGTTTTGAAATACGAATCTTGCCTTGACTGGCATGTTTTGTAGACCAGTGACACTTCAATAATATTTTGCGAAAGATAAAAACGTTGTTTTTTTGATAAAAATAATAATTTTGATACTAGCGACGGAATGCACAAAAGACTTTAAATATGACTGGAATGCATCAAGACTTTTTGTCAGTGAGGTAATTACTAGCTTTTGAAGATGCGCTTGTACAATGGTAATTCTTCTTAGATAAGTAAGACTGAGCAGCAATGGGTAAGAGAATCACGACAATAAAGTGCCTTCAGTAGATTGATTGCGAGCTGTCAATACCGATTGGTAAGAATCATTGTGGCTAGAGTCAATGCAGCCTATCATTCACATAACCAGCTTTGAAGAACCTGATCCTCCTCCAATGCTTGCAAATCGTCAGTGTTCAGCGACACGTGGACCTCGATCCTCTCGCCCCCAAGCGACGTCCTCTTCCTGGGTAGTAACATTATTGCACCATCAACTGGATCGTCACAAATGAATCGTACGGCAACTGGGGTGCCTGTTCTCTGGGTCTTGCCGCAGAAGGCGGGTCCGAAGTCACACTTGTAGAAGTCCATGTTTGCCCAACTCGAACAATTCAAGTTCATGCCTTCATAGGCACTGAACGGAGTCCCTGGCACAATGGGTCTGGCCAGGCTGTCCATATCATCTGCCATGTTTATACCTGAAAAGACCTGGCTAATGTAGGATATGTCGATTTTCTCCGCCGCTGTGGCAAGCGAGTCGACCAGTGGCACCAGGCCTTTCAAATTGCGGGCCATCACGGAAGGCTCCTGGTGGTAGAATATAGCTTGAGCAACATCGTCCAGTTGCGAAACGTCGATGTCTGCCACGGCCACGAAGGTCAGATTTCCCAGATAGGGCGATGTAATGCCGACCTCCAGCCCGAAAATTTTGGGGCGTCCGTTGACAGCTAGGCCGAGTCGTGATTGCTTCGTCCTCCACCCCAAAGTCCCATACTTGGGCAGTCGGGCTCGCGTGATACAGGACCACAGGATGGCATGTATGATGTTATTGACCGTGTTGTTGCCATTGTTGACCAGCTTCGAATGATCGAGAGCCTGCTTCGCGAGCTGAATCTTGTCCCCTGAAAATGCGAATATGCTGGCGCGGCAGTCGCCTCTTCGTCCCAAATCCACTACCTGTGGTCCAGTGATAGAAGGCGCGCAATGAGGTAAAGAGTCAGTGCGCCGCTGGAAATGGTTGTCGATGTACTCGGAAAGTTTAGATGAGCGCATCAATGGGGCGTCGGCATCGGCAACTACGTCGGGAGTACTGCCTCGCGTACATGCCGCCCACAATCGTATCAAGTCACAAGAACCGACGCCATCGAACACTCCGTGATGATTGGTGATGGAAAGGATAAGACCACCCTCGGTCCGAATGAATCCTACATCGAGAACTGGAGCCCCGGCCTCGGCATTGATGGTGTGAGGTGTCCATGCTGAGGGCAGAGTACTGAGATCCTTGGTGAAGTAGTGTGCCGGAAACTTTTGGTCGGCCAGTTCCACCAGGCTCGGAAATTTCCGAGCACCAGGAACCGGCAGTTCACGAACCTTAAGCGCCGGGGCGGTCCGTGACCAGGACAGTACTAGACGGTTGCGCGGATGACGAAGATTGCCCTCCGGTTCAAGGTTTTGCTCGACGGCTGCAGGCTTGAAGACACGGCCCTTGATGTAGGGGACTAAGGCGCCGAGTCGACACAACCCGTTGTTGAGGTCCTGTATAGCTCGCTCGTGATTGTTGTCGTTCATATGGAAGACGAGGAACCTGTGGGTCCAGCAACGCGCATACATGAGATCAAAGGGGCAAAGATACACCGTCTCGGTATCAGCAGAATAGGGAGATATAGCTGGTAGGGCCTGGGGCATGACACGCCCTGATTCATGTGGCCCATGACGGACATCAGGAGCGACAAGTTCAGTTCTTTGAGCTAACATGGCTGTTGGACAGGCAAAGTTGATAAGCGTAATAGATCTATTGATGACGACGTATCAATCCTTGACCTCAAAATCTGAGGAGCCTGAGTGGAAGTTGGTCAAGTTGGGACGAATATAGCCAAGTGCTTAAGAATCATGGGTTCATGAGAAACCTCGATGGGACCCTGAATAATGGAAAGTACCGGACCCCAAAAATGGAAGTGGTTAGCCGAATGTGCCTCCCGAGACGTTCCAGGTTGAGGTATCGTATCCACATGTACAAGTCCGTGTGTATTTAACAGCTCGTGTTCGGAGCGGAAGAGGGGAAGCAGATGGCTCAAACCCCAATACTTGACATTTGGCCCTATTCCAATATCAAGATGGCCTCTCCTTTCATTATAATCACGGCCCGGGCGCTGCAATGGGCGTTTGTGTTCGTAAGTGAACGTTCACTGATCCAGGAAGGACAAAGTTGTGTCTCGATAAAGTCTGACTTGGAATGGCGATAAGAGCATCCTCTACTTCCTTGGCCTCAGCATTTACCGCTTGTATTTTCACAAGCTATCAAAGTTTCCGGGGCCATGGTTCAACGCCATATCGCCAATTCCGCTTTGTTTAGCGCTCATAAGTGGACGCCAGCATGCATATTTTAGGTTATTGCATGATAAATATGGTGAGTCACAGGGATTCCAGGTTTATTGACCATGCGATATATCCATGCATATTTCACTAAGTAATCTCCCCTCGCAGGGCCCGTCGTCCGTTCAGCGCCTAACGACGTCTCCTTTGCCAACGGAGCAGCATGGGAAGACATACATAGTGTGAAGGCATGTAGTCATCACTGTAACACTCCCTCACAGCATTTCATTCCAAAGAGACCACAGTACTCCTATAGACTGTTCACTGACCGAAACAAACCTTGCTTGCCATATAGCTTAATTTAGAGAAGGCTCCTATTGTCGTCAAGTCATTTGCCGCCACAAAAGGCGTCGTTGACATGACGGCAGCCCCTGCAATCGACCATGCGAGAGTACGCAAGGCGTGGGCCTACCCCTTCTCCGGTACAGCACTTCTGGACCAGGAGAGGCTGATGTTGAAGCATATCGACGGATTCGTGGAGGTAATGCGTCGCTTTGAGAGAAATCAAGAGGCATTTGACATCCCCACCTGGTTCGGACTCACCACGTTTGACATCATCGGCGAACTGGCCTTTGCTGAGCCCTTTGGATGTCTAACCGGCGGTGGTGGGTCTGATTGGGTCGAGGCTGTCTCCAAGATCGGACAAACTATTGCTTATCAGCAGGCAACGAGGCGTCTCATCGGCGCCGATACATGGCTGCAGAAGAGATTGATGGAACTGCTACTCCCAAAGAGCACCTCTGAAAGTCGGTGCACGCATATCTCAAATAGCAAGAAGAAGACTCTGGCCCGCATAGCGGACACTGAGAGAGAGCACAAAGACTTCCTTTACTACGTACTGAAAAACGCAAAGGAAAACATGTCTCTATCCGAAGATGAAATATTGGCAAATGCGGCGTTGATGATGTGAGTCTCGCAGGTTTAGATCATGTCATTTTACGTCTAGCTCCATTTCTCGGATGTTTTGCACAAACCAACGGGACAACTTCAAACTAACATCCAAATATAGTGGAGCAGGAAGCGACGCTACTGGAATTGCGATTTCGGTGTGGATGAACTCAATGTTGAGACACAAGACGGCATACGAGAAGCTCACAACGGAGATACGCACCAGCTTCGAATCCGAAAGCCAGATTTCCTGGGCTACGGTCAAGGACCTTCCATACCTTGGTGCTTGCATGAACGAGGCCATGCGTTTTCACACCCCAGTTTCTTTTCCTTTAATGCGATGGACTCCACCTGAAGGTTGCAATATAGATGGTCATTGGGTACCAGGAGATGTGAGTCAAATAACCCTTCTGGGTTACCCTTACGGCCTGTTGGGATCTGATACAATGTACAGACCTCCATTTCCGTAGCGACATGGGCTTCAACACACTCGCCGCTCAACTACAGGGATCCTGACAAGTTCGTTCCAGAACGATGGTTGCAAATCGGCACTGGCCAAGGGCCTTATTGCAAAGACAACAGGGCTGCCTCGCAGCCTTTCGGCTTGGGCCCGCGGGGATGTCTGGGCCGAAACCTCTCGATGATCGAACAACGGCTCATCATTTGCCGATTGCTGTGGAATTTTGACGTAGAGTTCGACGGCGGCGATTCAGGCGCTTGGCAGTGGGACCCTGCGGGAGATTTCAAGCATATGCGGGCTTTTGCGGTCTGGAAAAAGCCACCATTGATCGTACGGCTCAAGGAGATCAAAAGATAGTTCACAGGATGAAACATAAGCATACAAGTCAAATGATGGATCTAAATATAGATTCTCTCTCCGTCTTCAGTCGGACATTTCGGACAGAAATGCCCGCCTTTCGAGCCACATTCCGGTAAACGCAGAGATACAGGTCTTCTTCAGCGCAAGTTTGCGCGTCATATTCCTTAAACTCGGCTGCAGTCCATTCGCGTATCCTTTGCGTCAGTGCATCGTAACACACAAGCTTCGTGATTGTCTCAAATAGTCTAGTCTATAAAATCCGCTACTGACAACATCCTTAGAAGTAAAAGCTCACAACCGATTCTGCTCTACCGTCGATGTCAATGGATGCACCGTGGGGAATAAAAATCAAGCTTATACATTGTTTTGTAGTCTTTCCCATGTGGCTGTATTGATATTGCTGAGCCGGTACCTACGTCGTCACGTTACGAAGGCTCGAGTTGGCTATAAAAATTTATTGGCTTCTGTTGAGGTTCTGCCTACGGGGAAGAAAGGCAGAGGCAGTGCAGCTGTGCGCACGCGCTCGAAGCTATTCACAGGCAGTGGGCTGATAAAATAAGCTATCGATGGCTGGCGTTCAGCCCCACGGCCCTCACAACAAACTTTGGCTGAGACTTGTAATACCACGCGTATGAATAATGGAATAAATTAAACAACGGTTTGAGCTGAGTTTAATAACAAGATCGAACTCTGATTCGTGGCGGGTTGTGGCTGGAGGTGGCTGTGCACAGGCCACCTGCTACCCCAATGCCCTCTGCTCTTAAAAGCTGATAGCCATCAGACGCAAACTTGCTTCTATACGTTTCTCTTAGCAAGACTTGAGAGCATCCCTTCTTCTATATCCCTCTCGTGACACTAAGACCAAAACAAAAATAAACTTTGTAATCCCAGTATGCAGCTTACCCTTTGCGCAAGTCTCGTGTAGTTAGCCATCTCGGACGAATCATGCGTTGCGAGCTCGATATGATATGTTTTCCTAGGCCTGGCCAACCGCCGGTGACGGGACTGGTTTTCCAGAAAGGGGCAGAATATCGCTCCGAGAGTCAAAGCATACGGCCTTGCTCATGTTGACTCTCACAGTTTCCCAAGTGCGGTTGGATGGCCTGTTTTGCAATAATCAGGAGCGTAAAAGATGGAGAAGACACGAATAGGGCTTAGCGGTGTGGACCGGATTTGAGGGGAAGAATTGCAAGGAGTGATCGCTTCGCGGTGATAACAAAGCACGTCTCCGGAGTCTCGGAAAGTCAGAATTGGCATTCGGAAGGCCCGTTCGGGCTAGGAAGACATCGACACATATCCATGTCAATATCGGGAGAATACGAATACGATTGACAGCCTATGTATTGGAACTGCTTGACAACAATTTCAACTTCAGGAACGTTTTAATTCTGGAAATTGTGCAGAGGCAGAAAGGTGCAGAATGCGAGAAGGGTACAAAGCGCTAACCAGCCAACCTCTCCTCCCCCCCATTCTTGGAATAAAGAAGAGGCGGAAAGATACGGAAGACACGCACCTCCAGGGAACTGGCGTAGATTAAGGCAGTCGAAATGCTAAACAAGGTGGGGGTAACAGCGACTATGCAATAAGTTAGAGTTATAAAGTCTATGTGTGTTCTGTTCCGGTGTTGTGTTGTACAGGAATTTGAAGAAGGGCCTTCATTTCATACAAAATGCGCAGATTTCCTTGGCTTGTCAGCAGAGCACTGAAAATTCCACCTACACGTGTTGGATCACTTTGCGTGACTCGGCCTCCACTTGCGACAACAGCAGGACGAGAACAACTACTTACCTATGCAAGTATGACAGTTCACGATGCTCACTGTATACATTTGATAAGGGACAACAAATTCAAATCCAGTGGAAGCCAGTACCAACAGCCGGCTACCAGAGACGTTCCTGGCTTTACTGTGCATATCAGGAAGGTATTGATTATAGTATGATTTAACGAGTCTTATTCTAAGTTCGATAGGATATACAAACTGTAATGTGATTTTGACAACTGACAGTAGAAGATACGTGTATGGGAGCGTGTATACACTCAAAAAACGTTACAGAGATGCAAATTGTGGAACCTTGTGGTACGTGGCAGGAGGGTCCTTGGCCTGCATAAGCCAACAGCCCAATTGGCGCCACGTCAGGCCGCAAAATCAACCTTGGCGGCAAAATTGAAGCTGAACTCGTTCCTATCACACTCGTCACGTTTTTGCAGCTGTCGACCTCGTAAGCTGGCCGGGTTGCCCACGTGCAATTGACGTCGAGGTCGTGGTCAATGATCTCACAGATTGCACACTCATGTGGTCTTCTTTCACCAGATTCGGTTCTGACCACCTGAAGTACTATCGATGTTGTCTGCCAATAATCATCACCAACTCTCCTCGACTCACATGAAGCTGTGCGACATGTCTCTCGCGCCAATTGTTCTTCCGCACGATGACGCTCAAGAGTGGGCGAGTGAGAGTTCAGTATCAAGTGAGAATTCATTCGAAAGTGAGACTGATATCTCACACCTATGTGCTCATGAAAAGAACAGAGAACACTTTCGCGCCGTCACATTTGCTGAAATTCGGTCCTCGGTGGCACGATTGTGTGAACTATGCTATCTTTACAAGAAAATCATTCTGGCTGTCGTCGATGGGCGTCTACCTGGCCTATTTGAAGGACCCAGAGATGAAACTGAAAAGCAGTTGATACTTGAGAAATTGGTCCTCCACGGGAGAGGAAATAAATATGACGTGCTTTCCTTCAATATACTGAAATGCAATGTGGCTATCGAAATTTTCATCGAAGACAAAGACATAATCATAGAGCGTAGAAGCAGACGCTTTTACTGTTTCGACCGGTTCTCCTACGGTATGCAAATTGGAGTATACACCAATTCGGAAAAGACTCTTGAAACTGCTCGACTGTGGCTGAATGAGTGTCTGCACAACCACAAATGTCCGAAACCAAGTATTTGGGGGCTGCATCAGCTGCCGAAGAGGTTGCTTGACGTGCAAGGCTCTTCAAGGGATTCTATTAGACTTGTCGAAACACAGGGAGGTGAATATCCATACGTATGCCTGAGCCATCGATGGGGCAGTGCCGGGCACAGACGGCTCAAAAGTACGACGAGAAACATCCAGGATCATATGTCCGAAATATCATGGGACCATCTTCCGACCACGTTCCAGGATGCCGCCACCATCTGTCGACTTATGGACGTTCGCTACATTTGGATCGACAGCTTGTGCATCCTTCAGGAATTCGATGGAATCACCTCTGACGAGTTTGACACAACGAGGCAAGATTTCGCAAACGAGAACGCGATGATGGCGCAGACTTATCGAAACTCTCATTTCACCATCTCGGCCGACATGTCAACCAACATGGACAGCGGCATGTTCTCTACGATGCCTATCGATTGCCAGCGAATTGACTTTTCAGGTTCCACGAAAACTATATGTTTCAGAACTTCAGTGGACCATGACGAGAAGGAGCCACCGGAACTCGAGACACGGGGTTGGACATTTCAGGAGTTCCTGCTTCCCTCTCGCGTCCTACACTTTGGACCATTCGACGTCGAATGGAGGTGTCGAGAAAGACACACCTGCGAGTGCGGCAAAATGGATCTCAAGAACGGAAGACGGTCTCCATGGCACCGGCGTCATACATTGGCTGAAATAGCTGCCAACATTCCCGAGAACGAAAGTAAAGCGCTAGTGTGGTGGGAGGAAGTCGTGTACGCGTATACTCAGCGAGATCTAACAAACGCAACTGATAAGCTTCCAGCCCTCTCCGGGATGGCCCAGCTATACCGGCAGGGGTGTCAGGATACCTATCTGGCCGGCCTCTGGAAAGGCTCCCTTTTGCATGATCTCTGCTGGCACTACACGAAGAAAGACGGCCTCGCAGGGTCCGGCGGGGTTGGTTGCAGACCTGCGCAGTATCGCGCACCATCATGGTCCTGGGCTAGCCTTGATATCAAATCTAGGTGCTGCTTTTGGTGGGTAGGACGAACAGAGACCCATCCCCGGCCGTCTGTTGACGTGCCAGTTCCAGTGTGCAAGATATTCGAGGCTTTCTGTCAACCAACAACGGCTGACCCGACGGGTGAAGTGTGCTATGGCTTCCTCGATATAGAGGCGGCACTTATCTCTGCGAAAATCGGCCCTCGTCACTGGAATCCATATACCGAGGTGGAAAAGCCCTGGACAATCGACAGAATTGACACTAACCTGTCCATTTCCTTCTTCAAGCCTGATTGCGCACCTGTGGACGACGATCTCTCCATCGGGGGACAAATATTTTGTGTGCCAATTCTGGAAGCGGTCTCCCGGACCGGATTGGAAAGGGGCTGTTTGGTGTTAAAGAAGCTATATACAAACCAGTACCAGAGAATTGGCTTCTGTGTCCTGAACGCGGGAAAGCCCAAGACATACTCATGGGAGTCGCACCTTCTAGCCGACGGCAATTCAAATTTCAATGCGCAGGACTACGCACTCCCGGATAAAAAGGCACGGATCATAATTATCTAACGCCTGGAGAGCGCAGCTCTTGATTATTTCCACTGTCGAGGAACTGCCGAGGCTGAGGATGTGATAACCTACTTTGACTTGGCCGGATGCGTGTTTGATAATGGCTAAGGGCCTGAATTAAATTAGATTACTTGAGGACTCCTTGTCTGTGCACTCTTGTTCTATCCGTTTTTTACTGAATCTTCCGGCTCCATAAAACGCTTATACAATAAAACATTGCTTGTATAAGTACCCTGCTTGACCGCCCAATCTCTTGCGACTTTATTGAACTGGGACGTCTTGTGTTAGGCGAAGTACCTAAATCGATATCTCTGTCGATCATCATTTAAAAGTGATAAATCTACCCAAGGCGTTCAAATTTTCCAGGAAACGCTCAATTATGTACGAAATATGCGTCTGAAGATCAGGCCACTCAGCCTTCTCACTCGTACACCGTCCGCCCCGAGGAAATCCATGACGACCATGGGCCGGCTCTGCGTCATTCACCAGCTGCGCGATCCCAACGCACACTTCAACGCTATTTTTAGTGAGTCTTACGTGCGCAGTTGGCTCATGGACAAGTGACGGAGCCTGCGCAGCAACGTATGTCTGTGTGCGGTCTTAAGATCCTGGTGGATGGAAGTTATTGGCGCTAACAGCGCTATTGACTCGCAAGACAGTGAGAGGAAGTTGATGCAGACAGTTCAGCAAAGAGGAGAGCCTTTTGAAAGGAAGTGATCTGTAAGTTGCAAATGCATGGAGCAAATGTTCATGACAGATACGACGAAAGCCGAAATTCATTCATTATCCCACACTCGATCATATCTCGTGTGGTTCCATCGTACAACGAGCACCACTAAATGCCTTGCACCACCTAGAATAGTAGAACAAGATAGCCAGCAGCCAGTACGGAAATAAAAGGACACTCCTACCTACTAGTAGCTAATCAATTCATCTTATTACAAGTAGCGAAGAATGACCAGAGCTTGCAAAGGGCACGCTGAGCGGAGCAGTCCTTAATACGGCGAAAGCGCAATATACTTCTTCTATGGAGATTGGCCAGTTGATGTGTTTCGATTTATCCTATCGTCTTACGTTAGCGTGGTCACAATCATCCTCCTGCCAGAATGGCTGCCCTCGCTTGAAGAGCCAGCTGTCCTCTTGCCAGAAGCACTGACCTTGCCAGATCATGTCGGAGAGCTTCCCGGCTGGCAAGTATGTCGAGAAACCCCAGGACTTAAATAGTCGGGACGCATTGGGATTCTCCCTAGAGTTCGCCGAGAGTTGTACAATCTCAATTGATACGTAGTGACTTCAGCGATTTGAGCCCTGCTTCATGGGAATGTTAATGCTGACACTGGACCACGAATGCGGAATTAAAATCCCAAGATGCATACGTGCTCGGTGTGTATCAAGCCGAAACCAGAACTCTATTTTTATTGCTTCTCCTCGAGCCCCAGCATACCTCCGTGTTGCTGCATAGACACCTTTTAGGTCTTTATTCCTTGATCCGGACTATTAAAAGGCGGTGAACTCGTCCATAGCTCATTGACTTATCTTTGCAGCCTGCTTGACATTCTGTTCTAGGTGCGAAAGCGTAGAAGAATTGAGATATGCGACAAGTGTGAATGATATAAGGAATCCACCTCTTTTCTCTTTGAGTTGCTGTCGGCTGCGGTAGATCACAGTATTTGAGGTTTTGACAATGATAGCCTCAGCGAAGTTGATGTCTGTTCGGTGAAATTTTGACCATATCACGCGATTAATTTATCTCGGTAGCCGTTCGGGACAGCCGAGTTCAGCTGGTTCTGCGCCGGCTGAGCAGAAAAAGTACTTACCACTCCGATGCAAATGAGTAGTAGGTCTCGTATGGAATGGAGAATTTCCAGTCGATTCCCGTCAAATCATGGTGTGAGCGCGACTGATGTGATGGATCGATCGAGTCCTCCCCTACCTACGAGACCCACCCCTCCTCGACTTTCGGTCTCGTGCAATTTTCGTCTTCGCCGCGTGTGATTCAAAATGCTCGGAATGGAGGGCGAAAGCCTTCAAACTGCAACTGTCGGCTTTTACAAGAGTTCCGGTCCCGTGTCGCGAGCAGTAAAGCTGGAATCAAATCTGCCAAGGCATTGCAGGATCGAGCAGCTCCATATATTTATGACCCATAGGGCTAGAACGCCAGAATGCATCACGGAAACAAGCAATTGCTAAGCATCTGGAACAGTGGGGAGAAAAGGCTAGAAGCTCGGCATTCTCGATCTCGCTTCCACAGTGTATCAATCGAGATATGACAAAAGCACAGTAGCCGCGTCAGCAGACGATGGCCTCGAAATGAAGCGATGTTGTCATATCGTGAGCCGTTGAACACTAGGTCAAGATGGCCTTGTCGCTCATGATCGCGAGAATTGCTTGCCATTGTGTCTCAGGGCAGAGGCCTAAATTGTGCATCTTTGCCTTGCCCACCTCTTGTCATGTCAGCCTCTCCGCTTCTCTAATCTCCCGGGATCCCAATTCTCCTGAGGGCTTGACAAGTTGAGGGGCCAGACCCGAACCATCCTCTCGTATCTCGGCAGCTATTCGCACTAGATGGCAATGGTGAGAAGGGGTTGGGTGGGTCTAAGTACGGCCAGATGTTTGTTTCCGCCAGGTTGGTTCCTCTGCTTCTTTTTGAATGTGGGGTGTGGGGCGCAAATCCGGCAGGACTTTGATCTCGCCTAGCCTCTGATCTTGCTGCTCCTCAAATCTTGTTTCGTCTTTTCTGTACGCGTTTATTCGCTGCCCCTGTCGTGTGGATCGTCTGACCGCATCGCTGTCATGTGTTTGCATTAGCGAAACGTGGATTCCATGTCATTGCCGGCCTGGATAGGTGGTCATGTTGGAGCCGGATGTGAGGCTCCTCTGTTTAGATGGGTCATGCTGGTGGAAATCGAATGATGCACCGAATTCCACCAATCGTGTAACATGGAAGAAATTAGACTTGGCTCTGGCTCAAGCTTTCGCTTGGCTTTGAGTTAGATCGTATTCTAAATTACGGGGGCTTGGAGGATCATCAGTTTCGCTAGCCTGGTTTGACCCTGTATGCAACGCTGCTTAGGGGCAAGTGGCGGCAATGAGCATCAAACCGTGAGCTTGAGTTGTGGGTCAGTCCCGACATTATACCGCAGGCAGATTTTTGCCGTCGTCCGCTCGCGGCTCCAACTGCATCCTAGCTCAGGCAATAACCCCCATGTGCAATCAGCTCCTCATGGCTTCATGATGCTTCTATCATGTCTCCTGGTCGATATTAGAGTCCATGTATTGTACAGATGCCGTAGACAAATTCACGAATCGTGTTCAGGTAGCAAAACCCAAGGCGGCTTTATCTCAGACACGGATGCACAGCACAAACCGGAGGTATATGATCAACACCACCTGTTGTATATTTCTCCTCCGCTCCGTACTTCCTGTCCCCATTTGGATAGTACCCACCTTGTAATATCCGCCCTGGAAGTCCACACTGCCGGTAAATCGTTGGTGATCCGGACGGCACTGCCGCAATAGGAGAAAGTGGGCACCACCTAGGACGCTTGCCGGCTCACAGCAAGGCTTCTCCTGCCTTGGGAATATAAAGAGAGCGTTCCGCTGCCAAGCTGTCAGATTCTTGGCTTCAGCTCCATCAGCCTTGCTAAGCTCTTCTCCAGTCTCTCATTCTTGCATCCCTTGAAGTCTAGCATTGATTGCTACTACCTCCATTCACTATCTTTCGATTCCTACCGAACTTGTGCTACTATCCCTACCGTGTCCAACACCACAAACCGCAAACATGCTTCCCGTCGTCGCCCTCGCAGCTCTGCTGCCCCTGATCAACGCTGCTCCTGCTGATGTCAAGCGGGCCGATGCCTGCACTTTCACCGATGCTGCTTCTGCTATCAAGGGCAAGGCCTCTTGCACTACCATCACCCTCAACAACATTGCTGTCCCTGCCGGTACCACGCTTGACTTGACCAAGCTGAAGACTGGCACTAAGGTATGTAGCATTTGTGGTCTGAACAATGTGAAATTTTGTGCTGACTTTCCGCCTTCCGCGCCAGGTCATCTTCCAAGGTACTACTTCCTTCGGCTACAAGGAGTGGGAGGGACCTCTCATCTCGGTGTCGGGCACCGATATCACCGTCACTGGCGCCTCAGGCCACGTCATTGATGGCAACGGTGCTAAGTGGTGGGACGGCAAGGGCTCCAACGGTGGAAAGACCAAGCCCAAGTTCTTCTACGCCCACTCCATGAAGCAGTCCACCATCCAGGGCCTGAACGTCAAGAACTCCCCAGTTCAGTTCATGAGCATTAACTCGGCCACCGACCTTAACGTCATTGACGTGACGTACGACAACTCCGCTGGTGACTCTGGCGAGCTTGGCCACAACACGGATGCCTTTGATGTTGGCTCCTCCCAAAACATCTTGATCTCCGGTGCCAACGTGAAGAACCAGGACGATTGCCTGGCCATCAACTCTGGCACCAACATTACCTTCACCGGCGGCTCCTGCAGCGGTGGCCACGGTCTGTCCATCGGCTCTGTTGGCGGCCGTAGCGACAACACCGTTGACACTGTGGTCATTTCGAACAGCAAGATCAGCAACTCGGACAACGGTGTTCGTATCAAGACCGTCTCCGGTGCTACTGGCAAGGTTACCGGCGTCACCTACAGCGGCATCACCCTGAGCAACATCGCCAAGTACGGTATTGTCATCGAGCAGGACTACGAGAACGGCAGCCCCACTGGAACCCCCACCACCGGTGTCCCCATCACTGACCTGACCGTCACCAATGTCAAGGGCACCGTCGCCTCCTCTGGCACCAACGTCTACCTGCTTTGCGGCAAGGGTTCCTGCTCCAACTGGAAGTGGTCCGGCAACAGTGTTACCGGTGGAAAGGCGAGCACCAAGTGCCAGAACATCCCCAGCGGCGGCGCTGCTTGCTAAATGGGCGTTTCTGACGATGTGGAGTTTGAAAGCGGGTGTCTTCGACATCTTGGGTGCGATTTGGATTCTAGTAAATAATCTTGTTTTTTGTATATAAATAGATGTGCTCTAGTCACAGCGGCTTTCATCAATTAGAATGATACGGTACCGCATACTTCGTGTGTCATGAACCATTCTGCATTTCCTGCCAATTTCACACGTGATGCTCCTCAGTCTCAGAGCTCTTTTGTCTTCGGGAGAGTCAGAAGCTCCGCCTTCCATCAGCTCGCCAGACCTACTTGGTGGCAGCGTCGTCAGCTTTGGCGGCGTCACCGGCCCGTTTCTTCAGCACAAGCAACGCAACGTGCTTCTTCGATTTCATCTGCTGGGCGATCATTCCCAGCTTCTCCTCCCCAGCCTCGGCTGCACAGTACGTAGACATTGCCTCAAGGGCAAGATAAGTGCGGCTCCGAGATCCGCCGCCTATCTTCTCGGGGTCGGCCTCGGCCCAATCCAACACACCACAGGCACGGGTCTCATCATCCTGGCCGCGTGATGAGGCGATCACCTTGAAGACAGCTTCGTACATATGCTGCTTCGACTCTTCGTTGTCGAGGCCATTCATGTCAGCCTGTATATCCAAGTTCCAAGCTTCACTAACCGCAGACAATTCGATTTGTATGTTGGCCATTTGCTCCGTCCATTGGTCAACAACCCAGCACACACCATCATACATGGATACTGCGGGCTCTGATACGTCCTTAAGCAGCTTCATCTTCCACTTTAGCAGGATGCGCCAAGTCCAGACCAGACAGGACCTCTGCCTGGGGAAATTGGCCTTGTCCCGCGCAACCCGAGACGAAAACCGGAGCGCAAGTTTGAAGCGACCCCAACCCAACTTTATCGGCCAAAGCTCAATGAAGCTCGGGAAGAGCGATTCTGTTTTCTTGGCAGCGCTCCTTGTCACCATGGCGCCGAATTGCGACTCCAGTGGCAGCTCGAAGCTGTCCATTCCCTCCAGCTGGGATGCATCGCCACCAAAAATCTCCTTGTACAGCTCGGTCATCTGTTCTGCGGTCCAATGCCCAGCACCGCGTTCTTTGGATCCAGAGACAACGGCGACTTGGGGCCCCTCTCGTATGACTGGTTCCGGCTTTCGAACACCATGGCGACTGTCTTCACCACTGGCGGGCTCGTGAGTCTCGGCAATGCGGAGAGCCGTGCGAGGCAGGCTCCTGTCCCTCACATTTGGCTCGTTCTCATCCAGCTGTTGCTTGCTCTGGACTGGAATGGTCTCGTCGTTTCTACGGATGGCAGCCGGCTGCTTGTACGTAGCTGCAGTCGGGATGGTCTCGCTATTGTCCGTACGGACTCTTGCCTCGAACTAGGCTGCGTATCCGCCATCCTCCCTGAAGATCTCTGGCCACTGCCAGGGGAACTGTTCCGAAGTACGATTTTGGACTGTCACATGCGTAGGTTAGTAAAGGGGACCGCACCAGACAGCGAAGGGTCATACCATGATCTGTCCAGAGGCAGGCGTCGACAAAGTACTCGATGTTGATAGACACGGCCGCAGAGTTATCGCTACCACAGCCATGGGCGTACATGTCCTCGTACACCTTCAGTCTTGCCATGGTTTCCCATGTATTCTTTTGTTGCGTGGTGAGAGTGCCCCAGCCCTCAACCTTTTCGATCTTGGCAAATATCTTCCGCCGCGTCTCCACCAAACGCCAGTCATTACTCATCGCAGAAGCTGCCGATGCGGCTGGGTTGGGGTTCCAGCTCGATGCCCGGAGAGGAGACGAATTGCTTGAACCCTTGTTCTGAGTCGCCGACCTGTCTCCTTGCTCGGCGCGCTTGCTAGGGTTCATCTCCTCCTCGGCATCACCAATGCTGCGTTTGCGCTTTGATACCATTTTATTTTTGCCTTGGTCTCGAGTGAAGATTTGTAGAAGTCTTGTCGTGGTTTGGGTTGGGGTCGAGAATGGAGGATTGTCGTGAGGTCGAGGTCTGGCTTTGGAAGGTGGCAGTAGACATTGATTGAGACCCTGCACATCTTTTTGATCTAAAAAAAAACCCTTCATCCCATCTTCTGGGGCTTCCTTGTGAAGTACGAGCTCTTTCAAATTTACTGGATTTCCAAAAAGCAAACAGAAGAAATTTTGAGCCCGGTTTGCGGAGACAAACAACAGCTTCCAGTCAACACAAACCATCTCGATACAATTCTTTTCACAATTCCTCAACTTACGGGGCCAAGATGTCGGGAATCTTCAGTGGGCACTGTTTCAATTGCGGTCGACCGGGTCACAGGGCCGCCAATTGCCCGAGCCACAGGGCTGATGAGGTCGGTTTAGTGGACAAAGTAGTGTACTAGCAGCCACTAATGTTTGGAGGACAGGCTCATCCTTCCATGTCCAATGAGACATATGGACAGCAAGGGGGTGATTTCGGCGGCAACGTCAATTTGCCGCCTGCGAACCTCGACCAGCAGCATCAACAGCATCATAGCCATCAGCAGCAGCATCACACGCCCATGTCATCGCAGGACTTTTGTGGGATTCGAGTGGCTGATGTCCGTCAGCGTCATTTTGGCGTGACCCACAACACCAACGATGCCAACATTTCGGCAGCTCGCGATGAGTTCAGGCAGGAAACTGGCATTGAGAATCCGAGTGTCATCTTCATGAGTGAGCAGACTGCTCGTGAGATGCAGGACTTCCTTGAAGCCCGGTCCCTGTCCAGATTCAGGGAGTGGTTGAACAGGGATCGTCCAGTGAACATCATATCCATTCCGGTTTTGGACCAGGGTGATCCGACTTGGCAGACTGCTCGTGAGATGCAGGATTTCCTCGGAGCCCAGGCCCTTGCGAGGATGAGGGAGAGGCAGCGTAGGGACCGGCCGGTGGATGTCGCGTCCATTCCTGTCATGGGAATGGGCACTGGAGATAGGACCGGGTTCATGCTGCCCCAACAACGACAGGCTGGTCGGGGGGCGCTCCCTGGAGCCCGCGGTGCGCAGCCCCATATCACCGGTGCTGGATTGTTGGGTAGTGTTCGAATTGAACGACCTCGGGCGATTCAAGGACAGGAACAACACCAAAGCCAGCAAGTAGGGCAGGGCAGGAGACGAGCACGTGTGGTAGTTCATGAGCAGGAAGAGGTCGAGTATAGAAATGGGCGCCCCGCCAGCCAGGGTTCCTGATGGGGTGGATGATTGGATTACGCGGACGACTGGTCGAATTATCAATGTACATTCCGATCGATCTTCATTAATTACTTATTGTTTTAACCTGATCCATTAAGTACCGTGACGTTGAGACTGACTTGCTCATGTCCTAAGCACGATGATCATGACTGCCGAGGTCCTGGCGCATAAAGATGCTTCTCTCCAATTTTCATGACTCTGATCGTATTAACAACAACTTTCCATTCTAGTACCAATGTTGAATGATGCGAATTTGCCATATCCGTCATCTTGGACTGCAAGTGGAGCCACAACAGCAGTGTCCGGATTTGGGGATAGGCGCATGCGCTAAAGAGCTTATTTCAACGACGACTGGGCGGATGAGGCACACACACATATCGACAGCAGTAGGGAGAACGAGCAAGAGGCACAGTACCAGGCCAATTGAAAGATCCCTCCCTGGCCAGGAATAGAGAAAGATACGCAAGTGTAGATGCAACTTCTTGGCGCGTCTTCTTAGTGCATTACTCTTCTTTTAGAATAGTCATCCAGTCTCATTTGGTTGGACGCTCAAGAGGGTGCCGCACAAATCCATGCAGGGGCGAACCACCCATTCCAGCCATTTCTATATCGCCTTGAATGCTACCAACCCTCTGCCCAGGACTTGCTCTGCGCCGACTATGAAACTCTGTGTCAGTATAACTCATACTGATGGCAAAAGCAGATTCCAGCTCGAGCACATCTCCGTCATGGAAAGCCCCATTAAGCGCCAGGTTCTTCGTTGGCTCGGAGACCAGCACGAAGAAGGCCGCCAAAGTCAGAAGATCTAGGTGTCCTTTTCATGAGGCTGGTCACGCTTTCTGAATGCGTCCTCCGTGCCCAGATTCTCAGCGGCCGAAGCCACGGCAGCTTCGACCTCTAGGGGGTCCAGTACCAGGTTGTCTTGGTTCTCGTCCAAGGCGAACGGATCGTGGGGAGTGACAAGGGCGCCCATAAAACGCTCCTTGATAACCTCATTAGAGGCGGCGCCTTCCTCCGCGCGCGCCTTGATCCGCACGTCATGGCGGGTTCCCTGCGGCTGTGTCCGGGCCACGCGAGGCATCACGCTGCCATCGACAAAGTACCCCTCACGAGTAGAGGTGCCTCCATTCTTTGAGATGGGCTTGATCTCCACATCGTACAGGGTTCCCGGACGCTGTGTGAGATCCGCACGAGCTATCAGAGCAAATGCATCGTCGGCCGTAAGATTCAAGCCGACAAATTCTCCCGACTCGACATCAAACTTCTCGTATTGAGATTCTGGCGAGTGCATCGTGCGATCTTCTTGACGGCCATCGACAGCTGCACTGCCATCTGCGACAGCTTCACCTCCATTTTCACCAATAGCATTGATGTTGGAGTCAGAATTGGCTCTCCGAGGCTCAACCCGGCGACCAACATCCCGCTCCTGGTATTCCTTATCAGAGAACCACGAGTTCTGATAGTTCTTGGCCATGCCTTGGCTAGAACCCCTGCCTCTTCCAGCTCCTCTGCCAGCTCCTCGGCCTCCTCTGCCCCTTGTTTTTTGAACACGACCATCACGCCGCGGATCCTCCCATCTGTGGCCCATTGGACCATCGCCAACACCCCATGGGCGCCGTCCACCACCGCTACCGCCAGCGTCGTGACCGCCGTAGCCGTAGCCGTAGCCGCTGCTCCACCATCCACCGCCAGCAGGGGCCCCGATAGCGCCGCCGCCACCGCGGCCTCCACCTTGCTGCACACCGATGTCTCCTCGACCTGATGACATCTTGATAGGTCCCTTCAAGGTAGTAGCGTTCTTGGGGATCGGGACGTAGGTACTGCTTGAAGTCCAAAAGGCTGGTGCAATTGGTCGGACGATGTTGGTGTCGTTGTCGGGTTCGTTTTGAGGGGGAAAAGTCTGGGCTCGAGCCCAGAGAGTTTTCAAAAAATAAATCCAAGATCAGGGAAGGGTCAGTTTGCCAGGGTGGGGCAGGTTGGATGGGAGTGCTCAAAGCTCGCCTGTCTTGCTGCCACTAACTGGGGCGGTTCCAGCTGACAACTCAGAGGAGCTCAGATCCAAAGACCGCAGTCGAAAACAACGCAAGACTTTTTTCCTTCTCTCCCTCGAAGTCACCCGCCTACCGTTCACTGTAGCAAGCCCACGAGAATTAAGACGAGCCAAAGATGGCGTCTCGCCCGGAAACTCCTATCCTGACCTCACCTCCGAGCTACGATCTGGCAAAGTCCTGGTTCTGGACGGTGTCCAAGCCGACTTGGTCCGACACGCAGATACCTCGTTCTTGGAGATGGGATGGGCCCTTTTCAAGCAGCCCGAGTAAGATGGCCTCCCGTTGAAGCTCCTCTACATCCGATATACCGTTAATGAGACCGAGCTGGGCATTGAGTGCTGTATTAAAAGACTCTGTCACCATAGTCAATGTATCCTATCTACTCTTCACCCTTGACCAAGCCATCATCTTCATTCTGTTTCTTGCTTCTCCGGCTCCATTCTGGCGCCACATCAATGCCATCTTCTTCTTCTTTATCGCCCTGCTCTTTAGTCTGATGTATAGTTGTTGGCTTGTGCTCAGCAGGACTGTACACCGTGTAGAGGATCAACGGCGTCGCGCCCGTGTTCAAGAATTGGTGCTTCGTGCCAGCCGGCACAATAACCATGTCTCCAGCCTTGATATTTTGCTCCTTCCCGGCGATCTGAGCGAGTCCTGTTCCTGATGTGAATGTAAGGATTTGATCCACGGTGTGAATCTAGAAATTGTCAACACGGCGTTTCAGTTTGATTGAACGGACGGGCGTGTTACCTCCTCTCCGATATCTCCTCCGACAGGCACTGTCATGAGCACCAACTGGGAGTAGAGCCCAGTCCAGAGCACACGGCGGAATTCCGCGGACTTTGAGGGCAGCGCCGTTGTCATGTCCGGGAAGTACACCATCTCCTTCTTGGGAGGGTCACTGGAAGGTGTCGGAAAGGCAGACATCTTGGATGTAGAAAAATGTCTTGTTGACAGGGGTGATGCTTTCTTGAAAAGAGTCTGAAATGCTGAACTACTGGGGGATTTGAGTGAGGTTATTCGTGAACCGAGAAGACGGCAGGAAACGACGGATGGGCGAGTTAGCATGATTGCGACCTCTCAGTTAAGTATTACTGAAGAAATAACGAAATGCATTTGATTTATACAAAGCACTGATCGAAGATGACGCATGTTGCTGAGTGTGGTGGTCTCATGGTGGCACACATTTACGTCCACTCAGGTGAAATCTCAACGTCATTGACCTCAGTCTCGGCGACTGGATTCAATTGCCGGAACTAGTCTACCAACGCACACGCAAACCCCATAAAGTCAATCGAGCCATGCAATCTAGAAAAAAAAAAAAGATTTAAAAAGGTTTAAAAAAAATTAAATAAAAGAGCTCTCCTTTCGACGCGTCTTAGTCCTCTGACTGACTTTATGTGCAAAGCGTCGTCTGCATTGGTCCTATCTCGATAGACAAACGTGACAATTTGTCGTGCTGGAAAATGACTGGGTCAGGCGTCTGGACTTGATGAACCTCCTGAATCAAGACCGGCTTTTGGAAGAGCAAGTTCATCCCAGTGGCCGGGGTCGTCTGAACGTGACAAATTAAGGGCGCGAAGACTGCAAATAAGCTTCCATTATGCCGGCTGCGGATCGGTGGGCCGACCCGGGGTGCCCTGTGCAACTCACCTTGCAGCTCGAATGACGAGTTTCATAAATCTCAAACGCGGCGCTGGCTGCAACTTTTCAGGTTTTACCAGCATATCAGTACTACTCCCGGTCGGTCTTAAAGCTTGAACACAGCCCAAGGCTTAGCTTGCACTCCTTACCTTTTCCCTCAACCTATCCCGACAGTCGGGTGCGCTGATGGCCTCGTGGACTACTCACTACTGGTTGAAGTGCACCCGGCTGACACAGCTGGACTGTGAATCCAGCCTCTCATGACCGACCTCAATATCCCCGCCATTGCAAGTGCTGCATTCTTGGGGTTCCTGGCTCTTGCAGCGCTGCTTTTCTGCATTCCACCGGTGACACGATTCTTGGGCGATCTGTTCTGCTGCCCATGGAGGATTCCATTCACGCGCAAGAGGCGGCGCAACGACGATGAAGAGTTGGACAAAGATGACTTGCCGTACTTAGCAAAGCGACGTCCGAGTAGCACAGTCGACGATACTGGGTATCGATCGATGCCGGATGCTTACATGTCGGTAAGTTTAGATACTCGTTGTGTCCGTGCTGTACGTCTGTTCTTTGAGCTGTGCAACTGACACGAACAGGCCGTGCGCATACGAGATTATGAGGATGTGGAAGACACATTTGGAGATCACCCATTGCAGAGGAACTATTCCAATGATCGGCAGGGACCGGAGGAAGACTACTATAGCGGATCATATGATGATCATCATGCTCAACTACAACAACCAGACGCGTCGCACAACAGGGATTGGTGGCGATCGCCCACAGAAGAGTACCCGGAGTACCATGACTACCCATCGCAAGCTGCTCATGGTTATGATCCAGCTTTTTACTACTCTGACGAAGATATCGACGACTACGGGACAAAAGACTTCCTGGATCACGATATCCAGCGGCCTCAACCATCTTACTCGCCGCAAGAGATGAATTCCTACCAACACGCTGGCGGCTACTTCCCAAGAGTAGATCACGATTACTACAGTCAATACAGGAGAACTTGATTGTTCTTTCGAAGCTGAAAATTCAGCGTGGCTAGAGGGATGACTCAGGGCATCGAGCTCTTGTGGCGTGTCATCTGGTCGGCGGTCTTGGGAACAGGCTTCCTGTTGAATTGTTAGTGTATATCGCTAGGTGCAACAGTCACCAAATTTGTATATATGTGTATCACGTTCAGGAATCAATACACACTAAGCACTAAAACTACCGTTCAGTCATGCCCAAGCAGCGCAGCGTTCAATGTGATGACAAAGACAGACTAGTGTATCAGGCTCGCGCGTCCATCTGTCTCGTCCGCAGGCTCAGAAAGGGGGCTGTGCATCAGGGAGTTGAAACCGTGCCTTGTTTTTCATGCTGATAGGTTGACGCGTACAAATTTGGTGTGTCACACTATCAGCTTGATTCAATAAATATCAACACGCAGTTTTGCATACCTCATCGCCCTCAGTCTCCCGCAGTGCCCGACCAGCCCAGATTTTTGATGTCGTCATGACATTGAAGCACTGCTTCTTTTCAAAAGCGCGCAACAATTTCAAAGCTTGTAATGCTGTTGTCTCATTACATGTCTTCAGTCAGCGAGGTCATCCTTGTGGACATTGGGAGGTCTTTGTGATTGGATGACTGGATTGTTTCTCTCAGAAGCTTTAAAGAATGACTTAGATTTTACGAAATGAGACCGTATATCACTGAAAGCTTCTCGCTCATGCAGGCAATATCGTATTTTCCACTCGTCCACCTGCCTTGACACGCTTTTTGCGAAATTTTATGCGGCGCCTGTCCTCATTATCTTTTTTCGTTGACCTGAAAAAACAACCTTTTCCTCCGGCTTGCCAGGAGCAACGCCGAATGCCTCCTGATCTTCGTCGCTGCTAATCTCATCTTTCGTTCAAGTGAGGATCTTCCCAGCCAGAAAGACAACACAGTGGTTGCAAAGGTTTATCTGGATATTTCCGCACTATCTTTATAATCATACCCAGCTTCAACTGTACCAGTCGCTTCTACTCAAGTCTTCACCCTACCCTATCTTGATCTTTATAGACAACGCGACACTATTTTATGTAGTTGGTAGTCCAAGTCACGGTGTACCTTTTATCAGCCCAGGTGATGCTGGAAATAATGAGTCGCTGAGCTTCGTGTTGGTAAAGAGGACTCCAGTCCATCTTAAACACGGCATATGTGAACTTTAAACTGAGTCCACTTTTGACGACCCAGAGCAGATCGGATTTTTGGCACAGGATGAGGCTCTGCATGGACATCCTGCGTGTATTGATCGCCAGTATCCTTAAGCACCCAGAACTCATCTTTGAGAGCACGTCGGATCTTCCATGACCTCTCTGAGGACACCATCACCGGTGAATGCGAATCATCTGCCCTGCAAGGCCCATTTGCAGACATAGTCGGTGACTGTCCATCTTCGCCCATCAACATACCCATAAACCATCCTCTGCTGTTGTCTACAAGACTCTTCCAGCCATCGAGGGCACGGAGGGATTCAATTTGGAGACATGTCATTACATTCATATCCATTATCGATGGTGTCAGGCAGCAGTCAATTATTGATACCATGTCGGCAGGTTGATATAAAATACGGGATATAATTTGACGGAATTGGGCAGGGTCAGGCGAAAGACTTTCTTGCAGGAACGGCCCGAGTAGACAATCCCTAGATTCATCGAAATAGGCACGGGAAGTCGGGCTTCCTCACTGAGGGGCGGAGTGGATACATGTGGGTCGCTGACTTGAATTCAACTTTGGGCCGTCCAGGTGAGCGTCGAGAGTCAACCTATCGAAATTAGCCAAGCGCTGTGGCGTAGCTGAGATGCCCGATTAGGCCCGAGGCGTGTTCTGAGGTAAACCCCGTCATTTTCTCGCATGACCTCAGGTCTCGCTTTCGTGATTTCTAGTGTTACCAAGATTATTGAAGCTGAGCCATAAAAATGAGTGCTTTGATTGAATTTTCTCCCTCGGAAGACGAGCAAAACTTGAAGGTTAAGCAGGTTTCGCCCGACCTTTTCAAGCTGTCCTTGACCCGGCGCAACAAGTCCAACCTCTTCTTGGAGGCGATCGACAGGCTCGACTCTAGTCGTGAAGAAGCTGATCTCATCCTGCGCAACCTCCAGTCATGGGCACCGGATGTAGCTGAAAGATTCCAACCCCGGACATCGGGTGTCATTCTTGACACGCCGTTTCGACTGATCTGCTCGAGCCCTTCTGGGGTTCCGTTGGACGGCGCCTTTGTCATTAGACAATACTTGGCTATCAGCTACAGTTGGCACAGCAAGAGCTGGCCCGGCACACCGCACTCGGCCCCTGAGCCGAATGGGTTGTGGCCCGTGGGCAAGCGCTTCGTGGATGCAATATTGACATTGCGCGGCCACCCTCGGGAGGGAATTTGGATGGATCAGATTTGTGTCAACCAGCAGGATGGGGAGGAGCAGCAGCGGGCAATTGCGTGCATGGACATTATCTACAAGTCGTGTCGCAGGCTGGTGGTGCTCCTGGAAGACGTTGAACTCACGGATGACGAAGTCGCTCTATTTAGTCGGTATAACTTCGCCACCTTGCGCTGGGACGTTGCTGAAATGCCTTCTGACGGTGACACCACCCTTCTCATCTCACTGTTTGACAAGGTAGCCCGGGCGCGATGGTGGAGACGGGCTTGGTGCTATCACGAGTTCGTCGTGGGGGAGCCGTGGTCTACCAAGAGGCATCAGCAGGTGCACAATACTGTTTTCGTCCTGGGACATGGAACAGACAGAACCGTCACGGTCCAGTGGCTCACGCTGCAAGCAATACTGGTGACGGTGATCGTGAAGCTTGGCCACCAGTCTCCAGATAGTGCATATGTCAACCCAATCTTGTCTGGGCTCGATGACCGCACGTCGCCGCTTTGGGACAGCCCTGATCGCAAGGCAGGATCGATTAAGTCCAGTTTCATGGCGCGGTTCAACAGCGTTGCCCAGACAGACTGCTTAAAGCCGGGGGATCGGCTCAGCGTGTGCGTCAATCTCCTTGGGCTTGGCCTCGCATACGTTAAGCTTGAAGAGCCGACCCTGGACGAGGTGTATTATCTCGCCAACCTGTTGGCGTTGGCAGCTGGGGAAAAGAGGCCGTTAACTTTCGCGAGCATGCAGCCGTTGATGGTCGGCGGGAGTCAGTCATGGCTGATGCGGCCCATAACGAGTGCAGACACGTCCTTTGGCAAATTCAGTCTTGGAGATGTCAAAGGCATCCATAGCATCTCAGTGACTCGACTGGAGGTTGACCTAGTTTTTTTTAAACATTCTTTTGAGAAGGCCACCGAAGAGGAGCTCAATAGGACGTACGCCGTCTTCCCAGATGCGATCAAGAGCACACCGCCGCCCCTCAAGGCCACACTGCCCAGCGCTGTGCAGCAGTTTCGGGCTGATGAGGAGATGGAGATGCCCCGCCGTCAGTTCTTGGCAGCCGTCATGGCCAGTGGACGCGGTCTGGCGCAGCGTCTATGGTCGCAGCTCGAGCGCGACGTGGTGCGTTTCAACTACAATACTGGCATTTACGCGGACTTTCGGGCCAACGAAGATTTGAGCTCCAATGCGGACAAGTTTCTAGAGTTGTTGGGCGTCAACAGCCCCAAAGCGGAGGACGATAAGCACGATTTCACATATGAAGCGGCTCTCGCGCTCTTGACGTGGGTCACGGATCCGCGGTCCATCTACTGGATCTCGTGGCGATGCCTGCGGGCCCCGTGCTCCCGATACGGTGAGCAGGCGCTCTTGACGGGATTCTTAGGCACGAAGAATTTCCATTCTATCAACGCCAAGGCACCAGGGTCGGTCGCTGTGGCCATTCCAACTGATCTGCTAGAAGTGGACTGCGCGTTCAGTAGGGCGTGGGTCTTGGTCCCAGTGACTGGTGAGCAAAAAGAGGTGGCTTGGAAGGTTATAGGTAAATCTTTATTACTAGGCAACACAGATTTGGCCGAAGAGGCGAGAAAAATGGAGACTGATGGACAGTTTGAACCCGCAATAGAATTGAAAACAAGACAGGTCATTTTCAGTTGACATTTGCAATAAATATAATCTACACGTTCATCACACCCTTATCTTCCTCGAGGAACCGAATCCCCTCCAAGGAAAATGGGCCCTTCAATGGATGGGATGCGTGCATGACAGACAAGTAAGTATCGAGCCAGATGAGGTAACATGTCTGAGCTGGCTGGACCATGCAAATCTGACAGAGCTATGTTCATTATCGGCGAATGTAGCCCGTCGATGCAGAGCCTCCAAGAAATAGCGGAGCACACTCGAGCCCACTTTCGGGATGCATAGCCTATTGTGGCCAGGGAATAAACAACGCAGGTCGCAGACAATGGGCTTCAGCCAATAGCGATCTAGCTGTTTCGGCATTTAAACCAAGCTACCCCATAATCCCCAAACGCCTCCCCCACGAATTCCCCGGATCACTTTGGGGGAGGCCCACTAAACCCCAGCACGCTGACGCATTTTCCCCTCCGCCCAGTAACAGGTGTGGAAGAGTCTTGACCCGCTCGTGGTGTAAATCTGAATTTAAAGTGGCCAGGAACCCGGCATTCAGCCCGTCCATAAATACAGGGCATTCGCCAGGCGTCATATGTCGTTTCTCTTCCACAAGACGATATCCTCACTTCTTCTAAACAAGGCTTAACATCCAGGCTGCGTGTACAATGGCTACCCCAGGAAGAGAAGATGTGGCTCCTGCTGAGCAGATATCCTCCAACGATAAATCCATGCTCGACCCTGTTGACGTAGCACACCAAGAGTCTGCCTTCACAACAGACACAGCCGCCGTTATCATAGAACCGTACGGGCCATCGGGCTTCCGGGGGATATTCGCAACCCGCTATGTCAGCCTCTGCGCCGCCTTCTCAGCCATCGGCGGTTTCCTCTTTGGCTACGACCAGGGCGTCATATCGGTGACCTTGACCATGGACCAGTTCCTCAACAGGTTCCCTGACGTTTCGGATCATGCGGCCGGTGCTGGGTTCAAGAAGGGTTTGATGACGGCCATGATCACCCTTGGCGCCCTCATTGGGGCCCTGAACATGGGCTGGATCGCGGACTGGTTGTCGAGGAAGCGGTCAATCATGGTGGCCGTGGTGGTCTTTTGCATCGGCTCTGCGATCCAGACATCTGCTGTTGACTACGGCATGCTAGTGGGGGGTAGATTCATCGGAGGGTTGGGCATTGGAATGTGAGTTCGCTCTTGCCCCTTGCAATGGTCATCGTTATTGTCTTGGTAGCTTTTCCAGTATGACATGCACGAAGAGGCACCTAGCTCAGCATTCTTACCGATTTTCGGTTCGTCTTTTCGAATGAAGTTCCTCGGCTGACTTTTCCGAATCACCTAGGCTGTCAATGGTGGTCCCAGTTTATATCTCTGAAATTTCTCCGCCAGAAATCCGTGGCTCTTTGCTTGTGTTTGAAGAGCTCTCGATCGTCTTCGGCATCGTGGTCGCGTTTTGGATCACATACGGCACACGCGTCATCCCGAACCACTGGTCATGGCAGCTGCCATTCCTACTACAAATACTTCCCGGCATCCTGCTTGGTTTCGGCGCCATCCTGCTCCCATATTCGCCCAGGTGGCTTGCCTCGAAGGGACACGAAGACGCGGCGTTGCGGTCCTTGGCAAAGCTCCGCACGCTTCCTGACACGGACCATCGCGTCCGCCGGGAATGGATGGACATCCTAGCCGAGGCGAGGTTCCAAAAGGCCGTCATGGCCGAACGTCACCCAACACTCGCTGGGAGTAGCGACAAGACCAGCCTCATCAAGCTTGAGATCGTCTCGTGGACGGACTGTCTCCGCTCTGGCTGCATTCGGCGGACTCATGTTGGCGCGGGGCTCATGTTTTTCCAGCAGATGGTCGGTATCAATGCGTTGATTTACTACAGCCCGTCGTTGTTTGCAACCATGGGTCTCAACACTGATATGCAGCTCATCATGTCTGGAGTGCTCAATATTTCGCAGCTGGTGGGCGTCGTCAGTAGTTTGTGGACCATGGACCGATTCGGGCGCCGGAAGCTCCTGCTGGTTGGAAGTGGCTGCATGTTCTTTGCACACTTCATAATTGCCATCCTCGTGGGCAAGTTCTCGTATGACTGGACAAAGCATGTCACCGAGGTAAGTCGCTCCTGAGACCTGGCGTCTTCGTCTTTGAGCTCTATTGACTTACCCATCTACTCCCAGGGCTGGGTTAGTGTCGCATTTCTATTGGCCTATATGATCGCATTCGGCTCCAGCTGGGGACCTGTTCCATGGGCGATGCCATCCGAAGTCTTCCCCTCTTCCCTGCGAGCGAAAGGTGTCGCCATCTCCACCTGCAATAACTGGCTCTGGAACTTCATCATCGGCCTCATCACGCCACCGCTCGTCCAAGGAACGGGATTTGGCGCGTATGTGTTCTTCGCTGTTTTCTGTCTGCTCAGCTGCGTCTGGACTTGGTTCTGCGTCCCCGAGACGAACGGGAAGACACTCGAGGAGATGGACGAAGTGTTTAATGACCGCACTGGCACGGCCGACGCGGGAAAGAAAGCACGTATCTTCGAGCAAGTCGCGCAACAGCATCAGGCGACAGGCACCAAACAAGTCTAATAAGTTCAATGCTGTCAAAGGACAAGAGAAACTATCGCGAACTATGCCGCTACATAGGAAAGAAAACAATGAATTCAAATATGACGATCCAAAGCTGTTGCAATAATTTAGAGTCAGCATTTTGAAACATCCGTTCCCCCAACCCTAGGATTCACGGAACCCGCGAGCCCAGGCTGGATGGCCCCTACCTGTAAACAACGAAAAAATCTTACCAACTTTTACAATAATTAATCGTTGTATTGATCTTGCAGATGGTGAGAATTGAATGGGAGATGTGGGTTGGTGTCCTGTGGGCATATTTGATTAACACCAAGCAGCCGCTCTCGCAATGACAGCTCCCTCCTCTTTGTTGATATGGAACGCCAAATACCCTAGAAACAAGTACGTATGTAGTCCGTGCACAGTCCGGTGGCTCCGAGCAGAGACCGGTTTTTTTTTCCGAAGTCCGAAGCCAGGAAGAGACGGGACCTCATCGCGATACATCACACGTCACGACCCGCACGTTGACGAGCTCTGCCTCTCCTCCGAGATATGAGAGAGCGGACAAATTTGAAATATCCGATCTGATCTCAAAGCATTCACTTCTGGTCTGGTTGCTTCCACGGTCCATCAATGCCGAGCGCCGAAGGCCGTGCCCATGGATTCAACACTGCGCCAATCCCCGAACACTCCGAACCGCGCAACCCTCAAAGAGTTGCTCAGATCGCGCCAACGGAGCCGCAACGGCGTACGCGGAAACCCCAGGTCGTGTCTGCCGTGCCGAGAGCGAAAGGTGAAATGTGACAACCAGCTACCGTGTTCGACTTGTGAGAAGCGTGGACACCCAGACTTGTGCGATTACGAGAGTTCCCCCCGACAATCGCTGGGCACACTGCGCTCGACGGCACAGTCTGCAGGCAGAACGCGCGTGACTAGTCGGACCCCAGACCTGTCCCGTGAGTGCAGAGGTGCGGATGCGGCCATAATCGACCAGAACAAGGGCCAGGCAGGAGAGCTTCACCTCCCTAGTCCTTCAGTGCACGTCACCGCAAATGCGGACGCAGTGTCTTCGTCGAGGAATGCATCCACCACTCGCGACACCAGCGACGGTCTGTTCTTGGCCGACACGTCCGTAGTTAACATGGTTCGACGGCGTTCAATCCGATCGAGAGATGATCCAGCACGGCAATCCGCTTTCGAAACAGGCATTCTACCTCTCCTTGGTGTCAGCAAAGATGACAATGCGTCGATATTATCGTATCAGTCTCTGCCCAGTGACCAAGAGATTGTCAGACTATTTGAACATTTTCGTCGGAGAGTGCAACCTTTCCATGTCATTATGTACAATTTGAATGCTATCGAAGAAAAAATATGTCGATTGATCTACACGACAAATGACACAGAATACAGGAGTTGTCCCGAGCCACTCGAGGACTACCGTTGGCTATCCCTGCTTCATGCCATCCTAGCTGCTGGTGCTCAATTCTCCGATATGGACTTGCAGCAGCGGACTATCGTCACACAACGACACAGTACGCCCTGAGCCATTCATTGCTTGATACGTCAGACTTGATACTGATTTTCTTGCAGCTAAACAAGCATTCGATCTGCTTCGATCAACAGATTACCTTGCCCGGCCATCGAAAGAAGCTGTTCAAACCCTGCTCTTGTTAGGAAATGTGCTCCAAAATGACATGAAGCCTCAGGCAGCCTGGGTTCTTGGTGGCACGACCATAAGACTTGCGCAATGCCTCGGTCTTCATAGAAAGACCAACAGTCAGCCCCCGTCTTCAATGTCTGATAGAGATGCAAAGAACCTGAGGTATTTATTTTTCTTCATGTCTCCTGTCACAGAAACATGTGGTGACCAAATAATAGGCTGGCAATCGTCTGGCAAGATTCTTTGCTAGCGCTCACTTTCGGTCGTCCTCCAGCATCTTACGAGTTCGACTTCATAGGTGATTTGGCACCCCTTGCTGACCAAAACGGCGATGGTCTTTCGTATCTTGAAGCCATGAACTGGCTCTGCCACTTCACGCTGCCTCATCTGGCTTCACGATCGAGTTCATCAGTCCAACCATTTTCAATACTCAACGATATCAACTCCATCGAGTCTTTTTTGGCACCACATCTGGTCGACCTGAAAACAAGCACATCAATCTCTCATATTCAAGAACACTATGCCTTTGAACTTCACCGGCACTTTGTCATTTCCACTCTTTGCCGACCGTATATATCCAGCAGCAGGTCGTCAAATTTGAAAGAGCAAGACAGGCTGCATGTTCTAGGGCAGTTTCAGGAATCCCTTAGACGAAGTGTACGAGCTTACGTGCGCCTGAGGTCGATCGCGGGACACGCGAGACGCTCTTGGGCCTTCATTCACAACGGACTAACATCGATTTTGCTTCTGAGCCTCATGAGAGAAACGAGGTACTTGCCAGAAACGCGGTTCCTTCAAGACGAGCTTATCGCCAGTCTTTCCGATGAGAAAAGCAATGCAGGCTCGGCTGCTATCCCACTTTCCGCTGGTCACCTTTCGGGAACTCTCCAGAAAGCACTACAGGCACTCAAGACTCTTCGAGCGCTGACAGATCGTGATGAAAATACACAAGAGTCAAGAGTCGATACCAATACGGGTCAACCACCAGCGTCCGGCGCTAGACCAGAACCTGTCTCTGGAGATGATCCAGGGCTGATGGAGCAGGACAAGTAAGTCACTTTGGCCCGTTGAAAGTTTACTGAAAGCTGACTACTTAGCTTTTGGGACACGGGTGACTTCAGCTGGGACTTTCCGGTTGATTTTGATATGTCTCCCTTGGGCGCATTTGACTACATTATGTCGGATCAAGACTACTTTGGCGGAGGCGACTCATTCCTCCCAAACATGGTGTGAATTCTATGAAGCTTTCCTGGCACCTCACGACTTCTGTGTATGTTCCCAACTCATCTTTCTAGGTCTACATACTATTTTGACCGGCTCTCTTCACTGTTTTGAAGTGAAACCAAATGTCTCCCACCTTCGGAGCACCTTCTCCTGGACTTCAGCAGGGAACGACTCTTTGAAATCCGCAGCTTCCCAATCCCGTCCGGCGTTATATTCCGTCGGCATCAGGCAATCTGAGACGACCTTGCCGCCCATACGCTTGTCGCCGTTACCGTGTGACATGTATGGGATCAGAGGGAAGCCACGGACGTCTTCAAAGTGGTACTCGTCCAAGCCAGGTCGGCAACGCGTGCAGAAAGCCCAGATGACGTCCTTGAAATCGTACACGTCGATGTCGTCTCCGACAATGACGAGGCGGTGAATTGTGTAGCCCACTTTGTCGTTGAAGACGATGTCACCGATTTTCCGGCAGAAATCCTTGGCGTTAGTCCCCATGGCGCGAAGCTTCTCAGTGTCGACTTGAAGAGCGACCCATGTCACCTGCGACTCAAACGGGGAGAAGGCTTCCTTGATGGGGAGACCCTGCGATTTGAGGAGGAATCCGATCTCGGCAGCAGCCAAGGGGCCGATCATGGTGTGCTATCCTTATAGTCAGCTACTCTGTTGCAGTAAGTGAGTTGCAGACTGGCCAGCTTACCGTCTCGTCAGTCAACCGGCCGCAGTTACAGACGGGCAGAATGGCATCCTTGCGATGCGTGATGAGATCAACTCTGTACTTTGGCTGCGCGTGTGCATCGCCAGGGAACACGTAACTATGAACAGATGTCAGTGACTCCCAGCCTAGAAGGAATATCTCGCCAATACGTACCCGTGCATCTCGCCAAACGGCCCTTCGGATGCCGTCTCAGTAGCCGAGCAAATACCCTCAAAAACAATTTCCGAATTGGCAGGAACATACAGCCCGTTGGTGTCACACTTGACAACCTCCAATGGCGTCCCGACCAAGGATCCGATGTATTCCGCCTCGGACAAACCCCCTGGCAAAGGCATGCTCGCTGCCATGATGGCTGCTGGCGGCACGCCAAACACCAACGCCCACGGCATATCTTTGCCTTCCTTCTTCCACATCTGGTGGATCTGCCAGATATGCTGTGGCTCAATGATGAGCCCCGCCAGGTGGTTCTTATCATGCACCATTGCGCGAGCGATGGACCAGTTGGTCCACTTGCCGTCGGGAGACTGGACAATATGCATGCCGTACGTCTGAATGTACTTTCCTCCGTCTGACATGTGGAGCATCGGGGCAGGTAGCTTCGTGAGATCGAACTGGTCAGGCGTCAAGCGGAACTCCTTACACGAACCGGACTCGACGACGACGGGTGGAATCGGGGCAGCACTCTTCGCGGCGACCATCTTGTCGAGAATCTCTTTCATGCTCGACGTAGGTGGTAGCCCTAGATGTCTCGCCAAACGCCCGAAGCGCTGATGGGCATCGGCGCGTAGCGAGTTAGGCGCGCCGAGAATGCGCCAGAAGCCGTCGGCATCTTGGCCTTTGAGCTTGTTGAAGAGCGGGGCGCGCTCATCGTTTTCGACGACTTTGCGGATGACGGCACCGACTTCGAGGTTGGGGTCGCATTCTTCGTTGATTTCGACGAGGTCGCCGTCGCTTTTGAGTGATTCAACGAAGGAGCGGAAGTTCATGTGTGGGAGGTCTTGGGGATTTGTAGATGACATTTTGGATGATGATATTCTTCGAATTTTCGAAGGTCGATTGTGATGGATAAGATTACAGTGGACAATGAAAGGCGCTAGAATATTAATTCTATTTGTCTCACAAAATGTTCAACCTCTGAGACGGCCGAGACATATCTATATCTTGCGTCAAGAACAGTGAAGAGCGAGCCTTCCGAAGTCGCCGAGATACACTGCGCTCCGAAATCTCCGGCCCCATGAGCGGGTCATCCACGGAGTGAAGCTCGTCGAGTGAGCTCATTATGGGTAAAGTGAAAATCGGACAGTTCGGGCTTGCTGGTACTTTCATGATTCCCCGAAATCGCCGAGAGACACTTATTTCAAGCTTCACAAATATGAAAGTATGGCATGGCCTTTGAGGTCTCGTACGACAACTCTAAGACACGTTCTCAATTCTAAAGTTCCGCAAAATCAGACTGTGCCAAATTCATAACCTATTATTAAGACTAAAACTATTAGACTCTATCATCGAACCTAGCACTTTTTCAAATTACTACCAAATACCACAACTATGAAGGAGACGACACCACGCAAGAAAATCATTGTCGCCATCACAGGCGCGACAGGCGCCCAAATTGGCATTCACATACTCCAAACCCTACGCCGCCTCAACGTCGAAACGCACATAATCATCAGCAAATGGGCCGCCGAAACGATAAAATGGGAAACGGACTACACCCCGGCCGCGGTCAAGGCCCTTGCAGACCACTCCTACAGTTCCCATGACCTCGCCGCGCCGATTGCGAGCGGGTCCTACCGCGTGGATGGCATGATCATCGCGCCTTGCTCCGTCAAGACGCTGGCGGCGATAAATGCGGGCATATGTGATGATTTGGTGACGAGGGCAGCGGATGTGTGTTTGAAGGAGAGAAAAAGGCTAGTTTTATCCGTACGGGAGACTCCGTTCAGCGAGATTCACTTGAGGAATATGATGGAGGTGACGAGAGCGGGGGCCATTATTGCGCCGCCGGTGGTCGGGTTTTATACGAGACCGTCGTCTATTAATGATATTCTCGATCAGATGGTGGGGAGGTTGCTTGATCTGTTTGACTTGGATGCGAGGAATTTTGAGAGATGGGATGGCATGCAGAAGAGTACCACGTGTAGTAAATGAACAGGAGTTGTATACAAGTTGCTATTTTATATATAATCAAGGTAAGCCCGTTGATGTGCTTGAAACCCTTGTCGAAAGTCTTACATTTATTGTATGCAATACTATATATATTGACGTTTTTATAGTCAGTCGTAATTAGTCTAGGCCGTCAACGCCCCCATGGCATTGTCAGTGACCAATCTATTAAAGCTGGAGCATCTTCTTCTGCAGTCTGCGAGACGATCACAGAACCCAGGCGTTGAAATAATCAAGCCTGCCCGTTCCCAAGATCTTGAATGCAATACATCTTCATGGTGTCGGTATCCAAATCCTCACGAGACGGTGTCACCATTTTTTCGATAAATGAAACAACCGCTCGCATTGTTAAACACGTTGAGAAGTGTCAGAATGTCGGTAGCTTCCATAGAGGGCGCAGAGTAAGGCTCATCGCTCATGCTAATATTAAATTAATCCATCAGCCTCGCCATCATCTAGCACGGCAGTTGTTCGCTGGCATTCGTGTTCTTCATCGATTGAGGCTGGGGTTATCCTAGCTAACGAAATAAATGCTGCTTCTACCGCGACCTGGCTCAGCCCCCCGAATCCGAACAACCCGAGGTCTAGCTGATCAGCATCCGTTTGCTCCCACATGGCAACCTACTGTGAAGAGCTGAATTGTGAGACCAACTAGAACGACATCCCACTGAAGCGATGGCCAGGGCTAAGAGAGTGTCACGATTCTTAGAAGAGCAGTCACTGATCTGGTGTTCGCAATCTCTGTCTCACATACCAAGACCCGCTGAGCCTGCGGTGGTCCGGGCACACTCACTCGGATCAATCGAGCCGGTAACTTGCCCGGTCATAGCGTCTCTTTAAGCCACATACATACAAGAGTTTCGTGTATGCCACCGCACTGGGAGGTCGTCCCGGTTGCTTGAGTTTCTTGGCCACGCCTGTTTGCGCCGACACATATCACGTAGAGAAGCTGGAGGCAACCTGCGGCCTCATTGGGATGATATCAAAGATCATATCACGCAGGAAACCCAAAGATGTGAGAAGATACTTTTCTACATAGAAGTCTGTATCGTATTCGGTAGTGGAATCGCGTATATCAAGCTGAGCATGTAGTTTTGTGGCGAGTGCCTGTGGTTGCGACTTGAAGCGGGAGGGGTTGGTGGGCAAACGTCGTTCTAGGCGAGTCAGGTAATCGCCCCGCTCATTCGGGTATTTGCGGGGCAAGAAAATTTTCGAAGCGAGTCGTTTTCCTACAGCGGTGCTGGTATGACGAATCGCTGACAACAACTCGGACGTTCCGATTCAGTCATTGAAACCCCGGCGTGGCTCAATACCTACCTGAAGCCATATGCGAAGAATGCGAAGGGACCCGAATCTTCAGAACCAGCTACTTGACAACTTTGAGTCGCCTCGGATCATGTCCCAATCCCCCCGACCAGCAGAAGGAAGCCGAAGAAGGCTTCCCAAGTCTAAGACTGGCTGTCGAACCTGTAAGAAGCGAAAGGTCAAAGTGCGGCTCCCTGACTATAGCCAGCGGACTGACGGATGAGCTACTAACGCTGCGCTGGCAGTGCGACGAAGGCCGTCCCGCATGCCGGAACTGCGTGAAACATGGCGTTGAGTGTGATTTGATCATACATGAACCGGCACCAAGCAACCCGAGCTCAGTGGGTCCTTCAACCCAGATGAGTCTCTGCGACCACGAATTCTCTGGAGGGTTCAAACTCAACGATCTTGAGTTGCTTCATCATTACACGACGTCAGCATGCCTTACCTTTTCGACCGACCCAATGATTCGCAACTTCTGGCGGGTAAATGTTCCCCAGATAGGATTCGACACACCATACATTTTGAAAGGCTTGCTCTCGCTTTCCGCTCTGCATTTGGCGAAATTCAGGTCGGAACGTAAGGACTTTTACATTGCCGAGGCTCTCCTTCAGCACAACGCGGCTTTGACTTCGGTGCTGCCACTATTGTCAACAATCACTGCCGAGAATTGCATGCAGCTCTTCTTGTTCAGCAGCCTTACAAACTATGTCGCATTTGGGAAGCCGAGAGAGCCGGATAGCTTTCTTCTCGCCAGACATGGGGTCTTGCCCGAATGGTTAATGATATTTCGTGGTGTTCGTGCCGTGATGGAGACAGAGCAAGCCATCCTATGTCGATCCCCTGTGGCGGCTATGCTCGAGACGGGCTTCACAACGCATCGTTACTGGATCTCGCATACATTCGAAAACGAAGCTCTGAGAGCGCTGGAGACGAGCATCCGAGATACCATGCAAGATGAGCCCGAGCACTTGCACGCAATGATGCTAGCAATGGATGATTTGAAGCGGAGCTACGCGATAGTTTATGGAGGTCCCCAGTTAAAGGCCCAGTCAGACGACGACAAGGTCCGGGGAATCTTTATTTGGCTCTATAAAATCACTGACGAGTTTATAGCTCTGGTTGCACAAGGCAATAGCGAAGCTCTCTGCATCCTTGCGTACTTCTGCGTCCTGATGCGGCGTTTGGACTTTTTGTGGTGGATGGAAGGCTGGGGCTTACATCTGATCGAGAGCATATACTCTCGGCTCAATGACAGCTATAGATGTTGGATCAGGTGGGCAATAGAAGAGACAGGCTGGGTCCCTGGTTCCAGAAGTCTTTCATCTTTTTGAAACGTATGGGGTCCAATTTTGCCTCCGGTTCCTCTCAAATGAGCTGGACAGTCACAACTTAATCTCACCGATGTTTTCAACTGGGTTCGGCGGCCGGTCGGGTACCAGTACAACAAGCGACAACTACGTTTATATGTATTGCGATTATGCAGTGCGATTTAATACAGACTACTATACACAAGCAAAGAACCAAAACGTCCGTGGTAGGCGAAATCGTTCTCATACCATGTTATTCCCTGTCCTTCCTCACCCAGCCTAAGTCCCTGTGCATGGGTTATGCATGCTCACATCAACGAGTCACTCGCTTGAATGACGTGGCTCTGACTCCCGGCAAGAGTCCTTCATCATCTGCGGATGGCAGAGGGAAGCCTAACAAACCCTCCAACGCCAAGGGAAGAGGGTGTGAGCCCGAGCTCTCGAGTGCACCGATTATCGTTTTGAGATAATTCCACCGCGTTGTCGGCACGATTGCTGTCACATTGTTCTTCCCAGGCCGGAGGTAAGATGATAGATCAGCCGTGGCGTGAGTTGTGTCCAGCGTAGGTAGCTCTACACCATTAACTTGCACGCGCAATAGTGCAGCACCTTATCAAATGAGATATAAGCCCCAAGTGCACTCGAGCTAGTACTTGTTGCGGTGATCCGCCAAGTGAAGGTCGAGGTGTAATATCCGATGCCTGAGGTATTCACCAGCGCTAAGATTTCAGCCCAAGAACTGAGCGACGGCAGTGAATGTGTCGTGTTGAACCTTTCGATAGGCTAGGTGGCGTCGGAAATATCGGATGGTGCTTCCCAATGTTCTGCGACCAACTCACACTCTGTCAATTCGAATGCTGCTGGGACGCTAGAACCTGAGACTGGACAGGCTTGATGTTGTACTTGAACAGTTCTTGAAACCTTGTAGGCAACGAACGCGACCATGTGATGTTTACAAGAAGCTCCGGACTGTCTTCTCACGCTGTCCCATTGTGAGCGACCCTTGAGGAACATGAAACGACACGGGAGGATCCAAATAGGCATCAGAGTAGTGAGTTGAGGCTCACCATAATGGCCAACTCGCCGCACTTGTTCCCGAATTCAATCAACCAATATGTACTCTTCACAGGAATTGATGGCTGTCTCTGCGCTGATGGCATCGAAATGGCCGAAGACATAGGAGCCCACGTCAAAAATCGAGTTAAAGATACTTGTGAATTGCAGGTTTTTGCTACCAAAGGATACGAGCTCACCAGCTCCCCGGCCTGGTACGACGCCTGAAAAGGACCCATTCTCTGGCACGGCGGCTGTAAAAGGAACCTACGTGACTCAGTATGAAATCATCTTACTCGAAGGGTAGATATTTCTAGATTCCATTGCAAACCAGGATTATCCGGAGTTGCAGGCATGCCTTGTCCTTGGTTCGGACTCAGTGAGAATTCCATCACGCGCCCATTTTCCTCGTGAGCAGTGAGTGCTGCTGCAAAGATGTTGCGAAAAGGGACTGCGCCAAAGTTGTACGTAGCCCAGTCTGCGCCAGCAGGCAAGGACCCGAGCTCCCCTCCATATTCAAAAAGTGAGAGCAACTCGATGCCTCCAGCACCAATCGAGCCAGCAGCTGCGATATCAGCAGCTACAGTGTCGGCATCCACACTGGCATCAGGCAGCCAATAGCGAAACCTTGGACGGACATTTGCACCTGGGTTGGCGAAGCTTCCGGCGCTGATCTGTATTTCTGTCTGAAGATTACTCATATATTGACGGAGAGGTACAGCTGTAAATATCAAAGCAAGGTTCTTGAGGGGCCATTGGGCTTGGTAGTAGGACCCCATCGTTGTTGGCGGGTTGCTTCGACCATGTGACGCGCAATTCGAGATGAGAGCTGGGTGACTCGCCGACTTTGATAGTGGCGAATAGAATGTGAACATTGAGCTACTCACGGTGTAGCAGTCATGTTTATAAGCGCATCAGACCAGATGAATTGCACCTCGGTCAGCGATCGATTAGGGGAGTGGGCACTACACGATCAACGAACTGGCTTGATGTGCATACTAGTAGCCGCATCTAGCAGTGGTGCTTTTTTCGGAGTAACCGTTGTCAAGAGCGCAATTCACTCAAGCCCTTTGCAGCTCTCGGATCATGTAGGCAGCTGTATGAGGAAGAGATTACATCACAGCAGCGATGGTAATCTCGGGTTTGACCCGAGGACGCGAAGACTGGTCGGGTCCTGGCTCCATACTATGGCAGAACCGCTTGGCTGCAGCCCACAACGGGCGGGGCCGCCTGGATCAGGGGCCACGGCAGGCACTGACATTGACCACGGCTCAATGCTCGAATTCTAAAGGGCTTAATCGCATTGCGACAATTGCGATGGCACGCATGCGAGTTGGCATGTTGGCATGAAGATGGTGCCCGCGTTAGTGGCCTGTGCGCTCCGTCGAAAGCTGTGTGCGTCGCCGCGTGAGGCTAGCCTTGGTGTGCTATACAGGGCTAGCTGTACTCATTTGCTCGTGCTTCAGACTTTTATTTTGAACGTAAATGAGCCACCATCTTCCAAGCCTTTCCCGTCATCTGTAGCAATCTACTATACTTTGTATGTATACGGATCTTTCGCCTGCATTGTGGTTGCAACGCAAAGGGCCACTTTACGCCTGAGACTCGAGTATCTTGGCAGAAGCTATGCGCCTCTCAGCCCTCGGGCAGATCTGGTTCCTTGAATCCTTGGCGTGTTATGTGCAGGCATCAGGAGCTGTGGTACAGGCCGGCGGGGTGGAGTACCATGGACTACAAAATTCCACTGCCAGGTAACCGCTTCATTTGAACGCCGGCGAGGATTTGCTTACTCAGATCATGATGCAGAATTAACTCATTCTACGGCATCCGCTACGCCAGTGCACCCACCTCATATCTGAGATGGAGACCACCAGTGCCCATCAAAACTCGCAGCGAGCGAGTCATTATCGATGCCCGCAGACGTGGGCCAGTATGTCCCCAGAGCTATCCGCCATGGACCCCAGCCGCTTTGTCGAGTGCAAGAGAAGATGAGGATTGCTTGTTGCTGGACATTGTGGCACCCACGGTAGCAACGTCCGACAAGCTACCAGTCATGGTTCAGATTCATGGAGGAGGTCAGTTTTATTGTGTTCTTCAAACTGCGCTCGCGATCCCCTGACCATCGTTTTAGGATACGTTGGTGGCAGCGCAGCCTCCGCCCCTGGAGCCAGCTTAGTTCACCAAGCAAATGGCACGCTGATCTATGTGGCCATCCAGTATCGCCTTGGACCTCTTGGCTTCCTGGCTGGGGACCAAATTGCCGCAAACGGTTCTTGGAACGGCGGTCTTCTCGATCAAAGGGCTGCGCTAGACTGGGTCCAACAGAATATTCACTTCTTCGGTGGTGATCCTGAAAAGGTCACCATTGTCGGAGGAAGTGCTGGCGGTGCTTCGGCAAGCTTGCAAATGATGATGTATGGTGGCTCAGCACGATCTTTATTCCGTGCCGCTGTACTAGGTGATCTCGCTCTCTGGAAAATGAGATGTTCTTCACTAACTAGATGCAGAATATCCATGGTGGACCCCTATGTTGGATCAAGCTCAACTCAACAAACAATACGACACGTTTATACAAACCACTAATTGCACGTCCTTGGACTGTTTACGGCAATTACCGTTGTCAACCATCAAACTCGCAACCCAAGAGTCATATGAGTGTAGCTACCACTCCGGGGATTTTGCGTATGGAACTTACTACTGGGGCCCAGCTGTTGATGGCCACATTCTTCACGAACGCCCATTGGAGGCGTTCAGCCGGGGTCATTTTCATAAGGTACCTATCCTCATCAATCGTGATGGCAACGAAGGCTTTACTTTCTCAAACACGTCTATAGCCACGGAAGATGAGGTGATTTCGGATCTCAAATGCTCGTGGCCAAATGAGACATTCCTCGCTGAATCACTGACGCTATATCCCGGATTGTTATACAACACCAGTATGATCGAAGACTTGACCGCTATTCAAGCTCTTGAAGCTGCTTCAGGTGTCGACCTGCCCCTGAGCAATGCATTCGTTCAGAGAGAATCACTATTTGGTGATGCTCTGGTCAATTGTCCAACCAGATACATCGCCGAGGCAGCATCTAAAGCGGAATTGGCGACTTACAAGATGGTCTTTGACTCGGGAATTCAATTCCATGGCTCAACGCAACAGTTTTTGTATTCGGATACCGTTAATCGTGAGTCTCTGCAAGATGTCAAGAAGATTGTCAACGGACCCTTGCTAATTACGAGCGATTGAACAGCAACGGGTGACACCTCCTTTGGTTCTGTCACCATCCCTGGGAATGGCACTCTAGCCATTATTATGAGAGATTACTTCATATCTTTTGCTGTTACTCTGGACCCAAATTCAGCTCTTTCATCATCAAGAGCTAGACCTGTGTGGCCAGGATACCAGTCAACAAATGACACTACTGCTATCTTGCGCGTCCAGAACAATGGTATTACGATCAGCAAAGACCCGGATATCAATGCGCATTGCCAATGGCTCGCGTTCTCTGCACCTTATTTGGAGAGAATCTGAGGAACCGGAATACCGACAAATGCGCTGAGAGACTTTGTTTTCATTCAGGCGACGAGGAAAAGTGCCTGTACATAGCAACTCAATCAAATCATGAAAAGTGACTACTGAGTTCACGACGACCTGAGTTTTCATGAGTGAATGCATAGTCTTTAAACATGCCTTACATGTGTCGCACTACGCACTTGGCCGCATATAGACTGTCCGTATAAGCCCCCATTATAAGACACAAGGCCTTAGAGACACGTTGATACGATGCAATTGCTGCTGTGTTCGGAGAACGCCGCGCAGCCATGGGAAGAGGGTTTCCTTCAGTCCGAGTACCGATTGCCCCGGATGGTACAGGTTTTGCGAGAGATACGTTCAGTGGGCATGGCAACCCGCAATAATGGACGCGACCTCGGAATTACAAAGTCAAGTCTACGACCAAGGTCGGAGGTGCGTCATTGCCCAAATGATCGCATCACCACAAGAGGAAGGTCGCTGCATCACAACGGGACATGCCAACAGACACCAAGAGTGTGGACCGGTCAATAAAAGCCCGAATCAAACAACCCACATGCCGCTACGATGTCACAGCAGCCCCAGGCAACCGGCAGTGCTCCAAGCCTCCAAATGGAGTGACAATGCACGAGGTTGGCAGGGCCCGTAAAAGGGGACCTCCAGGACTACACTAAGAATCCGAGGAACCCGAGGGACTGCGTTACATTCAAGCCTGGGCTAATCAACAAGAACAGCGGGGCTGAGCTTTACAAGGATTAGACCCCTCAATCTATCACTCTCTTTCGTATAGGGTACTGACTACTCATCCCGGTGCAAGGACACAAGATCTGTATAAGAACGTATCAGAGACTTCTGAAAATTAGAAATGTAATTCGGGTTGCCACTATGTCAGCCTGTCGATTGCCTGGTACTCAAGATGGCGTCCTTCAAAGTGCTTTGGCAGGCGATCCTGCTCTGCATGCTCAATTTAAATTTAACTCTGGCCTTCGATCACATGCCGGGCGCCAATCAAAGTACAAACGAACTTTTTCAAGACATTGTCACCTGGGATGAGTTTTCTGTCATGGTGCGCGGCGAACGCGTGTTATTTTTGTCCGGAGAATTCCACCCGTTTCGGTTGCCGTCTCCCGGCCTCTGGCTCGACGTGTTCCAGAAGATCAAAGCTGTCGGCTTCTCTGGCGTTTCTTTCTATACTAATTGGGCCCTCCTTGAAGGCACACCTGGGGTATTTCGAGCAGATGGAGTATTTGCACTCGAACAGTTTTTCGATGCCGCAACTGAGGCTGGCATTTACCTCCTTGCCCGGCCTGGGCCATACATCAATTCAGAGGTTTCTGGTGGAGGATATCCGGGTTGGACTTCTCGCATCAAGGGACCGGTCAGGACGAACGCTACTGACTGGCTCGATGCGACAAGAAACTACATCAACAACATCGGTGCCATAATTAGCAAGGCGCAGATCACCAACGGCGGCCCAATCATCCTGTTCCAACCCGAGAATGAATACACCATCTGCGCTGCAGCACTGGCTGGCGCGGGACTCGATTCGATCGGAGACTTGAGTACCTGCCTCAACCACTACTACATGGCTGATGTGGAGGCTATGTGGCGCGAAGCCGGCATAGTCCTTCCTTACTTGATCAACGACGCTGTGCCGGTTGGCAACTTCGTGCCTGGTTCAGGCGTTGGCGCTGGAGACATTTATGGCTTTGATGGATATCCCTTGGGCTGGGGAGAACCTTGTAAGATGAAAAGACGGTGATCAGTGTCTTCAAGGACTAACATTGTGTTTGTCATGCAGGTTTGAATCCTTCGAATTGGGGCAGGGAAAACGCGATTTTCCCAGCGCAACTTACCAACTTCACGATCCATATGCAGATGAGCCCCAGCTCACCGTTTTCCATTGTTGAATTTCAGGGAGGAACAGCAGAGCCATGGTACGTACCAGTATACCTGGATCCTTTGTTTCTATTTCGCTGACACATTTGTAGGGGGGGAGCTGGCGTGGACGCATGTGCATCCTTGCTTAATAACGAGTTCGAGAGAGTCATTTATAAAGTTGTGTACGGCTTTCGCACTACTGTGCTTAACTTGTACATGGTGAGTTTGACCAGCCTTTGCTGTTTCCAGTCGATGATTCGCTAAGTGCTAGGTAGATGTTTGGAGGCACAAACTGGGGAAACCTCGGCCATCCCATGGGGTACACTTCGTACGATGTTGGCGCCGCCATTGCAGAGGACCGCCAAGTGAATAGAGAGAAGTACAGCGAGTTGAAATTGCAAGCAAACTTCCTCCGAGTTTCTCCTGCCTATCAAACATCCATGCCATCAGAAGGCACATTTGGCATATTCACCGACACGAGTGAGCTCGTGACGACTGAGCTCGCTCCAACAGGAACTGGCGGAACCTTCTACATCGTCAGGCATAGCGATTGGACATCTCAAGCCACTGCCAATTATTCCCTGCGCATTAATTCCAGCGGTCGGAACTTGACGATCCCCCAGCTGGGTGGCTGGCTTTCTCTTCCAGGCCGCGATTCCAAGATCCACGTGGTCGACTACGACCTCGGCGGCGTGATACTGCACTATTCTTCGGCAGAATTGTTTACTTGGAAGAAGTCACTCTCAAAGACAGTGCTGGTCATGTACGGCGGTATGGATGAAACCCACGAGTTCGCTGTTCCTTCGGAATTAGGCTTGCCTACCAGGGTTGAAGGCGATGGCGTTCGATCAGAGCAGCAATCTGAGTCTACTGTCATCCAATGGGACGTCCAACCATCGCGCCGTGTCGTCCATTTTGGTAAGGCCCTGGAAGTCCATTTACTCTGGAGGAATGAAGCCTATCAGTATTGGGTCCTTGATCTGCCCAGGCCTAACCCAGTCGGCAACTTCGTCTCTGCAGCTCGGATCAATGATACAGACGCGTCAGTTATTGTCAAGGCCGGTTACCTCTTACGCAATGCGACGGTCGCTGCAAATTCTTTACAGCTCTGGGGAGACGTTAACCAGACTACCGTTATAGAAGTCATCGCAGCACCCTTGACCACTGGGGCAACGTTGTTCTTGAACGGCGAGCAAGTGCAAGATGCGCATTTCGTGGAAGGCCGCCTAACTGGAACTGTTACATACTCGGAGCCAGAAATCATCCTACCCGACTTCACCATAGCCGAGTGGAAATATGTCGACTCTCTGCCTGAGATTGGGCATGATTTCGATGATCAATCCTGGACACTTCTCGACATAACCGAGACCAACAACACGCGCGCCCTCACTACTCCGACTTCCCTCTACGCAAGTGACTACGGGTTCCACAGTGGATCCCTCATCTACCGTGGTCATTTCAAAGCTACAGGCAATGAGACCAGCCTGTTCCTTTCCGTTTCGGGTGGCAATGCGTTTAGTCATTCCGTGTGGTTGAACTCTACGTATCTGGGCTCCTGGGTCGGCAATCCTGCCGAGTCAATCCACAACCAGACTTTTCCTTTCGCGTCTGCTCTCAGGCCAAATAGCAACTATGTGGTGACTATCTTGATCGACCATATGGGCCTGACTCAAAATACCTATATTGGGGTAGAAGGTGTCAAGGAACCACGTGGCATTCTTGACTACTCACTCTCGGGCCATGCACAATCTGACATTACCTGGAGGTTGACCGGAAACGTCGGCGGAGAAGATTATTTCGACCTCAGCCGCGGCCCTCGGAACGAGGGAGCCATGTTTGCAGAGCGTCAGGGCTACCATCTCCCAGGTGCGCCTCTGCAGGGTATGGAAACAAAATCCCCCATCACCAAAGGTGTTGAGGGCGTTGGTATTGAGTTCTATGCTACCACATTCGAGTTGAATATGCCCAAAGGCTACGATGTTCCGTTGTCTTTCGTTTTCAAAAACGCATCCCAAGCACTGAATGGCACTCAGGCAGCGGCATACCGCGTCCAGCTCTTTGTCAATGGTTGGCAATACGGTGAATATGGTAAGACGACTTGCCCCAAACCCGGCGTTCTCAAGGCAAGAGCTAATTGGTGATAGTGAACAATATTGGCCCTCAGGTATCGTATCCAGTACCGGAAGGCATTCTCAATTATGATGGAAAGAACTACTTTGCATTGACTTTGTGGTCATTGGAGCCCAGTGGTGCGAAGCTTGCTGGGCTTTCTTTGGAAATGGGCACGCCAATACAAAGTGGTTACACGAAGCCGCTATTGGTCAACGGAGAATCCTACAGTGAACGATCAGTGTATTGATCTCAGAGAGGTTGTCTCACATAGATCTGCTGTCGTCGTGCGATTTTATCATTCCCATATTCAACGGAATGTCGGTAACTTATATTCTCGTTCGAAACCTCTATGGATATACACATCAAAGAATTTCGAATCATGTAAATAATTCTCAATCAAAGAAATTTTGTTTTAGCTCTATAGTAAACAAATAACTTCTCTTCTGCCAAAATATAGCAGAGCGTCAATTTACTCCACTGAAATCAATTTAGTTCCACTAAAATTTATTTAATATCAATTACATCCATTCCGCTAAGTCAATAAACCAATTAATTACATTCCATTAAGCTATCCAGTAAATGTAACTAAATGGATTTAAGTAGATTAAGGGGGGGAGGGGGGGGGGGAATATGTAGACTTTATTTTCTTTTCTCTTTTACTCTTCCCTTTTCCCTCTCATTATCTTATTTTTCCTAAGGCGAAGCCCTAAACCCTCTTAAATTACACTGGAAGGCTTTTTGAATCAATTTAATCACATTGATCGCTAAAGGTCTTCCATTCCATTACATTATAAGGTTCAGTGGATGTAATTGAATTGGTTGACACTCTGAAATCTAGAAGTGTTTGATATTCGTGGATACAAGTTGACGAACAGAAAAATGTGGTTCCAGAAGCACTTTCCAAGGACAAAATTTGACCGCTAGTACTGTATCTGTGGGTTACTGACCGTTGTATCAAGTCAACTATATACCTATTGCATAGTATTGCAAGAATTATATCTCTTGTGAATTCTAAGAAGTTTATGTGCGAGCCTTTCAATCTCCCCCCTTGCAATAATCGAGTTCTATCAATACCTCTCTACCCATACAAAAGAGAACCCCCGAGTTTTACTTGCGGACAGCTTGCAGCTGACTAGGGTAACGCACAAAGAAGGCTGCCATGGTAAATGTCATCAAGGTAGCATCAAAGACGTAAACTCCCCATTCTACGCTCAAAAGATAGCCCCCGCTTCCCATAGCATACTCGATGGCTCGGAAAATATTCCGGATCATGACGAAAGCGGACGTCAAGTAAAGCATGGCCAATGTTGACTGCCAAGGGACGTGGTCTGATTTTTGAGCTCCGGTGTCACGCCTGAATTTGATGTGAAACATCAGGGCTGTGATGATGAAGAGGCCAAAAATAACGATTTGGAAAATCAAACCGCCGACAATGACATGCCCACCCATCGCAGGGTCTATGCTGCTTTTTCCCATGCCAGCTTGGACCCTGAGACCAGCACCGCTCGCCTGGATGATGAAACTGAAAACGTCGCCGAACACGAAAATGCGTGTAAGCCATCGAGGAGGTATCATGGCGCAATGAGCGGCATCGAGGGCGCGGATCAGTCGGCTAAGCGTCATGTACAATGATGCCGCAAAGAGGATGGGTCCAAGGAGAAGCAGGGTAGATTGCAAGACATATGGGATGAGCTCGCCCGTGGCATTGTATGCCAATGCCCTACCAATGTAGCCTATAGTCTCGACTGAGAGATGACATTAGTAATCTTTTCCCTTCAGGGAAGACTTTGCAAACTTACATATGCCACCCACGACAAAAGGAATGCAGAACCACATTCTGTGAGCGAACATCTTCCAGGTATGTGCCAAGGTGAGAATGCCGAAGAGCACTATGAATATTACGGCGGCTGGGAGACTAGGGACATACTCCCACAGAGGGTACCCATTGTAAGTCTCTAGTGTTGGCATGGCTATCGAGAATGTGAGAGCGCCGGATTGGATGGAAGATCTCGTATTAAGGTTGTCTTGGGAAAGATTAAGAAGTAAGAGAAGTCTGAGAGATTGCAAATAAGTTTTGTGTGTTCGAATAGTGGAAAGGAACAACAGGACTGACGAGCCGTAAGGGTGAAATATATATAGCGAACGATCTGGGCAGGAGCTGAATTCTGGAGAGTGCACCCGTCTGTAAGCAAACTACCCACACATCAGGAATGCAAGGGGTTCCAACTCGAAGGAGCCGAATGTATTTTAAGTCCAAAGCTCTAGCGGACCTAAATATATGCATTCAGTTGAAGTGGTGTTCCCGGTTGGCCCATTCAACGAAGTCAGGTTCAGCATTTCCGCGCTGTGGTGCCTGACGAGAATCGCCGACATAGATGCGAGACAGTGTGAAAATACTGTGCATAATGTTCGCCAAGCCAAATGGCGGTAGACACCGTCAGCCCTCTAGACCCGCTTCATAGGCCTAATTGATATGAGAATCCCCAATTTGATTCGCAATCCTCGCGTTCTTCGCGTTGTTCGCATTCTTCGTTCTCGTTCCTCGCTCTCTTAAATCTCCCAGCCAGCGTTGCAGACAATTGACGACTTTTATCCCGGGTCGTTCCGATTGTACGATGACTTTACGGTAGATCTTGCTTGCAGCAATCGGAGAAAAGACGATGTATATGTGGCTTGGATGCATATCTCACCTTATATCAGGCCAATGTTACAATTCTGCGGAGTAGCAAATTCTTAGAGTCAATTCCCCTCAAAGCCACCGTAGCCATGAAATCTCACTTGACTGCTATGCTCACTTGGGCTCTGTGCGCCTTGGGAGTCTGCGCGACTAATTCTACCTACACTAATCCGATTCTACCGGGCTTTCACTCAGATCCCAGTTGCATCTTCGTTGAATCCTGGAATAGAACCTTTTTTTTGTGCTACCTCTACCTTCTTTTCTTTTCCTGGCATACCCATATATGCCAGCCGGGATCTTCAAACGTGAAGGTTGATCAGCAGTGTATTCAACCGACCCTCTCAATTGCCAGCGTTCGCTACGGAGATCAGTCAAACCAGTGGGGTTTGGGCACCAACCATCCGGTATCGAGATGATACATTCTACGTGACCACTACCTTTGTCGATGATACCAAGAAAATATCGGACAAGTCGCGATGGGACAAGATGACCACGTCCCCTGGGTATGATTCTATTGTCCGAAAATAACACGAATGCCTCCAGCTCGTCATTAAAGTCATATCTCCGCCTTCATGGCCAGAGCGAGGTTGCCAGCATAAACGACACACTGATTTCTGTGCCCGAAGATTGGAGTCAACAGTCAACACGCATGAAAATCCAGTCGATCAATGGCACTCACTACGCATTTTCAGCTGCTCCCAGCCTGCATCAATCCCAGGAACAGACTATTGCATACATCCCCGCTGGCTCTTTAAGAACAACCTACACAGGTTAGTCAAAGATACAGACTCATTAAGTATCTCATTACTAACAGAGAGGCAGATGCACTGGTCGGAGTCTATGCCACTACTAACGGGGGAAATGGAGCACGCCGGTTTACGTGAGTGAATGGAGATGCTATGGTCAAGGACAATTCCGCAACTAGGTCGCAGGCACTTGTTTCACAAGACGTAGTATTTCGGGACTCACCCAAGTGGGACCATTGAATGAATAGGCTCAACCACATACGTGACTCACGGAAATCGCGTCTTGTTTGGGACCATTTCTCTCGATAATGTACTCAAAGGTCTGACGCCCATCGTCACTGTCTTGCGAGTGAGCTTCATTGCAGGGTCACCGGATTCACTGAACTCAGCGCTGATCAGCGCATCCCAAATCATAGACGTGACCGACCCCAAAGCATATACTCGCAATCTGCCACTGATATCTGCATTGGCCTAGTTCTCAGCAGGTGGATTGATACGTCTCAACAATGTAGTTACAAAACACGTATTTGTAAATTGAGGCCACAGGCGTACGCAAAAGGATAGGTATCTCGCGTCGCCGTGAATACCATGTTACCGGGGGAGGATGCCATTGTTGTGTGGGAACCCATATGATCGTCAAATTCATAGTCTAGTAGCTATAAAACTTGGAATCGCTGCCGTCTTATGCTTGGTCCGCCCAAAATACTTTACAAATCATCACATTTTTAGTAGTAGGTATGTGTTAAGTAATCTGTTTGCGGCGGGCGTTATGAAAAGTACAATAACCTGATTTTTTGTTACACCAAACTCATTATCTTGGGTCTTGATCGCCATACGACATGAGCCAATCTGATTTCTATTTATCTCGTTTCTTTCGAAAACATGGAAAATGCGCCTGGTCGTCAACGTCGGATGCGGCATCTGTATCGACGAGGAGGCCCTCTACAACGCGCAGATGTGCAGGGAGTTTGACGATACCACCTCAACATCTTCGAGACAGCCGCTCCCGAAGGAGGTCAAGCTGTGGAAGGTGGAGAGCGACGTCGTCAATGGTTGAGATATCTATCCAATCTTGCTTTATCCTCTATCCAAATCCGTTCTAGTCGCAACCCTGCTAGCGACGGTTTTCTCCGAGGATTTCGAGGCTCGAAACAGAGAGGCGTCTATCTTGCGAGTTATTGTTGATGACGCGGCCTGGGTGAAAAACAATATAGGAAACAGAGACAAGCAGCATCGGAAGAGCGTCTAAACAGTAAAGATACAGCTCCTTGGACATCAGCATTCCATCAGAGCCCGTTATATACTCCGCCACACGGTATACTGATCGTATCATGATCAAGCCGCTCGAGAAGTATAGGACATAGATGAGTTGTTCCCAAGGGGAGACAATCATCAAGGCTGCTCTGGTCGGGCGCTTTGATATGCGACGATGAAAGACTAGGGCGACTATCATGAAAAAGCCAAAGAAGATGATCTGAATAAAGAGTCCGCCGATAATGATATTTTCTCCAAGCTTGACGTCGTCGGCAGACTTGGCTTGCGTCAGCATGCCGCCTCCTGTGAACTGAGTTAATACTTTGCACGCTGCGTAGGGGTCGTGCCAACGTACCTCCACCCTGCGCAAAGAACGAAAGCACATCTCCAAGGACAAAGACTTTGGTGAGCCATCGGGGTCTGATCATAGAATATGAATCGGCTTCAAGGAGGACGACGAGTCGTCCCAGAATCATATATATGGACGCTGCAATGAGCGTGGGTCCTAGAAGGAGAAGGATGGACTGAATGATGTATGGGTTTTTCGTAAAGTTTGGGGACTCAGCCGAGGACATCGCTCGACCAAGATAACCGATGACCTCAACTGTGAGTGTAGTCCATTAATACCTGAGAGATCGAGAGGAGAATCAAGACTGAACGTGGTGATAATTACACCACGTTGGGCAGTGATCGTCGCTGCTGTATCTGAATTGGTCCCGTTTACTTACAGATACATCCAATTATGAATGGAATGAAATACCAAGTTCTCTTCTGCACAAGCATCTTCAGGTGAAGGAGGGTAGATATCCCGAAGCCGGCTATAAAGATGACGGCCGCAGCCATGGATGGCTGATACCGATAGAAAACGAAAGCTGTGGATTCCGCCATTTTGCACACGAACAGACTCAATAGATGGGAGTTAAAAAAGCGCAAAGAGCGAATGAAGCAGTCAAGCAAGGAATGAATTGGAAACAGTCACGATGTTCGTGGATATTTTTCCCAAACACTCTTTGATGCTCGGAAAGGCTGGACTTTATGGGATTCGGATGGTGGGCTGTCTTCCCACCTGCTGGGCAGTGCGAGCCAAAAATACACCAGGTCCTACTAGCATTGAATTAATAACACAAGTAAATTATTAGAAGAAGAGCCAGACCGCAGCATTGCCCTTGAAAATGATGGTGTTTCGAAGTGGAGATGCCGTGATTTTCCCAGTGTCAGTGTGCAAACGGCGCACACTATTGGCATTGTTGACATCTTCGGCTTTCTGCATACAAAAAGCCTTCGAAAGATTGGGCCTGCACTGCCACGACCAACTCCTTGGGAGCACATGAAAGAAGAGCACTTGGCAAGCCAGGCACGTCAATCTCTCCGGGGAAGAAACAGCCTCCCTGGTACGGACATGGTTACCTGTGGCCAGGAGCCGCAGCATTTGTCCCATCACCGCGTTTCTCGCATCCCTCGTATATCTCTCGTTTAGCAGGCTGTAATGGTGCTGTTGTTCTTTTTGTTCTTTTTCAGCTGCAGTCACGCCATGCTCATGACTGCTGTTCACGCGGAGCCCATGGTTGGGTTCCATGCGATATCATGCAACCCCTGTGCCGTACTATGTACGTACCTGAATACACGCGTACAGACGCCTTATCACGACCAATGAGAAGTGGGCTGGTGATCGAATCAGGGGCCGCGGCAGTCACGCCGTATACAATGTGATCTAATTGGTCAATGCGTTGTATACGTGTACGCGTACGAGCTTGCCGGGTCTGTGATCAAGCATCGGGCGTAGGTCCGGACCGCAGCCTGTCTTGCCAATAAAAAATAGCAGGCAAATCTCCACTCGGCTGCGGCACCACCGCCTCATGTACTCCGTACGCCATTGCCCGGCTAGTCACCTCGCAAGAACCCGACCGAAAAATGCGAGCCTGTGGCCAATAGGGGCTATAGATGTGCGCCCTTGCTCAACTGCTGGTCAGGGATGAGAGTGCAGATCCACACCTAGGCCACACGGCACTGTGTGGTGGTCAAGGCGCATGAAGAGAAACGTATTTCGTACGCATCGAGTTAGAACTGCAAAAGTCTGGTGGCCCTGACTGGTACGTTACGAAGAGGTGAGCCCGGATTCAATCCGTGCCTTCAGTGATAGGTGGCTTTAAGTGGATACTTGTCATAGATACTGGTACCGAAAACACTTGGGTGCCGAATGTGCGTCGACAGCGATCAAAAATAGACTCCTGAATACATCGGAAGACATGAATTGGAGAATAAACATCCCTCATTCGCAAAATTTTGTGTCTTTGCTCCCTTCGCACATTCAAACCGCCTATGCGCTATCTGATGTGACTACAGAAAGACACCATCGGTATGAGTGGAGATAAGTCGTCCGCTATGGGCGGCAGCCACGACGGTCCATCCTCTGACAGCGGTTCCGACTATGACGCCCCTCCTTCGTATGAAGCTGCGATTAGCACTGGTTTTCTGGCAGACGCTGCCCGCTCGACAGGTATTGTGCCACATCCCAGTCAACCTCTGGGTTGAGCATCCCTGACTAGCAAGTAGATACCGGCCGAGTCGACGTCGACCCAGACTCGAGAATCTTCAAGACCCTGTCCAGATTCGTGCCCGATTTCAAGACCCCACACGAGGAGCTGCTCGAGGGACAATCCACGGACTTGGCACCAGAGTACGATGGCCCCGGCTGGAAATCGGAAGCTGGTCACAGGACCATTCCGACTGCGCGCCTCAATATCGTGATTCAGGTCGTAGGCAGCCGCGGCGATGTGCAACCGTTCATTGCACTGGGTAACGAACTGCAAAGAGATGGTCACCGTGTACGCCTAGCAACCCACAACACGTTCGAAAAGTTCGTCATCGATTCTGGACTCGAATTTTATCCCATCGGGGGAGATCCAACCGAGCTCATGGCCTACATGGTGAAAAACCCTGGACTGATCCCGAAAATGGATAGTCTTCGGGCCGGTGATATCCAAAGAAAAAGAGAGATGGTAGCAGAAATGCTGGAAGGATGTTGGTGGTCATGTATAAAAGCTGATCCCAAATCGGGTGCTCCGTTCGTTGCTAATGCCATTATCGCCAACCCACCGAGTTTTGCCCACATTCACTGTGCTCAAGCTTTAGGCATACCCCTCCACTTGATGTTCACCATGCCGTGGACCAGCACAAGGATGTTTTCGCATCCTCTAGCTAATCTGAAAAAGAAGAGCAAAGACCAAGGCACCGCCAATTACGTCTCGTTTACTGTTGTTGAGTGGATGACTTGGCAAGGGTAAGTTCACGGTTCAACACCTTTCTGGACTCCTAATTTTAACGTCTTCGACAGACTGGGGGATATCGTCAATGACTGGAGAAAGAGGCGTGACCTGGAGCCTGTTCCGATGACCGAAGGACCAAATTTGGCAGAAACTTTGCAGATACCATTCACATATTGCTGGTCGCCGTCACTGGTTCCCAAACCTTTTGATTGGCCTGCACATATAGGTGAGACCCTTTGCATATTCCTCTAGCACCTCTGCCGCCTCTGCATTGTCTCAAGCTTTATTCCAGATACTAATGCTGCTTGCCAACCGAAGACGTCTGCGGCTTTTTCTTCAGGGATCCGCCACGATACAACCCTCCCGATGAACTTAATCGTTTCTTACGCCAGGGGCCATCCCCCGTATACATCGGCTTTGGCAGCATTGTCATAGACAAGCCTGACGAGATGACGCAGCTGATTCTTGAAGCTGTCAAAACCGCCGGCGTTCGCGCACTTATTTCCAAAGGATGGAGCGGGCTTGGTAAAGAAGAGAGCTCCAATGATCAGGTCATGTACTTGGACGACTGTCCCCATGAATGGTTATTCCAGAACGTTACAGCCGTAGTCCACCATGGCGGGGCCGGCACTACAGCATGTGGTCTTCGTTATGGGAAACCAACTCTTGTAGTGCCGTTCTTTGGCGAGTAAGCTCCCCTATAGTTACTTGTCAATGCATGACTGACTCCGTCACCAGCCAGCCTTTCTGGGGCGATATGATAGCAGCAGCCGGCGCGGGCCCGGAACCTATTCCATACAGATCGCTCACCAGCGCCAGCCTTGCTGAAGCTATCCGATTCTGTTTGCGGCCAGAAGCGCAGACCGCTGCACAATCTATATCAGCCAGCATGAGTCGTGAACAGGGTGTGAAGGCAGCTGTAGCCTCCTTCTATGCCAACCTACCAGTCTCAGATATGTACTGTGACTTGTTGAATGATCAAACGGCTGTATGGGAATATCAACGAAGGGGCAAGCGCCTAAAACTGTCTGGTGTAGCCGCCGAGATTCTCATTAGCCGTCTCAAGGTCGATCGAGACAAGTTGAAGGTGTAAGTTTCAGTTTCCATTCAAGATCAAAGAGTGACAATCAACTTACCACCTATCTTTAGATATGAGCCCAAGGGATTTGTTATCGAGAATCAGCGCTGGGATCCCATAACCGGAACAGCATCTTCTGTAATATCCACTTTTTCTGGCATGGCTCAGTCAACCGCAGATATATTCGTGAAACCTGCTCAAGTCCGTCGCGTCGGTAGCAGTCCCCAACTTCAAGCTCCTTGCGGGACACATGAAGCTCAAGACTTCAGATCGGCTGAATCCCATGGAAAAAGTTCGTTCTCAAGTTCCCGCGGTCAAGGCGATTCAATGAGCGACATGGCGTCCGTCAATGGTCACACCTCATCCAGACACAAGTCTCATGGCAGGCAAAACGTGGCTGTGTCAATGGCCCATGCATCTGCCCTAGGTGTTGGTGGATTCTTCAAGCATTATACCAAAGGAGTCTTCGTCGACATGCCCCTTGCCTTTGCAGAAGGGTCTCGAGCTCTGCCAAAGTTGTATGGTGAAGAAGTGCGGGATTATGGGACCGTTAAGGACTGGAAATCAGGGTTCGTCAAGTCAGGTAAAACTCTGACCCTCGGCATCGGGGAAGGTTTCGCAGATCTCATTGTTCAACCATACAAGGGTGTGAAGCAGAAGGGTGCTGTTGGAGGGATCACGGGGATCGGCAAGGGCGTGTTGAGTTTCTCTTCCAATGTTTCATCTGGTAAGTCCATACAGTCTTTTTTCGTGTCTCTGGGCCCATTGCCTCTCTCTTCTGCCAGTTGACGGTATACTAAATTCTCAATGTAGCGGCCATGGGTATTGTAGCATACCCAAGTCTTGGTATCTACAAAAGTATCCGCTCCACGTTCAGGGACAAGACTAGACTTGCAATCGCGCAGGCTAGACACGAAGAAGGACGCTTTGTACTCCAGGGAATGGGTGATGAGAGTCCGGGTGTCAAAATTGTGCTAGATCAGTTCTCAAACTTCACATTATACAAGTAATCTAAAGGCTAAAATCGAGTCTATTACCTACGAGAAGCGTCTGTGCGCGTCCCCTCTTACTTGATGCATGGGGTGTTTGGGGGCTAATCACTGACAAGTGAGGCCGTCTTAGGAAATCACGGCTACGGCTGACAAGAGCCTCTTGACGCCGAGGAACAAATTTCTCTCTGTTCACAAGAGGTTTTGTGCTAAAGGAGTCGATGAGCATGATATCTTTCGTGTTGATGGGGCCCTGCTACGTAATTAATTACACCGTGGCCTGGTCAGATGGATGATTAGGGAAAGTTCCGTTTTATTTCCAGCCTAATAGTCCTTTCATCCAAGTCGACTGCGCACGTTGTATACACTTCCGGCGGGATGGTGTAAAGCTTGAAGTCGAATGTGACCGGCTTGAGCAGATGTTTTCTATGTAGGCCGCCCAGAATTCGCACGCAAATTTTTCAATGTTCGCCAAATATTCAGAGAGGCAAAATGTTCGTATTCAACATCCAAGGACCATTCGGTGTTGCTGGAAACTTGGCTCAGACCTGGTATACCAGTACTTCATCAATATTGCGCCTGGTGTCGATCTCGTTCTGATTGTAGCAATATCAATTTGCTTGGATGACAGAGAGATGAGAAGCAGCCGGGCAGGCTCACCGGACCGCTCCGCCACTTGGGTCGGTTGTTGTTGTGCAACGCAAAATGGGTCGGTCGGCTAACATGACCACTAGGTGTTGTTGTATCTTAAAGAGATTGACCCTGTCGCGTTGAGGACAGTCTCTCGTCGCTGTCATCAAGTTGTGCTCGCGAAAGATTGGAGCCACTCCGGGGTCTCTGCGACGTATCATACCTTACCTACTTGTCGCTCTGGATGCTAATGGGCTCAACCAGGCCCGCTTACCGTATGGTATTTCTTTACCTTTGCACGTAACTCATTACCTCCATCTGCCCAGGCTTCGTACGTTAGATGCATAGGGTGATGCCTTGGCACTTCAGTCGAATGTCTACACGAAACAAGGCGAATTGCCGTTTGGGGTCTCGGAGCTTGCGTGACTGTCAAATAGGAAGTGGATCTGCTCCATGACCCACTCTGAAGCGCCCGCCAAGCCTTGCGCGCCGTCCTCCGTAGATGTATGCGGACAGCCGTGGGGCCAACCAAGACTTGGGCAATCCGGCCCACCCTTGTACTTCGATATTGCGCCGCCCCTGAGATATCTCCAAGCCCCGGGTCGGGGAATCGGTCGTGTTTCTCCGCGAGCCACCGCGCATTGTGACGACACATCAGGCAAGCAAGACGTGTCACCGGGCCCGCAGGCCGAATAACCTCAAGCCTGTCCAGGGCTCATGGCTTTGCGGGGACGCAGCGGCTTCGAACATCGCAGCACCGGAGGGATGCTTCCGAAAGCTCACCAAGCCCATGCCCACATGCATGTTTCGTCGACTGCAAAACCTTGCAATCACGGATGAGGTGGAATGCCCAGGCGGTTCAAAGGACCGGCTCAAAACTCAAAGATTCTGGGATTGTCCAACACGAAGCTGGAGGTGCCAAGTAACCTACATATCACCAGCATGCAGGGTCGGCGATCGAATAGTCTCTTAGTGATAAAAGAGTCGTTGATGCCTTCCTCCGTTTCGTTTTTTTCTCTCTTTGCTCTGATCATTGCACCCGAGGCTTTCAGTCTTTCAGCGCCATAGTCATCCGTTTAAACAGACGACATCCACAATGAAGTACGTGGTTTCCTCGGCCTTGGGCCTGGCACTTTCTGTCAATGCAGCTCCGTCTCGGACTTTGAACGCCCTGCCCAGGCAGGCCGCCGAGGCATGCGCCTCGGCTGTAAGCCTCGATGCCAGTACCAATGTGTGGGAGTCCCACACTCTGCACGCCAATAACTTCTACCGTGCCGAGATCGAGGCGGCGGCGGCGAACATGACCAGCCCCTTGAAGGAACAAGCTTCGAAGGTTGCCGATGTCGGATCGTTTGTCTGGGTGTGAGTCTCTATACATACAGCGAATCGATTAGCAATGACGTTCCAGCGAGAAACTGACGCGAAAAACAAAGCGACACAATCGCTAATATCGAGCGACTCGAGCCCGCCATCGCCGATGTGCCTTGTGAGAATATCCTAGGTGTCGTCATCTACGACCTTCCAGGCCGAGACTGTGCCGCGAAAGCCTCGAATGGAGAATTGGCAGTGGGCGAGCTCAGCCGGTACAAGACTGAGTACATTGACCGTGCGTTAATCTCCGCCCAATCACTTTTACAATGAGAGAACGTAAATGATCTAAAATGAACTCAAGCAATCGCTGCGATCCTCAAGGCGAACCCCAACACCGCCTTCGCCCTTGTCATCGAGCCCGACTCGCTTCCCAACCTGGTCACGAACATCGACCTCACCACTTGTCAGGACAGTGCCGCTGGATATCGCGACGGCGTTGCCTATGCGCTGTCTACACTTAACCTGCCCAACGTTGTCATGTATCTCGATGCTGGCCATGGTGGCTGGCTGGGCTGGAATGACAACCTCAAACCCGGGGCCGAAGAGCTGGCCAGCGCATACAAGGCTGCCGGCTCGCCATCGCAGTTTCGAGGCATTGCCACAAATGTTGCAGGATGGAACTCCTGGTCAGTCAAGAACTTATCGGACTAGCACTTGGAGCCTCGTAGAGAGAAGAGGAGTACTGACATCGACCAGGGATGCCGAGCCCGGCGAGTTCGCCAGTGATCCTGACGGGCAATATAATGCCGCTCAGAACGAAGAGAAGTACGTGTCACTGTTTGGCGCAGCTCTGGCTACTGCCGGCATGCCTAACCATGCTATCGTGGATACTGGTGAGTCTTTTCTTCTTTGTGATAAAAAAAAAACTTTTGTGGAATTGGTGCTGTATCAGCACAATTACTGTCCAATTACTAAACATTCCCAGGACGGAACGGGGTCCAAGGCCTTCGTGACGAGTGGGGTGACTGGTGCAACGTGGATGGTGCTGGGTTTGGTCTCCGCCCCTCCGCTGATACTGGCTCAGATCTGGCCGATGCTTTCGTGTGGGTCAAGCCTGGTGGGGAGAGTGACGGGACTAGCGACAGCTCAGCTGTTCGCTATGATTCGTTTTGTGGAAAGGCCGACGCCTACAAACCAAGTCCAGAGGCTGGTACCTGGAACCAAGCATACTTTGAGATGCTGTTGCAAAATGCGAATCCTTCCTTCGCATGAACACGGGAAGGTTTGTTGTACTGACGAGCCCTGGAGGCTACCACCTTCTTGAGCTACGAAAGCATTGATCAATTCTTTTCATCCAGTATATATACATTTCAATTCGGAGAGGTTTCATAACAGCATCGGGTGACAGATGCCAAACATACCTGAGCATTCTCGAAGCACCTGAAAGGAGGAAAGAAGCTATCGCAACCTGTGTCATTTTATAGAAAAAGAATCAATCATGTTGAATTCAACCAAACCCAGCCACTTTTCCCCAATATTTTCAATCTGAGCCCAGGCATCTAAGCTCTAACCAAGTGGCCTCAATGCGCCCGCGGCTAGGCTGCGATACCGACGAGTGTGCTATCTCGTACGATACAAATTGAATGGACGCTCACCTACAGATCGGGTTTTACCGGGCCAAGAAAACAATGTCCTGGGTGGCGAATCTTAGGTGTGTACCATGGTTGCTTGCTCGTTCATAAGGACTTCGGCCACCCCGGTTATGATATGGCAGAGAATTAATGGATAGAATATATGCTGGTCAAAATTCAGCGTACAATTCCTATGGTCGAATATGACTCGATTTCTTCTTTTCCCTCTGCGTTTACAACTTCTCTGAGTAACCTTGTTTCGTTTTGATCCTTCATAAGCCTTGTTTTCACGGCTTCATCTTCCATGGTTCCTTCTCTACCTTCATTCGCTACTACATCCAGGACCACACCAACCAGCAGCCTTACAACTATCACTTTAGTCGAAGGATCGGCATTGAGCAAAGGATCGGTCCCGCTGTACGGTCAATTTAGCGATTGAGAACCTCAAGGTTTTGACGCAATGCGCGCAGGTGAAGGTAGTGTGTCAGTACTCCAATGACTGTTACTTTCAGTATGGTTTGGTCCCGGGAGATACAGGGACAAAGGAGATTAATGGGTCCAAAGTACTACCAAGCAAGGTATGTACGATGGATCAAAGGAGATATTTAAGTCCATTATTCAACACTCATCTAACACTGCGATCTTGAACACTCCGTTCAATTTCAACAATGATGCGAATGATTTTGGTCCCACTGCTCCCCTTTTGACAGCTTACTTATAAAAAGACACTATAGTTTCTTGCTATTACTGTTATGAATTCCATATGTCTCGTGCTCTCACTCAATGTAAACCTTGGTAATTTGTACAAAGGGAACAACTATCCGGCGAGAATTCAGTGTAGCCCCTATCGGGCCTTACTTGTAGAGATCCGATCCGACTGCAACCCTGATCATCGCAAGGTTCTAAATCCGTGATAAAGCGACTTCACCCATGCAGCTTACATCCACTGCAGCACACGCGGGGAAATCTGCTTCACAAGGAACGCGCAACAAACCAAGTCATTGACAAGTTGATAACGAAACTTCAATGATGGCGACAAACAAAGATCAAATTGAGGAAACTGTTCGCAACACACGAGCCAACCTGAAATACCTGTTAGACGGACCAAAAATCAATCGGCGCTTTGTCTCGGCCGGAGTCGAGGTGAACACAGGTCGCTACGGCCCTTACGCAACGACAATCCGCGACGGCCGAGACATCCAGGATCACTTTTCATTCGATCGCCATGGGTTCCAGCTGCTCGACGCTCCAACTAGTATACTCGACTTTCATGACAAGACCGAAGTCGAGGCTAAATATCAAAACGAAGTACGCGACCATGTTCAGCGCGCCTTTGGTGCCGATTTCGTTGTGCCAACGGGCTGGATGATCCGCACCTCAGGGGACATACCCAAGCCAAAAGAGTCGGAGGGGCCATATCGCCATTACGGCGGCATTCAACCCCCAGCAGGTGAGGTGCACGTTGACACTGAGCCCAGCCGCCAGCTTGCTGCCGCGCAGCGTGTCTACGAGAAAGAACGGCCTGGCGGCCCTGGCTTCACGCGCTTCATCATCTCCAGCTTCTGGCGGACGTTCTCGCCGCCGCCACAGGTATGCCCACTGGCCGTATGTGACGCGCAGAGCGTCGGAGATGATGAGGGAGAATCGAATATTCTTTGGGTAGTGGACAAGATACCTGAGGGAGACGAGATGTTCGCGGACATGGACGATGAGAAGCAGCTGGCGGCTGCGATCTTTCGACATAGCCCTGACCATCGTTGGTGGTATTTCTCAAGAATGACTCGCGACGAGGCGCTGCTGCTCAAGTTCCACGACAGTGACCGCAGCGTCGGTTGGCGCACGCCGCACACGGCTTTCTGGGATGACAGCTTTCCTGATGCTAATGTGCGAGAGAGTATCGAGTGTAGGAGCATTGCGTTCTTCGAGTAGTTGGTGGATGGAGAACTATCAACAGCCAGGAACACATGAACTGAGTAACATCAAAACTCGATTACTGCTCTTGAATAGTTAGCCCGAGGTTCAACCGACTTGAATATGACTTTCTTCATAGTTTTGTGATGCAGTTTGCAACATCAAGCGTGTCCATGATCTTTATCGCTCGCCGAAATAACGCTGTATAGGAACAATCTGCCTGTTTCACTCCAAGAAACTCAGTCGACGAATGTGCGGAAACGTAAAAATCAGCAGATAACCAAATGCTTATCCACATGCAACTCTTCCTAACGCCCACGGGCCGTAACGCGGCACAGTAGTCTTGCAGAGAGGTAAGCACACCTGTGGGGCCTGGTCTAACCCTCTTGAGATACTATAGTGCTAGGCAGCCATTTCACTCAAGGGTCCAGTTGTCCTCAATGACCGAGTCAAAACAACATAGCATGATAGGGGCCAATATGGTCTCTATATATGTTCGAGCCCCAAATTCGTGTCGAAACTTTTTCACTTTGTTATTGATATCTGTATGAAATACGGAATTTTAGGGGCCGCCAGCTAGCAGAACGACGAAATGAGACGCATCTATCTTTTCCTCAGTCTTTGTCTCCTCTTTGCAGGCACCGCATCTGCTTGGACTCCTTATCATCTCGCGATGCATCTACTCCAAAGCCTGCTCCCGCTTGGAAAGCCATGGCCATCCCCAATTCCCCGATTCATTCTAGACACGAACCACCCCTGGCTCGCAACCAACAAAGCATGGCTCTCCCGCTACCCAAACGTCGCCAAATCACTCTGCTCCCGAGACTCCCCTCTATGGACGTCCCCCGTCGCGCCCGACCATGCGCTACCCGAGGATCTCTTCACCCACCTCCTTATCGACAACAACAGGTTTCAATACCACAGCTGCCAGGAGCGACTGGGCTGGTCCAATGCACGCGATCGGCTACGAGAAATGGCAGCCTGCGAGGCTGCTCTGGCGGACGTACAGCACTTGCACGTCGATGTCTACATCCACGATAGTGAGTACTCTACGTATGTGGAGCCCACCTCTCCACCGCCTGCCCTTCCGGAGTTGTTTGCGGATGTGCTCGCACGAATGAGCAACCTAGAGAGGCTCGATTGGGGCATTAGCAGCGAGGCAACGCGGGCCTTTGAACCTGCTTTCGTGGTGAAGGACTTGACGTTGCCGAGCGTTAAGTACTTGCAGCCAGGAGCCGGGAGTGATTACCTCGTCTCGCGGTGTCCTAATTTGGAGGTACTGGAGGCAGGAGATTATTCTCACCATTGGAGCTGGAGGACGGGTAGCGGCCATCGCCTCGACCTGGTCAAAGCATCAACGGGGCTGAAGAATCTTAAAGAGTGGCGACTTGCAGCAGGATGGGACGGTTGGACATTACATTTGCTCGAAGGTAAGGTGACTCTCTGAGTTTCGAGTGGTCAATATTGTCTTTTGATGACGCTAATCGGCAGATATCCTTGACGCGACGCCGAATATCACGAGTCTGCGCATGGACGGTAATCTGTATGGTCCTGATGCAATTTCAATGGACTGGAAAGCGGGCAGAGATCCGTACTCTAGAGACCCACCAGGGGAAACGATGAAGGTAGCAAGACACGTCTCTGTAATTGTCACATATCTTTCAATTTACTAAATTATGCCAATCAGACATATCTCCAGGTCCTTTCACTATTCCCAGACCTGGAAAATCTACAACTCCCCCCTTCCAGCGACCTAGATTTGGGCTTCGATGGAGGGCATTGGTGCGGGAATGCATATGATGGGCCAGAGGGCAGAGTCTATGGGCGGGCAGTGACGCAACAAGACGCTGAAACAACCGAACTGGCAGCGAATATCACCCTGAGCGCGTTACCTCATCTGAAGAGCCTGAGGATTGGCTCCGCGTGTGCGAATCTCACGTTGAATGGTCGTGGGCAACCAGACATGACGTGGCCGTGGACAGGGAGGATGGAGCAATACACTTATGAGATATGGGAAGAGTAAGATGCATTTGGTGGCGCACATATAGGATAAGACTTAGCACGACGGCGGGATATTGTCGAGCGGCCAATAGAAGCAGGCTATTTGGGCAAGCTCAGATTATGTGACGTTTTCAACAAATGATTGCATTGAAAGAATGTCTCTCGACTGAGAAAAAATTAGGTCCTCTAAAGCAATCTGCGGTTTGCGTGTGCTTGACTCCGCTGGCGATCCATGTTGCGGTCCTCCTGGGATTCTCATGACCGTGCCGAGATGCACTGGTGCAATGGTCGTTCCCAGAGCCATGCGATGCTTCTCGACACCTAACAGAATACTTGGATTACTCTCAAGTTATGCTCCAAGATGCGCCATCTTATATTCAATTGATCCCCATGGGCTTGCCGCACTTGGGCTTCGGGTGGTGCATTGGCAATTTGGTGGTGAGGATTGAGTGGGCATGACTTTTGGTGTATTTCGCTGAGCGCAATACACATACAAATTTGGTGTATTTTGCGGTCAGCAGCACACATACCTCAAGACCGGTGCAAGGTCTGCACCTTAGTTTTGGTGTATTTTGCTGAGCGCGAAATACATACAAATTTGGTGTATCTTGCGCTCAGCGATACACACCAGACGTCTCGTGCGGGGTAGCCAGGTACCGATTTTGGTGTATATCGCTGACCGCAAAACACATACAAACTTGGTGTATTTTGCGGTCAGCAAGATACACCCAAGTAAGATGTACCGCGTAACCATCTGCCCACCAGCCATTGATGCCAATCCAAATGCATCTTTCCTCACCAGTGCATATTGCATGCCAACAATCTCAATGCTTTGCATATAGATTTGCCCTCGCTGGCCAAATGTAAAAGAGTTATAAGGTCTGCAGATTCTGACACAGCTTTGCGGCCGCGAACAAATCAGCTTGGAAGAATTGCGTACGAGAGCTGCATCGCATGGTTGGCTTGATACGTTGCATCGTCTACGGCCACGGCAATTGGAGACCTCTGGACTGCTGAGAGGATTGAAGACAATTGAGCTGGACCATGTGGTACGTACATGTAAGTGAACAAGGACAAAGACATATCCCATGGGATGACGAGAAGCCGGGGAATTTCGAGCTCGGCTGTCAACGTCGCACTCGCTGCAAGGCCATGTTTGGTTGATTCATACTGGAGATCAGAGCCAATGCAGACTGTCTGGCGATTGGAGCAACGTAGGTCAGTCCAGAGGAATCGCAAAACAGCATTGAGACCACTTGCTCTCTGACCGAAGGTCTGCTGTCACCGCAATGCTTCTGATACTGTGCAAGATGGAATCCAGAATGATATGAAGAACATTGCGAGAAGATTCCTTCAAATGCATCGTGTCCAGCAACAGCTGCATCTCGTAATGTCAAAGTAAATCATCAGGTGTGAGTGTCAATGTGGTGGTGAAATGCTTTGGTGTGTTTTGCTGACCGCGAAATACACTAAATTGTATGTGTTTTGCGCTCAGCAAGATACACCAGACTTACCCCGCACATGTCTCTTGGTGTATCTTGCTGACTGCAAAACACATACAAATTTAGTCTATTTTGCGGTCAGCAAAACACACCAAATGGTAATGCGGGGTAAGCTCCGCACTTCTGATGTGCGCAGTGGCAGGGTGAGTCTGGTGTATCTTGCTGACCGCAAAATACACCAAATTTGTATGTATTTTGCGCTCTTTTCCCCACACCAGTCACTTGGTGTATATTGCTGAGCGCAATCCACACCCAATTTGGTGAGGATTGCGCTCAGCGACACACACTGTGACCTTCTCAACTGTTGACTCTGCCTAACATTATCTCATCACTACGGTGGCGGTAGACGACTTGGCATCTTGCGTCCGAAAGACATTCATTTCCTCATCCCACTCTTTCAACCTGGAGCTCTGCGAGGCCTTGCACATGAACATCGCCGCCGTGCCCCATCGCCCGATAAATAGAAGCATTTCCATCAACTGGTGAGGATTGCTGGAACCGTTTTTGTGTCGAGCTCAGCCAGCAATGAATCTTGCGGATGGGATCCATAGTCGTACTGCTCAGTAGCCTCTCTCATCTGTCCACCCACTTTGTATCTTGGGAAGATAATACCAAATATATAGATACGTGCCCGAGTCGAGCAGTCTTGTGCACTGGCGATATAAAAAGCTACTTCACCAATGAAACTTGACATGTCTTCCAGGCGTTCGATCAGTGTAGGCGTTGAGAGCAGAAGCCATGTGCTCAAGTGGTGCAGTGAATGAGTGGCGCAAATATGTTGACTTGTACGACGCAGTGATCATGAAGTCCAAAAGTAACGTCAGACCTCGAAGTCTGGAGAAACATGTACCAGTCACTTCAAGTTGTGCATGCATCAGACATGGACCGAGATGGGAATGCAGGCACAACTGTGCCCGGGTGTTGACTGAGATCGGGCATGTGTTCGGTGATTGTTTGGCGTTTCGCAGTTCGATCAGGCACGTTGTGATTCTCACCGTTCTCTGAGCAAAGCGATCCCAACGGAGCGTCACCGCCATCCATACCGTGTCTCTGAGCGCAGCGCTCCGGTTTGGATCCAACACTCGTGCTCTCGCATCAGCGTTGAATATTCCAATCTGTCTACAAATCTTTAAACTATTGTCCAATCCATATGGAGGATGAGATGCTTAGAGCACAATTCAATTTCGCTCGGCCGCATAGTTGATGCATAATCAATTGAAAGTGGTGCAGCATTGGTGCAGCTATTGGTGTGTTTCCCTTTGGTGTGGATTGCTGACCGTGGTCCACATACAAATTTGGTGTGGATTGCGGTCAGCAATCCACACTGAGTAGATGCTGCAGTCATTACCCCGCACAGCAAGTTGGGGCTGTGGTGTGGATCACTGAGCGCAATCCACACCAATTTTGTACCTGGATTGCTGTCAGCAGTCCACACCAAAATCAAATCGTATTAATTTCCCCGCACAGCAAAGCTGTGGTCTTTGGTGTGGATCGCGCTCAGTCCACACCAGATGAAAAGCTGCACACACACTGACATTCCTCATTCGCGCCTTGAGCTCAAAATTGTCAGCACCCGGCTCTGCTGCCCAATCAATCCCACAACTTTACAGTCCAGTCTCAGCAGACAAGCATTGCGGTCATGAGAACGTCATTGATGTCTGATTTTGGTATCAATGAGCCTCGTCGCCGCACGTGAATCCTGTGCTCTGGTCCAGCAGAAACTTTTAGAATACATTCATACTTACACCACCGCCACTCCCAGCCAAAGCGCCATGGCCAAGCAGTCAGGCCCAGAATACAGGTGTGAAACACAACCGCTCAGATCGACCTTGAGATGTATGCCACGGCCAAGGCGGTATGGTCCGTGGAGCCGACCAGCATCCGGCCAGAGTCTCATGCACCGCCTAGATGGACATCCTCCGGGCGGGGAGAGTATATAGCCTCGTTTTCGGGGTACTTGTTCGATTGGTTCGACCGGCTGACCTCCGTGAACGAAGCCGAGACGATCACGGAGTGTCCCGGTTGACCTGGGTTACTCGCAACGTTTCCCCTACTACTATCACTCAAGCTCACTGTCACTGTCCGGCTTCTGAGGGTGGTCACCCTTTTGGGGATTGTTGGCGCAGTTGGTAACATATGACCCAACAGTCTGGCTTCTCGTGCGAGCTGCGGCCCATGGTGAGTTCAAGGCACGTATATGTCAAAGCTTCTCTGCTTGTAATCCATCTCCAATACAGCCGCATGATGGGATAACTTTCCGCCGTAGTCAGGCAATGGTGAGCTTGCTGAGTCAAACCCATTGTTGGGTGAGCTTGGTGGGTGTTGGTAGGCAGAGCCAGGAAGCCTTATGGGAGCTCAAGAAGCAGGAAAAGTCAACGGACCCCAGTTCTAGCTTCTGCAAGAGGTAACTTGTGGACTCATGTATGATTAAAGAACACACGTCCGCTCGGTGTTTAAAAAGTGAGCGTCATCAATAATTCCGCAGCTCGAAATAGCCACGCCATGGCCGAATCTGTAGCGAAGACCAGCGAGACAATGCCAAATGGTCCCATCATGTCTAGCTGCACAGCAGGTAAGAGATGACAGCAGTCACCCGGTCTTAACATTTTCAACACACAGGCCCTTCCAAAACTTGGAAGCATGCGCACCACGAATTGCAGAATTGAATGTGGTCGAGAATAATTGAGGACTTTGGCACAGCCATGTCACGGCAGGTTCAGTGGTGAAGAGGCATAATTGAATTGAGACTACCACGCTTTACAGTCAAGGTGGTTCTGCACATCTGTATCTTCAAGCAGTCGGCGTCAATCATGTTATGTTTCTGCTCTTACGCTTGTTAGGTGCGATGCACACTGCGCCATAATGGGATGTGTACAGAGTGTGGACTACAATTGGTGTGGATCGCTGGCCCGAAATCCACATACAAATTTGGTGCGGATTGCGCTCAGCAGTCCACACCAAATAGCAGCTAGGTGCGGGGTACCCAAGTTCAATGGGTGTGGATCGCTGACCGCAATCCACATACAAATTTGGTGTGGATTGCGCCCAGCAGTCCACACCAAATAATCAGCTGCACCAAACATTGCTGTGTCAAGCTACTGGAAGCAATCCCCAGCCTTAACTCTGGCACACAGAATGGAGTGCGATTAGCATTAACACCTTTCGCACAGCTAATTAGATCAATATTTGTTGGGCACAGTCTTGACTGCTGATAACGAGGATGGAGTTCTGTGATGTTGTTCTATCTCGATGCTTACATTCGCTCATCCAGCGGTCCCTCTTCTTCCGAGTACGCAGGTTGAAGTCGGCCCCGCCGTGCGTGAGTACAACACATAGTCTACTTATTCACGCCTCGACTTGGCTTTAGGCTTCGAGACCTTCGCCTCTACCTCAATTTGATCTTCTGAGCAACAAGCGAACCGTGTCCCTACCACTGTATCTTGCCACGTTCAAAGCAACCGAGGGTGAGTTGATACACTCAGTCTTCTACAGACTGCAGAACGCGAACCCTGTCCAGAATGTACAAGGGCCGGCAAAATTTCGATGACGTCGCATGGGATAAGAGCGACGCTGCAGAAGAAGAGTCCGAGAAGAAACTGCGGAAGGAATCTTTTTGTTGCCGAGTCGAAGCCTTTGTCACAGAAAAGTGCGGCAAACCTGCCAAGATTCTAAGTATCATCACAGGAGGCTTGAATATCCACTACAGAATTCGTTTCGAAGAAGAAGACGACTCGTCATGGTGCGAGTGCCCTGGCCGGCAGCAGCCCAGTTCCCCGACGAAAAGGTGCTCTATGAGGCTGCAGTGGCGAAATATCTGAGGGTCAACACTCGCATCCCCGTTGCTCAGGTGCTTCATTACGGCCAAGGCTCGAGCATTGGGCCTTTCCTCATGCTCTGCCGTATTGAAAACCGGGGCAATTTGACACGACCTCTTTGTGTTCCTGATCGGGACCCAGCCCTGACTCCGACCTTGAACCCGAAGCTCCCTGAGAGCAAGCTGAGAAGTCTGTGGGGCATCATGGCATTGTGTCTCCTGGAGCTCGCCAAGCCTACATTCTCTCGCATCGGGTCCCTACTCGAGGTTGATGGCTCCTTTCGGGTTGCTGGCCGACCTCTCACCTTTAATATGAGCAGCATGGTGCAGCTTGGCAACATTCCAGCAGCCGTCTTTCCTGCCAAAGATACCACTTTTGCCACAGCCGATGAGTGGTATGTGCAATTGGCCACTATGCACCTAACACAGCTTATATTTCAACACAATGATCTTGTCTCGGACGAAGACAACTGTCGGAACAAATACGTATCGCGCCAGCTGTTTCTCAGGCTGGCCAAACGGGGCCACCTGTCGACATTCGGATTTGCCCAAGACAACTGGTCTGCCTTTGCTCAAGCAGCTACGCGCCCGAGATTTCCAGCTCCCAACGGCTCGAACCCCTTCCGCCTCTGGTGCGACGACTTCCGGCCATCCAATGCCCTCCTGGACCGTGCAGAGGACGATATGCTGGCTGCTATGATCGACTGGGAGCTTACTTACGCAGCACCAGCGCAGTTTGTGCTCGATCCACCCTGGTGGCTACTGTTCGAAACGCCAGAAATGTGGAAGCCGGGTGGGGTGGCCGAATGGAGCAAGGCCTACGAACCGCAGTTGGAGATTTGGTTGAAGGCCGTGGAGGATCAGGAAGATGGGACAGCCTTTCTTGACGGGCTGCCCCTCTCAGCACATATGAAAGAGAGTTGGGAGACCGGTCGCTTCTGGCTCAATTACGCGGCGAGGAAGAGCTGGGCATTTGATGCTGTCTTCTGGACGTTCCTGGACGAGCGCTTTTTCGGTTCGCGGGACCCAGAGGTCGTGGACAAGGATTTGTGGCAGACGAGGCTGCATCTCCTAAGCCAGGAGGAACAGCAGACCATGGAGTTGTTTGTGAAGCGGAAGATGGACGAGTCTCGGGATCGGATCTTGGTTGAATGGGACCCCGCTGAAGTGAGACGGCGACTAGCAGAGCTATCATTCGATTGACTGACTTCGAAGAAGTGGGTTCTCAATATCCAAGCGGCCGACCTGGGTAAGGCCTGACGCAGTCGCCGTATTAAACCTTATAAAATCTCCGGTGTCGTATCAAACGTGCCTGGCTCGACATATGGTTTTCGCTTGTAGCAGCCTGTCTTTTGCACAAGGGAAGCACGGAACATGGCCAGTTTGGAGAGCGCGGCGGCGTCGGCGGTCCGTCTATTGGGGTGAAAAATAGAGTTCAGGGGGGCTGAAGTTAACCTGCACTCCAGCTTAAGCGTAGTCTGAATACAATGTTCGATACCACAGAATAGACTTTGCATAAGAGAAAGGTATAAGATAATTGACAGGATGTTATTTTTAAAACATAGGGAGCCAACAACTATCAATTCTCCCTTTTTCCCTTTCACGTCCAGCAGCCTGGCTGCTGCAAGTTGCTCCATTTCACTGTGCCAGAATAATGGATTGGGTGTAATCCAAGCCGGTTAATAAGGCCGGTTCCGGGGTGCCCCCATTCATCAGTGGGTTAGCTATCAGTCACGCACCTAAAACTCTCTCACCACTCTTTGGGCTGTAATCTGTGGTGTATTTTGCGGTCAGCAAGATACACGAAAAAAATAAGTCCAAGTCCCATCCCCACACCCAGCTCTGCTGTTTAGTGTATATCGCTGACCGCAAAACACACCAAATTTGTATGTGTTTGCGGTCAGGAAGACACACCAAATCAGGTCCTGCACTTATCCCATATCACCACACCAGGTTCGATTGGTATGTCAACCTAGGTAAATTGACAGGATTTTTTCTACCAAGGTAGGTTGATACACTGCAATGCGTTGTGTGGAGTTCAATTGGGTGGTTCATCCGATGAATCTTAGAGAGATGGATTGGATATTCGGAAGCTGAGCACAAGCTCGAGAGGTGTCATTTGTATGCATGTCGCTTTCACTCTGTTTGGATATCAAGTTTTTCTGAAAGGCAACAATGGCGTTGAAAATTTCACAATGGGAACCACTTTGCTCATTTGTAACCTACATAAACGCTCTCCCACCCACTTCGACTTCGAGCAACGTTGGAAAAGAACAACGATCGAGCAGCCGAAAAGCAGTCTTGAACCACTAACAAATTCAACATTAAGAATCATTTTACAACTATCATTACCGAAATGGCTGCACCGGTCGCCGTTACTTACACTCCGACGGCGGAGATGCCGCTGATGAAGGGCATAAGGGCCGAGCTGGTTGAGGCCTTGGACAAGAATGAGAGCCTCTTTGAGGTCACACTGATGCTTGGCGATGTTGTCAAGGACTTGGAGAGAGTGCGTGGTAAGGTCTCCATTGGTAAGACCCTGGAGTGTTTCGAGGAAGGCGTGCCGTTGCTGCAAATGGCCAGCCTTCTTCATTACGTGAACGTGAAGCTGCTTAGGTCTATCATTGCAGGCACCTTGGCATATGACCTGTACCAGGATCAGGACCTGGGCGCAAATTGTCAGTACAATGAGAACTGCAGCCCTGGAACTTACGTGGTGTCCTTGTCAATCAAGGGCAGAGAAGGCAAGTTCCTTAACATCAAGGAGCTGCGTGCTCTGGCCGATTGGGTCGATGAGTACGCGGAGGGTGCGGAGACGTGGAACAGTAACGACAGGACCTGGGATGACCAGGATCCATTGCACATCGCAGCGAGGGACTTCATCAAAGATGTGGATAGTAGAGCTGGGCGAGCTGACCCAGATGTCGAGCCACGATTTGGTCCAACGACTGAGGCGATCAAAAGGCTAAGAGAACTCGCACGCATGTTTCGTCGTCGGGCCGATATGCCACTTGATGTTCAGAACAGAGGCGAGACTTACCAAATCCAGGCGCCAGTCATGGTTGGCTGTACGGCTGAGACCATTGCGGAGGGGACTAAAGCACATGTGCCGCAATGTACCGATGTCAATTCTCTGTATCCGGCAGCGAACAGTCTGCAGAACACCACGAAGACGTGGGCATTGACTGTGAGCCTGCTTTACTATATGGATCTTGAGCCTGACATCGTGCACGTCGCTGCATTGCCGTTCTTCAACCCGAACGATCTGCCATTGACCGAGATTCTTCTCACCACGATGGCGCGGTCATTTGTCTGGCAGGATGGCTTTAATGTCATCCAAGGAGGAGGCAAGTCAGACGAGAACTACCAGAATCGCGGGTATGAGGAGAAGAGGAATGTGTGTCATGCACGAGACTTTCTCGAGAAGAACTTGTTCATGAGTCTGGAGCGAATCCAGGAACTGCGGAACAAGATTGCCATTATCGAGAACTTGGAGGGAATGGACCTCGATGCTCTGGACATCGAGGTCAACAAACTGCAAGCCAAGAAGAATGAACTTCAGTTGGCAGTCAACGAGTACGAAAAGAGTGAAGCCAAGCTCGCAGAAAGAGTTCAGGCGGCTGCTGCCCTTGTGGAACAGCAAGACGAGATGCTGCAGCAGTGGAGAGGATGGAATGAGTTTCTCGATCTTTTAGGGGAATAGAGAAAATTGGGCAGGAATGCAATTGACAGGAGCTTATTCGACCATTATCCGTGACATGTGATGCAATCGCAAAACTCAATTACATGCGCTCATGATTGAAGCTTGCGGAACCGGCAGCCAAATGACTCGGCATCGAACACCCCTTGATTGAGATTTCGTAGAATGGGACAAGCAATGAAACACAATCGCTGCAGGCCATGAGAACGCTATATTCCTCAGGAGCCCGGCACATTGGACAATCTTGCAATGTGACGAGACTGGAAGAATTCTTCTGGAATTTGGTACGACAACGAGAAGTTGATTGGCTATAATCAAGGTATCTGCACAATAAAGATTAGACATGGAACGCCTCTGACTGCATAATTTGGAAGCCGGCTCTCCCTATTTCACAACTTGCGCTGTCTATAAGCTTGTCCGCATTTTCAAGAACTGTCCGACGTGGCCTTGATTGTCACGGGAAAGCTATTATTCTGCAGCTCGCCTTCAGTATTCCACATCAGGGCGTAGACATCATCCGTGTCGGTTGACTGAGCCCAGAACTGCGACTCGAGTGTGGAGTTATTATTGTATACCAGTTGCGAGGCGAACATGGCGAAGCCCGAGACTGAGCCGTTGACGTTGGCGATATTGGCGATTGGGGAGACTCCGACGGCGTCGAAGTCCTGCTGCATGATGTACATAGATCCTGCTTCGGTTCCGTTGGAGAATGTGGCGTTGGCGATCCAGTTCCGGCCAGTGATGGCAGCACTTGAAATAACAGTCAGCTTGACCCCCTTCGAACGAGAGTTCGTGGAAGGAAGCAGTCTCAGCCGCGATTTCAACTCACATATCCCAGGTCAAGGGCACCAGATTTGCAGTAGTATCATTGGGGTTGGCTGTAACGTAGAGTTTTGCTAGAAAGTACACCTGCTTTAGCTTCGAATCTGACAACAAACGCGACGGCGACAATATATTTACCATCATCGAGCCCGTATGCCACTGGCCACGCGTCAGTGCTAGTTCCATAGGCGAGGAGGGTGGCATTATATTGAGCCGCGCGCTTCGATAAACCAGTTGGAATCGTCGAGGCCGCAGCGAGTGAAAGCTGGTACGACAGCAAAGAGAGAACGGTGAGAAACTTCATTTTGCTTGGATCGCAGAGCGAGAATGAGAGACAGCAGTGCTGGTTAACTGATCGAGAAAGAAAGAATGGACGAAACGAGCGGAGCGGAGCTTGGGGTCGGCGAATTAACTATGGGAGTCTGAGGTCTCTAGAACGACTTGCCCGAGATCTCTCTAATAGACATCCGTTGAGGTGCTTTGTTGCATTTACCATCACCATATCAGCTCGGACAACCAGCTCGGACAAGTCGGCGATTATGATGTTAAAAATATACAGCTCATGAGATCCACTCTCACGGCGAAGAACGGACAGCGAAGCTCAGCACAACGTGGATCTCACGAGTACTCAGAAGAAGTGTTTCCACACTACACAAATTTGCCCCATTATTTCTCTCAATGCAGGACCGGGAAGCCCCTTAACCTTGAGATCCACAGCAGCCCTACAAGCATTCACAACTCTACTGAGGTACGGTTTTACACGTATATCCATACCGCCCTGGCTTTGTTTATTGTCCCGCGTATTGTTCAATGCATGTGAGCGGAACAAGGTGGAACCCTGATCCACTGTTCGCCCACATCCCGATCCCATAGAATTCGACTGACCGCTGTGTGTTTAAACATATCCCCACAGGCCCGCGTTCGATAGAGTCTATCGCAAGGAAGTAAATTACGACTTGCAGCTTAGGTTTTGTGGCTGTGTCTTGGAGACTGCTTTTATCGCTGCCTCGATTCGAGGATAAGGGATTCCACAGATGGAGTGCCCGTAAGTCAAATTAGGAGAGAAACTATGCAATGGGCTGCTGGTTTTACATATCGCTTTCAAAAGTGTTTCATCATACATTGCGACTTTCCAATTCGGCCCCATCTTCAGCGAAGCCGAAAGATCATGGACCATCCATCAGAGACCACCATTTGTGTATGTCCTCGTAGGTCGTCGTCATCAGTGGCTTTTGTCTTTGGTCTGCAGGTACGTCTTCCTTGCAGGAAGCTAGCTGATCGTTCCCCACAGCTTCCGCCAGAGTCAACATCGAGGCCTTTGCCCCTTTCGGCATCATCTCGCAAGGATCCCGGATAACGAAACAAAGTCGACACTAACTAAGTTGCATTCTGTAATCTCGGGTGGTGTCCTGCTTGAGGCTCTGTGGTCCGCTCGATCAAGTAATGTGTTGAAAACGATTTAAGCATGACTGGCACAAGCTCCGGTTCCGCCACTTCCCGTTGTTTACAATTCAAGATGGCGCTATACACTGAGACTGAGACCCTATTTTGGAGCCCCAACAGCCTACGTTTTAAGGTGGCGCGGCTCGCGACGATCGCGAGTGATCCACGCTTCTCGAGAATTGGGGATCGACGGGTCGAGATCCCACTGTTCAGTGGATACTGTTCCTTGGTTTAGAGTCATTTCACTTACTCAACTAATCGATGTCGAGCTGATGCATCGGAGAATTCGGCGGAGACCGAGATAATACCTTAGTGCGATGCAGCTGGAGGAGATGCCGCTGGAAAGCAATTGAGTCCAGTATCATGTGTGGATAAGCTTCAGTTCTAGTCTGGTGCGTACGCAGGGCACCTGACTTCTTGCCACTTTCACGGTTCGGCCGAGACGACGATATATCAACCGTGGCCTTCCTGCTCAAACAATAAATCAGATCCGGTAGACGATCATTTTAGTGATAAGAATTACCTTGTCTTGCCTCTCCCATAATTCCATTCACTCTTTCTTGTTGTCTCTCGTTTGCTGTTTGTCTCTCATTTTACTGCCACATCGATAGGATGTTTGGCTCAATTTTTGTATTGTCGTCTCTCATTGCATTGCCAGGAGTCCTCGGAGCCGCTACAGCGCCCGGATCTAGCTCTCGAGCTGTGGCATGTGTCAACTCTCCTTCAACACGGTCGTGCTGGAGCGACGGCTTCGACATCTCAACGAACTACTATGAGTCTGTTCCCGATACGGGCGTCACTCGAGAATACTGGTTCAACATCGAGAACGGCACTGCTTCCCCAGATGGAGTCGAAATACCAGTACAGACCATTAATGGATCTCTTCCAGGACCTACAATCATGGCAGATTGGGGTGACTGGGTTGGTAGGCATTCCCTATACCGGCCTTGTCCCGCGACATGTGGCTAATAGGCAGCTTCACAGTGGTGCACGTTACAAATGCTCTTCAGACTAATGGAACATCTCTCCATTTCCACGGCATCAGGCAAAATTGGACGGACTACATGGATGGTACTGCCAGCGTTACGCAGTGCCCAATCGCCCCAGGTTCGTTCACCCAGTAAACCTCGACATGGGACGATTTGCTTACATTGATAGGTGACTCTTTCACATACAAGTGGCGAGCGACCCAGTACGGAAGTGGCTGGTACCACAGCCATTTCTACGTTCAAGCCTGGGATGGCGTCTTCGGTGGCATTGTGATCAACGGCCCAGCAACGGCTAACTACGACGAGGATCTCGGCAACTTGTTCTTGAACGATTGGTACCATGTAAGCTCTTCGTCACCTCCAAGAGCTTGTTTGAACATTTGGTATTGACAGGTCACACAAGGACACGGCAGACAATCTAGTTCTCGAGGCTGCCACTGGAGGGCCACCGACTGCTGTCAACGGCCTCATCAACGGTACCAACACGTATAATGAGTCAGGATCCCGATTCGAAACGAGCTTCGAGGCTGGGAAACGGTATCGACTGCGGCTTGTCAACGCTGCGGCAGACCAGCACTTCCGTTTTATGATCGACAACCACACGCTGGAGGTTATCTCCACGGATTTTGTTCCCATTGTACCGTATAATACAACAGATGTGTCTATTGGTATGGGTCAGCGATACGACGTGATTGTGGAGGCGAAAGACTTGACCGAAGGGAACTTTTGGCTCCGTGCCATTCCACAGGAGACATGCTCCGAGTTCAGTGACGGTCAGTAATGCTTTCAATACTCAAGCATGTCCCAAGGAGCTCTGCTGACTTTTGGTAAAGGGGATAACGTCAAGGGCATCGTCCGTTACGGCAACTCGACTGAAGATCCGGCTACCTCCGCTTATTCTTATACCGATTCGTGCGATGATGAGGATTCGACCAATCTGGTTCCATATCTCTCCATCGATGTAACTGATGCTGCCGATATTGAAACCTCTTCAGACGCCGGCCTTCAAGTTGCCGACAACGCCCTGCTCTGGACTATGGGTGGTTACTCCTTTTATTCGGAATGGGAATACCCTACTGTTCTCCAAGTCCTTGACGGCAACGATACATGGGATGAACAGCAACGTATCATCGAGCTCCCCGATGCTGATCAATGGGTGTATTTTGTTATCTCCTCGGCGTTTGCCCAAGCACACCCCATGCACTTGCACGGACATGACTTCTGGGTACTTGGTTCCGGATACGGCAAGTTCTCGAACACGACGAGCAACCTGACCTTGACCAACGCCCCACGCAGAGACGTCGTTATGCTGCCTGCCAGTGGATGGGTCGTGATCGCTTTCAAGACCGACAACCCGGGTGTAAGTGACGTCCTGCGCTTCTTTGCCTGGTGGACACGCCTCGTGCCCTCCCCCTCCGTCACAACAATGTATAATATGCCATGACACTAACAACCGTCTTTGCAGGCATGGCTAATGCACTGTCATATCTCTTGGCACACATCTGAAGGCTTCGGAGTTCAGCTCCTCGAACGTGAGTCTGAGATGCGGATCTCACCCGATGTGTTGGACTATGATGCGATCAACAGTACCTGCGCGGCATGGAATTCGTACGCGGCAGCCCAGGAAGTTGTGCAACACGACAGCGGGATCTGAATGTCGGGAATTCTTGGATTCAGGCGGCAATGGATAGGTGCTGACTGATCTGTATAATTGTGCGATGATCCGAGCTATGTTTTTGCGGTCCCAGAGGCTCTTTTGCAGATGTACTTGAAGATTCCGAGAGAGGATAAACTCTAATAGCCCGTCGTTAGCGACACATTGTAAGCTTGGCTCGTGGATAATATTATTCGCATTGTTAAATCTGTCTTGAGCACTCTGATATGTGTTTTTCGTCTTGCAGGGCCCACAAAGCAAGCATGCTACGGTGTGGCTGCTCTCATCGTCGACCGCCTCTCTACGCTCGATTGCCTCTTAAAAAGCAGCTTTTCGTTGCCTTACATTGTTATCCACAGGGTGTTATAGATCATACCGGTAGCGATGCTGGCATGACAGCGACTTACATATTTCGGATCCAACCAGCGGCCAGGTTCGTGTGCACGGTCTTCGCTGGCGATATCACGAAGCTCTGCCAAGCTCACAACTGTGGGTCGTCTGGTCATCAAGATCAAGAGCTAACCCTTGTAGCAATGATTCTACTACGTAAATAGCGGGCGAATCAAAAATCGTCAACTATATCGGGCCTGACATCAGCCAGGAGCGTGACCGGCATGGACGTGCATGCAGTCAATGTAACAACCAACCTGCCCAGTGACCTGCCCATTGACCGTCTCTGAGCGAGTTCCTCTAATACAGGAAAAGAACAATACCACAAGAAGTCCAAACTAGGTAGAGACTGTAACCGATTACGAATAGAAAACCGGCCCACCGTCAGTGGATGTACTGATGCCCTATGCCACGTGTCTTCAGCCCACACGGCCCGATCGCACCCACTGCAATATGCCTAAGACCATGACCCTGACACCTTTGGTGTCGTCTCGTGGCTCTCCCAGGAAACAATCACGGTGGTGGTCAATGTCCCTTTCCCGTACAACTTCGTACAGCTCAAAGTCGAATCGGCGGAGGAGCGTCGCGAGAGCGATGTACATCTCTGCCCATGCAAGACTGCCGCATCATAATTTAGAACTGGACTCCTTCTCGGCCCTTTTGAAGGGAAGTACTCACTTGATTCCAATGCAGCTTCTGTGGCCCCGATGAAAGGGAACGAAGTGTCTGGCATTCCGAGCGTAAAGTGGACTCGATTCGAGCCATCTTTCGGGATCAAACGTCTCTGGGTCAGGGAAGATATTGGGATCCATCATGAGATCCGAAAGAGTCATACCCACAGGGGTCTTGCTGAAGTTAGTGACTAATCACCCGAAAGGAAGAAGGAGAGGGGGGGGGGGGGGAGAAGTTACATTTACGGGGACCACCCAATCTCGATACGTGAGACACTCTCCAGGCGCTTGCAAGACCGCTCTAGAAGTAATCAGAGCTGAAATTCGCAGGGACTCTTTGATGACCGCGGTCTAGGACAAGGGCCCTAGCATTAGTGATCAATCTCTGACTAGACTAGATACCGTAGATATGCGCAAAACTTACGAACCAGGTAAGGTTTTCAAGCTGTTGAAGCCTCACCTCATATTTGGGGCCTGGCATTACGGTCGTCAGCTCCTCCCTAAGCCTGCCGAGGAGGTGAGGATTGGCGACCAGATGGTAGACCGCCGTGGTGAGCGTTCTGGCGATCGTGTCCCCAGAAGCCGTCAAGACGGTAAAGGCCTCCTGCGCCATCCGATTGCGAGTCTTCTCTCTCGGTGGAAGGTCTGAAAGGAGGATAGCCTGCATGAGATTGACCTGGTCTCCCTTGATATCGGGTGACTGCTCAAAATCTCGGATGGCATCTGTTGCCTGTTTTCTCATATCCTGGCTGGTTGTAAGAATCCAGGGGAAAGAGACGATGAGTATGATCTATGCAAAAGTAACGTACCCGGAGGACTTGGATCACAAGGGCCATATCTGTCGAGACCAACTTAATAAGCCACATGGGCAATTCAATGACGAGCGGCACGATCCAAGAAAACTGTCGCACGAACGGCGTAAGATGCAGCAGCCCGACTATGCTGTCCCTCCAGACTTGGGCCTTTCTCATGTCCTTCAAGAGGTTCATATCCCCTTTATCGCCCAGAGCATGAGCACAGTAGAAGTCGGTCGTATAAGCCAGCAGAGGTACACGAATGTTGATAGCCTCGCCTTTGCGCATGGCCGCCTCGAAAACATCACAAAGGAGCTCCATCTTGCTGTGTATGAGAGACTCATTGTTTGCTACAGACTTCTTGGAGAAGAAGCTTGAGATGGCGCCACGGCGCCTGCGATGCGCATCATGGCCGACCGTGCCAAAGATGCCATCGGGCGTCCCTTGGACACTGGCACTGGGAGGGTACTTATCACGCTTAGAGCCTCCGCCAGCGTACAGGGTGTCAAAAAAGTCATGATCGCTGACATGGAGCTCATGCGGGTTGATGCGGACGATGGGCCCGTACTTGCCGTGCATACGCTGGATCTCGTAGGCGAAAGTGTTTCGAGGCCCCCCGAAGATGTCAATGTAGGCCTCGTACCACCCGGTGAAGGCGGAGAGCTTTGGTCCAGGGAATCCTGCCAGGGGATGAAGTGTGAGGCGGTAAAGGCCAAGAGCAAAAGTGTACAAGATGGCACTTGCGAGGAGCACGGCTGGAAGGAAATCCCATGATCCTCCTAAGAAGCCCTCATTAAGAGATAGGCACATCATATCTTGAGACCTGGATCGTCTAATCCAAATGAGTGGGAAAGAAAGGTTCAAAGTCAACTCTCATTACATCAGAGAGAAGGTGTCTCTAGCCACGTCATGCGCAGCTGAGGCAGGCGACTTTGAACATCCAAAGCATTCGTTCGGGGTTGTCAGACGAACAATGTAAGCCACATTGCCTTTTTGGCCTAGTTCCATTCGCGACTGTTGCTTTTCTCTTTGTAGGCTATCAACTCTTCGGTCTTACAAATGCAGATCATACTTAGATATGTTTCCCTGTTGTAATTGGTTAGTTTGTGGCAAAGTCTTTCTGACCAAGAAATCTACTAAAAGAACATGCTGAATACTATTGGGAATTTCTCTAGGATTATCCAAATCCTGTACAATTCACGGCCAAATAGTATGGAAAAGGTGAGGACAATATGCATCCGCAGCGAAGCATTTGACGATATTACAAGCTGTCCGTCCTTCGGGATCCGAGTCAGGTATGGTGTTCGGATCTTATCAGAAGTGGGACCAGGTATCCCGCTAGAGCGGAGTCCGAACTGACGATGTGACTGAGTGGCTGAAGCGAGATTCCTACGGCGTCTATTGAGTAAGACGTTAGCGGGTTAGCCGCTGTCAACTATATCGGATTGGTTCCTCTGGTCGACCAGGGAACACTAAAGCCACGATAGTCATTTTGGAATTACGTTATCTCGACGGAAAGAGACTTACAAAACTCGGAAGTGAATCTGACTTGTCGAATTCATCATGGATGAGTGCCTGCTCTTACCAGTTTTGTACGGCACAGACAACTGAATCAGTGACCTGTTTAAGCGATACAAAGAGGAGCCTGACCCATTTCGCATGAAATGTACACGAGAGGATCCTCCTAGCCATGATAACATCAAGCCAACTTGCCCACTTGATCTGCAACGAATGAGCCGGGCTCGGCTCCTGGATCACGCGATATCAGGCTTTCCGACCGACACAAATGATACCAAGGATGATCTTTGATATGGGGCCTCGGACTTCAGGCTCGCTGATTCTGAAGGAGGATGGATTTAATAGTAAGCTCAGCCCTAGTCATTTCCAGGGCTGTACCCGCGACGCACTTAAGACAAGAGGATCACAACAAGATAAGGAATTTTCGGTTCTTTCTGAATTCCTCTTTTGAACCCTGAGATCTATAGCCTTTCGCCACTCTCTTCAACATCCATCGGATTTCACCGCATATTCCCAGATCCACGGCCTTTTGGGCGGCTGCTTCCAATGGCGTTGTCCGAGGCTAGGCTGGAGCTTCTTGAACAATTGAAGGGTCAAGAACTTCACGTTCCAGACCTGAGATTGATGTTATCGCACTGGCCGATCAACATAAACCCTGAGATTGAGGGTATCCGGGCTACAGTTCCACGAAGAATCTTGAGGTGGGCTTCATGCTCTGTCGTCTCACATGACAGAATAGTCGTGACTCATCTGTTCTCAGTCTCTCTGAATCCTCCCAAAAGCGAAAGCTACTAGCCAAGATCGACTCGGGACTTTTCTCGTCGGCGTGGTGGCCCGGTGCCACCTTGGAGGCTGGCGATATCTTGTCCTGCTTGGCACTTTGGGTATGTGATACTACTAACAAGCCCACCCGATGATCTGATCTATTTGACTAAGACCGGGTGTTTCATAGCTCTTTATATGGGATGATGGTGAGTTTCTGTTGTCCAATGGAGTCTCACTTCGCTAAAATGCGAGTTAGAGATCGACGCCGAGGTGGGAGACCTGGCCGGCGACTTCGAGGCTTCTCAGACCTTTCGGCACGAAACAATAAAATACATTAGGTATTGTCTGAAACTTTCAGAAGATGAAGTAAAAAGTCCAGTGCCACCGAACGAGATCATTGCTTTCTTTAAGGTCATCGGTGATGCTGCATGTGAAGCATATGACCGGAGTAAGACTTGACGTTCCATCTCTATTTACGACTGAAATCGACTGACGCAAGCAGACCATCGGGAAATACTTTTAAGTGAATTCCAGTTTTTCATGGATACTTCAGAAGCTGAACAACGAATTCGACTCAGCTCGGAACTCCCATCAACGAAGGAGTACACGAGAACTCGGATGGGCACAAGTGCAGTCAATGTGACCACCTTCTTCAACGAGTAAGTCGATACTTGGTGGATCGTGGCCACACCATCACAGGCTGGCTGATGCATGCAGATATGCTTATGGTACGAGCATACCAGTCAATGTCCTCAATGACCCGGATATGAAGGTTCTCTGGGACCAGACCAATATTATCATCTGGGCGTAAGTTGTCTATTATGCTTGTCACCTTAAATATTCCCGATCAACTCTAACGCTTGCTATCAGAACCAATGATCTGCTTTCCCTGAAAAAAGAAGTTGTATGTTGGCCCCTGTTTACTAATACGTTTCATACTTTTACGTGCTGACGATAGCCGCTGCAGGCGCAACAAACCGTCGATAGTCTTGTGCCGCTGCTCTATCATAAGCACGGGAACCTGGACCTGGCTGTGTCGCTTGTTGTCGAGACCATCGAGAACGCCGTCAAAGATTTTGACTGCGCGGCTGAAGCCTTGGCGCGGAAGTTTTCAGATGACCGGGAGCTCATGCCCAGGCTCGAAACGTACATCAATGCCTGCCGACTCAACTGCACGGGGAACCTCAATTGGAGCCTCCAAACGGGCCGATACGGAGTTTCACAGCACAACATTGCGGGCGGCGTGACCTTAAAGCTGAATTAGAGTAAATATAGTTTAAGTATTTTCATTGAATGCAATCCACTGGTATTAAATCGACGGTCTTCGAAGGACAATCAACTTACAGCGACTATATACAATTCGATTTTTGAACTAGTTCTCGGCTATGCAGCTTACAATTTCTCGTATATAACATCTGTCCTAAGGGTGTACTTGGTTCCCTTCCGTACTTCTACTCCCTCATGATACATGTCTCTTTGTTGGAATATCAATACGCTCCCTCTTTTCGGGTCTATGTTTAGCTTGTCTTCCTTAGGATTTTCGAAATCAATACCAAAGCTCGTAGCCCCTCCTTCGATCTCCTCATCATCCGGGCCCCCACCATTGAGATACAAATGTACCGTCAAGAAGCTCTTCTCCGCCCTGTCCTTGCCGATGTAATGTCCATCACAGTGCGGACTGAAGTACTGTCCTGGTTCGTACTTGAGGAACCGCAGTGCGCTGTCCAGCCGCGCGATCTTCCAGGTCTCCTTGTTCACCACAGCTGTCTGACCAGTGATGTCAGGCGCATTGTTCAGAGTCACCACCGCGGGTGGGATGTGAGGCAAAATGCGGCCCAGCAGCGCGTCTGCCAGTGTTCGGGACTCGTAAATGATACGGCCGCAGTTCCGCGACATTAAATCCAGAAATTGGGTCCCGTTGTATGCCGTGATCGTCGCAGGCGGCCAGGGCTTGTCGGCGGCGGGCTTGACAACAGAGAGGAGGGCTGCACATTCGTGAGGTGTGACGAGGTCGTCGATCACCATCGCGAAGAAGTCTTCGTATAGTCCCAAATTCGTCTGTTTGAAGTCGATCAACCTTGCGGAGGCTGAAGGCGGGGTTGGGCCGTTCAGGATCTGTGATTCGACAGCCGTTGAGTTCTCTGTAGCCATGTTGATGAATAGTGTCGATACTTCGTAGCTTTGGCGTCTGGTAGATTGCGGGCTTCTGCAAGTGTTGACAGTAGTGTAATTGTTGGACTGCTGCCTAACAAAATACCGTCAGATGTTAGATCCAACGTTCCCGCCATTGTACAGTGTGAGCAGGCAGCCACCCAAGACACCATCACTGTGCTACACGTTTGCGTATTATTAATATTTCCGGTCCTTTTTAATACACATTAGGGTGCATCAAGAAAGGATAACCAGGCGTCATTTCCCAGAACTTCACCAGCTGCCTCCAAAGCATTCACGTTCGGCCACATCATAGGGAAAACCTGATTGATCTGGGTCTGCGGACTCTCATCGATAGGCCCCAATAACTGATGTTGCTGGTTCCCGTCTCCCAAGGGGTCTGATGTTCGCGTTGAAAATGCTTGTCGACTATTGACCTCATGCCTGTCTCCGAGTCCGCCTTGATTGTAACGCGAGTCTCCCCCCGTTTCGGAATTCACTGGCGGATCTGCACCGGCATTGGCAGCACTCAAGTTGAGATATCGTCTACACAGATCGACAATGACATCGTGACAACTGCTGCAGCTCGCATTGACGGGTGCCAAGGTCCGGATCGTCCTTAATGTCAGCGTGACTTGGTCACACCAACTTGGTGCGTCCGGAGACAAGGGCATGTTTCGAAGGCAGATGCAGGGTATCAGGGCCGCCTGAAAGAGGAAGTATCTGCACCAAATATCCCCTGATTAGCAGATTTGGTTTGAACATAGATCGAGTGGGTACAAAATAGGAAACGAGGCAGCATACAAGGCGTACCAGGCCGCCAGCCTATTGTGTTCATTTGTCGCCCAGTATTTGCTAATTGACTTAATAGTGATATCGGCGTCTGCTAGGCACTGATTGTATGCGTGGACTTCTGCAGCCGGCGCATTGTCGATCATCCGCCCATTTCGGCTGGTGGCCAGTGCCATCCGTATCACGAACGGTCGGTACATGATGATGCGAAAATTTCGATAGCGCCACTGCATCACGGCGTGAGCGAGGGCGTAGCGAGGCTCAACTACGGAGTCCTCGCGGAACCACTCCGGAAGTTTGGCCAGCCAAGGCGCCAGGAGGTCATTCTCCAGATTCCTGAGCTCCTCGGCTGTCGCGAAAGGCTTCGATATTACCCTCGAGTAGATTCGGTTCGTCGCGACATGGAACTTGGCTTGAAGCCCGACCGATGTATATGGTGTTATAGTCTCTCGTTCCTTGGGATACGATTTTGAGTTGGCAGTCAGGTCCTAGAACACGGTCAATATGGCACTCGAAGTGGCGAAGTGCAGTATCTACGGCCTGAATTTAACATGGGGGTACCTACTCGATCAGTGACGTTCAGCGGAAACGCTACTTCGACGCCTTCGTAAGGCCACACTGTGGGACGACTGAAGGTGATGGTTGCGCCTACATCGAAGACGCATAACGACCACCAGACTCGTCGCCGGATCTCCATCTGCAACGGCGAGATCTTCCAGCCTGCGAATTCCTTGTGCAAGCCCAAGCCTGTCGCCATACGTACGGCCAGACCAAGATAATTGTAGCCCGAATTGGGCTTGTCCCTCTTCTGCTGGTAGTTAGAGATGAGGGTAAGCGCCTGGACGAGCGTAAGATTTCCGAGCTCGAGATGATCAAACGAAAGCATCGAGCGTGCGTGGGCAAAGAGGTCCAAGTCCAGGCTGTTACTCGCCGTGTCGGAAGATGTATACACGCCGATGGCGGCGATGGTGTAGGCCAGGATCTGCCAGCACTTGCCATGGGGCTGCGGGATGACCTCTGCATACTGCGCGCGAAACGTGGCCTCGTGTATGATGGGGTAGCTTAGATGGTATCGACTGAAGTAGGCATCAATCATCGCATCGCTGATGTGTCGATTTGGATCCGGCGCGGAGCAAATCCCCAGGGTTGTACACGAGGACGACGAATTTCGATGCGTTCGCGAGCGTGAGTTCCTGCGTATCTTTCTGGGCTCTATGATGCGAAGTAGTGCGGCCCCTGACGCGACCCCTAGATAACCCGCCTCCTTCTCGCCGACCGGCAGGGACGCCATGCCATCTGGAACGGGATCAGTATTCTGTACGCCGGCTGACATGCCACCGAGATACTCGTCGAGGCGTTCCGGATTGTCCTGCTCGTCCCATTCAAAATCATCTTGTGGCGGCGTTTCTGCGAGACTCAGGTTGCTAGCCGGCCTTGCGTTGACATTTCGACGGGGATCTACGACCTCACTCAGGGCAATGTCACGGTCTGGCCGTGGTCCATCACTTCGACCAGGTCGCGAAATGGCTGTGTCCTCAACACGAGAGTGGTGGTGCACGCTGGGACTGGTCATGGTAGATGGATGGGGTGGAGACCCGGCCAGGAGACCCGTCATCGTCGGTGACGAGGCCGTAATACTAGCGCCATTTGTGTTTGTAGTCAGGGCCCCAGGATCTGTCCCACGAAGATCAAAGCTGGAACTACTGTTGACTGCAAGAAAAGGTTGCCGAGTCTCAGCCTGGGCCACATGGATCGCATGAGGGTCTCCATTGTCTCGTTTGAGTCGTTTAATGAGGGCTTCGGCTCGCTCGAGACGGTCTTCAACTTCCGTAAGGTGCCTGAGATTAGATGTATTAGTGGGTTCCTATTGAGAGGTTCTTGCATCATGACGAGGGTTCAACGCACTTCCTCGTTAGTGGCGTCCGGGAATGCTTCTCGTAAATGCACTGTCTCCGGTACTGATGGCACAGTCCGCACGTGGGAACCGAGCGGTCGCATTTCGCTTTGCGCCTCCGGCACTCTTGACAGCTTTGTTCCGCTGTGGCAACGGAGAGATTGGCATCACCGTTCCCGGATGCCGTGGCCGTCGCCATGTCGTAACCTTGCACGTTTCTAGGAGTCTATATTTACCATACCGTGCATCATGGCAGGGGTCTTGAGCACCCCAATGAGCCTTGCCCCCCGTTTGGGCAGATGGCAAGGTAGGGTGACAGTGAGCGTATTGTGATGGAGGGCCTGGGCTGTCGAAAGCAAGGCGGCGGGGGCTTCAGTCCGGTGCATAACGGAGAGCGTCGGAAACTGTTCCTACATATATGGCAGTCGCAGGACTGAACGCACCACTCTGTGTCCGAGCATGGAGAATTAAAGCCTCGTCTGTCCTCGAGACTTCTAATTAAGTCACCACTTACGCGTAGCTCCAATAACAACTGTGGCCGTGGATCCACATATCCGGGGAAAGACGTTGATCATCGAGGGGAAGTGGGGATCAGCTTAGCGTGGTCGGAGACGCTCGTCGTAGTCGTGTAGGTGGATCAAAATGGAGTTTCTTCTACAGTCCTCCTACAGTAGAGTAGCACCACAGTCACGCGCCCATAAAACTAGCTCCACTCTTTTGCAGCGGAGCGGGGCTCCGTGGCGCCCAGGAAAGAGGAAGCACGGGACATGACGGGCGTGCATCTGTGCGTACTATGTCATAGTAGTAGCCGTGTACCGATCCAGAGTTGAGTAACGGTACAGCAGCTCTGAGAAGCGACGACACCCGGCTTTGCTCAGGGAGAAGCCCGCCGGCAGCGTCCGGTGCCAGCAAACCCACTCCGCGCGGGCGCTCCTATTACATCGGCCAGCAAGCGTGCGGATGGTGTAACCATATACCTTTTAGGTTAGCTATGTGTACACCGTATTGACCAAACTGCAATCATCAGGCGACAGTCTTCATCAGATCAAGACACAGTCGTATTGCCTGATTCAAGTATAGACCAAACGTGCGCACACACATTTACACATCGGCGCACCTCTCTCACTAAACACAAACTCTCATCATGGTTCTGGCACCCCATCCAAATCCAGATGCTCCTGTGCTGTCGCACTTCGACCTCTCGGGCAAGACAGCTTTGGTGACGGGAGGATGCCGGGGAATTGGCCTGGAAGTAGCCAAGGGCCTCTGCGAAGCCGGGGCGAAAGTAGCCATCACCTACACGAGCACCGCCCCAGCAGAGGCAGATGCAGTAGCGGCGAGCATCTCTTCTTCAAATGGCAGCCGCCTCGTCAAGGCGTACAAGTGCAATGTTCGGAACAGGAGTGAGATTGAGGCCACCATCGAGACTGTGGCCAAGGAAATGGGCGAGGGGAGGCTGGACGTTGTGGTGGCGAACGCGGGCATCGCGGATCACATCGCCGCGGTGGACTACCCCGAGGACAAGTTCCGCGAAATGTTCGACGTCAACGTGAACGGTGCCTTCTATACCGCCCAGGCGGCCGCCCGTGTGTTCCAGAGGCAGTGGGAGGCCGGCGGCAAGACCGCCGACCACCGAGCCTCTATCATCTTCACTGCCTCAGTGTCTGCGACGCTGGTCAATATACCACAGAAGCAGGCTGCGTACAACGCAAGCAAGGCGGCTCTCGTGCACCTGTCCAAGTCCCTTGCTGTGGAATGGGTGGATTTCACGAGGGTGAACTGCATCTCACCGGGTTTCATTGATACGGACAGTACGTTGGCCCGGTATACCCCTCCAGGTCGGCATCTTGTTATTGGAGCTAATAGAGGTGTTTCTAGTGCTGAAAGTCCATCCCGAGGCCTGGAGGAATCAGTGGTTCTCTATGATTCCCGGTCGCAGACTGTGCAAGGCGGCAGAGCTTAAAGGGGCATATGTTTTCCTGGCTAGTGACGCTAGTACTTACATGACTGGTAAGCCACTGAAGATTGCCATAAGAATTTGAACTGAGATCCGTAACTGAAAACATAATCCAGGAGCTGATATGATCATTGATGGTGGGTACACCTTACCTTAAGCAGGTAGAGGGTCGAAGAAGCGCAATGGAAGAAACAGAAACAGAAACAGAAAAAGAAACATCTTTCAGAGTTTTCCATGTTCAGTTATAAACAATATTTCATCGCAATTCACTCAGCCTGCTAAGAAGTGTATCTGAGTAATGAAAGATGATTGATATCATAAATCCTGGAGCATCCCTCCCTGTCAGGTATATTTATACCTGTATAATGAAATCTGATGCGTTCCGGATTCTCCCATTCGACCTGAGGGGGGTTAGATTGGACAATTTTCACATGTTGGCATCTAAAGCAAAGATCACTTTAGCCACTTGAAATAATCCACTACTATCCAGATAAACATCTAAATCTCACTCAAAAACTGCCTGCCGACGATATTTGGGCATGGATGACTCATGTTGGACCGGCAAAGTCGATGTTTTCATCTTCCAAGGTAGTGCAAGCCTGTCGAAGGCAGAGTTGAGACGTCAACTATCTTTCTCATGTTCGTCACATGAGCTACAGTGGTTGCAAGACAACAGATAAAACGGAAAGTATAAGCTTCACGCATAATGTCAAACATGTATTTCATGATAGGAAGCTCCGCTACTTTTGAACACCCTCAATGATAACCTTAAGCGTGTCCTCCTTGGCTTGTCTCACAATTTCGAAAGCCTCCAACGCCTGTTCGAATTTGAACCTGTGCGTTATGAGTTTTCGTGGGTTCACCTTGCCAGAGGCAACGAGATTTACGGCCTCAGGATAACAGCCGGTGGTGTAACGGATTGAGCCCAAAATATGTAAGGCTCTGATACACGCCGTTGTGATGGGAAACACGACATTCTGTACACGCAATGTTAACGTATATTCCCACCAGCCCGAGAAGTCTTGGTCAAGGAGGCTCTTCACACACCTCTTTGCCCATACCGGCCTGTACAAAGGTGCCGCCCTTCTTGGCTGCAAAGACGCCAGCCTGGATGCACGGCTCGGCCCCGGTGCATTCAAGCACCACGTCTGCGCCATCGCCCAGGCCAAAGGTCTTCACGATCTTTTCGCCCATGGCACGGGATGCGTCAACGGGATCCACATTGCCGGCGGCCTCCTCTGGTGACGGAACAAAGACGTCGTCGGCACCAAAGGATCTCGCAAAATCGGCGCGGGATTTTGACAGGTCGACGCCGACGACCTTGCTGGCGCCGTACGCCTTGGCCACGGCCTGGCACAGGGCGCCGATGGGCCCGCAGCCGAAGACGAGGACACTCTGTCCACCGCGAAGACCTGCGACCTTGCAGATTTGTACCGCGACGGCTACAGGCTCGACAAGCGCGCCGTCCTCGGCCGTCATGTGCGCAGGGATCGGGTAGCAGTAGTCTCCGGCGACGATGTAGTACTTCTGTAGTGTCCCATCCCACGGTGGTGTGGCCGCGAAGACGGTATCTGCGCAAAGATTGTATGCACCGGCACGGCAGTAGTCACAACTGCGTATGTGTAGGTTAGTTTCCCACACAATCATCACACCTCTCTCCTAGTTATGCTGACTTGTCAGTTTGATGGTACATACTGTCTGCAGGGGACACCGGGCTCGATAGCAACCCGGTCTCCGACTTTGAGATTCTTCACGTTCTTGCCGACCTCGACAACAGTACCAGAACTCTCGTGACCCAGAACAATGGGACTCTCGAGGATGAAATCGCCAATGCGGCCCCGCTGCCAGTAGTGGACATCTGAGCCACAGATGCCAGTCTGCTCGATGTGAACGCGTACATCATACTCGTCGCGGAGCTTTGGGACCTCACGGTTCTCGAACGAGACGTTCTGGATGGACTGAAGAACAAATGCCGGGTTCTGGAACGTCGTGTTAAATTGCTTTCTCGAAATCAAATCCAACTGCGGCTCAAACTCACCAATTCAGCCATGATGTATAATTTTTACAGCACTGCCGGCCTGTTTGATCTATAGTATCTGGTCACTGGTGCGGGGCTGTGTTTTGACTCGACAATGAAGGGTGACGTCGTTAGCATTATTCACAACGAACAAGCATTATGATGATGTGTACTTACATATACTACCGTATGTGGATATTCCACACTGGCTCGAGATCGAGATCCTGGCTCGTCAATCCGCTCCGAAAGGCGGATCCAAGCCCGGACGTGGAATGACCGCGCCGGCCGAGACTCGGCGTACTTCCTCCACAACGGACATCGGGTCCGGAAACCCCGGGATGTGGGGCCGGGCTCGGTGCGCTAAAACGGACAACTGTGCTCCGTCGGATTGGTTCCGAATCTAATGATCGCAAGTCATTAGCTGTGCTACATATTGTCAAATCCCAAGCCGATATTGACGATACCCTTCAGCGTGTTCATTTGGATACACGTCACAGAACCGACCTTGAAAGCACTTCTGTCTAACCATTCGATAAGCAGTTACATCTCACCTGGCCTGGTGCCAGCCGCCCCTCTCCGTCTTCACCAATGGAGCCAATATACCAACTCCTTGTGGATCGAATTATCCACAAATGGTCCGAGAAGCCCCATGACCGGATTCTGATCGCATTGGCTGGGCCGCCAGGATCAGGGAAAACAACCATCGCCCGGAAAGTAGCCCAACGGCTTGCCTCGTCAAGCTCATCAACACCGGCCGCCCCAAAGACAGCGGTGGTCTCCGTCGACGGGTTCCACATGACCCTTGCCGCCCTGCGGGCTCTCCCCAACGCGGAGGAGGCACTAGCCCGAAGAGGCGCCCCATGGACATTCGACGCCGATGCGGCGGTCGCACTCGTGCGGGAATTGAGGATGAGCGGTCCAAACAGCGCCGGTTTCTCTTCGCGTGATGTCGTCGTCCCTACGTTTGACCACGCCGTCAAAGATCCCGTCGAAGGTGGGCTGTTGGTGCCGGCGGACGCGCAGGTCTGCATCTTAGAGGGCAACTACCTTTTATCCGATGAAGGGTCGTGGGCGGCTATAATGGATATAGTGGATGACCGGTGGCTCGTCAAGGTCGATCCTGCTTTGGCACGTGCTAGAATTGCAGCACGGCATCTGGCAGCGGGAATCGAGCCAACTTTGGAATTGGCTCTCGCGAGGACTGATTACAACGACCTCCCTAATGGAGACTATGTAATGAAACATAGCGAAGGGCGGTATGATCTACTTATTGAGAGTGTAGAGCAGCACGTGGGTGTATAATACTATAGAGTACGGAATACATTTCCTAGTGTTAGAAACTCCTGGATTATCATTATCCTTGGGGAAATCTATTATGCTGTGTGTTCTCAAGATTCAGATCAATGAGCCCATTATCCAGTACCTACCCTTCCGGGTTTTATCAGCTTGCATGCACATCATGTCGTCCGTTCGATGTCACTCACTCAACTTTGCATTCTGGATCCTCATGAACAAGTCATAGATCGAGGAGCGTGTCATTTGAGCCAAGATCATCGGACGACACCGTCCGTACCCACCCCGGCGAGACTTACCGCCAATGAAACGCCAGAGGCATAATTGCTAGTAAGGGAGTCATGTATATGTACTTGTGCCTTCGAACCACGATAATCGCAGCGTCAGAAATTCAAAGGGTCATAGAAAAGATTAGCATTGGCAATTCTAGGTCTCAATACTCCACTGAAATCGACGACATGGCTTCGAACGGCACGAATGGGAGGACTTCGACCAGGGCTCCCAACCCACCGGTTCAAGACAGCGTGTTCAAACAGTTTCGACTTGATGGCCGTACCGTCATTGTCACTGGTGGCGCAGGCGGCATTGGGTACGAAATAGCTCGGGGCCTGGCAGAAGCAGGTGCCAATGTGAGTCCCCCCATCGGATACCGTCGACAGTAATTTAACCCTCCGCATTACGCTGACACGTCTTCTCCTAAGCTTGCTCTGTGGTACCATTCATCATCCAAGGCAGAGAAGCTGGGTGCTACCATTGCCCAAGAGTTCGGCGTCAAGGTGCAGACATACAAGGTCGATGTGCGCCAGTATGATGATGTCGAAAAGGTGGTGGACCAAGTTGTCCAGGACTTTGGCCGTCTCGACGTCATGATCGCAAACGCTGGTGTCCCATCCAAGGCCGGCGGACTGGATGACAAAGTGGAAGACTGGGACCGCGTCCGGTCTATCGATTTTGATGGCGCGTATTATTGCTTCCGTGCCGCAGGTCTGGTCTTCCGCAAACAGGGTCACGGTGTTGGTATTGCTACGGCATCCATGAGTGGCCACGCTGCCAATGTCCCTCAGGAGCAAAGTTGTTATAATGCTTGCAAAGCCGGTGTGGTAAGTACACAAACTGTGTCTCGCATATATCACACATATTTAGGGGTTTCGATAGCTGTGTAGTGAGCCTAGCTAACACAATACTCACCAGATCCACTTGTGTAAGAGTTTGTCCGTGGAATGGGCCAAATGGGGAGGTCGTATTAATTCGGTGTCGCCGGGCTATATTGACACGGAAATCTCAGGGGACTGCCCGTTTGAGATGAAAGAGGAGTGGTTCAGCTTGACCCCCATGAGGAGAGATGCAGATCCTCGGGAGCTGAAGGGTGTGTACCTATATCTTGCGAGTGATGCGAGCTCGTACACGACTGGTGCGGACTTTGTGGTCGATGGAGGCTATACCGCCCGATAGACAATTTGAGTTGTGTAAAACTCTTTAGATTTGTTTGATTTCGGCTCTTAAGCCCCCCAATAACAAAGTGCTGCTAGCTTTGAAAACTGTCATGATAAATTCGTATAAAGTGTTTGCGACTAGATATCTCATTCGATCATGTTCGACATAAACCTCTTCGGCTGGGGAAATTGTTTGTTGCAAAGCCGAGATGGTTTTGCATACTTATTTTCCATATTTCCATTTCTTCCTGAGTCTTCTTTGCTCTATCTCTATTTCCACGAGGATAACGATTCAGCCTGGTGAAAGTGAAATATGCTATTGAGCCCGTCGTCCTCGTACTCAATCCAGTATAAATTATCTGCCGCGCCTCACTATGTCTCGCTTGTTGCTTATCTAGAAGCTACACAACTCTTCTGATAAAAATAGAGAAGTATCTCTCTTTGTCCAGCTCGGACTTGATCACCCCAATGACGTCGGCCTATGAGTTGCCGTGCGCGATTTTGACATCGAGTGTCTTGGAACCTTACCCCACTCCATTATTTAACCTTGTTCTCGCCGGACCTGTTTCTCCATCTCTTGGACTCAGCTGCTCCGAGGCCGGTATTGTAGAAACGTACTCGAGGATCCGGTCTCGGTCTTTACCAAGTATGAGAGAAGACATCAAATCAGTTGCCTCGCTGATCCGTGGTGTCTTGTGCTAAAGATCGGCCCTTCAAGTAGTGATGTGACCAAGGATACACGCAAGCATTCGAGGAGACACTGGAGCGACAGGGGGCCCGGCCTTGCTATATCAGGGACTCCGTCCACACGGACGACAGTAGTCCGGGTCTTGCAACACGTGGATTGCCAGGCACGTACCAATGATGCACAACCGGAGCTTTCCCCCTGAAACATCCACGCCTTGTCTTTGGCTAGTGTCTACCACCCCATGGGGAGGAATTCGGGCATAATCTGGAGAAGATGGGGTGGTCTTAGTGGGTCAACGAACTCCAACAATGCGTCACCTCAGATGACAGGCGCTGGATGCACTCCGTAAATACATAAATAAGACGATCGCCTGCAGTGCACAAACCCAGTGATAATACCCAGACTTCAACCACCAGGATGCAGCCTACTGGTGATCTGCTATCACTATTTTGACATCTTTCCTTCCAAGCTCGATTCGAAGAGACCATGAAGGAAGCCCAAATTGTCGGAGAGGCCCTCGCCCAGGTGCTCCCCCAAACAAATAAATGGTGGTTCCAACAGTCCCACTTGCTCAGACTGAACCTAGTGCTTCTTGTACCCCTCTTGTCATCCTCCGTCTCTGGGTATGATGGTGAGTAAACATGACATTGTGGCCGGCAATCCATTCCACCAAATGAGCCTTGAGGCCCAACTCACACGATCCTTGGACAGGCTCCCTCATGAACGGGCTTCAGTCTCTGAAGCAATGGAACAGCTACTTCGGAAACCCCACGGGGACCAGGCTCGGTGTGGTCAATGCCGCGCAGTCAATCGGCTCCGTCCTCTCGATTCCCTTGATCGGAAGCCTGTCCGACAAGTTTGGCCGTAGGCCGGTCCTGCTCACTGGCATCATCCTCATCATCATCGCCACAATTATACAGGCAGCATCCATCAACTATGCCATGTTTGTCGTCTCACGTGTGATTGTCGGATTCGGAGGCATGTTTGTGGTGCAGCCGAGTCCGATGCTCATCGCAGAGCTGGCGTATCCGACCCACCGAGGGAAATACACATGCGCCTTCTGGACCATGTACTACCTAGGGGCCATTCTCGCAAGCTGGACTACCTTTGGCACGCAAGACTTCGACAGTACGTGGTCGTGGCGGATTCCCTCGATCGTCCAAGCCGGCCTGCCCCTCGTCCAGCTCGCCTTCTGGTGGGCTGTTCCCGAGTCGCCACGGTGGCTGATCGCCAACGACAGGGCTGACGAGGCCTCCTATATCCTCTCCCAGTACCACTCCGGGCGTGACACCGCCGCCGAGGGCGCTGAGGAGCATCCATATACCCCTCTCGTCGAGCTCGAAATGTCCGAGATCGTGCAGACGCTGCAGATGGAGAAGGATGCGGCGCGCGCCACGTCTTGGAAATCTCTCGTGGAGACCCCGGGCAACCGCAAGCGCACTCTCATCGCCGTCTGCGTTGGCGTCTTTGCGCAGTGGAACGGCATCGGCATCGTGTCATACTATCTGACTCTCGTCCTCAACTCCGTGGGTATCACCGACACGTTCGACCAGACGCTCATCAACGGCCTACTCCAGATCTTCAACTTTGGCGCAGCGCTCATGGCGGCGGTGCTCGTCGACCGGCTGGGCCGCCGGACGCTGTTCCTCTGGAGCAGCGTCGGCATGCTCGTGTCGTACATCGTCTGGACGGCTTGCTCGGCCGTGAACGCAAACACCGGCTCCAAGCCCGCGGGTATTGTCGTGGTGGTGTGTCTATTCATCTACTATTTCCACTATGACATCGCGTGGACTCCGCTGCTCCTCGGCTATCCGACCGAAATCCTCCCCTACTCGCTTCGCTCCAAAGGCATCGCGCTGGAGCTCTTCTCCATTTATGCGTCGCTCATCGTTGCTGCCTTCTGCAACCCCCTGGGCATGGACAACATTGGCTGGAAATATTATATCGTCTTCTGTGCTCTGCTGGTTGTCTTCCTGGTCGTGGTGTGGTTCTTGTTCCCGGAAACCAGGGGCCACAGCCTGGAGGAGATTGCTGTGATCTTTGATGGGAAGCAGGCGAACCTGATTGACGAGGTACCGGGCAAGAAGGAATTCTCCTCGGCGCATTTGGAAAAGGCATCTGATATTACCGAAATCTCATGAGAATGGAAAGGGCGTAATGGCTGCATGATGGCACTGATTCGCGCAAGCAAACTATTTTAATACTCTTGAAGCTGTTCCACTTCTTTCAGAAACATAGCAGGAAGGAATAGACTGCGTTGAAAAAAAGGGGGCCTGTGCCTTCGGTGGTAGGGAAGCGTGATACGACATAGACTACTATGCATCAAGTCTGCATACCGCCACCCCTGTTAATTTCGCGAGATGTAACCCTGGGCCACGCTGAGCTGGCAAGCCTCGTCCGGCTCAAAACCTTATTGAACTCATGTTTCGACACATAAGGTACGTATGATTGGAGAAAATTCAAATACGCTCAAGGCGTCATCCATGTTGCGAGAATCCCTTCATCATGGAGAGGTTTGATGCATTCTGTGGCAGATGCTTGTCATCGTGCGGGGGTAGGCAAGGCCTGCAGATCTCGTATTGAGATGCAACCCCTCCTGTTGTGAACCATTAACCACTTCTTCCGTATTAACCTTGTCCCTTTTACATGCAGAGATCGTCAAACAACAAGCGTTAAACATCGAGCCATGTGCCGTTTTGCCGATGACGCGTCCATTAAGGATGAATTCTGGCAAGGGTCTAGGGCGTTGCAGTGGTCGCTTAATACAGAAAATAATTAAAAACAGAAAAGACTTTGCTCTTCCCGGATTAGCCAAGTGATGTGCCTTGACGCTTCCGTCCCGTTCCGCCCAGTGGCTGTTATCGCGGGCCGCTAACGTGGGTCGTAGCGCTGCTGCTTCCCCCTCCTTTTCCTTCGAATCGCTTATTCGGCAGAAAAGCCCTGACACCACAATCGCGCAACAAGGTGCCGATTTCCAGATCCCATATGCAGATAATCAATATTTCGTCCGCAATGATCTCCGAAATTGTGAGCTGCTGAACCCCCTACATGGGTGCTTTCCCAGGGGGAACCATGCGCGCGGAGTTACGGCACACCCAAGAAAACCCTACAGCTCGCCGCATAGCCGTTCAAACAAGCCTTAACAAGCTTCTCGCTAAAGCCTTTCACGAGCTTCGATGCCAGGGCCCCCTTGTTTAATGGCATGTTCAATTCTCGTGTCTTGCTGCAGAGCCTTTCTGAATGGCAGCGCGTGTGTGGTTGCCCATCCTACCGATGTCTCCTATATTACGATTAATTATATATCTTGGCAAGTATTTCCATCACATCTGGCAGATCAACACTGTTATCGTTCAACTCTGTTCCATTCTCTTTTTGCCATTTGTTCTTCTCCGACCAAACTTCATTCGTTATCGTCATCCGCTGGTAGACCCTCTCTACTATGATGTTTTCCAAAATTCGTCCATCGTTTTTGCTTCCTTGTCTGTCTATTCTAAGTGGAGCTATTGCACAGCAAACCAGTACCACCAATGCCTCCTTCACAACTTTCAGTGGCAATGTTGCCTCCACCATTCTTGTCATCGCAACAGATAGCACATCAGCAACTGTTGCCGCGCAGGGATTAAATGGCTACGGCATTCCACACCAAAACCTCATTGTCCCACAGACCGGGGCTGCCCTTCCAACGCTGAGCTCCTCTGCCGGTGGCAACTTTGGTGGTATCATCGTTGCTTCCGGCGTCGCTTATGAGTACAGTGCCAGCAACTATTCGAGTGCTCTCACCAATGATCAATGGAATGCTTTGTACGAGTACCAGATCGCGTACGGAGTTCGTATGGTACAATATGGCATATTTCCCACTCTTGATGCGGGAGTGGTCGCCTCGGGCGGCTGCTGTAACACCAGCGTCTTGCAACCTATCTCCCTTACCAACACAAGTGCATTTGCGCAAGCTGGCCTAAAGGAGAATGCTGCGCTGGACACATCAGGCTTATACCATTACCCATCCACGATTTCGAATACGACGACCACAACTGCCATTGCGGAATTCGGGTCCGCAAGCGACGGCAGCTTTACCTCCAACAGCGTTGCTGCCGTCATCAACAACTTCGAATCTGGCCGACAGCAAATGGTCTTCTTCATTGATTTCTCACCAAATTGGTCGGCGACCTCGTCAATCCTTCAACATGCGTACATTACCTGGCTTACGAGGGGCTTATACGCAGGCTACCGTCGTGTCAACCTGAACACTCAAATTGATGACATGTTCCTTGAGACCGACTTGTATCTGCCTAGTGGTACGACCTACCGTGTCACCCCAGACGACTTGACTGGAATTGTCAACTGGCTACCTTCAGTTCGGGCGCTTATGCCTGCAGGTAGCAACTGGACCGTGGAAATCGGATTCAACGGTAATGGCAACATCGAACAGGCCGAGGCTACCGATCAAGGGTATCAAGTGTGTTCGCCCGACTCTATTGAGTACGGTGACCAGCCCGACACCGCCTTGGAGTTCAAGAAGCCGTTGGGATCAGGCACAGACATCTGGCCGGCCACTCCAACAACGTACAACTACTCTGTAGACTGTTTGAACCTCGACCCTTTGAAGACGTGGTTTGACACGAATGTCCACTATTTCAACACCATCAGCCATACTTTTACGCACGAAGACGAAGACAATGCTACGTACGCAGACGTCCTCAAAGAAATTGAATTCAACCAAGCCTGGCTCACTGCAACTGGGATTGGTTCGGGCAACTTCACCGCGAATGGTCTTATCCCTCCGGCTATTACTGGCTTGCACAATGGAGACGCCTTGCGAGCATGGCACGACGCGGGTCTTGTTCAGTGTGTTGGAGACAACAGCAGACCCGTGCTCCGCAATCAGGAAAACGATATGTGGCCCTACATTACTCAGGAGGCCGCTGATGGATATGCCGGCATCCAAGTAAATGGTCGGTGGCCAACGAGAATCTACTTCAACTGTGACACCAGTAACTGTACGACGCAGGAATGGATCAACACGTCGGCTGGCAGTGGTACGTTCGACGACCTCCTGGCAGCAGAAAAGGCCGACTCCATCCGCTATCTGGGCGGACTTTATCATGATGCGTTCATGTTCCATCAGGCCAACCTTCGTACGACTGGGGACCTTGGAACGACAACAATCAACGGCGTTGCGTCTACTATCGGCATTTTCCAGGCCTGGGTGGAAACTGTTGTCCAAGAATACGTTCGTCTCTTGGAATGGCCCATCATCTCCATGCAGCAAGTAGACGTATGTACCTCCTGCGTGACCTTTTTTCTGCACAACCTCGTTCCATGCAAAATTACCTATCCCGATATCTACCATGAGACAAATACACTAACAAAACCTCTTTTCGCCACAGTTCTCTGCCAACTTCGCCAACCGCATGACCCGTGATGCCTGCTCCTACGGGCTCACTTACGATATCACCTCCGGCAGCATTACCGGCGTCACAGTCACAGCCAGCGGAAACACCTGCGGCACGTCTATCCCCGTGACCGTTCCAGGCTCTGTGACGGACACCCAGGGATTCACAACCGAGCAGATTGGATCGGATCCATTAACAATTTGGGTGCAGCTGTCTGGGTCTCCTGTATCCTTCACTCTCTCGCAACCTGTTGCTCTGTGAAGAGAAGCAAAGGGGATGAAAAAGAAACCTTGTTTATTTGTAGTCTTTAATATTAGTAAACGTAGTAGTCTCAAAATATTATAGCCTATACTGGCCACTGCAGATTTAAACAGTCTTTACGCATTCAGCATCCTGTTCAAGCCTTGTACCACGCCTCATCTTGCTGTTATTATATGTTAAACAAGTTTGTGCTGCGAAACTTGAAAAGCTTTAAACAAATTTGCTTAGTCAGTAATCCCTTCCCCGCACCTGGGCAGGAGGATGGGGAGGTAGCACAAGTAAGGCCAAGGAGGCCCCAGGAAACGTAAAACCTTTTTCTTCTCTTTACAAACCGTGTCAAACTGCAACACCACATCCACGCCATGAAATCAAGTTCATTTGCACCTGCCTTGCCGAAAGAAACTGCTGCATTAGCAGAAACAATATTCATCCTTCTCTTTACAGGATCAACAGAAGATTTCAATAGCAGTTATAGCAATAAAACATATATCGGCTGCTCTAAAGGGTATAATGCGACTCGACGCAGACTGTAGCGCAAGCGTTAAGCAATGTTACATCTTTCAAACCGGCTACCGCGCAGGGCAGCACGCCGTGGCTTGAGCTCATGGGAGTAACGATTCGAAAGTTGATAAGATGCACATGAATAGGATACATCCAGCTCCACTGCTGTTCACGAACTCCTGGATCCTAACAGTGCCATACAAGGAGAGCACGTTGTGGGGTTCAGCTGAGGAATCAGCAACAATCTTGTAAGCAACCACGGAAAGCATGTTATTTTCAAACTTTACTGTCTAAAATGCCACTGGTTAACAAGGCAATCAAGACTGCTATTTTCACAAGCCGCGTTTCAAAAGCCCTTAAACCTAAGAGTCGCAAAATCCAAATAGTAACAGCAGCTAAACAAAACAAGACCAAGGCTTACCTAAAGATACAGAGTCACATAGACAACAATGCGCGAGCTTGAGCTCGTGACCTGGGACCCGCCCAAGGACGAGTCCGGTGGGCAGATGTTCCCGTTCGCGCGGTGGCGCGACCTCTTCTCTAAGCTCAACACCTGGGCGCAGCTGGACTTCGCCCGCATCGCCTTCTTTGTAACGACACAGCTATATAAGACTGCACTGTATTCCAGAAGGCGTTCTGGAATTCTGAACTTTTGTTAGGAAACAGCCCTAACCATAGTGCAGCGGTCAAGGCGCTGCCTCATTCCTGGACCTCGACGCGTTCCCTGTGCGCGACCTGGACCTCATCTTCGGCGAGGGCGTGTCGCCGCGCCAGCGGTGCCGCGCTGAGCTGCTGCTGCCCGTGGACAGGATCTACGAGGCCCAGATCTGTGACTACGTCTTTGCAGACCACGGGCTCGCTGACAGCGTCAATGTTGTGTAGCGCCCGCTTCAAGTATTTTCTCATCAGAGCTATACAATAATATTAAGCAGATTTTGAGAACCTCAGCGTGACCGGCAAGTCTGTTACCAGCGCCGGGATTCCTGAATAATTGTTGCATTTTCCAAGAAAGTTGTATTTACACTAACTTGTTAAGCAACAGCAGTGCCATACGTGGCAGCAATAGCTGTTGCAGGCCTGCTGATTATAGGCAATAAAAGTTTAATGGCTTTAAATAGTAATATTGCTAAGGAAAGTAAGTTTATATAAGTAGAAAATAAGCCTAAGGAAAATTAAAGTTCTTACACAAATGCTTAGTATAGAAGTCGATAAAGAGCCTATGGAATAGAACTACTGTATAAGTGTATTATCAACTCTGGTGCAACCAAGGCTTTCCTACCGGTGGTCTCTGCTGCCGTTGGAGCTCTGAGCAATAACTATGCTACGTGAGGATGTTGAGATTCGGAACTTCCTGTCAAATGGGCAGCGCTGAACCTTTGAGCTCAGTTAGCTCACGGTACACCTTTTAAGGTACCGTCTGCTACCTCTTCCGCCTGATAACACACGCCTATCTCAGTATCTAAATCCTATTATAGATATAAGTATGATAGCTATAGAGAATCCCTGTCTACCGTCACAGTAGGTGGACCGCTACCATCATTTCAGGAGCTAACAGCCAACAGCCAACAACTACCAACCAACAGCCAACAACCAACAGCCAACAGCCAACAACCGAAATGCAGCCAGGCCCCTTCCCCACTTTCGCGCAGCCAGGCTTTCTTTTCCTGCCCATCTTCTTTTCGCCCAATGTGATTTCCCTCGTCCATGTCGCTCTCAGAGATCCCGTCGCTTCTTACGATAGCTTTCCGCTACACCGTTGTGATTAACCTCTAGTTACCCTCTTGTATCTCCCCCATAGTGGAGACGTCGGCTTTTTTATCCAGTCTGCTAATAATGGCTGACGACGACTATGCCGTGCGCGTCGTGTGGGCGGTCAAAGCTTCGCTCGATCAGACCTACCATGCACTGCGTCAGATGAAGAACCCCCAGGCTGCGTTCGAAGAGAAACAATCAACAATTGACGTCAGCATCGACCAAGCTCTACGAGGCCATCATACTGCACAAAGCCGCGCAGAAGCAGAAAAATTTCGAGAGGAAATTCTGAGACACAGCGCCGAGTTACATCAGCTCCGCCAAGATTATCAAGCAACCCTGGACGCGAAAACCAAAGACTTTGAACAACAGCGTCGCCTAGTACTCGAAAATCTTTGCCGCCTCCTCGTCCAAGCCGTCGGCCCGGATTTGTTTCAGAATGCTCTCCGAGATTTGACAAACAATTCATCAGACGCGGTGAAACACACCTCCGCACCAGTTAACCAACCTACACCACCTGCTACCGAGGCCGAGTCTGAAGTTGTGCCTCCTATGGAACATACCGTCACATCGCCACCCGCAGATTCTGAGAGACCTGTACGTGCTGACGCTAGTTCTTCATCGGCTGTGGGAATGCGCATTGCCGCAAAACATGGAATATATTGTTGACATCATCTAGCATAAACGTAGAATCGATACGGAACCCGAATCGCCTAGACGGCGTAAACGGGCCGTTCCGACCAGTAAGAGGATATCAGTCATGTGGTTCGACGAAGTTTACAAGAAAGGTCACGCTGAGACAAAACATATCATCGTCGAACACCCCAAGGGCGCTGGGCAATGGTATATAATCCGTTGTCAGGACTGCCCTCGCGATTTCAAGAACAAACCCTTGGTAACTGCCGGGTCTCATCTGAGCAGCGACGTGCATGGCAACCAGCCTAGAGATGCTGCGAAAGTTGTTGAGAATTTCGGGATTCATGTTTTAGACTGCAACGAAAGACGGGCGGAGAAGAATAATGCCGTCGCTCGCCGGGCATTCCGCAAACAGGACAAAGAGCCTCGTCCGCCAGATGACACAGCAGCCAAAGACAGCAAGCATAGTCGCCGAGGCGCAGCAGGCATTGTTAGTCCAACACCGGGTCAGATTTATCTCGGTTACTGGGGTAAGGCCAAGAAGAGCTGGCCAGTGCTTTTACTACCAAACGCGAACCTCGAGGACGTCGGCGTGCCAGACACTCTGGAGGGGTTGGGGCTGCTGGAAAAGCTGCCTCCGTGCTACCGTTATAACACGACGACAAAGACGCTTGAGTGGAAAGAGGGCTTCGAATATGGGGGAGAAAAAGTAGCACAGCGTTGGTTCCCTGTCATGTTCTTCGACGACGGCTTGAAATTTCCGTTTAAAAGTGCAGTCGGCTGGCTGCCGGCACACGACTTGGAGGTTTTGGACATTGAGTCGCCGGTTGCGTCTGACGTTCCTCACATTCGATCTGTTCGGGCGTACCTGAAAGCACGACCTCAAATCCCGTCAACGCAGGATGAACCTAGTGAAATGGACGTCCATGATGGTTTGGCTGGTTCGTGTTCAATTTCTTGCGATTTACATTTATTTACTAATTAAGCTTCTCAGATGCTATCAGCCGGCGAGATAACGAGACACACGAAACGTCTAAGGTGGACGGGAGCAATTCACGTGAAGCCACTATTGTTCAACCGCGCGGCAAAGGAGTGAAAGCTAGACCCGTACCAGTCGCAAACGATGGTGAGACATCGGTCGAGGCTGATGGAAACAGCAACGAAAACTCACGGAGGGAATCTATCGACATCATTTCAATCAGCAGCACGCCAGTATCTGAATCGCGCGAAATACATCCCGACGAGGCAGCTGTCCCTTCGCACAGTGAGCTAAACAGAACAACCTTAGCGCCCAACGCCGATGTCGAGACCACCACATTAACCAGTATGGGCGCCAAGAACCCAGAGCAGCCGACACAAGTTAACACGGTTTTTGAGGCCACAATGGAGCGCCCATATTTGGATCATCAATTTTCGGCTGAACCTTCTTCTCATGTACCAGAACTTCGTGCTGATTATTTGGCAACTATTGCCCAGAATGGTCTCAAACAGAACCCCGGCCTGTCCAACTGTGTACCGCCTGGGACTGCGCAACAGATTACACCACGGGAGGACAATACTCGCAAGATCATTCCCACGATTTCAGAGTTCAGCCGCGCATCTTCACTCGGTAGTGCTGCCAGTCACACAATAACAATTCCACCGCGAGCCGAGAATGATCGAAACCCTTTGAAGACTCAGAATCAGCCAATCCAATACCATGCACCGAATACGCCTCAGATCGAGAACAGGTCCAACAACTCAACGATACCTCTAAGCCAGGCGCAACCACAGCCTCAGCTTAACAATAGATATGTTCCATATCAACCTAGTGTACGACCTGAGATGGTCCAGGAGCAGCCTACAGTCCAGGTCCCGGATCCAAGGCACACAGTTCAACACGTGTCGTGGTCTAGACGAGGTGATCAGGGTACGGCTGCAGGTGCAAATCGTCATGGTGTCTCTGAACACAACAGAACCTGGATTGTCGGTAATAAGGCCTCTCATTCCCAGGAGCCCTACCAGAGACTCTCCCATCCTCTTCTGTCTGAAAAGACTTGGAGAAGCATCAACGGCATTAGTTAAAAACTTCTATAAACAAGGCTGGGCAATAAGTTATTTAGCTTTATATTATATTACCTTTATATTATATTACCTTTATATTATATTACCTTTATATTATACATTTTATTTAAACTTCATTTTATATATATTAAATAAACTACTTAAAAATAAAATTTATAAAGCTAAGATTTAAACTTATATTTAATTAAATATAAAGTATAATAGTAGTTAAAGTAATATTCTTTTACACCTTCTGCTTATTAACTTATATTAGCTTATTTTAACTATAATATACTTAAAAAATAAATATTTTTTAGTTTTTTTTAACTTTTAAATAATTTTAAGCTTTTTAAAAAATAAATTATAATGTAACAATTATAGCTAGTTTCTAGCTAATAAACCTAGTAAGCAGGTTTATATTTAAGGAACGTTTAAGGTAGTAATATTCTGAGCAATATATGATAATAGTGGATTGAAAGCTTTATAGCTATTCTAAGTAAATACTTAGATTAACTATTAAAAAGCTATTTTAAGTTAATACTATTTATTAGTAATAAGTATAATTTATATAGTTTATTTCTTTAGCTAGAGCAATAGGAGCGTTGCTTTTAGCGGCTTACTTAAAGCATTACTTACTTAAAGCAATAGAAGCGTTAGATTATTTAGATTATCTAGAGTAAAGCGTTGCTTTAGTTATTTTAATTATCCTTTTACTTTATTATATAACCTGCTTTTATTATATAGTAAATCCTTTTAGGCCTGCCTTACTAGCCTATAGGGTTTATCTGTGCTTTTAGAGAACTAATAGTGCTCCCTTAGTTTTATTCCTATTATATTTATAATATTATTCCCTTTCTTTATTATTTCTTTATCTTTAAAAAACCTAAATAAGTTTTTTTCTCTTTTATTTCCTTTTGTATATTTGTTATATTTATTCTGCTAATAATTATGCTATTGTATATAGAGAAACTGCGTTTTAAGAAATTAGATTAATGTAATTGATTATTTGCGTTTATTAAGTTGTTAGGCTTTAAAGTTATGCTTTATTTGTTTTATTCTGTAAAGGGGTAGTTTTATTAGATAATAAAGAGTGTTTCCTATTATTCTACCTATATTAAGTAAGGTAAAAAGTATAATAGCTTTAGGGTGCTAATAAGTGCTTGTAAGTTTTGGTTTTCCTTATTTTTTTATTTTCTTTTTTTTTTTTTTTTTTTTTTTAACTGTTCCTTTAGTATTTTGGGTTATTGTGGAAGAAAAGAAGTTGCGTTTTTAGGAGCTTAAGGCTTAAAAAGCCTTATATAAAGCTTATTATTAAATAAGTAAGGTAATAGCCTATTTAGATTATTTGTATTATTAAAGGGAGTTTTTAGTTTATTATAGGGCTAGTTTAATAAATAAAGGTTTAGCTATTTTAAATATGTTTAAGGAGGCTGATTATACTAAAGCTATTAACTAAGTTATAGCTAAAGAGTTTAAAGCTGTTCTTAATATTTAATAGAATAGGGGTTTTAGCATTATAAATTAAAGTTCTATAATAAAGTTTGCTAATGTAGATTTTTTTAGCTAGTTGTTTAGTGGTATGCCTAAAGTACTTTTTAGTAGTTTACCAGGTTTTAAATAGGTTTCTATAAATTATTTTTATTACTATAATTCTCCTATTTAACTAGGTATTTTATTATTTTCCTATATATCTAATAGTTTAAAATATATTTTACCTTATATTTTAGTTTATAGTTATTAAGCTTAATACTAGTAGCTGGTATTATATTAGTTAGTATAAGTTTTAATATAGAAATATAGAAAACTAAGTGGATTTTTATTCCTTTTAGTAGCGCAAGTTTATAATTTATTTTTAATATTTTTTTTTTAATTTTAAATAGTTTAATCTTTTTAAAATTAAGTTTATTACTAGGTTATTTAGTTTTAATTTGTTTTTTATAAAGTAAGTAAACTATATTTCCCCTCCTAAAAATTAGTTTTTTCAACCTTTATTAGTTTACCTATTTTACTATACATTTTTAAACAAATTCTAAATTTGCTATAATTTTTCTATAGATATTTTTAATTTATTCTATATAGTTAATAGCCTATAGTACTTCTATACTAGAAATTAAGTATTAATAAATATTCAAATTAAATCCATAGTTAATATAAAATAGCAAAATATTAATAGTATATATATTCATACTATTATATACAAATTATATTAACAATAGTAATAGTACTTAATTATTCTACTAATAGTTAATATAATAGTGTATATATTATTCTAATATTTAGTTAAGTTATTCTATTTACCTATCTATTTATAAATATACTATTATTAAAAATTTATACTTAGCTTTTAGTTATCTTATTAAAAAAAACTAAAAGTTTAATATAAATAGTTTATTTTAATTAAATATAATTTTATTTAGTAGCTTATATTAATTAATAATTATCTTAAGGAATATATAGGTAAGTTCTTTTGCTATACTAGCTTCCTTATAGGGTATAAAGTATATATATTTTATAAATCTGTTTACTATAACCAAGATACTATTATAGCTAACTCCTATTATTAGTTCCTTAAATAAAGGAAGCTTAATAATAAAGTCTAAGCTAATTAATTTTTATAGTTTATTTAGTATTAGTAGTAGTTATAATAGCCTATATAGCTTATATTTTGCAGGCTTGCTTTTATTGCAAAAGTTGCATTTATTAATAACTTAAGCTACTTTTTATCTTACATTAGGAAAGTCTTAGTATTGTTTTAGCCTTAGGTATATAGCTTAAATGCCCTAATAGCTATATACTAGTGCTTTATAAAGTTCTTTAATAACTTCCTTCCAAAAAGCTACTAAAAGGTAATATTTTCCTTTATAAAATAAAGTTTTATTTATATTTTATAGCTATTTCTTTTTATTACCTAGGATATCTTTATAGCTTTATTTTACCTAATTAAATTAGTTTATAGTAAACCGCACTTAATAAGCTATTGTAATTTATTACTTTAATAAGTTGTTTTTTAATTAGTTTATAGCGGACCGCCTTTTTAAGTACCCTATATTTAAGCTTTTGTTTAAGTTTTTATAAAGTACTGTATAGGTTTTAAATAAAACCTTTTACTAATAGTTTAACTATTTACTAAAAGCATTTACTTTTCTATTTTTAAATCCCTTTTAATATATAATTTTAGCATTAAACTATAAAAGGTATTTTAACTATTAAATTTACCGCTTATTAAGTTCTTTAATAGTTATAAAGTATACTAGGTTTTTATAGTTTATAAATACTTATACTTAGTATTTTACTTTAATTAAATAGTATTTTTATTTTTTAAATACTTTAATAATTGCTATTAGTTCTTTATTATATATTAGGTAATTTAGTTTAAGTTTATTAAGTTTTTATAAGAAAAATATAATAAAGTAAAATCATCCTTATTTATTGCATTATTTTAATTCTCCTCTAATAGCAAAGTTTAAAGCATTAGTGCTTATTTCGTAAACCTTCTCAGGGTCTGCTTCTATAAGCATAGGTTTTAAGAAAACTCATTCCTTGATTTTATTAAATACATCCTATTCCTCTTTTCCCTATTTAAAAGGTTAATCCTTCTTAATAAAGTTAGTTAATAGTATAAACAACTCTCTATAATTTTTAATATATTATTAGTAGAAGTTAATATAACCTTAAAAGCCTCTAACTTTCTTAACATTAGTTAAGGTTAGCTAATTTTTAATTGCTGCGATTTTAAAAGCTTGCATTCTAATTTCTCCTAATTAGATTATATATCTAAGGAAGTTAACTTCTTACATATAAAAGTAACTCTTTTCTAATTCCACCAGAAGTTTAGCATCTTAAAGAGTTTAGAGAACTTAGTATATATACTGCTTATATTGCTCAAGCGTTTTTAAAAAGATCAAAATATCATCTAAATAAACTACTACAAAGTAGTTAAAGTATTTCTATAAAATATTATTAATTATTACTTAAAAAAAGGCAAGCACATTAATAAAGCCAAAAAGTATAACTAAGTATTTAAAATAACTATACCTTATTCTAAAAGCAGTCTTTCATTCTTCTCTATATTTTATTCTAATAAGGTTATAAGCACCCTTAAAATCTAGTACTATAAACTATTATACTCCTTAAAGTTTATTATGTAATTCTTTAATAAGCGGAAAAAAGTACTAATTTTTAATTATAATTTTATTAAGCTATTAATAATCTATATAAAAGTATAGCTTTCCGTTTTTCTTAAATATAAAAAGGATAAGGTAGCCTATAAATAATATAAATAATTAGATATATCCCTTTTTCAGGTTATTATTAAAGTATTTTTACAGTGCTTTAAGCTATTCTTTATTAAGGTTATAGATCTTATAAAACTTAAAATAACTTTTTTCCTTTAAAAGTATTTTATAGTTCTACTAATTATATTTAAATAGTCTAGTATTAAGTATTACTTAAAATAGCTTTAAATATTTTTAATACTTTTTTAGGATTTATTTTAAATTGTTTGTTTTTTTCTATTATTATATAAAATAAATGAACTTTTTAAGTAGCAGTTGTACTATCTTATAGTGCACTAAACGTTATTATTTCTGTATTTATTATAAAGTTCCTTCTAGGGATATAACTATAATCCCTAGGATTTCTAATAGGTAGCATATTTATTTAAATATTATTTAAATTTTCTATATCTGCTATTATACTGCCTGAGCTAGCTGCTTTATTTTTCCTTTAATTTATAGCAAACTAAGGTACTATTACTATTTATTTAACTTATTTAAAGGGTTAGCTATTCCTATTTTAATAACTAAATCCTTCTTTTATTTCTAAAAAGGTTTACTATATAAATTTATATAAGTATTAGCGTTATAGCTATTTTTAAAAACTAAATTTATTCCTTTATTTTTAACTTTCCTATTTATTAGTTAGTTTTAATAAATTTAGCTAATAGTTTAATTAATTTAAAAGTTACTCTTTTTAAGCTATAGAATCCCTAGTATAATTTTATATTTTGCTATATTTATAAT